GGGAGGCGACGTGTCCCGCAATCATCATGATGCAAAAGGGGGAAACGAGGAGGAGCAGTAGACAACCTCCGGTATTATTTAAAAAAAAAAAAAAACGTCCTTGGGAGCACTGCCTGAGATTTCAACTTAGAGCTACCATACGGTGTATGTGGCAACGGCCTTCTGGTTTTAGACAAGTAGACAACAAGTTCTAGGTTCTACGCGTTTCCCATATCGCGACTACGGCGATGCCGCTTGCGTCTTGCATCCGAAGACGAAGCCACCGACTAGGACATTGGAGCGGATGCGCAAGCAAACACCTTCTGATTTTGTATCAGCTATTCTGCCAGTAATCGGCGGCATGCTGCCCTTCAACATTGCCTGGGCCAGGACGAAGCCAGCCAGCCGAGAGATCTCTCGTCGCTCGAAGTCTGTATGCGACCGCGATAGTTCCTGAACCCCTAGGTCCTAACTACGTGCCATTGTATAACCTCTACAGACGCAATATCGTGTTTTGGTTTGCATCTAAGGGGCCCCTTGTGTATGTGTATGTTTGCGAGAGACGGCGTTCTTTTCGAGGTGTATCGGATCGAGGAGGGTTATCGTCTGGTGATCAGAAGCATCTACCAGAGTCGATGACGAGCACGTTTTTCCTTGAATCGAGGGTATTTCGAATGCTTCACGCTGTTCGAAACGACTCGGCGTACGCCTGAACGCATGGTCGACGATGGCGCTAGAAAGGTATCTCTCCGTGGCACCTGTATCACTATCAGCAAATTTGACACGATATACCATATTGAATATCCCGCCGTATCGAGAAGTAACTGTGGCACCAGCCGTAAGTAAAAAATACTCGTAGAAGATTCCTGCTCTTGCAGGTGAGAAATAAGGCAACAATCACGCTCTGGGGGGGGAAAGGCAGCCAGATTGTCAAGTAAATCAGTCACCGTCGACTAGGTTGGCAGTACATATTGACAAAGTTGCTTAGGCAGCTCCAAAAAAACAGTTCACCAATCGTGTAATCTACCAAGAGGGGGCTTCAAAGTTTGAGGGTTGATTCCGCTAAGGTATGTTGATAAGAATCCCTTTCCAAATAAAGCCATTACGGACCCGGAGGCTGCTCCGGGTGTCTCGAAGATTCTTGAGAAAGGGTCTTCTCTTCAAACAACTTGAAGTCTACTTCTCATAAGGGAACTTACGCACTGAAAACCAGGTGTCCATGAGCTCGTCGGTTCCAATTAAATTGCGCAGTAAAGCTCCTTGAAGTGTTATACGATTATGTAGCTTGTGGCTTGTCCTACGGGAAAATCCAAACAGCGATGGCCACGGTGATGCCCAACGCCTTCCCTGACCGCCGAGAGCCAACCTTCCCCTATTAAAGCCACCATTTGTCGCATGTTTTATGGTCCAGGAGGCAATAGAGTCAGTCTAATAATGGTTCACTATGGTCAAGCATCGGTTGACGGAGCATATGATAATTTAGTAAGAGTCGAGGCCTACCTATGGAGAACTTGAAATCAGGGACTTCCGCGGCACCTTGCCGATATCAATAGGCTCGCCATGTATTGAAACCGAGCAGTACACATGATCCAAGAGCTTCTACCCACTCGATTCCACCACCTAGGGTAAGCTGGGCCTGAGCAATGTACCTCTGATGGCTCGTCCTAGGCTTGTGTCCCCGCACCATCGGGCGCTTTTTGATGTCATGACCACCCAAGTCATCTTACAACATGATAGTGTAATCGAGACTGTGAAGGCAATTGGGTGAGATCAGCCTAGCGTCCCAGTAGCCATGCCCTCGTTGTCCATATCGGGTCCCGTCACCGATCAGAGGTGACCACTTTCTCCTGGACAGTTGGTATAGCACCCCGAGATAGGAGAAGCGTTCCAGAAACAGACGTCGCATAAGATAGTGTCCAACCGGTTTCGACTTGGGCCAAGCGTGGCCTGCTCGATTACGATGATTCTTCCAAATTTTCATTGCATACCCCCTATTGAGATTGTGGGGGCTTGATGTATGGTCATTAATGACAGATTCCTCCGGGCCAGGTCGCTAGCTTCCCAGTAATGCATTTGTTGATCAGAAACCACTAGCTGCTGCGCCCTTCGTGATACTCCGGAGATTTTGGGATCATGGGACACGACCAAAAGCAAACATGTCTTGTAACATGCTCACTTGACGTCGCGAATTTGTTTCTTGTCGGAGAGTGAAAAAGGAAAGAGAAGGGGAGGAATAAACAAAGAGAGAGAGAGAGAGAGAGGGAAAAAAAAAAAAAGGTCAAAGCGGCAGCAAGCCCTTCAACTAGGAAACATCATCTTTTTTGAACCTTGCCTTAGTGCGCAGGATTTAAGGACAAGGGGTGTATCCGTATCGTTGAAGGGGGATGCAGAGAGACAGCCGGCCACTTTATGGTAGAGCCAGACCTTGCCCTTGTCTCCCCTGCCAGGGGAACAGTCTTCCTGGATGGCGGATGTGCAGTAAAGCTTGTGGGAAATCAAAGCTATTACTGGCTGCATTGGGCTATCGAATGAGGATTAGGGTGGTGTCGTTTCCCAAGTTGTTGTGTTACCGCTGATACTGTGTAACCTGAAAGGATTCCAGCGTCTTTTCAATAACCTGCAAGACAAAGAGCACCGGCACAGGCACAGCCTTGAGGATAGGTTAAATCGTTCGTTCTCGTAGAACAGTCTTGCCCTATGTCGGTGCTTAAAAGTGAGTATGCTGGACTAAAGACAGTAATACTATTGCTACTAGCCTACGAGTAAAATCTGGTGTAGGTGTAGATGTAAAGAGGGACACTACTGAGCCACATCATTTTCTATTGACCAGATTCCGATTACATTAGTCACAACTTTCAATATGGCGATTCTGGGTCTTGCTCTCATTCGTTCTGCAGAAAACGAAACAGCCAAAGCTTCGGCAGACAGAAGCAGATGAGATCATAGTTTTAAACATGTTCTTCACGGCTGGCAAGCTTGAAGAGGTTAAAGCTAACAAAAACCGAAAGTCATTAAGCTTCGAAAGGTCCGAGGAAACTCCCCTCGGCCCCTCTCTAGACCTCGAGTGCCGTACCCATTGACGCTACCTCTATCATCGGTTCAATGATTGTTAATATTTGGCCAGAAAGCATTGCTCATCAGGTCACCTGGGCCGTTCTGAACTGCTGAGAAGATTGCCAGGGCGCTTTCGGGACGTTCACGCCGTTCGACAGTGATAAGAAAATGATGAGCAAAGGCAAAAATCACGCTGATTGGGCCGGTTATTTGTGTTGATGGCGGCCGCCTTCCAACTCGTTCTTTGCACCCCCGGTCTGGTCCTCTCGATCCGAAGCATGCTTAGGGATCGAATCTGAAGGACCAAGGTCCCGTGAATCATCGTTTAGTCTACCTCGACCAACCTTTTCCGTAAGGAAGTTGTCTGTTAAAATTGGAATAGAACACTGGACATCATCCTCGCGACAGGGTCGACCGATGATGGTAATCAAGCCCCGAGATTGGCGGTGTTGCATTAAGATGGTTGGATAACCACACATTGCTGCTTGGGACGGTTAGTCACCACAGCCGGGGCACTTCTAGATTAGTTCCTCCGAGACATGATGTGACCGGGACAGAAATGACAGGAGCAAAATGGAACCAAGAGGACCCGTGGCAGAGCACGGGAACTTGGCTGTTGTCCCCTTTCTCCTGGTCTGTGAGACCCGACAGGCTTTTGGTTGGTCCAACGGAATTGGTGTCCCAGAGTTTGCAGGTGGCTCGACTCTGTCAGGCGCCGTTACCATTCTAGTGGTAAATGAGCTGCGCAGGGCACCAACGGCCCCGCGTAACATAAGCACATGGCTAGAGCCCCCGTATGGCGTTGAAGATCCCCAAAGTTGGTTTCCCGAGGCAGTGTCGCATGCCCAAACCGGCACATAATAGATGAAGAACGGTGATGTTGATGTTGAAATAGAGTTGAAAGTAAATAATTAGCTAATACAGACGGCTCGCCTGTATTTGGAGCTTGTGGTCAAGCCGCGCCGCGCCGCCCAGGTGCCGTATCAAGCGAGTATTCGAAGGCACGGACATTGAGCTTACCTCTTGACACTAAGCGAAGGGTTGCCAAGACAGCCTTTAAAGGTAAAATGAAGAGGTGAAATGCTTTGAGCAGGCCGGTAAGCGGCAAAGCTTTGGCACGTCATGTGTCGCCGCCGTCAACCATCTTCGGATGGTCCGTCCGTCTCTTCTGGTGTGACGACGGAGAAGAGAAAATAGCAGTGGAGATGAGGTGAAGTGAGCTGTCAGACTGGGCTCTAGTGGCTTTAGTGGTAGGTAAAGTACGGTTATAAGTGGAGAGGTTTGCCAGGGGGAGCCCAGTGCAATGTCAACGTCTTTTGGGGGTTTCTGGGTTCCAACCCTGGTCACTAGTGGATGGAGAGTGGCTTTTATTACCTACCACAGTTGGTATTAGTGACGGAACAGGACGTGCTGGTCATCGCAGCGGAGAAAATGAACCTCGGCTTGAAGGCCAGGGAAGCGAGCCATCGACTAGACTGCGAATCACAGCAATCGTCCAATCCCAAGACTAACGGGGCTGATGGAGAAACGGTAAGAGCGAAGTGTGAGATTCAGTTGGCAGAAGGGCGCGAGGATCCGCTTCAACGCTCCCTGCGCAATATCACAAGCAGTATCGACTGGAGGGAACATTGCCCGCACTCACCGTGTCGCCCTTGCCGCTGGCGCCCAGGGGTTATTGTCAAGACGGCAGCCGAGTCAGCAGGTGGACTGATGCCTGTTTGGTGTCCGCCGAATTCCGCGTAAGGCTCTGTGGGCCCCTAACAAGTATTCGTTTCCATCATAGTAGAAAGAGCTGAAATCCATGTACGTAGTAAACGTTATCTCGGCATCGGCAGCAACACTTGGAAAAGTTGCCAAGCAAACAAAGTGTAGTGAGAAGCCAAGGGTGTAGCTAGCTAATGTAACCCCCTCCTTCTTGCCAACGTCCCCTGTCGGACTGACGCTGACAAGTTGCTTGTCCCAGAAGTATGGTAGTGTATCTTCTCCAGGGTTGTCGCTCCTTGCAGGCGGAACAGCGGAAGTTGACCAGAGAGGTCGAGATGTGCATTTACTTCTCCACGGCGCACTCTCAGCAGCTCGATGCTACGAACCGATGTGCTGCATCCTCTCGGGGACTACACGGTGCTCCCACATATAAAGCTCAAGGAACAGGTCGTCTGTTCTTAGAAGGGACATGGCCATGCATTCGTTCGCCGTGGCCAGATAGGGACTGCGCTGCCGCCAAGGGCCACGCTGATCCACTGTCGTGTTGCTCGAGTAAAATTGAGTGCATGGCTTCCCCCCCGCCCCCCCGACCTTCTAATAACGCTGTTTTGGAGTTGAAGAAGAAACTATTTGGCCTGAATCCCAGGCATCGACGTGTCAGCGATAGGTTTTCGTTTGATGGTAGTGTCCCGCCAATGTGCCCGTTGACCTGCCTTAAGCGGACGGTAGCTTAAGCCAGAAAATGCCGCCGTCGTCGAAGCGAGCGACGCGCAATGTAATTGCTGCGCTCGTCTTGGCTGAGTAAGTAACTCCATTGAAAAAAGCAACATCAGATGCTTATCGACATATTTGCTTTTTCTTTTTCTTTTGCTTTGCTGGCCGCAGGTAACGGAGAACCCGTATTTTTGCGCTAAGCCATTGAGTTTTCCCACTAACCACATTGCTTCAGACATGCTTCTAGCTCTGAGCGAATGCCAGAAAAGCAGATTGGCTCGTTGGGGGTGATCAGGTCCACGGCCATATAGAGGCTGGATTGTCTTGGGAATGCATAGATACACTGCAAGGCCGCCTCTAGCGTGGTGGAGTCCGACATTCTTCCAGGCCGGCAGTTTTGGATCGATAGGATGTGACGATATCTTGCTTTTGCGCTATTGCTCGAGACGAGCCGGTGCAATATGTGACAAGAGTCGAATGCGAGCTTTACAGGTGGACCACACCATCGCCGAAAGTGACGTGGTTGAGAGTAATTGACACACCCAGAGTCACAGGTTGAACTTGCCTTTGCGACCCCCCCGCCTTCGTTCCTGCGGGCGACCTTTCTAGTTAGGCAAGGCCTAAAAGCATCCGGCTCTCTATAGTACATTTGTGTGCGCGTTAGGCTGTCGTGAAACCTGGATGCAGCTAGGCGCATCGAAGAACGAAATGCGTCGATGGTACATGAAAAATGGTACTAAGCCAATGAGAAGCGGATGTTGAAGGGAAATCGCGAAACGGGAACCTCCTCAGATAAAACTGTGTGACATACCATTCGGGCGGTGGCTCAAATCGAGCCTGGGTCAGTATCTAGGTGAGCAGACCACGAACGAGAACGAGTGGTCAAATGGCTGAAGAGGCTGTTCAAGCTGAGCCGACTGTCTCCATTATTGGACGGCAGGCCTCTGATGCTTTTGCTAGTGGCTGGATCACTAGCAAGACGGACTTTGCTAGGAACGGCCCCTGTTTGGATTGTTTTTGCCCTGTACTTTTCTTTTTCGGTTTGGTGTAATTGATCATATTTGATCAAAACATAGTATGTGTCGCCAGTGTGTTTATTCACCAGTAGGTCGTCAGTAGGTCGGTTGTAATTAACTAGAGAGTGAATTACCATTGATCGGCAGTGATGGACTAGAACATTGCGCTTTTGGTGCCATTTATTGAGAGCAAGAAGCACGATACGAGGGCGGGGGGAGGCAGCCGAAGTCACGGAGGTACAGAGGCAGGGTCAGTAGGGACGGGTACTCGCTGTAGTGCCAGTACGCAGTACTGTGCCCTATGCTGGTTGGCGTAGGAAAAAATAAAATAATAATAATAATTGTATGGTCCAATCACTCACTGGCGAACTATTTTACCGGAAGGAGTAGGTTTTGGGGCACCTCTCTTGCAGGGACCATGTCAGACTGGGCCCTAACAGGTGAGGAAGGAGTTCCTCAGGCAATTGCGAGCGCATCGTGCTAGCGGGTACCCGTCCGTTCCTTCTCCAGACCCTAGGTTCAATTGAAGCTGGAGACTCAGGCGTCATAGCTTCCGTCTCAGGGTCCGGGGCATAGCCGGCCGACTATCAAGGACTGGGAACTGAACGTGGACCTTGTTTTGATGGGAAGCTTGAACTGGAGCAAAAACTGGAACCTGAAAGGACACGCCTACTATGCACGCCTGTAACCGTGGGTAGTGGTAAGATGCTACAGGAGCTCCGTACCAGTCTAAACTGGGCCCTCAGACCCGATCTTGTCAATTGGACGTCAGGCAGCGGAGCAGAATGCTAAATCTAGATACTCAAGGGACCTGTGCGTAGGTCAGTGGCCGTGGCCACGCCTGTGACAGACCTGCTGTCGGAAAGATTTTTAAAAAAAAAAAAAGAAGAAGAAGAAGAAGGATCCTCTGCGCCTTGGAAAACGGGCCTGCCAATTCCTGATTCCTCCTATGGAAGGTACAAAGCAACAAACATCAAAACCCGCATGTAGGTATCCGTAGGCCAAAGTAAAGTCGTGCCATGTATCCCCAGGCGAGCAACTGAAACCGAACGCTCGGCAACAGGCATACGTCCTGGTCCCAATCTTAACCTCGACTCAATATGGGTCTATGAAGAAACTGGGAAGCTAGGTCATGGATTTTTTTTTATCGCCTTCAGCCGAAGGTTCCGATTAGGTGATCAGTGGTGCAGTGCTCAGGGCTTTCCTCCGATCATTCGGATTTTTCTGAGCTCGGTTAAGAAAGGTTGTATCCTGTAAATGGGTTTGCTGGAGACGTTGGGTATATCCCCCTCCGTCAGATGCTAGTCGTATGCTGCCATAGCACGTTCGGCTTTGGAACAACTTCATTCGTGCGATGGACGTTGAGGGTTATCGTGAATTTTGAGACACACAAGACAGCACACAACTTTCTTCACCTTTGAAGTGCGTCTCTGTATCCATGCATGATAATGGTGTCAAAGTCCGATCGTCGATGTCAGGGGCAGGCTGGCAAACCTGCCATCATTACCTCTGGCCATGAGTTGGAAAAGGCCAGAACGGCAGGGATTTCATGCTAATCCAAGCCGTCTAAGACGACGCGCAAGTGCTCACTTGATGGTTTGATTTGAACAGTATCGGTAGGAAGAGCATCTCCGGCCATGTTCACTACAAGGGAAGCGCACTGCCGTGGACCCCCACTCTCATACTATCCAGGAGATGCCCTTACCTGGCTCGCCGCGAGTTAGCTTGCCATCTCTGGTAGCAGTTTGGTTATATGCCAACGTCGATCTCGGATTGCTCCTCGTAACTTTTCGGTCCCTGACCTGACATGATTTCAACAACAGAGCAAGGGGAGGTGTGTAGCTTATCCTAGCAACATAGCAAGCTCAGTACGACACTGCTAGTCGCAAACCCCCTTCCTCAGCCAGTGGGGAAGCTGGGCGGCCGTGTCCATTCTCCACCCAGAACGTGCCCCAAGGTAACGTAGCTACGTACCGTCTGTCCACCCCAATCCCCGCCATTTTATCCGAGTTCATGATCGTCTTTAGTAGTTCCCTCCACGGTACTGTGCTTGCCGAAAGAGTACGAGTGCCTGACTGCCATCCCGTCCAACCCACCATTCATCATAACCCATCTCATCCACCATGAAAGGTCCGCATTCAATCCTAACCTAATCCTCACGGAGGGATGCCCATGCATGGATGGATGGGTTAGGGATAGGCATCACGCATATCCAATTCTAACATGAGGTACGGCAAGGGGACAAGTTGGAACGTGGTGGATGCAGCAGCTCCAACACAAGCCGTCAGTCCCGTCTTTTCCTTTCTTGATCCTGACCTAATATGCACTACTGCCACCAGAACCAGACCATACGCTTCGGGCGTGGTCAGCCGCCAGCCACCCTGGAGAGCAAGCAAACATGCCCAGTCTTGGCACCAACCGTTTCTCGCATTCCTCCGCCGACAAGCACGAAGCCGTTGAACTTCCATTCCTCTCCACAAAGATTAGAACTCGTCAGCTTGCTTTTTTTTTTTTTTTTTTTTTCCCCCCCCCTCTCAGATCGCCGACCTGGTCCAGACAGGTTGCCGGAGCCCATCCCTCGATGAATCATTGTTACTCTGCTGCATTTCACCACTGATTGGCACGGGCATCATATGGCACAGCCTGTCGTTGACCAATCATTAGTACCCGCCATTCCTTCACAAGGCCCGATGGCCCAACCGGTAGCTGTACAATTGGAGCGTCCCCCGTCGATTGGACGCCTTCAAGATGCGAGGGGACGATAGGAGAAAACGCCAAAAGGACAATCCCCGTTCGGAATCCATTCCGACCACGCCATACTTGAGTTTGATCCGCTTGCCTCTGCAGGCTTTATCCCATCTTCCGCCCCCAGACATCAACGACCGGCTTATTATTGAAGCGCAATCTGGACTTCAACTTGGTCGTTGATTACCAGCTAGCCGCTACACAGCTCTCAGCCAGCCATGTTCGGCCCTCTTTTTTTGCTTCCTTCCGTGCCCTCTTGTAAGCATCGGCATAAGGGTGAAAATGTGTACGGTGGAATGGGCACATACCCTACCTCCCACCACCTTGTGATGTGAAGGGGTGAATTGGACTGGAGGCATGTTATGCATGCACCGATGGGGCACTGGGTCCCCTCGAAATTTTTGTTTGCTCGTCAGTCTCCATACTAACTTCCGCGCCGTACCGCTTCCCGCCGCTGGTCCTGAACTGTCAAAGAAAAAAAAAAGTCGTGCCCAACGCTTACGGACTAGAACGGGCGGGGCCCCCGCCCGACTCCGTTCAAAAGCAAGGGGTAACCTAACCACTAATAACGGAGACGGTGCTGCCAACACGAAATTCCCGCAAACGAAGACTGCCAACCTGTCGGGCGCCGTGTCCAATGGCCGCTATGACGATCCCCGTTTTGTTCGATACCAGGAAATATAGGCCAGGCTGCCTGTCACCTAGGAGGCCCTAAATAGACATACTTCCACGAGGTGAACCCACCACACGCCTTGGGAATGTCCCGCTATCCGCGAGTATACCGTTTGCTTCTTTAACACTGCGGACTCCGCAATAGACGACCGGGCCAATTTGAGTCATGAATTCACTTTGCGGCCGCGCGGCGGCTAGCATCTGCCACTGTCTCTACTACCAGCTTGCCCGCAAAACCATGCCTAGTGAAACGTTTCTCCCAAGACAATACTCAACGTTGACCAAGTTATCTTGCTGACTGGACAGCCGATTAACCAAAGAGATGGCCTAGTCCGAAAGGTCTTAAGCCAGGTTTCACTCATCTTGAACTTCTCGGGGATAACGAGGGACTCCATCTCTTCAACCCACTTCTGTCTTGGTCAGACAGAAGACAATTGTGTACGTGTAAGAAATGCTTGCTTCCTTTGGTCTTTTAACGGGCAGCATCTCAACTGCTATCTGCCGGTTGTCTGCGGTGCGCCGTCTTCCCCTGCCACTGCCGGACACATGCAAATCAGAATGCCAGATAGTGGGCATGGCTGTTGCACCAGCAATGGTAAGCTACCAGGGACCCTCGCAGCCACTGTACTGTTCATGATACCCATAATACGGATATCCTAGAAGGCGTTCAGAAGGGTCTAGGCGGCTTTTTGAGACGCTCTTAACGTGCAGCACTGCGAACAAAAAGAAAGCCCTGAGGGGACAGTACGGCCTTGAAAATGATGCAATCAGCGTCCTTAGATGCAGCCAATGTCATGTAATTACGGCCCCGTATGACTGGCGAGGCTCTTGCCGACCGATGCGCCGTTCAGCCCGGCCCACCGTTGTCTCACACCAACCCCTGCTCATCGACATGGGGCATCTTCCACACCTTCATGCAGTCACACAAATTATGATTTATTTATTTTTTGCCCTTTTTACCCATGAGCGCCTTCAACACTGCAGTGAAAAGCAGCTTCGTTTAGCAAACCCAGGTAGATACCCACTCACAAAACTTCAGGACACTGCTCTCGAGGGGCTATCATAGGCACTGTCGGGCTCTTTGGACCAGTTACCCAGTAGCCTACACGACTTATTTGATTTGCTGATCAGCAGTAGGTAGTAATCATATCTTCTAAAACTGCTGGTCGATGATTGGGAAGTGGGAGGTGATGGCTGGCAAGAAGCATAATAAAAAGGATGAAGTGCAACACCCACACCACATGGCCTGAACAGAGGTTCTAGTTGTCGTCCTAGGTGCGGCATTCCTCGGCCTGTTGGCGGCGGGGGCCTAGAGACGGAGAGAGGGAGAGGGACCAGGCCAAGAGGATCGCCCGTTGCAACACTCACGCCCAGTGACAGCGCATGGTGGGCTTTTCTGCCGGAAAGACGACGAGAGACCCTCCTTTTGACCAGTCTCTGGCTCTTTTGGGCCTGGTACAGCCCATGTATGTGCAAAGATGCGTACAGTATTCGTTGGTACTGTACATGGCCTACCTTGTTCACAGTAGCGCAAACACCACAGGAGAGCCTGTGGTATGGGTGTCCTCACCTGCAGGCCACACTTTGGGACGCCGAGCTGCGGCATTGGATTGTGGTGTATGGGACTATCGAGCACCCTCTCCCTCCTGGCTGGCACCTGCCACACCTTATCAGGATGGTTGACCAGGGAGGGGTCCAAATGTAATCGTTTCCCCTGGCAGTGCTTCATAAGTACCTTGACTACAGTCCACCACACGCAAAAGCTTCCTTGAGAAGCCTTTTTTCCCCTTCTCCACTGTCGTCAGTCCCACGTCGGAAGACTATTGCTCTGCTTCAGGCTTGTGTCCGTTCATTCTCTCTCGGTCAGGCTAACTTGGCTCTTCGTTCGGCCCTTTCGCAAACATTGGTACTACTACTCACCAGTGCCAGCTTTTCCACAGCAGAAGTCTGAAGGAGGGTAGAAAGCTCGCTTTGACTGAACTGGGGTGCTTCCTTGTCCGACTTCCTCCCGCATCGCTTGATCTTACTACTGCGACTGCGGGTGCCGGTCTCGCTGCCCCTCAAGCTCAAGTCATCTGGGGCTTCGCTATCCACCCCTCGCTTCCGGACACTGCTTCTCTCCCGCCTTCCCCAGTCGTCTACTATTGCATGCCGCAGCAACAATCGAAATATACTAGAAAGCCCTAAGTCAGATCACTAAGAAAGTATCGGGTCTGTCTACAAGCTCAACTTACCTCCGCCTCGTAGGTTCCTCCTCCCTTCAAGCTCCACACCAGCCCCGGGAGCCTTGACCTCATCAAGGGCCTTCACCCTCCAACCAGTGGTTATTGGCTCTTTTTTTCTTTCTCTGCTTTCCTGCCGAAGACTGCCGTATTCGTTTTTTACGTCTCGTCTTTGGTTGAGGACGCAAACGCGTACCGCTACCAGTCGGCCAATCCTTCTCACTTATCAACATCTCTCTCCTGGTCTACCACATCTTCCCCGAGACATTGCGTGGAGAGTTGCGCTAAGACAAACCGCGAACCAGTGGAGAGGCTCTCCCCCCGATGTCTCAAGTCATCTTGGAAACAAAGAGGACTTTGGGGTCCTTCCTGGTGTTCCGTTCCGCGAGCTGATAGATCTGTTTGAATCGCCCGAACTCGCATTCTCCGCCAACTTCCTCCCCAAACATCAGCACTGTCCTTGACAAGTTACAACCCGCCCTCTTTGTCGTGGTGGTTTCTGTCACCCGGCCCGCCAATTTCGTATCTTCAGCCACGGCACAGTACCTCGCCTTACTTTGCCTTGGGTTCTGCGTTTGATAGCTACCCGCCCACCGATCCCCGAAGATTTCAAGCAGGAATCCGCTGTGTCTCCTGACCCCGGCATCATCTCAACATACAACGGCAGGCCTGTGCAGGCCTAAACCAGTCTAGTATTCTGTGGCTCGACTCTGCAATATCTAGCCACCGTCCGCCATACAAACATCGGAACGAGTCTTGTTTTCTGCTGCATCTACCCTCACGCATACGGTCTGACACACCACTCTCAAGTCTGAACGACCTACATCTTGCATTAGGTTGCAACACTCTCCGAACCACCTCTCTTTCTCGTATACTGAGCTCGAGCATTGCTCAACTGCGTTGATATCTGACCTTCGTGCTCTACCTTTATCCTTGCGCTTCTGGCCCACCATAACAGTCCACCAGAAGCTTTGCCTCTGACAAGGTCGACGTAAGATATTTGCTTGCTGTTCCATGCAAGTCAACGCCGTCTAATTCCTGAATAGTTACACATCGTATTCGTTTTTCCCCTACTCCTCGATTCTGCCGAGTTACACATCCCGCCGCAGTCACTTCTGACAGTTTCTTAAGACTCGCCCATACGGCACCTCGAACTTGTCAGCTGGAGTATCTGAATGCTAGGGACTTACCAGTTCCATTGACAGCTGCGCCATTTGTGCCACAGCAATGGTCCGCGACTTCCCACGGGAACCATTCCCCCGGCAATGGCACCCAGAGAGGTATCCTGCTGACCCTCCGCCACCTGAGGATGGCCGTTATCATGAAGCTCATGATACCCGGAGGCCACCGATTGTAGGTTAATGATAAAGAAGTAAGGAGCCACACGATTCTGACATTATTGAAGGACATCGGAAAGGCATTGAGGGATCATTGCAACATTCCAGCCAGACATTACTTTGTTGCGGCGATTCTAGATGACGGCAGTGCACAAATGTTTGGAAACACGCTTTCTGGACCAGGAGGAAGGCAGCAGCCCAATGCTTTCAGCAAATTCTTCAACATGAAGACATTTGTTCGGCATGTCAGAGGCGCAGATGCTGGTAATGATGCTTCTTATTCCGTGCTGGTGAATCAAAATTTGACTGACTAGCTATGCAGTCCCAAGCCCTCTTCATGACGACTCCGAATTCAGTTTCGACGGCGATGGCTACCATCAAGCATTTGGTAGTGGCTACGGACACCGATCACAGGACCGCCGCCGACAAGTCGCAAACATGTTCGACGAAGAGAGCAATTATAAGGCTCGCAAGAGGCATCGAGGCGGTCTAGGAGGATCGTATCGAAGACAGGTGGATGATGACGATGACGTGATTGTGTCTGTGGCGAATACCAAGAAGGGCCTCAGAGTTGGCAATGATCAGGAAGTGTGGGATTTTTACGAACAACGGTTCAAGAACTGCCAACAAACGGCCTGCAAACTCATCGCCAAAGCTTGGGTTAAAGTTGTCGAGCCGAAGAAACAAACCAATCACCCTTACACAGGCCAGGATGAAAAGGCACCAGATTGGTGGCCTAAGCCGTGGGGCCCTACGAAGGAAGAGAAAGTTCGCCACAAGGAACCTGACCATCTCTACAAGAGAGGTAAGTGCTCTCTATGCCAACCCAAGTATTTTTACATACGCTTATTCTCTATTCAGAGAGAGTGCATCTCCTATGCCATATCCTGCGCATGATTGTGGAGCCCCCTGAGAAGCAGCATCCGGCCATTCTGAAGATGAACCTGAATGTACAGAAGCTGGAGGATGCCACAACAGAAGCGATGTCGGCGTTCTTTTCTGACAAGGAGAACAAGGCAAATGCCAAGAAAAAGCCATATTTGGATGAGATCTTCAAAGTTGCCAAGGGCGAAGAAAGATACAAGAGGGGCGAGATCGGTAAGTACCACTGTCGATTGAAATGAGCTCTTCAGCTGACGGTCGGTAGATGGTGATGCAACTATCATGGTCATGTCAGAAGACAAATTTCCCGAGAGCTATCCCTCCGATAACGAAGACAATGGTTTCGTGAAAGAAGAGGATGATCACCACCCTTCCATCACGTCAAGTGCATCGCCGTCAAAGACGGGGCCACCACACGACCTCTTGCACACTTCAAGCAGCGATCACAGTCCAACCGGAACTCTGCAAAGCGGCGCGTACATGAACGAAATGCCGTTACGTAACCAGCAGTATTCGGCCCAAATGATGCCTTCAAGCATTCACACCGAGCATCACTTTGTAGAGGGCAACAATATTCATCCGCCATCAGGTATGCCGCTCCAAGACTTGGTACCGCCATCTCACGACCCGCATCGCCGTCCATCGATCTATGCATCTGCAACAGAATATCCAAACGCCGCCTCTGGGATGTACACCCAGCCTTGGCAAGGAGGTTCGACTGCTCCAAACGGGGCCTCTGTCTATTCCTTCACACCACAACAGTCCGGCCCCGCACAAGGGCATTTTGGTAACCCTAGTGTACCGTTGGCCCAAAACCAGTACATACCTACGCCTTACGATAATATTTCGCGAGGTGGATTCGATCAAGGAAGCATGTTTAGGCCTGTAGGCGCCACCCAGACGCCCGTTCAAAATGCTCAAGGGTTCTCAGGCTATCTTCCCACCGACACCCGAGGCTTGCCTGGTTCAGGCGGAAAACCAGATGCACTCGCCCGGGGTCAGATTCACTGACCGAAGGCTTTACTGCACGCACACACGTTTGAGTGAGGTATAATGGACAGCACGGCTTGAAGTTGGTAACAACCAAAGTTGATGAGTCAGAAAAGTTTGTCAAAACCCGTGGCAATACATGCGGGGGGCCTACGTTCTCGTCTTACCTGTCATACGATTGTCGAAATCATTCCTCGAGAAACTTGGAGCCTCATGCCTTTTCCTCATTCGACAGTTCGACAGAAACGGCGCTACTGTGTTGTACATACAATCCATGGCTCTTCGAATACTGCCACAATTACTATCGAAATATCAGAACGAAAAGATATGGCGTGGACGGTGTCTGTTTGGTCGACTTTTTTTTACGACCCAAATTTCTATTACGAGTGGCATGTCTGTTATTTTTAATCTCATTCGCGGCTCTTGAAAAGTTATATCACAGCATCCCTGGGCACGGCAGCAGGCTCAGGACAAACAAATCTAGGAGCAATCGGAGGGTAGGCTTTTGTTCTTGATGAGCAACATCTCGATATTGATTCTTTTCCTAGTCTCATTTTCTTGTCACGCCAGTTTTCCGTCTAGCTGGAGTCTGTTTTTAAGGAAGGTTGAGGAGGCAGGGCTCTTCACTCGATGTGCAGGTGGCTTCTCTGTGCCTAAGCATCAGCTTTTACGCTGTTACCAAACCACGCTTTTCATTAGTTTTCATGTCTTCTGTCGCCGAGCATCAGAAAACAAGTATCATCGGCTCAAGACGTAGCAGAGCGATGCGGGCAAGGCTTGAATTACTTTTCCTCGATACCGCTGGCCTTGGCCGTTTGTTTTGTTTTCTGTGGCCCCTTTAGTGTAGCGAGATCTAAAGAGACTTTGGACAGGAGGAAGGTGCGGTCAAGAAGGAAATCCCCGGTATAGCTGAGAGAGAAGTGCTAGGAGGCTATCGAACTAGCCCCCCAGCCCGCCCTCTGTTTTGGGGGCTCCGCAGAAATACATGACAAAAAAACAACAACAAATTACAGCTAGGGGATTCTCAAGGAGGTTGAGGGGACATGGCTGAGGGATTTGACACGACATGATGACGGAGTTCTTTTGTTTTCCTTTTTCTTCTGAGAGACTACTTGGTTGTCTGGAGTCCTTTGAGACTCGGCCATGACACACTCTGTTTGTAATGAATAGCCATTATAGAGTGGTAGTAATGAGAGCAGCCTGCTCAAATGATCCTGTGGTCAAAATTAGGTGTGTAACGCTTGCAACGGTTCTTTCTTTGTTACAAATGTCTCAGTTCTCAGCCTTATCGATTGTCAACGTCGGTGAGGCTCTTAACCTAACCGAGAGCTTTTCCAAGATCATGATGAGGATGTTTGCGAGTCGATGTGCAGGCTGCCAAAGTCCGAAGTCTTTCCTTCCAATCGGTAGCTTTCCAAGACCTCTGTCACCAATTGCGCTAGAAGACAGTCCCAATTCCCACTGTATTAAGGGTCTTTCCAAAAGGAGGGCAAGAAGCCCCGGTCTTGCATACATGTGACAGCCTGACAGGTAGGTACTCAAGTGACAGAGACGGGCGCTACTGCGAACAAATATACGAAAAGGTAGTGAGATCCCGGCAGCTTGGGTCCCAAAAATCTGCTGTCCAGGAGGGATTTTTTTGACTTGTCGGATGTCAGAATTCGACTCCACAAAAGCGAAAGCGAAGGAAAAGAGGGAGGGTAGGGTGTGGAATGAATGAGCTCTCTAAACCTGGGACGGGGCGAGGCACCCCCCGTAGTTCCCGTTGTTTTCTCGTCCTGGCCCAGCGCGGGGATGGGGGACGACGATAACTAGAAAAGTGGTACCCCGGTCACCGAACCCCCGCAGACCGGTGAAGAAGTGGATACCACCTCCGGCCAGTCACCGGCCTTCGTCCACCACACCTTAAATTCGTCTCGCATACTTTCCCCCCCTTGACCCCCAAATTTCTTTTTGACGACACGACACTTCATGTGAATTGATTGCCCACGCCCCTCCATCCATCCATCCATCTTTGTTTGCAAGAAAAAAGTGACCCCTTGACCTGTTCCCGTCTGACATATGACAACCTCTTTTTAACCACCCTCCATATACTTGCTTTTTTCTTGCCTGCGTTGGGTTGAACGAAGGTACCACTGGCACGGCCCGAGGGGACTTTTTGGCTCCCGCTGCAGAGTGTTGTCGGCCTCCGCCCCTGGCTTTGCATCACTTTCTCATTCTCCTACCACCCCCCCACACACATACACTCTCTGCTATCTTGTCTTCCCTTTGACAGATGATAGAGGATAAATGACAAGGTCTATTTTTATTTCCCTTGCTTATGCTCTTAGGTTAGGTAGGGTTGATGCTATGTACCAGTACTTTGATACCCTATTCTGGAAACTGCCGTGCCGATGACGGCGGGAGGAACCAGAATATTAACATGTCCTTATGTTCCGTTTCGGGAGCGGTATAAGGCTTGACTACGGATATTTCTTGTGATACTGTTTCAAACTTAATTAATTATTAAAGTCCTGCGCCGCGGCTCTTATTGTTCTCAAGCCTCCCTCCCTTTTCGGTGTGGAACCACAAAGAGTCGAGCGGCACAGCGCTTACGTGCGCAAAATACTCGACTAGAGGTGGAAGATCGATTATGCCTTGAAAACTATAACGAACAAGTTGCTGCTCCAAGGGCAAACACGTAAGGTCATTCTCTCCAGTTTCGAAAAAAGGAAAAAAAAAAAAGTGCGGCGCGCTCGTTGGGTCATTGCATCGCTGGCTGACGTCGTGTCAGACTATCTTGGGCCAGCCCGCAGCTCCCAAAAACCGGATCAGCTCACCCGGGCGGTTCATTTGTCCTACTGTGTCCGGGATGGGACTCCTTGAGGCAGAAAGGAAATGAAACATCCCATTCTCTTTCAAAAGTAGGCTCACTGAGACCGCCGATACCCTTGTTTTAGTGGCAACCGTGGCTGTTTGCGCCTTGCATATTGGGATGAACTATCGAGCAAACTGCATAGTTTAAATGCAAGCCGCGTCTCGGTGCCGGTTCAGACTCCGGAGAGCCCCCGCTGCCGGGGAGAACATTTCCAAGAATCCACTCCAATCCCACTTCCCGGCCGGCTGCGTTGCTGCAAAGTGCATGCCATGCAGTCTGTGGCGGGTATCTGCGAGTGATGTTCATCCGAGGCGTTGACGTACGTCTGTTTACATGTATCGGAAGTGTTGGAACCCGCTTCCGTGGGTAGTCTGAGTGGCTGGCTCGGGCCGGACATTCCTATACTTGGAGCATGCGAGCGGGTCGAGAGATCAAAATGGACCTTCGAGGAACATGCGGGACCTTGCGGCCGAGATGTATGCCTCTGCTGCTCGAGTTTCATCCTGATTTCTTGAGTTGGCAAACACGGCATGCAATAGGGAGTGGCTGACGTGTTCGATGTGTTGTGAATGTAGCAACCATCCAAAGGCGAACCAGGCCTTTTTTTGATTGTAGATTTGCAGTTTCTTGATGTGTGTGAGAATGTTTCTTCCACCTTCCTTAATCAGGTTGTTTGAAGACGGTTTATCAGTTTCGAACTCAGGAGAGCATCCTGAAGGTCTGCCAAGAAGCTGCGGTGATAAAGTCATTGGGCGACAAGGAAGAAGACACTGCATCAGGCAAAAAGTCGTGTTGCTTACAACAGCAAAATCGCATCATACCGAGGCAGTTCCGTTATCAAATTTCGATCTCCGCCAAAAAAAAAAAAAAGGGGGGGGGGGGGGGGGGGTTACATTCACTCTTCCAGGCCCAAGAAAATGCCAAGCCTGCGACAGCGGCCATGCTATGGGTGCCGTTGGAGCCAAGCCAGGCAAACCCAAAAGACGAGAACTCGATTAAAAGACTGATACTTAAAGGGCTGTATCACCTTAGAAGAGGGTTTATACAAACCAGAATTATAGTACGCTGCTGATTAACTTTATCGTCATTGTCTATTTAAACCGTAGTTCAGCAAACCAAAGCCACTAACCTTGTCTTAAATCAGCGAACTAATGAGGCTGGCATTGGCAGACATTAGCCTCAAGATTTGGCGATGGTCGGCGTTTATTCCACTGGTTCAACTCGCGTACAAGGACGACGATGACGGGCAAGGAGTGGGAAACAGAGCGTGCCTGTTCGGGGTTTTCCAACCTTGATGATTGCAAAAAAGGGACGTGGGCCGGAGGGTAGGAACCAGCCGTCCTAGCAAAGAGCACATCTGCTCTCACACTTTTGTTGCGGTAAGAAACGCCAGCACTAACCGAATCGAATTTATAGGCTGTTAGTATGGTATGCATGGGGTTGGAACGGAAGGAGCGGCTGCAAGTGATGTTGACTGAAGGCAAAATCTCGTAGTTCGTCTTCGCGCAGTCAAGGCTTGTCAGTCAAAATATGAGCAGTTCAGAAGTTATTTAAGACCGATGGCAGGTGGCAAGGGTAATAGGGCCAGTGGTGTGTCGTAAAGAGACGTCCGCAACCGAGAGAGTAACTGTTATCCTGCTACAACCGGAAGATTACAAAGCCCTCTCGAAGTCTTCTATCGAGCTAGGCCCAAGGTGCAAATCCAACCCAATTGGAATGCCAAACCATCATGTCCACGGCATATTCTGGTCGTTTTGACCACGGCCTCTCGGCCCAGAATAACATCATTTTCGGTAAGCACGGCCTTGAGACACGCAGTCAACCAACCATACTCAAGTTAATTTGCAAGGCTGCGCTATCTCATGGTCAAGCTTTTCTGCTCTTTTGCCCATCTCACTTTTCACCATGGTACTGAGTAACCGAAGGCAACGACAGGCATGTCAGTGTAGTACAAGCATTGCAGCATGCATAATTATAATGAGAACTAGTGTGCTACTCTGTCTTATAACATGACTGACTGGAAGCTCAGCCAGTAGCGAAAGCTTTAAGACGCCGAAGTCGGGCAGACACAATGTCCAGCCACATGCATAACTGCATAATGAAATGCGAACCCGATTCCTACAATAATACCACAAAAACTTTCAACGCTGATACTAATCCACACACGTAAAACTAAGATAGAATGAGGCCAGTAAGCAGAGATTCATTATAGACTATCGTCTGTGGGGGCCAGGTGGACCGAGCTTTATAATCTGAGTAAAACAACAAGAAAAGCAGCCCAGGGCTGCTAAGGGGTATAAGATGAATGGAAGAAAGAAGACTCCTCCGGATGAAGTCGAGGAGAGGTTGGGACTAGATTGTTCGCCATTGTCGTCCCATTCTCCGACGTGTCCTCGCAACCAAAGTTGGCAGTCCGCTCAGGAGCCAGAGGCTGTAAAGGCATGGTGTATGGGGCTGAGCATGGATACTGCGGTATATGCTGATGACCGTTTACATGTCTCAGGGGGATGCCTTCAGACATCGATTGATGAACCTGATGGCTGCTGAAGGGGTTGCCAGGAAGGCCGTCGGGAATCGCAGATAAGCCACTACTAGCTTCAGGGCGAGATTTTTGACTTCCAGAAGAGACCTTCTAAGTCGTGGCAGCTGGTTCCTCCTTGTTCGCCTGAGGATACGAGAGGCCGGCATTCTGGGCAACCCGTTTCCATGTCTCAAGTTCCTTGTAAAGTCGTTCGCACTCTTGCTTAAGCTTGTCATTCGAGGCACTGAGCTCTGCTATAGCCTGCTCCGTAAGCAGCTTTTCAAGAGTCCACTTTTCGATGTTCTGCGTCTCGTTCTCTTTGAGCTGGTTGATGAAGGTAACGGCACGCTGAAGGATGGATCCTTTGTTTTTCTCACAGTTGGGTACAATCTTGGCCAGCTCATTAATGCCCTCATTGATGGTCTCACGACGACGACGCTCCACTGTGCAGATGTTAGTACGCGGTAGCAGTTAACTGTTCACATTTACTTACCCTCCTTGTGGTTGTCCTTACGCATCTTGTGCCACTCCTCTGAGCCAACATCTGGCTTCTTAGTCGGGGCGCCGACCGATCCAGTGGAGTAACGGTGCTGAGGCTGTTGGGGTTGGGGAGGCTGGTGCGCCTGGTGAGGTTGCTGAGGCGGGACACCTTGAACACCATTGGTGGGCTGAGGGACAGTTGGCAGGGAAGACATGAGTCCGTCGGGAGGCGATACATCGGCGTGGCCAAAGGTATGGTCCTGGTGAGTCGGCTCATTGCTGGTCTGCGCAGCGAACTGTTCTTCTGTCGAGGGAGGAACATGAAGAGTGGGATACATTCCGAGGGCAGCAGCGGCAGTGCTAGAAGCGTTGGCCGGGTCAGCGGCCTCAGAGTGCTCTGCTGCAGCTGCCTGCTGAAGAGCGCTGAAGTCGGCAACATTTACACCGTTGGCAGCTGCAGCATTAGCAGCTTCGATAGCATTTTCGATGAAAGCAGTGGTATCTGTGTCAGGTCCGGCACTGGTACGCTTGGCACGACCGGGACTTGTGGATTCCGACATGTCGCGCTTGCGTTTCTGACCAGGAGAAGGCGACTGAGCCAGCTCAGAGAGGTCTGGATGGTCGCCGATGACGTCGGCCATAATGGTTGTGGTTGGAGAGCGAATGGGAGATTTGGTTTTGATAAGGTGAAACAGCTTTTGAGAACAGCTCACGATTGAGATGTTGCCTCAACACTCAGCAGAGCGAACCAAGCTGTGGTGAGAGTAGAACTGAAGGGACTGTTAGTATTGAACGGCAGTGACTGATTAACAACGGCAATAAAAGAAGAGGCAGCGGCGAGGGTATTGATGCAAAGTGAGCAGAGGCGCTGCACCAAGGGTAGGTAGTCCAAAATCACGATGACTTCAAAGCCCAAGAAGCGATTGCGTGTTTCAGGTGCGGAAACGTAAGAGCGCTTGCCCTTCGAGTCAAAAATAATCCCAACATGTTTCTCAGGTCCAGGTAATCAGAGGTAAACGTGTCGCTGTTGAGTAAGTGGGCGGAGGACGTGATAGCAGGAAATTTGCGCAGACTTCAGTCATTCTGACTGAGGATCCATTCACGGAAAAGGTGACGAAGATTTGTCGTTGTTTTCTGGAGACAAGTGCATCCTTCTTGACAATAACTGAATAATTTTGCGTTTGATTTCAATATACGCGGCGACATCGTCACCAATCACTTGATTGTAGTTGCGGAGCAAGTCGTGGAACATATTGAGTTGAGTTGGCGGTTCAAGGAAATGGCGCAAATAAAAAGCGACAATAAACCATCAGAAAACCTTGCCTCTGCGGTCGCATTGCAGTGTGATGTGATAGAAACGATAGGGCAGATTAAATGATCGCCAGGAAAAAATGGGACAGCTCGCATACCTCTAGATCATGTGGTTTGCGGTCTGGCCTGGGCGGTGAGAGAGCTCCAGATCACGGGTTTTGCTGGAGTTCACGTGTTGGAGGCGTGATCAAACTCGTGATATCGCGCCGCGGTAGCTGGGGGGTCGTCCCGATGGGGCCGGTTGTAAGTGTCGAGATTCGAGAAGAAATAATCCCGAGGAGCGGAAATTTATTCACAATGGCGATTCCTGAAAAAAAAAAGCCCAGGAAGTCTGAAATTCTGCAGACTTGCCTCTATCTTTTTAATCCTGAGAAAAGACCGGTTGGAGGGTGGTTGAGACGGGCTTGTTCGATTGGGGGGGAGGGAAGCAGCAGCGACGGCGGCGGGAAGCTCTGGTCACGCGGCGAAGGAAGAGGGTGAACACGTGCAAAGTGGGTGAGGCTGGAGATAAATACGCTCGAGGGTGAGGGAGGATGTAAGCCTGAGGCAAAAGTTCTGATTGGGCCAATGAGAAGCCAGAGAGCCACACCCCCCAGTCGTTCGGCTGGCTTGTGGGTGCCTCATAGTTCTTTCCCCGACAGCCCCGATCCAATCCCAGTTCTTCAGAGGAGCACACGCTGCAACAGCGCCCTTAGGCTAGGAGGATGCTTGTCCTTTCTTATCGATTGCTTTGCTTATCATAGTATTTTACTGATAGTAAGATACCCATCTACACAAATGCCTATTACAGATGTAGACAAGCTACAGTGGGATAGAACAGGGGTAGCTTCAGTGTGCCCATCCATCAACCCGCGCGTCGTGGAAATGCCGAGCCTCGCCAGTCACCTGATGCTCCCATGGGCTGCCAGCTTGAATCACTTGACTGATGGGCTGTGAGACATTCCACTTTTGCTACGTAGTAGAATGAGCACATCCTATGCGCCGGCTCTCTCTGTGGTTGTCTTGACCGTTGCTAGTTGTGGTTCGCGACCTGCATTTCCCAGCCTCACATCACAACACAAGTGATTTGGAGTGGGGTTTGCGGCATCCTGGCCTAGCTTCAGGGATCACGTCTCCTTATGTAAGCCGAGAAGAACCACAAATGTGGTCTGTGCGTTTGGATAGCTTGTCACTGTGCGGGTCGAGGATGAAGTATCGAGATGTGAAGCACGAGAGCAGGATGATTGGTGTCCGTGGTATCAGTATTGCTTGGAATGGCGCCTTACTGTTGTAAGTTGTTATTGCGAACATACCCCGTAGCAGGATAAGTTCAATTTGAGAAAGTCAGGGCAAGTCCCCCCCTTACTTTTGAGAGACCTCGGAGCCACTCCGGCCCCGCAACATCGGCCCGGATAACGTCAACGCATATCAGTGCACCTGTGCTTCAACCTCTCAACTCCCAAATCTTCCACCCAAGCCACATCAACACCGCCAACATACTACATCCCTCTTGCGAGGGGGCCTAATAGTGAATCTGTAAACGATACCCCTTTCCCTGTTGACTGAGGACAGCCATCCTAAGCCGTCAAGATGGCCGACCATGAACACGCAACAATCAAGCACCAGGACCATCTTCTCCTCGTATGTTCTTGATCTAAGCTACCTCCCGTCGCGAGTGCATCTGACCTCATTGACTAGGATCAACCCCTCCTCCGTCTTCCTTACGAACTACTTCGCAAGAATTTTCGCTCCGCCCACTTCACAGTCGAAAAGGAATCAACGGCAATCAAATCGCTTCTGAAAGAAACCGCCACGGCCTCTGTCAACGGCCGCGCCTCTCCCGATGACGTCCTAAAAAACCTTGATACGATGATTGCCCGTATGCGCGGTGTCAAACGCAAGCTCACTGCCCATGCGGATGAGGAGGCTCGCCTCACCCGTCAGGCCGGCGCCCGCATTTCCCACCTTGGCGATCTATACGGCATGCACTCTGTCGACGACGTCAAATATGAGGCATGGAGCCGTGCCAGACTAGACAGGCTACTCGTTGATTACCTCCTGCGGCACGGATACAACGAATCAGCTAAAGCATTAACGGCTGAGCGCGGGATGGATGACCTCGTCGACGTCGAGACTTTCGTGCAGATGAGTCGGATCCAGGAGGCGCTGAGAGGTGGAAGCGTCGCTGAGGCGTTGGCTTGGTGCCAGGATAACAAGAAGGAATTGAGGAAGATGGATGTATGTATACTCCTCCCCCAAGTTCTTTCCCGTCTCTCTTGTATCAAATTGTGACTGACAAACCAACCTCCAGAGCAACCTCGAATTTATGCTTCGCTTCCAACAATACATCGAGCTCGTTCGCACCCAATCCCAGCCCAAACTCCTCGAAGCCATAGCACACGCGAAGAAGTATCTTGTCCCTTTCAAAGCAACCTACCCTGATGAGCTCCGCAAAGCTTTCGGACTCCTCGCCTACCCTCCCAACGCCGCCAACGCCGCCTACTCAGATCTTTACAGTCAACAACGGTGGAACAACCTTGCTGATCTCTTTACTCGCACCCACAACTCCCTCCTCTCCCTCCCTTCCTTCCCACTCCTCCATATCGCCCTATCTTCGGGATTGTCCGCACTGAAAACACCGGCTTGCCACTCCGCAAACTCGTCTCACGTCGCCCCCTCGGACGCCAACACCGCAACGAACGTATCCGCGACGGCAGGTACGCAGTCTGTCTGCCCCATCTGCTCCACGGAACTGAACGACCTCGCCCGGAATGTTCCCTACGCACACCACACCAAAAGTTACGTCGAGCACGATTTGCTGCTACTGCCCAATAGCCGCGCATATGGCAAGGAGCGCCTCGAGGACCATGCCAAGAAGTCGGGACTGCCACCAGACCAGGTTAAGGACCTGCGGACTGGGGAGGTGTATTCCATGGACAAGCTCAAGAAAGTTTTCATTACATGATTATACACAGTCTCTATCTACGATAAATAAGCGGGGTTTCTGGTTTTGAATGTATTACTCCATTCTCTACTTCTAGAGCATTGCCTTGTCTGGCCCCATCAGTCTTTATGGGATCACTTCAGGACGCAGTCATATTTAAGCTACTTGGAGTTTAGGCGCATTGTTATTTTGAATCGCGGGATGAAGAGGATGGTCTCTTCCACCTCAAAGATATACAAATGTATCAGACACAAACAAGACCAGACACCCAGAATACTACTTTATGAACGAACAAGCGAGAGAGAGGGGGACAAAAATGAAACATCAATCTTGCAGAACTCATTAACCGGAGGACAGGTTACACGTCTAAGTCACAGGTGCCAGGAGCAGCAGAGTAAACAACTAAACTCGCGTTTGAATTGCAGTCGTTCCCCCAACCCCACCTTTGATCCAGGTATTCACAGTACAGTACATGATTAAAGAGAAGTTTCATACGCTCGTCCTCTCTTTGCTCTCTCCGCTCTCTCCGCTCTCTCCGCTCTCTCTCTCGCTCCTTCTCCCGCTGCCCTTCTTCTTTTCTCATAGTTGATAAAGAACTTTCCCTAGGCGCTCCCCACCCGTCCCCGCTCAATAGGGTTTCTTAACGACTTGGTTGATGCATATAGAACTTTCCTGTCAATCAAAAGTCGACGACAATAAATGTGTTTTCCCCTGTCTTACACCTTTCCATGACTTAAAGAGGATAAACCGACCTGCCTCCCCTTCCCAACCATGCCGTTTCCCCGCCCCGCCTGTTGCTCGTTTCCCTTACGTGAATCATGAAACCAGGACCTTCCCGAATCCCAACTCCATGTAAATCCGCGTGCAAAAGTCGAGCCAAAAAACGAAACGAATAACTTGAAGAAAGCCCCCGAATTCAAAAGAAGAATCCGGTCTAACCCCCGACTTGGTTTCCTTCAGCGAGTTTTGAGACTTTGTGTTTTTCATCGTCAAAAGGGGCGGCGGTAGGAAACACCTCACGCATGTTGGATAAGAAGAGAGGAAGCAAAACCAGACCCAGCGCTTGATGTGTCACTCCTGAGAAACAAGTCACCATGGCCAGTCCAGAGGCACAAGACAAACGCTAATAGCTTAAAAAATAAAGCTGCCCGTAGAAACCCAATATGGCAAGGGATGAGCGCGCGTTGGAAGTTTATCTACTGCCGGCAAAGGCAAAGTTACCGAACACGCCGCCGCCTCCGCCGGGCGTCATTGGCCCCATGGAAAGGCCGTTGGTGTTGTGCGACTGTGCGGCGGGTGTGCTCACAAGACCGACGCTGTTGGTATTGGGCGTGCTTGGCCCCCCATTCTGCTGGCCGTTGGGTCCCTGGCCCTGCGACTGGTCCTGGTTGCCAGCATTATTTCCGAACGGCAGCCGTTCGAGGATTAGAAGATCCGGGATACCAAGACCCCAGACCTTACCGACATGCTCCTCGGGGATTTCTCCGTTGAAGATTTTATCTCGCATTTGGAAGAAAACCTTGCCCGTGAGCAGGGAGTCGGAACCAGCCTGGTGCGCGTTGCCCACGCGCTTGATCTTGAGGGAGTCGGCAATGTTCTCGAGGCCAGACTTGTGCTCAAATTTTTGCAGGATGTCGGCGCTGCTGGGATCGCTCGGTGTGAGCAATCCTGAGTTGTGGAGCCGGATCGCATGCTTCATGAGGTGCTTAACATCATAAGCTGATGGGAAGTACAACTTCATGACTTGATCGAAGTCTGCTTCGTCGTTAGGAAGATCGTTACAGGTAAGTAGCTTGGTGAGGTAGCCAAAGTCGTAGCCGCCGTGGAACGAGATCCATTTTACGTTGTCAAAGCATACGAGGCCGGACGGGATGAGTAGGGAAGCGAACTCGTGCGGGTCAATGCCGTCCCTCTCGAGAAGGGCAAAGTCGATTCCCGCACTTGATAATGATTCGATCGATTTCTCGTTGTACATATCGTCCTTGACGGAGAACTTGAAGTTGAACTGCCAGGCATATGGGAAGGGGCCTTGTGATGCGGCCCTCTTGCCAGCGGCGCCTAGTTCGATATCCTGGGTCGAATTTGGTCGCGCGGGAGGGGTTTCACCGTCTTCGTTAAATAGGGTCAGTCCAATCTGGATAACCTTGAGCATATCAACGTTTGTGCGCAGGCACTGGTAATGGTAATCGCTCTTTCCTCTAAAGGAGCCCATTGGCCGTGATACCACGCCTGGGAATTCAGTATCCTGCGGTTTCGCGTCGTCAGTCTTGGGTTCCTTGGTCCCGGGGATGCTTGCAGATCAGCTAACCATAGCAATGTACGGGTACTTGTCGACGAGCTCCCTCAACACGGCCATCTCCTCATGGAGATTGTGCTTCCAGACCTCCCGTATCCTCCCCTTGTTCTGCGTTGTCCGCGTCGGCGCACCACCGTGATCGAGCGCAAAGTTATGCTGCGGCTGACCGTGCGGCTGCTGTTGCAGGTTCGCCGCGTGGAAGCTCATCCGCGCGGCATGGCTGCTGAGGCTATTGTCGGCGCCGAGGGGGAAGCCGCCGTTTAAACCCGGGGTGCCGGCGAGGACATTACCATTCGTGGAGAAAGGACTGATCTGGGCGTTGGCGTTGAGGTAGGAGGGGTTCCCGCCAAGGGGAGGCCCATGGTTCGCGCCGTGGCCCTGGGCGGCGTGCGAGGGGAACTGCTGGTGGTAGGGCGATATGGTGTTGGGCCCGCCAGGGAACCTAGGAAGCGGTGGCGGCATACCAAATTATGCCTTCCCAGGAAGGGATATCGTCGGTGGTGCGTGTTGTGTTACTAAGTTACCGTGACGTCGAACGCGGTTTCGTCGGTTTCTGAGGGGTTGTGGATGATCCACGGCCCTGCATTTGCGTCTGGGGTGAATATGTACGGGGGGCTGGCAGCAGAAGAGCGCCTTTGTTCTCCGCCGCCGGTCGTCGGAACTCGATCTCACTCGGGGGGATTCGTCCAGAAAAAAATGACGTCGTCCACCTGTCGCTATCTTCGCGTCGATTGATTATCGTTTCGCTCGTTCTGGGTCGTGCTGTGAAGTGGCGCTGGCAAAGAACGTCTGGTTAATCTCGGTTTTAGGACAGAATGTGTGAATGAGGCCTGAAGGCTTGCTACGTTGACCGAACCGTGGACGACGAGGGGTGGTCTGTGCGGGGCCCCAAGCCGGACAGGTACGTACCGCGGGACTTTCCGACGACAACATCTCAGAGATCTCCAATCAGCTTCCTTCCAACTCGACTGACCACCAACCCGAAGCGTCCATTGTTGTACGGCAAGACGACATTAACAGAGCAATCATGCAGCCAACGAGGTAAGACCCTTATAGAACAGTCAATTGACTCGGCAGACTCGAGAGGAGATGGCTGATGACCACGTGCGACGACAGGTTAGCTATGGCATCCCACGGCCCTAAGCCCAATGTCACCGGCTTCGACATGAGGGCCTTCAAGGAGGCCGCTGGCCAGCCCAGATACGACCCCTGGGAGAGAGCGTTAGTCCCATTGATTCCCTAATCCGCTTGCTGGCGGTGCCGTGATATCCCGCTGACGGTCGAGCTGCAGAGAGTCCTGGAGATACAAGGGCCCCTTCACGAGGTTCAACCGATTCAAGGGATCCTTCCCCGGCCTGGGCATTGCCACTGTTGCTTTCGCCGGCTACTGCGCTTACGAGTACTTCTTCCTGGCCGACGACCACCACCACGGCGACAGCCACGGCAAGGACCACCACTAGAGGAACCGTTTGGGAAGGGAAGGAAGACGGAGAGTTGCTCCGCTGTACATTTACCTCTCGAGTCGGCAGACCGACTCGCAGGATGGGTCTAGACGAAGACGAAATTGTATTCCCGCGATCAAGAATATTTCAATACCTGTGATGAGCCCGAAGGCGGCAGCGTTGTTGCGTTCCAAAAAGCGGATGTGAAGACTTCGTTCAGAGGCTTTCTTGTTGGTAAACTCCCAAGTCCGGTGAACACTTCGGCTCCCTTTTCAAATTCCTGACTATGGGGATAATATACAAGAGTGAATGCTGCCGTATGATCAGAGTCTAGGCGTCACTCGTTCCCGACTCGTGCGGGAACTCTCATGAACCCCTCACAAAGTTCTTCATTTGAACGTGGCCTAGAAGCAGCAAGAGATGCCACTCATGCATTATCTCCAATATTTTCAAAGTATTTCGGGTATCTAAGACTCAATGGTCCGATGTGGCCTCTTCGAAATGCGGTCAGCCGCAGGCACAAAAGCGGCACAATCCGTAGCCAAATGCACCGCCTCAACGCCCACTGCATTGTCCAACCAACACTCCCGCCCGACCGTTCCTGCATATGTGCAAACGCACTTCGACAGGCAAAGATAGAGTTCCTAGCTGCCGTCTGCTTTGTCTCAGTCATTTTAGCCAGCTCATCACTACAATCAATCTGCGTGTTGTCTGTTGTGGCATCCAGTGCGGAAGAGGAAATGCAATGCAATGCAATGTAATGTAATCCCTTACAAATGCCAATCTTATCTTCTGTTCTTAGTAGAATATTCTGACAACGACGCGGGTTCTCCCTAGCATTGCATCTCACAAGGTAGTATCCATATATGTCTCTCCCTCCTCAAAACATGTCGTCGCACAGACGCCTGTTTTAACAATCATCCCATCGTACCTACCCTAGCCCCCTTCTGCCCAGTCTAAGCTTTCGAAATGACTGACAAGGGAGGTTCTTCTGCCAGCTTGCCATGGTGCGGTTCAAACAAATACAAGTCTTAAATCATGATGCTTCGAAACCGATCACAGTAGTAGGTGCTTGACAAGTTCTTCATTTGAAGTCTGCTCATACAGTGTAGAGGTATATGCCGTATATCGCCAAAGGTCAATAATGCCAGCTCATTGGTATCGCGTTATACATACTGTCCCAGAAGTCATCCCATATCCTGAACGCCCTTATGCCATATAATAAATACCTTCAACAGTATATATCGTAAATATGCTTCGCTCTCAGTCGAGTCTAATGCCGTTCACTGCATCCAATGCACTATCCACACACGTCTCTAACTCGGCGACACGATGCTTCAGGCCCCGGTTCTCATCCCTTAACAGACTAACAGTGTCCCAAGCAGCTCGCTCGTCCTGGCCACGGCAATTTGCGCACGATGATGAACCTCCCTGATCCTTCGGATCACCTGTCACTCCTCGCATGAGCTTTTGGAAAACACTGGTTTGCTGCTGAGGCGTCTTCGAAGCAGTTGGCCGCGACGCCTTTGGCGGCCCAAGTGTATTTGCTTTGGCTACCGACGGCGCTGGAGATAATTCGGTGATACTGCCCTCGAAGACGCTCGGGGCGGCAGTGGTAGGGCTCCGTGATCTCGAAAAGACGCTGGCGTCCTCGACACTTTCATCGTCTGTTTCGAACCCGACGCTCTTTCTCCACTTCCTCCTGGCCTGATCCTCTTCGACGCCAAGATCTTCAGATATCGATGATCCTTCGGAAATAGGACGGCCCCGTTCCCTCATTAGACGCTCCTCTTGCCTCGCCTTTTTCTCAGCAGCGAGCTCCGCCATAAGTTGCTGTATCGATTGCTCTTGCTCAGCAACCTTTGAAGCCATGTTCTCCAACTGAACCTTCAGGTGTTGAATGCGTGTGTCGGCCTCCTCACTCTCGTCTACCTGGGCGTCTTTGTCATCCCGAAGGTCTTGGAGGACGGCATTCTGTCTTTGGTAGGCACTTTGGAATTTCGTCAACAGACCAACGGCAGTGGCCTCGAGGTTCTTGAACGCAGCGGGCGAGAACGCGTCTCGTTGTGTCGGAGAGGATGGGGGAAACAGAGCTTCCTGAATATTCAAGTTGAGAAGTTCCTCGTGCTGCTTCGGGTCGACTGGTCCCTGGTTGTTCTTCGAAAATGGTGAGGTGAAGAAGGCGAATCGCGAGGTACTTGGCGAGTTTCCTTTGGGTGTTTGATCAGCCGTTGCTCTCCTGCGTAACATCGAAGGCGTTTCGTCTGTGTTGTCGTTGTTCGTTCTGGCAGCTTGAGTTGTCGGGCTGGTGCCCTCCGCACCGTTAGGGGACCCGGAACCGGTGAACCAGCCGCTCAGTATACCTCCTCGGGAGGCGTCAGCCGATTTCCTGCTTCTGTTGTCTCCGGTGAGAGCCATGTTGACCGACAGGGGACGACCACTCCCTCGATCCGTTGATGGCGAAAGCGTCACTTGCGGGATAGGCTGGTTTGAGGTGGAGGATGAGGGGAAGTTTGGAACAGATTGTTGCCTCTGATGGCCAGTCTTCAACTTTGGGAAGCTTCGGTTGGCGGTAGACGGGCTAATGCGGCATGGCTCCGGTTGGGTAGGTGGCTTGATGTTTATGGCAGCACCAGGGGTAGCGCTCGGGGGAGTTGGATCAACCTCTGGATCTATGGCCGCAGGCCCATGTGCATGGCGTAGAGTTTGTGTGCCGTCCATTCCAGAGTCCATAGTAGGGCGTGGAATAGTCGACGGGTAGTCTGGTGTGGATGCGGCGTGCCGACTTAGCATAATGCGTTAATGTTTCGAGTGGGACGGGCAATATCTTTCGCCTCCCGCTTGAGTTAGCTGACAAGCTGGGCTTGCTGGGATGGGCTTGAGCTGTACTTCGCGGGTGTGTTGGTGCTAGGAATGTGAATGGATCGACACCACTCGGGCCCAAACAATGAGCAAGGGAGGGGGGTCTCTATTTCCAACTAGGAGCACCCCGTATAGACGTGGACTGTACCGCCGACCTGCGAGGGAAGTTGAATGTGTGTGCGTGTGTGTTGGGGAGAGCCGGACGCAGAGGCTGGAGTCGATGGACAAAGGGGAAAGACACAGACTTCAGGCTAGAAGCCAGGTTCCCCTGCAAGCGAGAATAGCGGGCGGGCGGCGCACCAGGAAAGGGTGACAGGCAACGGATTGCACAACTCGCATGAACCTCTTGGGGGGCTTGAACTATCGAAGATGGACGGACCCGGTTCTTGAAGATGTGCGCAAGCCGCCGGATCAAGGAATAAAAAAAAAAGTGCTTTCTGAATGACGCCGCGGCGGTGACGGCGTCAACAGGGTCTGGCTCGCTGCGCGGGGGCCGAGCTGTCAAAGTCGCAGGAGAGTACAAAACGGCGCTTGTGGCTGATAGCTTGAAGGGCTAGATTGCGTACAACTCAAATGGTCTTGTTTATGTTGATGTCGTATCTCCTATCTTGGGAGGAGAAAAAGTGGGGGTTTGTTGTGCTGCTTTCAGTGGTCGATAGGCCAGCGTGCGGGCCGAGTCATGGAATCGTCACTTGGTAGGATTGTCCGAAGGGACCAACAAAGAGACTTGACGGAATGCGAGGCTGTAAAGCGCCGAAAAACGAAATAGCTGTAAAGAAGAAGTCGTCAACGGGATGATCCTTGCGTCAGATGCAGATGATTGTGCTCCGTTTCCCACGAGGTAGGGCTCAGACTTGCAGGCCGTTATGACGAGAATGACGAAGAGTAAAACCTTGGGATGGCCAGCGATATCCAAGGAGGTAGTTCCCTGAAGAAGAAAAAAAAAAAAAAAAAGGAAACCGACGCCGACGTGGACTTGGACGTGGACATGGCGGGCGACGTCAACGCCAACAATTGGAGGAGGTTGGGAATCGTTGCTACTTCCCCTCTGTTACCTGAGGCTGCCAGTCCCCATTCAAAGACCTCCACCGGGGGTCCAGTGGGTGGTCATGATCCTCTTTCAGGCTCATCAGTTGACCAAGTCCCCTGCACTCCAGCGCCGACGTACGTCCCTTCGCAGTCGCTGATTTCTGGAACTCCCCAGTTTGTGTCTGTCGGCCCCTGGAGGTAGAGCACTTTACTTGGTGCACGTACCATCGACCCCTGGCGCAGGGGACTTTTGGACCCTGGAAGTTGCACTGCAGTGTGGTCTGCAACGGCCACACGGTAGTCTTTGTGCCTGCCGTTCTTGTGCTTGGTAGAGTTTTGCACACCCATTCCCCAGCACACAACCCCCCCTTGGCTCTGAATGCTCCAGAACTGTGTCCGTACGGAGGAGAGGGGCTTGTGGTATGCACAGTAGGGTCAAGACAAGACATAAGGCTATTATTCATAAGAGGGATTCTGTTCAGCCGAATGTCGTCTTCGTTGGAGGCTGTTCTCTAGCTCGATTCGGATCAGCTAACTTCAGACACTGGCCGTGGTATTATTTTTATCCGCCATGTCTCGTCGACTCTTCGAGCCGCGCCGTCAGGCTTCCGCAATCCGCAGCCGAGACACAAGTGTCTCTCAGCTGCTCCCAATTCTCTTGGGCTACCAGACTCAGACATGCACACCACGTTCCTCTTGAGACTTCAGCCGTTGAATTCAGGTCGGTTGGCACGAGGTGCTGGAGGGGGTAAAATTGCCGATGTGAACTCCCTTGGCGGACCCTAGTTCATTCCAAGAAACAGGATCGAAGAAACATTGTTTTTCTGGGCTCCCATTTCGCACGGCCGAAGACCCAGAATCCCCAGCCACTTGTACTGTGAAGAAACGAAGACGCGAGCGCTCTAAGATAGTTTTGACATTTCTGCGACGATCCGTTCTTCCGACTAGTTGTGAGAAACAGATCCAAAATCGATCGTATATCTTTCATCATCGATGCCACCCGCCGTCGGCCTTACGCACGTCCCATGTCCGCAGCGGTGGTGTTTACCTTCGCACCGGGCAAAGCTTTGATCTTCTATGGCCCTTCATTAGTCGATGCGCTTCTTCCGAATTCAAGCGCACCAAGACCGCTGAGACGGTACAATGTTTGTGTGGTCCAAAGCAAGGGTCACTATCTGAACTTGGTGTCGTAGACGTTAGCCCCATCAGAATGAAGCGACTCTCTCCATTCTTGGGACCTGTGAATGAATGTAATCAAAGGTTCCATGAATTATCATCTTTTTTTAATTGCCACTTTCCAGTTTACCCTGTTGAATTATAACCGAGGGAGGGATCCGGCTTTCGCTGAGACTCAGACTTACATAACGTTTCCTACAGTCAACTCTCTTGCAGCCTGCCTTCTGCTCATACAACCAACTTTGTCCGAATTGCTGACCACAACATCCTCTCGGCTTGGGGTTTGGTATAAACACCAGGAACAGTATTATTGGCTCCGCCACCGTTACTATGCTTAGCTCGATGAGGCTGAAACGTAACGGGACAACGTGCTTTGCTTTCCTACAAACAACAGCCCATTCCTCTTTGTCCATCATACTTCTGCTCTCTTAACCATACTCCACCACGTGAAAGGCGTCAGTTGTCTAATGACCTCGTCGCGAAGTAGCGGGTCGCTCGTCGGCGGCAACTCAGCCTCATTAACCTCCAGAGAGCTCTGCTCGAGAGCCTCAAGCCCGTATTTCTCGTACAGAGGCTTTCCGTTCTCGGTGGCTTCAATGTAGACATCCAAACCCTGCTGACCGGCTCTCTCGACGCCCCAGTCCATGATGAGAGATGCTGCCCCTCGACGACGGTGTTCCGGAACTGTGAACAAGAAATTCAAATCTGGCATGCACGCGTGTTAATCACGACGGAAAGGGAATTCCATGTCGGTTTCGCTAAATGCGCTTACAGGCATGAGGTCGATTCGCATTTCTCACGGCCGTCCCCAGAAAGTCGTTCATCAACCCGCTTGCGATCCTCCTCGGTTCACCGTCGGGAAACCACAGTGCCTCGACTCGTTGCTGTCCGGTATACGGGTTCGGCTTTTCCTTCTTGTATAAACTCCACCTCCCGCCAGCAACGAGCTCCCCCGTTTCGTCGTCGACCACCTTGAGCCATGTACTTGTCGGATCGGCGCGGTGCCAAGAACGCAAACGCTCCGTAGCTTCTTGGAGCGCAGCTTCGCGTGCAGCGGGGTCGTGAGGTTTCCAGTCGCCCATGAAAAGTCGCCAAAGAGCACAGTCCGGAGTCGCGAAGCCCTCACGGAACGCCACCAAAAGAGGGACGAATTCCTCATCGTCCCTGACCTCATGCAGTGTAAGCCCCATTATCGCTGTTTGAACTGTCAGCCAATGCAAAATTAGACAAGTCTTGGCTCACACCAACAAAGATTGACCGCCCGCATCGCTATATATATTGTCTGTACTTCAGCACGAGCAATGCAGTTCAAGCGGCGTTTCACACGGACAGACCCCCTTCTGCGGGATAGAGGGCCCGGACTTAACCACAATATTACCACATCGGCGAAGGAAGAATGAGTAGGGGTTCCAACTGCCCATAGGCTAGGTATATTTTCACATCCGGTACAAAACTGTGTTTTATTACCCGGTGCGCTAAACTGAACCCTAAAACTGGCTCTTTTGGGATCGAGCCATGCCAAACCGTTGCTCAACCCATTAATGGTATCCCAAACCAACCAAAGACCTGAATGACCCAGAGCAAAACTATGCCGCCGTGCACCAATTTTTCCTTCACTATCCTCCTTCGTGAAGCCGTTCTGCTTCACGTTTAGTAGAACGACTCCACCATGGTGTCCTTGAGGTTGGTGTTCACGTTGCTGGGACCCAGGCCCTCGCCGAGCCTGAAGACACTCTCAATAACGCTCAGCTCCGTTGCGGTGGTATCAAGACCGGTGACAGCCATCCAGTCGTTGACAACCATGCCCGCACCAACGACGTTGCTGCCGCGGTTGACACTGCCAGCCACGAGGGGCACTTGCAGCAGACTGGACAGCTCGTCCTGGTCCTGTATCGAGGTCTTGGGATGGACAAGACCGCCCTGGTTCGAGAGAGACATGTAAGAGCCGACGAGGACGTTATCGGCGATGGTCTGGCGGAAGACCTCAACACCGAGCACATCAGCAATAATTTCCTCCGTCTCGCGCTCCAGATCCGGGTGAATCAGAGCAATGTGGTCGTTGGTCACAATGACGTTGCCGAGCGCTGACAGGCGCTCTTCTATTCTTTGTATGCGGATTTCGTCGGGCAGGCTGTTACGGAGATGTTGGAGTTCCTGGTCTGTTGTGGTTGTGGGGACCAAAAGACCCTTGCGGTTACTGCGGAAGTGGTAAGCCTGAGTGTTTTCACGCTCAATGACCAGACGCCCGAAAGAATCGGGCGGTCGAGGTATTGTCGGGATATTGTATGCTTACCCAGCTGTTAACCGGCCAATGATTCTCGTGCCAGCAATGGTTGTCCGGCAGATGGGGATAACATCTTGCAGCTCCGCCTCGAAAACACTGTAAAAGTTCTCACTCGCACCAAGGGCGACAAGAGCATAGGAGTTGGTGAGAGTCGAAAAAACGCCGACCCTACAGACAATCTCAAAGTCAGTACGTTGTGTTCTGGCTGACAACAGGGCGGCTAAAAAAGCAAGATGGCGGGGTCCATGGGCGGGGCTGCTCACTCGTTGGAATTCTCAAATTGCGCGCGCACCGCCATGATTGTGATTTTTGGGTAAGTTCGGTGCTTTAAACTGGACGTAAAAGGCCGACGAAGGCTCGAGGAGGGATTGTTCGTAAGAAAAAGGCCCTGCGCAGGGGGGAATTTGTTATTGTAAAGGTGCTGTCTTCAGGGTGTTGAGTGGTGATGGAATTTTTGCAGAGGCGGAAGGTGCTAATTAATAAGAAGCATCAATTGAGAGCAAGTACGGTGGGGCAGACGGGTGCCCGCCTTTCCTGCAACTTTTTTGGGTGCTGGTTGCCGCTTGGCCTGGGCTCTGGGCTGGAGCGGGGCGCATCAAGCTGTGTGGACCCCTTGATTCTCCTTGAGCCAGTGGGAAAGCTGTATGGCTGATGAGTCACTTTGCGTACAAGACGCACGAAGCCAGGCTGATTCAATGGTTACTATTACCAACCTGCCAAATTTGGCTTCGAGCTCTGCTGGAGATGCATTGCCACTGTGCCACTGTGACTCCTCACCCTCATTCCATGCCTTGTCTTTCAATTTCTAACACCAAGCTAGTCCTCATTGAGGTACCTGGCAAACAGTCATTCTTGAACTCAGCCCAGACAACGACACCGAACTTCAGGTTCTCGGTCAATCTTAGTCACCGTTCGAAGTACCTCAATAGCTGGCCATTGAAGATGGATTCTGATTTACACTTAGTATTATGAATTACAAGACCCTGGTACTTTGCACTTTGTCAACCCCAAGACACCGCCTCTATGTAGGTTACTAGCGATGCTTAGCCCTACTTTTCTCATGCTTGGCTGCGAACTCGTCCAAGTCGACATGTATGCGCAGTCCCTTGGAAGCCATTGTGTTGAAGACCGACTTGAGTTCAAACTCGTCCATTATATTGACGAGCGTTGTGTATGCTTCAAGAGCCAGGTCTTTCGACCAAGGACAGTGCCGCAAACCTCGAAAGAAGACCTCCTTGGCCTTGGATCGAAACTGTTTTCTTGCGTAACTGAATTTTATGTAGCAACGCCAGAGTTCTGGATTTGACTTGCAAGCAGGGCTGTCGAGTGCCCGCTCAAATGCCGCATGCGTGGAGTGAACATTTCCTTTTCGTAGCTCGTACCGTATCGCAAACATACGGCTGCTAACGGAGTCGTTGTTGCTCGTGAGTGAGACTTCACGAAGAATTTCACGAACTGGATCGTCAATTCCAAACGTGGTCGTTGCCCAAGAGAACAGAGTAAGGAAAATAGTATTGTGTGGAAATAGCTTTATGCATTGCGCGAGCTGCTCTCTCAGATAGGCGCGCCGGAAAGGTCTACAAAAAGTTAGCACTGAGATGTTTGAACCTATATCTATTCAACTTACCCCCGGCTGGCATGGTGATAAAGGAGCCTCGCACCAGCTTGTAATAACCTCTCATGAGTTTGGGACGTTGCCTGACCTTGAGCGCACAGTTCCGAGGAAACTGTCCACACTCTTTCCATCGCCATTGAGATGCTTCCCTGAGCCTCAGATGTGGGTTCGGAAGCTTCTTGGGTGGTAAGATACACGAGAAGTGCCAAACATTCAGTGCTGATAGCGGCGTCATCTAGTTCCCGCATTGAGAGTTGCCCCTCGAGGGTATCCAGCAACGTCTGGCGAGCCTTCAGGATTTGCATAGGCGTCACAGCTATCGCGTCCGGCGTCTTTCTTAAAGACTCTTCGACTGTTGCACATAAGGGCACGACAGCTTGCGTCTTGTTCCCGGCATCTAGCTCCGCCCATGCCCATGTCTTCCACAACAGAAATTTCCGGCCGCAGCCCGGAGGCTGCCAACAGACAGTCAGCGATTAAACTTAAAGCAACGAAGGTGGTCAGTGAACACTTACGGAGGGAAGACCACTTGCTGATAAGATGACCTGACGCCCAACATCAAGGTTACCTTTGGCAGACTCAGCTAAAGCGTATGCATTATAAAGCCCTAGGTTGGTAGGATCATGTTTGATGAGGGCCCTAGCGCGCTTTTTGATGTTGCTAGGTTCGTTAACCATATCAACCGCCAGCGAGTATTCTGCTAGCTCCTTAAGGTTGCTGACGGTTGTTAGTTGCCGGAGACTATTCGCAACCCACGCTAAATCCACTGGGCCATCTGCAGACTTAGATGTACAAACCCAGCCTGAGATAAATGGAAACCATTCAGAGGTAGCAAACAAAAGGTCAGCCGAGGCAGCGACCCGCAATCCATCCTGTTTGAATGATGGAATTTTCTTTGTCTCATCCATAACATCAGGCTCATTCGGTTTGTGAAGCACGTCGCCCTCGAACAAGCTCAAGCCGCCTATAAGCAGAGGGTCATCTTCCGCAGCTTTGATCCATTCGCTCGTCCGAAATGCAGGAGGCAGACAGCAGAAAAGTAAAAATCCATCTACAAGTTGTTTCCAAATCTTAGAGATGGTGTCAGCTGGTACAACAAAGAGTAACTCCTCAATATCCGAAAACATGACGACACGGTACGGATCGTCCTCTGACACATCATCCGTAGCTCTCGCTGGATTTCGTGAAGCTGTGGCTCGAAGCCTTTCTGTTGCACCCCAGGACTTATATAAATCCCGTGATTGAACGATGTTATCGTCATCTTTTTGCGTTTCGGGTGGGTCACTTATTCCGTCTGCCTGGACAAACTGGCTCCAGCCAGGAGCGTGCTTATCGCCTATTCTTGGTCCTTCGTCTTCCCAGAAGTCCTTGAATGAGTCGAGGATCTCTGAATCCGGCAGTGCTCCATAACTCGCTGGGCGCTCTAAGTTGAGTTCCAGAAGCGCCTGCCATGCTGCCACGGCCAACTCACGATAGCCCGAGTCGTACATAAATTTCGTGGCCCTGAGAAACACGTAAATCATTTGTTCATATCGCGAAATTTCAGCGGTATTCGTGTTATAGCCTGGCCCAGGAGAGGTTGAGACAGATTCTTGCTTCGCAATGGCTCGTAACCGAGCAACGTGTAACGATTTGATGTTGTTGAACTGGAATGTCGCCAAGCTTGTGAGTTTATGATCAACTCTCGCTTTCCAAAGGCAAAAGCTTGATTCATGCTTCCTCTCCACTTCCTCCCACCGGGTTTCGAGCTTCGAAGCAGACCACACTTTGGCGCCTTCAAGCATCAAGCCAACGAGAAGCCGTTCCTCATATTCGGACTTCCTTGCCTGGGCAAGTGCAGACTCGTACATTGAAATTTTTATCTCTGCAAAACTGTGTACCTCGCCCTTGGTCACTTCGCGATCTAGGGTTTCTCCAGCGTTCAACAAGACATCTTGGTGTGCAATAAGCTCAAGCCAGCCTGCTATGTCTTCAGGGTGCTCCTTAACCCGACGGGACAGTTGAATTGACCGTTGCTTCAAGGGATCGTCTGTATCCAAGTTCAAAGCATCATCCTGATCAGTGTCATAGTCGATATCGCTGTCAGAGAACTCATGAGCTTTGGCCTTGCCCTCGATTGATCTGTATGAAGGTTCCTCGTTCTCAGAAGCCTCTGGTTCTTCGTCACGGCGCCGCTTAGATGAGCCGCCTAGCGGTACGAAATCTTCTTCCACGCTGTGAGCCTCATCCCGAATTTCGTTCCGGACCCGTATGCGTTTTGTCTTAACTCGATGCACCTTGGGTTGAAACAATGCCCTATCTCGCCAAGTTGAACTACTTTCACCCGGCTGTCGAATGCTGAACTTTTCCTGGGGGCCGTCTCTGTGGATGTAAAGGTACCCATCTGAGCCAAGAACTCGCCCTCGACCCCCACGGCGGTATAACGGAACACGGCCACGATCATTACCACCGTACCTCCTGATCAAAGGGTCACCTTTTTTATCAATAAAGAAGAAAACATTATCTCCGGCTCTGTTGTTCAGACTTTTGGTTGCAGTCCGAGTTTGAGCAGCATCTAATCGTTCTTCGCTATTGCTGCGCTTTCGATCACGATGGCGATGCTCTGAACGGTGCTTTCCATGATCGCCACGATGTCGAGATTCATGTCGTAGTCGCCTCTCTTTGGTAACCTCATCTGCTCCATTTTTCTGGTCATGGGAAGTTTCATCAACTAAAGGCTGTGCTATGGATGCAGGAGTTGCGGTCTTCGGTTTGAAAGATGAGAACTTCGGTACCGTCAACTTCCTATCCCTGTTGTCTGACATCTTGCCAGTCTGCCTGTGGCTCACCAAGTCATAGTTAAGACGCACACAGTCAAGTATTCAGAACCGTGGCACCCGGCTGGCCTCGGTGGCGGTGTTGTAGAAGGCTCTAGCACGGAATGAGGATGCCAATTGTGGCGTCGAAACAATTATGGTGGTGAGTTGAGGCTGAGTGAGAAGGTTGAGCTGGGTTGATGTTTACGGTGGCAGAAACGGACGTCCGTCAATAATGGACGAATCAGAATTAATTTGACAGTGTCCTAGCAAGACGCCTGAAGGTATGCAAATGGGCGCCGTGGTAAGAGCGGCAATCGAGGGATCGTAGGTGCAGTGATTATTGATACCCGTCCAAGAATCTGTACCGTTGCACCGCCGCACCGTCAGAAATGCTGGAGCACGTGTCAGTTGCATATTACTGGTGGTGTCTCCACGCCTCAGAGCCGAGTAATAATGGGGCGTCCGACTAGTGGCACCAGGGTTGGAAGCGTGGAAAACTCACGACTAGGTCGGGCCCAGGATATTGGTTTTGTCTGGGGCTGTACTTTGAGCTTGTTGTCTCTGGGTCCAATTATTTGGAAACGAGGCCAAAACAAGTTGGCCGGGAGTGGTGTACAGAAATAGTCTGCCCGAGAAGTCACTACTACCACTGTAACGGACGTGTGGTGGCAGAGCCTGAGGCGCTTGCTGCTATGGATGTGTGAGACGGTCTAATCTGGCGGTCTTGAACCAGAGGAACACTAGAGAAGGTAGTAGTAGCCTTGGACTCAGCTTCACCGCGTTTGGGCAGTTGGCTGCTGACGTAACACGGAATGCAGGTGTACATAGTATGGATTCGCATCAGTTGTACCCGCTACATCTAGAGGTCAACTGCACCTCCAACATCGATACATCACGCTCGTTTTCTTTTTCCATCACATCAGTGGCCATGCTTTGGGGGCCTCAGAACGTTCCCCATATAGCATTACGGATTGCTGTTGTCTTGCCCAAAACTATGAGCTGCAATAGGAAGCTCAACGGGGCCTTGGATCTATGATTGGTACGAAATGGCGTGCGGAGGATCGTTGATATTTTGGCGGTCACTTCGGCTGTGCTTTGCATACCCAGCACACCCAGGTAGGTATTGTGGCCCGTCGGAGAAGGAGGGTGTAATCTCAGGGTCCTCGATCTGACCGTTTCGGCGGAAAGTGCGCTAAGCAGCGGCCAATAACCACCCTGAGTGGCATCCACTCTGAAGGTCATCCGATGCAATGACCTCACAGCCAAGCCCTCTACATCCTCTAGTGCTTCCCTTCCACCGCTACAAATAATTTGCAGCACTGATTCAGGTGGATCACGCCCTCAAGTTACCCGCGCGTGCTCAGTGCGCAGCCTCCTAACGGGAGGAAAGTGGATGGGGACACGACCGTCTCGGACCAGGCCTGTCGCATTCTGTTTCTCGCTTCCAGCTTCTTTTGTGGTTACGATGCGGTGAGGTGACGAGCTTGATGTTTCTGCTTTTTTTCTTGTCAAACCGTCAGTTGCGATCCTCCAGCTCCGTCACTCGTCTGGCCGTCTGATGCCCACGCAAACTTGCCAAGAACCTGCCATGTCTCGCCTGCGATAGTCATCAGCCTACATCGTCGCATTTGACACCGAGCGCCTCGTCGTGATCAGCCTCCTACCGCCTCCTAGCCGACTTCATATCCCTCCCGTGGCTTTTCGTAATCTTGCAGCAGGAATCGAGGTTGGCTCACGTGTAGAGCTAACAGCCTGCCTTACAACATACCCTACTCGGAAACAAGGCCATAGTCTAAACTCGCCTCTTTTACTACCCCTGTCATCTTGCAACAAGTCTTCAGCTATCTACGTTGCTCGACTACATCAACTGTGATCTGGCTGTCACAGCAATATCATCTCGCAAAGAGCAAGCTTCTTGCCATCATCCTGCAGCAACCCTACGGGCATCTTCAGACGCTTGGTGAGAGCGAATCCAATCAAGTAGCACCTGGAACAGATCCGAGAACCTTAACTGCCCAGGCCGCCTTCGTCTTGACCACCACGCATCATGGCAGATTTGCCCAACGACGATGCGCCATCGGGGCCTCCATCACCGACAAGCACGCGAAGACCGAGATTCGATCGGGGAGGCTCCGTCGGCGAGCCGGATGAGCGGTCGCCTTTACTCTTGAGCTCCAGATCTCGAATCCGGCGACACCAGCAAGGCCCAGACAGCCCCAAATACCTTACGCCTGGTCTTTCAAGGAACCACAGTACCGCAGGTAGCTTATCTCATTCTCTTCACATGCCAAGCTTGTCCCATGGAACCATAGAAGCTAATCCATATCCCTGCTGTCCAGGAAGCATCAGAAGCTTGCACCACAGTCGTAATCCATCTTTTGGTCAGCGTTTGTCTCACGCTTTCAACGACTATGTTGACCCCATGAGCGAGTCGAAACGATCCATATTGAGCCACGAGCGAGTTTGGTACGACCAGTTTACATCAACCGATTGGGTCCATGATAACATTGTCGACGCCCATCGAGTGAAGGCCTTGAAGATGCGCAAGGACTTTTGGGGGAGGATATATGCCATCTTTGATGCCTCCCAAGGTTGGATTCTGAGTGCTGTCTGTGGCTTCATCGTTGCCCTTGTCGCCTACGTTGTGAACCTGTCGGAGGCTACAGTTTTTGACTATAAATATGGATACTGTGCGAGGGGTTGGTACATCAGCGAGAGAGTGCGTTCCAGCGGCCGAATACCTATGCTCGGAGAAGCTAACAGTGCAACTAGAATTGTTGTCCCAAAGGGGCCTGTGAGGATTGGCGGACATGGTCAGAAGTGCTGAGGTTTTGGCCGTTCGGCGATGTGGGAACAGAGTTTACGATTTACCTTTTCGGAGTCGTTGTCCTCGCGGTAATCGCTTGCGCGATGACCTTGACCACCAAGACTGTAGTGCCCTCAGCATACCGGATGACGACCTTCGACGAGAATCTAGCTGCAGAGCTTGCCCCTTACGCCGACGATCCCCCTAGTGACGAGAGCCCTACGCCTCCAGAGGTTGTCCAGGTGGCCACAAATGATGCAGCGGTGCCGCCCCCGATGGTCTACTACTCAGCCGCTGGAAGTGGTGTTGCCGAAGTTCGTGTTATTCTCAGTGGCTTCGTCTTGCACGGTTTCCTCGGTCTCAAGACTTTAGGTATCAAATCTGCCGCTCTCATCCTCAGCGTGGCTTCAGGGCTCAGTCTTGGCAAGGAGGGCCCTTATGTCCATATCGCCACTTGTATAGGTAACATTGCTTGCCGACTGTTCTCGAAATACGATCAGAATGATGCCAAGAGGCGTGAGGTTCTATCCGCCGCCGCCGCTGCTGGCGTTGCCGTTGCTTTTGGTGCGCCACTAGGGGGTGTTCTCTTCGGCCTAGAGGAGGTGTCTTATTTCTTCCCAGCAAAGACGCTCTTCCGTACCTTCTTCTGCTGCATCGTAGCGGCACTGTCACTCAAATTCCTCAACCCCTACGGCACACACAAAATTGTCATGTTCCAGGTCAAGTATGTTGCTGACTGGCATTACTTCGAAATCATCTTTTTCATCGTGGTTGGAATACTTGGCGGTGCTGCTGGCGCACTTTTCATCAAAGCCTCGAAGCATTGGGCCAAGACGTTCCGGAGAATTACAGTTATCAAGTCGTATCCCATGCTTGAAGTCGTCTTGGTTGCCATTGTCACCGGCATCATGAGTTACTGGAATGTTCACACCAAACAGCCAGTCGCCAAACTTATGCTCAATTTGGCGGCACCTTGCAATGACGGGTCTGGGCGTGAAGACTTTGGTCTTTGCCCAACAACAGCCGATGGGATCCCGCCGGTCCTTTCGGGTCTGTTTGCCGCATTCCTCATCAAAGGATTCTTGACGATCATCACGTTCGGCATAGTAAGCCATACAGGACCTGACAGATTGAAAGCTGCTAACCCTTTACAGAAAGTTCCTGCTGGCATATATGTCCCGTCTATGGTCGTCGGTGGTCTAATGGGAAGAATCGTTGGCCATCTCGTTCAGTATCTTGTCCTGACGTATCCAGCCGTTGGAGTTTGGAGCCGCTGCGCTGCGACAGGGCAAGGGTCTTGCATTCAACCTGGTGTTTACGGCCTGATCGCAGCTGGTTCGACCATGTGTGGCGTGACTCGGCTTTCAGTGACCTTGGCCGTCATTCTCTTTGAGCTCACGGGCAGTCTGGACTACGTATTGCCATTCTCGTTGGCCATTCTCGTAGCAAAGTGGACAGCCGATGCCATCGAGCCTAACAGTATCTATGTCAGTCCAGGACAAGTCCGCTAAATTTAGCAATGGAACTAACATGAATAGGACCTTTTGACTAACATGAACTCGTATCCCTTCCTGGACAACAAACACAAGCCCATTTTCACTTCCGATCTTGCCGACATTGTTCCTCGTGTTCGCCGAGAAAGAATCATCGATATCAGCGCTTCACCAGGGGTGTCTGCTGTTAGCCTCCGCAGCAAGCTCCAGACTCTTCACAGGGCGGGCGAAATTGATGGCGGTCTGCCAATTATTCGCGACGGGATCCTTGTGGGCTTAATCCCTGCACCTGATCTTGAATATGCACTGGACAACCTGGACGACGAAGCCTCAAGCATGTGTCTGATGGCCCATGTTGCAACCATCGAGGACTCTGACGACGAAGAAACGGAGCGGGACAAGACTGACTTCACGACTTACATCGATCCGGTGAGTATTGAGGAGATGATTGAACCCTAGCTTAGTCTAACGCGGAGATAGGCACCTGTAGCTTTGGACATTAGATCTCCGATGGATCTTGTGTATGAATGTTTCGTCAAACTAGGCCTCCGATACATCTGCGTTCTCAAAAACGGACGATACGCTGGAATGGTAAGCCAAGTGGTTGAGCAATCCAAACAAAAATTAGCCAGCTAATTGTACTAGGTACACAAGAAGAGCTTCGTGAAGTATATGCGAGAACTCGATGAAAAGGAGGGCCATTAATTCGAAACACCGTTCACAGTCAGGACAGCGACTTTTATTCTATTCATTCCATATTAGCATAAGATTATGACTGGAGTGATCAGTTATATATCTTGGAGTAGGAGGGGGAGTAAACAGCATAATGCGTCTTCCTGTTTGGTCTCATTATTTAGCATTTGGGGCATGGCGTTAACTGCCTTATACTGCCGTCGTTTGTATTTGCATTTGTTTGATGGGTATCCCGCAGCCGCGTTGGAAGCTCTGGTTTCAGATTGAAGAATATTGCTTCTGTTTGCTGAAAGATCTGAAGATAAATGGGATATCCTAGGATGTTTTTGTACCATGCATTCATCAAAGAGAGCCTCACGGCCGCATCGTGTAGGTATAAATTTAAAGAGTACTTGAGCGATATTCATATAAGCAAAAAGAACTATTTCTTACCAATCGAGGAGAGAATCAGCAAAGTATCTGTTGAATGCCACGATGAAACTTGAGAGGCTGGAGAATGACGAACCTCAAAACGTTGTTGATAGAAAGAAACCCCAAGGGGCCAGCCATTCTCGGCCGTCGGCATCATGCGGGGTTCCGGAGTGGACCCTTCATCTTTAGCAATGCAGTGCGAGTTTTGCGACATCTCCAAAACCACAGTAGCTTGTGAGATACTGTTAGAGAGTTACTGCTCTATCCAAGCGAGTATTCACGGTGGTAAGCGAATCTATTATTCGACGACCGGCAGTCACTTGCCGGTCCCGGTTTCCGGTCCCGGCATCGGTCACAGGGTGGATAGATGGATGGTTTAATGGATAGCAGACGCGCTAGTCCCCAGCTGCCCAGGGCTCATGGTGGATAAGTTTCCACTAGATCCTTATCGCGAGGGCCTGGAAGACTGAAGACGCTTTTATCGTCCGATACGCCCAGCGGGGACGCGGGGTGAATCCGAAATAGACATCGTGTAGCATGGACAACTTTGCGGTGTAGGCCCCCTTGTGTTTCGAGGGCTGCAACGTGGGTAAGAGATCTAAGATGCAGATCTGAGGCTCTCAGGAGCAGCAATGACGGTGTTGTGGCGAGAACATCAATTGGCTGCTGCAACACGAGTTAATACTTTGCAGCACGGAATTGGTCAACTCCAAAGCTCAATTACACGATTACATCTCAGCTTGAAAAGCCGCCGTATCAGGAGCCAGGGAATAAAGGACAAGCTTCCTGCGGAAGCTGAAGCTGCATGACCGTAGCTGCAGCTCCAGGGTGGTCGGGTGCGTTTGGCATAGGGTGACGGCCACTGGCAAGCGGCTGTCGACGGTGGCGGACAGCGTAAACGACGGCGTCGGACAGCGTAAACGGCGTAAGTTTACCCCTCCAAGATGTCTGTGAGGTCACTTCCCCCAGCTTTCTTGCCCCGCATTTCTCACTGGTACGTAATCTTGGCTTCCCCCCTCGCTCCCTGCCATCGCACCTAGAGCGAGCTAACGCAGCTTCGAATCTCGTTCCGGTAAGGTGGAATCAAGCACCGCGCCGGTGTGTGTCTGATCGTCTTGCAGCAGGCCGACATTAGATACTTTGACTCAACAACCAGCCAGGGGGAGGAAGGGAACAGAGCTTAAAACAGGTACACAGATTGTAATACCTCCACCAAGCTCTGACGGGCCTGATAAGCCGCAGCCACCCGCAGTCTATAAACAGTCCCTCCTCCCCCACGCACCAGTCTAGATCGACATTCTTCCAATTTTTTCGCTTGCCTTACTTCAAAACTGGCCAACTGCTAACAATTTGGTCGGCGTTTGTCACTCCGATATCGCACGCCCTCTGTCAATTGTACCACGAGCTGTGCTGTTGAGACCGTGAGACGACCAGCACAGGGAGAGCTTCATCGGAGAAGCCACACCACAAATAAAGTCGTGAACACACAATGGTTCTTATGCGAGCTTCCGCAGCCCTTCGCCCTGCCGTCCGCACGGCGGCAGCAGCTAGGGCACCCGCCTCTCGCCGAACGCTCTGCGTCTCTGCCTCTCGCATGGCCGCGTCGAGCCTCTTCCAGGGCGAGCCCTCCGGCCCGGCGCTCAAGACTGAGATCCCAGGCCCCAAGTCCAAGAAGCACACGGAAGACCTGCACAAGGTGTTCGACACCCGCAGTCTAAACATGCTCACTGACTACAAGAAGAGCAAGGGCAACTACATTGCTGACGCTGACGGTAACGTCCTCCTCGATGTGTGAGTTCTACCTCTTACTGAGGATTGTGAACGGATGCTAACATATGCGCGTTAAAAGCTACGCCCAAATCGCCTCCATCCCCATCGGCTACAACAACCCTGCCCTTGCAAAAGTTGCCCAGACCCCCGAGATGATCAACGCCATCATCAACCGCCCCGCACTCGGTAACTTCCCCCCAGAGGACTGGGCCGAAATTCTCCGTACTGGTATCCTCAAGGTTGCGCCCAAGGGCCTTGACCAAGTCTTCACAGCCATGGCCGGCTCCGATGCCAACGAGACGGCCTACAAGGCCGCCTTTATGTGGCGCCGCCAGCAAGAACGTGGTGGCTACGACGTTGACTTCACCCCTGAGGAGACTGCCTCCGCGATGAACAACCAGGCCCCCGGCGCCTCTGAGCTCTCTATCCTCTCCTTCCGCACCGGATTCCACGGCCGCCTCTTCGGTTCTCTCTCGACCACCCGCTCTAAGCCCATTCACAAGCTCGATATCCCTGCCTTCGACTGGCCGCAGGCCACCTTCCCCAAGCTGAAGTACCCCCTCGAGGAACACGCCGAGGAGAACGCCGCCGCTGAGAAGGCTGCCCTTGACGAGGTCGAGCACCTTATCAAGAACTACCATGTTCCCCCTGCGGCAGTAATCGTTGAGCCGATCCAGTCCGAGGGAGGTGACAACCACGCTTCCCCTGCCTTCTTCCGCGGCCTGCGTGAAGTCACCAAGAAGCATAACGTCCTCCTCATCGTCGACGAGGTCCAAACCGGTGTTGGCGCCACGGGCAAGTTCTGGGCCCACGAACACTGGGATCTCCCTGCACCCCCCGACATGGTGACCTTCTCCAAGAAGGCCCAGACTGCGGGATATTACTTTGGCAACCCTGAGCTGCGCCCCAACAAACCGTACCGCCAGTTTAACACTTGGATGGGCGACCCGGCGAGGGCCATCCTCTTCAGAGAGATCATCAACGAGATCGAGAGGCTGGACCTGGTGGAGAACACGGCGCGTGTGGGAGACTATCTGTTCGGCAAGCTCGAGGCCTTGGGCAGGAAGTACCCCGGCCAATTCGCAAATCTGCGCGGCAAGGGCCAGGGAACTTTCATCGCTTTCGACAACCCGCGCCGCGACGACTTCTTGAAGAAGGCCAAGGGACTGGGTATTAACATTGGTGGATCCGGCGAGACTGCCGTCCGTCTGAGGCCCATGCTCATCTTCCAGGAGCACCACGCTGATATCCTCATCGAGGCGCTGGAGAAGATCGCCAAGTCTTGGTGAACAAGCGACCGTTTACTTTTTGTTTGATTTCCTTTTTTCATGGTTGAGACATCATTACGGGAGCTACTTGTCCGGCCGCCGCCGGTTATTTTGTTTTTTATAGCGATTGTGAATTTAGACGGCCAAAACGACGAGGCACGTAAAGGAACAGATTTTAGGCAGTATGAAAAGAACATCTCATGACTCTGTCACGGCCTCTTTGCCGATATGATGTCGAGTTTTAGCCCGAAGGTGTTCGGACCGGAGAATGTTCGGATATCCTCTTTTTGCCATATCGTACAATTCATTCCAACGTAAAAACGTGGGTCTTAACCCCGTGTACCCGGTGAAAGACAATTCTAGCCTTCCTGTCCCTGCCCATGCGGATCCTTAAAAACAAACGGCCAACAACGCCTTTCCTTGTAGTGTACACGCGCATTGTTATGTAACAGCAATCCGTCCGCGCCTATCCAAGAACATGCAGTGTAACAGCTAACGGACGTTGAATGTGCAAACTAGGTATCATTGCCAGTCCCATTATAGGTGCGGAAGCACAACCAAGAAAACCTGCAAGCTCGAAAATAGCTTTTCAAGTCGTATAGGATGCACATCGCAGCCTATCTTGCTAGTCCTTCCTGTGTTAAATGGCCAATGTGCGGAATAGCCCTTTCCTTCTGAGACTCTGAGAGCTTCCCATGTTCGGTGTAAGAGTTTCGAGGCACCTCGCTAGACCGGCCGCGGGCCGGCTCGCCGGGAGTTGATCGTCCCGAATGTGTCCTTGATTGCTCCGTTCTGTAGGCGCCCTATGACCAGAATCAGAATCTTTTACATCAGCAGTAGTAGTACACCTACCGGATGACCTTTATCTGCTGACCTTGGCCTTCCGCGTTTCCGTTTGGGAGGCTCGCCAAGTGTTTCTGAGGCCGGGCCCGGCGACAAACTGTAAACGGAACCTTCTGCCGGTGTGCTTGGGCTTTCCCTCGCCGGGGGGCGCGTTGGAGGGGCTGGCGCGAGGGGAGTGAGATGTTGTGGGAGTAAAGGTCTTAACTGCCTGGCCTTATCTGCTCGAGATGGCCGACCTCTCTTTCGGGGCGGAGGCGGCGCAGCTGGCGGTTGATTCGGGCTAGAATAACCATTTGACTTTATTCCAACCTCTGTACCAGAGCTGATCGGCCTGGGCTGTATGTTCGCAAGCTGCGTGTTGTGTAGTTGCGTAGGCGCTGGTAAGATCGAATGAACAGACATCGGGTTCGAGTAGGCAGCTGAACTTTGGGGTGCAGAACCAAGAGGTGACGGCAGAGGAAGTTGCGCTGGAGGTTCCATTGGAGAAGCCACCGCCAACCTTTTGGGTGGCTGCTCGAGGAGATCGCTCATGGATTTGCGCTTCAGATCTGGTACCCTCATAGGGCCTTGGAACATCTGTTCGGTAGCTTGTATGCATTGTTCCATAGTGCGACCTGGCTCCGACAATCAGTACGTAAGGGGTGGATGTGCGAGAGTGAGGTCTCCCAACATACCGCTCGGCAGCTGCATCTTGAGCCAGTCAGGCTCGATATGATACGACTTCAGAAATTCAACCATATGGCCCACATCTAAGTTACTGGTCTTGATAGCCTCTGCGAGGATAAACCTCTGGAGACGAGCTGCGCGTCAGCTTTGTGCGCCCTACAGTCAAATGATAAGGCGCCTACCTTTTCCCCTTCCGTAAAGGTGTAGGCCATCGTGACAAATACTGACTATTGCCAGAGCGAGTGTCATGAACGTACGAGTTTATACTGAAGCAGGGCCTTGGAGTGTGCATTGGCAGCGTGGGATTCTAGCAAACGAGCGGCTCGGCGCTGTCAGCCGGAGAGCGAGGTCAACGAGGGGTAGCGAGGGGCACAAGATCGTTGAAATGAAGGTGGTTGTTTAAAAGGGTGTACTAGAAAGAAGCGAGAGAGTTTGACGGTGCTAGAACCGTCTACTAAAGAGGTTGCGAAAGGGCAAATAGCCTGGTTTCCAGGCAAACAAGCGCGGTAGAAGGGGCAGTAGGCAGTCGAAAAGGTCAGAAACAGCCGCCGCGATGGGTTTCGTCTCGCTTTTTCCGTAAGCAGAATGCTGAAAATTGCAGCCGCGTAGCCCGTTAGGTATAGGCGTGCGACTCAAACTAATGAAAGTGATCAAGGCTGCGCAAGCGCGCGTCGTTGACCAGAGGCCACCGAAGAGAAGACCCGGTCCCACGACGACGTCGAGGGGAAGTTAGACAAGGCGCGAGATGGAGGGGGTAATACAGCCTAGACAGGCCTTGGAGGTGGAAGTGGAGGCTCGAATGTTTCGTTTGCTCCTGGGCACCTAGACCACTTTTGCGACAATGGCCATGGGAGGCCCTGCACGGAGCGCGGTCGGGGACTTGCTGGCGTGACCAGGGTAGCAAGTACGAGACGTGCTTTTGAACGCGGAGGACTCTGGGGGGACAAGCGAGACAGATTTACCGAGTAATTAATGACGCGTGAAACCTATTCAGGAGACAATCTCAAGCGTTGGCTTGGTCGATGCTTGACGCGATATATTTATAGCCGCTGTTCGCAACAATGGTATAGTTCCTGAATGTGTCTTGGTTCCGGGACTCGAGCAAACGATGACAAGGGTGCTGCGTGCCTAAGGAAGGACCTGCGGTGCTGGGTGTGAGTTGAACCTTTGGTTACCAGCAGGCCTCCTCAAGTATCAATTTCAGATGGGTTGAGTGGGATTCATCTGCAACTTGAGGTGTGTACAAATGGATGAGCAGGTCGCAAAACCAAATATGCCCTCCCTTGCTGGAAGAGTACAAAGTTGCAATGTCTGAGAGAAGGGAGCTGGGGAATGACTGCAAATCTATCGATGGCGATGACTGATGGAGACGGCGTGGCTCACTGGAGCTGAGAATCACCAGCAATAAGACCGACGAGAAGTGGTTGTTTTGTCGGCGTGACTGACTGACGTCGAAGGTGCGAAAGGATTGGACTCCTGCAAAGCAAGCGGAATCTGGCCAGGGAAGAGTTCCGGGTAGGGGAGCACAAATGGCTTCCTGTCATCTCTGTCTGTCCGTTTATCGATGGAATGCACTACGGCACTGCCAAACTGGGCATAAGTTTAATGTATTATGCTCGGTCGGATGTTGGGGGGTGGGTGGTGGAGGGATTGATGACGGATTGATGGATGTTGGAACAACTTGTTGTGGCGTCCAGGGCAAAAGCAGGTCAACCACACGGCGTATGTGTGTGTGTGTGTGTGGTGTGCGCGCACGCCGTAATCAGCCTTCTTGTCTATTTCGTATGAGGGGTGTGTGTGTGTCGAGTGATATCGTGATACCATTTTGCTCCTGACTCCTGTTCTGGCAACTTCTTTCCTCCATTTCACTTCGAGTGCCTTGCGGCAAGCTTCTGGTCTGACCCGGCAGTGGCTTTATCTTCGGCGCCTCTCGCGCCTCCCTTTCCGTCGTTGGGTTCTTGCTTTTTCTCGGCAGCCGAATCGCCCTTTCCCGATTTTTGTTGCGCATGTCTCACCAAGCCTCCCCCGAAGAGGAAGAGATTATTTGGTTGGTCAGTAGCCACATCGGGGGATCCTTTTTCGATCGCATTCGAGTTCGAGAATGGGACCTAGTGCCCCAGCGCTGCTAGACAAAATGCCAGTAAATGCACTTTGGTGATTGTTCACAGAGAGGTATCACATATGACTGCACAGGCCTATGCAATCGACAAAGTATATATCCCTGTCTCCCGCCTGTTCTGCGCGCATGCCGCTTGCTGCAAGCACAGTTGCATCTGCTGGGCTGTAAGTGGCGGAAGCTGGGCTGAGCAGACATAGTATGCATGCTGTAATGAGAAGCGACGTGCAGCTAGCTGCTGCATATGAAGGTTTGCGGCAACTGGCCAATCTCGTTTAGGGGGCATTTACGCCTGACTTGACTCTCTGCCACTTCAAGGATGTCAATGACAGTAGGGTTACCAGAGGCATGACTTCTCCCTCCTACAAGAAACTTTGGGTATAAGAGGTGAGCTTAAGGAAAACACACTTGAGAAAATCAGCACTAAGCTGAGAGGGAGGGACATATGAGAAAGCAGAAAGGGGGGGCGGAATATGGAAAGGAGGGGATCGAAGTAGCGTTGATGACGGTACTTACTCTGTCACCCATCACTTCCACTGCACTTGCAGTGTGCATTGGTATCGCCCACCTTGGGTGCGCTGGCAATCGCGATGCAACGATTTGTGCTGTCCTCGTATCGGGAACACTGGACCTGCCTACCTGACCCTCACCCACCAACATAACTGCCTGTGTTCCGTCAGCAGCTGTTGCCCCTCCATTTTGCCATCCGTTCGCTGTAGCTGCTTTTTATCGTTCCCCTCTCCATCACCCAACTCCAACCTTTGACTCCATCGTTCCGCTTGGAATGCGCGCCGTTTCCTCGCCTGTCGGATAGAAATTTGATAACAGTAAGATGGAAAGAAACAGAATGATCAACAGACGACCGAATAAGGAAACAAGGGACTTTTTAGTGCCCGTGCAATGCGAACGGCCAGAATCGCATCCCCACGCCCTCATTGGCCCTCACTTAGCCAAACCCGGCTTGTCGGTGACTGATGAGAGAAACCACTGGGTTTTCTCTTCGCCAATCATCGACCAACAACGGCATGAGAGCCAGCGTGGGGCACCGGTTCGTCACATTTCCCGCAATTGTCAGAGGGAGCCGCAGCAGGAGCTTCGCTGCACCTGAGTGGTCTGAATCTCCCATGATTTCTGGGGGCGGCCCAGATCGTGACCCAAGGAGTAAGAAATTGAAGCAATGAGGCTGAGAAGAGATCAGAAAGTCAAACAAACAAGGGCTGTCGCAACGACACGATATCAAGAGCAAAGGGCCAGAATTTTGACCTGTTGTCAAGATAGCTGCTCACTGCGTTCATCCACCGCCTCTTTATACACCCAGGCTCCCCAGGCCACTTCATCCGGCTTCAGCGACGTCCTGCTGCACAATGAGCTGGCATCCTCCCACTGGGAGGACCCACCCATGTACAACCCGTCCATGCCAATGGCTCCGCCATCTCCAGACGACAGCAAACGGCACCGACCGCCAGTCACTAGCAGGGCATCGTTGCCCAAGTCAGGTACGGCTACATGCACTCTTCGTCTGAAGATAACTAGCACCATTCTCACCGACCGCTCGTCTGCATCGCTAGATTGTGCGTCACGCCGCTCTAAACTCCCCTTACCCTCCGAACTAGTGGTGAGCTTCCGACTAGGCCATCGCGCATCCTCGCAGTAGCTAACTCCAACAATTTACTTCCACCATTAACATTGTACTTGAATCCCTATCCATCAGACGAATTATGCGCCGTGGCTTTTGACTAGCGGAGCAATGAGTATTGGCACTGGCCAAACTGCAGATGCAGTCAAAGAATTCAACATTCCTCTGTCCAGCCCAGCATTAATGACGGTCTACGTGTGGTGACCAAGCACTGCCAAGTTACTTACCCCCGAATAGTGAAGCTCCAAACTAGGTTGCAAACTGTTAAGAAATGGCCATGTCCCAGGGTAGTTTCTTGGAACATCATGCAGGCCATGTGGGCGCAAAGTGTCGGTGAAGCGAACCGAAATAGGCCTTCTTTTTATCAGTAGTAAAAGCTCTGGCTGATGCTAGATCGCAACGCTGTTAGACGCAAAGTGCCGTCTAGGGTCTTTCACCTAAACCTTATCAGAAGCAAGGATAGTTGTGGACCAAATCCTGGAGTTCACAGCTGAAGCTTCTGATGCTGGTTTGGGCTTTTCAGCTTTTGGCTCCGAGCAACTCTACGTAACCTTGCTGGCCTAGGTGGTTCAAATACCAGATGAATTAGAGCAGCCTCCGAGATCTTCAAAGCAGAATGGGAAAGGACATGTCTCTAGAGAGTATGTGATACCCTGTGGAATTCCCGCTTACTTGACGGATACAGCAAACAAAATAGGGCAATGGCCTGCTCCTATGTGGAGGCATCGGTGACGTGGGATCTCCATCCCCCATCTCCAAAGTACATCTGTGCCTGTAGGGTTCCAAGGTGGGATTAAAAACCGCCCAACCATTGGCCAGATCTTGTGTATGCTTTTCTGGGGAAACTAAGATCGGATTTCCAAAAGTCTAGGCTACGGAATCCGGTCGTATCAATATTCCGAAAAACTGCAGATCCTGGTGGCTCCACTAGGATTATTTCGCTGCTAGTTGAGCCTGGCGCGCCCAAGGCACGGAAGTGGCTAGGCCTGGCCCAAAGCGCGACAGGCTGAGTGGCTGCTGTCCAGGTCCAGTTGGAAACCACACTGAGATTATTCTTGCCTGTCGTCCCTTCGTATCTTTTGCGATTCCGCCCTGGAATTTTTTTTTTCTTTCCCCTTTTGCTGGCGGGCAACAACGCAATTTTGCTCGGGTACTGATCCGTTGATTTCCAATTTTGCCATTGTCAAATTGCTGCTCGGTTTGCTGTCAATTCTCGCGCGACTAGCATTTGCAATGCTGGAAACCTTTGGCTCGGACTACTAACCGTTCTCTCCTAACGCGCCGCCGCCTCTCGCAACTCGTCCCCATTTCCGCTTCTGCTACCTACCTTACATATTCTTTTCCTCCTTCTCCACCCAACACAACTCCTGTAGCTCCCTACATGCGCACCGACCTGCAGATTCGCAAAGTCTCTCGTCTCCCGCGTCCGGCGTTCTCTGAACTTTTGTGTCATTCCATCTCTCAGAACGACACGATCCTCGACGCTCTTCGGCTTTCCTCAACTTGCGCGCTCGCCCTACGGAGGTCTTTCCCGACTGCTTGATGGAGGATGAAGCTCTGGCGACGGTGAAGATGGAGGAGGTTAAAATCGAAGATAGCCCTGCGCCAAATGGCATCAAGATGGAGCGGGATACGAGCAGGACGTCTTCGCAGAACAAGAGCAGTCACGGCTCACGCGCCGTCAGCATGTCTCCCGGCGACGACAACGCCAACGACGATGCCGGCTCGACGCCGGGCACGAACAATCGATCGAGACTTTCTCGCAAGGTGTCGCAGAAGCCGGTGAAGCGTGAAGCGCCGCTTTTCGGCGACTTGCCTGATATGACGGAGGAATCATGCAGTACCTTCCAGGTTATCCCAGACTGCCTTTACGGATCGAAACACATGGGGTCTACTGATAATGATGCCTTGGACTGCGATTGCCGTTCCGAGTGGCGTAAGTTTCCCACGCCCTCCCTGAATGTCCACCGCGACGAGAGAATCCGAGCGGCCTCTGACTGAATTTACTGATGCAGAAGACGGAAAAAATTACTCATGCGGCGAGGACTCCGACTGCATTAACAGAGCGACGAAGATGGAGTGTGTTGTGGGTGTCGGCAATTGTGGCGATGGCTGCCAGAACCAGAGATTTCAGCGCAAACAGTATGCCAACGTTTCAGTCATCAAGACCGAGAAGAAGGGATTCGGCCTCCGCGCCAACGCCGACATGCAAGCCAATGACTTTATTTTCGAATACATCGGTGAGGTTATCAACGAACCGACTTTTCGGCGGCGCATGATGCAGTACGACGACGAAGGTATTAAACATTTTTACTTCATGTCGCTCACCAAGCACGAGTTTGTCGATGCGACAAAGAAGGGCAATCTAGGTCGGTTTTGCAACCATTCTTGCAATCCGAATTGCTACGTTGACAAATGGGTTGTGGGAGAAAAGCTTCGGATGGGTATTTTTACCTCACGCAAAATCAGGGCTGGCGAGGAGTTGGTGTTCAACTACAATGTCGACCGCTACGGAGCCGACCCGCAGCCCTGCTACTGTGGCGAGCCCAACTGCACTGGATTCATTGGTGGCAAGACCCAGACCGAGCGGGCAACCAAACTACCCCTTGCAACTGTGGAAGCCCTTGGTATCGACGATGGCGACAGCTGGGATACTGCCGTGGCCAAAAAGCCTCGCAAGAAGAAGCCAGAGGAGGATGATGAGGAGTACGTTAACAGCGTGCAGGCCCGCAGTCTCAATGAGGATGGTGCACGCAAGGTTATGGCGACCTTGATGCAATGCAAGGAGAAGTGGATTGCGGTCAAGCTGTTGGAGCGTATTCAGCAGTGCGATGATGAACGTGTGATACACTGTGTCATGCGCATGCACGCCTACCAGATCCTTAAGACCACCCTCAACACATTCATTGACGACCACAATGTCGTGCTTCAGGTCTTGAATATTCTCGACAAATTTCCCAGGCTGACGCGAAACAAAATCGAAGCTTCAAAGATTGAAGCGACAATTGACGGCCTTACACATTCAGAACATCAGAATGTCAGCGCAAAGTCAAAGAAACTGTTGGAAGAATGGGCAAAGCTCGAGCTAGGCTACCGTATTGGGAAGCGAAAGTTTGACCCCAACGCCTCTGCGACGAACTCCTTCCAAGAAAGACGCAACGCAGACCGCGAGGAAGACGTTACCGCCAAATCAACTCCCGATCCATTGCAGAATGTTGAGATTCCAAAAGGCCCACGAAGCAGCATGCCGCAACGAAACCCGCATTTCTTCAATGGGCCGCCTCGCCATCGAAGACCCCAGAATTTCCACAACAACGGCCCTCTGCCAGCCGGATGGTTCACAGCAGCAGATCAACGTGGAAACACCTACTTCTATAGTAAGAATGGTGTTACAACGTGGCAGCGGCCAACGAAGCCTGCCGACGCGCAAAAGCCAACTAACAAGGTTCTGCAAGAGCAACAATTGCTGAAAAACATTATTGATCAAGTCACAAAGGAGCAAACCCCCAGACCTTCAGCTTCACAGACGCCGCAGCGGGCCGAAACCCCTGTCCAAGAGACAAAGCAAGAAAAGTGGCGCTCTCTTAGCGTTGAAAAGCAGATGAAGATCTATGAGAATACGGTACGTATGCGCCCGTACTCAGCGATGAGCCCCTACTGATTCTGTTACCCCCAGCTCTTCCCCCACGTAAAATACGTGATCGATAAGTATAGACATAAATTGCCTAAAGAGGATCTCAAGAAACTTGGCAAAGATGTCAACAAGAAGCTAGTCTCATCGGACTACAAGAGGAACCGTGTACAGGACCCTACAGTCCCCTTGGATCAGAAGCAGGCCAGGAAGGTGAAGACCTACGTCAAGGATTTTCTGGACAAGGCCGTCGTAAAAATGAAGAGTTATGAGAGAGAGAAGGCTACACGACAGGACAAGACAAAAGGCCCAAGCTCTGCCCCTGCGGCTGCAGACGGTGATATCACCGTGGCTGATGTAGCTGATGAAGTGATGCTTTCGGATGATGAAGACGCCGGTTCAACGGGCAGCCCGGAAAAGAAGCGGAAGCGTGAGGAAGAGGCGGCTGAGTCACTGGACCTCACTCCTAATGATGGCCCTTCGACAAAGCGCTTGAGGGAGGATGATGTGGAGGACGGCGCACCACCGCCTCCTCCACCTCCACCACCCACAGAACCGGTTCCTACCGATTCCCCGGAGTCTCTGACTGAAGAGCAACAAGCGCTTAGAGAGCAGGAGGAAGCTCTGATGAGAGAGAATGAAGAAGCAGAGCGGCTCGAGGAAGAGGCCACCAAGGCCCAGGGAATGAATGAGGAAATCATGCCCCGGATAAACGGTGGCGTAATAGTAACTGGTGAAGGAGATCTCGCTAGCGACCCTCGCACCAAGGGCAACGAGACGGCTCGACAACAGGAGGTTCTCGGCCACTAGGTCTTGGCTGGGGTTTAAGGGAGAGGGGAAGACTACCCATGAAGCATGTGGTGTGAAGAAGAGGGCCTGCCGAGAACAAGTGAAACTCGGCATTGTACGTATAAGCAGGCATATTGCATTTTCTGGAAGGGAATCAGCAGACCCCAAGCACTTGGATGCTCTCTTTGTTTTGATTTTTCGTGTGGATATTCAAAAAAGCAGAAATGGTCATGGCTAAACGAAGCCGTAACCATTACGATTCATCACTTTTGATCAGGCGTGTATCCGGCGGCATGGGTGGATGGTCATGGACAGGCGGGCATTCCAGCATGGGTTCTCGGATAAGGCTAGGGGCAAAAGGCGTTGCTTATTTCACCTCGTGAGGTCAGAGGGGGGAAACGTCGAAAAGCATACCCACATCGCCATAAGTGGACATGGCATAGCATAATGGCACATTGATATTCTAAAACCTTTTTTTCCATGGTTCTTTATGCAAAATTCGTGACTGTCAAACTGACAGGGCTAAAGGGTGGAGGAGGCACAGTAACATACATATAAAGGTTTTTTGCCATTGAAGTGCAATAAAGCTCTCTGACTGTTGTCCCAAACTTTTTTTTCGTTTCTTTCCACCTTCCTTTGCAAAACGCCGTGCTACCCATGCCAGATTAAGGAGCCTTTTTGGAAGCCAACCCAGTACCAAAACCTTTGAGCCGCATTTCTGTGAACAAACTGTGTTCCGAATCGCAATATGAATTCTTCCAGACATACCGATCTTAAAGCTTCCCCACAGTGTATCGAGACAAGTTGCCAATTGGTAGAAACCGCTTGAGGGAAACCCCTCCCACCCTTTTAATCGTCGTCCACTTCCAAATCCGATTCTTCGCTGCTACTTTCATCGCCTCCCCTCTTCCTCTTTTTCTGCACTGGTAGCGGCTCGGGCGCCTCTTCCTTGCGCATAAACACAAAACTCCTGGCAGGCCTCTCCTCACCCTTCCACGCGGCGCCGCTGGCCTCTCCGGTCTTCTTCTCTCTGACAACCCCCAACGTACGCGCGTGGCGGTACCCGGGGTACGCCTTCGAGTGGAACTTGAAACTCTGGAGGGACTGCAGGCCAGCGTGTCGGCCGAGGTCCTTGATGTTCCAAAGTGTATACGGGTCTCCTTCGAACAGCGTTACGATGATGGTGCCTTTCGGCGCGAGGGAGGGTATGGCGGAGTTGAAGAAGGAGACGAGAAGCTCCTGGTTGTAGCGTACTTGGCGGTTGCGGTCGGTAGATTTGCCGCCCACGTGGGGGAAGTTGAAGATGATGCGCTTGTAGAGTCCTTGCTTGGTGGTTTTTGAGATGCCGTGGTGGGTTTGGGTTGTGGAGCGCTTGACGAATGGTTTCATTGTGCGGGCGTCGACGTTGTAGAGGATCTTGTTGTTGTTCGGGACTGGAGGTTTGTATGCTTCTTCTTCTTCGTCTTCGACAGGTTCTCCCTCGGGTGCGCCCGTTTCGTCGGCGTCGGCGTCGTCATCGTCATCGTCGTTGTCGTTGTCGTTGTCGTTGTCGCTGCCGTTGTCGCTGCCGTTGTCGCTGCCGTTGTCGGCGGTCTTGTCTTTTGGTTTCTCAGACTTTGAAACTGCGCCGGTGATCTTGGCGATGTTCTCTTCCGCGTGCGGGTACTTCTCCAGCAGCTCCTTCTCATTCTTCTCAAGCACGGTGGCCGTCAGGTTGCGGCAGTCGTGGTGGGCGGCGAGACTGGCCGCAAAGCTGAGGTCGCCCTCGCCGATGAGGAGGATGGTATCTTCCGAGGCGAAAGGGATAACTGGTTCTTGGTTCTGGTGGTACTGCTTCTGCTCCTTCTTCTTTGTGCTGTTATCATTCGCGGCGTTATTCTTCGCCTTGCTCTTCGAGGGGCCGGGTCCTGGACCTCCATTTGGTTTCTTCTTTTTACCGGAGTCGACAAAGTGGTTTTGGTGAGTCGGGTTCTTGCGCTTTTTACCCATCTTGAATTCCTAAGAGAGATGCGATGGTGCGCCGTGCGGGCCGGGCCGTAAATACGGGATTAGACGGGAGGTTGAGGTTCGGCGTGTGTTGCGACGAGGTGGGATGTAATGGTGTTGCTACCCGCGTCCGCGCCGAAGTACACTTACCCCACGGTCACCGACAACTTTTTTTTTTCTTTAGCTCTTGACCGAAGGTGAGTAGCGCCCCCCGGCGGCTCGGGAATAGACGAGGTTCAGCCGTGGTCCGTGGCTGGACATTTATTTACTAAGCTAAGGCAAAGCTTCCTTCCTCCCCTGGACGGGGCGACACCGGATTATGGAGAAGCGCAGGGGGGCCGAATTTTGGAACTGGAGACTCAAGGTACACTATACTTTACCACGTTAACAGTGGCTGCAAAGTTCTGTTCAGGGACTTCTCAGAGTGGGAACGTCTCCACCCTGGGCAGGTGTTGTGCGGTGTGGACTTTTTTTTTCCTGCTGGAACCTTGAATGGTTTTTGCAGGGAGAGGAACAAATTCGGCATGCAGTGCAGTGATGCGATGCGAAGGGATTGGTAAACCTGATCGTATCGTAATACTGTGATGTGGACGCTCTTTCGCTAACCTATCGTTGATCTTTACGAGTGGCATCCGTGAGTGAGTGTTCGTAACACTCGTCTTTTCCTAATTATTTAAAAACAAATAAAATAAAAATCGCTTCTGGTGGACCAAAGTTCAAATGAGGCTTACAAAACCTTGAGTGTTTAGCATATTAACGGACGCAAGGGAGAATAGTGCAGCATTCCAGGATCGTGTTTCTGTGTTGCTGGAGCAGGGTCGTCGTTATTACCTTGGGGGCTGTTTTTTTTTTTTCTCGGGACTGTCCACGGAGATCGGTCGCACACAGAACTTCGGCGTCAACATCTCAGGAGATACGTAATCTGGTTCCGTTCTTCATCACACCATAGGACCTATTTGGCCACAGCCAACACCGACTTGCATCTCACTTGGCACTGGGCATTGGAGGCTGGAGACAGAGAAGCAGTCCCGGTTGGAGCTCGGGATCTGGGTAGGAGAGGGCCCACTTCACGGACGGGACCAGGTCCTGAAAAGTGCTCCCCGTCCGACTCGTCCGAACTAAGTACTGGGCGAGTGAAAATGTCTGTTCACTGCCCTTACTTTGCGTAGTAAATGCTTCTCGCGGTGAGACGGAAAAAACAACACTGGGGTTTTCCCAATGGGTGAATAGGATGATGAGGACAAAATAAAAATCAATGGGGCTCCTATCATCACCGTAGGGCAGAACGAATTGCCACTTGGCCCAACGGCGTGGCTCATTCCCAAACCTAAGAGTAGGTAGACAGAGCCGTGTGGAATACTTTTGGCTGCTACTTGGTGGCTTTCGTCACGTCAGAGGGACGGGATGGGTACACGGAAGTCGGGGAGTTAACAGACAAGCCACTCTCTGGTTAAAAACAAATCTTTTTCCCTTTCTCTCCAGCTCCCTCTCTTTGAATATTGGGCATGTAAGCGTTTTAATGCCACTGTGCTTGTCTGCTGACTCTGTGTTCTGCATCCGGAGTGGTTGTTATGTGATGATTTGACACGTTTGCTGTCAATGCCAGTCGTCATTCAATAACCCCAGATAGACGCCAGTCAGCCCGCCTAAACGCTTGACTTCATGCCGGAGCAGGCGGCAGTGAGGAGAATGGCTGGATGAAAGAATAAGACTATACACCACAAAATGCCTCCTTGACGGTATCTGTGCCTTTCCCCAGATGCATTCTTCGTCGGTTGGCCCGCCAAGTCGCAAATCCCCCGTTCCGAGGACCTGAGCGGCCCAGCCAGCAAAGGCAGCAGGGTTAAAAAAAAAAAAGAAAAAAAAAGGCTTACACTGAGCTGAGAGGGTCCTGGCTCTCTGCCCAGAGCAAGTGATGGTGACCTTCACGGGTGCGGGTGCGTGTACGCGACTGTAGACTGCCAGATGGCGGTCCGTAAAAGTACCGGGTACCTTCTCCTGTCGGCAGGGGTGAGAGACTATTTTCGGTTGACGGATTATCTAGCTCTCCGGACGAATCATCGTTCGAGAAATGATGCCGACTCCTACCAGATTGGTGTAAGTGTGTGCAGGACAGTGCTAGGCTGGGCCTTGCCTTCCGCCTCGCTGTAGCAGGGTGGTCACGTCTGCTCCTGCCACTGCTGTTGCGCTCCGCCTGGTCTGGTATTATTTGCAAAAGGTAGGAAGGGGAAAAAAGCGAACAACTCTTCGTCCACGCCGCAATTCAACAACCCATTCGCGCCACTCCAAGACCTACAGCTGTGTCTGCGGAAGCTTCTCATCTTTATTCTGATCACATTTTTACCCTGCCTACGCTGGTCTCTCATTGAGAAAAACCCGGTCGTTCAGAGAGTGAGAGAGACTGAGAGGCCAGGCGGCTGCTTTTTCTTAGCCCACACCCATTGCCATCCGTCCAATCCACACCCTCGTCTTTCTCTCCGAACAGCCAACAACGAGCTTCTTCAACCTGAAAGCTCTACACCTTCCTCCCCTTACAGAGGCAATCGCGCTGGTTCACGCACTCTAGAGCGACTGAATTACCTGCGGGCGGAGACTCACTCGATTTTTCTGCTAGCTGTCTGCTACACTCATCTCCTTCCCTCACGTCTCATTACACCATACCCGCTCTCACTTTTGCCTCCACACTTACCCCCATTTCACCTCCCCCAGTCAGTCACGTATCTTTCATGACCGGCCACCACCGCCATCATGTCAGACACAGAGACACCGGAGCAGTCTGCTTCGACTCCAACGCCCCAGCCGACGCCCAAGGCCAAGGGCAGAGGTAGGGGACGGGGCAAGAAACCCGCCGTTCCTAAGAAGGAACCCCCAAAACCCGTCCCAGTGGCTGGAACTGGTCGACGCGGCCGCTTCAAGCAGTTCAGCGACGACAAAGTCCAGGCGTGCTATGAACGCCAACGCGAGCTCAAGGCTCAATATGCAGCTCTTGCTAACGCCGTAAAGCCTGCTCTGCAGGATCTGGCTAGTCGCTCCGTCAGGAAACTGACCAGAGACGGCGAGTACTACACCCAGGTGCCAGAGTTTGACGTGGTTAAAAGCCACCTCCAACAGCGCTTCTCGACCAGACTTGATGTCGCGGAGAACAAGCTCGCGATTGATCAGAAGATGGTCATCAACTCCAGAGAGGAGCAGCGCAAAGCAGTACAAGAGATTTTTGAGGTACGTGTGAGACCGAAACCGACATGTCATGTTTTTACCCTGGTCCTCCGCTAACTGGCGGTGATCCGCGGCATTAGAACGGATTTGAAGAACTTGAAGACAGATTTTTAGATGCGCAAATTCATCGCCTCGACATTCTGGAGTATCTTCATGATCACGGCCTGCCAATTGACGTGAGTATCTTTTTTTTTTTTCCTTTTCTTTTGTCAGGCGGCAAATTGCTCACGCGCTGCTTCAGCTTGTCGACGGTGGCTGGAACTACAAGCCCATTTCTGACAAAGAAGCGTCTGAATTTGGCATCTATGAAGTCTACATTGACGGTCATCTTGTGCCTTACCCTCAACTGGTCGAGGGAACTGAAGCCTACGCTCTTCGCCAGGCTGCGTGGGCAGAGCCTCAACAAAAAGAGGCGGCGGCAGCACCCACCGCCTCTGCACCACGGACCAAGCGCAAGGCCAAGGACCAGCCCGATGGCCAACCCGCCTCCAAGCGCACCGCAGGTGATGTCGCGCCTGCTAATCACGTGGCGGGCATCATGTCGGCCCAGCATGCTCCAGTAGAGGACGAGTCTAATGAGAGCACGCCGGTTCCTGAGGGGCCGGTTACTGCCGACCAGAGAGAGCCTGCGCTGCCTGCAAAGGCGTCGGAGCCGGATGATTACGGCTGCAGGCAGGTCAACCGCCCACCGGCCAAGAACGGTGCCATGATTGCCAACCGTATCATCGTGCCCCCAACCTTTCAGTTTGACGATGATGAGATCGGATATCGTGACTCGACCAATTCGGCGAAGCATGGCGCCACCGTCGCCAAGCGAGGCAAGTACTTTGGTAAACCCAACTCCAACACCTGGCACTACGACCCTCTTCTTGCGCGATGGGACGCTCGTCTTGTGGAAGAAGACGACATGGACAAGGAGCTTGTAGAAAAGTTCGCTGTTCACCCTCGCTACGGCTACTTCCTTCCCACCAGCAAGAACGAGGCTGAGCCACCAAAGCCGGAAGCCAACCCAATGCATCCGACTGTCTACCTTACTCCGTCCGGCCAGACAATTCATGCTTCCCGTGTTATTCCTGTCGCGAAGGTCGAAGCTGCCGTTCAGGACAAACCTTTCCAGGACAAAATGTCATCAATCCTCACAGCTGTTTGCGAGGCGAACGACATTACAGAGGAAGAGATTGAGGGAGAGGAGCTCAAGCAGCTCAAGGAGATATCGGCTGAGTATGCTGCGCAGAGAGCACATGCTGAGTCAATCAAAGAGTCCATGAGCGTGGAGGAGACCCCTGCAGGCTCTCCTCTGCCCTGCAACGATTCCGCTCTCAACATTGCTGGTCTCGAGGATCTCATCAGCGCCGCCGACGCAGTTGAGGCAGAGCAGAAGGAAACCAAGCCTGTCGAAGAGAAGCCGGTCATAGTTCAGCCTCCCACTCCGGCCAGACCCACGACTCGTGCATATGATGCAATTCGAGATATTTTTGGTGGTTCCGAGCCAGCTGTCACTGAACCTGCGACTCCTGTTATTCCCCATGAGACTCTGGATACCTCGGCGCTGTTGGTTCTTGCCGGCGCCTCCACTGGCGAGTACCAGCCTCGACCTGTCGACATCCCAATGGCTGATGCACCCCCCGCCCACGCTGCTCCAGCCGATGGTCAACCTCACCACATGGAGCCCAGCTATCCCATGCAAAGTACGCATGCTGACTCTCAGATGACGATTCCTCCTCCCAGCAACTCTGGATGGGTTGAACCCCGTCTTGCCTCGCCCGGACCAGACCGTATTCACCCCTCTATCGAGCACCAGAGCCAGCTGCCTCCAGCTCGCCCGGTTGAGATGTCGCAAATGAGATCATCGATTGAGCCTTCCAACGACAGTCGTCGTCACTCTATGTACCCCGAGCATAATGCTCCTCCTCCCTACTACGAGCAGCATATGCCACCGCCCCATCCACAGCAACATTACATGTCTGTGGACCCCATGATCGACCCACGCCTCTACTCTGCACCCATGGAAGCGCCGCCAGCTGGACATCATGATTACCACAACACCGCCTACAACCAACCCCAGCAACCGTACCATATGTCGGCTATCCCAATGCAAGGAGGACCGATGCCACCCGCCCCTTCGCAACTTCAACAATCAGGCTCCACATCTCGAATGCCTTTTACCAACCCGGCTCAGGATAGAAGCTCCCCGCTTCCTCCTCTGCGCCCGTCTCGCGGCCGCAAGAGCGCTCCCGCTGCGCCAGAGACCATGTCAGCTGAGCATCAACAGGCCCAACAGCAACCGCCTCCCCCTTATATGAGCAGCAACAGCGGGTCCTTTTACCCTCCTGGTCCACCGAGACCTTATCACAATGGCTATACCAATGAGCAGCCCGGCATGTCCATTATGGCACCGTATCCTTCGTATGGCGGCTCACAGCCTCCTCCACCCCCACCCCCACAACAATCTTCTTACGGCCCCCCGGGCATGTCTCCTACCAATGCGTCCGTCGCGCCAGCGCAGAGCCCACCTTCGCTGCAGTTCGTTCAGCAGCAGCCCAATGATCCTGCCTCGAACAGCCGTGCTGGCAGTGGCTCGTCGACGCCAAATTCTGCTGCCAACAGTCGATACCCAAAGTTGGCACCAGCCCCCATTCCTCCCCACCGGGTTGGCTGGCCCACAGGCCCTGAGCTTCGGACAGTCCAGTATGACTATAAGGAGAACATCAAGGACTATGCACCGACCGAGCCCCCGCCGCGTCGTGGCCCCGTCCAAATCCGTGGTTGGAATATCAACAATAACAAAATTCAGCGCCAGCGGGCGGAAGATAACGGAGACGAGCGTCGAAGCTCTCGCTAGAAGCGGGGCCGAAAGGCGGAAGAATTAGCACGAGTTCTGCGAATTTCTCTTTGTGTACACAGAGAAACGGAACGGGAAAAGCGAAAATTTTATGTATTATCATCTTGATTGTTTTTGATTTATACCACAGAGTGCGTATGCTCTTCATCGCGGAGAGCGCGAGAGCTAGGGCTGAAAAGCCAATAGGGCTCCTCAAAAGTTTAAGGGGGGCTAGGGCCGAGAGGCCGTGGTCAAAACGACCAGAATATATTAGGCATGATAATGAACACGAAAGAAAAATTGGATCAGTTTTATGACTTTACAAGCATTTGATTTGAACCTGTTATGTGACTTTTCCAAGTTGCCATCCTTTCACTAATGCTCCTGGTCCGCCTCCACAAAAAGAGTGACTTGAGATTATGGCTACGTTTTAGGGAGACACGGCATCTCGTATGTTTCTCAACATGGGGAGACACGATTGGTGTTGTGCTGTGAACTGGTATTAGACGCAATTTTTCGTTTGACTACGGCCATGGCTAATATTACATATGTCCGAACCCCCATTTCTCCCACCCTCCACAGTGGCGAATGTATCAAGATGGAAATTCTGTAGCTCAACTCCTTGTAAGCAAACTGTTGTACACAATGGATGTGAAGATCGCCCTTTTTTTTTTTTTTTTTTTTTTTTTTTTTTTTTTTTTGGCTATTTGGGCCCCTCAAGCATTGGGCAGCTCTTTGCTGCCACCAGAGAGCATCGCATGAGCCAAGGCTGAAATGACTACTGAGTCATGATCGGATTGTTAAAGTCCACCGTGCCGTCCATGTTCATCATCATGCCAGGATCGGGTCCAACCATTCCGCCACCGTTCGGAATGAGACCGCCCGCGCCCGCGAGTGACAGCAGCCCTCGGCCAAGCTCGCCAACGGGATGTAGAGGGTAGACGGAAGCTTCCATGCTGTTGCCGTCGAAGACGACCATGTTCTGAATGGGCTGCTGTGTTTGGCCGAGAACGTTGATGACGTCCTGGGCAAGCTGTCCTCCGAGGATGGCCGTGACGGGAGCTATCTCACTACCGATGTTCTGCAAGAAGCTACGCAGAATCTCGGAACGAAGAGTCTCGGAGGGGAGGCCGAGCTGGGCGTGCTTGGCCGTTGCCAGCTTGGTAAAGAGGCCTAGGTCCTCCTTAGTATGACTAGGAAGACGACCGCCGTTAAGGACCTGGAAGTCCCAGAGAGCTCGCAGGCAGGAGATGACGGGGCTGACAGCTTTCCTCCGCCGCACGCTCTTCGCATACTCCTCAGGCAACGTGGCACCGTCACTAGCAAGGTACCAGGTCGAGTAGAGCTCGCGTTTCGTGACCACCTCGATCGTCTTGCCGCCCTCCTTCTTCGTGTTAACGGCGATGACGCTGCGGGTTCTCGTCTCGGGCTGTAGCTTGGTTGCGACGTTGCCGAGGTCCCTCTCAATGACGTAGTCGTGCTCGATAAGGTCGGAGAAGATAAAGCCGTACATGCCGTGAGTGCCGGCGGCGTAGAAGGACTTCTGGTGCAGGCGGGTGGCGGTATTAATGATGTTGAGGGAGTCAGGATCCAGATCGGTGGCGATTACGATATCGAAGCCGGAAAAGTAGCTTGTACCCTTGGACTTGATGCCCTCTGCGTCGATGTGAACCGCGACGCGCGGGTTAAGCTTCTGTATGGCGGCTGCGGCGGCCTGCGCGCGGTTCTGTCCAACATGGTTCTCCTCCTCAGAGAGGAAGAATTGCGAGCCCAGGTCCGACTCTGAGACAGCGGCGCCATCGAGGATGGTCAGAGATCCGATACCAGCGAGGACGAGGTTCTTTGCAATCTCATTTGCTAGAGCCTTCATGGTGATGAGGAGGATGTTGGCGTTACGGATCTTCTCCTGAGCCTTCATGCCCCACAGGCGGATTTGACGGTCGTAGAGCGCAATCTCATCTGAAGGTGGTCAGGTGTCTTGTAAGTGCACGTAGAGAAGGGGGCGAGGTACCTGCGCTCATGGCGTTGGCAGGAATACCGGGCAAGGCGCCATTGTTGATGAGCATTTGTTGGGCATCCGGCGGGAGAAGCTGAGGCATGAACATCTCGCCCGTAGGCAACATGCCGGGGAGCATTTCAGGCATAGCACCGGGGATGACCTCCTGAAGAGCCTCGGGAAGAACCTGATCCATGGGCGCGGTGTGAAGGTTGGGATTAAAGCCGTTGGATGGATCAGGCATGGGGTGACTCGGTATCGAGAACTCTTGAGCTGGAGCGTTGTTGTTAGGCACGGCGGCCTCTTGCGCGGGCTTGTCCTGGGTGTTTGTTTGGTCCTCCATCATAAACGGGGTTGGTGAGATGAGATGGAGATTATAGATGAGGGCCGGATAGAAACGCGTATATGTAAAAGGTTGGTTCGGATGAATAAGTGGATAACCGATTCTTTGGGGACGCCCTTAAGATGACTTTGCGCGCAAGTGCCTAGCGATGAGATGCACAGGCAGTTGCAACGAATTGGGAGGTGGATGTAAGGTGAAACCGCGTCAGGTAAGAGCTCGGTGAGTACGCCGTAAGAAATGTTGCGGGTATCGAAGAATTTGTCTCAGGTAGCTGCAATTGGGACCAAGGAGATGAATTCGTTGGAATGAAGTTTGTTGATCGAAGAGAAGTGATGGCGATATAAAGATACCGCCGTAGGGTCATGAAAAGCAAGGCTGAAGGCTGGAGAGGTTCACTGAGAGAGGCTACAACAAACAGAAATTGTTAACGTGCCGACTAGGCAGGCCAGACATAAGACCGGAAGTGGCACGGACAACGCGTTAAAACCACGCTAAAGTGGTACCTACTTTTCAGAATGCTATACATACTAACTAGAAGTAGCTGCTAGCATTCGGGGCGATGTCTCCTTCCCTGCATCATAGGTTCTCACAGGCACAGAACCCCGCGATGGACAGGGCCAGGGGCTAACTTTAGTGGGCGCATCAGGGCGATCCCACTCTGCCACCGTTTACCTCGCCTCCTGTCGGATCGGGGCTTTGAAGTAGCAATCCAAAGCCTGTCCAACTCTCACCACCGACCAACCAACTTCTGACTACTACTGGCCTGCTGACGACTGATTGAGGTGCTGCGGCTGCCCTTCGCGCCAGCGTCTTTCTGGCTCCCTCGAAACTCTCGCTTCCCAGGCTCTTGAGAAAACCTCGAACCCATCTGATTGCTGTTTCTCCTTTGCGACAATTAACGACCCCCCTGTAAGCCGCCCCTCGCCCGCAAATACCTCCTGTGTGAGTGCACCCCCCAGTCGAAGAGGTTCCGCCTTCACATTCGAACCCTACTTTCGGCATCTTACAGTCTCGGGATTGAAGAATTCTCCCCTGTGCAGCTTTTTTCGTGTTTTTTCTCGGTATCCTGACAAGTTCGCTAGCGCTGAACCCTCGATCGGATAACTGCAGCTTGCTTTGCATTTGACGGCGTTTGTTTGCCGACATCAGCGCCATCACTAGATCCCGCCGAAGCCACCACTCAAATAACCCACAATTCTTACGTCGACACGACACCGCTAATCCTCCCACACCTTCCGACCACCTGACATCTGCGAATAGAGGATCAAAGAGCTGTTAGAGCCGGTCCCGCTTACTGGCGCCATCGTCGCTGGGCCTTAATACTGTCCCCGACGAAGCATGTCTTCGCAGCGGCCGGACCCCAGTCAAAATCCTCAACGGCGAGACGACGATTTTCCGCCCCTACCGCCATATCGCAGACTACCCCCACTACCGCCCTTTGCCTCGACCCGCGGGCCCCATCCCCCGCTTCCGCCTCGACGACACCTCTGGGACGTTGAACCACACACGGCCTCAAGAGAAAACGAAGAGACGGAGGGCGTTCTCCGCTTCGCACGGCAGATGGCCGACAGGAACTTTCAGGCTGAATACGACGAGCTCTTGGGCAACTTTGTAGGCAATACCTTGAATGGTCTCACGGCGTTCATGTCCGCAGCGCAAGACGACATCAACCCTGACCGAAACAACCCACGAAATCGGAACCAAGCGGCTGGCTTGTTGGAAACCTTGCAGAACGATCAAAGAAGAGAGGACGACTCCCGTCGCCAGGCGATACAGCTACCCGCGGTTTTCGGTTATAGGACCATTCGATCCCTGGGCGGGCGACAACGATCTGACGGTGCCGAGGACGATTTGGAGGCAGTTAGAGCACTGTGGAATCGGCGAACCCAGTACAGCTCCTCGCCATTTTCCCCGCCCAGGATGCCTCCCAACATGTCTCCGCCTCACCTGTCGCCACTTCCTCACTCGGAGGAATATCCTGAGGAAAATCGCCGCGCAAAGAGAAGAAAGCTGGACTCTGAACGGGCCTCACAAAGTTTCAAGGGATTTCGCTATGGACGGTATGGACAGGTCGAGCCGGGCCAACTGAAAATGGAGATTCTCAGCTGTGACGGAGGGTTGTTTGAAAACGCCTCTTCGTATGCTTACGAGAACATCTTGAGGGACGATAAGACCGTTTATTGCACACAATCTAACAGATGCAACATCATCTTGCGGCACCAGGGTGGGACGGCGTTCAGTCTCAAAGAGCTGGTAATCAAGGCACCAGCCGTGAACTACTCTTCACCGTAAGTGAGCCCTATCAGTTGAGTGTGCGGATCGCAGCTGACCCTTGATCCAGAGTAAGAGAGGGCATGGTATTTGTGTCTATGAATCAAGACGAGGTCCTGACGCGGACCGCGCAGTATGAGATACAGTATGCTCCATTAAGGTCTGGCGGACCTGCAACTACCAGGGCGTTGGCCCCAATTATATCCATACGACACCACGAGGATGGGACCACTGTGACCAGAACACACACTCGGCAGAGACGGTTGTACAATATGGGCGGCGATGATGATGAGAACGAGCAGCGAACGGCGCAAATACCGGCGGAATTCACAAGCCAGCTACCCCCCTTTAACATTACAACCGAATGCAGCTATGAGGAGATAGATGATGAAGACGCACCGAGAATCCCTATCAACAGGCGAGCGCCCAATAGGATAGGATCCTTACCCTTCGAAAGCGATAGTAGCGATGACGGCAACCCATTCGCATCAGACGAATATGGTTTCGAGGATTACTCTTTCAATAATAGGCGTCGGGACCAGTCGGATACTTCTTTGGCGGAGGCTGTTGAGGCGAATCAGATGGCAACCCAGGAGGCTGTACGGGCTGTAGGCGGCGAATTGATGGCCCCGCACGCGAAATTCTTCATCGAGAAGGAAAAAAGCAAGTGCACCATACGGTTTGATCCTCCAGTATCGGGGAGATTCATACTGCTCAAGATGTGGAGCAGTAGCCGGGCCTCGGGTAGCAACATCGATATACAAGCAGTTCTCGCCAAAGGATTCGCAGGACCGCGGTATTTTCCGTCAGTAGAATTGCGATGAGGTTGAGAAAACATTGGATGAACAAGACACGTCATGAATTTCCTATTCTTAGCAAGGGTGGCTGCGTTGGTCGTGATGGATACCGATTGGCGTTGCGATTTTTAGAGGTGTACAGCTGTTTTCAAGTGACATAGCAAGTCACACTATCATATACCAACTGGGAATATACTTTTAGGTTTCACTTGGCCAGTTATGTTCTTTCAGCAGGATGCCTCAGCGTACTGCTTCGACATGGTACTTTATGCTGAGCTGACGTTGGCCTGACCAAACTTACAATATGTGAAGCACTAATAAGACTGGGGTTTTTTCTCAAAGTGCAAAGTGTGGTGAGCGGATTCACATATACCAAACTGCGTCATTCATCAAGTGATGATTCAAGTTCTGCTAGCTGTACGCTCACTTGTAGTTGTCTTTATGTGTTGAATCTGATTTGATGGATCGACGGCGAATCCACCAATCACCGGCCCGGCGCAGGTCATTTCGGTCCTCATAGTGTCCCGCAAAACCCAGAATGAACGAAAACGCATCACTCACACACACTCACATACTTATCCTCTTCGACATCAACAACAACCTTCTTTCAAACCCAAACTCTTAACAATACCTACATTGAATTATTATCAATACAAGTGGAGTCGGTGAAGTAATAACTTAAGAATTGCCCATAACTCGACAGCTGCAACAATGAGCCACGAACTCACACTCATCGTTGCGGCGACGCGCAACATGGGCATCGGAGCCAAGGGTGGTCTCCCTTGGACGGGACTGAAGAAGGAGATGGCGTATTTCGCCCGGGTAACAAAGAGGCTTCCAACACAGGTGAGCAGTTATCTTTCTCCTCGTCCACCAAAGCATTCTTTTCTTACCCTTTCTGAATTAAATATGTGCGGGCTGCATCTTCACAACCATCTTCCCTGATTCCCAATTTACCCAATCATATAATCGAGATTAGCTAACAACCGTTGGCAACCCTAGGCTCCCTCTGGGGCAAGGAACGCAGTGATCATGGGCCGTAAAACCTGGGACAGCATCCCTCCTCGTTTCCGCCCTCTCAAAGGCCGCCTCAACATTGTCATCAGCCGTTCCTACCCTGCGCTGGACTTGTCAAACCCAGCCCCCGCAGACTTTGACAAAGAGCCCGTGAAGGTCAGTTCGCTGGAGCAGGCCCTGTCTTTCCTGCGCAGCCGCTCCGATAGCGCAGACGTGGGCAAAGTCTTCGTTATTGGAGGCGCGCAGATCTACGCCGCCGCGCTGGAACTGCCTGAATCGAAGCGAGTGCTGTTGACGAGAGTCTTGGGGGATTTTGAATGTGACGCGTTCTTCCCGCTCAAGCTTGGTGGTCAGGACTCAGCTGCGGACTGGAGACGGGCGGAGAAGAAAGAGTTGGACGAGTGGGTTGGTGAAGAGGTTGAAGGGGGCGAGATCGAGGAGAATGGCACGCGGTATGAGTTCCAGATGTGGGAGAAGGCTTAAGATGAGTTTGTTTCTTTCTGGATAAGAATACTACATTTTTTACAGACAAGGAACTTTTATGCCTCCCACCCCTCAGTGTCTTTAGTATGCCAATGAATTGTACAAAATTACAAGGCTTACCGCATCCTCGCGGCGAACCAATCTCGATGGTATACAAGCAACATGGCACCGTTCGTGTTTGTTTTATTGCAAGTGACACGCGGGGGGACAGCTTACGGCCCGGGTGCCTTCGCAGCCGTCTCCTCCACCGCCTCAATCTCTTCGTACAGCGAGCCCTGCCTGACAGAAACCGGCTCCGGCGGGGGCAACTCCTCGCCCTTGGCACCCAACTTTTCAAAGTCACCTTGCAGCTGAGGTCCGAACGCGTCGACAAGCTTGAACATGTCACGCAGGTCCCGCTTGAACACCCGGCGGGGGCTCACCAGTAGGTCCTCCACGGCGCCGGCCTCGAGATCACGCAAGCTGGCGCGGATATAAGCCACGACGGCCGCGATCTGTCGCATGTCGGCGCCCTCGCGCGACTTGAACAGGTTTCGCCAGACGGCAGCACCCAGGACGCGGTCGTCCTTGATGACGCCCTCGTCGTAGGCCGCGATCAGCCCGCGCCACTGGACAAAGATCTCCTTGAGGTAGCGCTGGCGCAGGGCGGAAGAGGTCATGCCGTGGTTAAGGTGCATCATGCGCTCGCAATCGAAGAAGAACTGGTCGATGAACTGGTGCTGGAGAGCCTGTGCGGCGTCGCGTTCGAGGCAGCGGAGACGGGCGAGCACGAGGTACATGTGCAACATCGTGGTCTGGGACCAGGAGCTGAAGGAGGGTTGCAGGTCGAGAACTGTTGATTTAAACAAGAATGTCAGCATGTGTACAATCCTTCGCACCGGGGATTTGAAGCGAGGGCAACGTACGTTCGAGCCAAGGTCCTTCGGCTACGCCAACCTCCTCGCCGTCCTCCGTCATGCGGACGGTCTCGCGGCGACGGTCCTCTTCGGAGATGGTGTAGAGCGCGGGTTTCGAGCAGGACTCGTACAGGGCCTCGAGGCGGGAGGTTGTCAGCGACGCGGCCATTGTCTTGGGCGCCGCGGCAAGCATGCCGGCCCTCACGGCCTGCTTGAAGCTCGAGTTGCTATCATTTCGTCGGGAAGTGGATTGGCTGAAGTATCTCCTGCCCGTCGCCGCTATCGGACTTGTCGTTTGTGTCGTGGAAGCAGCGGAAGCTATTGCCGTCCGGCCGGCAAGGGAGCTCTTGGATGATGTGCTCGAGAGGTCCGCGGTCGCTCGAAGGCTCCGGGCTAGAAGCCGGGCTTGGTACCGGCAGCTTTGGCAGGCCATTTGCTGTTGAAATTTTCTCAGGGTGTCAATATCGAGCTGCGCAAAAGGAGTGTGAGTTGCCGAATCGGGTTTAAAATCTTCGTTATTTTTTCTCGGTGTTGTCCCTAGCTTGGACCCGAATTTGCCAGGCTCGAATCTGAACGTCATCCAAAAAAAAGTTCATGAACACATCGAATTGGAAATTTTGGAGCTAGCGCATGCCATGCCGGCGGAACCTCGGGACGTTCTGGTAGGTCTCTGGTATCTGATACAGTGTATTTAAGGGAATTTACACTGTATCAGAATCTCGGCACTGTAACTCTGCCTTGACATTCTCAATTCGACGTTACCTATTTTACTTCTAACTTTTCTCTTAGAATTAATCATATCAGAGTTGCGTCAGTATTATCAGATTCTTAATTATACGAAAGACATGTTGTTGGCAATGCGTAAATGTCGTCTGTAGAAGGTTCAGCTAAGACGATGGTGACTCGAAGGTTGCCGACATGCAAGAAAGCAATATGCCGGGGGAAGGTCAACCAAAATAGAGTTGAAGCGACTTTGAGACGATGGTTTACTTTTTATCGGCAATAATATCTCATACAAGTGGTGTGGTCAATAATACAGCGAGGGTGATGACGACTACACCCATCTCATCTCGTAGAGATCTAAACCCAAAGTCTAAGTAGGGAAGAATGCCACTAATACAAGACCCAATAAGATGGCCGTACCCGTCGCGACATGGTTATTCTTACTTCCATCGCCAGCGATTTCCCTCTAACGTACCTTGGAAAAAACCAACGAAGCATTCGTTCCACCAAAACCAAAACTATTGGACATGGCAACGTTAACCTCCTTTTGCTGCGCTTTGAGAGGCACCAAATTCATGGACCCCCCAACGTCTGGATTTTCAAGATTCAGAGTGGGCGGCACAATGTCCTTTTGCAGAGTCAGTTATGTAGCCATGCGACCAAAGTCTGGGGAAGACAAGGTTTCGGTTTCAAAAGCTAACAGCCGCAACCTGGACTCACCTGCGCCACGGATAAAACGGTAAACAAGGCCTCGATGGCGCCAGCCGCTCCTAAAAGATGACCTACGGCGCCCTTTGTGCTGCTCACAGTCACCTGCGACTCGTTTGCGTGTCCCTCCTCGCCCGTCATAATACTTCGAATCGCAGAGGCTTCTGCCACATCGCCCACTTGCGTTCCCGTAGCGTGGGCGTTGATGTAACCTACCTCGGCCGGCCGGATGCCAGCATGCTTGAGGGCAAGCTTCATGGCGCGGAAGGCTCCACGGCCGTCCTCTCGCGGAGCCGTCATGTGGTTGGCGTCGCCACTACAACCGTAGCCTCTTACTTCAGCGTAGATGTGGGCACCCCGGGCCTTGGCATGCTCGAGTTCCTCCAAGACCAGAACTGCCGCTCCCTCCGAGACGACGAAACCGTTGCGGTCGCGGTCGAAGGGACGACAGCTGGCGGAGGGGTAATCGTTGTAGGCCGTGGAGAGGGACCTTGCCCTCCCAAAACCAGCGAAGGTCAAAGGATGGATGCAGGACTCCGTACCGCCAGCAACCATAACATCAGCGTCACCAAAGGCAATGAATCGCATGGCATCGCCAATAGAGTGCGCTCCAGTGGTGCAGGCAGTCGTGGCAGCGTGGTTAGGACCCTGCAAGCCATATTTCATCGAGATGTGACCGGCGGCCAAGTTGATAAGGATCTTGGGCACGAACAGTGGCGAAACCTTTTTGTAGCCCTATCCGAACAGACTTTAGCTTGGCTTCGCTTGTCGATCACTTGCGGCTCAAATTCTCACTTGCTGGTTGAATGCTAGACTTGTCTCGTAAATCTCCTCGAGGTTCCCTATGCCGCTGCCCAGACAGACACCTGTGGCTTCCAGGTCCTCTTGGCTTTCCGGCTTCCACCCGGCATCATTCATGGCCATGTCTGCACAGGCCACCGCATACTGGGCAAACTTTGACATGCGGCGTTGCTCGGTAGCATTGAGCCAGTCAGAAGGTCGCCACTGCTGGGGGTTAGAAGCATCGCTGGGAACTACACCAGCAACTGTGCTCGTCAGATCCTTCCAGCGGGTTTGTGGCTCAAAGTTAGCCACGCTGGTGATGCCCGACTCTCCGGCCAACAGACGATTCCATGTAGTGCGCACGCCAACACCAAAAGGCGAAATAGCGCCGAGACCTGTCACGACAACTCGTCGCATGATCCGGCCATGTCCAGGGTGAAAGTGATCTGTGTGGTAACCTTATGGTCTCACCGGTATATAAACGACGTGAAGATAAACGGCAAGCGAGGAAAAGGCGGGGGTAGTGGAACTTTGCCGTGTTTCGAGGATCAGGACCAGAAGAGAACAAGGGGCCTAGGAAGTGGAAGTGGGCACGGTAGGGACCAGGCGAATGAATGAGTATCGAAGGTCAATGGCCAAGTCGGCAGCGGCAGGAATTGAAGTCAGAACAATGTTTGAGACTTCGCTGCAGACTGTACGGTAATCGAAAGTCGCCTCTGCTGCGCCGCACAGATGCAGTTTTAGCGCGACTACAAGAAGTGAGGGTACGTACCGAGGCGGCTTATGCAGGGGACGACAGAAAACACTGTGCTGTCAGGGGCCGTCATAGCGGGCAATTTGGGCATTCTGAGGTGCTGATGCCACAGTGTCGGAATCTCAGTAGCGCCCATTGAGGGACACTGACGGGGACCTGGTCTAAGGGAGAATGCAGCGGGAAGCGGGGGAGGCTAATGTCGCTGCAATTGGACCCCAGGACCTAGGTCCAGTCAACGGGGCCATTGGGCTGGAGTTGGAACTGGGGGAACTGGCCTCTGCGCCGCAAATGCAACGCAACACAACGCTGTGCTGCGCAACGACACACGTTGCGATTGCTGCTCACTCAGTCGGCTTGCCTGCATTGAGCTTACCCCCACGAGTACACACGAGCCATCGTTTTCTCTCCAGCATACAACTTTCTTTTACCACCGATACCGTCGCTTGTCATTCAGCACCTGATCGTGAGATTGGAGTGTGACATCCGCATCCGACTTATCGGATCTTCTGTCCCTGTCCGCTTCAGGGGCAACCCAACTCAAGAGAAGGACCTTCCGACAGACGACATCTCAACTTGCTATTGAGCCACGTTTCAGGCGCCATCGTGTTCCTTACATTCCAAATCGCCTTTCTTTCCCAGGTTTACTGGCTCAGATAAACATCCTGCAGGCTTCAGGCACAGAGGCGACATCCCAATCTTGGCTCTACTCGTCTTGCAGGGTCTCCCATCGCATCTCTGCTGCTGTGGCACGCAAACAATTCGCCTTCATCCCCCGCAACTTGCGGCTCTTTCTCTTCGGGCCTCAAGTTGCCACACCCACACGCATCTGTGCTGAGTTGTGCCGCAGCTTGGTTTCAGCGTCGCGGTTGTTTCCTTTCTTATCAATTGACCTCGTCGTCCTATGAGAACAACGCAGCCTCTACAATCCCGCCCAAACCTCTATCGCTCGAGCGTTGATACCAGTTGGGAACGATCTCTTCCCTGAGACTGGTCACTTTCATGCCTTTGCCCACCATTCTTCCCAACATCCTCGGCCATCCGATCATCACACAACCTTCACATCGCTCCTCGACGTTACACTGTTCCAGTCAGATTCTTCGCTTTACATCAGTCTGATCCCGGTTCGCCAATCGCCCGTACTCTGCCTTCGAGCATAACCCTGTTTCTCACCGGGCACAGAGCCAGCCTCTACTCAGCAAGCCTGTGGCCCTGCAGATTGATTCCTTCAAGCCCTCGTCCCAGATCCAATCACGCCACCGCTACCCTCGAGAGGCTCATCAGAGGCCTTGGGTACATCCAAAGGGCCATTTTAGCGTTTGCTTCATGTTCGTCTGGGATCGGTGCTCGTAGCTCAGCGGGTTTCCCAATACCCGTCCTCCAACACATACCCGCCTAGACACTTTAGACTCTCCCCTATATAGAAACCCACTGTCTTCTTCCTTCTTTTGGACGTTTTAGCCCTTGCGTCGATGATTGTGCTCCCTCGCTGTCAACTCAGTCTGGGAATACCTTCACCATGACCGAACCATCTGGCAAGTCGTCTGGCACGGCTTCAGCACCCATGATGGTTGACGCAGACAACGGCTTTGACGACGATAAAGTGCAGGTTGAAGTCAGTGGGCGCGAGATCAACCCTGCCTCCGACTCGACCAAGTCGAGATATCAAGACCAACCTGACCCGGTTGAGGACTTGAGGGAGCGCCTCTCGCAATGGGGTGAGTCTAGTGTCTATCAAAGCTATGATGATGAAGATGAGCAAGGGTCCGAACATGAACTTCTCTTAGATCCCAATCTGCCTGAGCAGTACGAGACGAGAACGCGAAACGCCGCTTCCCCTCCATCTCGAGAGGTTGACGATGAGCTGGCTATGAAGATTGAGGAGGAGGAGGATTCTCCGTATCCCGAAGTTCGCGCTGCCGTTCGCAACTATGACGAGGACCTGCCTTGCAACACAATTCGAGCCTGGACTATCGGTCTTGCTCTGGTAACTGTTGGTGCCTCGATGAACACGCTCTTTTCCCTTCGACAACCGTCCATTGGACTTGGTCCCCTGATCGCCCAAATCATCGCGTGGCCTATTGGACATGGCTGGGCCAAGGTCATGCCCACGAAGCAGTTCAAGACTCTTGGTATCAAGTGGAGTTTGAACCCGGGCCCTTTCAACGTCAAGGAGCACTCCATTATTGTTGTCATGGCCGGTGTCTCCTTCTCCGTCGCCTACGCCACGGATATCATTTTGGCTCAGCTTGTCTTTTACAAGCAAGATTTCGGCATTCTCTTCCAGCTTCTCCTTACCATTTCGACACAGTCACTTGGTTACGGGATTGCCGGAATCATGAGAAAGTTTCTTGGTATGTGTCTCTCAGTCAGCTCACAGTTTAGGTTTGCTGACTCCCTTGTGTAGTCTACCCGGCCGCTATGATCTGGCCCGGTAATCTGGTGTCTGTCACTCTGATGAATGCCATGTATGAGAAGAATGACCGACCTGATCCGAGCTTCATCGGAGGCACCATGCCACGGTACCGGTGGTTCGCCATCATCACGCTTGCTTCCTTCTGCTACTACTGGATCCCTGGTTTCTTGGCCCAGTTCCTTAGCATCATGGCTTTCGCGACCTGGATCGCCCCCAACAACGTTGTCATCAACCAGCTGTTCGGCGGCACCAGCGGCTTGTCACTGCTACCGTTGACACTGGACTGGACTCAGATTTCTGGTTTCGTTGGCTCACCGCTTATCCCCCCTTGGTAAGTGAATTCTCAAACGCCCAACAAGCTCAAAAGCTGACAAGTCCCAGGCACGCCATCGCCAATACCTTGATTGGCGTTGTCACATTCTTCCTCATCGGCTGCTCAATCTTCCACTACACTGGTGTCTGGTACGCCCAGTTCCTACCAATGAGTGACTCGGGCACCTACGACAACACCGGTCAACCGTACAACACCAGTCGTATCCTTACACCCCAGCTGACGCTCAACGAGGAGGCGTACAAGAACTACTCGCCACTATTTATCAGCACCACGTTTGCCATGTCCTACGGCTTGTCCTTTGCGGCAATCGCTTCTCTCATTGTCTACACATATCTCCACAACGGCAAACAAATTTGGGCGCAGTACCGAAACAGCAGCAAGGATAAGCCCGATATCCACATGAAGCTGATGAGGAAGTACAAGGAGGCTCCAACCTGGTGGTACATGGGACTCTTCGTTATTGTAAGCGCACACTCGCTTGGTACATGTGACCTGTTACTGACCACGATATAGATGCTCGGCCTTGGCTTTGTTACCGTCCTAGCGTACCCGACCAATCTGACTTGGTGGGCGTTTCTCCTGGCGGTGGCCATTTCATTCGGCTTCTCGCTCCCCATCGGTATCATCCAGGCCATCACCAACAATCAAATCGGTCTGAACGTGCTCACCGAGTTTGTCTACGGATACATTCAGCCCGGACGACCTCTCGCTCTTATGATGTAAGTTGCTTACAACATGTGACAAACCGAGCTTGGCTCTAACAAACCCGCAGCTTCAAGACTTTCGGCTACATCACTATGTCTCAGTCCCTAAGCTTCGTCTCTGACCTGAAGTTTGGACACTACATGAAGATCCCGCCACGCACCATGTTCATGTGCCAGGTCGTCGCTACAACATTCTCCTGCTTCATTCAGATCGCTGTGCTTAACGCCGCGCTTAAGAACATTCCCGATGTTTGCACGCCCCATCAGGAGAATAAGTTCAGTTGCCCCGGTGGTCGTGTCTTCTTTGCCGCTTCTGTCATCTGGGGACTCATCGGTCCCGCGCGCATGTTCTCCCCAGGCCAGGTGTACTCGGGCCTGTTCATCTTCTTCGGACTGGGCGCTATCGTTCCTGTCATCATCTACTTCGCCGCGCTCAAGTGGCCCAAGTCTCCCGTCAAGTACCTCATGGCCCCCGTTATCTTTGGCGGTGCCGGCGCCATCCCCCCTGCGACCCCGCTCAACTACCTCAGTTGGGGTATTGTGGGATATATTTTCCAGCACCATATCCGCAAAAGGCACTTTGGCTGGTGGTCGCGCCTCAACTACCTCACGTCTTCCGGTCTCGACTTGGGATTGGCGCTCGCTACGTTGGTCATCTTCCTGGCCTTCACCCTTAACAAGGTTGATCCGCCCAAGTGGTGGGGCAACGATATCGTCACGTCGACGATGGATGCTCAGGGCACTGCTGTCCAGGCCGTGCCAGCTCCTGGAGAGAAGTTTGGGCCGAAGTCATGGTAAACCAGAGGGTGCGTTGGCGCTACGGTGTAAACTTTAACGATCTACTGGGGGGCTCTTTTATTTACATGGGAACAACAGGTATTGGATGGTTGGGTCAACCATTATTGGATATTAAGATGTTAGAGCGCTGGTCACCAAGATAGTGGGGTGATTCAGTTGTTGTGTATATTCGGCACCGGCCGCACTATGTCTATGTTTAGTTTAATCGTACTGGTTGTTCGTCTTACAATGTGCTCCTGATGGTCGTGCTTGTTCCTCTGGTCTGGCTTTCCGTACCAACTACCCTCATTCACGTTGTTTTAGTGGTTGCTCGAACAAAACGGACCCAGACCCAAACACTACTGAATATATGATCCGCCTGTTCGCCAATTGGCTCCAGCAGATCAGCATGAAGCCTTTACATCTTGCAAGGGATCACGACGGAGCCGCGCCGCAGACGCGCATCTTTCCTAAGCGCGCTACGCCTCAGGTCATTATACGAAAATCGAACCACCCACTGTCAAGATGTAGTGGGCCACAGAATACGGGTCAAGGTGTCGATATTCCCACCTTTGTCAGAACTGACTTACTCGGTGAATGGCCCGGCTAGGGGTCTCTGTTGGGTGGTTCGTGGACCGAAATGAGCCCGCTCGCGAGCCCAATGCAGTCTCGGCACTCCAGGACCGACCGACTATGGGGATGACATCTGTGACGCGGGCGTAGACCCCACTATCTTGTTTGCGTCTTGGCTACTAGAAGTTCAGATATGTGTAACCACGCATGTTAGTGAAACCATCAGGGCAGATAGCGGCACCCGAAACCACGAGCGTCGCATCGGCGGTGGCCCTGGCAGTTCGCCCACCATGGAAACGTTTTTTTTTTTTTTTGCGGGTGGGTCCGGGCGCGAGCGAGCGAGAGCGCGCGGCGGTTCATCAACTCCACCGTATACGCTAACGGTTCGGGGCAGTAAACGGCCGGGGCCGTGGGCACTACGGGGGTTGCCACGGCGGGGGTGGTGGATGAATGGACTAAGCAAGACGCAGGCAACGCAGGGAGTAACGCTGAAGGGCGGCATTGAATGGAGGCCGGGGGCCAAAAAAAAGACGATAATGGAGACGGTTGAAATGCACTAGAACATATTAATGAATTGGTTTCTAGCCCGCTGTCGCTCTTGTGGGCGCGTGATTGGTCGCAGGGCCGGTTTTCTCTCTATTAAGGCCCGAATACCGAAGTTACCCATCGCTGGGCGTTGTCTCGAGAGAAACAACAGAGTCTGGACGATGTTGTCATTGTCCGTGCTCGGCGTGCATGTGTCATTGGCTTCCAGATCCGTCCGTACGGGGTGGAATCTTACCAGGTGCCGAGTCAGAACCTTGAGCGTGTTAACGTTGGTCCCTATGATGACAAGGAAACAACATCGATAGCAAAGAGTATGGGTGCCGGTCGTACATGTGGAACTTGCAGCAACTGGATTCTTGTTCAAGGAGTTGGTTCCCACAACTCACGGGGCAGGCAGATAGGAGCGTCTTGATGTGGGCGGCTTCGGGATTATTAACTTGTTTGAATACAACGGGGCAAGTGGCCTCGAAGGGGTGTCTCTTGTTCGAATACTACGTGCCATAGCAGGAGGGGCGCCGGGAAATGGGGCCTTGTGTCAGTCAATATATTGGATGACGATATTTCGTTCATAGTCGTCGAATGAAGATCTCGAGGATGTAATACCTGTGTTACTTAGCGCTTCGTAGCGGGACGCGGACACAACAATCAACGATTGATCGAGTGTCCACATATCTGCCTGGCCACCACCAGTTCAAGCCGAAGTCTCTGCTCTAGTGGTTTTGCTGGATGCCTGCTTTACTCCCACTGTTCGTGCCAGTGGAGAAGAGAGACAGGGAGGATCAAGGCCCGGAGAAAGGGCGCGCTAGAAGGATGCATTTTGGGGGCGGCGGACGAGGGTGATACAATTACACACACAAGTACTTCTATGGCTCTTTTCGGTGTAATGGGACATGCGGAATGATCGTCGCTAATCTTTCTCCTCTTTCCCTGCAGTAATCACCAATCATCTATCCGAGCCATCGCCCTTTGCTGTCCTTCTAGAATCCTTCCCGGGATCAACTTGCTTTTTTCTCTCCCCCTCAATTCCACGCTGGTATGCACAAATCGTACGAAGAAATTGATGATCCAGACTAAATCTGGGCCACGGACACACCGTTGGGACTACTTCACCGCTATGGAAACCCTTCTGATCCCGGCGTTCCGGCCGGCCTATCGGAGTTTGACTTCGGCCGCAGGTGGCTTGACTGAATTCCGACTCTAGCTCCGGGCCTAGAGCTGTCACTGAAATTGCCCTACGCACGTCGAGCACTGAATCTCGTTGTACAATGCAGCCAGGTACTTAGACTGACCGCATGCTACAGGTCTTACGTCTTTAAGGCGTTGTCTTGCGTCTACTCAAGTGCCTCCTACAGAGAAACTGGCATAGCTAGTAAAGGGCTAGTGACAGGAAACTAAGACGGTTGCGCTAGGGAGTGGCTGGAAACAGGCAATGACATGCATGATCCGGCGGTCGATCTCAACCATGCAGTCTCCGACATACGTGGTAGATCGTGGCGGTAATCATTCAGATTTTCTTTTTCTCACACGCTTTTGGTTCCTAGGCCCCCTTGGGCTTAAAGGCACGCCGCAGCTGCGTACTTTGGGCCGCTGATCGAGTTGCTGCCGCAGCATAGACTAGGCCTCAACGTACCACTCGCGTACCCCTTGACTTCATACGTGAAGCAATCAAGAGCGTCTTCCGCTTCAAGCGGAGAAATCCGCCATTGTTGCCGCCCTGTCCCTGCATTCTGAGCATGTTGTCAGAGTCAAGAGACATGCTATGAGACGAACTGGGCGGGGCTCTTGTTTACCATTGTTGTCCACCGCACACTATTAATTGTACTCGGTTGCCTCTGGTGGATCACAACATCATCGCCCATGCATTGACATTGGATCTCAGGCGATGGCTCCTGCAAAGCTAATGCGCCGCCGCACAGCCATTGCTACCATCACAACCCTTCTCTAGCTTCTTGTCGTCAACCCTTACCCAACCAACATTGCCAGTGCTTGCCGAGAGTCACAATTCAGCTGTTCAAACCTACGGTCCTCGGCCGCCGCCGCTCTGCGCTTCTGGTGGGGTGGAAGTGCGAAAACGACCGCTGCTGTCTCTGGTTGCTTACGAGGCACTTCCTATGTGGAAGTTTCTCTGGTCTTTCCACACTACTCACGCAGTCATACGGCTCACCCACGAGCTATGATATCCGTTGGCAGCCAGTTGACACTGTCCGATTTGTAGTAGCATATTGTTACTGTACTATGTGCCCTAACAAATTCAGTATGCAGCCGGCTTATGGCTTGGCCATCCTACAAACTCAGCCTGCTGGTGGTCGCTAGCCTCTCTCCATGATTTGGGTGCGTAAGACGGAGCTTGATCACATTAGCTCTGGAGGGCAGCCAACACCTTACGTTTTGGCTAATTACAACATTTATGGAATCCGGTTAGGCTTGTTCCTTTCCAAATCTAGGGTTCTGCGTCGCGTTCTTTTGACGGCATTTCTTCCCTCTGGTGAAAAGGGTTCATTCCTCTTCCTCCTTGAGCAACTTGCATGTCAAATCTCACGAGAGACGACTATTTTCTCACCTCATAGCTTGAGGCGTGAAGGACACTGCGGAACCTCACCGGCTAATCGAAAATTCTTCGTTGGGCCTTCTTGGCCTCGTCTAACCACCTCCCAGATAAGGACTCAACCCCATAAAGACTCAGATTAGATTTATTTAAAGTTTCGACTCATCCGACGAACGCTACCCACTCTGAGCCATCCATCAAACCGTAATAACCCAAAATCCTAGCTACCCACGAACCCAATTCAGCCTGTGTCTACGGAAACTATGGCCGGTCAGAACAGCTCTTCGTCGACTGGAAAGGCTCTCTATGACCCGGACTTCACTGACCGGGTCATTGCCGCCACGGGCCCCGACGCCAACCCACGTCTGGCTCAAATCATGCCCAGTCTATTGCGGCATCTGCACGATTTTGCGAGAGAAGTCGACTTGACTGTGGCAGAATGGATGGCCGGTGTGCAAATCGTTCGTATTTTTTTTTTTCAACTTTTTTCCATTTTCTTTTTCTGTCCTCTTGTTTCTGTTTCCTTGCCGGCGCTGTCCAATGTTGCATACCAGCCAGGCACTAACAAAACCTTGCCCGTCTGCTAGATCAACGAGGCGGGTCAAATGTCCAACGACAGCCGCAACGAAACCCAACTGGTTTGCGATATTCTCGGTCTCGAATCCCTCGTGGACGAAATCACCTCGAAGCAGCTCCAGCTCAAGACCACAACTTCCCTCGAACATAACCCCACCTCCTCTGCCATTCTCGGCCCCTTCTACCGTTACAACGCCCCTGTCTTGCCCAACGGCAGCTCCATCGTCTCCTCGCTTGACTTCCCAGAATATCAAAGGGCCTCGACGCACCTGTCCGGCCGCGTCCTCGACCAGAATGGCAAACCCATTGCCGGCGCGGTCGTCGATATCTGGCACACGGCTCCCAACGGCATGTACGAGCAGCAGGACGCGGACCAACCGGACATGGACCTGCGAGGTCGGTTCCGCACCGATGCGGAGGGGAAATACTCGCTATATTGTCTCCGGCCGGTCCCCTACCCCGTGCCCGGTGACGGGCCCGGCGGGAAGATCCTAAAGTTGCTTGACAGACACCCGTACCGTCCCGCACATTTACACTTTATCGTGTCCGCAGACGGGTACAGGCCTTTGACGACGCAGTTGTTCGACAGCGAGGACAAGTACCTCGAGAACGACTCTGTTTTTGCAGTCAAAAAGGACCTGGTGGTCGTGTACAAGCCGAGCGAGTCTGACCCCAAAGCGGCATGGACCCTGGATTACGACTTTGTCCTGTTGACCGCCTGAACCCACAAGCCGGGAGGCTGGCAGAGCTATCCATGATTAGATGATTCTGAAGGACACGGGAAGCTTAGCGATGGCTGTGATGGACCTTACCCTACAATCTGCACCGTTTAGACGTCACCAACGAAGTTCTCCATGGAAACCCATACGAATTAACGAGGATATGACCACTGTGCAACAATGTCATTATTTAACCAAAGAAAAGAAATATAAAACGTTGCAAACAATATTATTCATTGTTCGAATTGTGTTTCTTGATTCTTTATTTTGTGGTTGCTTTTCATTGTGTGGTTTCGCTTTTACTTGTTTCTCTTGTACCCCTCCCCCAAGTGCCCCCATTCCTTATCCATTGCCACGATCCCTTACCTTCGACCCTAAATGCGACTCTGTTCACAAATATAGCCTTCTTTTGACGCCTCTTTACCTGGATGATCAAGTCCATGCTCTATATTTTTGGTACAATGTGTACGCGAACCGGCGGGTTCGACGCCCTTTCCTCCTCTTTACTGGAACATTCTCGTTGCACAGGGGCAAATCTAGAGTTAATGCTCCACCCTCAACGCCGCAATGGGTATCGTCCTCCTCAACTCCAGCGTCCCTTGCTGTGTTTCTTTTGCCAGAACATGATTCTGTGGTTTTCACGCGCAGCTTATGTGCATTGCGACCTTTTCCCCCGTAAAAGCTACACCCGATAGAGATGTTCCTTTAAACATGCATACCTGTTGGCAGGTTGCCTAATTATACCTGTTTTGTTGAACCTCCTTGGAACGGCAAGACTGCAAGGAAAGTTTGTCGCCATTGGGGTACCAAGAAATACGTCCTTCACAGATTCTGCCCTTGACCGGAAAGGCAAAGTTCATGAATATTCCGCCGGAACGTACATTGGAACGCTTGAAGTAGCCATGTAAGCTCCACCACCAGCGGCAGGAGCGCCAGGGTTTCCATTAGGGCCGCCTGGTACGATGTAGTTCGCAAAGCCCTGATACCGAGGTCCGTGGCCTTGGACTGGGTATTCCTGGCCGGGAACTACTGTTCCCACTGCCGTAGTCATCGCGGTTCCTCCAGGTACACCTGTTCCCGCTGTCAAAGACCCGCTGGCAGGACCAGGGCCAGCTCCGAAAGCCCACATTGAGTCGAAAGGCAGCTCATCATCGCCCATATCCGAATCACCCATTCTCGCACTCAACTCTCCTCCAGAGTGAGACATGCCGGGGGTGCTGCCCGCCGGCGAAACGCCAGCAGAGGGCCCGGCGGCTGAGGAGAAGTTGTGTTCCGTCTTCATCGACAATGGGGGTGGAGCCATTGCCTTGACCGTTGTAGACGAGGGCCCTGAGGTAGCGTTGGTGGCGAAGGAGTTCTTGCGCGACATGCCCGCTCTATTGAACAGACTGCCGATTGGGTCGTGAAGAGCAGTCGGCGACATTGTCTGAGGAGCGGGCATGGCTGGCTGCTCCGGCTTCTTTGACCGCAACTCAAAAATGACATTTCGGAATGAAGTGAGAATGAAAAGAAGCCTGTTGGCCTGCGGATCGCTGGTTGCGCAGTAATTCATGATAGAGATGGTATTTGATATCGACGTTACGTAACTTGGATTGGGATATATCGCTGCAAATTCATTGCTTAGAACGATGAGAGAGGCTGCAAACAAGAAGTAACTATAAACAATTGTTAGCTTTTTCCATCTTTGATACGATGATTGAGGGTGACGAACAGGACAAATGGGTTGCGCTGCGGAAGGTAGTTGCTCTCGAATGCCCGTTGCACCAGAACGATTGTCTGGTTGGCTGCGCTTAGACATGCCTCGCAATATCTTGACATGCGATTAATCCACCGTGGAACAGGTAAAGCAAGGCCACTACGTTCGTTGTGCACCTTACTCAGAAGACAAATGAAGAACGGCCGAGTTAGTAAGATGATAGAGTGGCAGTAGAGAAGATTAACATGAAGGGCAGCGATGCCCTGCGACGGGCTATTCGGGTCGGCAGCCACCTGTCTTGAAGATAGGTCGGCGCTGAGTGACGAATGCCAGGTACTGCATTGCTCCCAAATCTCGGATGTTAGGCGGACAGAAATCCGCCGGCGTGCATATATCTTCTTCAGGATTTGGCCAATGATGCGACAAGATCGGACAGCGGCATCGAGCCCATCGTTGGGGCTTTTCACCCGCAACAGTTCTCCTTCGGGAGTTTTTTCGAACACCAAAAGCGCGTCGCTGGAGCATTCTTCTTCATCGATCGCCACGGGACGGCCGAGCGAAGCGGCTAGAAAACGATCCAGCACAAACAAGCTTCTCCACAGGTTCCGACGTAACCTAACCTCTTCACTCTTGAAGATGAAGTGGTTTTCGTGAACTCTGTGCAGACCAAGAGCGAAGCCAGAGCGAACGGCCATTCCTGGCAATGTTAGACATTCACAGTTACAAGAATATCCGTGCTAGACTCACCGAAGTAGGCGTACGCGGCGTTTCGCTTGGACACGGCAAGCATATATACAGCCATCAGCGATAAAGCCTGCACCGACCAGAAATCTGCGTCCTCAAATCCTGATATAGGATCACCCAGAGCTTTCGCGCTCCTAAAGAAAAGTTCTGCCCGGTCGAACTGATTTGACCTGAGCTTTTTGAAAATTGCGTCTCCCTTACTATTAGGGAGGGGTGTCGCGAGGACCATGCCGATCGCAAAAGTCAAGTACAAAAGACAGAGAAAGGATGAGTGTGCAGCAAGGGGGTCCGAGTAGCAGGCTTCCAGTGACTTCTCAAATGCAGGCCTATTGAAAACCTCAATTAGGCCATGAGTCTGCAGACCGTTAGAAGATGAAGTCTGTATTAAGGAAGGGGAATGATCGCATACATTGGTGAAGAACGACTCAACCAGCGCGTTGGCCGTGTCCCTGTCGGGTAATATGTGTGGGGGTCGTATGTTTGCTGGCATGGCAATAGTGGCCTCCATGATCTTATGGCGACTTGGGTCCAATGTAAAGTCGCTGGGCCCAGTGCTGGCTTCCACAATCATCCTGATAAGTTGCAAGTATGCCAGTGACGCCGAGTCGCCAACATAAACTAGACGCCCGGTTAGCAAACCCATGTGAAGTGGATGATGAGGTATCAAGCGTACGAAGCCTGCCCGTTGGGTCTTGTAACATTCTAGTAGACTGAATGAGCGAGGTCTCTTCGTCTGGCCCTGAAGCCGTGCTGTGTCTAGAGCGAATGTCAAACTCCCTCTCTCCGGTTGTTGGCTCATGGTCTTTCTCTATGGAAGGCTTTATATCAAAGCCGACAGCTAGCTTATCATCAGTTGGCGGTGGCTTGAGCTTCGGCTCCCAGGGTGGAGGAGCCGCCGCAGGGCTCTCTGACGCGAGCCCAGTATCTGGGACAGCTGGCTTGCTGGAGGGGAGCTCTTCGATATTGCGACGTTTCGAGGGAGATGCTAATTGGTCTGGAGGAGTCTGGTCGGAGCTATGGTTTGGCGTGTAGGTACAAACCAGGCTCCTCTTCATACACGTAGTACATGGTTTCGAGCCGTTGCACTTTTGAGATGCTGGTCAGTTACTGAAGTAGGTAGATGATGGAATGCGCCACCAAGGCTTGCAGGTACGAGAAGAATGTAACGGGCCAGCACTTGCCGGCCTCTGGAGTCATTCAGACGCCACGACATGATGGATACGAGACCGGTAAGATGGCAGCCCGCCGCAGATCGCGGCTTTGGCTCCTCTAATGGGATGAACCACTGACCCTGGTGAAATCTGTGACCAGATCGTCAAATTGGCAGCCAAGGCCCATCCAAAATCGAGGGACACCCCGGGCAACCCAGCTGAAGTCGACCCATCAAGGGTCCAGCGATATTGTGAATCATGCCGCAAGAGAAAGGACCGGAAAGAACAATTTTGGTATGTCCGTTTCGGCTCAGCACCCACTTGGGATGGACCAAGGTAGCGCGCAGCGTGGTATTGACGATCAAAGTGGGATGGGGGGAATAGATGAACAAGCGCCATGAAACTGTGTTTCAATCGATTTATCAAGCTCCGGGATTTTGGTTACATGAGGATAGGATCGCTTCGGGTCGGAAGAGAACGGACTCGAAAATGATGTCCGGTATCAAGACTACGAAGCGGATGATGGGTGGACAGATTCCCATTATCGGGTGTTGATATGTGACCGATCTAGAGGCTTCGGGCGGCTAGCTGAGGCCGGGGCGAGGGGATGGTGGGGATCGGACGAGGAGGTATGCAACGCCATCAACAGCTTTCGCGTGCTGGCAGCGAATCTACAATTGGGGATGACAAGGGGGTCAAGGAAACGGTAGTAATAAGACGAGAAGCTAATAAGGGAAAAGGGACAATGGCGATAGCATCGTTTGGGTTTCGGGCAAGCTTCGCGGGGGGGAGACAGGGACGTAGAAGAGACAGGTGCTTACTTTCTGCTTCCGGCGCTTACAAGTGTCGCAAGCTTGGGCGGTCCGTTGACGCTTGTCTTCGGGGACCTTGGGACGGGTCATTGTGGTGAATGATGCATCAGCCGACGGTCCATGGGCCCTCAGCAATACCCGTTATCCGATGGTGCGTGGTGTGAGGTGGAGTATGTTTTTGGGAAAGAGCAGTAGCCGTGGTAAGGCGAGGTACAGCAGCCGACGTGTTGAGAGAGACGCGGAAGCGGCGCCGATGGTTCACAGGTTGTTGCACGAGCTGTATCGGAGAGTGGACTGTAAAGAAGCAGACTGCAGGTACCAGGCAGGCATGCTTTCCTTCAACTTCGCTACGGCAAGCGACAGGCGAGGGTCGAGGGTGAGAAAGAGGAGAGGACGGAAGGTGCAACTGGGGCTTGCTACAGTTCCGTTCTCCGAGGCGCGGGAAACTAGTAAGGATCGGTTCTTTGGGTAGGCGTTATTGACATGTTCCGACGACGGACAATCTAATAAGCGTCTGGTGAGGATCGAGACGAGGATAGCTGCAAGTGGGGGCCTTGAGCGTCGGGTATGGGGTTGGTTACTTTAAAGAGCCAACAACACCATACACAATAGAGATGAGATGTGACGTGGGGAGTAGGAGGTCTAAGCATGTGCGTTGCTTCTCAGCGCGCTGTGGAAAACTGAGGGATGGGGGGCGCCGTGCGGCGGCGGATATCGGCGAAGGCGGGGGGAACGGGAGTGAGGGAGAGAGACAAATAGAGGCAGGATGAGCGGCAAGGACGAGGAGAGGACAGAGAGAAGAGCCTGGCCGAGAGAGGGAGGGAACGGCGAGACTTTCATCGGATATGGGATAGGCGGCCTGGCCGGGCCAGTCAGACTTTGAATTGGCCCAGCAGTACCTGTGCCTAACAGACCGACGTCAGGTCAGGCCAGGGACGGGGGATTGGAGCCCTCGCTGTCTGTGAAAGGAGGGCCGCCCGAGTTGAGTCGACTCGCGGGCTACTTGTCGCACGACAAAGATGCAGACCAGGGCCAAGAGAGGGTCAAGGACTCAGACTGTGACAGGGGGTATGGACAAGGAAGAAGCAGTGGGTAGGGGTCTTTGAGATTGATGGGCACCCCCCGATGTCTGGATCTGGGATGGATCAGGTCGGATTTGGGGAATTCTTGAGGGCCCCAAACCAAGGGGGGTGGGGGGGTGAGTTGGGGCGGGTGAGGTGAACCCAGAAGTCTTTCTTGTCTCGAGAAAAGAGTGCCAGGGGAGGCGAGACCCTACTGTCCGTTCCAGCAGTTCAGACAAAATCCAGCCTAGAAGCAAAACGTTCTTTTTTCATGAACCTGTCAGAACGAGAATTTGGCCGAAGGTGATGAAGATACGCCCGTATGTGGCTGCATGGGGGCTAAAAGACGACCACGAGGACGCGACTGGTTCATCTTTTGGTGCGCTTTGTGGGCATAGAGTGTTCCATGGGTTGCACCGCATCCTCCTGACTACTGTGATCCAGCGTCTTGACACTCTTTAGGTGTGGAGTAACTAATAAGCGAGCGTGAGTTACTCGGTGGAGGTTATCCCCAACGTCGGGGCAAGTGCGATTCCTCCCACTTCGCTGATGTGGGAGACCGCCGGCATGATGTGCTTGTCTGCAGATGGTGTGCTACATGTCATGTTTTTTTGACGTGGGCGCGGCTGCGTTGCTGATGAGTAGCCTGCTTGGCGAAACAGATCGATCCCTTGGTGTGCTTTGATGCCACATCGTGAAGTCGACTGAGGGATTCACAAGATGAGATGGGTGATTAAAAACCCAGGGAGCTGTCAGAACTGCAACATTGACTCGTCTGTCTCATCCACCGGCAGCATCAACGTCCAAATCAAGGATTAGGGCCCAACCAAGCCAGCGGCAAAGTCAAAACTGCTGTTAGTGCAACGCATGTAGTGTTGATTGAACGTGTCAGTGTTAGACATGGAATTATGTGCGAACGCTCGAGTGTGTGTGTGTCTCTGTATGTGAGTACGATATCACGAGGTCAACTCTGAGAGATGGTGACCGACATTTCGCTTCATGTTTCGCTCGATATTTCGCTTGATGAGATCGCAAGGGTCGCTCCCTTGGAATCACTCAGATACAGCACAATGAGGCCGGCTCCTACCGACGATGCAGTTGTCGTGGAGCTGGATCAATTTTTGCAAGCCTCTAAAGCCAGTGGCGCCGATTGCTAGCGTGGGATTGGAAAAGCAATAGGCCGCGAGACAACACATGGCATTTGCCATAGCCAGGATAGCGCAGAAAATGCTGCCTTGTGGCCCTCCTTGGTGGGTGCATGGGAGGCGCTCTCTCAGAGGGCAGACAGGTTACTGTGGCTGGATCACGGCGTCGCCTGGGCTAGACTCTGGCTGGGCTGGGCTGGGCTGTGCTGGGCCCGCGGCGGGAGTAAGCACATAGGGCAGGTGAGGCTTGAAAACCAGGTGGTGGTGGACCTCCTGCCGCCAGTGTCTTGCCTGGGGGGGGGGGGGGGGGGTTGAAGGCTATAAGCCATGGGTTTCGGGCGAGTTATTGATCGAGATAACTTCGATTGGAATGTCACCGACAGCATGGCACAGAAGATATGCTTCTCAAATTGACGCCCATTCCTTATAGCACGACACCCATTCGGTGTCAACTTGTTCGAATCGTGATTATGCCCTCGGCTATCTTGCGGGTTAGGACTCGGCCGTTTTGCCCGCTGGGTGACTCGCAAGGGGCGCATTGGGGTGTCGGCCGAAAATGTGATCTGCAATTCCATAGCTAGCCTGCCAAGGTTAAATGTCGGAGCATAGGGTGCGTCCATGGTGAAGAGCTGCATCGTACATGATGCAATGCGATGCGAAGTGAAGTGAAGAGGACAGCAAAAAATGACTGAGGAACGCTCAATGTTGGTAGTGGTGCATACAGCGAATCGTTATGGTAGGGTAGTATTGGTGCGTCAAAGAGACTGAGGATATTCCGCCCCCACTCCATCTGGCAGGTGCTGCTGCTCCTCACCCTCTCTGTTTCTCTTGCTTAGGCTTAAAGCGATTATCCTCTTTTAACCGAATATTATACCAGTTTTGAGTAATGAAGAAAAAGATGCAGCTAAAGGAAGCAAGATTGTTCCGTGCCGCTGCGAAGGTACTTACATACCAGTCACTAAACCGACCTCCCAACCCAATACAGCGTTGTGCTGCTCCGTACTAGTTAGTTCTTTCTCCATCCGTCATCATCTTTCACAATCATTTGGCTGCGGATTATCCCCGGAAGCGGGAGCACCTTGTCAACACGGCTTCGACCAAGAGTAGAAAGGCCGACTGCCAGCTTTGCATCGGATCGATGTTCGGGCCGGGCAAGGTGCTGCACCTTCCTGTATCTACCCGAGTCCCGATGCAATCATAATTGGTCGTGCCGGGATTCCCTCCTCCCACCTTCCACTAAGACGCTGTCAATCGTACTTCGCCCAGTGATGTCGGTATTTCTTTGAGCGATCTGGTTCCACCTCAATTGAGTCCATGTCGTTGTCGAGCATCGTCGGATAACGCACCTAGAATCAGAAGCCAAACATGAATCGCAACGCACTTGACAGGGGACACATGTGCGGGACGGCCTTGGACCTGCTCTGTTTCGTTGCCTATCCCGCCAAACTTGTGCGCTTACTGTTGTTTCCCCGCAGCAGATGTTCTGCCCATTCGATTCTCACGACTCCCTTCACCACATTTCAACCACGCTGCGAAGAATGGCTCGAATCCGGAACGTTCACTTTTGTCAAATCACCGTGCCACCCATCGTAGCATGGCACATGGGTTCGCTGTCATCCCTCCCCTCTGCATTACGAGCTCTTTACCGCAAACAGTAGCTATCGGATGCTGCACCCGGCATGGCTGCCGCTTCTGTTTACCGCATCCGTGCCCCTTTGTCCTAATCGTCAGAGTGTCCTTCTTTGCGTAATATATGATTCTGTGTGACCTGTGCCTCCCCAGGAATCATGTCTGGTATGAGATGTCGGTTTTCAATCGCTCTCGACAGCTTAAGCGGGACAATAACGAGATAATGTTGCCTCTACACGGATCAACTCACAGCCATGGGGAGAAAACTAGACGACCCGTACTTTATCAACTCACTAGCTATCTTAGCTAGACATTGGCTTAGTTCCGGGACCACCCCTCGGTCTGTACCCTCGTCATTCTCCACTTGTTCCGCGGCCACGGTCCTACATAGCAGTGCATGGCCCTCTTTCTTTAACGTGTGCGGCCTACATACGCCGCCATGTTTCGTCAACCATGGGTGAGACGGATCCGATCAACCACATTTCCATCCGCACGCTATTCCCTGCTCAACCATCCCCCGATGCCACACATCCCTTCATTCGTTTGCTATTATTTTACCTGCACCTGACCTGACCCAGAAAGTCGGCTGGTCGCTCGCTTATCATGGCAAGCTAAGCTCATCCCCCTTAGCGGCTATATCTGTAAAATCTGGCAGCCCCAACCGCCTTGGCCGCAGGCGATGCCTTTTAGATCCTTGCCGTCGTCATCCACCCCTATCTCAAATCAACTTTAGAACCCCTCTTCAGGCGGTCCGTCCTGTTCTCCCCGCCGCTCCCTGCGGTTGTTCCCCATCTGTACAGCAGTAGCCACTCTCAAACTCTTAATATCCCATCCCATCTTTGGACCCCCGGTCCCATATACTTCGAGGTTACCCTGACACGGATACCGTCAAATGTTAAGTGCCGCAGTATACACGCACATACCCACGCATAGCCGACGGAACGCCAAGTCTCTTTCCCATCCCCGTCCCCTTCCTGTTCCCGATGCCACTATCCGTAGGGTCGTTAGATCTGCTTGTGTCTAGCTCCACATCTTTTGATGTTCGCCCTATCTTAGTGGAGTGATCAACATGCCCCTAGCCGACCACTTGCTCACCTATATCCGACCTATTTTTAATCTCTGGTACATATATGCTTTGGGCTTGTACAATTTGTGGCTTTTGGAAATCTCCAACCTGTAAACCTTTTTGTCGTTGCACGACTTCAACAACGCACCACATGTGCTCTCGCTCGACATGGTGGTGCCCAAACGATCTGGTGTTCAACAAAGAACAACGCCGAGCTATTCCGTTAAGGAGGGCTCTGAGAATGCCTTAGCTGCTCTCCTTACCGCCTGCCAACGGCAGCTACCTCCTGAGTTCGCTGAACACCTGCGGAACGTTGCCTTTAGCACGCCACTCGGGGACACTGCTTTCTTCCCATGTCCTCTAAAGGAACAAGAGGCTACGGCCTCCATCAAAGCCCTCGAGGGCATGGCTGCTGCCGCCATTGCTGACCTGAGGTACGGGCCTCAGCCAAATAGGAGTATCGAGGTTGATGTGGCACGCACTGCATGCTTCCTCGTTTCCGCATATCTAACCACTGTCGACGGCATGGATAAAGCCCACCCTAATATCAAGTCCAAGATACCTGGTATTTTCTTTTCACAGAGGAAGTTGAAGACTGAACTGCCGGCTAATGCTGAGCAGATACCGACTTGAACCAAGCACAATCCATCCTTTACCGACGTCTCTCAGCAAATTTGTATGAAACCAAGAATACCGGAGAGTACTACCATCTCCATGGCTCCCTAGAAGCGAGTAAGGCCCTTAACATGATAGGCCTGCCCGCCTTCAACCCGGGTCTTCAGAATTATGGCGAGTGTATCAAGACCATTGAGACAGCCATGAAACGCTTCACAGTCACAGAACTTGAGGAAATGAACCGAAGAGAAGGCCAGGCCGGTGTCCCCGTTCTCAAAAAAGAGCAGTTCCTGAATACGCCGCATGGCAGGGCGCTCGAGTCGCTTCCTCCCTTCACCATCAAACCAGCCGAGACTACTACAAAGCCAACGCCCTTTGAACCGCAAAACAGCCATGGCGGCGCCGAGCAATGCCTCCAAGGAATCCGGGTCTTGGAGCTTTGCCGCGTGATCGCCGGCCCCACCATCGGCCGTTCTCTCGCAGCACATGGCGCTTCTGTCCTGAAGGTAACTTCCTCAAAGCTCCCCGACGTTCCCTTCTTCCAAGTAGACGTCAACACTGGCAAGCACACCACCTCTCTGCACCTCAAAGACCCTGAAGACCGCGCGACCTTTGACTCGCTTCTTGCCAGCGCGGACGTCGTCCTAGATGGCTACCGCCCGGGTGTTATTGACCGTCTGGGCTACGGGCCTGCAAAACTAGCCGCCATCGCCGCAAAGCGCGGCAAGGGATTCGTGTACGTGGCGGAAGATTGCTTCGGCGGTACAGACCTTGGAGAGGCGAGGGCAGAGTGGGCTGGTCGACCGGGATGGCAACAAATAGCGGACTGCGCCACGGGCGTGGCGTGGGAGCAGGGTCATTTCATGGGACTCAACGCACCCGTTGTCCCTCCTTTCCCCATGTCAGACTATGGCACAGGAGCTCTCGGTGCTGTGGCTGCCATGGCCGGCCTCTACCGCCGTGCAACTGAGGGCGGGTCGTGGGTGTGCCGGACGAGTCTGTGTCAGTACGATGTCTTTCTACTCTCCCTCGGGGCGTATTCGCCGGAAGTCCAGGCTAAGCTGCGCAAGGCGCATGATCCCGCGTTCTTCGGCCTTCGACACCACGATTCGGTAGATGAGGTCAGTAAACGAGCCCTCCGAAGCGTGAAAAGACTCCATCCAGAGCTATTTTCAGAGGAAATGATGCATACCTCCCGGAGCGAGGGGTTCGACGCGGAGGTGAGGTGGCCCAGAGAGGCTATCAAAGTTGAGGGGATCAGGGTGGGACATAACCGGGCGTCGAGGCCAAACGGAGCTGACGCGCCTTCTTGGGATGATTGGGAAGTGCAAGAGGATATTGTTCGGGCGCAATGAATTGCCACTTTGATATGATACCATCTTCGGGGCGAAGATTGAAGAACAGGGGGGCATTGCGGTGCTTCGTTTCTTGCTGACACAGACGTCAGAAGTTTTGCCAAATCAGCTACAGGACACCAAGATGACACCTTGTCATCACTATGGAAGTTTTTCTAGACATGTAATGAACTCTATACCACTTTCTTCGAGAAACGCCTCTACTTGGACCGTATCCGTCCTCATGTTGGCTTCTTATATGACCGTCCAGTTCCTGTACGCCTAGACTCACGCCCAGTTCAATGAACTGATAGAATTGAAAAATGTACATAATATCCCTATATGATCCTGTCACGAGCCTGAATGACACCTTGGGCAGTGCATGAAGTGAAAAGCTAGATTTTGTGGCTCAAAACAACGCATGCACAGGCCAAGGAACGGTGATGATGTACCTGACCCAACTGCTCAAGAAGCATATCGCCAAACCCTTCTAATCTTTGTCACCAACTTGGCGATCTATCTGTTGCGATATGGGCTTTAAAAAAACGCTTTCCATGTAGACCTGCCACAGTCCAGCAGTGAGCGACAGCCATCCTAGCATACCCACAGTCTTGATCAAACATAAGTCATCTTGATAACGATGATTTTACTTGGCGCCGAATGATGAACACTATCGAATTTCGCAACTTTACTGAGGAGATGGAGATGTCTCTACTGGAGGGTTGCCTTTCGATTTTCTGCATCGACAGTGCAGAAAACATGGAACAAGAGAGACGTAAGGGCATGCAAGCTGTTTGAATAATGCATGTAGGGACCACTTTAGGCATCACACCTCTCAGGATGGTCCTTCATCACAGGTATTCATGGCGAACCTGTGCATGACGAAAGAAAAATAAAGGGGGGGGGTTACATGCCCATTATATCCAGTACATGGAGAGCAAGATAGTCATAGACGTCAACGAAGCACTTCAAAACTGTCATGGATAGGATGACTGATCCAAAATATCCTGAACCCATCAGTTTTGAATGGTACTTGGAGCAAGAGAGCGACGAATTTGTGTTTCGATTTTGGGCACGAGACAGCAGGATTTATCACCCCTACGCCTACAAAGACGTTATTTGAAAGAACCTACACATATCGACATCAGGTAAAAATGTAACTAGATATACATTTTTCTCTCTGGGGAGTTCGGCATGAACAGTACGTAGTCTGACGAAGGTCTAACCATAACCCCCCAGGAGGGCCGTCGCCTCCGTCTTCAAGGGCAAGGAAAATGGCGTGATTTTACACGAAAGGGATCATTTTAGCACGGGAGAAAGCAAAACCACTTAATATCATACTCAGATGAGACTCAAACGCCGGAAAACGATTCGATTAGCAGTCTCCGCTCCCCTCGGGGATAAGAAGGAGCCCTCGATATCAGAACATTGATATGGTTCGCGGGACGGTAGAGGCCTCGCCATACTCCTGTACGGCGCCCCTGGCGTGGTGAAGACAGCAACAGCTGAAGCAAGTCGCTGCTGAAACAAACAAGACATTGTTTCCATAACTTGTGGCGACTTGAGATTCTCGCCTCGGGATGTCGACAAGTCTCTGAATGACGTAATTTGCTACGCACAACTAAGGGGTTGTGTACCCTTACTTGTAGAAACCGATGCGTTGCTCATACAGAGAGACTATGGTGGCGGCGATCTCGAGCGTAACACTATGGTTACGGGTAACTCTGTCCAATCTCTGATAATTCCGTGGCAGTTCAAGGAGCACTGACAGTAGCCTTATCTTAATGTTCCTCAGAGCCTTGAAGCCCTATATCGGTATTTTCTTCCTTACAACCAACATAGTTGGGGCTCTTGATGAAGTATTCCAGTCCCGCATACATTTACCTCGGGTTCTGGTAGCCGATTCTGAGTCTGGATGACACCATCAAAACCCTCTACTCCAACCTACGTCGTCTGCCCAAGATAGAGAACACAGAAGACAAGAGAGCTTTATCCAGTTACCTGCAAGTCAATAAAAATCCATCAAGAACTTCGTCAGCAGCGTGTACAGGAGGCACTCCGAAAGGGCAGACAATCATAGAGAGCCTTGGAATTGACGCCAGACTCGTACTGCACTGCAGATCGCAGCCGGCCTCGCTCTGTACGAAAGGGGAACAGGGCTGGTAGGCTAAGAAATGAACGGGATGCCAGCCTGGCTGACATCAGAGCAATTCCGGGGCTGCGGCGGAGACTACGGTTGACTTTGAGAAGTGCTTGAAGGTCACCGAGGCCTGTGACGAAGTGCAATTCGCATGAACAGCTGGAATCTTTCGGGTCATTGCCAGGACGATGAGTTAATTCCCGTCGTGCGAAGGTCATTCAGATGCTAAGACAAGCTCCGCAGAAAACTAAACATCGAGGTGCAGCGCTGGGCAATGCAAACTCTTGAAGGGACGATCAAAGATCAGGTCCAGGAGTGAGCGAAAGCCAGCTAACTCAACAGCGGATTAAAGGATGAGCAGGACATCACTCTACTTCATCCTCATCGTTTTGCGGCCCCAGCTGGCCGAGTAACAGCAGTGCCCTCGAGAAACGTACAATCCCCACCATTCTCAAATGTCCCGCCTCGACGACGAATCCGATCATGAGCTTCACAATCCTCGGCCCTATCCGTACGAGGACGGAGAACATGACCGAGGGCTGGGATCATCCCCGCCGTCCCCGGGCCACGTTCAAGGGCGGCAAGACCCCTTCTTCGCAAATCTGCAGGGACAAGTTGTACTCGCGGCAAGACCAATACTAGAGCGTTTGTTACCCGAATATCTGTACCTAATAAGGCGATTACCGTAATATCCAAGCATCAGGATACATCACATGGAAAGGTGTGGACATCTCTATCCTTACTCGCCCTATTCCCTCATCTCCAAGTCCGATACTCTCGGCTGTCATCTCGTTTATGGTAGGATCGACAGTAAGTCATACGTGCTGCCAACGTCACGAAACGCGAAGGTCTCGTTGTGATCGTTGACGAGCAAGATCGCATTGCATGAGAAACAACCCGTTACACTGCGAAGCGTCTCTATGCAGGTTTCGAAATGTATCAGTGCTACATTGCATTGTCGTCAGTCACTTCTCATGTAACGGATGCATTAGTTACCAACCAATAGGCAGCTTCAGATGTTTGTGTTCACTCACATACTCATTTGAAATAAAAGCTGACATGTGGACATGGTTAAGAGAAAGGACGGTTGAAACATCATGTAATAGGACCTATGTACGCCTAGCAGAGAATACACTTCAAGTCACGGGACAATAGGACAGAGAACTTGATCTTGAACGAGAAAATGCATTTCTTCATGTATTAAGGAGCCACCCGCCAACTTGTCTCCGCGACAAGTGTCCATCTACCATACCAAAGACAACGATGCAAAGCTTCATGCGGGAAATCTTTTTTCATGCCCCATGATACCAGATAGAAAAAGTGCCAAATCATTTGGATACGAAACCCGCCAACGCCCGAAGTTCCCAGCTCGCGCAAAAAAAAAAAAAAAAAAAAAAACCATGTGCCAAACGGTAGTCTTCAAGAATGAGGAAGGGAAGCCTGCACGCCAATATCACTCGCTTTTCCTACCCATCCATCCCTATGAGCCCAAGACAGGAACCTCTTTTAGAGGCCGAGCCGAGAAACCAAACAGACGGGAAGCGAAAAGATCTATTGTGGCCTTCTACCACCTCAGGCTGTGCAAACTGTGACAAGGAGAATATTGCGGGAGGACAAGATGTCAATGCCCGCCAAACCGGAACGCCTTATACGCTATGCTCTAACATGCTTGGTAAAAAGAGGCAAGAAGAAAGATGATGACGAATAACACAATGGGTGACAAGTCCATGCTCGTGGCATTGCTTGTGGCAATGCTAGATGCAATGCTGCACAATGAAAATTCAACAATGCAGCCCAAAGTAGAAGTGAACCTTAAGAGGGGGGTTGGGTATCATGAAGGGTATCATGTAAAGGTGACTTTTTTAACCAAGAGTACGGCCACTGTGGATGGCTGGAGGGTGGTGTGGAGTGGTGGCAGTGCGGGGTGTAGTAGGACTAGGCCTTCCAGTCGAGGCTGGGTTGAAATCGGGTACGGTGTATGTTGGTGGGCGAGAGGGGTCCCAGCCCTCCTCACTGAGTACACTGAGGTAACCATTTCCAACCTTGTCCCGCAACGCCTCGATCTTCCGGCGGTACATCTCTCCGCTGACGTCCCAGTCTTGGGAGTCTGGCGGAGTGTCGCGGGTGCTGTAGATGGGGGGGAGTTCAGGAACCACACTGGTGTCGATACGGGGCACCTCAGGTTGGGAGTTGGCCTTTCGGCAATCAGGGAGTGCCGCGGAAGGCAATGGGGGGACCTCAGGAGACTGAGAGATGCGGTAGTTGCCGTCAGAGCCAACGGCGGTCGTGGTGGCATCCACAGCAAGCACCCTGATGTCTGTCGTGGGCGGCAGAGCGACGCCCGGCGTTACTGTTACAGAGGAGTCCGCAGTGGAAAGATCCACGATACGTCTCTTCGGTGTCTTGCGACGCCGGGTTGAGCTGGTGTTTACCTCGCTCGTAACAGCCTTGGGAACCGGCCGCTCCTTGCGAAGCACGGAAGGTTCTTTAGGGATGTCGTAGATGATGGCGGGTTTGCTAACGTCAACGGCCGGAATATCAGCAGGAGCAGGCTTGACAACTGGCACAGCCGCGGGTACCGGAGTACGCTCGACCAGGTATCTCCTTTCCGAGTACGTGGGGCCAGAGTTGTCAATGACGATGTCCTCGGTGTAGCCCGGGGTCTTGCGGAAAAGGTTGAAGATGGTGATCCGATAGTCCTTGTGTGTCCTGGTGAAGGGATTGCCCTCGACCCAGATTTCCCGAATGTCGGGAATTCCGGTGAGTCTAGCGAGCTCCAAAGGATCCGACAGACGGTTGTCACGAAGGTCCAATCGCTCAAGAGGGTACAACTTCTCGATGCCAGCGATGGACTGCAGCCGGTTGGCTCGGAGGTTGAGGGCTGTGATGGCTGGAAGGGGGTTGCGCGTCAGGGAGTGGAGTCCGTCAATCATGCAGTGTGAGAGGTTAAGTGCACGTAGTGCGGTAAGGGTGGCCAAACTATCGGGAATCTGAGTGAACAGATTTGACGACAAGTCTAGCGAATGAAGTGTGTTTGCAAGAGGAGCCAAACTGGCGGCAGGAATTGCCGTCATTGAATTGTCGGCAAGACCGAGATGCTTGAGGAAACGCCACTTGGACGCAGGTAAAATACCCATGTTAAGGAAGTTTGAAGAGCTTCCGGTACGGCTGTGGTGCCACGAGTCTGATAGGCTAGAGTGCGAACTGCCGGAGCCGGAGCGGCGAACCTTGTGACCACCTCTCATGTGAGAGTGGTTGCGAGAGCTGACAGGGCGAGTGGGTGAGTTGCTACGGGGCCTGCCTCCCTTCGGAGGAGACATGGCCTCGAAAGGATCCGCTCGTGGAATAGAAGTCCTCCTGCCCTCGCCAGATGCCTCGTCGACAGCGTGGTCGTGCATGTTCAGCGAACCAATTCCGAGATCACCAATGGAGGAACGCGGCTCTGGAGAGCCCGGTGCCGAGGTGGCCTTGTGAAGTTCGGCATGTGGGAGAGCCGGACTTCTTCGAGGGCTCGAATTCGCAGGCCAGGGCGTTGTCGGCGATGACTGTTGCTTGGAGGTTCTTCTGCGCCTCTTGTCCATGTCATCGAGTACTATGTCAATGAGAATGTCTGCGGGGTCTTCCACACCGGCACGCTTCAGAGTGAGAGATCTAAGCTGCTCGGCTAACCTGTCCCATCCAAAGAACTGTCTGAAGTCGATGCTGTTGACCTCGAGGGCTTGCACATTCTTGAAGACGTACAGTGGGACAGCAGAGTCAAACGGAAACTCTTCGTAGCCTCGGATCAGTCGAGCGCGCCAGTCGGGCGAGAGGCGTAGGCAGGGAATCTTGGTGAAGGCCGAATATAGATATTTCAGGTCAGCCTGAATGGCAGCCTTCTGTCGCTCTGTCCTCGCGGCAGAGATGCTGGCGCCGATACCAAAACTCTGCCAGAGGGCCGACATGCCCGACATGACGCTTCGGACACTTGATACGGAGTGTATTGAACCAACATCGGAGCCTCGGCTTCTGGATCGCTGGGTATTGCTTAGGAAGGAAACGTAGTTTGCAGATGTAGAGCTGTCGTGGAGGTTCTCGAGACGAATTTTCATGGGGCCAACGGGAATGGCGAGTTCTTCGAATCGGGAGAGGAGGTAGAATAGGTGGTGCGGAGTCAAAGCCAACTTGGCTGACTTGACGTTATGTGAAGTGAAACTCAAAGAGCCAAGAGACAAGGCAGATGCGAGACCGCTCGATGTCGAAGCCGAAGTAGAAGGCCGCTCGGGAACAGTCGGGGACTGCACCGGAGGCAGCGAGCTGACGCTCTGAGAAGAGCCATGACGAGCCGTCTGTCTTCGAAATTGTAAGGCGTTGGCAAGAGCCTTTTCGTGCGTCCGCACGAAGCTAGCCAGTTGCTGCGGAGACAATGTGAGCAAAAAAGCACAGATAGCCAGGCATCGCGACCTGGCAACATGACAGGACGAGCAAACATCTAAGGACGTACCTTTATGAACAACTCCCCGTCTTCGGAATCCATTTTCAAGGACGCATCGGGGGCAGACAAAACAACAGGGTATAAAGTATCTGTGGTCGGGAAAGGAGGGAACGGCGGATATCGGCGCCTAATATGGTCGAAGAAATATCTTTCGACTTATGGATCAGATTCTGCTGGCTGAGTCGAACGACGGGCTTTCTGTCGTAGCCGGTTCTACCGCAGTCTAGTACAACGAGAATTAGTTTGTTGCTGCTCCCGTTGTTAAGCGTTAATGATAGGTGCTCAATCGTCGGGAACCCAAACTAAGGAGTCCTGCTCGACGAGGAAAGCGCCGCTGCGACACTTCGCGGGGCGATACGGTTGGGGAGGACAGAACAGGCTCGTAAGAGGTGCCACGAGCGATGTATCCCGTTGCAGATGCTGCAGGGCCAGTCTCGTCTTACAGCCTAACGCAGGAATGCTGGAGGGGAGGGACAAGAGGTCGAGGACGACTAAGGAATGTGATGTGATGTGTGTCGAAGTGAGAAAATACGGGGGCGAACGATGCTAGTGAGTAGTGACAAGCGATACAGGCAAACAACACAGGCAGACTTGCAGACAAGACAGATGACAGCGCGCAGATGTGCAAAACGAGGCAAATGTTTCCCCTCGTCCCTCGTGGAAACGAGGCGAGGTGATGAACAGGCGGCGGGGGGGAAGAGGAGTCACGGGTCCAAGACAAAGATGCTGGGCAATAGGCAAAAAGACAAGTTGTGTGATGCAGCGTGGTTTTGGTTTGTTCTGTTTCCCACTGTTTCCGAACGTAAAGCAGACGGCGATACAGCAAATGACAGACCATCCAAAGAGAGAGAACTCACCTTTTTCCCCCTTGGTTTTCGTGGTGTTTCGTGAGGAGGGAAACACACGTCGAACGATGGGCTTCTTATCTTGTGTATATCGATCCCCTAGGTCGGCCGCAGGCGAAGGAAGTGGGATATCGTATCGTCGCAACGAAGGACGAGGCTAGGCGGTGGCGATAAGAGGAGAGGGTCGGAGGAGAAGGACGGGAGAGGTTTTGTTCTTCTTCTTCTTCTTCTTCTTCTTTGGTTCGAAGAAATCGAGAGTCGAGGAAGCTATTTCCAAACTCCTCTCGACAACTCTGTAGGACACAGAGAAAGGAGCGTGAGGGAAGGGTCTTTCTTAGATCGAGGGGGTGGTCGGACGGGGTCCGGGTTTAATAATAACAAATGGTCGCCAACCTGCCTTTCCTCACTGCCAGGAGTGCGAGAGCAAGGAGGTACTACAGTACGGGGGCCCAGTACCTACCCAGTACCGCCTACCGCTCTACCCACGCACCCACGTACCCAAGCACACCTCACCCATGGGTGGATGGGAAGGGTGTGGGTGGGTGGCCTGGCGCTGGCTCTGGCTGGAGACGATGTGCACCGTCCACTGCCCAGTCCACCCACATCTTTTTTGCGCGGTACCCACACCCTGCAACGAGGAGAGAGAGACCAGCAACCAGGGCATGCTGGAAATGGTCCATGGGATACTGAAGGTGATGGAAATGGCCATGGCAGTGGGACAGACCAGTCACCCACTCAAAAGTGGATACCAAAAGAGCACCCACTAGAGAAGGACAGGGTATCGAGAACACCCTGACCCTGTCATCTCTGACCAGCATCTACCCTGAATACCCTGGCAGGCATCTCTTTCTAGTCGACCCTGTCTCTGACCTTCCGAAGGTGCGCCAAGGAAGCGAGCGTGTTCGCCAGCGGCAGCAGCGAAGAGTGAGCGACAATCTAGAGAGAGACTAGTGGCAGAGGGGACAAGAAAAAAATAAAAAAGAAGTAGATGGATGATGGGTGATGGCACGAGCAGACCAGCTCTAGCAAGGAAACGAGACAGATGCAAAGCGATTAGCAGCCAGAAGCACCCCTACTATGCGGCGGGGCAGGTTGCTGAAAGCAGAGCAAGCAATGATGAATGTGGGCTGAAGGCGTTGAAAGTATAGGGTACATGTGAGAGTAGCCATAGACGAGGATGGATGGGATATGCGAAATGGGAGGAGGGACCCTTTCCCTTCACTGTACTCCGTACCGCAGTTGCGATTTTTTTTTTCTCTGTTGGTTGGCTGGTTGGTTGACTAGGTGTCCTACCTAGTCACTTACTTAGTACTTGCTGCCTCGTCTTGTCTTGCCTTGCTCTTGCCTTGCCTCTCGCTCACTGGTCTGATCTGGTGTGGTCTCGCTCGTCTTTTTTTTTTTTTTTCTTTCTTTACTCTACCGCTTGCTCTTCCGCGCTTGGAAAGGAGCTATGAGAGAAAAAGGCAGGAAGCATGGAGCTCACGATGTGCTGCTCCTGCTCCTGCCGCTTCTGCTTTGCCCGCCTGCCCTTTCCCCCAAAAGTTTCAACCCCCGACGTTGTAGCCAATAATTGCTCACAGAGGCGGTCTGCAGGTGCGTCCTTGTTCCTCTCTTGTAGTTAGTAAGTGTTTCTGTTTGTCTCCTGCTATTCGATCATTAAACCACATTTTATCACAATTTGAATGCTGCTCCTGCTGCACGTCTGTTTGACTTGCGCCTTCAGACGTGCATCGCAAGCGCGGCATGCGGCGGCGACAGTCCCGTTGCATTTCGTTTGACTTGAATTTGCATCTGCGCCCTCGTTCCCCGTCCCTCGTCTTCTGCGTGTCTTTCCGTATGGGGCCCCCCGTCTCTCTCCTGTGCCGAACATTGAATTTTAATCGACGACTCGTCCAGTGTCTTGAGTCGGTCGTGATACCGCGCGATCTCCACGCCCCGAAGCCCGCCCCCATCCCCTGTCCCCTCTTTCTCCCCTATTTCCCACATAACATGTCCGAAAACACGCAAAGACCTAAGATGAGATGCACGTGTATCCCGTACTGTGCAGCAACGTATACGGAATCCAAGATGGTCGATATGACGGGCTCCAGATACAGAGCTACATAAGCATCAAGGGTTCTGGCGCACGGCCGGAACATCAACCAACCCCTACCTTCTGATTTGAGATTTTTTTCCCCCGGGGCCCTTGTTCTCACTGCGGCATCACGTATCTAGCCGGCGAGTTGGGGGGAAATAAAAAGCCCTCTCTTTCGCGCCTTGTGTCATCCTCCGCCCGCCATTTGTCCGTTATATGTCTCGCCAGCAGTGGCCGGGCGACAACAGGCGGGTGTATAGTGCGGGCGCGGTCGGTCATCAGATGACACGGGCGTCGCCATGAGGAGGAATGGAACGCCTACGAAGACGCATAACTGTTCTGACTCTTAGAAGACAACTTGGAAGGTAAGAAATCGCTAGTAAAAGTCCCAGGTACAAAACACCCTCGTCCGCTTGCGCCGAAATTTCGGAGCTCCTCTCTAGGGGGGTGAGAGAGAGACAGAGAGGGGTCCACCGACCAGTGATCCTAGCTTACGGATGGGGCTTACGCTTGGCCCCAAAGGTGTGACATGCAACAAGCAGCAGCAACAATAGGAGCAACGGGGGAAAGAGAGATAGGCCAGAAGCAGCAGGCAGGACCGCAAAGGGTGAAAAAAAAAACACAACATTGTTTCTCTCCACCTTCTTCGTATCAAGGCCTCGTTTCCACTATCAGCCGTCAAGTCTCATTTCAAATTCAAACCCCCGCCAAGCCTCTGGATTTCGTCAAAAGACGTTCCAACAGAAAAGAATCAACAGGCAACAGTCTGGATGCTCTGGCTGCGGCATTCCTCACACACGAGACAATCACATCATCGCCTACCCCATCCGGATCCAGCGTATTGGGAGAGCAGATGGCGGCGTAGAGCAAAAGCCAATTCGCTGCCCCGACTCGTTCGGCCTCGGGTCCGGCTGGTCAACATTTCCACCTCATTTTGTTCATGCGAGCTAGCATCAAGGATCTCCGAGCGAGTCCAACCGCTGCCATTTTCTTTTTGTTTACACATGGCAGTCGTTGTTTTTGTTGACGGGTTGCCCGTTGCTGTGTCCATGTGCTTCTTGTTCTCCGCGGATCGTCCCAAGTTTGTTACTGCCGACCTCCTAGAGTCACCGAAGCCAAGCCCATTAGGCCACGGACCGTTGATAACGCATTCCAACGGTTATCGTCCAGGTGTTATGCGTAGGATATTACCGCAATGCTGTTGCTCGTTGCAAATGGTAGACTATGCTATCCCGATATCTTGGGCCCCACGTGTACAATGCGAATCGATGCAGCATGATGCCATCCCCAATGTGCTGGTCCCTCTTTCGTCCACGTTCATCATCCGACGCGACAACACCCAGAGCAATGGTGCCAACGCGACGGGTGAGGAAGACAAGAAGCCAGCCAGGCAGGCACACGGTCCGGATACATGCGGCATTACTTTTGATGTCCCCAATGAGATGCATAACATACAGCAAACAGTTCGGGGTCCTGGTATTGGCGCGTCTCTATGGGCTGCAGCAATATCAATGCCGGCGGCGGATCATCAATAGCGCAAGCTGCAAAAGCAAAGCATAGGTGCAAGTAAAATTGCAGCGCCTTCAGCAGCGTCGGGCCAGCATGGATTGTCACAACGACATTGGATCGTGGCGGAGAGATCAATTTCGTCTTTTCATCGCCTGTTTCGCCTGTCGGTCCACTAGAGGCCCCAGCACGGTCATCCCATGTCCCACGCTAAGGGACCCCGGGCCAAGTGAGCCACCCCACTTGAAGGGGGGACGTCCAACTCTCCAAGGGGCCCTTTCAAGCCCGCGCAGAGACGTCGGCTCTGCGCCATGACAGGAAGCGCCTAACAGTCCTCGCTCCCTCGCTTGACTTCCATTGGAAGAAGCCCTGGAACCAGCAATTCAGTGGCTTTGGTTGCTGCCGTCCGTGCGCTACGCTCGTCAGTTTTAGCGTCGCCAGATGAATGTGGACAGGGAATCCATGCATTGCGATAGATGGTAGACATCCACTATCGTTATCGTAATGGCCGACGGTGCTATCAGTACTTGCTACATTGAGACATGGCATGTCAATACTTGTGTGGTTAGGACAAGGGCATCCTATCTGGGCATCTTCTGTTGGCATGGATTTCTTCAAGGACCCTTGGGGAAAGAGAGCGTTGGCGCTCTGCTTGCTTCTTGTCAATACCTTTTCCATATTCAAACGGCTGCTATTGATTTGAAGTTTGATATTGTTACGTGGCGCTTCGAATTGTGGCTCCTCCCCCCCTCCGAGCTGGCTAGTTAATGATTCTGCGCCCATTATTCATTTTCTCCGCGACAATCCCGCCTGTCAATCCACATCAGGTATATGAACCAAATTTTGTGCCCATAGCCAGCCGCAATTCAAACAAAACGACAAAACCCATACCAAAACATGGTGTATAGCACGGATATATACGATGAAAATAGATACATCGTTGCGACCCCCAGATCAATCTACCCGTTTCCCGTTCCCAAGCCTTTTTTAGATGGAATGTTTTTTGCCACTACGTATTTAGAAATCCCATTGGGCTGAGAAAACCTGGGGAAAGAAAGAGGAAAGGGAAACATTGTTCTTTCTGCCTCAAACGCCAAAGTGCTAAATCCGAGGTACATTGACTGTAAAGGCACCACGTCACTTTATCTCAGATTGACGCCTCAAACCCGTTGATCCCAAAAAAGAATTACATGCAAGATACACACAACACACATGCCTCGACTCATTCCGTTCGCCTCCGCAAGCGCGATCCGCAACTCGGACCCGACGCCGTTACTATTCCAAGAACAAAGCCCCGACGACATGACAAGTGCGCGCACCGGTTTGCGTCCCTCACTCTTGGTCATCCGTGCCACCATCCATTGTAGATCCAGCTCACCGTCTTGTTGTCGTCGGGCCTTGTGGTTCCGAGCGGCGTCGAGCTGGAGATTTCTAAAGATCATCTTCTACTTCCTGTTCTCCTCCTCCCTCCATCAAGCCTCCCCGTTACAGAATGGTCGTCCAACTGGTTTCCGCCCCGGCGATCTCTCTGTCTCTCTTTCCTCAGCTCCGCCCGCTGTCCAATGGCGGCGCGGTGTCCCCGGACGTGGCCCACCGAAAGTGATGCGCTCCCTTGCATCACCCTAATCATCTTTCCAGTTCGTCTGTCGATTTTCACTCTTCGTTACAAAGGAAAATAAAGAATCTTCCGTTCAGCTGCCGCCCAATTTTCTGTAACCTGTTTCTGGCCCTCCCTCCCTGCATGCATGCAGTAGCAGCATCGCTCCCGTCACGCTGTCTCCATTATAACTGCTTTACTGCGTAGAAAAGAGCCCAGTAGCAGCAAACCGAGTGTCATGAAGGTCCCCGTCAGTTCAGAGGATATCCGTGGGCGCAATTTTGGGGCATATCCTGGGCGCGCGAATGGGCACAATTATGTCATAACTCCACCAGCTCGTAGCTTCGTAGCCTCCTGATTGGGACTACGGAGTACAACAGCCTCCTTTTGCTGAGATGGATGTCATCTTGCCTCTGACCCTTTACCCAATCCCTGCAACGACCCTCCAGCGGTACTCGTAGTCATGTACACCATACTCTGTCCCCTCCACCCCGGCCCTTCTGCTCTTCCCCCCCCCCCCCCCCCCCCCCCCCTTTTACCCCACCTTGTCGACCTTGTCGCTGCCATTTCGAGGTTATTCCCTTCCTTTGGGCCACACCTTCTCGCCTCTACTCCTGCCGTTCCCTTTCCACAGCAGGAGCAGGATCATCATGGGCCACCCCATTGGCTGAGAGAGGTTTCTGCGTTGCAACACAGACAGATCACGCCGCCGGCCCCGTGGGAAAATCAACTGTGGCTGTCGCGCGTGGAAATATCCAGTCTCTACACCTTTTTTCCATGATGAAAAAACCATGCAGCCTGTCGTCGTCGTCGTCGTCGTCGTCTCCCCACGTTTCTAGGCCACCATCCATCGGCCCTCCAATTTTCCCACCCCCGCGGGCCACGCATTGCGGCATGCATCAATCGCTGCCCATCCTCTTTTCCTCATCGTTGTCTCCATTCAACGACATCATCATCCTCACCACCACCACCATCACCACCAACAGGAGCAGCAGTAGTATACTAGTAGCAGCACTCGCGCCAGCCGCGAGCAGGGGTGGCATTTGGCAGGCCCGCCGTTACATAACCACACCGTCTCGGCTTTCATCATTGTGGACTCCGTCCCCATATTCGTTCGCCTCATATCTGCGAATAGTTACATGAGATACTCACCACAGCCGCAAGAGAGAAGAAAGGAACAATATTTTAGGCCACTCTGAGACTCGAACCAAACCATCCGAAGTAGTGTCGGTCAGCCGGCAGAGTGCACGGCCGACCATCTCACGGGTGGTTGCAGCAGAGTGTGTGTGCTAGAACGAGATAAATATGTGTGAGTGCGTGAGAGAGTACACGCTTTGTCTCTCTGAAGTAGACGATACATGCCAGACCTGGCTGGCCTCTGCGCGGATGCGCTACACCAACTCTTAACTATGCTGCGCGATGACTGGGTGGCCGGCGATGAATACCTATTCAACACTGCCAGCCGCTGTATCTTCTGCCCTATGCTCGATGCCGCACTGCCCCTCCTTCACGTTCCTATCACTTCTTGGAGGGCGTATATTACCGTGCGCACGATGAAGCCTTACAATGCCCTCTGCAACAACACCATTTTACGCCTTCCCATTATTGTGTTCACTCTCACCGCTTCTCTACCTCTGCTAATGTCGCAATTTCTCAAGATCGCGATTAAGGAAATTCCTTTGAGGCAAGAACACGAATAACAATGGATATCATGCGAGTCCAATGTCTTGCCTGGTGGTTGCGACGCTTTAACTCTTTTTCCATAATTTTTTCCTTTCTCGGAATTAAAGCTGGCTATCAGAGGCGTCTGGGATGGTCAGCCACAGCGCCATATGCCCCGCGCGGGAACTGGAGAGACACCAGAACATCCATCATGTGGGCTCGGCTGGTTTTTTTTTTTTTTTTTTTTGTCTTCCCTCTGCGACAATGCTAACGAAGAGGGGAGTCGGTTGGTCGCCCTCTTCCCGCTACCGCGAACGAACGGCGGTTCGCCTGGTCGCTTACTAGACCTGTCGTTCGAAGATTTAAAAGGAGAGGCAGGAAGGCGCAATCGCTGATCGCGAGTCAGTCCCATATCTCAGGCGTCGCTGCCGTTCTGCGCTGACCCAGGCACGGGAGAAGCGATCATCAGGCACTTGAGGCTCGTCCCAGGGATGGCTCTTGTTAGGGAGGTCGCCAGGAGGCGGTGGGGATGCAGGTGCTACAGCCATCTCGGACCTAGTGACAAGATGGAGGGGTGCGGGTTGCCAGATACCGTTCCCTCATTCGACATCGTCGAGCCCATCATCGTCCATATCAGTGAAACAAGGGCCAGACCGAACCAGGCGGCCTGTACATCCGGTCTTCAAGGCCGCGGCCTGACCTGCTTGCCAAAAAATCATTTGACATTCAGACACTTTCTGCACCGAGTTGGGGCCATTTGCGCCCAGACCTGGAGGAACGCAGACGACTGCTACCAGCCCGCATCTGAATATGGCGTTCAGCATACCTATCGCTGGTGTTTTGTGGGAGGAAAGACAGGAAAAAGACAAGCCACGGCATGGCAGTTTGACAATAGCCAACCACCGCCTCCAAAAGGGTCTTGGATTTGGCTCCGATGCCAAGAAGCCACCAGGGAGCAGCGGCGCGCATGTGGCCATCCATGGCTCAATCCGTGTAACGGTGCCCTGACCAATGATATGCCCACCATGCGAGGCTGGAGGTCTGGGGACCGGGGACCGCTGACTCGCCGGCCAAGATAGATCGGCCGACTGTGCGATTCACGTTTGACCGTGAGTCGTCTCTTCATGCTCACCGTCAAGCGGTGACTGCCGAACATCCGTCGATCCCGCCGGATTTGGGCGACTAAGCCCTTCAGAGTCTCCATAACTTTACCGAATATCGCACCTGGAAAACTAACATGTCGACCACGGGTGATGGAAATCCCGTTCATGGCGGCTAGAGAGGGGTTATACCTACGACTGTCAAAAGAGCCCCTCCATCAACGCAGACTAACCGGGACGCGCGTGGTCAAGACTGGGAAACTCCACGGAAGCCGGCTGGCGTTCTATACACATGACGCTTACGTACCGTTCAAGCCAGCACTGAACTACTGCACCTTTGCTAATTCGCTACGTGATATAGCCGCTGCGGGAGCCACGGCTTCTGCAGAAGCTGACATTTTGATGCTAAATTCGACGCCTGGGACGAATGACGGGTGCAGTGAACGTCGTCGGCCAAGGTCGCGGCGAAGAATATCGAGCATCCGAATAACCTTGCCCATATGCAGCCCCTTGTCATGTTTCGTTCGAGTCGAAAAACCGCAACTGTGATATCTCGCTTGACATGCCGCTACTCGCGCACAAGGTTCAGATTCCACGGGACTCAGCAAACAAGGTTGCTTGAACCCTGAAGATCCTCAAGGACGTCTACCGAAATCGCCGAGAAACTGGGTTTTGGCCACATGATTTGAAGATGCAGCCGCTTCTGGGAAAGCGAGAAATGCGGAACACTGGGCGCGGTCGTCTCGCAGGCTCATAGGAGGAGGCGATACGCCGATTGCTTGCTCACCGCTCCGTCGCAAAAATTCTTTTTCCTGCAGACTCGCGCACCTCATGCAAGAAACACTGCGAGGAGTGGATATCGCCGACCACATTCGACCAGGGTTTACGGGCCTTGTTCCACTGGAATCGAACGGCACTATCCCAATACCATACTAGTACGGTGGCAGGGATAGCGACCCTGGTGGTCCGTGTTGCTATCGGCTCATGACGAGCAACAAGGAGGGGCCATCTTTGGACCCTTGGGGATAGGCCCCGATCTCGTGGGGAATGGGCGATGGCCGTTGGCTGCGGCCAACCAAACGCCATTCCCGTCTACACCACGCCTTGGACTACAGGAATGCGTATGCCGCAAATAGACGCCTCGTCTTTTTGGCAGGTTCCATCCACCTTCGCGAAGCTGAAGACACACGGCTAAGCCTTTGCGGAGACCACATCATGCAACTTATTCTGTCTGCTTCGTCAATGGTGGGGTTTCTCGGTTCAAGGCAAGTACCGAGTACGCTCCTCCAGAAAGAAATCCAATGATTGTCTCCTCACCTGAGACGAACAGCACCCATCCGTTTCTCGCCAGGCAGCATCTCCAGAGTCGAATGCATATCCAAGTTTCTTATTCGACTCGGCTGCCGTTCTCGCGTCTCTAAGCGGGTGAACCCCCCACACTACTCATCTCGGGACTCTGCACCACATAGCAATCCTGTCAGACCCTGGACCTTGTCTTGCGCTACCACAACTCCGCTTTCGCACGTCAACAGGCCAGTCCTGCTGTGTTCTGTTTCTTTTCCGGGCATCGTATGAATTCGTTCGACTATCAGGAGCTGATGATCCGACCTCAACACCACGAACCATGACGAGCGTCATGCTGTGGTGAGAGATCGCGGGGAACCCATCTATCGCATCATGCTCGACGCACGCTTACTCTCCTGCGTCCGTTTCCAATGCGGCTATTACGCATATGTGAGGCAGGTGCCCCAGCCGTCCTCATCTCTTGACTCCCACACCGCAAAGACAAATCGCATGTTTGTGCGAGCGTTTCGGTCGTGCAACCCACCCGGCCCCTCGCTCCATTGCCTAGTGGCTCGTGCCTTCTTCCTTCGACCGAAAATGAGAGTATGTGGTAACTCAAAGCAGGGCGCTCAACGGTTCTTGTCGTCCCATGCCGGTGCCCGGAGCCGCGATCTTTTGGGTGGGGAATGCGATCGAGTCCTTCTGCACGTTTTCCCCTACCTTTTGCCTTACGTACTCTTCTGGATTACCCGCTATCAGGAGCAATCCGCCCTGCAAATACGTTGTCGAGAGTAGCGTTCCACCCAATTGAGTGGGTCCACTTGACGAGAGATATTCTCGCTCTTTGCCCGTTGGACGACCGGGTGGAAGACCGCCTTGATGACGGCATCGTTCAAAAATGGCATGGCGGGGTATTAGGAGAACCCGAAGACGGCGGGGACAGACAACCACGAGTATTTTGTCAGTTCGTCTCATGGCGGAGGCTGAGTTTGCGGCACAATCAATCCTGCTTGGTGAGAAAATTGCTCACTCACAACACACCGCTCAGTAAACCCGCCTGCCTACTTTGAACTTGTCACGGGCACCTGGGAATGGCCTCACCTGAAGGCAGACCCCGCATGCAGTCGGGGGGGCGAGGCGATCACAGTCTCCTGGTTAGCGATGAACGCTCAGCAGACGAGCGTTGCAGAAAAGTGTTGCGAGAGTGGGCTCGCCGGAGTCCTGCATTTCTTCAGTTGCCCCTGGATAAAATGTTTGTTGATTAGCCTTGTTGAATGTTCGACGTGGCTTTGGCAGGCAGGGATAGCCTCGTTCTGCAAGTCAAACTCTGAGGCTGACTGACCGCCATAGATCGCCAGCAACCGTCATATCCCACTTACAAAGTGGGACTGACAGCTAGCAACCAACTTTTTCCAACCACCACAACCACAACACCAACAACACCGCACCACACTGCCCCGAGATCATGATCGATCTGTTAGTGCATGCTCCGATTTGCGCCGTTAAGGAATCCTGTCTTTGTGATCGTCCGCTGCTGTTTCGTCCACGTATTATGATTTTTTTTTTTTTTTCCAATTCCCACAACGCCATTTTCAGCCCCATGGATATTAACATAACCCCGCCGTTATGTGGTCGGAGTCGACTCCGTATGTCACTGATACATCCGGCCCGCAGTCTTCTCCATAGACAAGGCGAGGCGTGATTCCAAAAATGGCACATTGATCGCACGAGCGATGATCAGGGACGCAAGAGACGATCAGTGACATCTCGGCGATCCGCGTCTGGTATGTCAACTTCCCATGTTCCCACTTTCGCCTTCTTACATCCACGACCACCCCGTGAGTGAAGCGGCGCAAGCTGGCAAGAGAGGGGTTATGGGCAAGCGGTCAGCCGGTGATGATGGCTCCGTTACGGCGCGTGGCCGTTTTGTTCGGCCAAGGCAGTTACAGTTCCGCCATATCGCTGGAGACGCCGTTGCTGTCGGTGAGGTCTATTTCGTACGGTTGTCGACGGGTCGAAGAGGGGTTATGGTTGGGGCTGCATAGCGCATGAGGTGTGTTCCAGACGATAGTGTGCAAGTGTTATCAGGAACCGACGATGAACTCATGGCTCTACTATCATGAAGACGTCATTGATCCATCAAGATGTCTGATGAGTACACGTATCTGAATCCATGTGATGTTTGCATTTTTTTCCCCCTCATTGGGACACGAGATTTGTGACTCCTCTAGGTAGGTGTAAGTGCGGTTGAGAGGTGTTCCAAAAGACAATCTGATGTCAATCATGTTCACTATTCTCTCACAGGTATCTTGGACTGCATTTTGCGTGTGTTGGCAGCCCAGGCTTTGCAGATAGGCCAGTAACACCAGGCCGGTAAGTATGCCAGCATCTCATTCATTAGTCCCCTCGTCGAGACGTCGTCTTCATTGAAGTCTAAGGGTTGATACAGTATTGTACAGGTGTGATTCCAAGTTGCCCAAAAGACCCTCTATACATTTTCTTTTCATTCTTTCTTGGTCCGTCCTCATTTTTCAATCGTGACAAGACGGTCCAACGCACGCCCATCCTCCAATGCCCAACCTGACGCGACGTCCAACTTCAGTTTCTCCCCGCCAGCCTCCATCTTCATGAAGCCGCTCTTGGTCAGCGCCCTCTGGATGCCGAACCACGCCGACTTCATCCCGCTGCCTGCGTGGCGGATCGGCACCGTCATGAGGTGCTTCTGGTCGTACTCCCACTGCTTCTTGGCCTCGGCCTTGTCCTTCCTCTCCTGGGCCCGCGCCTGCGCCGTCGTCTGGTACGGCGACAGCGGCTGGAACACCCTGTAGGGGATCTTGACCTGCTCAGGGGCGACGACGATCTTCTTGGACAGGCCCGGGATGAGACGCTTCACCTGGATCTCGAGGAGGATCGGCGTCGTCTTGGGGTTGACGCCGCGCGGCAGCGAGCCGGCCTCGGCCAGCGTCGCGGCGGGCACGGCGCGGATGGTCTTGACAATGTTGTGGCTCGCCCTGAAAAAGTACGACCCGAAACCGGCCGTCGCGATGCACACGGCGCCGAAAACCCACGTCACCCACGACCCGATCTCGTCCGCCCGGCCCGCGACGAAGTCCCGGAAGAAGCTGTAGTTGATCACCGCGTAGCTGTAGAACATTGTCGCCGCGCCCCACGTCGAGGCCTTCATCCAGAAGTGCGAGCCGGACTCGTAGAGGAGCGTCGGGCTGCCCTTTTGCGCGAGCTGCTTGATCAGGCCGTAGGCGGCCGGGTTCGTAGTCGTAATGGTCGGGCCTGCCGACGCGGGCGCCGTTGCGGTGGAGGAGGTTGTGGTTTTCGGTTTGGGTTTGACGACGGCGGCCTTGCGAATTGCCGACTTTTCGGCGCCGGCTTTCGCGGCTCGGAGAGAGGAGATGGTGCTGAAGAGCCGTTGGGGGACGGGCTGGAGGGGTCGCGGCGCGGCGAGGGGTGCCCCGGGGAGGAGGGTCAGGCGGAGGCCGAGGCCCCTTGAAAGGGAGGCCATGGCGGGCGATTTCTGGGCTCTAGAAGTATGTACAGTTGAATTACAAAGATTGGTAATGTATATCGGGAGGGCGTTGGGGCGCGCGCCGCGGAGTTTGAAGCTCAATTGGCTCTCGATGTTCGTCAGACCACCACCTTAGTAGCAGGGCAGCATTGAATTGGAAGCTATCCAGAAAAATTCAGTGGAGACCAGGATCTGGGTCCGAGCTCTTTGCTGCTGTTGGTGGTAGGAGTGTATTAGTGTACTGCACTGAAGAGAAACGAACCCCCACCCGAAAAGGAATGCGACGTCCAATCTGCAGCAGGGATTTCTCGGAGCACGGCGCAACGATACGGCGCAATATGGGCAGTGGGCGGTGACGGTGGGTGGTTGCTGTTGCTGTTGGTCCCCCCCCCCCTCTCGTCGAGTTATTCCCGAAAGTCGGGATAGCAAAACCGCGCAGGTACGTACCTGAAAGTGTTTTTTTTTTTTTTGAGAGTGCCCAGTCAGATCTAACGGCCACTGAAAAGTCCCAATTCAACCAATCAAAACACAACAATGATGAGCAACAGGTGGCTTCTGGCCCGTGCACCACGACTTTGGCCCGGCCCTGCCAAACTTGTTCGGGGCGGGAAATCCCAACAAGGTGGATGCTCTAGCTCACGCCAAAGCCAAAGCTCCAGTGGCCGTCTCTCTACAATTTTCGAAAAAAGATTCCCGGACCGGGGCGCGCGCGAACATCTCGCTGAGAGGCTGCCGAACCACACATCTCAACCCACTTTCTGTCTGTGCATCCCTTCTTTCTCCGACCGCTCATCTCGACCACCTGTGTCCGAGACTTTTGCTCAATCGAGGAGAAATCCGACCATCACGGCAGCTCCATCTATCCCCTCTCCCTCCCCTCCTCCTCCCCGTTCTCCTCCGGTCGACAGAAGGATAGATAGTTGAGATGGCTTCCCTTGCGACGGCGTGTCGTATCTCGGCGAGGGCAGTTGGCCGGAGAATGCCCGTTGAGGCCAGAGGTCCGTAATGCCACAGTATTGTGCAGCCCTCGATTCCCTCCCCCCCTTCCAAACCCCCGGCTTCAATTGGAACCCGGAGCTGATTGTTTGTCTTTCGACCTCCCCAAACAGGTTTCCGAACCTCAGCACGATGCCTCGCCGCCCAGAACTTCTCCATGCCTGCTCTGTCCCCGACCATGACGGAGGGTAACATCGCCAGCTGGAAGGTCAAGGAAGGCGAGTCCTTCTCCGCCGGTGACGTGCTCCTCGAGATCGAGACCGACAAGGCCACCATGGATGTCGAGGCCCAGGACGACGGCGTCATGTTCAAGATCACCACCGGCGACGGCGCCAAGGCCGTTCAGGTCGGAACCCGCATCGCCGTCATCGCTGAGCCCGGCGACGACCTCTCCTCCCTCGAGATCCCCGCCGAAGAGCCCTCCGCCTCCTCTAAGCCCGCCGAGTCCAGCAAGGAGGCCCCCAAGAGCGACACCTCCGAGCGCCGTGAGGCCCCCCAGGCCGAAGCCGGATCCCAGCAGAAGGGCGCCGCCGCCAGGTCCTCCGGCGGCAAGCCCCGCGAGCAGCGCTACCCGCTCTACCCCTCTGTCCAGCATCTCGTCAACGAGCACGGTCTCGACAAGGACACCGTCAGCAGAATCGAGCCTACCGGCCCCAACGGCCGTCTCCTCAAGGGCGACGTCCTCGCCTATCTGGGTTCCATTAATGCCGAGACCCCTAGCAAGATTATGGATCGCGCCGTCAAGCTGTCTCACCTTGATCTCAGCGACATCAAGGTCGCCCCCAAGAAGGAGCCCGAGACCCCCAAGAAGTCCGCCGCCCCTGCTGCCCCGGCGCCCCCCGTCGAGACCGAGGTCGCCCTCCCCGTCTCCCTCTCCAAGGTCCTCGAGGCCCAGCAGCGCATCCAGTCCACGCTGGGCGTCTTCATGCCCGTCTCCACCTTTGTCGCGCGCGCCGCCGAGGTCGCCAACGACGACCTGCCCCCATCCGCCCGCAAGCCCACCGTCGATGAGCTCTTCAACCAGGTTCTTGGCCTCGACAAGCTCGCCCCCCGCGGCACCAGAGGATACTACCTCCCTCAGATCTCCGCCCTACCCGAGCCATCCTTCGTCGCTCCCCGTGCCGCTACCCCCCGACGTGGAGGTGACATCATCGACATCCTCGCCGCCCCCAAGAAGGCCGCCCCCAAGAAGGCCGCCGCCCAGAAGCCACGTGCTGCTGCCTCCGCTGCTGGCAGCATTTCGTCCGGCAGCAACCTGTTCAGCCTGACCGTGCCTCAGGGCGACGAGAAGCGTGCCAAGGTGTTTTTGGAGAGGGTCAAGTTCATTCTGGAGGAGGAGCCCGCGAGACTCGTTCTGTGAAAGGGGCAGGTGATGGCGACGATAGTAAGAGGACGATGTGTTTGGAGCGTGACGAGGAACGAGGCCGCCAGCCTGTTTCCGACTGGGGAAATGTACTTGTAGCGTGTCGTGGACGGATACAATAGATGACATATACACCCGAATTTCAATATTTTTGTCTACCCACTGGGAGAAGCTATATTACCAAATGCTAGAGGTCGATATTGCGATATGCTTGCATTAGTTTACGACGTGTGGCGCCGTGCTTTTGGTGTTATCACCGTCCGTGGCGTGCGCTCCGAACCGGGCGAGCCCAGGAAACGGTGTCTTGCTAGTACTCCCTGATTGAAGAAGGCAAGGTCTGCAAATTGACTCGAGGATGGGGCTTCTAGAGATGGCGGGATAGGAGCCAACGCTTGTCCGTCATATGCTGCATTTCCAAACACTCGGGATCTTTCGGGCTTTCATTGCGTGTTCTCTGTCTGCGGATCATATTGTGTATTGCCTGTGTAGAGACATATTCTCCTTTGGTTCCGGTCTTCCATTTCTTTCACTAAAGTGGTAGCGTGAGTACGACACTGGGTTCCAACCCACCTATAGGCTTGTAGATGACGAGTAGCGGTGGTAATTGGGGCATCTTTTATGTTGGTCATCTACTGGTCAAAGATAAACCCTAATCAAGAAGTACTTTCTGTCATGATCGAGAACCACACGTTTGACTGAGGCATCGACTGACTCTAGGTGTTAGCGTGGGATGCATTGCGTAGAGTTGTTTGGATACGAATCCTAGCTTCAGTCAAATTACAATAACTCATGCACAATTTTATTGCATTGTTGACGAGACTCTTGTTGTGGAGTCCTGTTTTCCACATTGTAACATCTCTGCAATGGAACCTTGGGTGTGTAGCCATGCCGATGACTACCTTGAATTGCCGTTCTGAACATCGGTTTCATACAGAGAAACCAAATAATTGAACGAACTGCGTGACCTAGTAAGCGAATGTCCGTCTAGCCCCGCACAGCTCCTAGCAGAACTCCAAATTCGCATCAACCCCGAGGCCAGCTGAGTTACAGAAAGATATAAGAGGCGCCCCTGCTAGCCTCGAGTAGTTTCCCCGGGTTGTGGTGTTTTTGACTACAAGCCCGAATTTGAGGCTCAAGGGATGGCATGCCTATATTATGATTTCCAATTAATATGAGCAGACACCTGGCAAAATCTACTGTGGGTATGCTACAGACGCTGGTCGATGGCTCCGCATCGTCGTCTGCATCGAGATAATCTTGTCAGGAAATATGATAGAGTAAGACGTAAACTGAGTCAGGCCTTTACCCAATACGCTGATTCTTGCTTTTCACCACATTTTTTTCTTTGGATTCGCTAACCAGCTTTAATAGGACGAGATCAACCACGTTCCAAAAAGGGGGTCGTTTTCTGTTTGCCTTCACCTCTGGTCTAGAATTTAGTGCTAGCTACTATTGAAAATAGCCTTATGGAGTTTGTGTGAGGTGCTGAAAGCAGAGTAACAATACTGTGATCTTTTTTACTTCCATGTAGGCTAAGAAATGAAGGTAGATCATCCATATGTGCTCGGCACAATATATCAATAGCTTCTGACGGTATCCTTGGCATGTTGGAACATTATTTGCACAACTTGGGAAACTAAAGGCTTCGCTCTTCTTCCAAAATGGCACTAAGAGGTTGTCTTATCGTCGTTGATGAGTGGACAAACCATCCCAGTTGACACGTTTCAGATAGTTCGCGGGGGTAGTTACACGGCTAATGACTAACCTTCGTTTTCATGTGTCCCTTTGCCGCACTCTCGTCTGTTTTGTCCTTCCGAACTATCGGCGAGTTCATTTCAAGCCCTTCTAAGTCTGGTCTAAAGTGCCGTGGACGCTCTTGGGCAACGTTCAAGGGGTTCCCGTCAGTTCGACGGTAATTACTGACCTACGATGTTTCCATCGCGGTTGTTTTTCTATCATCGTTCAAAGACGTTACGCCTTGGCTCTAGCTATAGAACGATCAAAACAGTCTCGGTTTTGATCTGGCAGTAGAATAAGCAAAGTTGGCCTTATACCAGTGCTAGTCTCTCATAAATGGCCCAGTCACAGATTGTTTGATTCTAGCCAGGAGTTCGTCATCAGTTGGCAATACTGTGTCAAGTAATGTGGTTGAAATAAGCCTTCGGACGTAGCATGATTTCAGGTGAGCATTCCACTGCTTCTAGGAGGACACAAAAAAATAAAACATGACAGACCATTAAGATGGTTGGACTTTCAGGGTCAGAAGTGGAAGGGCATACGAATCGTAACCTACCATTGGAAACCGAGTTCAGCTGCTTAGCCTCTCATGTGGCTGGCTTTGGAACACGACATACAACTGCCACAACAGGATGGTTGTCATAATAGCAAACTAATACAGTACGCTTGATTTGAAATTACCCCAGTGCTCCAAATGCAGTGCTTCGACAACAATCACAAAGAACACGCCCCAAGAGGAATCGTCGCCCCAAGGCAGGAGACACGACTGAGAGGTACCACCTTTTGTAAGCCGTACGGACCCGTATTCGAAACATCTTTGTTATAGAGCTTTACTTGAAGCAGAATAAGTTCATGGTAACAACACATCATCCTTTTATCCCACAACGACATAGCAGCGATGCCTTCTACGCACTGCTGTCACCCTCAGTCCAAGCCTTTCGCCTGTCCACTCCTACGCTGTCAAATGATATGGTCAGCTGCATTTGGAGCTGGTTCTGGTCATAGTGGTACTCATAAACCTTGTGGTATATTGTGGTATATGAGGATACTTGAGCGCACGTGCCCCTCCCCCCCAAATGGACTCACGCCCACACTAGGAGACAAAAGGAGAGAACCTAAGGACTTCTGAACAGCGATGAAAGACATCCGATACTTGAGACAGTATCAGAAATAGTTACAAACTTCAGGCGTAACTAGTGTTCAGTAAGTTCCTAGGGCTATGTGTCAGCAGAGACTTCCCTGAGAAGTTGCGAGGAGCCTGCCGGATTGTGTATGCTGACCGATAAACCTCCATGTCGTCAAGCGCTACCTCGAGTTTCCGTGCCATCGCCAATAATACGTTTAGCATCTGCGGAGCCGGCGGCCAACGCCAACTGGGCTTGACGCACGATTGCCACGGGCTTCACCCATAACCATAACCAGAAGTTAGATAGCTGCCTTTAACTGCTATCTCAGGAGCTTTTAGGTGATTTCACTAAAAATGGGCAATCCGAAGGTAAGTGAGCTCAGGTTGACGAAGGCTGATTAGGTAGACTGGGCTCATGAGGTCAGCAAGAGCTCATAAAGTTTTCTCGGGGCCTTGTGGCCACAAACTGGTTTCTGATAATCTGTTTCATGGTCCGATTCACCTAGAGTTAGCTGGTAAAGAAGCCGAGGGAGAGACTGTAGTCTCGAGGACTTCGTAGCCAAGCTCTGAACATGGACAGACGTCATATAGAGTCAATTTCACATGGTAATCACTGCTATGTTAGGTTGCGGCTGCGTCATTGTGTCTATCGTTTCAAATTTGCCTATGAATGCATACTTTTCTGATTTGCGTACGAATCAATGGCTCTCGTCTACCGTTTACTTCGCAATCAAATGCGGTAACTCAGTCAGAGATTCTTACGTCCCATCTGTGCCAGACCCAGGGAGAAGACGGCGCGATTCCCACAAGGTCTTGCACTGCGAAGTACAAGCAGTAATCAGACATGAACTTTTTTTAGCGGCTTGTTACCGCTGTCTTAAGAGCCAGTTCGCAGTTAGCGATTTCGTCTCGCTCTTTAGCGCTTGTGCGATAGTGTGCGTAGCCGAGCAGACGAATAGGTGGTATGAAGACTGCGGGTCGCTGAGGATTATTTCTGCTCGCTTTACCCGACCTATTTTTGAATTAACTTGCCAAGGGTAGTGAGTGAGAATTAGTTTTCGTTCATCTATCGTGCTGTTCAAACCGTCTTTTTCTAGAAGCACAAACATCGACGAAAACTATACCTATTTGGCCAGCATAAGCACCCAAACATAGCGAGTGCCTCTGGTTATTCGACGTGAGCCGTTGGTACTTCGTCCACCAGAAACACGCCGATTTGGCCCGGGAAGCTTCAATTGATGAGCCCCTTGCGCTGGTACGTTGTGCTGTCCCCAATCGTAGTAAGGTTACATTGATTAGTATTTCTGACGGGGCATTTTTTGCCCACAAACAAAACCACCCGTCCTCAACCGCATGACACAGGATGGTTGCTTTCCGAGAGATGTGCCGACAAATCTCACTCCATCGACCCGCGCCAGCGATCAGTTCACCTTGATCTGAGCTGTGCAACCAAATGGCCACTTTGTGCGTGTAGGCCTCGGATAGGCTTGTCCGCCAGTGCAGCGTAGTCGCTGTCGTGAAACGAACAAAATGTGACTGGCTCCCACAAACTAAAAGGTCGACAGTACAGTTTGAGACAGTCGCTGAGGGTATTATTTCGTCTCTTCGTCCGAGACAAACGGTCGACGGAGTAGAATGAATCGATAGCGACCATTTGATGATGTATTGGGGTTCCACAGGTGCAAACATGACGGATGATTTCCCCACCACGGATCCGGCCAACCCGACTCATTGAAGCCACAGCATGACCTCTTTGTGATGATCACAGATCACTTTGCAAGGAAATTCAGGAAAGTGGTGCGAAGCAATAAAAATGGCACAATTGGGGGGTGGTGCTGTTGCTGGAGAGTAAGAAGACGTAGTATTGAGGACGTCGATAAAATGCACACAATCAGGCGTGAATATTTATAGAATTGGGGAAAACTGAAAAGGATCAAACACTGCTTGCTTCGCGGGTTGATATGGTGTTTATTTCACAGGGAGTGTGCTTCGGTTAGGGAGTTGAAAATGGCTAGCGGGAGACCAAGATGCTGTGAGGTGAGTACAATGGAACTTGTTTGCAAGTCAAGAGATGAGCAGCGCGCGACAAATTGATAATAGCTGTGAGAGACCCATGAGTAAGAAAAGAATCAATATTCCATCTACTTCCTGGAGCGAGTAGGTCAGCTAGATCGATTGGGCCCTTTGCGCTGTTGATTCGTGGAGGCTGCTTCAGAGGTAGCGAAGAATATTCGGTCGGGTCGGGGGCGAAGAAGGGCAGAGGGTAGGTAAGCCCACAAACAACTACCACGACCAGACAAATATCCCGAGACTGCGTTGTCATGATTGAAAAAAATTAACAAAAAAACAAGCGGTGTACAGCGAGCAAAAACCGCAAAGTGAATAAGTCTCGGTCAAGGGCCGAGTCAAGAATCAAGTTCCGGTTGGACAGGACAAAAATGCCGAGATGCCGCATGGGACCTTCCTAGGCAATAGTTGTCAAAGCTAAACAATCAGATCTTTGATTATAAGTCGCCGAGCTGACTTTGGACCCTGAATAACGGCCTGTGTCAAACAGGGAGGCCATGTGGTTAGGCATACATCCATGCATTGTTGTCTTAGGCTATTGCCAAGACCGAACAGGGGTATACATAGCCATCAATCACTACCCAGTTAAAGGAGGGGTGTCCCTCAACTCTCAGAGTTAGAATATCCACCTATCTTCGCTCACAAATCGATTCTAGTTCATCAAAATGCAAGACGCTTCTGCCGAGCCCAAACCGTCAGCCATGCTGTAATACCCTGCTTTAGAGACGTTCCTCAACCCTCGGCCTATTCAGTCGATTTCTATCAAATTAGGGTTCGATCGCTTTTAGGGGCCTGCTTTTGCTCGGCTCCCTGAGATCAAGGTTCTTCGGGACTATGCGATTGCTGAAGCTGAGCAGGACCAATACTTAATGTTGCGACCAAATGTCGTATTGAATATCGTAGCTACTTGTTGTCCGCGCAACCTCGAAAACTTACGTTATCATTGGAGACATTGTCTCGCAAGTAAACAAATACGTTAATGACTCGCGAGAGAATGTCCTCGAGGCCTTGGATGCTGCCGGAGCGTTTGCCGGAGAAAGGACACCTGGTTAAAACTTCCGAGTTAACTTCCACGTCATCATTATTGATGTCGAAGGAGTACGGTCTACTGAAGAACTCAATTAAGCCTTGGGAGGACATTGCAAATTCTGTGCGGCGGCTCTAGCCGGGCTCGCAGTATCTAGAGATAAATCGGCTTTGTTTAGAATGACAGACTACATAGTTAGTACTTGAATAAATATGGGTTAGCGGCGGCTGATCGAGGAGGGGCGGCAAGGCACAGTGGCCGCCGCTTGGCCGCCTCGGGAAGGGACCCGGAATTGTGGGGAGGAGCCCCCGGGGGTAAAGATGCGGTGACATCAATATCGGTCGCAAGTTTGAAGAACGTGGTCGCGAAGTATACGTACATGTGCGCTGGCATACGCCGTACATCTGATTGGGTCATATAGTTACAGAGTGTAGAGCTCATCTCGAGGTGGCTTGCGACGACCTATTTTCAACCATGGCATGCCTGAGCAATGCGCAATCGCATTTCTTTTCCGAGCCGTTTGGCTTCATCAGAACCTTTTCGTCATGTCTAAGAATCTCCGAATCATGTACGTAAACGGCTGTAGAATGACTCGCCGCATTCGGGGGACGGTTTGTGGAGAGAAATGAGCTTGTCCTCACTTACAAAGCAACTAGTTGCGACGAGCCACTTATAAGGACGCATGGGTTAGGCTAAGTTCAAGAAAGTAAATGCAAAAAGGAGTGAGCTGAAAGTACAATTATTGCACGGATAGTAAAAGGAGTCTGCGCCGAGGAATGAGGAATGAGACGTGATGGGATGGCCCATAATGTTAAACGATGAGACCTCGGAGGGTAGAGTGGCTGCACCACAATTGACGACAAGGGGACTGTGACCTGCCAGGAATGTCTATTTGATCTGGACAAGTAACGGAAAACAGGCCAATCAGCATAGTCAAAAACGGGTGTTAGCGTGGAGGTGGATGCGGGTGCGGCTGCCCCCAAAAAGAAGCGAACCCCATTGCCCCTGTCTTCATACCCGCGGATGACTAATAGCGCGAGCCCCCTGCGGCTAACAATGGTCGTCGGGTCCGTGCGTTTCAACTTCACGCGTTCTCTGTTTTTCGCAGGAGTAACTCTGAGCCGCCAGTTCGACGTCACCCCGTCCCCTGATGACCTTTCCAACACGAATTCAGCTCAGCATCGCCTTTTCAACCGCACTGTAATCCTGTTTCGTGCCGGAGAATCGTGCGCGGAACCGTTTCGCCAATGCCCCGCCCCTTCCTCCAGCCGCACCAAGACTCCGCGCGCCACCTCCTGACGCGGTGATTCTCGATACTATCCTCTACGAGCCATCGAAAGACACCCAAAACCCGGTAAAAGAATCGCAGAAGATGGCGCCTAAACCTTCTACGCCGCGCCGACCCCCTACTGGCCGAAAAAGAGGACGTCCCCCCGGCACTACCAATGCCGCTCGTATCGCGCGCGAGCTCGGCGCTTCCCCCGCAGCAGCTCCGTCCGGCCGATCCTCGCGCGAGCTCGCAACGCCCTCTGCAGCTCCCCAGACTGAGCCGCCACCGAAAAGAAGACGATACATACCCGGTGGTGCTGGTGGAGGTGGACGCTTTATCGAAGATGATGGAACCGAGACGCCCATCACAGTGCGAAGACAACCAAGGGAGCCGCGTAGTGTATCCGCACTTGTCCCGAGACGGGAGCGAAGCCAAAGATTACGAACCGCTGCCGACCGCGAAGATGTAGAGTTCAGCTCAGCTGCCGCTGTTGCTGCGGCTGTTGCCGAGAACGAGGGATATAAGCCCAGGGAGGAGCGAGGCTGGGAAGAGTTCCACCCTAAGCTCGATATCGATGCCCCATTCATGGTTTTCCGTTCCGAGGAGGTTGATGGTCTTCCTATTCCCACTGCCAAATCTCCACCTGAAACACCAAGTGTAGCTCGGCCCTCTACGCCCTTGAACGGCTCCCTTACACCTTTGAAGGAGATGAACCCAGCTTCAACTGGCAATACACCTGCTCCACAAACCAACTCATACTTTGCGCTTGCCAACGGGACCGAGACCCCCCAGAAACGTCGAATAAGGCCGACTCGCGAATCTGTGTCTTTTCTTAACCGAGATCTTGTCTCCGCATCCACTCCGAAAGTGCCTCAAGTACTACCGATTCGCAACCAGACCCCAAAGGAGCGTCTTGACCTAAAGGCGCCGTCTTACCGGAGATCAGATCAAGTCGAACAATTCGAAAGCAAAAGCTTTGGTCAAGCGCGATACGTCGACAAGTCGATGATGAACGTGGGATACCAAGAAACGGACCGATACGTTCGACCGGAAGGCAGACTTATTAAGGCCACAGAATCAAACCTGGAAGATGATCCGGAACAATCACCAGCTAAACTTGATGGTGAAGCTTTACCGACATCTGGTACCAATGTTGGCCGTGTTGAATATGACATGGACGAACAAGATGACCAATGGCTCGAGGTGTATAACAGGGAACACCGTAAGGCCCACGATCTCGAATTAATAACACGCGAAGTGTTCGAAATCGCAATTACAAAAATAGAGAAGGAATGGCATGCCCTAGAGAAGCGGATACCGAAACCCAATCCCAAGCCTCCGCAGACACATCGTCCGCGCTCAAGCTCAGCTGCGGCCGTTAATGGTGAGCCGCAGGTTGGTGAGGAGCAAGACAGTAAATGCGCGATTTGCGACGACGGCGACTGCGAAAATACAAATGCTATCGTGTTCTGCGATGGGTGCGACCTTGCGGTTCACCAAGAATGTTATGGCGTACCCTTCATCCCTGAGGGTCAATGGCTTTGTCGAAAGTGCCAGCTTATTGGTCGAGGCATTCCGGTTAGTCTACAATTACTGTTGGTCATTCGCAACATTACTAACATCGTGTATAGACATGCATATTCTGTCCCAACACGGACGGTGCATTCAAGCAAACAAACTCTTCCAAATGGGCGCATTTGCTTTGCGCTATGTGGATTCCAGAAGTGTCTCTGGGTAACGCCACTTTCATGGAGCCTGTAATGGATGTGGAAAAGGTGCCTAAGACTCGTTGGAAACTGAATTGCTACATCTGCAATCAGAAGATGGGTGCCTGCATACAGTGCAGCAACAAATCTTGCTACCAGGCATTCCACGTGACCTGCGCCAGGCGGTCGCGGCTGTTCCTTAAGATGAAAAACAGCCATGGAGCCCTTGCAGTTCTTGATAGCAGCATGATTCTCAAGGCGTTTTGCGACAAGCACTGTCCTCCCGACTACGCCAAAGATAATGGAGTCGCCCAGGCAGCACGGGAAGCTAAGAAGTTCTACAAGCGGGCTATGAAGGGACGTATATGGGCTGACAGCCAAGCAACAGCCCACGCTTTGGCTGCCAGTCATCGCCATGCGCTGACGGAACATCCACCTGACGAGAGCCAAATGACTGGAGCTAAGTTTGCGTCATTCGTGGGTGGAGGAGACAAGAAGAAAGGACAGCCTGGGAAGCAGATTTGGAAGCTGCCATCAGGAGCTCCCATTATACCTCAAGCGGTTTTTGACATTGTCGAACAGGCACTGTCACGGTTCCCGTTCCGTAAGCGTAAAGACTTCGTCAGCGAGGCGTGCCGCTATTGGACGTTGAAGCGCGAAGCTCGCCGTGGTGCGGCGCTTCTCAAGCGATTACAATTGCAGATGGAGACATTCTCATCAATGGAACTCACACGACGGAACTTTGCTCAGATGGGTCCCTCTGGCAAAACTCGGCTTAATAGGCGCATCGAGTTTGCTGAGACATTGCTCAAGGACCTATGGGAGCTCAAGACACTCTCGGAGAGTGTTGTTCAGAGAGAGCAAGAGAAACTTGAAGCAGCTGAGCTCGAGCAAGAATTCGTGGATACTTGCTACTTTCCGATCGCCAAACTGCTGATGCCAGTGGTTGAAAGGGCTATTTTGTTAGTGCACCCAAACTCCGTAGTATCTTACAACATTGCTGACCTAGGACACAGCCTCGATAAGAACATTTTTAAAGACGGCCTCCTGAAGCTTCAGGAGAAGCTTGAGTCGCGCTTCTATACCAACACATTGGTCTTCACTCATGATCTGTGTGAAGTCATCAACGTCGGGATCAATGCAGAGCCTCCTGTTCTCGAGGACGCGGCGCCCCTCTCGCCCATCAAGCAGAATTTCCATGATCCAAGACAACGAAAGGCACTTGGGAAACGGATACTGAAGGATGTTCAGGCGCGACTCGAAACAGCTTTAAAGACGGAAGCTGAAATCACGCACAAGCCGTTGGATACCTTGATTCAAGAGCTCGAGGGCATGCTGGAGGCTAGTATCGAGTTCCGCCAGCCGTCTATTGTCGTCTCCCGTATAGAAGAGAGTACGGAACCTAGCCAAGATACGATCATGGTAGATGCTACCACTGAGCCTGAACAGGAACATGAGCAGATCACCGTGGCAAACGACGAGGCTGATGAAAAGCCTAGGGAGGAAGACATCACAGCACCTCCTGAGGATGATGAGATGGATATTGATGCCGAAGGTGAAGACGACGATGATGGCAATATTGAGGTCAATACGTCGACTTTGGAGAAGCCAAGAGATGTGCACTCATCAAATTCATCCGTTGCAGGACATGAAGGCAATGGCAAGGCAGCCGGAAAGCCAGAGACTGGACCTGCAACCTCCCTGCCGCCATCAGATACACCGCCAGAAACCAACGGCTACGTCTCCATGTCCCGGCCACCACAGCCCGCGCCACCGACACCACCACAATCCAACGGCAGCTTAGGCAACGAGTCATCCGATCCGCTGTCCGAGGGCGGCGTGCCATGGTACTTCAAAGAGTTCAAGCCCAAGGGCACCACTATCGTGGAAGAGCAATGGACCGGCCGTGAGGCCCTCCGCAGCCTGAGCGAAGACCTGACGGACATGGATGAGCAAGAGCTCGAGGGCCTCGCTTTCGATGTTGAGGATAGCACTATCACTGCATCCCCCACAGTCAGCGGCGAGATAACGGCCGATACCATCGTCAGCAAGGCCAAGTCCAACAGCAAGGTGCGCAAACGCACGAGCGCCCGGGCATCCGCTAGAAGGCGTTGACCCAACTCCTTTCCCTTCCCCGTTTTCAGATGGGAGCGACTATATGCGTGTGACGACTGTGCTTTTCTTACGAAATTGTATTTGTATATCTAACCACGCCCATTTTCTTTCATCATTACCCATCACGACTACCTTCTACTCCACATGGCGCCTCTCCTACGGCGTCTTCATCAGCCACCCTTTACTGTTTTTTCTTTCTTTTTTTTTTTTTTACCCGTATCCTTTAACTATCCCGCGTCCCTATAGCGTTGTCTAGTTTCACTTCCGAAATTTTCTTCTTTCCAGGCCTAGGCGTTTAGAAATGGTGGGGAAACCATTCTTCGTTGGCTGGGTATTTTTGCAGAGACAAATTACCGATACACCACGCGTAGTGAACAACCCCGATCATGACTCAATGGGCGTTTTGACGGTAGGCGGGGGGAGGGAGGGCTTTTTTTTTTACCCATGGGAACGAGCAACCTCTTTTCTTTTTGCGTTCTTGATACTACAATTATTGGCTTTACTCGAGGGAGTGGAGGGGAGTAGCAAATAGGGGGGAATATGGCTGTGGAAGCAGCAGCCCCCCTCGGAATGTCTACTTTTATTCTGATTACTTTTTTTTCTTATTGATTTCCGTTTGCAAGCACAGAAATTCTCTGGAAGAGGCGGTGGTTTCCTCGGTATGAGATAATGCAAAGCAAGGACTCGTTTTGCGCGCGCGCGTAAGGGTATACTAGTTGTACGTGTGTGATAACAACCAAAGAAAAAAAAAAAAAGAGAGAGAGTCAATGAATGCTCACTCCTGGTCAGTTCGCGTGAGTTTGCACGGCGCCTACAGCTGTGGCTTGTGATTGTTGTTGTTCTTGAGTCAAACAAGTTTGAGTTGGCTTGGGTTGCCTTTTTGATGGATTGTCGAGCATGAGTTACAACGTCTGGTTTCCGAGTAAGGTCATCAAAAGTTTAATCAGGAGATGCGGAGTAATTGCACAATCACGGTGTTATACCCAAGGCACGCAGACAGACAAGAACATGCATCAACACTGATGGTACTTTGGTTTATCCTACCAAAGACAGGTAGGCGCATGAACCACTGGAGCCAAAATTTCCAAAATCCATCAAAGTTGCGCATCACTTGACGAGCATTACATGCATTCAAGCTAACTCTACATGCATTTCTGCAAGTTTCGACGGATTGAAGAAGACGCAGGGACGCTGCTCAATTCACACGTAACCTGCAGAGCCTCTCTCCCATTTTCGAAACGAAGCACGTTCTGCCGAAGGGCCGAACGGGGTGAGCTTGACTCATTTCGAGGTTGCGAACAACGACAGGCGGCGAATCAGGGAGTATGCGGCTTTTAAAGTCAATTGGGAACTCGATCAGCTGAGCTGGTGTCGTACACAACACAACAAGGCGTATATGAAAGGCGCATGTCTCTGCCTAGGCACATTTTGATATGGAGGGTGGGAAAGCAGCACTAGGGATGCGTTGCCACGTCGTTCAAGTATGTCGTGGGGGAAGGAAGGGCCCTTGTAAAACGGCACAACCGGTGAGCCCAAGTAGGGTAGGGAAGGGTGGTAGCCTTGAACAAGTGTCCAAGGCAGGCTTTAGGAGGATGCTGAGCGTGGGATGCGACGTCGCGGGGCAGTCATGTGATGTGATCTCCGAAAAGATGGGGGGTAAGGAAGGGAAGGGGAGGGGAGGGGAGGGGCGATTGACATCTGTCTCGGCGGCGCTGGAGAATAGAGGACCGAGAATGCGAATGCCTGCTTTCTGCCATGCTGACAACCCCCTATTGGCCAGGCCGAGACGAGGCGGTCTGGTGGGGGAGTAAATCAGGCTCCGCCCGATCTCCAAAGTCAGCGTCAATTGGACAGCTGAATGCCTGAGGTCTGCACTGGCCCAGTTGTCTCCCCCCTCCCCTCCACGTCCGCTTTGTCGGCTGGTGAGAGGCCCTCCTCTTCCTCCACTGCCATGACAGCATTCGGATGGAGGGGTATTGGGCCTAGAATGGTTCGGTACCGACCGCGGGGCAGAGTCAGTTAGTGAGCGAAGGGGCGAGGGAGGAGGGGCGCGAAGCAAGGAAGTTGCAAGGCACGACATGACCCTGATGCAATTTCTATACATGTCGTACGTCGCCCATGGATGCAGGCTGACTGACAGACAGTCGGACAAAGGTATAAGGGGTGGCCAACTGACGTAGTCGGCCTCATTCTACAATGGCCGAAGCCGCCGCTCTGTCCATCGCAGCTCTCTTCCGCACCTTTGTGGGGTCATTTGTCTTCTATTCCGTTCCGAGTCGGTCGTCTGCTCGAATCTGATCTGATCGCGTCGAATTTTATCCTGAGCTTGGGGGCGAAGGGAAGGGACGTCCCGTGCGACGTGCAGGATCAGGTGAAGTATTTGTAATGCAGCAGGGTGGTGTCCCATTGTGTTTGACAGATCAAGTTTTGATCTTCGGCGATCACTCATGTCTTCGCCTTGACCGCTCCAGGTCTTGGTCGCCCAAACCTAGAGTTAGTGTGGCTTTGGTTAAGGAAGCCTACATTGGCCTGTGATTGGCACTGAAGTGCTAAATTAGAAGCTCGGGATGACAGAACGAATAGGCTTCGAGCCGGTGCAAAAGAATTGGTGTGCGGGCTTGTCTTAGCCGGTTGTGAAAACTTTCCGATGGAAAAACTGTGCTAGATGCCCAAGGTGAAGTAAGTTAGTATATAGTCAAATATTCATGGGTTTGCCTCAAGTTGCCATTTCACGAAGATGTTTGGCTGATGTTGGGGTCCTTGCTTTTCAAGATGTTGCGCATTCAATACGTTCATCTTCCAATAGGCAACGTTCTAAGCAGCGCGGTCTAGGCAATGTTCTCTATTGAGGTTAGAATCTAGCTGATGCACTTCATTTCAACGCCATCTCTATTTGACTGGAAGATCTGCTTTCCCGCAACACGATGGAGTTGACGACTGGTGCGTAAGGTGGGGAAACGGGTGAAGGAAAAGGAAAGGATTGCTTTGCATTGAGATGGCCCGCGCCAATTCAGCTGATCTTTCAATCACTACTCTTCATTCGAAGATGGCCGTGCCACGCGAAGAGCCTAGGAGAGGTTGCTCTTGGCGTTGGCAGGATAGTGTGATGGAAGAGCAGGTGGCTGAAGGCGGTGAAGGCGCCGCCGAACTTGTTCGTGGGCCAGAACGCATACATGTATGTGTTGCTGTTAGTACTTGAGTGAGACGATAGCGGACACAAAACAAATTATACTTGACAGCTCCCTTTGTGGAGAAAGGAAATACCACCAAAAAACAATCGTCATTCGGAGACTGAAAATGAATCAAACAAACATCCGAATCGCCGCTGCTGGGAGGGGCAAGACGATAGAGTTCCACCTGGGAGAATACACGGCCAAAATGTGGTGAGTTTGAGGTGGCATGCTTGGGGAGGCTTCAGACGAATGCGACGATATGGGTGGTGTCGGAGAGGGCCCTTCTCGGACGGGCAACCGGCGGAGCAGCCGCAGACCGTTCCTCAGAGGCGCTTATTCGGGGTCGGACCCTGATGATCACGGTATTATAGTTGAGAAAATGACATCCGGGTTTAGGTCACGGGCAGAGACGAGGAAGGGAGAAGCCGAAGAGGGGGCGGCATGGGTAGGATCGGTTCGGAGGCGATGTCGGAGGAGCGGCTAACAGTTAATGCTTTCAGGAAAGCACATCCACCAAGAGGGTTGATCGCTGTTGGTCATTGGTCTCGTTCAGGTCCATCGGCTCACTGTTGCAGAGGCTGTGACAGGTGTGCTGCCGGATGCTATTTTAAAGAAAGAAAAAAAAAAACAAGCTGACGTCGGTACACGATGAGGTGTTTGGATGATGCAAGTGTTGTTGCTAGGTTTTCTCGTCCTTCTCTTTCCGTCTTCTTGTTGTTTGTATTATCCACCTACGTATGTTAGCCTATTCTCGAGAGTGTAAGAAAGAAGAAAGTGGAACGGAAATGTAAGAAGGTGAGAACGAAGTGTGGCAATATCTTTGGGAAATGGCGGGTTTGTAAGGCAAGGTCTAACAAATGGAGTGCCAAGACGTATGAAGGTAAAGCTTAAGAACCCCAGCTGAGCGCCCGCGCAAGCCACGGACATGCAATGCGCGGCATCAAGCAGGGAATGGCACAGGAAGTGGAGTGCAGACACGAGAGCAGTTGTCAAGACTTGGGTCGACTTGACTTGCTGTTGATGGGAGGCACAGCACCCAACATGAAGTGACAAAACACAAAACACCAAAAACACCAAAGGCCAGGCACAAACGCCAGGGGCGGGTGCGCTGATTACAAACGTGTAGACTCAACTCCGGCGGGATGCCTCATCTCTTTTTCTCAGCCCAACCAGCCCAAGTCCAAAACGTACAGGTCATGACTACGTAGTATATCAGTTTGCGCCCGAATCGGCAGGGAGAGAGAGACGGAAAATAGGGGAGAAACATGTTGACCCGGGGTTCATCATGAAGAGAGTGGGACTCAGACCCAGGGAGCCAAGGGCGGAGCGTAAAGCAAAAGAATGGTGGTAGGGGGGAGGCTGAGTCCACGGGATGAGGCAGGGTAGGTCGGCGGTAGGAACTGAGCGTATGCGTACTCCTTACGCGGGATACAAGTTTAGCAACAGCTCCAGCGGGCCCATCTCGACCTCCAGTGGGTTTTTCATTTCTGGGAAAGCACCCCCCAGTTCGCATAGTATCCCAACCTGCAGGCTACCCTCAGTTGCCTTAAGCTTTCAGGCTCGATGAGGTCCCCTGTGGCTGACCCTTGCCGCTGCGACATGGAACCTGCTGTGATTGTGGCCCCAGACGGTGGCACATTAGGCGGAATCCCATGTTGGATTAGGATGACGGGAAAGTCGATCGAAGACTGTTGTATGTTACCAACTTGATGTGTTTGGTTCCCACCCAAATATGGCCTTGGCTATACAACGCTGTACCTGTTCAAGCCCAGACAAGCAGGCCAACGAGGCAATGAATTACAAGTCTAAGAGATGCGATAAGAAGTACTTGAATGCGAGGAATCTGTACCGAAGAAGGAAGGAGGGGGAAAATGCAGGCCCGTCAAGGCTAACTAACGTACAGACAGGTAAGGTAAGAAGGCAAGGAAAGCACGATCAGAAAACAAACCCCCCGCCGCTGCTGAGTACGCCTAGTCATGCTTTCCCATTCCTCCCGTCGCTGGGAGAGACATGCCTGCCACCAACTTGCGGCTTGTTGACAGGCTGATAGATTGGCTGGCTTGCTGGGAAACGGGAAACGGGAGGCGCTTGCTGATGCATCACTGCACACCACCACCACATCGCCGAGCGCCCCTATAGGGCACCCTGGCTGATGGTTTACCCGTCATGCCTCCCTACAACATGCTGTGAGTGTGGGCGAACGTGTGTGTTCTTTGGGGGCTACCAACGCCATCTGTCAGTAACATGGTACCGACTTGTTTCCAGCAGGTAAGCTTCTCACACAGCCGGAGCAAGTACCTAGTAGTAGCACCTTTTAGCAATAGGTTGCAAGTATCCATAAGGCCCAGGGAAGAAAAAGTCTCGACCACTTACTGACCCCAATTTTTTTCTCTTCTAGATCTCCCTTCTCAATTTTTTTTTTCTTCTCCCCCTTTGGTCCTCTTGGCCATCCCTGACATTTTCTCTGCCTCTTTTGCACTGTCTCCAGAGAAACCGCTTCTCTCGTTGTGTGTCAATTTTCTTGCCGTGTGTATGCGCAGGGAAAGTGAGTGAACAGTGCACTCTTTTCCCTTTTAAACTATCCAGGACTCTGTTTTTTTTTTTTCTGCCTTATTGTCAGAGAGAGCCGAACCCATAATACCTGTACAATCAGCACCTGGCGATCACATAGTGCCCATAGCACTATCCCTCTTTAACAGAGCAACCCCCCCTGTAGTACGAATCGGCCCCCTCACGCAGAGAAAAGAGCGATCCCTCCATCTCTCCTCTCTGCCTGCCTGCCTGCCTTTCCGACCGAGTAGCCCGCCGCCCAACACAAAACACGAAAATCCTCCCCTCAAACCCACCCTCACCTCTCCTCCCCCCAAAAGCCTCTTTTTTCCCCCCCACGAGGCCACCTTTTGACCCAACGGCGACGACACGTCTAATCAAGGCGACAACGCGAACCAGAGATTTCCATCTCTCGAGCATACAAAAAACAACGACGATTTATCTTTCAAACGGCTGCCACCAGCCCTGATTCCGGCTCTCGCGGCTCCTGCTGAAAGAAGCGAAGCTATCAACAGTGACGGCCTTCTCAGCGGCAAATCCCCCCCATACAGGCGAACCAGATCCCGCACCCGGGACGACGAAAATTTTCTCATCGACGACGAGACACGCTACCACACACCAGGCGCCTGCGTAGATTTGTAAACAACCCGCCCGCCCGTCGCTACCTTCTCTCCGACAGGAAGAAAGGCCACCCAAGAGCTGAGATCACTTCGCCGTAAGTCTTTTTGCCCCGTACCTTCCACCTTTCCCCTCTCCGGAGCCTTCTCACCACATCAACCGCCATTTATCGGCGACCTCCTAAACGACAGAAAAAAAGACTCAATAAACTTCAGCTGTACCGCGCGTCGTACTAATTTTTGCTGTTCCCAAAGTCCCTAGAAGTGCATCATCCCCGTAATCTGGGCACCCTCTGTCTACGGCAGCTGCAGAAAAACAGTACACGCCTGGTATACTTGCTTGCCGCAAACGCGAACTATTCCCTCGGTATCAGCGGGCCATCTTTCTGGCCGGTGAGGATAAAAGATGGCAGACCAACATGAGGTCGACCTTGACTCGATAATCGACCGTCTCCTCGAGGTTCGAGGAAGCCGTCCTGGTAAGCAGGTCCAGCTTCTCGAGGCCGAGATTCGCTACCTGTGCACCAAGGCTCGTGAGATCTTCATCTCTCAGCCCATTCTTCTCGAACTGGAGGCTCCTATTAAGGTAAGACTCATCGCTTGGCTTGCACTGATTCTTTGACACCCCCTCGTTGTGTTATCTTTGTGCAGCACAGGCCTGCTGACGCTGACCCCTCACCCCAGATTTGCGGCGACATCCACGGACAATATTACGATTTGCTGCGTCTTTTCGAGTACGGCGGCTTCCCGCCTGAGGCCAACTACCTGTTCCTCGGTGACTACGTCGATCGAGGCAAGCAGTCCCTCGAAACTATTTGCTTGCTCCTTGCCTACAAGATCAAGTACCCCGAGAACTTCTTCATCCTTCGCGGAAACCACGAGTGCGCCTCCATCAACCGTATCTATGGCTTCTACGACGAGTGCAAGCGCCGATACAACATCAAGTTGTGGAAGACCTTCACTGATTGCTTCAACTGCTTGCCCATTGCCGCCATCATTGACGAGAAGATTTTTACCATGCACGGCGGTCTCAGCCCTGATCTGAACTCCATGGAACAGATTCGCCGCGTCATGCGACCCACTGACGTATGTATACTCGTCCCAAGGCCAAGGCTTGGATACTCCTGCCATTTTCTCAGATCATTGACATGTTTTCTCACAGATCCCTGATTGTGGTCTCCTCTGCGACCTTCTCTGGTCCGACCCCGACAAGGACATCACCGGCTGGAGCGAAAATGACAGAGGTGTTTCCTTCACCTTCGGTCCCGATGTTGTGTCCCGCTTCCTCCAGAAGCATGACATGGACTTGATCTGCCGTGCTCACCAGGTCGTCGAGGACGGTTACGAGTTCTTCTCCAAGCGCCAGCTTGTCACCCTGTTCAGCGCCCCCAACTACTGCGGAGAGTTTGACAATGCTGGAGCCATGATGAGCGTAGATGAGAGCCTTCTTTGCTCATTCCAGGTGAGTATTGTTGGTATTTCACTAACCTGCCTAGAATGCTAACGCGGTATCATCGCAGATCCTGAAACCCGCTGAGAAGAAACAAAAGTACGTCCCCGGTGGTCTTGGAGGCAACAGCCGACCAGTCACATCTCCCTGGAAGTCCGCTTCCAAGTGATTTAAAAGAGTTTATTCCAACATGCACGTCTTTCTAGGTTCGGCCGTCGTTAATTGCCTCCTCGCCCATCCCTCCCATACGACTTCGCCCATCGACGCGGGACCCTCGCCCCCGCACCACGCCCTCCCTCTTTCTAGACCCCCAAAAAGGTCTCCCGTCAACTCTTGAACCTGTCCGAGTCTTCCCGAGTCCACCCACCCGACTATAATCCGCGCAACTGTTCACGATTACGGCTGTCTGGTAGCTGAAGATAAAAACTCACAAAAACACTGGAATTTGCAATGGTCTCCATACCAGTTTACGTATCTCCGTGCGAGCCCTAGTGGACATGAACTATTAGGGGCCTTTTTGATGAGTGATTTGCACACAATGCCGCACGGCAGAGGGACTCGACATCGCCACTGTGCCCTGCCATGCCGACTCTCTTGACCTCTCTGGCTACCATTGCTAAAGCTACGTCGGATAGATTCTCCGCCAAACGATTATATGCCAGTTGGCGGGGCCGATGTGGCATTGGCCTCCACTTATGTTTGCGATTCTAGATGCCCGTGCCCGAGGCTCGCACTGGAGGACGTTGCATTGCACTCTGAAGCAATGTCGCTTGCCCCCACTGTCGCGGCACACCGTAGGATTACCTTTCCGTCCAGAGAGCTGTGTACCAAGTTTGCGGGGTTGGCATTTTTGGTCCCGAAGAAGTTGCGGAGATGCGCAGCATATGTCGGGTAACTAAGCCAGGGGCGGGATTACGGGGATGGTCTTTTTTCTCTTGCTTGTACTTCTTTCCCTCTTGATTTTTATTTCTCACTCTCATGCTGGAAGAGGTGTCCGGACTGCCAAGCGGAGGTTACTAACGACACTTCATCCGGGGTGATCGCCACCTGGCACGACTTTGGGATGACGAGTCTGGCGTCCTGGCCCGAGTCGGCAGTCTGTCTCTGGAAAATGCACATGCATAGACCAGCTTGACTCGGCGTAGTCAGGTCTGTAATGGCTGTAATGGGAAAAAAAAAGCCTCATACTTTTCCAAAAGGCTGCCTTTTTAGTGAATTGGTGTTGTGACAATGTACCGGAATAATGATACTGGGTATAATTGTATCAAGCAAGCTGCCGCACTTTTATCAACAGCCTCACTGCACGGACGGCCCCTCGTCTAAGTTAATCAACGCCGCTACCTCAAAGACGCTCCCGTAACAGTTCATAACAGCCTCAATTGCCTATTCCGGAGTCCACATTCCTGAGTTTATGTTCACCGTGGACAGTTACTGGCCAACAGCAATACGAAATGCGATTATCGTTGACCCGCATAACCTTACGTTGCTGGCCATCCTGTCAAGCTATCCCACAGCCAGAAACTTCATTTCTGAGCTTCACGCACAGTCCTCGCACGCTTCCTTCTTGTCACCTTGGGTCGGCTGTTGCTGCTGCTGCTGCTGCTCTTGGTGCTGTCGTCGCAACTCTCCAAGGTTCTGGCCTGGGGGCGAAACATCGGCTCTGTCCTGCTGCCCTTTGTTTGCGCCGGCAGATTTAATAGCAGCTCGGGCAGCGTCGTCAAAGGGACTATTTTCTGTGGTTGAGTTATCCTGACTCTGCTTGGCAGATGCGTTTGCGGGGTGTTTCTTGAGGTGAGAAACGACGTCGGACGCGGAGGGGAGGTTATCCGCGAAGCTTCCCGACGACGACTTCTGGTTGTCTTCTGAAGGCATTGTCGTTGTTGCGGTGGATTTGCTGTGCTTGCGGTCAACGTGTCCCAGGTCTCTGTTCGGCTCGATGACGTCTCGTACACGGCGCTTTAGTTCTTTTGTTTCAGGGAAACCGCCCTCTAGCTTGCGGTCCCAGATGATTGTCGTGGAGGTTGTGGTCGCGCCTTCGGGGAGGTGAGTTAAGGTCACGGTGAAGGTGCCGCCTGTTGCTGGCTGGAGGGCGACTTCGCCTAGGGACGTGGAGAAGGTTGAGAGGAGTTCCTGGGCGAACTGTTTCAATGTTGTTAGTGGTGATGCGACAGAATGGCTGTGTCTCGTGTTACATGCACTTGGAGGAACGAAAGCCACAGCAAGGCAGGTGAGATTAGGTGGCGGGACAGGGGACAGAGAAGATGAGGTCATGGTCGGTCATTTACCCCTCTACAAGGCAGGGCCGACGCTTGCTGCAGTTGCCGTGGTATAAGCAAGGCAAGGCAGGTAGGTGGGCGGTGCGGCGTGGTGCAAGACAGGAAAGAGCTAAAAGTTGTGGCAGGACTCACATATGCCGCACGTAGCATCCACTTGCACTGAGTGCAGAACTGAATGGCTACGCGGGGGAGGGGGAAAGAGGACTGTGACGCCGCCGGCGCTGCGACCTCTGTCATTTTTTTTTTTTTTGCTTGCCTTTTTCTTTGGTTTTATCTTTCGCTTGGAAATAGTAGGCTAAGCAGATCAGCAGTTGGTAGAGAGAAGGAATATGAATAGATGTGGCGTTAAAATGGAATCCTGCATCTCACGTCCTTGGATTGCTGGGTAGATTGTTGGGTAGGTCGCTGCCACTTGGCGTTGGACCAGAGGTTTCTTGACAGAAAATGCGGGGGATCGACTCGAGGGTGCTAACTTACTCGTTCGCCTGGCGAAGCCCTCAACTGTTTGATACAAAACGCTTCAACGAGAGTCTTTTATCCGATGCGATGGAGTGCAATATGCAAGATCGTCACTGTTCGCATGTATGGTTTCATTCCCCGCCGAGCCAGTGATGTATGAGAAAGGGCGAGTAAGAAGCAAGAAAACAGTTCATTCTGCGTCATCAGCAGTGGCAGCCCGACAAGCGGAGGTGGTCCAGTATACGCCACATCTCGGCTTTCATCCTGTTGGAGATGGAGCATCCAGCCACTTTATCTGCTGACAAAGAATCGTGCCTGGCCCGCCCCAAAAGGCGCACTGGCGGAGGAATGGGGTGGATTGTTTGCACTGGCGAACACCTGGCTCCATCTGCAGCACCCTGACGGAAAACGGGCGAGGTGCCTGCCGAATTCAGAAAACATTGGTGGTGTGTATTATAGTGGATGGAGAATAGAGCTGGAGGCAGGAGGTGGCTCCAACGCCATGCAGGAATACCCGGCAGGAATTCAGGTACCGGTGGAGTTTGGATGCAACGCAAGGGAGCGCTGCGATTGGGAAGGAGATGCTGTGAAGACGGGCATCCGCCGCTCACAGTTAAGTACCGCCTGCTTAGACGAACGAGTGGGTTTTCTCTTCCCTCACCCTGTGGTCGGCCGGTCGGTCCACTTAGCATTGCCTGTGGAGAATGGCAAGCAGAGCAGAGAACGGGAGATGGGACGGTTTTCCACCTCAAAAAGACGAGACAGTTCTGCTTCAAAAGGGTTGGAACTCGTAATGACGAGAAGGAAAGGAAACATAATGAAATCTGAATCAAAGAAAAGAGGGCAAGCTGGGATTCAATAGTGGCTATGGGAGGAAAAAAAGCCAACCGCAAGCAAGATGAAAAGAACAGGGTACCTGAGTTACACCCCCCCAGGGAAATGAAATGGGTCAATTACCATCCCCATCCAGCCAGTAGTGCCGCTGCAATGCGATTCTCCCACCCCTCTCTGAGGCTCCTCTCCTCTGTCTGTCCACAGTTCCAGGTCGCTCGTTTCCCTGCCCACCGACCGCTGCGAAATAACTGCAAAGGGACGCTGCATATGTCTCAGATGACCGACCCTCTCTAACCTGGGAAATCTTGCACAGGAATGCCACACGGAAAAGCTTGTTGCGTAATTTTTGCTTCTTCAATGTCGAATGGCCTGATGTCTCTTTGGCCTTTCCCACTTCCAGCTCTTGCGGTCGCCCTTTTGATGGCCGCCAAAGGAAGAGGATCTCCAGAGGTGGTTCAATCCCCCCCAGTCCCGCCAATGTGGCCATTGGCTGGCCACAATGATCTGATATGGAACCACAGCAGGTGCGACTCGGCTGTGGCTCCACGAAGCACGACGCATTTGAGAGTTTTGTTGGTGTGCTCTCCACCCTGTGAGGCTGCTGTGAGGACACCCCTTTTTCTATGGATAGCGTAGAGAAGCTAGAAGGCTGCATCTGAAATGACCATTTAAATGGATCGAAGACATAACGCCATCGAGACATACTTTATCGAATAATGTTCAAAATCGGGGAGACAAGGTATTGATGGATTGAAGCTATTCACACACTCGGTGCGGGATATAGTAGGAAAAGGGGAGCAGACAGACCCAAAGAAGAGAAAAAGAGTACAGGACATCAAGAGAATTATTACATGCTGAAGAGCTGCCCGCCAATAAAGCCTGCCTCCCCGACTATGACCTATCCACCCTCCCCCGGTAACAACAAGAAAAAAAGCAACATAGAAGCATTATCGTAGCGGGGCCATTGCCTTTTTCTTCTCATCTCGACTCGCCCTCCTCCCGTCTCCCTCAAACCCAACATCGCTCCTTCCCATATATTACTGACCCAGAATTGCCGTCGTCCATTTCTCTGAAAAGTGTTCCGTCAGAAATAGACAAAGTTTTGGGTGTTGGCTAGCAAAGGCCGAGGCCTCTTGTCGGCTCTTCCAATCCTTCAGAAATTTTTCTTCATTTCGATTCCTTTTCGACTCCGCGCTAGTCTAGGACTTTTGAGGGTTTCCGATGAATCCATGATCGCGAGAACAAAAAAAAATATTTCGTCGTCTTTCGGCCCTTCGCCCTTCGGGATGGAGTTGATCGCTGTTTCTAGGAGAGAGTGCTGTGCTGCCCGATAACCTTCGGGGAGCTTGGTATTCCACGCGTAAAAAACAAAAAATGAAAATGACAATCCGATCGGAATATGTCAGTGGTTCCGACCGATTAAACGACATCGCTACCCATGACTCCCGTTGGATTTTACATCACCACACAGCATCCGCCGCTCTGTTGTGGTGCATAGGGATCTTCACCGCGAGGGACGGCACCCCAAACCGACGGGACCATGTAGTCCCTCGTGCTGTTGCAGTAGGCAATGATGCTGTGACAAATATTAGCTGCCGATTCTCTTAGGTAACACGATGTTTCAATACTCAATGGAGAGAATTGAGTGACACTCCAATGGAATTGGATGATCATAACCTACCTCTTAGAGGCATTGCTGACGGGGATACGTTCCCTCTCGAGGTCTTCGCGCAGGCGGTTGTTCAGTTCCGTTAATCGTCGTAGCTTGAGGTCGGCCATAGACTGCTTGTTTTTCTTGATCTGCGACGGATCGCCAACATCGCGGGAGGTGTATTGAGGCATCGTTGTCGCAACTCGGGGAGCTGGAGACCTAGACGACGAAGGGGCTGACGACGAAGCGGCGGCGGAAGCGACAGCGACAGCTGGTTGTCGTCGCGATTGCTGTTGGTCGGAACGATATTGGGCGTCCGGGTCCTGCCGCTGGCGAGAAGTAGATGACGAGGCTGTTGGCAGCGGGCGCGACAACAGTGGATGAAGAAGTGGCAGCGGTGGTAGTGGTGGTGTTGTGAGAAGGACGGTCCTGGTGAGTGAGCATATCGTGTCAGTTTGATTAAAGTTTCCCTCCTTTGACTCCGCTTTGGCGGTGGTTGCCGCGTTTTCCCACCACCCTGTGGAACGAGCGTTCGAGGTCGGGGCGGGAGAAGGGGGTAATAAATGGTCGAGAGGGAAGGGGGCGAAAACTTACAGTTGTGATGTCGCGGGGGATAGACAGAGGAGGAGGAGGGAGAGAGATGGATCAAAGCCAGTTTCGATCGATGCAAATCGACAAAGGAAAGAGCGTCGGGGATGGATTGGGATTGGATTGGACTCGGGGGGGGTTACGGTGTCGAAGTTTTGGGTGCGAGTGGTAGGTTGGATGCTCGGATAATGGATTTGGATTTGCGAAAGCAAAGCAGCGAAAGGCAAAGGAGAGGACGGACGGACGGTGGACGGGACGGGGAGGAGGGAAGGTGTCTGTTCTACTTTTGCTTGGTAAAGGGTAAAGGGTAAAGGCAGGGGAAGGGAATTGGGATTGCACCTGCGTCCTGCTGGGCCTGCCTAGGATTGGATTGGATTGCGGAGCCCTGGGAAGGTTCCCCTAACGTGAAAGGAAAACTCCCAAGGTTACCTTGCGCTAGGGCCACCTGGCGCACCATTAAAGCAAGCACCGTACTATAGCACTAGTCGAAGCGAGACGAGGCGAGCCAATGGCCAGCTGGCACCAGGTGTAACTGTGAATATTGCCCCACTTTGCCTCAGTTTGTTGCGTGCGGTGCAGGTATCCCGAGATGAGGTGCACCTGCACCACGACTTGACCAGGGTAGGCAAAGTACCTTTCCCCCGTACCTTTCCCTAGTTGACCCAAGCCAGCGGGGGTGTTCAGTTGAATCTGGCCAGGGTCTGGCTCTGTATTCTATCAACTTCTCCCTCCCCCCCTCTTCCCATGGAGCGACGGCACGCTGCACAGACCCGTCCGGTGTTGGTCCAACTCTGGCGGGATTGGCTGCAAATTGGCCGGAGCGGGCAATCTCCCAAATTTGGGTTTCCGCTTAAACAGGTCAGCAATCCGTTCGCCAGCAGCATCACGAGACACGACAATTCGCGTAGCGGCTCAACACTCCAGATGGTATGGATGATGGGTTGAGCAAACACATTGGGCATCATCATGTGTAGTCAGCTCTCATTTGTCTGTTCCACCATTGATACCAAGATCTGTTATCGAGATCAGACTTTGACCCTGCCCCGTTGACTTTACTGAATCTAGTCCATCTTGCGGCAACCCTGCCCTGAGATACCCAAGAAATGAACCCAGTACATGCCATCGTCATCTCTTCACGGAGTATTTGCGCCGCACATCATATGGGAAGCAAAAAGTATCATCCATGGTTCGTATCGGGACGTACAATGGAACTTAACCGTGCTGTTTTCGGCCTCACTGCCAACCTTTTGATTTGCCAATGACAAAGGACTAGAGACTGCCGAAGGACCAGCTAGAGCAACAAGGTTGTGGTAGGTGAAGATGGCGCGATACTCTTTTTCGGCAATAACCAAATCAGCGTCACTGTCCTTTTTGGTATCGGTCATTTCGGTCCATCGTCCACACACCCACCACCGGGAGCTGACCTTGCTTGGGCTGGCTGATCCGGGGAAACCAAATTACATCGTCCTCCGAAAAGCACAAATATGCCTTGCAAGGAGGTTGATCAAGTACGGGTCGATGGCAACCGCCCTTCAGCAGAGATCAGAAACATGTGTGGTCGCGAACAAGTCAGTATCTACCGCCAACGTAGGCGATAAAGTTTACCCAGCTGCTGCACCTTAAACCGACGAGGCTGGCGAATCAGGCTGTGATCACAGTGAAAAAGAAGGTTAGGTTGGGGATGCGTTCTCATGGTGTCCAGTTCACTCGAATAGGAATGATCTCAAACTTCACATCGGCGACCATATGCACTTACTTGATCACCGAAGAGTCAATCTAACGTCACCTTGCTCATGTTCCATCCAGTCCCAGATTCCCTTGGTCTCTTGGGGGAAGGAAGGTTTCGCTTGCCAGCCTCGGCTGACATAATATTATCGCCACGTGACCTCTGTTTCGCACCAACGCACGGACTGGAGATAGCCCCTCAGAACTCGGATAGCGGCCACACACGAAATTTGAAAATTCCTCTTGGTGTGCATCGCCTCTTTCCGCAACGCCAACGCATCGAGCGACAGCCAAGTCGATATCTCGCTCGCACCCACCAGGCTTGCGCTGCAACTCCTAAATAGACATCTCCTCGAGAATATCTGTTACCCGCAGAGGAGGTCGCCCATCATGGTGAGTCCTGTCTTTCTCCATGTTCCAATCACTCCGCTGCCTAAAAATTTCCGCTCATCTTGCACTACCCCTCTCTCACTTCCTATCACGAACTTGTCATCTTAGGTCGCGATCGGCTACACAGAACAAAATCACTGACAATGGTATACAGCCTCCTCCACCTCACCAGAAGCCCGAAAATGTCCTGAAGCGAGCTCACGAGCTCATCGGCGTCAACCAGGCCCCGGCTGCCCTGACTCTGCTGCACGAGCACATCACCTCCAAGAGAAGCCGCAATGTCCCCATCGCATCGTTGGAGCCCGTTATGCTCCTCTTGGTCGAGCTCTCCGTCGAGCAGAAGAAGGGCAAGCTGGCCAAGGATGCCCTCTACCAGTACAAGAACATCAGCCAGAACACCAACGTCGCCACAATCGAGGTACGCGTTATACTGTCCGAGACAAGTTGTGGGGGAACCGCCGCTAACAATCCTGTGTACAGCTTGTTCTTAAGAAGTTCATTGAGCTTGCGGCCGAGAAGGTCACCGCCGCCCAGCAAAAGGCCGACGAAGTTCAGTCCAGCATCGAGGCAACCACCTCAACCTCCAACATCGACGATCTCGAGGCCAGCGAGACCCCCGAATCTATCCTCCTCGCCACCGTCTCCGGCGAGCAGTCCCGCGACCGTACCGACCGCGCCATCGTCACCCCATGGCTCAAGTTCCTGTGGGAGGCCTACCGTACTGTCCTCGACATTCTCCGCAACAATGCTCGCCTTGAAGTCCTCTATCAGAGCACCGCCATGCAGGCCTTCGACTTCTGCTTGAAGTACACCAGAAAGACCGAGTTCCGCAGACTCTGCGAGTTGCTCCGTAACCATGTCCAGACCGCGGCCAAGTATTCTGCGCAGATGCATGCCATCAACCTGAGCGACCCCGACACCCTGCAGCGCCACCTGGAGACTCGTTTCCAGCAGCTTAACGTTGCCGTCGAGCTCGAGCTCTGGCAGGAGGCGTTCCGCTCCGTTGAGGACATCCACACCCTCCTCAACCTCAGCAAGCGCCCCCCCAAGAACATCATGATGGCTAACTACTACGAGAAGCTCACTCGTATCTTCCTCGTCGGCGAGAACTACCTTTTCCACGCCGCTGCCTGGTCTCGATACTACACTCTCCTGCGCCAGTCCGCGGCTATGGTTGCCACTGGCCAGAGCAAGAAGGCTGACAACCCCCCTGCCACTGAGGCCGACCTCCAGAAGGCTGCTTCTTTCGTGCTGCTGTCCGCCTTGGCTATCCCTGTCATTAGCACCACCCGTTCCCGCGGTGCCATGGTTGACTTCGACGAGTCGAGAAAGAACAAGAATGCTCGCCTCACCCACCTCTTGGGCATGTCTCAGGCTCCCACCCGTGCTGGTCTTTTCCGTGACGCTCTCGCCAAGCAGCTGCTGAAGCGTGCTCGTCCTGAAATCCGTGACCTTTACAACATTCTCGAAGTCGATTTCCACCCCTTGTCCATTTGCCAGAAGATCTCGCCTATTCTTACCAAGATCGGCGCTGACGCTGAGATGGAGAAGTACATCCTGCCTCTCCAGCAGGTCATCCTTACCAGATTGTTCCAGCAGCTGTCGCAAGTGTACGAGACCGTCGATCTCAGTTTTGTTGAGCGCCTGGCCGAGTTCCCTGAGCCCTTCCAGGTCACTCGCGGCACCATTGAGAAGTTCATCATGAACGGCAACAAGAAGGGTGATCTTGCTATCCGTATGGATCATGCTACGGGTGTTCTCAGCTTCGACAACGACGTCTTCTCGTCCGCCAAGGCCGCCCATGCTGGTTCTTCTGCCGGCTCCGCAGAGGCCGATGGCAGCTCTGTTCAGCGCTTGCAGAGCACTCCTTCTGAGATTGTCCGCTCTCAGCTTACCCGCCTCGTCAAGTCTCTCCACACCACTTGCTTTTACATTGACCCTAGCTACAACCAGTCCCTTGTCAGCGCAAGAGAAGCTGCTCTCGCCCGTGCCCGTGCCGGCGCCGAGAAGGAGCACCATGATATTCTTGCGAGAAAGGAGATTATCCAGAAGCGCAAGGAGGAGGCTTCTGAGGCCCAGGCTCGTAAGGACAGAGAGAGCGCCCGCCAGAAGCGCCTTCGTGAGCAGCTGCTCCAAGAAGCCGAAGACAAGCGTCTTGCCGCTGAGCAGAAGGAGCGCGAGGAGAAGCGTATGAAAGCCGAGCGTGATCGTGTTCGCAAGGAGGAGCTTAAGAAACAGATTGCCGACCTCAAGATCGGTCCCAAGACTATTGACCTGGACCTGGAGAACCTCGACAACCTTGACTCCAGCGCCATTCACGCCATCAAGCTGGAGCAGCTCAAGCGCGAGAAGAACGATGTCAATGAGAAGCTTCGCATTGTCTGGAAGCGCATCGACCACTTGGAGCGTGCCTTCAGAAAGGAAGAGGCCAAGAAGCTGGGCGAGGACTACCAGAAGCAGATTGAGAAGGACCGCGCCACTTATGAGGCTGTCAAGAAGCAGACTCTCAAGGAGGCCGAGGAGAAGCACAAGGAGAGTGTTGAGCTGAAGCATCGCCTCACCCGTCTGATGCCCGAGTACGAATCCTTCCGTGCCAACCTTCACGAGCGTCGCCGCGATGAGTTCGAGAAGCGTCGCAGGGATGCCGAGAGGGAGTTGGAGAAGCAGATCGCCGCCCGCAAGAAGGAGTACCGTGAGCGCAAGCTCCGGGAGAAGCGCGAGCGCGAGGAAAAGGAGAGGGCTCTGCGCGAGGCCGAGGAGCGCGCTGCCCGGGAGAAGGAGGAGCAGGAGAGACGTGCAGAGGCCAAGAGGGCCGAGATGCAGCGTCTCAAGGAGCAGCGCGAACAGGAACGCCAGGAGGGTCTCGAAAAGGCCGCTCTTCAGGCGAGACGCGAGGAGGAGGCCCTGGCACGTCGCAAGGCCGAGAGAGAGGCTCAGCGGACGGCACCCCCGTCCCGTGTTCCCGAGCGTGGGGCCGAGCCTTCCACCGAGGGTCGTCGCCCGCTCAACCTCCCCGGAGCTGGCAAGTGGCGCGAACGTGAGGCAGCCAAGGGTACCGCCTCTACTGATTCCGCCCCCCCTGCCCGCGCTCCCCCGGCGGAGCGTGCCGAGCGTACCGAGCGCCCCGAACGTGCTGAGCGCGCAGACGCTGGCGACCGCTCCAGTGGCCCGCCCCGCCTCAACCTTGCTGGCAACAAGCCCAGCTGGCGTGAGCGTGAGTCTGCCAAGACTGCTGCCGGTGGTGGTGACAGCAGCACCGCCCCGCCTCCGTCCCGTACCGCTTCCGGTGGTGCCCCCATCAACCGTGGTGGATCGGGACGTGCCGAGAACGGCCGTCCGGGACCTGACCGCACCGGCTCCCCCGCGTCGGCAGCTGAGCCGCTCAAGCCGTCAGGCGCCCCCGGCAAGTGGGTTCCCCGTCATCTCCGCGACAAGGCCTAAAGTTAGGGCCAGTAGGAGAATGGGGGACGAAGTGGTGGTATGTGCAGTCTGCATCGGCGTTCTAGGTTAGGCAGGAAGTTGTTTTAAAAAAGGATGTACTCTAGAGCCCCCGAGGATGTCTCCCTCCTATCGAGGGGAACTAGAATGGAAGTAACAGATAGCCTTTAATCGTCGGTCAGGACGGAGTGAAATGTGACGATGATGAATGACTTGGCATATTTCATTGGCTGGATTAGACATTTGGCATCGAGTGTAATCCATGATATCATTCTTTTTACCCAGTACGGAACGAACGCATCAAAATGATTTTATTTTGAGTTCAACTTCAACCTGTAGCTTAAGCCCGATAGTGTCAGGCAGTCAAGTGAAATCCAGGGCAGTATGCTCAACATCATGATAATGTACACTCTTAGCTTGGTGGTGTAAGGCCGCCGGCTCGTTTGTTGGACCCAGGCTCGGCTTCATGTGGACAAGCCAAGCGGACGTCATCGACATGTTTCCAGAACCTCGTCAGGGGTAAACTGTCATGGTGAGAATGGCTTTCCGCAAGCTGCAAACCGTACTCTCGGCGGCATCCGGTAAATTTGAAGACCAATCTAGCAAGCCCCTTGGGTTCAACGATCGGCGTGCTCTTGGATATGACATATGGATGAGCTACCGCCAACAAAGAGGCGATAGACATGGGTGGGGGCTTGAGGTCGTCGCAGTTGTTATCGAGCCTCGGCGCCTATCCCGGAGCCCGTCGGAGGATGTGGAAGAGGGATCCAACACGGATCAAAGAAAGGTACGATACGGCCATGGTGCATGAGCCGAGAGTGGTCTAAATGTCCATGTGGCTTATCCTAAAGCATCTCGCTGGCTATTACCCCTGGCTTGTGCTTTTTGTCCAGCAGCGCCAGAGCCCCCATTGACAGACGGTCAGACCACAGCAGCTCGTCTAGCCTCTTTTTCCCGCGGTGGAGGGTGCGCTAGCAGTGTTTTCAGGTACGCATTGTTCAGTTGCATTGGCATTGGGCCGGCGCCATTGGCGGATAACGGAGGCGCAGCAGCTCGCCGCCCGAGTCTTTGTTTGTGTTGTTGATGTGAGCTGAGCATGTGTAGAGAGACCCGTGTGATCTTCAGGCTTGTCGGATGCACGAAGGGTTTTGGCGGCTCAGACGGTATGTCCATCTTAAGGATGGGTTCCTGGCGGATGAGATGATGGTATGCAGACCAGGCAATCCCGAAGAAGCTGTCGCTGTCTCGGGTGCATTTGACAGTTCACTTGGCTGAAAGCATCGTGTCTGTACAAGCTGCTTTGAGGATATCTTGCAGTTCAAATGACCAATCGGCCTAGTTTACGGTACTTTTCGAGGATTGCATGATTGGCCAGACATCCTATCACAGGTTATGGAGCTGTTATAGAAGTCTCGGCGGTGCCCATACTTGGCAGAAAACGAAGTCAAATGGAAATCCCCAGTGCCCCACTGCCTGGTTCATACTAAGCCGATAACAAAGGGAAATGACGAGTCATTGACTATGTTGAGCCTGGGATGGGACACATTCAAGCTTACGCTTAAGCTTGATCTCAAAGAGATGCTTTCTTTGGTTATAGTCGTGTATTTCGTACTCCCAAGCTTGTCGGGTAGTCCTCCTTTCTTTGCTCACAGGCAATACGGCCGTGCCCCTAGGGCCCAGCAATACTCACCTGCAGTTGAGAGGTCTGTGCCTAGGAAAAGTTGCGGATGTCTGCAGGTCTGACAGCCCTATGAGCAGCTTAGATATTTGCGATGTACCTAGGCCCTGGAGGCGGGAATGGCCCTGTTCTCAGCTGGTGATCACCATGAAATACTATCTTGGGGATGGTTATGCCCCACAATGGGGAAAGCTGCTCCAAAGTAGCGGTCTTGGTTGTCATTGACGTGATTTGCACCGACATTATACAGTACCGAGTCCTTGGAGAAGGATACGAGGTTCAAGCAAAGGCCGTGGCCGTTGAACAGGCAGATAGATGCCAGAGCACAATTAGGGGTCCATGTTGTCCAAGGTGCTTCCGTGTAATGGACGTGCCGCTCAAACATCGAAGAGGTTGCAGCGACGTGGATTTGTACACAAGCGGATACATCATGGGTCAAAATGCGAAGGCCTGTGTATGTAGCTGCCCTGGTCCCTAGGACGTTGCTGTGCTCACTAAACTGTGGGGGAAGCAAAACAATGAACTCTGCACTATTCCCGGCTGTGAATCCGACCCCAGACCATGCGTTTGTTGACAAATCAGTGTGTAAATGTGCTCGAGCGAAAAAGAAGTTATAATGTAGAGGGGGGCTTCGCGAAAGCGAGGACTACAACGCCAGCTGAGATGAGGATGACTTGGGCCAAGCATAGGGGGAGAGCCCAGAGGGCCGTATCGGGCCGAGACCTGGCCGTATTGATGTAATTGTAGAGTTATGCCTCTATGTGGCAGACCACCAGGGCATTTTCAAGGTAGCGTTTCGACCCAAACGATGACAAAAGATATTCTTGGGAAAGGGGCTTCTCTTTTGTTCAAAGGGAGACGAGGCTTCGAAGACCACGTTCTGCATCTGGAGCTAAATCATGGTTGAATAAGGTGGCTATGGGGAAATTAGACTTGACGGCATCAAAACCCCAAAAACACTCCGCTCTATAGGAGGGCACTTTTGGGAGGCGTCATAAGAAAGGCATAGTTTAAATTAGCAGTCGAGTCCAGACTGGAGAGTCCAGCTAATGCAGGTACTGGCGCTCTCCCTTCACCCCTTGCTCTGCTGGACGGGATGAACTGAGCTTAACACCGCATGCGCCAATGGGACCGAGCGCTCTCCTCCCCGGTATGGGGCTCTGTTATTGCCTAAAACGGAAATGCCCCGGCCTACCCGGGCTTTGTTTGTTTCCTCGCCTCTCCCACAACAATGTTTCTCCTCACCGTGACCCGCCGACTCCCGCCGACCGGAAGGGGTCTGGATCATAGCTATCAAATCTTGAATTATGCCCCTTCCGGCTTGGTTTCCCGCTCGGGCCTATGGACCTAGCTCTTTTCCGCCGGCCCAGCCTAGGCTGGCGGAGACCTCTATGATGACTGCATCTCGGCCTTGCCTCTTGACCGGAAAGAGAGTAGAAACTTGGCAATTGAGTCTGCAATGACTAGCGCCAGCATAGGTGAATGAATGCCGGTCGTCACCTTTAGTTGATGTTGTCTTGGCCTGACTCCATCGCACTGGCGTGGTGGCGCCCAGCTTTTGCTGTACCTGCCTGACTCTAGCACCCTTCTGCCTGACATCGGTGCCACGATTTGACCGTTTCCTGCCGATTCCTCTGTGAGAGACGACAGAAACAAATCCAAGCGGAAAATCAACCTCCTATCGGTCTAAGAGAAGATGTTGCATTTCTTTCTATCCTTGGATATCACGCTAAGGTCCTAGCCGCGGCGTCGTCCCCGCTCGACCTGACACCACTCCATCGGTCACTACGCTCGCATTTCTGGTTACTTTGATCGTATACCGCACTGGAGCGCCATCCTGACGTACTTCGACATGATCAGTTTTCACTATATATGGAGGGCTTCGATGCCTCTCATCCTGTTGCTCTTCTCTCCTCATCACACACAACCCTCTACGGGATCGCAGTCACATTCTTTTCTTCTGCTTTCGCAAAAGACCTGTCCATTCTTTCTTTAACCAAACGCCAAACATTCTTTTGAAATGGCTCCCCTCATTCGAGCCGTAGCTGCTCTTGCAGCTGCTACCCTCTTTACTCAGGTCACTGCGACTAATGTCGAGTTGCCCCCGTGCCTTGACCCTTTCAAGCCCTTTGCCTACTCTGGTTGCTTCGCTGAGAAGGGTACTCAGGGCGAGGATGCCCTGGACTACCGCTCCAGCGCTGATCAGCACACCATGACCACGGCCAAGTGTATTTCTGAGTGCAAGGGCAACGGTTACCGCTACGCTGGTCTCACCTTCTACGGTGTCTGCTACTGCAGTGCGACTGTCAACAGCGCCTTGCTTGACGAGTCTGCCTGTGGCTTCAAGTGCGAGGCTGCCCAGAACGAGACCTGCGGTGGTTCTGGTGCTTTCTCTGTCTGGGCCGATCCTACCTTCCCCAACGTGGCCAAGGTCGATGTCAACGCCTTCAAGTCCATCGGCTGCTACACCGACGACACCAACCACGGACGTACCATCGGCGAGCGTCAGAACCAGGTTGACGGCAGCAAGATGACCCCCTCTTCCTGTATCGCTGCCTGCGCCGCCGACGGTTACCCGTTTGCTGGTCTCGAATTCGGTTCCGAGTGCTACTGCGGTGTCGTCATTGGTAACTACTCCACGCCCACCACCAGCGACAAGTGCGGTATGCCTTGCAACGGAGACAGCAACAAGAAGTGCGGTGGCGCTGGAACTGTTGAGGTCTACGCTTCTAAGGAGCTGTTGTCTCTTGAGCCTTGCGGCTTCCTTCCTCCTGTCGTCTCGCCTTCGATTTCCATTCCCATTTCCATTCCGGTCACCCTCCCCGTCACCTCGCTGCTTCCTCCCCCTCCTACCAACACCCCCAAGCCCACTCCTAGCACCACTGCCCCGGCCATGTGCACCACCACTGTCGTAACCCCCGCTACTTGCGAGTACGGCTGCGGTAAGTGGTGCAACAAGAACCTCCCTGACTTCGAGGACCAGGACGGCTGCTCCAAGGCCAGCAACAGATGTGCTCTCCAGGTTAACGCCTGTTTCAAGGGTGCCGGCTTCCCCGGCAGTGCCAGCTGCCACGAATTCAAGGCTTGGTGCAAGGATGTTTCTAGCTACTGCTCCAACAGCTGCTCTGGCAAGAAGGGCTCTTGCAGCAAGAGGGACTGCTACCAGAAGAAGCAGCCCAAGGGATGGAAGCCCGGATCCACCTCCGTTTCCACCTACCCTTGCCCTACGACCGCGACTACCCCCACTACCCCGGTCACCGTCGTCCCTCCTCCTCCTACCGGTATCTGCAAGCAGCCTTCCAGCTGGCTCTTCAACTACGGACCCGGAAACCCCGTTGGTGGCATTGAGATCCCCGTCGTCACCTGCAACGATATCCTTGAGGATTTCAAGGCCGGCAACCAGTTCAAGCTCTACACCGAGTCCGACTCTCGCAGCTGTAAGGGGTTCGGCAAGGGCAGCCTCTCCGGCGCTTGCAACGAAGCTTGCCAGGAGCAGTACACTGAGTGCCAGAATGTCTACGCCCAGGGCTGCAAGGCTTACAACAACCGCCGCAGAGGTGCTGCCTACTCCGAGGCTCCCGATATCGCCAAGCGCTTCTTCTTCGGCGACACCTTCACCGTCGCCCTCAACAAGTGCAAGATCCAGCTGCAGGACTGCATCTGGGAGAACAGGAACGTTCTTGCCAACAACAAGTGCGGCGTCTTTGGCGGCCAGTACTAAGCTGTACCACGACATCAGCGTTGGCAGCAGCCTTGCCGGCGTGGTGCTCAAAATTATAGACGGGGAGTTTTTCGGTTTTATGAATGCATGGCTGCGACCACACACTCTTTAGACGGTTGAAAGCTTTATCTTGTTTAATGGCTAGTTTCTCACACAATCTTTAACTTTGCTTTTTCAAAACTTTGCCCCTGACTTAAATGTGCATACCCCGTGACATGCGTCTTGATCAAAATGGCCATCCTCCATATGCTCTGAGAGTGTTGATAGAGATGATGTGACAAACGTGACAAAGCCGGCGAATTCACCATGAAGAAGCTGGAGCAATTGGCACTGCCCACAAGGTCCTATGTACTCACAAGCTTATGATATGGTACCTCCACACCTAGAACCCCCCAGAAGTGTTGTTTCAGCCATGTCGTCCTTCTCTCCCACAACAAGCTACTGCTTCCTTCAAATACGTCCAAATAAACATAGTCTCGTAGACTCATACAATGACTCGCAAAGACTACCTATTCTCTACTAATGTTTAATATGTCAGTGCTGGCCAATGAATCTCGGCGTGCGACGAAACCGGCACTTGAAACTAAACCATCTCTACGTCAAGATTTTCAGTGATGTTCGCGTCAAATTGACGGAAGTAGGAAGAGTTGAAAAGCCGCCTTGCTTGGACACGTGGGAATATTTTAGAGTCTTTTTTTTTTTTTTTTTAATAAGTCTGGTCCAGCGTGTCAGAGCCGCGGTCCTAGAAATGTCAGAATTGTGCTCGCCAAGGGGACATTCAGGTTTTGGCGTCCTATATTCATTGTGTCACTTTGACTTTGGAGGATAATTTGCACGGACAAACACTGGGTTCCCAGCCTAGTAAACACCCCGTCTCCTTTAGTCTCGCACCTTTTGGGAGTCAATCCTGTTGTTATATATGGGAGTCTTGGTATCTCGGGTTCTTTCTGTATCACCTTCAGGCCCACCAAGATTTGGTTCTCAGGAGGTAAGATAATAGTGATTCCCTGACATGATTATTCGGAAGGAAGCGTATCAGGTGATGTTCTCGATGTTGACGTATGTTTATGTGCCATGGAGACGAAGCTTCGGCTTAGCCTGGTCGGTTATTGTGTGCAGAATCTCCCTACTATTTCCACACTTGGGTACGACAAGACTTCAAGACCAGACCTCCCCTTCAGCCGCGTTAGTTCCTTGCGTGGTTGGTAGTAAGCCAACCTCCAAGACCTATCCGTCAATGAAATGCAACCCCCACAACACGTATGTGCCTTCTTCTCAGTCTCAGGAACCGACAGCAGTATTCGATCAACTCGGAAGCACAATGTAATTACCGAAAATGGTTTGCTCTTTGTCTTATTGATCACCTAACGCGTTATGGGTTTCTCTGGCCTTGAAGTCGTCAGACAGGAGAACGAAAATGAATGCTGATGTAATCTTTCGTAAATGACACTGTATGCGGAGCATCATGTGTCAGTTTGATCAAAAATAAAGGGGATTACTACAGGGCTTGGTCCTGTCTCCTCGAGAGAGTAATTGAGGTGTTCATCGAGCATGAGACCTATTGTAGAGCTTTCATTGGGCACAGGCAAACGCGACGTGGGAATATGTCTTCGTCGGCTGATGTGCAATCAAATCGCATTCCTGGTCAGCAATGGCAGCATCATTTATGTAAAAACAATTAAACCACTCCCACTAATGATTGCTTTTCTTTTCAGTTTGTAACTGTCACTCGAACAAGTTCTTGATTGTCAGTGCTCTTCTTGTTTAAAAGGGAAGCAATATAGATCATTTGTCCTGTGGGAAGGTTAGCCCAACGGTGCATTCACTTTAGGATAGTGTTCACCAAAAGTGGTGGTGATTCACCCAACAAACAGAACAATTAGCATCTTTTCGAACATACAGCGGTAATGCACCCATCATCAAAAAGGTGAAAAAATGAAAGCTGGTTGCCAACACTGTGGATCGAACACAGGATCCCCGCATTACAAGTGCGATGCCTTACCACTTGGCCATGCTGGCGAATCAGTTGCATGTTTGGTTGTGATGCAGCAGTCGCGTAACCGTGTCTTGAAGTGTAGACGGAGATGGGGTACGCTCCTTGGTGGGGCTCATGACGTTCGCTGTTCCTTCAGCGGCAGGGGTTGAGTTCGTATGACTAATATGCTTTCCCTTTTTGGGATTTCAGCTTCACTGGCTAGGGCTATCTACGAAAGGTGATGTGTGTATCTTTAGTTCACAGCCCCGTGATCTGCGAAGAACAGTACATGAGTGTATGTTGGCAAAAAGGACCGGATGAGATGCGAAAATATCCTTCAACACAACAAAAATGTGGTGCACTGGAAGGCGGCGCGGGCTCATTGGGTTATTGCGAAGACCTGCTTCCGCCTTCTGATTCTAGGTTGGTAGATTGCAATAGCTTTATATCTGAGAATGAATGCATAAGTGGCTCCATCTATGATATCCGCATGGAAACCAGTTCAAGTAATGACAACAGCCACGGCTTGGAAAGACTGTATTGGCAGCCTACCACTGAAGTTTTACCTTCTTTTGGGACTACTTACGAGACTTTCATGTAGTTGAATTCATGTGAACTTTGCACTTAGCCATTGCCTGGGCTAATGGTTAGACTTTTGCTCTGTAATCATCCGGCGGTAAAGATTTTCACCGAGACAATAGATTGCGCAGTTATGGGGCTTGGGCCTTTTCTTGTAAGACTGTATGGAGTCTCAGTCGACCCAAATAACCACAGAAGGGGATGGAAAGCACTCGTGAGATGCTTGTTGCCTAGCGGTATACTCTTTGGACCAGTAAATCGCGAATGAGTTTCAAGACAGACATGACCGTTGCGATAAAATTTCTAGAAGGAAGTCAAGCTCGTCGCCAGGGATGAAGTTAGAAGGGAGAAAAGAGATTGTTTACTCCTTCTGGAGCTAATCAAGCAAACCGTCTCTCACGAAACCCTCGGAAAGCAAATGATCTCTATACACACAGTTGAACAATCGTATTATGTACAGAACTCAGTGATAGAAACAAAGTCATACTCTCTCCGAGACCCCATGAGCTCACTGATATTCGCTGATAGATATGTGACACAGTCAAGTATCGTATCCAGCACATGTGGGAGGAGGACCAATACGAGAATACTGTTATACAGTACACTTCTCATTCGGCCCAGATACTGGGCTACGAGAGCTATACCATAACCGCACAAGAAGGACAAGTACTCAGCCGATGAGGGCACCTTGATGTCAGGGTCTTGATTTAGGCGATCTGGGCCAGGAAACTCTGGTCCTCGTCTGGCAGCAGGGGCTTACGAAGTACGGCCAGCTGGTAAAACTGTTGCGCAAGATAAAGACTTCCACAACCAAATTGATCACATTACATCGCCTTGTCTGCTCTATGGCTTTCGCATCGTAGCCTGCAATCTCTTATTCGCTGCTTGATATAACGTGGCCGGGGGAATGGGTGAATTGGTAGCTCTCCAAGGGAGAGCTATACATCATAAACGCGCCAAATGGATGGTGATGGTTTATGCTTACAACATAATCTCTAGCGGCCATGACCAGCTTAGATATGTCCACAAACAGGCTTTCAATCAGCTGAAAAGGACATCAAGGTAGTCAACTCATAATGCCCTTGTCGGAGTACATTGACTCAAGTCATTTGCCACTTTCACATGGATCGCAAGCACACACTATATTGAGGCACAAGCAGCCTCTGATACGATTCGAAATCGTCCTCATTGAGGATCTCCATCCCACACAGACATACAAAAACTGGGGTATAACTGGCAAATGAAGACACGAAGGAGAGCGTCATCCCCGACAGACCCAGCGGGTGGTGGCTACGAGGTTGTGTACCTTGTCGACCCAGACCATTTGCGGATTGAGTTTTCCCCAGCTTTGTAGCTTCTGTGGAGCTTGCGCTCAGATGACATTGGTCGCCGTCGGTAGCCACCAAGGCTTAGCCTGCATGTTGCGTCCGAAAAACGGCGTGCTTGAACCAGAGCTGGGTTTCAAGAGCTCGGGCTGTCATGGCAAGGTGGTGCAAGGAGCTTATCCCATGCTCCGATGGGATGGCGGTGTTAGCGATTATGGCAGGAGACTGTAGCAGGAGCAGGAACATCGACAATGAAAGCAATGACGACAGTTGTGGACGAGAGTTTGTGCTCGGATTGGTTTCCGTATGGAGCTGGGGTCAATGGAAACATGCCGAGGGTCCCGCCCCTCCTTTTCGCATTCTGCAATCCGAGGAACGAACAGGAGCGAAGTCCGTACTGTTGGTTAGGAAAACGACCCCTCGGTTCAATCGGGAGCTGCTGGAATCCGGGATCGGGAGAGCAGATTGGCCGAGATTAGTGGCCGGGTGAGCGAGAGCTTACCGGCAGCCGGATAAACGACTGGCAAGGTCAGGGGAGGGATATGCTGCGTCTAGAGCCCTAAAAAGTGAGGTTCTGACCACTGGGAAAATTCCACCAAAGACACACAAAATGGAGGAGGGGAGAAATGCTAAGCGAGCCCGGGCGGATGATGATCTCACACTAAAAAATTCCCGGAGACTCTGGCACTGGCGCTGTGAAGGAGGGGAGGGGCAGTGTCAAAGTGGTGTGTGTTGTGTGCCCTGTGTGTGTTTTTAGTGGCCAGTGACGGGCTGCCATTGGTGGCCGGGCCGTTTTCGTGCCCTGTGTTGCCCTGCGTGCCCTGGCTGCCTGACCTAATTTGCTCCGTGCTTCGTCGCTTCCCAGTGCTGTGATTTGTCCCGCCCGGAACCCCAGTGCCCCATCGAGCAGTTTCTTCACCTCTATCGTAACATCACCACCGGCACCAATTGGTCCATATCCCCATTGAGCATCATCACCACCGCCAGGTCATGGTGTTCTAACCTTGTCTCTTTACCCCAAATCACATCCTAGACTAGGTCGCTATTGTTCACCACAATCCAGGCGACAAGATGTCGGTCGCAAGCAAGGTAAGCTCGCTCTATTTCTTATTGTCCTCTCCATTTTGAATTATCTGTTTGTCGTCGTTATTTTGACCTCGCCATTGTGTGCGTCGTCGTTGTCGTTGTCATTTCTTTCGATGTTGTTGTCGTCGACAAAATTCATGCTGTTTCGTCGACCATCTCCGTCTGCTACTTGGACTGACAATGCCTTCTAGAACCTGTTCGAGCTCCTCGGTATGATACTCGATGACGAACCCGACGAATAATTGCTCGCTTTCTAGTCATGCCCTAACCACCCACAACAGGCAACGACGCGGAGGATGACACCCCTCAGGCACCCGTGAAGACGGTCGAGAAGACCACCATGCGCTCTACCAAGCGTAACGCCGAGCCCGAGGCCCCCTCGCGCGCCGCCGCTAACACCGGTGCTCGCCGCAACAACGCCTCTGGCAACGAGGCCGGTACGTTGACCTCAATTGTCGTCTACGGCTTTCCGAGACGCAACCCCGCTTTGTGGCTCGGCTCGCTGACACAACTTTAACCGACAGCTTTCCGTGACCGCGGTGCTGGCAGCGACCGCAACCGTGGCAAGACCACCGAGGAGCCTGCTAGAGGCGGCCCCCGTGGTGGCTATGGTGCCCGTGTCCGTGGAGGTTTGTACCTACCCGTCGCCGCCTTACCCCAGGAATTCATGCAAGGTGGATCAAATGATTTCGTGTATTAACATGGAGGATAGGTCGCGGTGGCCGCTTCCCTCGTGAGCGCGACGACCGTCACTCTAAGGGCCTGGCCAGGTAATTTTATCACCTCCCGTCAACCAATTCATGACGCTAACATACCACAGCGGCTCTGAGAAGCAGGCTGCCCAGTCTTGGGGCGCCACTGAGGGCGAGGCTGAGCGCAAGGACGAGCAGGCCGGTGAGGCCATTGCTCAGGCTGAGCAGAAGGATGCTGAGGCCGAGGCCGCCGCTGAGGAGCCCGCCGAGCCCGAGGATAAGCACATCTCTTTCGCCGACTACCTTGCCCAGCAGGCAGAGAAGAAGCTCGCCCTGGACTCCGGCCTCGAGGTCCGCAAGGCCAACGAGGGCACCAAGCTCAAGAAGGAGTGGACCAACGTCAAGGAGGTCACCCGTGAGGATGAGGACTTCATGATCGGCACCGGTGGCAAGACCAAGCGTGAGCGTGAGCGCAAGACCAAGCAGCTCATCGACATCGACCAGCGCTACGTTGAGCCTGAGCGTCCCCGCGGCGGCCGTGGCGGCCGTGGCGGTCCTCGTGGCGGTGCTCGCGGCGCTGACCGTGGTGGTCCCCGTGGCGGCGCTCCCCGCGGCGGCGCTCCTGCCCGCGGTGGTGCTCCTGCCCGTGGCGGTCGTCGTGAGGGCGCTGCTCCCATCAACACCAAGGACGAGTCTGCTTTCCCCAGCCTCGGCGGCAAATAAATGCCACCATACCTGCCAAAAATTAGGCAAGAATGTGCACCGACACATGTTTCCGCTCTAGCCAACGATGTATACGGAAGGGAAGGGCCAGTTTTCGGGGAAAATTGAAGAAGGATGGTTTGCGTCATGGTTTCCGAGGACTGGGCCGGCTGAATTTCTGGTCGCTGCACAATGAATGAAAGGCTTTTTCATCTAGGTACTTAAGGACGGTATCGTTCAAAAAGTCAAATGGTCTCTTTTGCATGGTTTTCACTGTTTTCCGGCCTTGCTGGTCACTGCAATGGTATAAGTGTGTGTGCAACCCGTGTCGAGACATTTTGTGGTCTTAAGAGATGCTCATTCACTGAAACTCTTAATGCGTAACGTGCTTGATCAAGATATGGTCTTGTTACAGACTAACGGACTAAGCAAGAAGCGATCTAAAGATCACGCACATCAATTTCGTTCGTATATTGATGAAGCCTTGCACTGATGGCGCATCAACACTGTGTCTTGAATCCAGCCTGGGCAAAACAGTATTATCCTACAATAACGGTTTTACAACAGCTGGCCATTCTCGCCGCAGAAAGCCCAACGGCCGGGTATCGATAATCCAGATTCGAGGCTTCTGGATGCCTATCGGGAAGCCATGCTTCCGCGAAAGCCGGAACCGGCCCATTAACGCAGCTTGATGACTCGTTGGCAGCAGCGGCGGCGGCGACATTGATAGGCGTTACTCGGACACTTGTGGATATCTAACTCGGACCGGATATTGCATGCTTGGACGAGGTGAACTTTAAGTAAGAATAAACCTACGTCAATACTAATGGTAATGGATCCACCAATCCTTTTTCTGTTCGTTGTATGCTCGTATGCTCTCAGCTATATCGCTCGGAGTGGGTGAACTCAGTATTTGGATGTGAATCTATACCTTCCTACAATTCAATCTTTACATAACAAGAGATGTGTAAGAGATAGAATCGTAAGATGTTTAGATGAGTGACAACATTATGTCCCGAACTGCCTCTCATATCCATGGTGCATTCTGAGATTCGCGTCCTTGCTTATAAGTCTGGCTAATTATTGTCGCAGAAAATTATAGATGAGATATAGTGTGTCACAAAAACATCCGGCATTGTTGGGGTTGAGAATTGCTTAGGATGTCTATCAAATTCTATCAAAATCCCAATCGCTGTCGGTGTATTGGGTTATGTGTACAAAAACCCCCATCCCCTCCCCTCTGTGTCTCCGTCTCAGCCGCTCGCATTATGCTTTAGGAGCGTATTTCAGTTTGCTCAGTACATCGACGACATAGTCTTGCTCGAAAAGGGTAGAACTCACACATTGTGAGTGAGAGAATGACAGTATATATCTTGTCAACATCAGGTCACTAGCGCTCGTTTCTTTTGGAATAACATATCTTGTGGGAGAGTGACTGACACCACGTACTGCTCTTTAGCGAGGTGTGCCATCAAAACATTTACGTCTTCGCTGGTCAAGTACGCACATGTTACATCATTCCAAGCGTCGACATATATCTTAATCACTACTACTAGATGACCTTATCACTTCAAAGTCTTGACTACTCTGTCAATACCTTTCCCGAAGGATGTCATTGTTTTGACCACCCAGTGAGAAATCTGGATTGAGCAACCTTCCTAAACGTTTCAAACATTATGGGTTCGAGTTGTTGTAGAAGACAAAAAGAAGCAGAATCGTCCACCATTGCAAAACAGAGGATATAGGGCTTTTGGAACTTTAGGTCAGGCTTGCCGCTTTCGCAATATACTGCTATCATCCTGAGGAACAACCTTGTCGTAACCATTATCACCTGCTAGAGCAAACGTCGATGTAAATAGGGTGATAATGTAGCCCACCCCTCGATTAGTTGGAGATCTTTAATAATTGCACATGGCTTCGACTTATCGTAATGATTTGTTTCTATATCGTTGTTGCTTAACTCCCCAGATAGACCTTCGTGCAACCCTGACAGTGATGGAAACTTCGGCGCTACGGAGTAAACCACAAACGCGCATGCTTAAATAAACTACATCCCTCTGGCTCTAATAAAGATGTTTACAATTACCCCGGTCCCAAATGGTGGTTGTATGCATCAGTTGATAAAGGAATGTTGAGTAAATATCACTCGAAAAAGGAATAATTTAAGATAGATTATTTTGTGTCTACCTACTTAGAGTTATTCTGCGGATGCTTTTGGACATATTCCTCCTGTTAGTTTTCAGTACCATACAGGGAAGTCATAGTTTGAAACGCAACATTGACGCACTTCTGTCTATGGGGTCCCTTTCCCTGGCCTCGAGGCTGCTGAAGAAACTCTAGCTCCCCTGATGATACCGCCAGATGGAGCGTAGTTTGCTTTTTACAATTCCATTCCCGGCCAAAACCCAATATATGATAGCCGAAATCAGAAAGGATAATAAAACCAGCCGGTCGAGCCAAGAGTGGTCTGGGGAAGGCTCAAGACTTGCGGGGTTTCTCTGTCTTTTGTGTCAGCAATGCCGAAGAGAAACTGGCATAGACACTGTAAGAAAAAGATAGCTGCTACTATCATCCCCTGGGTTTACAAAATAGCTCAGTCCCCAAGAACCATGTCCACTCAAAAAGACCTTTTACTTGGCCTACTCACAACACGCGTCCACAGCCAGTCCCCTTGTCTTCAAAAACCAATACAACTAACTAAAACCAAGAAATCTAAATGGTAGTTGAGACCTGGTAGCCCTTTGCTTAAACATCATCTCATCTTGCCATAACGACATATCATTTTATTTGGTTTGTTTGATGCTCCTCGAAAATCGAAGTGACCCAAGCTCTTGGCCCAAAGAGCGAACACCTCGATTGTTAAAACTCGATGTCTCTTTCAAGACACCAAAACATACAAAGCAAACCATGCCCAGGCCACAAATATATCGAGCACTCCTGAAACTATCCAACGGCGATTAAAAAAACCACTTGAGCTGAAGTAATGAAATTGTTCTCCGCTTTGTTTTCGGGCCATCAAGAGACTGGTCAGACTATGCGGCTAGACAGCATGGTCATTTCAGCAACCTATAAAGTTGAGCTCAAGGTCATGACTGTTCTCTCAAATCAACTCGCAATCCAATCACAAAGACAGTCTAACAGATAACGTCAAAAAGCAAAGTCTTCGAAAAAATGCCTCTGAGAAAACGGAGCCCTCTCAAGCCATCAGCCGCTCCACCCTTCACCACGACAAAATGCCCATACTGCACCGCAAGTCGCACGGCAGAAAAACATGATAGTGCCCTCAACCGTCTCAGACGTTTCTTCACACGCAGAAAACCTTCCTTGCAAATGCCATCCCTGTGCCACATGTGCGGCATAGGGGGCGAGTTAATGATGGATTTCAAGCAGGTATATTACGTCGCCAGTATTAGTAGTGCTAACTGCAAGCAGTTCATGGAGTCAATGGATGAGAACCGCAACGAGGATGTTGCGAGCGACACAAACGTCCTTCTCCATGGTATTGGAGAGGAGACTTGCGTCAGACGGCCTGAAGGACTGGACTCGGGCTCCGTGGAGGAATGGGTTTCAGACCAGCAGGCCATTGTTGAAAGGATGCGACGACGCCTGAGGTACATTTTGCGAGGGAAGCGATGGTCTCGGAAAAAGCTGGTACCTAGGAAGCCTGGAAGACGTCCGCCTGTCATCTTTATCAGCTCTGCTCCGTGTGGTCTGGCGACAATTTCCGAGGACAAGGAACTGAAGTTCCCTGTGCGACGGCGCACTGCCATCGAATAAATCAAGAGAAAGGGTTATATCTTCATAAATAGCTTGGCTATTGTATCTGCTGAGTACCATCGGTGGCTCTCCACAGGGAATGTTAGCGACTACTAAAACAGGTGAGTCTCTCATATCCTACAACATATGATAACGGTGCAAACTAGACGTCACTGTTTATCTGGAAGGATGAATAATCAGAACAAATTATGCATATTTATTGTTTCTCTTGATATGTGCCATTATTGCCTGTCTCGGAAGAAACGAGCGGTATCAATGCCCAAACTGGCAAGGAGAAGGATAGCGTTGAAACACGCCATCATGTAGAATGGTGCGCCTGTTGACACTGCATCAAACATGAAGCCCCCCAATTTCGTGAGCAGTAGAATGGCCGCTCCGCCAAACCAGGAATACATGCCGGCGATGGAGCCCTTGAGCCGCACTCGCGACACAGCGTCTACGCTTGCGTTATGCTGTAGCAGCGGCGCATCTTCCGTCTGGTTCTCCATAGCTTCGACCGAGTCCTCGATTGTGTCAACATGCTGCGACTTGGGTATATCTGCGGTCAGAACACCGCGGCCGAGTGAGCCCAGACTGCAGACAATAGCTCCAATCTGACTAATGCCGATCAGAATAACAACAAGGAAAACAACAGGACTGCCGCCTCGTCCGTCGACGTTCTTGAATTCCGGACTGGCCAATTGGGGGAAAGCGACGTAGCCGACAATACCGAAAGCAGTGGCAATTAGAATCGGGTAGTTAACGCGCCCACGCCTCCTGTTGAGGTAGCCAAATATAGGTGCAGCAATCAGGCCGAGGAGCTGAGCCACACCAGTCAAAATAGACGCAAGGAGATATGCAGATCTGCATTCTTTCTTCAATTCAGGAGAGGAATCATGAGGAGATCCTTTGCAGAAGCCGTTGCTGATGAAAAAAGTATTGATGTAAAGAGGAACGAAGAGTGAAATTGCGACTGTGGAGGCACGAGCCACAAAACCGCCCAAGTAACCAAGGGCAATCTGAGAATCGGTGAAGCCAAGAGTGACAGAATCTCGGAGCAGGCGAAAATATGGTAGAACCTTCTGCTTCCTGTTAGCTGATTTCTGAAGCTTGCGGCGAGGTAACTTACTGGTCGAGAGGGGTGGTCTGATCCATGCTCATCGGATTCATCCTCAGAGCTTAGACTTGTTTTGTATCCCAACAAGACGGACCAGCCTTTACCCTCCTCGCCCTTCAAATTTCTCAACCCAAAAAGAACAAAGATTGCTACCAAAAAGGCAACAATTCCCACCACATAGAAGCTGTCAGCGACAGCCTCACGGGGCGTAACGCCATCAACCTCGCCGAAACGAGCGGGTAGTGGGAGAAACAGTGAGAGCGCAACCAGCGCGCCACATCCCGTAAATAACCCAACGTAACCCGCCAGCGCCGAAGGCTTGCCAGCTTTTGTTTCGTCCGCATCGCTGGATGCTCCTGCTTGTCCGTTTTCACCGATGCCGTGATATCGCACCGGAGTAATGGTCATATCGGACTCGAGGGACATGGCGACACTGTTCCGGGGGTTACGGACCGGCTTGTTTGCAGCGTTTGCAGAGCTATCGGATTTGTCGCTATCATCTGTCAAAGACGGTAGAATAGCCGTCACCATCGTGGCCCTAAGTATAACATTGTCAGTCAACTTGCCCACTCCACACGGTTGAGGTAACGACCTACGCCGCTGTAGCGCCGATGGCGAAGAAGACGCGCGCCAGAAGCAACTGCGGATAGATGTTGCGCGCCTGGACGAACAGCATTAAGGCTGCGCCAATCACGGCGTATCCAATGACAGCAACCCATCTTACACCGAGGCGATCAGAGACCAGTCCCCATACCGGACATGCGACAAGCGCAACAAGCTCGTCAACGAAGCCGAGGGTGCCGACGATATCACCCACGCCATCCTTGACGCCAATTAAATCGGTAATGACAAACGATATGCTGCTGTTAAGAAAAACGAGAAAGGAAATGGAGAATAAGGAAATACCGAGGAGATATGTCACTGCTTGCAGTGTTGTAGTCGCCTCGGAGAAGGGCAAGTAGCGGGACAGAACCGCCATGGTGAATGTTGATCGTAGTGGTGTTGTACTGAGCAACTGAGGGTATTCTCCTTTCTGCCGCAGACCACCGTCCGATCAGAACCTCACATCTCGCGGCGAGCGATACAAAATGTTGAGAGGAGGAGGTAGGAGGAAGTGCTTTTGTTTGTTGTTGACCACAAGGGAGAAAGCAGGGTAGTAGTGCTGGCGGTGCGGGACCATGGGTAAACATCATACATCTGTGGTCCCTGCCACTCCGGACTAGCCGCCTTACATAAGCCCACACCTACCACATCATAGATGCACCACACCATTACGTATTCGACCGGACACCTGCTGTAGCTCGAGTGCATGTCACTTAGACCTGCTAGCATGCTGACTGAAAGTGGTGCGACAACGGACTTTTTGTGTTTTGAAGCCAAGGTTGGTCCTTTGCAAAAGGAGGTCGAGCAATTTGCACTAAATTGCCTGACTAAACCTTTCACCCAAAGTTATCCCTAAGAAATTACATGACGCCCAACGCCTGTGGCCCAGGCCTTCATCATCACTTTGCCTCCGTAAATGCCTGCAATTGCTTTCCCCGGTTGAATCCCCGACTCCGTTGCTTTCCTAAACCGTACCTTTCACAATAGCGGATGGTGATCATTCCGTTTATTGAACCGCCTACCAAGCCCACAGCACCTTGTGATGCAGCACACGAGAGCCAAGCCGTTCGAACTCGAACGGTGTGACCCATGAATCGTTTGCAGGGAGTTTAGCAAAAACGCTGGCTCCCTTCCAAGTCACAACCTGCTCGTCCATGTCTCTGGCGCTTCTACTGACGAGGATGCGATCGAAAAGATCAGGCCGTCGTGCCTTGAGCTTCTCTTCCAAGACGACTGTGAACTGAGGTGTCTTTGAGCCACCGCCAATGACCATGATACTGCCCAGGTAGTCTCGCAGCTTTTTGTCGTCGCCCTTGGCCGCATTGTTGATACTCGTAAGGATGGCAATGTCTAGTGGTGCCATCGGCAAAACGCCATCGCGCTCAATGGCCTGAGCCTTTGCACTGCGCGCCGCAGAATCAACAAACATCCCAGAAGGTGGCTGCGCAACCGTAGTGCCATTTGGACCCGGAGTGCCGCCATTACGCACAGGAGGAGCAGGACTTCCCCCGTTAGCACCCTCTTTGTTTCCTCCAAACACAAACGGGGCTGGTACAGGGGTGCTGACACCCTCTGGAGCCGGCGACGGAGCATTAGACCCAGACGGAGTCCCGTTTATCCCATTTTCACCACGCTTGAGGAAATCGAACGGCTGCAACTTCTCCTTCACCGGAGTTGAAACATCGTTTTGCGACTGAGGGAAGCCGTTGGTTGGCGCTGCGTTCAGGGATGGCTTGACATGAGCCAGGATGGCGAACTGCGCGGCTGAAGTCGGGTCGTCAGGGATGTCAACATCATAAGCGTTGTAAGACCGGTCAATAAGCTTCCTTCTGCCTCTTAGCTTCGTACTGCTGTCGAAAATTGTTGGATCATAGAAGCCCATAGGGGCGAGGATGACCTCATCATAAGTTTTGAACTGGTATTTGTGTGTTGGCTGATTCGGGGCTCGCAAATGGAACTGATATAGCTGCACAGAAATGTCCGACTGTGACATTGTGCAATGCTTAACTTTTAGCTCCTCAGCAAGGAGAAAGTCATATCGTCTCCGCAAGTTGATATCCTGGTATGGAAAATTATCGTAAAGCAGCATTTTGACGAATGTCTCCGTCACATCGTAACCGCCATATTTCATGTTGATACGGGAGTCTTCAACGCAAAGACCGTCCTCAACACAGGTAATTGAAGTCTTTTGAGCCCCAACGTCGACAACACAAGCCTGTGTATATCCAGCTCCGAAAGTGGCTGCCATACTCTCCTGAATGAAGCATATACGGTTGAACTCAAACCAGGTCATGCAGGATCTGAGTACTTGCTCGACATATTTCTTGTCATAGAGATCTGGAATAACGAAAACACAGCTGTATTGCTTCCATGTACTGTTTTTAGTGAGACCTAGCTCCTGTCGGATGGCCTTGTCCAGCAGAGTTTCGAAATCATCGAAAAGGTGTTCAGCATTAGTGTAGTCGTTTTCATTCAGCACACCATGCTGGATCGGCCACCAGAGCTTGAACTTTGGCTGAGAGTCGTCCGGCACTCGTTGAGCTTGGTTTCCAATGAAGCAGGAAGCAGATGACTTAGCATCCTGTAGGTCGTTGATATCGGTCCATTCGATCTGCAAGGGGTCGTTGTGCGTCTGGATAATCTCAGGCTCGGTGCGACGATTGTAGTTCAGTACCAGCTCCTTGGAGTTAGGCAAAACTTTACGCTTGTTCGCGCGCATTTCCAGTTTGAGGTCGTTGCACATTTTGGCGTATTTCTTTGACCACTCTTCACCATACTGCTGATCCTGTGTTTTCGCTTCGAACTGCCGTCGGGGGAGAGCCTCGTGCATTTCTGCCTCAGTTTGCGGGAATTTTGTCGCGAGTGTCATGGGGATCGATTTAGGAAGAGCATCGCTAGCAAAGCCAATGCGAAGGTTCTGGCTGCCAGGGTGGATGACAATGACTTTGGAGGGGTCCAAACCAGCCGCGACATCGGTGGGCGCTTCCTCGGGTTGAAGTTCGGGGATGACCAAAGGGACCTCAGCTCGCCCGCTCTGAGCAAGAGCGCGGTCTCTATCCTTTGCTGCTTGCACAATCCTGTCGCGGGTAGCATCACCCTGTAGTCGCAAGGCAAGAATCTGATCATCGCGCTTCATATAATCTCTTTTATTGCGGCATGCATTAGTATCAATGTAATCAAATGGTAGACATCATAATAGTTTCAAGCATACGTATAGTAGTTCTTCTGATTGATCGGTGTAACGTCTGGCCAGCTTGTCTGCTTCATGCCATTATCGGTTCTCTCCAGGCCTGCGTCCGCGATTAGTTTCTTGGTGTCGTAGCACAAAAAGATTGGTTTTCAACTTACCCTCCCGAAGGAGAACCCTCTCACTGACTTTCCCTACCATGTTGTCGTCTTGCTCCTATTCCTTGGAGCCAGATGGCGGGCCGGTGCTGGTGTCATGAAATCCAATTGCGAAAACAAATCAAAACCACCAGCCTCAAGATTCAGAAGGCTCTCAGCCTCCTGCAGCTACCAACCATCACTCGTTGCCAACAGCCTTCTGGTCTGTGCACGAGACAATTTAGACTAAAATGGAATAGCTCTTGCCGGAGCGGGATTTCGTTGATCCACAAACGGAACCAATTCACCGTCGGAAATCTGAAATAGCGGCCAATGTTTCCGAATGCTCCGGTTCCGCCGCGAGTTCTACCAGCTCCTTCGTGTTTCCTCAGAAATTCGCACGGCAAACAACTTTCGCATAGATCTTTGTCAAACCGACAATGAATGACACCGGCATACCGCATGACAAGCCTCAACACTTACTCAACTCTACAACTAAAACATTCTTCTAGGCATGACACTAGGAAACTAACGGTTGTGGCAACTGCTTTGGTGCTACAGTAACCAGAAGGCGATCCCTGTGTCGTTTGCATAGCGTGCACAGCCAACCGAGCACAGTCAAGATCATGTCGGGAGGGTCAGGATTCTGCTCTCTCGTCCAAAGAAGTTTTGATTTGGCAATTCAACGGGGTCCAAGCATCTGCCGGTAAAGGGCCGTTTCCGGCTTCAGTCTCTAGCGAACTATTGGTCACAAGCCTGACCATTTGCATGATGCTCTGTAGCCTGACTGCTGCTTGTTTGCATGGACAACTACTGAGTGGATGAACTTGACACAACAGTTCCCGCCGAACCAAAGTCCAAATAATCAATAAGTCTCGTTACCAGCATGTCCCGGGACCTTTCGGTGGAAGCTCCTTCTGCCTCTAAGGCAATGAAGTGCAAGTGCTCTCCCTCTCGGACTGGCAGGTAAGTGATGGAGGAAAAACATGACTACCAGTATCTACCACCATAATGACAATTGACTACTTCCTTTCTTTGCCCTAGCACCCAAAGTTTGGGGCCCATCTTATGCTGCACTGTCCTTTGTTTTGCACGTTGAAGGTAACTTCCTTCTCCGGCCAAAAAAACAAAACAAAAAAATACCCATCCGAGGCAGTAAGATGGAACACAGATCCTGTCGTACCTTACAGCTTAGGTTGCCTGTTGCCTTCCTTCACCTGCATCTGCCTCGGCTACCCAACGTATTGGGTCACCTGACATCGCCCCAACCGCAGAAGCCATGACGTCGTCACGTAAGGTTTCGCCTGTCAAAAAGGAAACCACACAACGTGCCACGTCTGCTTCATGACTCCGATCCGAATTCAGAGACACCTCGCGTAGGAACGGACACGATTTTGTTGAATCTAACTTGAACATTCTCTCAAAGGTCTTCGAATTTCACTTTTTGCAAACGCCCAATCCCCGTAGTTCCGTACTTCTCACACCTCGGCCAAGAGGTCTATCATCAACTATGCCTCCAATTCAAATCCATAGCGCCAGCCCAATCAACGCCTCTAAGGCTTCGGGGCCGACTCCGCAAACTGAACCGGCACAAGCTCAGGGCATTCCTGCCAACGCTGCTGGATTATCGCAAAATCCAGTTGGCGCGAATGCATCCTCAGCTACACACCAGCAACCATATCCGCCGGCACAACCTGGTGCCGCCCCATCTCTGCCTGTTCAGACAACCTCTGCGCAAGCATATCCCGTCCCACGTCCAACTCCAACGACGGCGACGGATGATGTCAGCCAACCCCCGCCGCCGCAGCCAGGTGCTGCCCCTGTGCCTTCAGCAGGCAAGTCGACGCTGCCTCCACCCCCAAAAGCGGGCGAGACCTACCAACCTCCAGCCCCTACGCCCGCAACTCAGGCCACCGTTCCTTATCCTCCACAGATGACCATCCCTCCCCCAACCATGTCGTATGCTGCTCAGCGAGGTTCTTCCACGTCCACCAACACTGCCTATGGACCTCAGATGACTGGACCGCAACCCATTCCGTTAGGAGGCGATCCTGCCTCTAGCCTTGAACACCCTCCAGGATACCAGCAAGACGTTAGTGCGTCCGAATTCAACAGCCATCAGAGAGCTGCCCATAATGCTGCGGTAGCATCGGCAGTGGAGAGAGGACCCCAAGCCCAGACAGACGAAGGTGTATGGGACACGGCAAAGAAATGGGCTGCGGCTGCCGGAGGCTCTCTTGTTGCAGCCGAGCAAGAGGTATGGCGAAGAATTAACAAAGACTAGAACAGCCTCAAGGGCCTCACCATAATTCATTTTCATTATCAAACCCACTGCCACCTCTCTAGGCCCAACAATCTACATATAGAAGGACAATATCATGAAGTTAACGAAAATCGATGTTCTGATTAGCCATTGGCTATATTTTGTGCGCTCTACTGATGTTCTTGGTAATATCTTTACGGGTCTCCAGCTTCAAGCATCAGATGTGCAGCCATGTGGCCCTCATCCCTAATTATTCCTTGTCCAGGTCCATCCATGACACGGTTTCGCACCAACGAGGTAGCGTCTGCTCGCTACTAATCCTCTCTGTCCACAAAGAGAGGTTCTACCGGAGTTGCTTTTGATCGAGAACTCCGAGACTGGCCTGTCTCGCGATCTGACACAGATGCGCTCAGAAGGAAGGAGCCGGGGAAACTATGGCATCTACTGCATGCTATTTACATCCCTTCTACTGTGCCGTGTTGCACTAATCTGATGCGCAGGCCACCGAAACTACCATCCTATCAAGCCAGCTAGTTCCCACTGTGCCGTCAAATGGCTGGTTTGACCCGGGCGATGGTAAACATCAAACACATCGATCAGTCTGATAAAACGCCGACTAACATAGCGTTCCACAAAGTTCATCGTTACCCTGCCCGCCCCTTTCCCCTTGCGGCTGTGGATGAGATCTTGTCAGCCTCCTCCAATGGTCCGCCCTGTGCTAAGTGCCTTGTATAGAGTCGAGTTGATCAGGAATCGATGGCGGGGTAAAGTCGCGTCATCATTGGCCTGTGATCTCCATATGAACCGAGTTATAGGCAGCGGCCACGGCTCGAGAGTTGGCGTAATTTCCCAAAACGTCCGAGGTTGTCATGCAAGCAAGACCATCAGTCCCTGTCAGCGGCCACTCCGGAAGACCCACAGAACAACTCATCGAAGGCTCGGTAGAAGCTAGCCAGCGGGTACCGCAGGCTAATGGAGGCCACCAGCGCGAGAGTTAGTCTCTCCGCACAGACATACGGATTCAAAGGTCCAAGATGGCTGGATGCTTTAGGACTTTGCAATCTGATCTTTTGGGGAAGGAGGGTTGGATCAGTGAGTTGTCTTGTGGCGTGCGACAATGTCCAGACGGAAGTCCGCGATGGATATCCTACTACGGAAGGCAACGCTAAGTTTCACTAACGATGGACAACACACAGAGCCCTATGAGAGAGTTTCTGGCGGATTGGGGATGTACATGGTTAGCGCCATGTCAATTCCCGTGGTGGTCGGATTGTCGCCAACGACTGGGCTCAACAAGCTTCAGCAGCACACGGATTGGTTCCTGTTGGCGATGATGGGCGACGGGAGCCACTTTACGCGTGTACAGCCAGTAAGACAGGTGGCAGCCCTAGGGTCTCGACTCGCGCCCGCAACCCAGGCCGTAATAGCGGGAGCAAGCGACTATCATAGGCTGATGGATTATGACTCTATTCGAGGAGATCCATGGCTGTGAGAGCTATAGCGGGCATCTATTATATGCAAAACGACTCTCCACCGACTACACAAATGGAAACCACAGGGTCGAGGCATTAACATGACGCGTGTTATTGCCGCCAACTGGCCGGTCAATCGCTGCATGGTTGGGCTTTTTCTGGAAGGTCTATTTGTTTCCGCGAGAACAGCTTGCTTTTCCTGATGGTCTCGACTTTCAGCCGGTTTTTCAGCTCTTGAATATGTGGCTCTCGGATAAGAGGCCCATATCGGCCCATCGTGGCACATTCCACAGGGCAGCCTAGAGCGGACAAGAGGACAAATCACAGCGTCCAGACGACGAGGTGGGAGCGGCTCGCTTCGGAGGCGCGTCAAGTAACGGGACGCAGGGCGATGGTGAGGGGAGAGGGATGGGGAGGGGTAGCCAGTCGCGAAGTCAGATGTGTTGGATCGTCAAGACAAGTGAACCATCTTGGCGCAAGAGCCAAACCGGAGACGTCTCTGCTACTCAGCCCGTCCAAGTACAGAGATGACGATTAAGGTTGCGGCGGATTACAAGCTGTAGGTGAATAGAGACAAGAGAACAGGACGCGGTGAAGAGGCCAGTTGGCCAGAGTATCCGATTCGATGTTAGTCTTGTGTGCTGTCTGGGAACTGGTTAGTTGCGGGCAAGTCTCACGTCTCATACAAGAGCCCCAAACGCCAGTAGCTGTGCGGGATGGCATTTGATTTGAATTCAATCATGATTTGATTTTTGGGGTCAAAGAGCAGGTTTTTACTTGTAGTCTCACAGAGGGGCGGATAAGTAGGAGACAAACTTCACAGACGCGCGACGACAACATCGGATCAGACTGGTAACGACAGAGTACGTAGTGAGCAGTGCAGAGAGGCCGCCGCCACCTCAGTGAGGAATTAAGGTGTGAGGAAGGATGAGGAGGACGAAATTGGCTCGGTATGAAGGTGTGCTGCAGTTCAGGCAGGTGCAAGGCCTGCCGAGTACGTACAGAAGCATATGAACAGGGAAAGTGGATGCGGCACATGGGGCGAGAGAAGCCGATTAACGAGCGAAACTTGGGCTGGCGCTGATTGAGCACCAAGATCGTGAGTACGGATGAAGAGCAGGTTAGGAGGGATGAAGGGTGTCGCTCTACCACGGCGACGAGGTAGAAAGACGGGGCGTTGACTGGCTGACTGGTTGGTAACTGACCAATGTCGCGGTGGGTTGACAACACACACAGGAGTGCGTAAGAAGGCAAAAAAGATTGAAGACGCGCGAGAGGTTGAGCCGGAGGATGATTGAGTGACGGAGACTCGGAGGAGGACTGTGGTCAACGGTCAACCCAGTCGAGGGGTTGAAGCGAGACAAGGGTGTGTCGTTCTGCGACAGATCTGAGACAGCTGCAGCCCCTGCAAAACCCCTGGCACTGCCCCCGCGTCCCCAGTGGACTTTGTGCAGTAGGTCGGCCCTAAATCCAACGAGTCACGGCACGAGTCAGCGGGATAATGGTGGGATTCGACACGCTGTTCAGGACCAGGAAAAGAAAAGCAGACGAAGGACCCGCTATCAGGGCCTGGTAACTGATTCCGTACCATGGCTCTCTTGGGTGGACAAACGACGCCTGGACCTGCCCCGAGTGGACTGTACTGTGGATGAAAAACGCAAAGGGGTGAGAACGAGGCGAAAGTCGGGACGAGCTAGAACATAGTATGTTAATGGAAATAATGGGTGGACGAAAGAAAATGGGGAACTAGAAGCGACATCGAAAAAAAGGAAAAAAAAAAAAGATGAGATCGGGAGCGGATTCCGCTGATGGTGCTGCTCAGAGCTAACAACAGTTACCAGGTGCCGCTGGCGCAAAGCTTGAGGTATTTTGCCTCGATGCGTACCACGTCGTAATACGGATACGCGATCTTGATCCGCACAGGGCTACAGCAGCCAATGGTCTGGGAGCTAAGGCAAGAAGAGAGCAAGAGAGGTGCCAATACTGCAGGCTGCAAGGCACACACAACGTCACCCACACATCCTTTTGCCGATAACTCACACAGCGCGGCAACCACTACTACTACCACCATCGATACTACGGCTTGGTACCTTACCATTCGACACGATACCACACCAGGCCACAACCAAGACACACACGACAACACATCCACACGCTCGCAGAACCCCCCCGTCCCATCCCCTGCATATGCTTACCTCAGCGACAAATCAGATTGCGTCGACTGGCAGCTCAAAGTCAACTTCAGACGTATCTGCTCCGTGCCACCAGCACCCAGCACGCTCACCAACCAACAATGTTGAGCAATGTCTGGTTCCATGGTTTCCGCGCCATATACCCTCCATCACTGTTGATATTTGATCAAATTTGTCGCTCTGACTCTGCTTCTGGCTCTGGCTCAGACGCTGGTTCTGGTCCTGGTTCAGGTGCTGCTCCTTCCACCCCATCTCTCATCTAGCACAATCCAGCCTCTCTCTCCTTTATGTTGCCGCAAGGTTTCTACGCACCGTCCTGTCGCTCGGCTGGAGACACGATGCCTGTCGCGTGGGTACTCTGCCCGTCTACCTTGTGCTGCCTGTTTTCTAGCCAACGCCGAAATTCTTCTTCCAAACCATGCCTGGCCAGATTCGAATCCACTCGCTGTCCTGAGCCAGGGTACAATATTCCATTTCTTCGAGTGGGCTGCAACAGGACCCCGATCGACCTGCCTGGAAACTGGAGCTGGACCTGGAACTTCTCCGTCTGACGCCCTCATCCACATGGTCCCGAGGCTCCCTCCTCTCGGCAACACTCCGCTCATTGTTACCCTGCCGCTCCGGAACGACGCAAGCCAGAGAGATATGGAGAGACGAACAGACGGTCATCCACTCACACAAGCGGGACTCTTTCATCACATCTTCCCCGATCTCCAGCTACGTGCGTGTGTGTCCTGCTTCTGCATGCTTCCGCCGGCTAACCTGCCTTTGCTTTAAGCTACGCCAAGGTGACCAGAAGTTGAGCTAATTCCAGCAGTGCCTGATGCAAGCTCAAGCTCCAACTGCTCATCAGCCGCGGGCGCCAATCCACTGGCCGATCTGATTACTGACATGCATATGCATCAATTCAAGCCGCGCAGCTACATAGGCCTATCTGTGCTGGTTTATGCCTGCTCTTCCGTTGCTCGTCATTGGCACAACGGCTGGACAAGAAGAAAGAAAGGGGAGAAAAAAAAAAGATGATGCCCGAGAGCGGATCTGCTGGAAAGGATAGGATGCCAGGTTCGTCATGTGGGGAGCCAGGGATTTGGCACAGTCGGGAACAGGCGTCATCCCTACTCCGCTGTCGCTGCCAAAACAAGAGCCCGACGTCAGGATTCTCTTGCCAAACACTCTCGTTCATGATCGTCGTACCCGGGCCTGATTGGCCCTGGGGACTCGTGGGTAAAAATCTCTAATGTGCTAAATGTACTTGGTTGCATCCACACCAGCTGCTACACAGACATTGCCCGAGGCCCCTCTTCATGGCCCCCATGCCCCCTCCCCCATTGGCCTGGAACGGGTACTGGGCTGCGGCGGATTTACCTTGCAGACGTGCCGTACTCGGCCTACTGACACTCCAGACAAGACGTATCGTATCATTTCGATACTTGACGGAGGTTCGTCCGTGAACCCTGTCTCTTGGTTGGTTTCCGCCGCCAAAGGTTGGAATGCAAAACTTGCGTGCGCGAAGAGACGAGAGCGAGAGAGGGGGAAAAAAATGACAGCACACCAGCAACAGCCGGACACCCAGACACACACCCCCATAATAACGTAGTTCAGGTTGATGTTAGTTTCGGTTCTTGTATCCAGTGTCCACCCTCACTGCCATGGCCATCGCCCGGTGCACTCGCACTCTCACCATGGTCAGAGTTGCCGGCCGGCCTCAGTTCTTTCTCTCCGATGGCCCCGTGACCCCCTTCTCTGTCCACTGTTATCCAGGGCCATGTCGCCACATGTGGGTGTATGGGATGAGACAAGCCACCTCCTCGGGAAGTATTTCCTTCGGATCGCTAGGGTCCTCGCCAAATCTCAGCCTTGATGGACCTAGCCGGAGACCACCGACGGGGCCTTTCTAGCTCATACGTCAAGTGCGTTTATCGTCGATACAGGGCGATAGAGTGGGTGGTCTCTCGTCCAAGACTGGTCCTGTATTTCGTCACAACGAATTTCTCTGCTACAAATCCACACTTGCACCGCCGCTGTGCACTGCAAAAGTATGGCGAAGGAAGGGGGACGGGGACGGGGGCTCAGAGATCTAGAAGGGGGAGGGGGTTTCTGACAAGGTTTTACAGGTGTATCCGTATGGATTAGCCGGACGGATGAGCCTCAGAAGTGAGTAACTTTGGAAGGTGCAAGTGAGCACACCATGCTAATAGGTATTTCCCTTTTTTTTTTTTTTTTTTTTACACCTTCCGCCCTCCTCTCCATCCCATCATTTCCTCGACTCTGACTGGTTAAATGGTAGATATTTTCATGGGCACTTCCCTTTTCATGGCTCTTAGTCTCCATTTCTCTTGGTTGTCTCACACCCCCCATCCTTTCTGATCGCTCTCAGTCCCTCGGACTCTCCACACCACCACCAACCTTCATCCTCTCATAACCCTCTTAACGTGATACTTACTGTACGGACTTTTCCCTCGATATTGTTCCCTCCCAATTGATAATTCCCGATAACGCCCTTTTGCGGCCCCGACTTGGTGCCATGTACCTGCCTAGTTCCCAACTTACCTTGCCTTACTTTATGACCACACATCTATCATCCAGGTATAGCCCTGTCGGTCTGTTTGATCCTTGTCCCCCGTCTTCCAAAAACAGCTGGCGGTAGGCCTGTCCCTGGTTCATCGGCATCTCACTCCCACACATCCACATCGACGAACAGATGTTACCTTGTCCACCACCAAAAGTCTACCCCTGCAACTCTCGCCCTCTTACTGAGCCTGGCCGAGTACTTTCTCGCACACCTGCCTCTGCCCCCCTCCAAGTTCACAGACACGAAGAGGTTTGTATCAGGGAATCCGGCTTAGCTCCAACCGACGTTCCGAACTTGACCGTGCAGAACTATTGGTCTGTTCATGGATGATGCTTCTTTTTCAACACTACTTCTTTTATACCTCCAGGATCCGTCTGCACCGCCCCTCGTCCTACCCTCTTCTTGCTCTCCTTTTGCGTCCCACTCACCAAGGCCTCAATGTCCATGATTCCCATCTCTAGTCACTCCTTTTTTTCCCTGAGCCTTGCTTGCTACCTATAATTTATTTTTTTTCTTTTTCGAGGGGGGCTACCTCTTCGCATCTATAATACCTACTCTCCGGGAGCTGGCTCTCTTCACCCCGTCGGACCTGGACGGCTAGCCAGCTACGCGCTCTCATCTTCATCCTTATCGAAGCATTCAAACGAGTTGCTAATCACTTGCAAACTCACCACGCTCCTTTTTATTTGACACGCCTATAAGGATCACTCGTATACAAATATATATACATATATACACACAAAGGCCACAATACACCAACAACCTCACTACTTATTCACGCTCTCACACACCTGTATCCACGGTCTAGTTGAGGACGGGAATCCCTACTGTCAACAACAACCACTGGCCCTCATCGCGAGGACCCGCTGTCCTTAACGCTCATCGTCATCCACCCACGTGCGAGGAAGAGGCCGGGAAGGAACCAAGGGGCAGAAAAGAAAGAGAGAGGAGCCAAGAAAGGAAGGGAAATCTACGCGTTCCCTACGGTACCCCCAACAAACACCACTACGCCGAGCCCATTACTCGCTGGATCCGGAGATTATTTCGTCTCTCTCCGCTCAACTTGGCCACTGCGCCAGACTCTTCCAAGTAAGTTCCATGGAGCCCTTCTTCGGCCTGTCGGATCGCACTCGTCGATACGTGGGCAGTGTGGACCCCCCCGACTGCCGTTAGATACAACTGCCACCCTTGGTGTCCCTCGTCCGAGGATCAATGCTAACAATCCACCGCCCCCCGTTCAGCATCAGGCCAATAATTGATTAACTGCACGCTTCCTTGCTCCTGTCTAAGCACCATGGACTCTGGTCAGGCACAGCTGTAGGCCCCATCCCGTCCCTGCAGCCTCCATCCTACATGACTTACAAGTACATTTTAGTCGGCAACAAATACACCAACCTTCCTTCATCTTCAATCCCAACAATAAGTTCAGAAGAGACGTTCCGCCACGCACAACGCCCATCCTCAACATGAACGGTAATGATATGCCCATCAAAAATGAGGGCGTGGGAGCGCCCGCCGGAGTATGGACGACACCGACGTCTCAAGGCATGAGGCCTCGACCTGCTACCATCCACGAGGGTTTCTCGTACAGCATGAGCGACGAGTACGGCACACTCCCATCGTGGGATTCGTCACCTCTCCCCATGCAGCAAACCCCCAGCGACGCCCTGTCTCGTCCCGTATCCGTTCACCAGCAAGACTTTTATCCCATGACGACAATGGAGAACAGTAAGTCGCCTTGTTGAGAGATCACCTCGTTTGCTAATCAATCGAGCAGCCTGGCAACAAAAGCCGTGTGATGACAGTTTCGAGTTCCAAGGGCTGGACACGGAGATGATTGGACAGGCCTATACGACTGACGAAGCCATTCCCGTTCTCGATCTGAGATACGGTCAGCAGCCCGAGGGCGAGTTCAACTTTGACTGTGGACCCAACCCAAGACGCATGTCTGGATCATCATTCACCATGTCAACATCGGGTGCGCTTTCCGACATGCCATCCTACGAGGACTTTTCCGCCGCTCTATCAGAGGCTCCCTCCTTCAGCTCAGACTATCCGCCGCCATCAAACCGCAACTCTTTGATGTCTTCCACTCAGTTGTCCCCTGTGGCATCCCCGCGGATGACGCCTCAAAGCCGATCTGAACTTGTCAGGACTCAGAGTCGCGGCAGAGCCTCTCCATCACCACGCCCGGGCATGCGATCTGCCCCTTACAGCGTCGACCGCGGAACGACCAAGAGATGGTCTACTGGATCGTACGGGACCCAACAGAACCGTCGCCAAACCCCGTTCGTATTTCATCCTGGCCATGACGCTTTTGGTGCCCATCAGCGCATGTCCTCAAGACACTCCTCGCCCACGATCCAGCACAACCAAGTCCCTCTTAACTTCACCAATTTGCAAGCCGCTCAACAGCACCCGTTCATGATGGCAGGCCCTCCGCAATTCCAGAGAAACAGCATGAACAGCATGCTGCTTCCGTCTCAACTGCCTTCCAACGGCTTCCCTCACCCTGATGCTCATCACTTCGAGGCGCCGCCACCATTTCTGTCCCACGGGCTCTTCCGCATGCTTCAGAGCAACGCGGACCCGCATTCCCTTCACAGCCATTACACCGACCTGTCTGACCCGCCCGACTTGTACGCCTCTCTGCACGAGGAGCAGGTCCCGCCGCCCCCAGAGGACATGAATCCATCTGACCCTGATCTGGTTCCCCATGAGCAGGAGCTTCGTTTTGAGGGCGACCTGTACACTCCCAGATGGGTTCGCGGCCATGGCAACAAGCGCGAGGGTTGGTGCGGAATCTGCAAGCCCGGTCGCTGGCTAGTGCTTAAGAATTCGGCATTCTGGTATGACAAGTCCTTCACCCACGGCATCAGCGCCGCCACTGGAAACCCTTTCCAAGAGCCTCAAGAGACACGCCGGATGGATGGCAACCCAGACGTGTGGGAGGGACTTTGCGGCAGCTGCAATGACTGGATCGCGCTCGTGAGCAGCAAGAAGAAGGGTACCACGTGGTTCAGACATGCGTACAAGGTAAGTAATACCGCGGCCACCAGGGCCAGAACACTGTGACGTGTCACACTCAGTCCAACTAACACAAATCACCACTAGTGCCACACCCACCCTAAGATCAAGGATGCCCCTAAGCGTCGACGGGAAAGTAGCCACAACCGCGCCCTAGCGGCGTCACAGATGGCCAAGCCAAAGGTCGAGCCGCAACAGGTTCCTCCTCCTATGCCACAGCAGGCTCCCATCACTCCCCAGATGACGCCGTCGGCGGCTTCGGCCACCAACACGCCAACACCGGCGCAGATCCCGCAGATTCCGCAGATGCAGCAGCAGCAGCAACAGCAGCAACAACAACAGCAGCAGCAGCACCTTCAACAGGTACCGCCGATGCCCCCCCAGATGCACCAGGGTCAGATGGGCCATGGTCAAACCCAGGGCGTCATCAATCCTATGGAAGGCATGCCTGGTATGATTTAGACTGCTGTTTGCGTTTTTTGGTCTTGAGAGTCTTTTGCACAAACGTACACGACTGATACCACCTATTTCCTGTTTCAAATATTCCCTTTGTCTCTACACACTCGACTACCTCTTAGCCGCAGCGCGTGCTGCGGTACTTTTTCGAAACGTCGTCACGAGAAAAAAACTTTCAAACCCTCTCTTGCTCAATACGTTTTCCCCGAAACTTCATCACGAATTTATGGAAAACAACTTATCTATAGAATGGGCATCATGGGATACCTCTGGAGGATGGGTTTTTTTTTGGGGGGGCTTAGGGTGTTTTGACGCTTTTTTAGTTGCTGGAAGGAAGGGAAAGAAAATCTGTCGAAAGAGAAGGGGAAAGAGAAGAATATCATGACGATTCCACAATCTACTACTACTACTACCTATCACCTTACTTCCCTCCATCGACAGCTTGGATCTTATCCCTTTCCTTTGATATCACGTATTCTTCATATTTCATGCGACGCAAAGCAATTAATGCCCCGATAAGAGGAGGACTTCACACATACACACGCACACACATTTCAATGAATGCAGGAAAATATCGCAATAATGGCCAGTCACATTTATCACTGACAAACACTACGGAAGAGGATTACGGGGCCAGTTTTTGTCTTGTTCTCGCCTGTCAATGTTTTTGCACTCTCCTGTTTTAGTATGGTTTTCTGTTTATGTTTTATTGCACTTTATTCAACAACCCCTTTTTACACCGCCTCTTCCAAACTTAATCGTAGATAGCTAAATCTCTGCCAGGTTCCCCAACCCAGGCTCTTTTATGTCTTTTGTTAGTTTATGTGGCTCTTTGTCTTTTTTCTTTTTTTTTTTTCCTTTTTTCCCCCCCCCTTTTGTTGAGTAGGAAATACCATATGATATCAAGGGGAGGAAAAGGTGGAAATTTTGGGGATCTTTTTTCTCTTCCTTTTCTGGTTTTTTTTTTTATTTTTTCAGACTTCTTCTGGGAGGTTTAGGATGGCAAAGGAAAAAGGAAGGAAGAGGAGGATATTCCCATGGTTAAGGAAGGCAAATATCATCACGGCGAAATGGTCGGGTACACACACTCACGAGTTTGTGTTTGTGGGATGGGGACAATGGGCACTTTGGGAGGCCGTCGTCACTGTACGACTTTTTCTCGAAGACTGGGCACTAAAGGGGGTTTCTTGCTTGTTGAACCTCGGGGCAGCAGCAGGACCAACGTAGTTAGAACCTTTTTTATTTTTTCTATTTTTTCAATAGTTTGCTTTTGGGGAATCACACGGTCATTTCAGAACTGCTGTCTTTCATAGACACACTTTTTCGGGGGTTGCAAATTGTGATGTACGAGTCTGGGAAGGGGGTTGGTGGTGATCCGGAAACATCCCGTTCACGACCCTGCCGTCTACTCTTTTCCCCGTATGTAAGTCACAGAAAAGGTCGGGGGTTGTTTTTCTTCGGCATTGCGCTTGTACTCGTAACCACGTTTCTCGTGACTGAACCTACGTGGTCTTTCACTTGTCGTGTCAAGGCGCTTTTGCTATGACTCCTCAACTGCCCTAAACCCCGCCCTTAGTCCGCGTATGGTAGGTAAACACCCCATCATTCTAGACGTGAATCGCGATGACAGTCCACGACGCGCCGGAGAAGCCCATAGTAAGAAAAGCCGAAGGGAGGGCCCCCCTCCTATTCTGCCCACACCCTGGTTCTTTACCAAGTACGACCGGCGCGGCTCAGGGGTATGACGGCACTGGACAGGGACTTTTGATGGCCGGGGGGAAGGACAAGGGGTGGAGGATTTAGCATTCGACTGGTTCACGGTGGCCATTTTTGCTTGGATTCGCAGCTTCACTCGCGAGATCTGGGGGCAAGGATAACAGGACGGGGGGGAGAGAGGGGTTGATAGGAGGGAGGAACAGGAGTCGGAAGGGCCCCGGTGCCCGATGTGAAGATCGGTGGAGGTGTTGGTTGGCCGAGACTGTGAGCGGACATGGAGCCGGGGTCCCATCTACTCGTTGTCATCCCGAAAAGGGGATGGTTCAGGAACAATATCTCCATCTGCCGATGGGGCCAGGCACGAGCGGACGATATACCACGATGTAGAGCCGGAAAAAAAAAAAAAGTTCCTAAAGGGGCGTAGATAGCCTCATGAGAATGGGCAGAATGCCTGTCGACACCAAGATACACTATATACTACGTAGTAGTCAGGGGGGTTAATAACAGGGGCAGAAAAAGGAAGAGAACATCAGATCAGGCACCAAACAAACCAAGGAGGCCAAGCCAAGAACCCGGCATGGCCGGCGAGGAAAAGGGCATGACGGGGTTCGGTGTAGTGGAGGCTGGCCCCGATGGGAGACATCGTCTGGTTCGCTTCGGGTGCTCGTCGCCGACGTCGACCGAAGCGGAAGGCATGAAAAGTGGCTTGTTATGCCTAAGAACACAATGCATTTGCGTCCTTGAAGTGGTGTTTTCTTTCTTCTTCCGCAAGGCCAGTTCAGCTGGGGGCTGGGCGAGACGTCGCTTGCATGGCCGGGGACTCATAGGCATGGTGTTGCGGTTCCTATGATCGACATAGCCCCTCGAAATGCCTGCGCTCCGCAGAAACAATTGCCGATGCAGCAGTTTTCCTCAAAGGGGGAGAGGTTGGGTTGACGGTGGTTGCTGGAACCCAAGTCTTGAGATGGCCAGGGAATGCCATTCATATGCGTGACGGGGCAGGTCAGAAATCCCGTACGCCTACAGAGTGAGCTGCGCAACAACCTCGTTTCGACAAAAGACGGTATCTGGCGATGACAGGCAAAAACTCGGCATCGGAGACCTAACCCGGTTACCCCTCTCTCGTGCGAGCCCGAGGAGACCGCTCGGGTGCCGGGGATCTTCCAGGAACGCTTGCAAAACTTTTTTTACTAGCGCTTCTCTTTTACGGTTGTTTCGATTCGATGATTATCCCGGAAGAAGATCGATTTGGCAACATGACGAAAAAGGGGATTTTACCACGGCGTGTAGTACGAGAAATAGAGGCAGTTGGGGGCGTGTGTAATCTCCCAAATTCATGCGTCTCGACCGGGAGACCCCGCCAATATGTAGGTACCCGGGGGGAGCAGAGCCCACAGGCACCGTCTCCTATTCTGGCAGCCAGCGATGACAGGCCGCTGATCGTGCTTATTCTTGCCCTAGAATAGGCGATACAAGGATCGACTGCGGCTTCGGTTCCAAGCTTGTGGTATCGCTGATCGTCCCTTTTTAGTTCTTGTTGCTTCTCCATCATGTCCACTTCGCGGCCACAGCGAAGACGAGGGTCGTATCCGGATTCCAGGCGCACAGGTTACGGAAGGGGGTAGGGGAAAGGGATGGGATATGCCAGGCAAGCAAAAGGGGGGGGGGATGATCCGTACGCGGGCCAGAACGACTGGAGAGAGAGATTTAGGACTCATCTCATACCCTGGTCCTGGGATGGAAACCCGAAAGATCGCCACCTGCCACTGTTGAGGTCTTGAAAGTGTATTGCAGCGTCTCGAATCGCGCAATGTCCCGTGCAGGAAAGGAGTTTGAAGAGAGTGATGAGAATGTCGATTTCTGGTAAGCAGAGGCTTTTCTGGTACCTTGCATTGTACGGAACATAGAGAATGAGAGACAACTTAGTACCGCTAATGGGCCACTCAGTGGCATGCGGCTGCAACCACTTAAACCCCTTGCAGCAGAAGTATCAGAAAACGATTCGCTGACTATGGGAGGGGAACCGACCGCAAGCTGATAAGACACGTGCTAGGAACACCAATGGAAGGCATTACAGCTCAGTCGTCCTTGCCCAGTCGATTTACGTGCCTTATATCGTATATCAGGTTGTTCCTGCCCCTGAATTTGACAGAAGCCTGTCACTAATGCATGAGTAGCATTGGTTAGGGTGAGCGGGGAAATAAAGGGACTGGCATGCGCGACGCCAAAGATGTCCAGGTCCAGCGCCGAATCTTCACCTGTGTCATCCCGAGGACCATCCCGAAATGACAACCGTCATTGGCATTTACAAGGATGCCGGCCGGCCGAAAAGAGAATTTGCTGGATGGCTGGAGCTGGGAGATTACTCTAGTAGTGCTTGGTCAAAGGTGAATGGACAGTTGTTGGTTACCCCTCACTAGCTGCTGACGGTGCAGATAACATCACGCATTGTCCTATTGGAGTAGGCGTTGACGTACGATTTTCCGAGCTGTATCCTCCAATTGGGTGGGTTGTAACGTATTTAGAACGGCTCGCTGTGGTATGGATGAGTGGCTGCTTGATGCAATCTCCTAACCATCCGTAATTGTGCATATGCTGACTTGCGCAGGTACAGCTCTAGTCCTAGGCTACGTCTGACGGATAGACTGTAAGTGCCAATGAACTTGGGTTCCAGTATGCACTTTGGCACGTACAACGCAGTTCATAGGAACCGCATTCTCTTCTGCGGTCTTCACACTCGAGAAGAGAGACCATGAAGAAGCATTGGTGTGCGTAGGCATAGGTATCCGTTGAGTGTTGGTATCGCTGCCTCCGATCTTGCTGCAACAGATATTGAGTATACAGGGTCGAGGAATGTTAAAGACGCAATTCAAGTCAAGCGCATAAAGGCCCATGAAGAAGGGATGGCCAAACACACACACACACACACACACACACACACACACAGAGTTGCATTGTTATATGCTCGACATGCCATTTGGCATGATCGTCATGGTTGAGCCTCATCGCCGGAAAGTTAAGAAATGATGAGTCCCGCCGGGCCGTTGTCTCGGCAACATGATTTGGCCACTGAACTTGAACTTCGAATACTGTCAAAGAATATTCCGGAAAGGGAGTTACGAAGCGAAGTATGTGATGACTTTTCGATTGATCCAAAACTCGAGGAAGCGTTAACCTGGATTGACGGCCGCCTTGGCATTACTATAAACCGATGAAGCTGAGACAACACGGCAATTGCTGGGGTTTGCGTTTGTAAACCTCCCGAGCATGTGAATTCCTCGTGTCATTGTGTCGTTAACATGTCAGTGGCATGCAGCCATCAACAGTACAGATATAGCCCACAATGGGCACCCAAGGAGTTTGACCGAAACAGAACGATGGAAAGGGTCACCAAGCCTCGAGTCACTAGCCTGTGTGAAAGAGCCGAGGGACTGTTGCCTCGTCTTCAGGAGGCTCAGATAAGTTTCTGGACGCGCATGGTCTTTCTTGGACGTTGCTCGAAACCTTTCGTCGTCAGGGGGAATGTCAGAAGGCAAAGCAAAAAGAGTTCAACAACTGAGAGAATAGCACGGAGATGGTTCGTGGCGGAGTCGCCAACATCAATCAACCCTTGGAAGAATCAATAAATATTTCGTTCCATCCCTGGTTAGTCGTCCATTCAACGTCTGAAACTCCGGGCCAGACGAAGGGAGGCGGGAGGAAGAATGGACACAAGACTAGAAAATTCGGGGCGAACGCCTCGGCAACTGGTCGATACCGGATGTGTGGTCAGGCTTCCGTCATACATGTTGGTTGTCTCTCCAACCGATCGATTAGACATCAGAAGATTCAAAATGGATTCTACGGAGACCTACGGTAGGCATTGGTTGCACCAGAGAGAGCACAAACCCATGGTGTCAGCTTTCAGCAGGATTCAGGTGGCCCCTAAACGACGGGGATTTATCGCCAAGCTACTTTGCGCGTTATTCATCTCGGCCCAGGGTGAGTGAGGGTGCTCGATATGGTAAACGGATTGGTGAGCGCAAGTGGTATCACCACCGCATTATCGACCAATGTTTCGGTCCAATGGTTGGGGTTCTATGGCTAGTCCTCGGTTTCTCTCTCCCCTATTTTACATATGCCTCGCAGTCTGGCGTGGTGGGACAGAAAGCAAAGACGACCTGAAGAGCACCAAGCCTAGCTGGGCCATAGCCCCTAGGGTGTAAGTCCATGCACCTGCAGGAATGGGCTGGACAGGTGACAATAGGTCGAGCGAACAGCAACCACTGCCAATGATAACTACGACTAGACAACATGGCAGCTGCCAAAGACCACTCATTCCCAAGTCAACCGTGCCTTTAAACCAAGCTAGGTAGCTAACTCGAAATGGCCGACGGCGTAGTACATCCTCCAGAGCCAAAAACCCGTGTAGAAATTTTGATGTGACGATGACGAAAAGATGCGTAGTGGTGGCACTGCAGCCCTGCCACTGAGACACCGGTGCTTTCATTTTCAATCATGACCATCTTTTGCGTTGAACTAATTCCCATTAACACCCTCCCATCCACCCATTCCACATCCTTCGATGACGACCTGGCAACCCCTCATCCAAAACCTGGACTGGCCGCCTAAAAGCCCCCCAAAGTAAGGTATGGTATGTCAGCGGCAGGCGTGTGTGTGTGTGTGCGTGAGTCAAGGCGGCGCTGCGCTACCAGACTAGTCTGGTTGGTCTTTTTTTCTTTTGTCCCTGTCTCCGGAGGGACATCTCCCTAAGTGTCCCAACGTTCCCCGCCTTACGGTGCATCAGCACCACCAGCAGAAGCAAAAGTTGCGAATTATATGACCGTGTTTGGAAAAGTACCTTGCATGGCGCTGCGTGAGATCCCTTCCGCATCGCATTTGGGCATTTCGCTTGCCCCAGTCAGCCGAGCCGTTGCAACCAGCAACCGTCTCAGCAGTTTTTGGACGTTGAACAAAGGATACCAGACTAAGAAAAGAAAAGGCGTTGCTCAGTCAGGACATGAAGCAGCGGGCCCTTTCGCCCTCCTACGGCTTCTACGGCCCCGGGCACGGATACGTCAGGTCTCGTTCCAGCGCAATATCTATGCCCTCGTAGGGAAATCCTCGGAGGGTAATGTGGTATAGACAATACCTAAATCAGAGCAAGTCGGGTCAAAAACAGGTCAGGGCAAACCCATTTAGTTGGAGGGCTGATGATTCGCATATCTTGACGGGCGGGAAACATCGAGGGGTCCCGAGACAAGTACATACCACGCAGGAACATCCTTGAAGCAGCCCTTTCTTCAGCCCCTAGAGTTCATCACATCCTATCATCAGCTCCTCCCTATTGCAGTAGCTCCAGCAGTAACAGATAGTACCTTCGTGTTAGCCGCCACTAAACACCAATCTCGGCGTGAGGTTTCTGATGCCCTCTCCCCTTCGAAAACACGCGCACATACACACATACTCCGTATTTCTTTCTCTCTCCTCTTGCGCAATGGCTGGCCGAACCTACAGCTGCATAGAATTGTTTGTACCGGATGCTTCATCTGCGCATTCAATACATTCCGTTCATGCGCTGCAGGTAGCTCGGACGACACCAACAACGACAACGACAACGATAACCGCGCCAAGTGCAGCGCCAGTTGTAGCTTACAAGCCCGTCGCCGCTAAACCTTGAAACCCTGAATACCAGAACAGGCACTGATACAGCCAGTGGGAAACACCTGACATGTTGCCACCATCTGTGCGGGAAACGGCCTCGTTGGATCTGCCTTCCATCTGAACACTTCACCCCGTCAGTGCGCTCGAGCCGGTCCAGCGATCAGAGCCTGACTCTACATTTGTCCGGATGCTCGAAGACCCTTCCAGCCTCCCTGCTGAGCCACCCCGCCCTAGATCCCGAATTCCTCCCCCTCTCCACTTGTTCTGTTCTGCCCAGTCCTGCTGGCATGCAACTCAACGTCGAGAGAGACATTGGAGACCTGAAAAGCTGGGTGCTCGAATTCGACCTCAACCGTAGGTCGCTCCGGCCAGCCTAGTAACACTGTCGTTTCGTTTAATAGGCTAGCCGTGCTCGCTAGTACTGGCACTCAGGGACCCCCTAGCAGCACTGTGATTGAACCATCTCTTTCCACCCTATTGCCTTGAAATTTAGCAGTGAAGTCACACAAACTGCGCTGTGCTCCACTGGACTGTGCTGCTGTCCCGGCTCCCTTCCGCCAATGGTGTGGGTGTTTGGCAGATACGTACTCTCAATGACCTTAACTTGAGGTACATGCACACCTAAAGTACCGATTTTTTTCTTTCCTGCACAACTCCAACGAGTCTCTCCAACGACGGAAGACCGCCTCTGCCTAGCCTGATCTTACGTACCTTTACCTAACAGTGCTCCTTCTCCTCCTCAATCCTGCCTGCAGGTACTTCGATGTTACCTACCTACCTTTTACCGTGACCTCCCGTTTTCCATTCCCCTTCCACGGTTAACGATTGGCTATCAAACGCTCCTTACATCTCTCTCCCTCACTCGCTCTAACCTGCGCTCTCTCTCTCTCTTTCTCTCTCTTGTGCTGCCTCTTCCGAAGCCGTCTCCTGTTGGAAGCGCTGTACTGACAGACAAGACCCTGCTTTCCTGTCTTACGACTCTGACGACTAGATCCATCTGCTTCTGTAACCTATCTTTCCACTGGTATGCTTGCCTCCTCCTGACCGCATCCCACGGACCTCTCTGCTTGCAAATCTTCCCTCCCGCAACTACCAACCTCCCAGTCTCAAGTCCAAGCGGCCATTTTTTGCTCACGCAAACCTTTGAACTCCAGTGTAATGCTATTGTCATGAATCTACGGCCCCACGAGCTTCTGTAATGATCAATGATATACGAGCCTGAAGCCGCCCCCGCCTGAGACGCTACCTTCACGAGCCGAGTCTTCGACAGCCCTTGGTACCACCCCTCATCTTCTCCAACTGGACGATTGCGATTTGATATCGATATTTGGTCATACTGGGAATACTTCTGCCTCATCAAGCCTCGACAATCCCGTTTGCGAAGGTGGTTCCTGTCATGTTCGAGTTAGGGTTGTGTGAACTACAGTAGAATTGCTATGAGTGGGGATCAGCTGGCTTCCAGGCAAGATTTCAACCAAACCCAACCCCATTCATGTTGGTCTTCTGTCTCCCACCAGGCCGACAGATCAACAGGCCGCCTTACTATCAGAACTCCTCTTGGCTAACTTGAAATATTGCTTGCAGCTTTGGAAACCCAAACGCTCAGCCGCCCACACCCAAACAGACCCCAATCTCTGCCGTTTTCCCGAGTCCCGTCTTCGAAACTCCCAAGCAACGACAAGGTCACTTTGACGACGTCGGTGGGTGGACACCTCGTTTTGCTGAGGAATACTCCGTCTTCAACACCACTCCGGGCAATCTCAGAGGATCCCAAGGCCCGTTTGCCGAGTTTTTGTCCGCTACGGCATATCCCCCTTCGACCAGTCTGAAGAGACCCTTGTCTGCCGAAAGCCTCGCCGCTCAGATAGCGTCTCATGCTAATCACCTCTCGCCCAACCCGACCTTTCCCTTGCCGCCGGTTGACCCCTCTCGACGATTGCCTTCTTCACCCAAACCCCCAATCGAGCAACCGGAACTTTCCAGCCAGAAGAGCACTGAGGCGGCCACCCAAGACATAAATTTGACCAAGGCGAGAAACAGAGAGGGTGCCGCGGACCTAGACGGGCAGACAGCCACTCCTCCCCCATCTTCCCACAAGGGTGGGCGGAAGCTTGCGTCAAAAGCTCACGTCGACAATATGCAGAATGACCATGGCTACGGCCAGCCAGACTTTTCCGGTACCCCACAGCAGCCCAACATGGCGTTTGTGACTGCCACCGACATGTTCGGCTACCCCATGTCCGCACCAGCAACCGCTCCGACGAGCTTCTGGGACACAAGCGCTGACATGTCAGGCATGGATATCGATTTTTCTTTTGGCCCTAGTGTTTTTCAGACCTCGACCCACCGTCACATGCCGTCCTTTGACGCCTCTCAAATGTTCCAGGAAACTGTTCCCCTTCCGCCAGCAAATAACCAAGAAAATGCTCAACTGGCTAAGCGAAGCCGGCCACTAGCCCCCAAACCTCTCATGTCTAATGTTCATTCCAGTTCTGCGGATATCTCCATGGCCTCGGCGTCGTTCACAGCATCGGTGGACGACCCTTTTGGTATTGTTAGCCCTGGTGCAGGAGTGGATCCCGGCCTGCTGTTCAGCAGACCATCGTCTTCCTCCAACATGGATACCAACATTCCGGTGACCCAAGGCTCCGCACAATTTGCTTTAGCTGCAGCAGCAGAAACTCAATCAAGAGCGCCAATGCATGGCGGAGACATCCGCCGTTCCTTCAGCACAAGGGAGCTGGCACCCAGTAAAATGCCAGAGCCAATGTCTGGAAGCTCCCCTTCCAAGTCACATGGGCGACTCAATGGCCTCCAACGAAGCGTTAGTGAAAATCGTGGTCGCCGTGGGCTGGCAAAGGCAGCGTTGCCCACACTGGCTCCAGCCATCCAACCTAGACCGCAGGCCAACACTGGCCCTGTAGTAGGGCCTAGCCGGCCACTCAGCCGACCTTCAGGCAGGATCTCACCTCTTAAACAGCAACAATCTCGACTTTCGAGTCTGACAGCGATACCTGAATCTTCGAGCCCACGAACCCGAACTTCCGTCAAGTTCACCATTGACTCAAAAGGCAGAGCACGAGCTGAAACCACCATGGTTGTGGACGAACCTAGACCAAGTAGCACACAGGCAAGACCTGTCGTGCGGGAGATGCCCCGTAGAGAGAAGAGCTGGGACTCTGAAGATGACGAGTCCTCGACAGACGACGAACCCATCATCATTCCCAGCCGAAACGCCTCTTTTGCGCTGCCTGACCCTCGCCGGCCTACCTCGGCCTCCATGTTCCACTCATCCCGCAGAAGCGTAAGCGAACATAGCTCAAGCAGCCACGGTGCATCGATATCACATCATGATGCTGAGAGTGAAGCCGAGACGGTGATGAACGATGCGCATGGCAAGGGTGGCGATGCTGCAAGTGAGCTACGGAAGCTGGTCGAGAGCCGACAGAAGCGAGGGCCTCCAGCGCCGGGCAGTCAACGATCGCAACGATTCGTATCAGGCAGTTTTGGGAACTTCCAGGGAGGCCTGATGTCGCCAGGTGCACTGACAGAAACCAGCTTGCCGTCGCCATCAAAGGCTACTTACAACGTGCGTTGTGTCTGCAGGAATGGCGCAGACCGACCGGGAGAGTATATGGTTCAATGGTATGACACCTAGTCCATCTTGATGACACATCCGGTGACTTTTCGATGGCTAACCACCCTACTAGCGAGTCCTGCGAGATGTGGCTCCATGGCTCGTGCATTAAAATCTCGCGACGAACTCTTCCGACTGTATATATATGTGCATTCTGTTCAAACACCCCCAATATGCGAGGCGGCCGACTTCGTGGTAATGGTCCAGTGCTAGGCTCGTCAGGGGCGAGCCCCTTGGCTCGTAAATCATTCCGGTAGCTCATGGCTAGTCGAGCCCTCGACGTAATAACCAAACTTTCGACGTTCTAAAGACGGGCAAGAGAAGGGGAAAAATGGGTCTAGAAAGAGGACGGGCAATCCATCATCAAACCATGTGGGATATTGATGAGTACATATAATACCCGAGTACACACTTGCAACATAATGAAAAAATAAACATGAAGCGATGCATACTTCGAAATGATTTCATATTCCTAGGGCGATATCGACAGCGCCCCCAGCCTCCGAGACTCGTGACACATCGAGAAGACTCAAAATAGTAGGGAATGTGCATTGTTGCTGAACACGTCCCCAAAAGCCATGTTAGAACTCAATGCCGCTTCTAGCCAAGCACAGTTCCTTGCGCAGGGGGCCAATAACGCAGTAGATGAGCATAGCTTTTCAATGGCAATCTCGAGGGTAATGGGGAGTTATCATGTGCAACTGTTAAGTTGTGGGGCGTCGAATTCATGAAAGAAGTGAATGGCATGTGGCGGGCCATCGTCCGTCCCGTATGTCAATGGCGGGCACCTGTCAAACTAAACCCTTGCTAAGTTATATTAGTAACTTTCCGTTTATCAAGATAATCTAATTACCGTCTTGCCTCACAATGTTGTCGTCCCGAGTGCTAGCTGTTGTTAATATATGGTTTTTGCGCAATCATGTAGGCTGAACTGGCACTCCGCTCGCTGTCTGCTATATAGTTGGAACAGCAGCGCTACATGGTCTTATACTGTTCTTTCCTGATGTCTCGAGCTACTGATACAGCCAGGTTATGAAAAGAGCCTATGATGAGGCTATTCGTTCCCCTTTCCAGGTTAGGACAAATGTCCGTCTTGGCGAGAGCATCCAGGCGAATACAAGGCTAACCAGAATACACAAACGCAAGGTTCGATTTGTACAATCCCTCTGTGAACGCAGAAAGGGCCACTCACTACTCAAAGCAATTGGATTGTCGTAGAAGCTATACCACAAGAGAAAAGATGAGCAGTACAGTAGCTATATCTTTGTGGTCATCTGTTTGTGGGAAAAGCCGCTTCATTGCAAACAACCTCGGAAAAGCCGCCAGAATCAGGGGCACACATTACGGCAACAAGAACGGCACTGCCATGGGTATTACTCGGCTTGAATACCCCCGAGCAAAGTGGACGAATTAGCATCGTCTTCGCCGTAGACAAGGCCGGAAGAAGGGGAAATTCTGGGGCGCCGGGACGAACCGGCGCCGAAAGAAGCCAAGCGAAGCCCCGATGCCTCGTGGGAGTGTGTTGGAGAGCAGCGGGGGCGCAGGCTGAAGCGTGAAGCTATCCCTCCGACTTCGGAAGGCGGGGTTGGGACTGCGCCTAAACTTTTTAAATCTTGTGCTGGATGCGGGGCAACAGCTCACCTGTTTATCGGAACGGAGACTCATCTGGCGTGCCCGACTTTCTTCTCTCCTTTTTCTTTTACACCTGTCCAATTACGCCCAGATACCCTTTCTCCCAACCCGAAGTTTCAACACGACTTTCTATTTTCAACAAGGACAAAATGGCGACGCATAACATTGTGGTGTTTGCCGGTGACCACTGCGGTCCCGAGGTGAGTGAGCTCGAGTCGTCGACGGCCGAGGTAGCAAATGAACGTGTAGCTGACGAAACTCTGTTCTAGGTTGTCGTCGAGGCAGTTAAGGTATGCTCACCGGGCCACCCGCGACCAAAAATATCGTGCATCGTGAAGCTGATCAATGTTTTTTCACCGTCCCACAGATCCTCAAGACCATTGAGGCCAACAGCCCCTCCGCTGGCAAGTTCAACCTCCAGGACCACCTCCTGGGTGGTGTAAGTCCTTCCGAATCTGCCCGACGCTTAACCCCGAGTAGCAAACTGACCGAAGAACCCACCAGGCCTCCATTGACGCCACCGGCTCCCCCCTCACCGACGAGGCTCTTGCCGCCGCCAACGCTGCCGACGCCGTACTTCTTGGCGCCATCGGCGGTCCGAAATGGGGCACCGGCGCCGTGCGCCCCGAGCAAGGTCTTCTGAAGCTTCGCAAGGAGATGGGTACCTACGGTAACCTGCGTCCCTGCAGCTTTGCCTCGGAGGCCCTCGTCGACTTCTCTCCCCTCAAGGCTGATGTCTGCCGTGGCACCGACATGGTCATCGTCCGCGAGCTGACTGGCGGTATCTACTTCGGCGAGCGTAGCGAGGACTCCGGTGACGGCAAGGCGTGGGACACTGAGCCCTACTCGCGCGAGGAGGTCGAGCGTATCGGTCGTCTGGCCGGTTTCCTGGCCATTGCCCGTGGCGAGAAGACCGTTTGGAGTTTGGACAAGGCCAACGTACTGGCCACCAGCCGTCTGTGGCGCAAGGTCATCACCGAGCTCTTCGAGAGGGAGTTTCCCCAGCTCAAGATCGAGCACCAGCTTATTGACTCTGCGGCCATGCTGCTCGTCAAGAACCCCCGTGCCCTGAATGGTGTCGTTGTCACGAGCAACCTGTTTGGTGACATCATCTCCGATGAGGCCAGTGTTATCCCTGGCAGCATCGGTCTGCTGCCCAGTGCCAGCTTGAGCGGCATCCCCGATGGCAAGGGCAAGTGCAACGGTATCTACGAGCCCATTCACGGTATGTTTTTTTATGCGCCAATGATTCGATTTGAAAATGGCATGCTGATGTAGCACACAGGCTCTGCCCCTGACATCTCCGGCAAGGGCATTGTTAACCCTATTGGCACCATTCTCTCCGTCGCCATGATGCTGCGCTACTCTCTCAACCTGCCTAAGGAGGCCCAGGCCGTCGAGAACGCCGTCAAGGCAGTCATTGACAACGGCCTGCGGACGAAGGACCTCGGCGGCAACGCCAGCACCAAGGAGATTGGCGATGCCATCGTCGCGGAGTTGACCAAGGCCCTCAAGGCATGAAGAGGGTTCCACATGTAACGGCTGACGAGGAATGAGATTTTTTTTGGATGCTGTCTCTTTTTTAAATTCTTATTTCTTTTTGCGAACTGGAAAGTCGGAAAACCGGAGACCGGAAAAGTAAGACAGTTTGGCGTGCGGAGGCTCTGTATAGCTCGCTACGTACCGCGAGAAACTGAGGTAGAGAAAAAAGCTCAGTTAAATAATTGTCCAGTGGCTTTCGGGTTACTGAGAGGAAGCTTGAGGTGTGAATGTCGTAGGTGGTAGGTGAGATAAATGACTTTTCTCATTTTTGCTTGGGTTCGACATGTTTGCAGCTATCGCCATAGTATGTAAATTGCCTGACGTGCTTAGATGGAACTGCAACTCTTTTTGAGACATCTTCCGACTTCTACGATAAGCTGCAGGAACTATGAGTATGGTATTGGAGGCCAGCAACCTTTGCGGAAACCAACTGTCAGTCACTTGTACTTGACTAAAAGCAGTTACGTCTGATCACTGACGCCAAACTCTTAACATCAACAATCATCTGGGTGCAAATTGCTCAGTACAAGTCGTGATATATGTTCTCGCAGAGGTTTTAGAAGAGACTTGCTGGGTTTTATCTCCTTGCTCTTTGTCTTCTTAGTCAAGGACTGCATCGCAACATTCCGTAGGCTGCGCTCCTCTTTCCCTGGATCTACCAATCCGATTCTTTGGAGGCCACAGTCCTGGGAAACAGTTTGGTTTTGGAGAAGGTGTAAGGAAGACGGGCGCATGGCTAATTTTCAGCTCGGCTTGTACCTCGGAACAGCGATTTGTTCGAGTTGGATACACCGCGCGGTTGGTTTCCATCCTGGCATGGTCCGGCAACACGCCTAGTTCACCAGAATATATCGTGATGATCGAGTGGTCTTTCTGGGACCTGAACATGTGATGTATGATGCCAGTATGGTCATCCTTACTATCTCACGTCAAGCCGAACACTCTATTAATGATATTCCGAAACGGGCCAGGCCATTCTTACGGCAGCGGAGTGCTAATGTGGAGTTGCTCTTGTTTTAAGCTTCGGTGGTCGTTGTCGTTCATGTAGAATAAAGTATTCCACTGTAACGCTGTCTCTCTAGACAGACGTACCAACAACTACTGTCCCTCTCATGTAGGCTAAAGACCAATGTGCACGAGACTGTAGCATTGGCACGTAATGCTATCCCATGAAGAAATTCAAGGTAACCCTTTGCTATTTTGACAACAACGAAGATGCGAACAACACGTTCGCATAATTTAGAGCCACCGCAGTGATGAAAATGAGTTGAGGCTTCTCGTCCTATGGAGAGGTCGGTAGAGTGATTGCAAACCTACACGATAATCTAAAATGAAACTTTAGAAGCACGGCTGCAGAAAGGTAGCCATGATCTTGAGATGTCCCAGCCACTAGTTTTTAGTATAGACAAAAGTGTGTGAAGCTGTCTATTACGGTACGGCAGTTGTGCATCATCTATTCAAGTCGAAGAACGCATCAATTCGCAGGGAAGTGAATTGGTCTTTCCCAGTGGACTTGACTGGTTTTAAAAATTTGGGCATCGCTCTACATCACGCAGCGCTTTTCTGCTAGCAGAACTTTTAGTATACACGACGTAGCTCATCACTCGCTCACACTATATCATTTGTTGGCCCAAATGTTACGAACAACGGAGGACAGGGGGTTCATCCGATTAGCGAAATATCCGAAACTGAACAAGGTTGGGCTGAAAGTATCACGAGGTGGTTGCTGTCATGCAGTATTGCCTATTTCGGCAAGCCTGGGACGAAGACCACATACGCCAGGATTGTTGTTTGGATATGCGTGGATCAAGGCAAACATGCCTTAATGGGGAAAAAAAAGGCCAAGTCGGAATATCCGGTCGTATAGACCAAAACACGAGCAAAAACTATAATGATCGTCGTGGCCCAACTTTTCAAAATGAACAAGGATCAGATGCCCAGAAACTAGAGGCTTGAGCAGCTTGGTTTTTTGTGCTAGTTGGAACCTTAGAACATGAGTTATTTTTGCAGCAATCATGAACACGACGCGCCCACCTATCTAGCAGCCCTCAGGAGCATCGATTATGTGAACTCTCTCACAAATATTTTAGTCGAAAGACGAGCGATACTCATTGAATTAACTCACGATAATATGCACACATAACACAAACCTCTCGGACTGTTACCTCTACAAACTTTCATGGAGTACCTTAGTTGGTTTGCCATCATACGGCACCAACGTGAGAATGGACTCATGCTCCGGCAATCGCCCAGATACCATTGAAGGAGCAGTAGTGCCCATGGAATGCATGTCAACCCGCCTTAAAACTGAATCTTAGCAAATCGAATGCCGGATTTCCCGAGGGCTTTCCCGGTATACCTCTCACTGAACACCCCACACGTTGCTTGCCCATGGGGTCCCCACATATCCACATAGCGCTCCAGGAGCCCGTTTTCAGGCCATCTTGAACCCTCACCACTGGCTTCTTTTTTCTCAAAATACTGGCTTTCGGGTTCTGATATCACGAGAAGCACATAGGGGCCCTAGACCAGCGGTTCTTTTCAACCAGTCCCCACTTGGCCCATAAAAAAGTTCAGTGGTTCTGGGATTCAGTAGAAGTCATAAAAAGCTCATGTTTCCTCGAACAGTAGCACACGGTATCCAGTAACATGAAGGGCCATCCTGTTGGTGCTTGTGGTCCAAAACATGCAAGTTCTTTGGAGCTTTTGGGGTTATCACTCCTTATTAGTTTTTCTGCACGTCGGTTTAACAGCTTGTCAAGCTACTGGCTTTGATATTGGCACGTTCCAGCAACCCTCCATCCATTCTCGGCCCAAGTTTAGATACTGGCTTCCCGATGCATCAGTAGATGCTGCGCAAGTCAAGGCCGACATTGCGTCGGCCATATCCATAGGTGCTGGCGGTGTCGAGTTGGTTCCATACTACAACTATGGCGGAACCTTTGGCAGTGCTCCTGCCGGAGTGAACTGGACAGAAACTGGATTCGGCACGCCGTCTTTCAGACGCGTACTAAAAGCTGCACTAGAGTCTCACAAGGAGACGGGTGCTCTTATGGACTTTGCTCTAGGGCCAAATCAGGGTCAAGGAGTTCCTGCTCAGGCATCTGACGAGGGACTGCAATGGGATTTGGTACATCACATCCCCTCCCTACCCACGACGTCGGATCAAAGGACTGACATTGTAAAAGGTGCCGTTTTCAGACATGCTTCCGCAAAACGGTGTTTATAACCAAGTCCTTCCGGGCTGGGGTTCTGGCAAACTTATTGCTGCAGTGACAGCCCGTGTGGTTTTTAACGAGACACGCACAGCCGACAATGATCACATGAGCGGAAGTCCCGTGAACGCTACCTGGTCCTTTCTCGTGCTGGACAACCAAGAGCTGAAGGAAGTCACTTCTGAGATTTCGAAATCTACGGGGCATGCCAACTTGACACTTCCCTCCACTAATGGCAGCGACTACTATCGAATATTCGCCTTCTATGAAACGAAACCTCTGCACAAGAACCTGGAGTACAGCTCCGGTCTCAACTCATCCATATGGGACAATGGGTCATACGTTGTAGACCACTTCAGCGCTCGAGGGGCTCAGGTGACCATTGACTTTTGGGAGAAAAATATTCTGGTAGACGATCTGAAGGGTCTGGTGAAGGAAGCAGGCAATCTTGGTAGGCTTCGTTGCTCTTCTTCTGGTGATCATTCTGCTGACCTCATTAAGTCTGGGAAGACAGCAATGAAGTACCCTCACATATCAACTGGACGCCATCTATTCCTGATCAGTTCTATGCCAGATATCAGTACTCGTTGACAAAGTATCTTCCTCTTTTAATCTTTCGTCAAAACAACCTTCTGCAACAACGAGAAGCTCCTGGGGAGTTCCAGTGTGTTCTCAATACCGAAGACCAAGGCAGAGGATTCATCAATGACTACCGTAGTGTCCTCGAAGATGACTACAACGAATACCTACGTACTCTGGCCAACTGGGCGAACAACGAACTTGGCCTCAAATTCTCAACGCAACCGACGTACAACCTGCCTATGGATATGGCCGCTGCTATCCCTCTTGTTGACGTCCCTGAGGGTGAGACTTTTAGTCAGATGGATATCATTGATTCGTATCGTGAGTTCACCGGCCCTGCTTTCCTCTCTGGGAAGAGAATTCTCAGCAGCGAAATGGGGGCAAAGCCTACAAAAGCGTACTCGTACACTTTGTCGGACCTCTTGTTCTCAATGAATCGGGCATTCGTCGGAGGTGTCAATCAGCTTGTGCTCCACGGCCAGACGTATAGTGGCAAGTATCCCCAGACGACATGGCCTGGTTATACCACCTTCTCGTACTTGTTCTCAGAGGTGTACTCTCCAAAGCAGCCCTCGTGGAACTTGACTCTTCCAGATGTGCTATCATATGCCGCAAGGGCGCAGTGGGTACTTCAACATGGTGTGCCGCGAACAGACGTTGTTATTCTCCGTAGCCATGTGGCTACCGACTGGACTTGGAGGACTATCTACAACCACACAGATCTCGAGGACAATGGTATGGCTTATTTTCACTCTCAGCTTTACGCTATAAACAGTTTTACTGACAGTTTATTTTAACAAATAGGTTGGACTTATAATTATATCTCGCCCAGCAATTTTGGCCTCCCACAGGCCTTCGCCAAGGACGGTATTCTCTCTCCAGACACCTTGGCGTGGAAAGCCATCGTTATCGAAAGCAAGGAGAATTTTACCACCGCCGAAATTACTCATGTGCAACAGTTTGCACAAGCCGGCGTCTCAGTCATCCTCAGCGGTGGTCTCCCTGGACTGTACACCTCTGGGAACCAAACCTTTGATAACCAATTCATAAACGAGATGAAGACTCTGATTGCGCTGGAGACTGTTCATCAAGTTGAATCGAACAAAGTATCCGAGAAATTATATGAGCTTGGGCTGAGTCCACGAATCCAGGCCATTTCAAGCACCAAAATCTACACACTCTGGAGGGAAGATGCTGAAACCAACAGGGATTTTGCCTTCATTCTCAACGATTCTCTTAACGATACCGTAGGGGAACTGGTAGTGGCCACGGGCAAGACGCCTTACTGGCTGGATCTATGGTCCGGCGAGGAAAAACCCGTTCTGACGTATCAAGTCACTAATGGCAAAACAAAAATCCCACTGCGGCTTCGGGCTAACCAGACTGCCCTGCTGGCTTTCGGTCCACCAGGTTCGGTCAATGCAAGCGTCCCAACCTGTCATCTGAACTCGACATCCGAGGACATCCTCGGCTATAGATTTACTACGCCCGATACGATCAGCCTTCATCTCAACCATGTCAGTGAAGTAACGACCTCGGATGGAAAGACTCTTCAGGTTGGCCGCTGCGGCGTTCGGCCACCCATCGAGCTGCGCAACTGGACACTCTCTGTGGAACACTGGGAGAAGCCCGCAGACATTTATGATTCCGGGGCCGAGCCTTTAAAGCGTAACACCACACAGCCTCTCCCAATATTGACTTCATGGTCGGATATACCAGCATTGGTCAATGTTTCTGGCGTAGGTCACTATGCCACGACCTTTTCTTGGCAAGGATCTCAAGGAGAAAATTCCACGTCGGGAGCTTACATACGACTCCCACATGTCCTGCACGGAGCCAGAGTATTGGTAAACGGGTACACAGTCCCGACAGCTGATTATTATGGGGAGCAGCGCGATATCACTTCACTTCTCACAGAAGGGGACAACGAGGTTCTGATCTCGACCCCGAGCACAATGTGGAACTACCTAAGCACATTTTATGGCGAAATCGAGATGTCTGGGGGCAAGCCATTTCTGAACCCGGCTGCCGCTCCAAAAACAAGCAACGGACTTGTCGGGGATGTGGCTATTGTACCGTTCCGGGAGGAGCTTGTACAATGTGGAAGCACATGAGATGGTGATTAAGAGACAATGGCTGCTTACTAGTCCTTGATACAAAATTTTAGCCATAAGTAATGACTCATGGAAGTTGAAGCTAGAGAAAAATTTAAAGCCCTATTGAAACGAGCTGTCTTCGGTCTCGGAGTGTATAGGTTTTCCCACCACAGTGTCAGGGTGTTCGTGATTGCGCAGGCGGCACTACAACAGCTACCTGACTGCCTCCAAATGCTACAAAATGAAATTTTCTTGTTGTGAAACGAGTGAATCTGTAAGCTTTTGAAGTTGTAAAGACCAAAAAAGTACCAGGACTGGCTTGCTAGGGGCAAACAAGGAGGAGTAAGTGAGATCAGGTTGGTAGCATTCTTTTACTGTGTTTTGTTCATAATCAAAATGAAGATGTATGCCGCATTTTATGAATGCCGGAATCATCCTTTCGATTGATGTCACAATGTCTTCCGAGACGCCGTTGTCAATTGCATACAGAAATTGTTTACTTTTTTTTCTTTTTTTTTTTTTTTTTTTTAAAAAAAAATCTTCACAGAGTTGTGCGTCTTAAGACTTCAACCCGATGATTTTGGCCTGACATTGCCCAGTATCAAACCTTTCTGAGCAGCAATCCAAGAGTGATCTCATCGTGAAGCTGCCAAGGCCGCCCGACGACATGCTGTAGGCTATCTCCAAAGCTGGTGGACTCCATTTGGCACAGCGCAGCGCGATCGACAGGCGTACACTTGCACATTGACTCACGCCATTTAGTTATTAAACTCTCGATAAAATGGCAACATAAGCGATAGGCTGATGACTACCTGCAGGAGGTAAATGTGGTTGGCACGATTCCTCGGGCACGAAAGCAAGCCGCATTTTCTGCCGCCCAGACATGACGTCCAACACCACCCTCCAAAACTAAAAAACGCGCCTACTTGCTTTCCTGACCACTTGTTATTACCCAAGCACTCACCACTCCGCATGCTCACCCGCTCTCCACCAAAAGCTCCGAGCCAAGCAACTAGAGCACCTGAGGTAACATCAGTCCCGCCCCTCCTCGGCTTACACGAGGTGACATCGCTGCGGTAAGTGGCCAACGCATCTCGTAGTGTTTCTCCAAAATCCAATCAAAAGCTACGGGACTGGTTTGAGGGAGACAATTCATGTTGTTTTACTAGAAACCGATCGTGGTTTTGAGTAATCCCAACTACTATTGACTCCACCCCACTACCCTTCCACTTGACAACTCGCCGATCGTGCCGTGAGTGCTTCTCGCCTTGAACACATATCTATTTACAAGAAGAGAATTAAGGTCTACTACTAAGATTTTGTCGTCCCCGTAGGACCTTTTTTTCAAATGCAGAAGATTATCACATCCTGTTTCGTTCAGGATGCCTTGTCATTCAGACCCGTGTCCCACCCGAAAGCGCCCTATGTGCCCCATATCCACCTTGTTCATGCATGTTATAAAAGGAGTGTGGCTGGGTATACTTTATATCCGTAATGCTGTCGTAGCCTCGAGTTGGTCGTTAAAGACATTGCTGTTGTGAAGTGTAAATCGTCAATCATTATAAAAATTCCTCCGTGCGAGACTGCCAAACAGAGCCGCCGGAATCATTGGTTGTTGAATGTAGACAAATGTCCGAGTGAGGACGAAATCATATTTTTTGAATGAAATCATCAAAAAAAATATCAACCTGTTTTCAAAGTTGAAACGTTTAGAGCAGCGCAACGGCACCAAAGAGACCGGCCAGGAAGGCAGCGGCAGGAGGGCCGTTCTGGGGGTTGGCGGCGCCGCTCGAAACAACGACTGGGGCGGTCGATACAGCAACGGTGGTGGCAGGGATCGTCACAACGGAGGTGGCGGGAACAACCACGGTGCTGGGTTCCTGTACAACTGTCTGGTGAACTGTACCGGAGACAGTAACGTAGACCCAGGACTTCTGAGTGACGACCTCATTGCTTCCAACAGTAACGGGGATAGTGACCTCGACATTCTTAGTCTTGGTGACGGGAATGACCTCAGTGATTGTGTGGACGGCAGTAACGTAGATCTTCTTGGTTCCCGTGCTGGTAACCCAGATGGTCTCGCCATGCTCGACGGTCTTGTAGGTGGTCTCGGGCTTGGTAATGGTCTCATAAACCTCAGTCTCCACGTGCTTCGTGGTCTTGAGAGTGGTGTAGACATCAACAGTGGTCTGGACCTTCTGGACAATGGTGCTCGTGGTGGTGTGCACAATAACCTCAGTGTGGCCATCGACAACCTTGGTCTCCGTCACAGGGCAGACAGTCGTCAAGGTAGTGTACTCGACATCCTTCTCCGTCTTGGTAACGTCGGGGAGCTTCTGGGTCTCGTAAACCTTGGTGGGCACCTTTGTGACAACAACCTCGGTTTCAGTGACTGTAGTGGTCCAAGTCTTTCCTCCCTGGGTGATGGTTTTGGTCTGTTTTAAAGCGTCAGATGGGATTTGGGCAACCCTGCTTTCGGGGCTAACCTACGTGGGGAATAAATTTGGTGTAAGTGATCAGCTCCTTGTCTGTCTCCGTCACGACCTCAGTGGGGCCAGGAACGGTCTCGTAGACCTTAGTCGGCACCTTTGTGACAATGACTTCGGTTTCAGTGACAGTAGTGGTCCAGGTCTTTCCATCACCGGTGATTGTCTTCGTCTGTTTCAGAGCGTTAGAAGGTATTTGAGTAACCTTGGGTCCTGGGGTCAACTTACGTGAGGGATGTACTTGGTGTAAGTGGTCAACACCTTGTCTGTCTCCGTCACGACCGCAGTAGGGCCGGGAATGGTTTCGTAAACCTTGGTCTTCACCTTCTCGGTAATGGTCGAAAGCTCAGTGACCGTAGTCACATATGTGTGTCCCTCTCCCGTGATGGTTTTAGTCTACTCTTCTTGTTAGCCTAAGGTTGTGGAGCTTGAACATCGAATAGCCTCACGATAGGGCACCAGCTTGTGTATGTGGTGTATTCGACATCAGTCTCCGTGACATAATCAGTTGGTCCAGGAACCGTCTCATAAATAATGGTCGGAACCTTGGTTGTGACAGTGCTGATAGTCGTCTCCGTCACATACTCGGTCTTACCCGGAAGGTAGTGCGTCTTGGTCTAAATACTATTAGCCACGAGGCCCATTCGAATCATCAAAATCGACATACAATCGGGCACAAGGTGGTGTAAGTTGTGATAATTTCAGTGGTAATGGTCTTCGTCTTGTGCTTGCCCTTATCGTGATCCCAATCAGTGGCAAGGGCGGTGGCAGCCAAGGCCAGTAGAGCAGTGGTGAACTTCATGGTTATGGATGACGAGGATGAATGTCGACAGCAACCAGCGAGAGATACTGCTTGTCACTCAGAGTTGATGGAAGCGAGGGTTGTGAGCGAGAGTCTCTGAAGTAACCTTAACGAACGAGTTACTTGATGGAACAACGGGTGGTCGGGTAAGAGATGGAAAGAGGCTGGTAAAAGCTTCAAAACGATAGAGAACTCAAATGGAAATGTTCGAAGAAAGCCGGACGGCTGGTATGCTTATATCTTGAGGCCGAGTAGGCGGCCATACCGCCAAGCCTGACTGCTTGCAGACGAATAGAGATGACGAGAAGAACTATGGAGGCCGGAATGACATCTTCTGGCTGACCAACAGTTCTCGATGATCTCCACCTCGACTTGCATTAGCCTGGTCTATGTGACCAGTGTACAGACCAGGGCCTGACCCATGAAAGAGATCATGGGAGGGTGGAGCGACCAGGAAAGCGGATGCCAAGTCTGTGATACGAGAAAAGGCGATCTTGGGATGGGGAAGCAGCAGCTAGGGGAAGTCTAGAGCTTCCTGTGGCTGGAGACCAGCTTCAATGTAGGAATGACATGATGCACCCACGGCGTGGAGATACAAACGAGTCAACCTCGGCCGAATGGTGACATGGTAAAGTTAGCCAGCACGTTGAACATAAATTATACGCCATCCGGTGTGCGTAGCGCGACTGCAATCAAGAGAGGAGGTTGGACGACAACGCGGACGAGGCTCGACAAGGTTCAGCACGACCCGTGTCAGATTTGCAGTCAGAGTGGTAGCTTAGGATGACAGCAGCGAATGAGGAAGAGCTAGGTAGCTCTCTACAACCGATGGTATTGCAGTCTGCAAAAGCAGCAAACAGACCAACTGGATCCCTGTCAATGATGCCTTCTAGGCACTGAGGTGGACGCGATGCACAACTGTGCAGGCCTGATGGATAGGCAACCAGTGGCCGGACATCGCCGGCTCTGACAATGACGGCACACAACAATGTGGTTAATATATTTTGAACCTCTTGTGTGGTGAGCTTTCTGGGGCCCGCTGGTGACCAGGTGAACTCACTGCAGCCTGCGAGAAGGGGGCGATGCAGCTGTACAAGGCCTTTTTGCCTATGCCGTCTGACTAGATGGTCGAAGAAACGGATAAGGCACTACTGCAGGCTGAGGGTGACGACATTTGTAGGGCCAGTATTCTCTTCACTATCGTGTCTCAGCCGCAAGTACCAAAGATGAATAGTCTTTCACTATAGAGCCTGCATCTTTGTCTTTGAATTGGGTTTGGAATTCAAAAAGACACGACTCATTCGTGTTCTTCATAAGCTTAAAGCAAGTATGTCATTTCCTCCTAGCCGCATAAAATTGATTTAAGTTGTGGGGAGGTTGTGTATGAGGCAGGTAGGAAGGAGCGAAGGCATACATTTTCCTGTTGTTTGATAGCGGAAGAGGCCTACTTGCTTGTGCGTAGAGGAGGGCTCGTGTCGAGGTCGTGGCACTTGGCCAAGTGTATGCAGCTCGCAGGACAGAGCCAATTGGGAAACAGACAATGCTGCAGTCTAAAATCCTTAGTGTACAGGAACGCGTCCACCCAGCGAGGTACAAAACTTGATTTGATGTGGTTGCCGTGGCCGTGGAAACCAGCCTGACTCCGGGCGAGCTCTAGCATCAAAGGAAAATTGAGAATGCAGTTGCACCTGCGCTTTCTTCTTACCGAGGCCCTTAACTATGGCTGGTAATGTCAGCTGGAGACGGTCCTATCAGCACACGCCTCAGAAGTAGCCAAGGTGTTCGCGGTGTGTTGCCCGATACTCCGAACGTGATCGTGGGTTGGTGATGAAAAGGTTGGCAAAGTTCAGAAGTACCGCCGTTGCCCGAGCATGACCAGCGATTGCCCAAGTGGCTCAATAATTCCCACGGGGCACCCCTGGTTCGCCCGGGCAAACCCCAGCCGCCGTGGAGTGATGTAGTGATTGCCAACATAAATAGCAGCATTTGCCGATGGCTCCGGGTGAAAAGCCCGGGGGGTAGCTAAGGCAAGGACCCAAGCAGCTGGCAATGCTGGAGGTGGGCACATAGGGCTCGATGGATGAATCACGCCATACTGCTTTAGGACTATGGGTCGTGTGTTGGTTGACGAGCTTAAGAAATTGATGATTCGACATGGTAAGATGGATTCATTGTAACCAACGCACGAGACGGTGGGGCAGCCAAGTTTTCAAGCCCTCGAAAGTTGTGCACATATGCTGCGGCTCGGTGGCAGCATGGCATGCTGATGGACAAGGTGAATTGCGTAGCCGAATTATTGACGAGTCAGAAAGCAGGAAAGGCTATGGGAGTCTGGCTATTACTTGTCTGCTCTTGTTGTAAGCATGATATTGTGCCTCTACTAAAAATTCCTCCGGGGGGCTTTCTCCTCGTTTCCTCAAGCTGGCCATCACTGGTAACTTCTACAAAACCTAAGTACCTCAGCTTGATATCTGAGCATGGCCGTATTGCGGACAAGACGCAATATTTTGCGTAGTGTTCCGTTTCACCAGCCCGAGGCACGCGGTAAAGCGACTGCTGTGCCACGCTGTTCGGCGGAGACGGTAGGCCAGGCCTGTTCATTGTTGAGATTCTCGAAAAAGAAGTGACAACAGCAGGAAGGGCGGGGCGGGGCGGCGTGGCAGGCTTCCAACGGGTGAGGCGTGAATGATGGCTGGCACAATGATGGCTTTGTCGGGTACGGCACAGATGCCCAGGCCAGGATCAGGAACTGGCTGCAGTTGAATATGCACAGTGCAAGGCCGGGCAAGGGACGAGGTTGAGCGATGTGGGCTATGGTGCCCAAGTCCGACGCAAGTCGGTGTGGTTGTTCTGGGAGGTGGAAGTGGGAGTTGGTGGTGAGATGGAGGTGTGGGGAGACGTGGGGAGACGTGGAATATTGGACCAAGACTGGGATAGTCTGGTGAGAAATGACGAACAGCTCTTGGAGGGAAATTCAGAACGAGCGAATCAGAGGGACGAGTTAGACAAGAATCAGGAAAGAACACAACATAGGAAGGAAAGAGCATGCATACTCCAGAGAAAATGGGAAGGATGGGCGGCCGGCAGGCCGGTACACCCTGTTGCCTGTTGCCCTTTGCCCTTTTGCCCTTTCGCCCTGTTGCCCTCACAACTATGCATTCACCACTTGGCTATTGCTCTTGTCGTCGTCCCATTTTCACGTAGGTACGGATACCCGAATATGCACTTGGCCCATCCCACATTCCTCAGCTTCCCCACAACTTTAGACAGGGTTTATTTCGGCCCCCAAGTCAACGGCAACCGTGGAAGGGTGAGACCTTTCTTGACTGCGTTTAGAAAAAAACAAAACATAAAAACGTCTAGACTCTGGGCATCTTTATGCAGCCACATGCAAACCGAACGAGATGTGCATTTTAAGCACCGCATAACGTCCTGGGCTGCATATCCGAATTGCTTATACGAGCATCTGGCATCGAGGTCAATTAAGAGAGGAAACCAACTATCCCCAAATATGATTAAGCATAAGAAACCGCGGGGCTTCTGGCGGGGAATTTGCATAACATTCGGATTCTGTATGGGTTACGGCGGTGGGAGCCTGCCTAGCGGGACTTGCGGCACCCAAAAGTTGCCCGTCTGCCACTTCAGATCGTGATGTCTTCCCCTCCCCCATTGCCCCTCCCGGCACATTGTGTTCCCTCAGGTACCGGCCGCTGCCCTAAACTCCAACCTCACTAGCGTTCCAACCTTTGATTCGCCGTAGTGGGTGCTCACCAGCCACGCCTAATGCTCTTACCCATCACGCCGTTTCCCGAACTGCTGCTCTGAGACTGACATCTGCCATGCGCCAGCCACACCTCGTGTTGCCCCATGGCGCCAATCTAGGCCTGTGCGCCCGTGCACCTACCTTACCTTAATCTAAGTCTGTGCGCTTACCTTGGGGCAAGTGGACCCAATCACACGACACGTACCTTTCTGTCATCTCTTGTTCCCTGCCCGCCTATCCATCACTTCCCTCTCGCTTGTCTGCTCACGCCGCTTCCTCTAGGATGGCATTTCATACTTGCCTTGCGTCATAATCAACACGCTTCCTATTAGCTTCCTCTTGGTTGCTTGGAAGCTTCAATAACGCGATTTGGAAAATCCCTCACCAAAGCTTCATCACATAAGCTGGCTGATAGCAGTCAGAACATGGCTAAGAAAGCACTAGAAAGGAGGTGACAAGCTTGACAAGGAAACAACAGAATCACACAACAGGCCTCATCCTCATTCTTATTTGCTTTTACGGCTAGATTTTCCTTACTTAAGGATTTATGCCCTCGAAACCCTTGCAGCAGCATCACCCGCTGAACCAACTATCGCCAACATCCAAGGTCTCATTCCAAGGTATTTTCCACATCTCGGCGTTCTTGACTGCTTGAACTTGCTCCATCTCCTTCTTTTCTTAATATAAAAAGACCTAGGTCTATTCTTAAGGTACTTAGAGAAAGTCTCTAGGAGGCCAACGTGCGAGTCCCGGGCGACTACATGTGGGTCTTCATCAACCTCGGCGGTCAACCGCTCCTAACCAGGGCCTATGACGCTACTCAGTGATTCAGTTGTTCTCCATTGTTCGACATTTGCCCCACTACTTGAATCTCTACTAGCTCCACAAATACTTCTGGCAGTCCAGCCGAGATACATTCGTTACACCAGAAAGCCTACCACCGTTGCCGAGAGACATGATGAGCTGATCGCCGCTACTTCACCCCGCTTTCACCGTACTATTTCTCCTTTCTCCGGTCGTTCCTGATTATCTTCGGCTACAGTACGTCTTGGCAGGAACATCGCCGATCCCGTCTTCGCATCGCTGTCCCTCCTTATTCAACCATGACATCCCTTCGTGGAGATCGGCTGGTGACGGACTGTGACGACCTAAACAGCCTTTCTCACGGTACGCTCGGAGGCGTGGCTCCGTACTTGTTGAGTCTCGCCATCAGTGGCTTGGCTTAGAAAGTCGTTGTCGCCGACGGTGGTGCTCAGCCTTCTTTCCAAATTCATCTTCTGATGAACCAATTTCAATGAGGAAACTGCACTTCTTAAAGAGATGGCCAACTAGCGTAGATGGTGTTAGGCTGTAATTGCAAATGCGGGATTGTATAACCTACGCGTGTCTGTAAACTGCTATTACATATACTTGTTATATCAGCCTCTGTCACTCTTCTTGCCGAGTAAAACGCGCTTCACCCGAAGACCTCTTTATGATGCCCTGAACTGGAGCTTCTCCCGTGGTAAAAACCAATTTTACACCTCTGATGAATATCTTATCATCCATAGTGAATCGCTCTTCTATACATGAGGCCCTCGTCGTCTGGAATGCTACAAGAAGTGAGATGGTGTGTTGAGACTGTCAAGGTCAGCACTCCCGCCCTTCTTTTCGTCTATGTGTTTTGTCCTCTTCCCCTTGTCTTCGAGATGTTCTCGATCAAGTGTAAAGCTTTTTATAAGAAGATATTACATGCGTCAAAGTAGGATCATCTTTATCAATATCTTTTTTTTTTTATATAAATATTGACAGGGTTCTCGGGCAAAAGCTTAGGTGAGTTAATTGGATGTCTTGGAGTACAGCGAAGATACATCAACTAGGTAGATTAAGCACGAACCCTAGCATACTCTTGTGCATATTGGTTTTCCTCATTGTTTATCTTAAAGAGGTTACTAGATCGCATTTGCCATCTTTGACGAACATAACAGGCATAACATAGCTAGCCGAGAATGCGTACTGATTCTTCGGGTCAAATACATCCCCTAAATGGCAGAGGCCAGCTGTATATGCCCAGGCGGTCCCTTCTCCTAACATCGTCTCATCGTGGCGTGTACCAAGCATAGACGTCCCATCGTCACAACTAGATTAAAGAAAGGGGGGGAAATAACGATAGCAAGCATAACCTGTACGGACTCATAGTGATATTTAGTGAGAATTGTAACGAATTGGGCATATAGGGTGTTTCGGTGATGGTGTATGATTTTTTTCCATCCAAATTCTCATCCAAATAAAGCGATCAACTTGATTTCAGTCAGTAGGGCTCCAGGGGGAAATTGCTAGACGTAACTGGGATGAGAGCCAGCAGCTTCATGCTCAAGGAGCTTTTTATAACTATGGCGCCAAGAACCTCCTTATAACATACAGATAATCACCAGAGCTATGGGAATTCCTTTCCAGAAGTCGAGTCACCTTTATCTTCCTCTTGTGCTTGAAAATCGCAGCGATTCATCAACAACGTAGTTGAATCAAAGCCACTTCCATCCCAGTTTGGATAGAAATCGGAAGTGGGGAAATCCTGCCAGGTAACTGTGTTCAGCATTGCGAAGTCTGAGGGCACTGCTACTTGGCTAAGATGATCCTGGGGTACAGAATCAGGCGCCCTGGTTGACTCCGACGTCCAAGCGGATAACGGTGACGCCCAGTCGAAGGTACCGTCTTGCGAAGAAGTACCGCTCTGTGTTGCCTTTCGTCTCTGGGCCTCGGTCTCCGCACTTGAATGCGCATTAGTGGACGCTCCGCTAAGTTTTGTTGCTGACCCAGATGCAGTGTAGATCAATGCTGAGTGCTGTTGCGTCGTTTGTACCATATCACACTCTGGCGTCTCAAGTAGATCAGACCGAGGTTTTGGTCGATTTGATGTAAGACTCAGAGACGGAACCCACATTGCTGTTCCCGGCGGCTTTTCTCCAGATGGATTTCTCCTCAATGAAAGCAGCCCATCTTTTTCTGGGCCTCTCCGCCGAGAGCTGGAAGAGGAACTCCAGAGGTCTTGTGGCCGCGACATTGGGCTCCTATCTGACTCCACAGAAGACGGGTATCCAGCTTGCATAGCAGCATTTCTCCAGCAATTCAGGTTCTCAAATAGATCTGGTGACTGTGTCGTACCAGCGCTTACCTTGACCGCAGTTAGGGATGGTGATGTTTGTCCAGATGCTAAGCTTTCAGACTCGGCGTTGCCTCGAGGAATGGAAAGCACTAAGGGGGGAGGCCGTGACGAGAGGTCCGCTACCGGTGTCCGTTCCCTCGCACCGGAGGGTAAGAGAGCGCCAATAGATAGTGCCCGTTGTATCATCTCACTACAAAGGTCCCTGCCGGCTCGGAAGTCGTCAATGGCACATATTTCGCCACGGTCAAGAGCCTGTCTTGCTCTGGCATCTAGAATTTCTTCCAGCAATATCTCTTTGATTTGTGAAGAAGAAATATCTTCGCAAACTAGACAATTATTAGAACTTTGGCGACCACGGTTCTTCGTTGATCTAACGGTTGGAGATTATGTCAAGAAAGGGGGAGACTCACAGGGTGACTGGAGGACAAATCTTGTCCCTGGAAACAGGATATGCCATACTCTTTTGAAACGGTCCAAGCTCTTTCTTAAAAATGCCTCGGAATTGTTCTTGGGTTTTGTTCTGCTAAATTCTTCTGGCTCGTCGCAAATTAGCTCCCATTGCTCTTCAGACATGAGTAGCTCGCGCCAAACGTGTCGAGTACCGCTTGATTGAGTTTCAGATCGATGTTTCCTGCCCAAATGTTGCCTGTTTATAGTGCTTAACTCGACCGTAATGCGCCATAGAAGATAGAGAGCTGGGCGTCGACTTACCTCAAGTCCGATAACGACCTGAATGAAGTCCGAGGCAGGCAAGACTTGAAAGGATGTGGGCATGTAAAGAAGTATGGACAAAGCCATGTTTTCTCACTTTCTTTCTTGACCTTTTGTTTTTTTATGGGGTAGCTGGGCTCTTCCGGATTATCATCATCATCCTCTCGATCCTGGTTATCCGTCTTTCTCTTTCTATTCTGAATTCCCCCATGTGGCAACGATTGTTTTGCAGCCAAGTTATCAGATGGTGAGAAGTAACGACTTGATGTGTTTCTCTGGGATGATTTGTCGTGAACAACACCATGTCCAATGTTGCGCAGTTCTTGGTTATCAGATATAAATACCTTGTCATTATTTTTGGCGTTCTCAGAACCACTTTGAGAAGTGCTTAAGCCGCTCTCCTCTTCGCGTGACTTTCGGTCCGCACTCCAGCATTTGCTCCATAGGTGATAACGCCATGGAATTTGCCATATGACTTCAGGGACCTCGCTGGTGTCACTGGCAATGTCTTGGACACTTAAAGTTTGGAGAATCGGATCGCACAAGGCGAGGATGCCGCCTTCTCCTGACCCCTCAAAGCATTTTAACCTGGGTTTGTCCTGTTGGAACAACGGACACCAGACACCAAACAGACTAAATTATCGAGAGATAAAGTTAGCATTAAGTTCAGCTTTTCTTGATTAGGTTGTGAAGGGATGCTTGCTCTAATGGCATGTCATGCTCAGTTAGGTCCTGGCGAGCCGCCGTCATATCGCTCCAGGAAATTACATCATTGCATGCTAGAATCCTTTTCTTTGCATCGTTCATCCGGATCTGTCTTCTCTCGTCCGAATTGGCGGTTGTGGCAACGAAAGCCACACTGCAATCATGCGGGCTGTTGATATATGATTGCAGCCGACTTAGCATTGATTCGCAATTGTTCTGTACGACCATATTAGAAAGTTGGCTATGTAGTGACCCCTATATATGTCACTGCCTTTTGGCCTTAGTATTCCAGGGTAGTCTCAGTATCGCATCCTTCACCAACTAGTAATCAATTACATGTCTGGCAGTTACTGGCCACAGAGATACGGGGTTTTCAGGCAGATAAAGATGGGAGGAGGTAGTCTAGGATATGCTCACAACCGATTGGGATGCCACGCTTCTATTTGAGCAGACAAGCATGTCTTCTTCTTCTTCTTCTTCTTCTTCTTCTTCTTCTTCTTCTTCTTCTTCTTCTTCTTCTTCTTCTTCTTCTTCTTCTTCTTCTTCTTCTTCTTCTTCTCAAGAAAGTCTCTGTAGAGAGCAATCTAGTTGACCAAAGTATTCTGTTCTGTATGGAGGCCTCAAATTTGAAGGTTATTGCATCCTCAACAAGGCTTGAATCGGAAAAAATGCTTTTGAAATTCAGCTGCGACGTTTACGAGGCCATAATGATATTGACGTCCTTCTTCCTTGTGCGGTAGGAATCGAGGTTTGAGTAATAAGCTAGGGAATGGAATGATTGATGGTTCTCGGAGGCGTTCCGAGGATATATTTATGAGGCTGAAAAGACTTGCCCGCAGTGGCGGCAATATTCTCTGATTGGGTCACTTACCGTAGTTCTATACCAAATCTGCGAAAAACTGCAGGATCTGCCTACTAAGGTCTTATGAGATTCTGCAATGTCCAACATTGTGGCGTTCACAAAAGCAACCCTAGCTGTCAAACCTGCGCAGAACCCCTGTTGCATCAATGCCAACACAACTCATTCAATGGTTCGGCGGGGTTGCGGGCGCGGGCAACAGGCCTACGATTCGTCCTTCTAGCGAGAATGAGTGTTCTTAAGTTCTACACTGAATTGCCCAAAGGAAAAATCTCCAATCTGCGGTATGACTTATGACAGCCATGAGTCCTCGACAAACTGCGGGGATTTTCTCTTATGCCAAGGAGAAATGCACTTTCTCCTGTGGTGCATTTCGGTTTCTAATGGCAGCTTGGTTTATCTTGCCTTTCCAAACCAGTAAGCCCCTCTATTCATCACTTCTCAGCTAGCTAAAGAAGTGAGATTGGCAGAGGCTGTGGACCCAACATGTCACATATCACATTACTTGCCGCCGCCTGAATCCCCGCAAGCGCGGGCCAGATGCAGTGTGCTTGTGGTAGGCCTTGCGAGTTCTTTGGGCAAACAGCCCACCCTGTCCTGGTTTACAATCATTAATCTGCATGTCAAACCTTGGACGTCTTTCAAAGGGCCTGAAAGTGGCGGTTTCCGTTACCCATGGCAAGCCTAGCATTCTAAAAGGGGACTGGCGGTCTGAATGTTTTGGTTGGCCAGACCTGGCAGAATCTAGAGGGATGAGATCTATGTAGGTAGGAGTCTCATGAAGCAAAAGGTTGAGCCGAGGAATCCATCCAGACTAAGAATACACGTCATGTCGGGGCGTGAAATACCGATCAGACTTGGGGCATATTACTTGCAGAGCAGGGATCAGCCTATCTTTCCGCAGCTGCGGGCATTTGGACCAACGGACACTTCAGTAGCCTGACTGGTCATTGCCCATCAATTTAAAAATTTGAGAATATGCCGCCTCGATTTCGGTGTATGGCTGTCCTCGGCTATCCGAATTAGCTCCCTGACGCCGTTGCGTTCGCATGCAATGAAGAATATCGTGGAGAGAAAAAGGCAAGCTGACATCTGCTTTCCTAGGATGATTTGGCTAGCTCGGCAATAGCCTATGTGATCAGACAGAATATGGAAGCCTCTTCAGGGTGAAATTCATAAGATTCTGGTGTCAGGATAGATGCCTTCATCGGGCATATCAAAGCTGCGTTTGAAGTGGAATCAGAATCCAGCAACGTTCTACCTGCACCACGTCTGCGAGAAGGTCTTGTCCACGCTCTACACGTGTCAATGCAAACTCATCAACAAGTAGAGTTAGTGTTAAAGCGGTCTCAGTGAGCAGTATCGCTCCAGTTTACCTCAGTAAGGAGCCAACCATTTCGTCTGGGGTCAGGGCAAAAAAAAGTGCCACTAAAAAGGAGACGACCAAAAATCAAGAACATACAACACCGGGTATTCGCTGGTCGTCACCGACCCAACTACTAATCCGGCCCTCACTGGCTTATCTATGGGAGAGCGGACGGGATCCCGAGTTTTCCAGTGGGTATGGTCGTATGTGGTAGTGTTGAGCTTGATGAAGAGTATTATATTGCGAAACTTTCGGTCACAGTGACAGCTCAGCCCCAACAACGAGCAAAGCTAGCCTCAGTGCCAGCCTTAGCGCCGTCATTGTCCTTAACTTCTACACTTGAACCTGCTTCGATGAGTAGGTTTCGAACTTCTTGGTGCCCGTGCTGCCCAGCAACGTGAAGTGCCGTCCATCCATGAAACCCACGCTGGTTCAGTGAAGCCCCGTCACGAATCAGCTCAACAACAGCCTCGACATGCCCGTATCTTGCGGCGAGCATGAGAGGTGTCCATTCTTGTCGGCTCTGTACATCGATATCTGCGCCAGCATGGAACAAACTCCGTATACAAGTCTCACAGCCGCTGCGCGCTGCCACGTGAAGCGCCGTCTCTCCATACATGTCAACTTCGTTTACGGGTACCTTGAGTGACAGAAGTAATGACATGATCTCATGGAGGCCCTTTTTGGAAGCATTATGTATGTATGATCCTGTGTTCCATATGATGCCTCGCTTGGCCGTCATCTCTTCTGCGACGAGGTGAACAACGTGGCGGCGGCATAGAGTAGAGAAGGTACGGTTGGTCAAACGTAGGTTGAGGAAAGCGGGTTTGTCAAGATACTTCAGTGCCGTTAGAGTGAGCCATATCTTTTCTGATTAAGCTGAAGATTCAAATATACCTCTAAACACTCTGGAAAAGTTCCGGAGGAAAGCCGTCCAAAAGGAGAGACTCCATGACTTCTGCTTATAATCTGATTTCGGCAACTCATCCAGAAAACGTTGTTCGAAACCTAGTGTCTTATGCACAGTCAGATTTCAACAATTTGATACGCACCCAGGTGGCAGTTATATAAAAAAAGCCGGTCTTATTTGCTAGTGGGCATGGAAAAGCAGCTATCATTCCTGTCGCCCGAGTGGTATGTCGGACGCGATAGTCGGAAGCGTGATTAGTGATATGCTCCCGATCCGTAAAACTTTCGATATAAGGTCAATATCACCCAATCAAACATACTACTTTGCTCAATAAAGTTCTAACGGTACTGTTAATCTCGTTACCGGTTTGTTACACAGTGCATTTAGAACGTCGGGTGATACTAGCCCCTGGTGCATCCGAGTCGGTCGCACAGTCCGGTCAGCCCGGTGCCGAACCGGCACGTTAAGCTTCAAGCCTATATATATCCACAAGAAGCGTAGGTGTCTATCGCACTCCTCTTGCAGGGAGTTTAGGTCAAATTATCGTCAGTAGTGACTAAAAAGAGATGTGATGTCCGCACAGCGCAACGATATCCCCTGACTGCCTGGTTCAAAATCAGATGATGTAATGTGTGTCTCCCATGAATCGTTGACAACTAGAGCTGTGTGTATCATTGACACCTGTATCCGTGTACCAAAGTTACTATGAATGACAAAGACTTCTGAAAGACTTCGACCTCACTGAAACCTTGGCTGTTGATCGCAACGATCAAAACATCAATGACACCTCACCTGGTAGCTCAAGCTCCATATACGGGGATTCACTGGCGATTTGAAGTACGCAGAGCAAGCAGGCAGTCATATTTGCTTACCCTCACACTCGTCTGGGAGAGACTTAAGAGTGTACAGCAGCTACCGGCGGCAGGCTGCTACACTGCTTTTGATATCCTTCCTCATCAGTCACTACCAGAGTTCTAAAGAGGCGAAGGCTTCGTGAACGGTGTTTCTATCTTACGTGTTCATCTTGCTTATGCCTTCCAAAACAATCACAAATTATGCTAGAAAAGTGAGCCTTCAAGTCACGATACCGTACCTTTAGAAATCACTTCTTCTGCCACAGAACCGACGATAGCTAAGTGCTTTTGCTGTCTAGATGAAAGAAGATGGACACTCTTGAAAAGGTACCGTCTTGGATTAGAGACTGACAAGCCTTTACTGGCTAGATGACAAGATACAAAATCACTATAGTACTATCCGGCGAAAAGATGCTAAAGATCTAAGCTCAACCGAGTCCAACCTGTATGTGCTAGAGTTGCCCCTCATGTGGAAGTACAACACTCTTCTCCTTACTGTTTCACCAACACCACAAATACACACACGAGAACATCTCACCACTCACTTGACACACCGCCCAATCCATCCCCAAACATCCCTCCAGACCTTCTCCCACCATCGCTCGCTCGGCGGCACGATGCCCAAACCCCTCCTATCAAACAACCAGGCTCTCAACCGCTGAACATCCCACCAGTCTCTCTCACTCTCAACAACCCTCCCCAAAGCTCCATCATCGAATGCGATGCCCCTCCACAGCAGCACTCCAAGAACCTGCGCTGATTTCGCTTTCCTAACGATCTCTTCATTCTTCACCACCGTCCCGACTGCCTCCCAGAAGAGTGCTCTCAAATACTCCGCCTCCGGGTAATACTCAAACCTACTACTGCTTTCCGCCGCGTAGCCGTCGTCAACAGGGACATCTTCTCCGAGAACCTCTTCAAGGCCGTACAAGCCGACCCCGAAAGGCAACCACTCTGCCTCAGCCCAGTCAATAAGCCCGACCAAACCCCCAGCCTGAACTCCCTCGGTGCGAACCATGATATTGTCGGGCACGAGATCCCCATGAGTGATAACCCAAGGCAATCTCTCAATCCCCTCCAATTCCCCCGCCACTCTCCTCGCAACAGCTCTAAACTCTCTCGGCAGCCCCTCCACCATAATCTCCAACCTCCACCTCAAGCTCCCGCCGACTTTGCCCCTGACAACAGCCTCCCCGTCCCGTCTCCCTTTCCACGTCTCCGCAAACACTTTCGCCAGATCCCGCACAACCTCCATCCTCCTCTGCGCCACATCGAAGGCACCTACCTTCCTCAGATCCGTCAACGAAACACCGTCAACCCTCTCAATAGCATACCCACACAGCTCTCCCTTCCCGCCATCGGCCATCTCCAACCCTGTCAACATCCCCAGATCCTCGACTTCGGGAACAACACCGAGCGCAAGCAGAATCTTCCTCGCCTCCGCGCAGACGCCGACGTCAATACCATGCCGCCTAGGCCTAAATTGCACCAACCTCCAATCTTGGCAAGCTTCCCAGCTGCAGGTCTCATCAACACTTCCGGTACTGCGACTGCTCTTCCTCTCCACTTCGCATCCCGAATCCCGCCGTCGCGCGTCAGGGGGTCTGGCGAGGAGCAGGAGCGTGTAAGAACAGTATCCCTGAAAAGGCGCCGCGACGACTTCATGCCCGGGGAACCTTGTGACTGCGAATTCGTGCGCGCGGGCGATGGCGGAGCGACGCAGGCCGCATCGTAACAGAAACCCGCCGACTTTTTCGTCGTCCACGTCGGGTCTTGATGCTGATGGTATCGTCGTCTGAATCGACGTGTCGGGTTCATGGGCGTATACAATTGCCGTCGCCATCATGTTATGGTGGCCTATGTCCTAGACTGGGTTGACGCCTCATCATCTTCGTTTTTCGATCGCGTTTAGATTGAGATCGAAGAGGGGAGGGGGAAAGGAGGGGGCCGAATGTGAGTGACTTAATAAAGTCCCTCAACGTCGCACCTGCGCAGGAGCGAGATGGAGGGTGGCCGAAGGTTCACATGACAACCATCAGCACCAGCTCTACAGCGCACTCTGCAGCAGTTAGCTTTCCTCCGTTGGACGCGGGGGTACAATTGGAGAAAGAAGGGGGGCCGGATCGGGACGGGAGACATCCTACCCGACCACACCACCACCGACACAGGCGCCGCATGCCCCGCGCGGGGGCTGATGACTTGTCACCCGTTGTTGCCCACTTGGGAAATATCCCTATCGTTGTCGCTATGGGCGGTAAGTACGGTCAAAAGTTACACATGCATGCGCCACAAAGCATCTTGAGTTTGTAATGGTAAGCTTGTATTATTACCGGTGTCTGGAGCTAGAAAAGGGTTCAGTAGAATAAAGATGGTTAAGAAAAAAAAAAGTTCCAACCACTGACGAAGAAAAAAAAATCCATGTTAATGCCCATTTCCTTTACGCCGTGCCAGGGTATATATGTGATGCGGAACCCCAAGGGTGTACATGCATGCTTCTTTATTTTGGTGTAGCCGGTTGCTTTCCCATCGTACACTTCCAGCAGCCTCTTCCTGGAGGGCGACTTTGGCCGGTAGTGTAGCAAGTTAAAGTAGGCTCATCAACTCGGCTCGAGCCGGCCTTTTTGTATCCTTTCAGTCTCGGACGATGCGGCAGCAATTTGCAACCACCCAAGCTTGTGGGACGTCGAAATTATCAATCACGGAAATGGTATCGAAAATTTCTCCTTGACGCCCCGTGCCCACGTCCTCTCCTCCTCCTCCTCTTGACTCGGCTTTTTCCGGCGCCCGACTTTATACTTTTAGGCCGTTATTGATATTCGTTACACACGCGTCTACCGCGCAGATCTCGCACGCTGAACTGAGGAATTATTTGCGGCTCTTGCGGTCGAGCTCAACCTTGCTGTACCACGCAGCACCGAGCATGGTCATGAGCATTCCGGTGCCGTTGAAGAGGTGGATTTCGATGTTGTCGAAAGCAATAATGCCAAGGAGGACCGTAAGGCATTGCTTCAAGTTACCGCAGACGCTAATGGTCAGGGCACCGGCGACCTTGTTCGTTTGGAAAGAGGCAACATTCAGGGCGAAGGCGAGGACACCGTTGCCGGCGATGGCGACGAAAGTAGCGAAGCCCAGCTCGCCGTCGGAAACCATTTGCTGGAGCTTGGTCAGCTCGCCAGCGGCCATGGCACAGGCCAAGGACTGCATCGCCGCAAAAGGCGACATGCGCAGCAAAACTTCCATTGCGGGGAGCGCCAGGGGACCGGTCATAATGCGGTTGGTTGCCACAGTCTGTTGATGTGTTCTTCAGCGCCTCAGTTCATGCATTGAAAGTGGACTGTATATGGGATGAAGTTTCAGAGGGCGGAGTTGCCGGGCCCAATTGGAGCACCCAGTCCCTGCGTAACAAGGAAACTCAAAAAATCGGATGATAGGCGGGTGGTGAGAACCAAAATAACATACCTTAACCGCAGCAAGCATGACGCCCGCGAAAGTGAGTAGGAATCCAAGATCGGTAAAGGTATACTCGCCAACAGTGGTGAGGGCAGCACCGACCATGATGGGGGCGAGTGTCAGGTAGGTCATGTTCTCGTATGTGCGGCCGAAGATGACGCGATAAATGAGAACAGTAAAGACCGGGACCGTAGTCCGCAGCACTTGGTAGAAGGCTACCGACACCATGGCACTACGAAGTCGAGTTAGCATCATGCTTGTTTGAAATCTTGGCTCCGCTTCCGGAAGGGGCGGATCCAGCGAGCCTCCGCGAGGCGCCGCGCGGCAAGTGCCCAGGAAGGAAATTGGCTACTTACAGTGACAGGTTCGAAACGGCAATGTTGGTGGTAAAAAGCAGACTGAACGCGAGCAGGACGAGGTTCTCACGGCGTCCCAAGTGGGACATGGTGAAGTAGCCACCTTGAAGCAGACCATAGCATCCCAAGCTCGCGCACGTGGCGTGAATCGAGGTCAGAAGCCACGGGAAGGGGAACTGGAAAGATGTCAGTAATTGATTTTGCGAAGCTTTGTGATAGCATGCATCGTCGCATGTTTGCCTGCATTCACTCGCAGGAGCTGTGCCACGACGGATGTTGATTTGGGGAGGAAACCACGTACAAATCCGAGGACCAGCTTGTTGTAGAGGGTCAGGATCAAGCTAAAGAAGAAGTAGGCGCTCAACCAGGCAAACTTGACATTCGGTGAGATGGTGTATTCGACGGGGTTGTTGTTGCGGTTCTTGTCGGCGTCGGATTGCTGTTCACTAGCAGGGCCAGCGGCGGCCTCAAGATCATAACTCTCCTCGACACGCTTCTCGTCGCCGTTAAGGAGGCCGTGACCCTCCTCGCTCCGTCGAGCCTCAGTCTTGAAGCTGTTTTGTTCGGCCATTGCTCTGGAATTCTTTTTGATTTTCGGCTTTTCTGTAGTTGCTTGCAAAGGTCAAATAGTTGACCGTCTGTCGTTCGTCGGAAGATCGAAATGTTATTTTTGTTTTAGACTGTGTGTCTGCCCCGACGAGAAACGTTGCTGATAAGGGGCTGGGAATGGCTGACGACTGTCCAAGTTTCACGACGCAGATCGGTCCCGAGCGTGGGGGAGTTTGGGAAGGGTTGGGCGAATGTGCGTGCGTAAGTTGTCGAGTCTAAAAGTCGGACTAAAAAGCGACGAATGATGAAAAGATAGGATGCAGCGCGGAAACACGTGAAATGAGGTGGAAAGGAAAAAAAAAAGAGGTCGAAACAGCGAGGTAGAGAACGTGGAAAGGAATGAAGGTGGTTAGAAGGGGGTGAAGGAGTGAAAAGTAGAGCTGATTGAGGGCTGCAAATGCAGGTGGTGACAGGAGAGGAGGCGATGTGGAAGGGGCGTTTGTTCAGTGGGCCAGAACAAATGAACCCAAGACTTCGGATTGTAGGTGTTGCAAAGCAGTGGCTAAATCCGATGCACCAATGTTAATGTCGAAACCTGGCAGAGGGAAGAGCCTGGGAGCAGGGGGGTGGGCACAAATAAGAATTGGAAGGGAACGACAGGAACTGAATGGAAGGGAAACGTGTGGAGAGAAAGGGACTGGAGTGGGCAGAGAACGGCTCTGAGGATAAGGTGGGAATAAGTGGGATGAAGAGAGGAGACGGACGAGGATGCTGGCCACGGTCTGCTCGGTGGTGGAGAGGGGGGAGAAGGACAAGAAGAGGAACGAGAGGATGCCGAGATACTCAAACGGGCTTCTTTCTCGCTTCCGCGCTTGGCATCAATGACGTTTCGGCTGGCGGCATTACCTCTTGGTTTGTCTCCCTCTGATGCTACGGCTGTTGCTCTTCTTCAGCCAGTCTCACCCCATTTGTACTTTTTCTTTCCCTCCATCCAATTCTACTGACCACGAGGACAAATTTAATTGCACGTGTGTTCCCTTTTGGACCTGGTCTGTAGACTTTTTGGCCAGCTGAGGTAGGGGGTGCTATGTGGTGAATCAGAGCTACGAAAGCTTTTGCCTTCTGATCCGAATTGCCTTACTTCCAATGACTTAGGTGGAGAGGGAGGCTAAGTACCTGCAAAGATAGCAATAGACCAGCCACGGACTCAGAATGGTGAAAACCAAGCTCAAGGGACAGGCATGATTGCACCTTTACCTTTGGTTGGCCTACTCCAATCTGGATGCGTACTCATGTATCCGATTATCCGTCGTTGTGAGCTAGCTCTGCCACCCTCATTTGCGTACGTATCCAGGAAGGGATATCAATCTTCTTTGGAGGAAACCAATGCCAACAGCCTGCACTTTTTTTTACTCTTTAGTGTGTGTGTGATGTACATTGGCTACCCGCCCGTGATAGGTCGCCGCCCGTTTGGTTGTGCTCATTTGAGCGTGCACTTTACTTCAGGGAGGCCCGTAAGGTATCCGTAACTACCTTAATAACTCTCGTACGGTGAGTGACTTGACCGCGAGTCCCCCCCCCCCCGCGACTCTAATAGATAAGGATGTGCAGCGGCCTTGGATGCTGGAAAGCCCGGTGCCACTGCCATCATGTATCCTCATCATCTCAAGGCTGGTGCTGATGGTAATTGCCCCTCTGTCAGGTCTGGGACAGAGTGCTGCGGCAATCCAGTCGGTAGCAAGTGGACTGTTGGAGCAGTGGTAGCGGGTTCATGGAGGAGGGTTCATGGACTGGCCAGGCCCTGGTCTCCGCCTGAACTGAGCTTGTCTTGGGGGCCCCCTTGGCAGCCGCGTAAGCCTGGGCCTTGATTCATCCTGGTGCGACCGGCTGGCAGGGAGGGGCATGACTTGTAACGAAACGGGGGCAGGTTAATAAGGGAGAATGAGCTAGGGCGGCATTGGGAAAGTGGGAGATACTGGGGTCGACGTACACAATCGTTGATGAGAGAGCCGGGGTTGGAATGAATGACGATGAAGAAAAGGAAAAAGATGTACCCGCCCAGACTGGAGCGGATGGAGTTGATCGAGAGATTGGAATAGCTACAAAGCTGACGCTGACCGCCAACCCTGCGTGAAAGAAGTGTCTATCGTTGTATTATATAATACAGTACGTACCGATTCTGGAACACCTACTAGCACATAGTATCTACCTTACCATGTCACAATATACATAGACGTAGTGGACGTTCTCTCCGTGATTGCGCCGTTACCAGCAATACATCCTCTCCCAGTCTTGTACTGACTGGGCAGTGTACACAGGGACCAGCAATTTTCCTGGCGTAGGTGCGACTTACATAGTACATGACTCTAACTTTACATCAGGAACGTCAACGGCCGAATCATCAAGGCAGAGCCGACGGAACAGTGGGGGAGACCGGCCCAGCGCCAGGGGATGCGTAGGTAACAGAGTCATTTTCACTGGTTGATCTCATTTAAATGCGGCTCTAAGCATGGACCAGCATTGAAGAAGTAGACACCCAGGACAGCCGATATATCACCTGTGGATACCTTCAATGTGAGCGATGGATACTGACGCTGAGAACTCGTGGAACTGTACAAAATAATATGCTTCCCAACGGGCGGAAGCATGGCACCTTAGCTCGAGACTCGGTGAGTTTAGTTGACCAAAAAGTAAGGCGCCTCAAAGATGCGCATGCGCCTACTACTAGTATCGTATAGGGTGTGTGTGTCGCACGGGGATAGTATACTAATTGCAAACCCTTGACAGTGTGGTAAAAGTAACAGCCGAAGCCGCCGAAGAGGTTTTTTTTCGAGGGGCTTGGTTCCCTCCCTCCATCCCTTGGAGAGTCTTGGGAGGAGCGGAACTTGGGAGGAAGCAAGGAAGAAGGCAAAGAAAATAGGGGAGTGCCAAGGCCCGACAGGCGGGAAGTCACCAAGACATTGAATGCGACTGGCTCCAGCCAGTGCAGGGCGGAAATAACGACATGCAATGCAACTAAAAAGGCAAATGTCACTGGTAGAAAACCGACTGGAACATCTCCAGAGTGTAGTGCTGCTCCTGGTGCTGGTACTGCTGCGCCGTAGGAGTGGGAAGAGGTGCACAGGACAGTGGGTCTTTAGGCGGCGGAACCCTCACGATTTATCTGGAGGTGTCCGTTCCCCAAGTAGATTTGCACAACGAAACGCCTGTGGAGTTACTTATGCCGCTCCTAATTTACAGCCTACTCTTCTCGGTCTCCGTACCTACCCACTCCCACCAGATAGATGACGAGACATAGTCTTGAACTTTGTGCGGAGTGCAAAGAAGCAGAACTGCACCCCAGTTGCAATTGTTGTCTTCAGTCTCTGAGTAGGACAGCGTCACGTTGAACCAACTGTGTGCTTTTAGAACAGAGCCCGCCCTGCGTAAGCGGCGGCCAGTGACCGGCGCCAAGGGGGGAGGCCAACTATGGCTTGGCTCCGCTGGGTCTCCCATGGCTGCCAACAGCGGCCACACAACTCTGCGAGGCGCCAAAGGACACGCTGCAAACCACTGCTTTCTCTATTCCAAGCTCCCAAGCCGGCACAAGACGGCATTCCTGATATCTTGGGTTCACCACTTTTTGTCCACACTTGACCATTGGAAGGATGCCAATCCATGCCAGCAATTGCTTGTCCTCCCCAATCCATCCGAAGCACCGCGGAACGCTCGAGAACAGCACCCCTAAAACCCCCAATTCTAAGATCTTCAATTGGACCCAGTAGGCTATTTTTCATACGCGTTCTGTTATGGAAATATACCGTGTCAGCGCACCCTGAGACGCTTGTTTGCGTGTCCTCCTTGGGTACCCGAAAGGGTCGGCTAGTCATTGCACCCATATCAACGTCTTGCATCATATCAATCGCTAACCAGTGAAGGGCTAAGGCCATCCGGCCCCGCGTGTCGCCAGAGAGAGAGTGTTTGTGCGTGTGTGTGTGAAGTACATTGTAGGCCTCCTCTCCGCCGGTCCCGCCGTCCCGCGACGCCACGCTGCGCCGCCCGGGGGCCCCCTTTTTCCACTAGACCACCTTCTCTCACCTGCACCTACGTGGTAGACACACCACCACTTAGTACCTAACTTGCCTTCCAAACCCTGTTCCCCCTTCCTTGCTGCACCTGACAGACTACTATCTTGGCCTGCTGCTTTTCCAAGACAAAGTCGACTTCGTTCCTTTTTCGCCAGCTCACCCTCCCTTTATTCTGGGTAACTTTTTTTTTTTATCCATCTTGTCTGCTTCGTCCAATCCATGTATGGCTGAGTGAGCTTGCGCATCCGGCCCACACTAAGTCGAGCTTAGCTACTTCCCATTCTTCCGCACTTCTTCCCCAGACTCTACAGGAAAACCAATCCTCGTCAAATCACAAAGTGCGGCTCAATTGCACACTTACTAGTCAGCTGTGTCTCTCCATTCGTCTACACTTGGCCATATCTTACAAGGTACCTTCGCAACGTAAGGAAGTCCAAGACAGCCTAGGCGACATCGAGACAAGTCAAGACAGACAACGACCCAGTGTACAAGCCCGTGGTCAATAGGGAGCACCAGCACCACCACCACCACCACCAACGATTTTTCTGGGGGCGGATCCTCACAGACAAGTTCTTGGAAACACTCTCCTGGATATTGATTGGTATTGGCATCCGGCATTGGCGTATTATTTGACAGCAGTCCGCCAGCAGTTTCCCCATCGGCCAAGTTCTTGCCACATCTAGCTTCTCGGCTTCTTTTTATCTCCGTCTGGCCCCCCTTCATTCTTTCACGACGACATCTTTCGACTGAGTGCATCCACTTCATTTTCTGCTCTCTTTACAGTCCGCTCTTTTGGTTCGTTACACAATTTTGTAATACACAACTACACTCTCGTCAACACAGTCGACGTCGCTGCAGCAGCCGCTTCGACGCTCATCTACGACCTCTACCTGCCCGCACTTCGAGCACGCCCACTCCAAATCGCCCACCCTGGATCTCAAGCCAATCCGGCAGCTAAATGAAACCCGCTTCGGCCCCATGGTGATGGCACTGAAAGGCCGCAGACTTGTTCTGCTGGCCGCGTTCATCGTCGTCGTTTTTCTCCTCATATTTTCGCAGTCCACCGTTCCGGAAAGCTTGAACTGGGTAAGTTTCATTGTCGTTACTTCAGAGCTCCGTCCTTCCCTTGATCGCCGTAACATGTCTGCGACTGGCTTGGGTTTTTTGGAGGGTTTTTTTTTCTTTTCTTTCTCTCGTTGGAGGGAGGAATGTTCCCACGTGCCGAGTTGGGCTGAAACGCCAGCCGAACTCCTTCCTACCAACACCTGAGACATCAGCCGTGATTGACACTGACGCTCGCTTCTGTCCTAGCCCGACCTCTCGTCTTCTCTTCCCAACGTTGCCAGCAGCAAAGATTCTATTCCCTCGAGCAAAAAGGGCAAGGATGGCTCGCCGGGTATCGGCCGCTTCCACTTCCTCATCGCCGCCAGCGCTCCCAATTTGCAGTTCTGTCGCGCCCTGGTTTCGTCGACTGTGAATCGATTCGGCGCCCCCGTCATTGCAGGATGGAACGCCACCGGCGAAAACGATGCCGCTATTTCTCACTTGGCCAAGATCCGTGTCGTGACCAAGTACCTTGAGGATCTTGACGGGGCTGCTGACGATGATCTTTTCATGATGATCGACGGTTACGATGTCCTGCTGCAGTTTGGCCCCGATGTGCTGATTGAGCGCTACTTCAAGGCTGTGGAAATGGAGGACGAGCGCATTATTCAGCAACTCGGACCCGAGAAAGCCGCGAACCTCGCCGGCCCCTTAGGACGACACATTTTCTTCGGCGCTGACAAGATCTGCTGGCCGATAGATTGGCGCCGACCAGCATGCTGGGCCGTCCCGCCTGTGCCTAACATGGATGGCCGGGAGTTTGGCCCCGCGACGAACGGCGGAGATATGGCCTACAACCACCCAAGGTGGCTGAACAGCGGTACCATCATTGGTCCGGTTAAGGAGGTTCGTGCTATGTTCCGCGCCACGCTGGACCTCATCAATGAGGTTTACGACCCAGAGTACGAGTTCAGAGAGAGCGACCAGTTCTACATGAGCGATATCTGGGGCCTTCAAGAGCTTGAGCGCATTGACATGCAGAAGGAGGAGAACCCAGACGCCCCCGTCATGCGGCCCCCGGAAGACGGTTTCGTGCCGGAGCTGGAGCCTCAGTACAGTTACAACTTCCACATTGCGATGGACTACTGGAGTCTCATGTTCCAGACGTGGGCTGCGTACAATGAATGGGTTGATTGGCGCAAGTTCATTGGACCTCTCTACTCTTTCGAGGTCACTCAAAACGTGCGCCACAACTCTGATTTTGTGCCCTGGCACCTACACATGCAAGCGGATGGCATGAAGTCGCTGAAGCGCATATTCAACACTACTGGCGACGAGACCATGGGCTCAACGGTCAACGAATTGATCCGAAAGTCCGAGTTTGGTGCCAACATAGTCACAAAGCAGACGTTTCCGTTGCTTCACGTTACCGGTGAAAAGGGAGCGCTGGATGCCTTCTGGCCCCGCATGTGGTTCTTCCCTTATTCCCGTTCGTTGATCCGCTCTGCCATTATCTGGTTCAAGGGCGGTGAGGCCTACACGGATCAGCCCATTAACAACCGGATATGGTACCCCGCGCACCCGTACCCAAAGGAAATCCGGGAGACGGACGGAGGTGCTTTTTCAGATACCAGCAACGACAACAAGACCGCCTATTGGCTCGACTTCGAGAAGCTCTGCGCTGAGCACACCAGTATCCTCTTTGGAGAAGAGTAACTCTCTAGGATGGCGCTTGCCACCCTTTGTTTGGTTTAGCATATTTTGAGCGTCTTGGGTTAGAAGGTTTGGGAACCCACAGTGCAGATTCCACATGAATCGGGGGCATCAAAAGAGCAGCAGGAGAGATCTGTTGCAAACAGGACTAAGGAAGGTCCATAACACACAATGTCACGGCCAGCATTACATGTCTCATCACTCCATGTAAAAGATGTAATACCCACACCATATGTTTCTACTTTTTTTTTTCTCCTTCTCTTTTTCCCTTCATTCCTGTATAACGTAACGTTGCCTGTCGCCTTCAGCAGCAGCGGCAGCATGGCGATAAGGAAGCAATAGACAGTCCGCCAGAAGCGGCGTTCATACAACACTCACTAGAAATTCCTTTTGCAAGTGAGTCTGAAAGTTGAGTTGGTAAAAAGACGCAGGGCGTCGTGGGTATGGCCGAGTTTGTCTCATTAAAACCTCGAGGCCGTCACTGTCTCGGCATGGGCTGTTGTCTCACCACTGAGGCTTCCATCGGGGCGGCGGACGAGGTGAGGTCAAGTTTGACTTTACAGGGCAATGGGTGTGCAACGTGGTCTCCATCGAGGATGGACCGAACTGTCGGCCATTCCAGTTTCTGTAGGGCTGAAAGGGAGACTATTGGAATGTTAATGAGTATGTGGCGGAAAATAGCGTCCTGTAGTATGTCTCTTGATAAAGTCGTCGTGGGGGCGCTCTTGTCTTACAAGGGAGGAGAAAATGTTTTTTTTTTTTTTTGGCGGCCAGCTGAACCAAGTTAGGCCTGCCAGGGTGTCAGGTTCCTTACTTTTTCCTAATTAGGGTGTTGTTGGGTGGTGAGTCTTGGCGTGATTGGTTGGGCGTATGACAGCCACTTCTGCGGCCTAGCCGGAACCAACCACCTGCCAAGACGAGACAGTTTGCTACTAAATGGGGTTTTGAGTTGTTATTGGAAAAAAGAAAGAAAGAATAGCGAGTTTGATAAAATGTAGGTTACCGAGGGCGCAGAGACATGCGTGGGAAGCTGTGGCGATGTCTTGTAGGCTCACGACGTCGTGTGATGAAGAAGTTTCTTTTTCGGGTTTCGATAGAGTCTAGAAAGGGAGGATGGAGATTGTGTACACCACCATCACGAATGACTTACAAGGTCGGTGATGCTATGGATCGACGGGTGAAGCTGGGGAGGAGTCGCTTTTGGGTGCTTGTTGAATCGGTGAGGTATCTCGGGATTAGGGGGGTCCGCTAGTAGTGATTGCGTGAGCCTACAGATCTTGACAGTCAGACGGGAGTCATCACTTTCGCGGTGGATGTAATGCAAAGTGAGGCAGGTACAGTCAGACGGCATAAGGATGTATGGAGGAGGGGCTAGTTTGCATGGGTTCATGCTAAACTTTTGAGCCCCCGGTCGTGAAGAAGGGAAATGTTCGAAACTCTCTCGATACATGCTGTCAGTTTGTTTCTCTTCGTCTGATCACGGGACGGTTGAGGAGTTGAGATTAGTTCAGCTGATGTTTGGAACCTTATCGGTGTCGTTTTGAATTGGGGCGAAACAGGGGTATCCTAAAGTAAACGAAAATGGTTGTAAGATGAAAAGCTGCCTTTTCGGACGGCAATCGAGGGTGTGGTTTGCTAGATGCTGGCATAAGGCTCATAAGATGACATCCTTCGTTGGATGGTAGGATTAATATTTTCGAGGGCAGTCTTATAATTAGCGGTCCACTGTCAGGGTCGTCGTACTTGGGCAAATCAGAGGCGGTACGGTCTACATCCACCCGTGTCCGAACGTTTTCCTCTCGAGACTTTGAATTGCCTTATTTGGGGTCTTTCAATCTAAAGCCAGATGAGCAACAGTTCGGTCTGGCATAGCTTTGTCCGGCATTCAGATGTTTCCTCGCGTCAGCGTCATTCTACCATAAAGTAAACGTCAGTGCCAAACAGTGCACAGAGCAAGTCGCCAGTGCTATTGCTTCGCCTTGCAAAATCCTAGGCTCCATCATCCGGCGAGCTACCAATTACCCCTTTCGTAGATGGATTTTGTCACCTGCCACATGCGGCAAGCACCCATTCACGTCACCCGAGATGGTTTAGCTGTCGGCAGGATGCAGGCTTAAGGCGCTGTTGCTGCTCATTTCTGCCGTGTGGCTCGTCCGGCCACTTAGCGTTCCCAATTGTCTCCATGGAACCACACTTTGCTGACTGCTAATATAGGCATGTCTGCAACTTGCTAATGGTGGATGGTACGGCCTTCGTTAAACATTGGACAGCTGCAAACCCTCAGCCCCTCGACTCCTTTGCATTCTGCAAGCGGGAGAGGCTGAGCAATTGGTGACCTTTTTTCAACACTCTGGTTGATCTTTCTTGATGCTATTCTAACTCTATGATTAATTGATGACTGGTCGCCCCAGTACAGCCATCGTTCCGCCTCCCTTTCTGCCTGCCTTGTGCAACACCCCGCCAAAGGGCCCGCCCTTTCCTACCCCATCTCACCAAACATAGTTGAAGGTGTTCGCAATGCAGCCAATCAATACATCAGGATGCTACATCCCGCCGCCGCGATCTTCTGTGTTGCATACTTACCTAATATGCTCCGGGCAAGGGTTTACACCGCTTTACAGCAACCATCCCCTACTTCTTTGACGGTTTTTATCTTCATCAGGCATGTCAAAGTTCAGCCTCGTTCTTGGCCCAACAAGGAGCAGCAACGGCATTAGGCCGCCTCCACACCATGTCCTCTCTTGCTTACTCCCCTGTGATGGGAAACGGACTCTGCGTCCTTTCCCCGGCGATGCCTGCCGTCTGCCTGCCCTCCCATAGGGCAGCCTTGCGAACCGCCATGCTCAATTGAGAGTGTCGCATCCCATGCCTGCTTTAATAGGTGCCTAGGACAAGGGCCTCGTCGGTTGCCCCTGCACGTATAAAGAGGGAACTGCCGCTGCTTGAATGTCCATCGGAAAAATGAGCATCGTGAATTTGCAACACCCATTTGCAGGATTCGATTTAGATCAGTATTTTAGACACACTTGACACCCGCGTCTCTTCACCGCTGTCAAGTCCAACGAACTCCTACCCAAATCCACCTAGAACCTACGCGTCGCCCCTGGCCCTTGTTGATCCACGTCGGTTTTTGGGCTACCGTCCATCGTGGCATCCCGGATTGTCACCACTATGGACTACTCCCCGAAAAGGTTGATTGTGTGCTGTGATGGCACATGGATGGACTCGTAAGTGGCGCTCTTTCTCACCTTCCACCTCCGACAGTGTCTGCCGTACTAACCAGCCTAGCGAAACCGGCTATGTCAAGCCGAGGTTCTGGAAGCCAAAAGGCCAGCTCCAGATCCCCTCAAATGTGACACGCATCTCGAGATGTTTTCGCCGGAAGTGCACCGACGGTCGTGTGCAGGTCATCGAGTACGAGTCGGGTGTTGGGACGGGGAGCAACACTCTTGATGCCCTGACTGGAGGCGCCTTCGGGCTCGGTTTGTCTGAGCGAGTCCGCCAGGTCTACAGTTTCCTGTGCGCAAACTACTGCGATGGCGACGAGATAATACTCATCGGCTTCTCGCGCGGCGCGTACACAGTCCGCTCCGTAGCTGGCATGATCGCCGATTTAGGTCTTCTCACCCGCGAGGGTGTGGAGCACTTCTACCCAATTTTTAAGGACATGGAGAACTGGATGAATGACGAATATATCGACGAGTTTCCTAGTATGCCGTTTGATAACAAGCCCAAAGGCGTCGATGCTGCCTACGAATACAAGGCGAGGTTGGAGAAGGTGAGACTTTGATTTGGTCTTACTCAACGGTACAGGCGCTGATCTGAACAGCTTGGTATGACCCGCGTTCGACAGAATGAAGGCCATGGAGACATCATCAAGGTTAAGGCCGTCGGTAGGTCTTGTTTACCCTTGCAATCGGGGCCCTGGCTAACAGAAGACAGCTGTATGGGATACCGTTGGTAGCCTCGGCATCCCTCAAATAGCCTGGCTGAACAAGCTCGGCATCTACGCATCGAACGAGGAGTACAGATTCTGGGACACCAGCCTATCGGACCGCGTAGAGCACGCCTTCCAGGCTCTCGCGCTCGATGAAACCCGCTATTCCTTCCAGCCTGCCGTCTGGGAACGCTTGGATGCAAACCGTTTGTCGACAGATCTCCGACAGGTGTGGTTTCCTGGAAACCACTCCAACTGCGGTGGCGGCTGGAATGATCAGGGCATGGCCAATATTACTCTTGCTTGTGAGTCTGCCTCGTCGCCATCAAAGAGTGTGATTTACTAACTCAGTCAGGGATGATGGACCAGCTGGCATCGATCGGCGTAGAGTTTAACCACCTCGCACTCGAACGCTGCGTGAATCAATCAAAATCATTCTACCGCTCACAACAGAAAATCAACAAGGAGAAGAAGTGGGCTCTCGAGCCCATTTTCAGTCAGAATCATCCACTTCGGCCATGGGGCTTGGGTTCCATTCAGAAGACGTCGAACATTCTATACTCTCTGGCCGGGAAGATTACACGCACTCCGGGTCTCTACAAACAAGTCAACCCGAAGACTGAGGTTGGCGAGGGGCCTTTCCTCAAAGACACAAACGAGCGTATTCACTCCTCCGTCCGCATCCGTCTGGCCTGCAAAGGCCTCGACCTCAATGATGTCGGTGTATGGAAGAACCCCGCTCTCAAGAAGAACTGGAGGCTCGTCCGCACCAAGACGGCTTACCACGACCCCGTTCCGCACCACCCGCATTGGGAACCGGAGGACGACAGAAAGAATTGTATTCAGCATCCAGCTGAATCTGAGGACGGCCGGTGGGTTTGGGAGTACTGCGGCCCCAAGAGGCATGCGCCTACCAGTCCTCAAGCGAGAATTATGGTCGAGGAGCCGCTGGGACCGTACGAAAGACACTTGTTGAAGTTGACGGGTGGTAGTCCCAGCGTGTACGAATGGGCCCACAAGAATGCCTTCTAGATGAGCGTTTGGCACTTGGAGTAGTTTGTCTTTTAGCGGCATTTTCGGGCGTCGAGATACCACTTTATCCTCATGAGAATGGCGTTGGGGTTTAGCATCGCATGACATGAGTTCAGGGCATTGGAAATAGAACTAGAGGAATGAATCGAACATGTAACAGCAAGTGGTGTCTTGGCAATTTGTGACGTGACTGTCTCTGTGCAACAAAACCACTACTAGTTCAGCAAGTGAGAGGCGGCTAGTCAAGCTCGGAAATCAACTAATGGTGGTCAATTATGACAGCATGCTGCACATTATGACTTGTAATATTTATGTCGAGGCTGCTATTATGTGCGTTTATCCCAGCGGCCGGTTGCCCGCCGGATGCTCCAAGCTCTCTCCGAAACGAACTGCTCCCCAACATTTTATTTCTTGCCATTCCTTATTTTTAGTTTTGCTGGGCTAATTAAGCAGTGTCAAGGGTATGTCATATCTGGGACTCCCTCTTCAAGCTGCCATTGGAGTACAGCTCAGGGGATACAAGGTGAAATTACAACTTCGTTGAAAAAAACCATCATCTTAATCGGTGCCATGACTGGAGCACGTTGGTTATTAGTCCGTCGTTGCATTCAGAGGAACCTTTGCACTACTAAACCCCACTAGAGGAGAAGCGTGTCAGTTTTGGGTTACCTTGGATGCCTATCGTGAGTTAAGTTGTAGCATATCTAGATGGAAACAGCGTGAGACGGACAGAGTGCAGCTATCGTCAGGCCCCCCTTTTGGGTTCCTCACGTTCAAGAAGCTGTGCTAATCGCAGAGTGCTTTTTGTATAATGTGGACTGGCCAAGGGCTTCTTCCGTACAAAGTAGGGGTACATGTGAATGGTATGGACACGACAAAGATAGGTTCGCATTGACAAGGCACCTGAAATTGCAACATCCCCTGATGCCATCTTCGATTTCCAGTCGTCCGTTCCCTACCTTTCTCGGCCCATTCCAGGCCCGCCGATTTGCCAGACGACGCCAACAACTCACTCAGACTAAACAGCAAGTGCCGGGGCGATCGATCGCTACGGTCTCGAACCTCAACCATGATCAACGAAGGAACACAACGGAATCGTGTGGCGAAGAAAGCAATGCTAATCTAATAGGGGGTTCCCAACTAGTCGGTACCTTTAATTGAGACCCGGACGCCCGCCTCGTGGACTTGTGGAAAGCTCGTGTGCCCGCTGTTCCTTATTTGGTAGCGAAGTGAAATTATGCGCTAGTAGGTCAAAAAAAGGGAGAATAAAGGAGAGCCAAAGGCGCACGATAGTTGGGTTCTTCCCCCTTTCCCCAACTTACTAGGCGTCCTTTGTGAAGCTTATTGCCTCTTAGGTTTTACCAAGCTTTCTGCTGGCTCAACCGGTGGCTTCAGCCGCACACCAGATAAGTTGTTTCCCGGGTTGTAGTTGGCTGTTTATTCCAGCCACCAACCTGAATTAAATCAACGGGACTTTTGATGTCGTCAACCACGTTGGAAGAAACGATGGCAAATGAAGACATGGCCGAAATGAGTATATGTAGAGGTCCTTTGCCTCAATCATTCTGTTCTTCACCTCATCACATCACATCACTCACCACCTTTCACATCATCATTTCCACCTACCTGCCCCTGTCCCTCATCGAATCTGTCTGCCCACTACACTTGCACCACATCCCGAATCACCTTGCATCGCCTCTATATACCTTACCTAGCATCCCCCAACCCGTTCGATCGCCACTCGCCACTCGCCGCTCACTTCTCCTCCACCATCACAGCCGCTCTTCCTTACCATGCCCCTCCATCGCCCATCCCGCTCCCTTCTACATCTCCCACCTGCTACTTCGCTCTCACCACGATCTTGCCTAAATAACACACCCCCCACAACACAAATCAGTTCACCTTTATAAACTCCTACCTCCACTGCCCGCAGAATTCTTATTAGTTCCTTGTCTAGTTTTCCCGATCACCCCACCTTCTCACAACCAAGAATAACTACCCATCACCTGCCCCGTCAACCCTCCTTCACCAGCTCCCGTCTTATCTCAGTTCGCATCATCTTATCCTTATCATTTCATGCCCTTGTCATGTTATTCCCCGACCCCCTTACCTTCTACCCGGTGTCCCCTTTCTACGAATTAGACAAAACACTCGGCTCATTACCTCCTCACATCTCATTGCCCTCACTCTCATACCCTTCACATCACCTAGCGCAGCACTCTTCCCGTCTCATCTCCTGCCTTCCCTTGCCCTCCTTCGCCCCGGACCAACACCGCCCTTCTCTCACCCTCGCCCGAGTCACTTCCTTTCCTCCTTCCCTTCCCTTCCCCAATGCAGGGGAAGGGCTACTCTTGTAGAACTAAGGGTAAGTACAACCACATTTCAGTGGGGGAGAAAGATTTGACTAGACAGCGTATACCTCTGAAAGTGTTTATTGTGAAGTCACGAAATGCACTCAGATCAGGATGAGAGGAGGGGGTTCCCGTAGGCTTTGGTATTTCGACGAGGGAACGCAGGTCATAAGATTCGAGGCCGATCGCACCGTTACTTCACCACTTGGAAACGGGTAGCATTTCGAAGGAGGCGTGCCGCTTTTTCACAGCGTACTCGAGACTGAACAAAGAGGCAAGAGAAGTTCACAAGGAAAAGAAAAAAAAAAAAAACAATCTGAACGATCCAAAACTGGCGGGCGTCGTGGGAAGATATAGAGCGGCGTTTTGATCGAGTCACAAACAGGCTGGCGCCTCGGAGGATTGCACTGTCATGGCGAAAGTGCAGAAAGTGTGGTCAAATGACGGCTGGATAAGACAAGGTCGGTGGTCATACGGTGACTCAAAAGGCAAGAAAGACGGACGTGGCATGTAGGGTGAGAAATACTTAGCATGGCCTTGGGTGCCTTACGAGGAGACCGAGCTTCATATATATTCAATGCCATTTCACTGCATTTTTAACCCCTCCAAAGCCCGTGTAGTGAGGGCCGCGCACCTGCAGGCAGCCATGGCTCGCTGCGCCTCCAAGGCAGCCTGACTGGCAGCCTGCTCGACCGCCTCACTTTCGTCGGGCGCAGCAGGGCGGGAAGCAGCAGCTTAGACGCGCATGGAAAGGGGGGAAAAAAAGAAAAAAAAGAAAGAAAGAAAAAAGGGGCCACGCATCAGCGGAATGGGCTTCGAGTTGAGTTTTGCTACTTCGAATTTCCACTCCTGCCGGCAACGCGTGTAGATGAAGTTGTCGAAGTGGATTCACGGACCAAGGTAAAAGGCAGGACCCGGGATTTTGGCGGCGGCAGGCGGGGGACCGCAGGATCGATGATCCGATAACGCGAGCCTTGGACCGCCGTGTCAACTGGCAGCACAACACTGTGTCATGCTTACTTTGTGTTGTTGGATTGAGCTATCTCAACACCTCCCACAATGGCCTCCCTTATGGCCACCCTCGACGCTCTGTCGGCACTCTCTCCAGCCCAATGGTGCCAAATATTCTTCAGCCTCTCTTCGGCCGCCGTCTTGGCTATCCAGATCATTCCCAAGGCGGCCCAGCATGCACTGCTTGATTATGGCGCTCGTTCGCCCGTCGGCACCGACGACCAGATGAAGGAAGGGGGACCCAAGGCGACGAATTGGTTCAATGATTTCATCAAAGCGACCGCGTCCATCGGCCAGATCCCGCATGCATGGTTTATGCATTTCTACGTGGCGTCAATCGCGGGCTCAGCATTCTGGGCATACGAATTCATCCGAGATGGACCGGCTTTCAGATTCATCGCAGCTCGGCAGGCACAGTCGGGTAGCCCTGCCATGAGCCTAGAGCAGACGATTCTCGTTTGGGTATTAATGGCGCTGCAGGGATCCAGGAGGCTCTATGAGTGCTTCTTCGTGACGAAGCCTGGGTCTTCTAAAATGTGGTTCGTCCATTGGCTGCTCGGTCTAGGGTTCTACATCTGCATGAGTGTGTCGGTCTGGGTGGATGGATCAGGCAAGTTCTCTCAGCCGTGTCATCATCAGCAGCTCCCACTAACTTTCCAAGCTTCCCTCCAAGGAGCGTCTGGGCTAAACACTGGCAGCCTACTATCATTCACCCCCACCCTTGGAACCGCCGTGTACTTTTACGGGTGGGTGAACCAGCACTGGTGCCATAAGCATTTGGCTAGCCTGAGAAAGTATTCGCTTCCGGATCAAGGGCTATTTCGATACATTGTATGCCCTCACTACACCTGCGAATGCATTCTTTATCTTGGGCTCGCTATAACAGCGGCACCGGAGGGCCAATGGGTCAACCGCACTCTTTTGTGCGCCTTCTGGTTCATTGTTGTCAATCTGGGGACAACAGCCGATGGAACCAAGCAGTGGTATGCGCACAAGTTTGGCGCCGAAAAGGTAGCTCATAAATGGAAAATGATTCCATTTTTCTTCTAGACTCACTTGAGCCGCGATATCACCTTTTCCCAAGCAAGCCAAACTTGGCCCCGAGCTTCGATACCTTCATGACATCACGATACGTCAGACTGGTTCTAGTTGCGCGCACATTTCGGCCGGCGGCAAACTCGTCTTTGGATCGCAGCAGGTCCCAATTCACAATAGTCTCGGCGGACAACTCGACGTCTTCATCGGTATCAGCAATGCCGTGAAGGTAATCGGTGTAGAGGTTATCGGTGGTGATGAGGAGGCTTCTAGGTTCTTGTAGAATGCGCCAAACGGGCTCCGGATCCAGCGCACCGTCCTCCCTGCTTTGGTAGAGATTGAGACATAGACTTGCTCCCAAGCTGACAGTGCACACGACTGGATGATAGGCAGCCCCGTCCTGTATCCATTATGAGATTCAAGTACCTTCACGTAGGCACCTACCATGTACTCAACTTATGCGGCATGATTCCAACTCCGGGAGGATACTCATTTATCAGGACGTGGTTCGGTCGGTGGTGTGGACTTTCGGCGAAGAGGTGTGATGAATCAGGACCGGTGGTCCGAGGTAAGGAAAGAATTCGCGAGACCACGGGCTCTTGCAACCATTGTGGCAGGGGAGAATCAATCAGTTTATTCTGAACTAGATCAGACGGCCAGGTTTGGAGACGTCGATGAGTCAGTTGTTTCCAGCGAGGTTTCGGCGCATCAGCAATCTGTTGGGTGCCAGGCAGACAGTCAGCCATAAAGTTCGCCCAGGCTTTTCGAGCAAGGGCTCGGCACCTTTTGCAATATCAGTTGTTCTTCCTCTTCGGATATGAATCCCGCAATGTAAAAGGCCGAAGATGGGAGTTGGGTGATCTTGACGTCGTCAAGGGAAGTGGGTAAGTTCACAGCTTCCGCAGCCATTTTCCCTGGATGGCCTCGTGGCTGTGGGGTCAAGATGTTTGATGGTTGGCACGCGATCAGTGTGATCTTGTGCTTCGTCCAACTTTAAGTAGGCGAAATTCGAGGAATGTGGATGGTGAAGTCGGGAAAGCTAGGCGCGGCGGAGCTTATCGATGCGAGGGGTAAGGTCAATGAGGTAAGCTGTACTATGTAGAGCTTGAAAGTTGGGTAGGTAGGGTAGGGTGGTAGTCAGGCCAGGCCGACTAGCAGCGACAACTAAGCGTCAAACGGCTCGGCAAGCTAGGAAGATCTAGGCACTGCCAGGCAATGGGGCGATTGTACACTACCACACTACATGATGAGTTGGAGTGGAGCAGTAGAGACGGGAGCTGGAAGCAGAGGGAGGCGAGAGGTGGACGTGGCCGCGGCAGTGCGCGGCTTGGGCAAACCGCTCTAAAGGAGGTTCGAGCGCACAAGCTCAGCAGTCAGTCTACAGAAAGTCGGCGGATGGAACTGTGGCGCTGGAACATTGGGGGCGAGAGCGGAGACGGATGACTGCGTATGAAAAGTACGCTAGTCTTAAACAGGAGGCGGGAGGAGGATTAGTCACGGCCCAGTGGGAGTGGTTGTTGGGTTGTGCCGTTCTCAGTGAGCAGAGCTCCGTTTTCGAAGTGGTTTTTGATTCGTTCTTTCACTTCAAGATGCGACGATGGGGGAACACTGGTGGACGAGGGAGAGAGGAGGAAGAGGAGCTGCTGCGACGCTGTAGGAGGTTGGGATTGGTCGTTGTGGGTCACTGGCATATCGAAAGCCCAGTACGTACCTCAAACCTTGCAGGACGGCGCAGCAGTACCAGGCGGTACGTATCTGACCGGAGGCTTGGTGAGGTTGCTGGGCCTTTTTTCACTTTTTTTTTTTTTTTTTTTTTTCTTTTCCTCTTCCCGTTCCCTTTCCCTTTACCGAACCGTCGAATTGGCAGGGCAATAGTCAGACAGAGTCTCGTGTGAATGGTCGGGGCCTCGTTTTAAATTGAGCCCAAGAGAAATTTCGCAGGCTGGTGGCCAGGGTCAGGTGGCCTGCTACCTCATTGCCGAGTGCATTTTCCCAAGGTAAGGAAGATACCTTAGTGCGCAGCTGCAGTGAGAGAGAGACGCAGCACACGGCACGCTATCTCACCCTATCTTTCTGAAGCAAGGTGGGCTCTGGGGCTACTTCCAGGTTGTATCCTGTTTTGGTTTGCTAGCGCGCCTTCCTGATACTTGCAGATCAGGCCAAAAAGGCAGGAGCTGCAGGTACCTCGAAATCAAGTACGTAGTTTCGTCTATGTCCATGTCCCATCCACCCTGAGTCCGTCAGGCTGCCACTGCCACTGCCACTGGGACTCTGCTGCTGCCACTCTGCCTGCTTGCCTGCCTGCTGCTGGCCGCCCGTATTCCAAGCGTCCCCCGTCGGGTCCAATCAAAGAGGTGGCGATCAGACTTTTTGACTCTGAAGACACTTGCGGCCCCATTTTCACCTTCCAGCCAAACCCGAACGAAGCGTCCAGCGTCACCAAGCCTGCCTTTTCCAGCATTACCACCCACGCCGCGTCCATCGAACCACACGCATCATTATTCCGGCCAGGCGCTTCCTTTGTTTTTTTCCCTTTATCGTCGTCGTGATCCGGTCTTTTTACTCCTACTCGACTACCGACTCCACCATCTTCGACTGTTGCACCCCCGTGACTGACCTGGCCACTTTCTCTTAGGGGGGTCCTTCCTGGCGACCGAGAAAGTCGTCCACCGATCGCGAATCAATCAATCACCCAATTCAATCACGACCTCAGTTCTCTCACTCGTGGCCGACCTTTGGCCAGGATGGTGCTGGCCAGTTTTTCGACCCTCAGATAAATGATATGGATGCGCAGAATGCTGCCGGGTCTGACAAGCCGAAGCCCGTCGCTGCTGCGGAGAAGCGACCGGGCAATCACCAACCTGATGAGTCCAAGGAGTCCACCAACAAAACCCCAAAGAGCGCGGACGACTCCATCAAACTTGCCCCAAATTTGCCCAAGGACATCAAGCCTAGCGTAACTGTATCACGCGCGCCCCTTCCTGGTGATGACGCTCCCGTCGAGAGAGACTCGGATGCCGAAACAATTGTGTTACCCGGCAAGGACGGCCACTCGCCTTCCAAGGCCAGAAAGGTAAAACACGAGGATCGCAGCGATGGAGAGCCCCCGATCCCCCGCAAGATTCGTGATGCCAGTGCTAGCAGAGATGGAGACAAGGACAAAACTGCCAACCCTCCTCGTTTGTTGTCCGAGGGAGCATCTTCGTTGGGATTGAAGAAGAAACGCCTTCACGACCAGTCCATACGCAATAAAGATGGCTCCAGCGGCCTCAGCTCAGCTCCTGCCTCTCCTCCAAGACGTCGAATTGGTGCGCATTCCGACTCCGACTCGGGTGTTGATCGTAGGAAATCTCCTAAGCTGCCCATGAAAGACCGAGCTAAATCCACCGACCGGACGGTTCCCCACAAACGTAAAGCTCCCAAAGCGGACTCAGACGATGAGGCGGAAAACCGAAAGGCTCGACGACAACGCATCTCGGATATTGGCATCGATTCTCGACCAAACCGTCCCCTCAAGGAACACAAGGTGTCCTCTGTTAGAAGAGAAAACGAGGGCCACTCAGGATCTCGTACCAGATCCGTATCTCCCCACCACCCACGTGCCCACCGACGGAGCATTTCGACGCAACTTCCTGCAAACTCGTCTAATGGTCTGAGCCACAAGAAGAAACGATTGCCGCCCCCGCTCCAGTCGACTGACTACCACTCTGATGAGTCTTCTGCGAGCGGCAGCCCCCATCCACGGAGCTCCAAGCTGCGCAACTTGTCGACACCCGCCACTGCCGAGTCAAACATGTCGCCTGCCAAAATCGCGCCACATAAGAAACATCTCGACGCTCACGGTCAGACGTTCCTGGCGAGGGCTTGCGCCAGAGGCGAGTACGACATTGCAAAGCAAAGGCTGGGCGAGCGGCCTGAGGATCTTAACGTCGCCGACTACGCAGGAAACACGCCACTCCAGATCGCTGCGATTAATGGTTACGAGGATATCGTTAAGCTTCTTATCGACGCTGGCTGCAACCTGGATTGTGTGAATTACGATAAGGACACACCATTGCTGGATGCCGTCGATAACGGCCACCTCGGGGTCGTGAAGCTGCTGCTGAACGCAGGAGTAAATCCGCGAAAGGCTAACGTAAGCGGTGAAGAACCTCTTGATAGGGTCAGCGACGACTTGGACAACGCAGCAGAGTTCCGCGCTGCACTTATCGAAGCGAAGTCGAGGCAGGGCGAACGCCGACGCACGTCAGAGGATCATCATTCTGTCGACCACCAAGACGGCCGTTCATCACACGGGCCTGATAGCCCGCGACGGTCACCTGCGCCCTCTTCTGCTCATGCCAGTGGTCGACGGGCCGGAACTGTGAGGGCGACCAAGACGAGCAACTACTTGTTATACATGTCCTTGGACGACAAGACACTCCGACAGGCCGCTGCCAGGGGTGACGAGGAGACGGTAACAAGAATTTTACAAGTCAAGGATGGCTGCGACGATTCCGAAGCCATGGTCGCTGCCGCTCGAGGTGGACATGAAGTTGTAATCCAATTGCTTTTGGCTTTGGGTGGTGCGAACCCAGATCCTGCCCCAGTTCCCAGTATACCATCAGAGTTTGCGACGCCCATGCTAGCTGCCATTGGCCAGGAGAACATAAAAGTCGTTAGGTTGCTCTTAGACCAGGCAAATTTTGATCCGACTCGCCGATTCAAAGGAGAAACATACTATGAGATTGCACGACGCCGACAAGGGACCAATTGGAAGGACGAAGAGCACATGCTAAAGGAAGCTTATGATGCGTACAGAAAGTCGCATCGTGATATTTCAAAGACGAAATCTCCGAACAGACGTGAACGCGAGAGAGAACGAGAACGGGAGCGTGACCGAGACCAGGAACGAGAAGTAAAGCGCCAGAGCCGCAACGAACTCAAAGAGGAGGCTCGAGCGCACAAACGCAACCTGTCCAGCCCTTCCCGCGACCCAGAGGCCCGGAAGAAGCCTTCAGCTAATCGGAACATCACGAGTCCCAAGGAAAAGCGACGATCTGATTCTTTTCACGACGACCAAACATCACCGAAGCGGGGCCCTGGCAGACCTCGAAAAGAAGACCGCGTTCCGACAATCGCTGTCTCTGATCGTGAAGCATCACCGGCCTTATCGCAAAAACAGACAGCTAAGGCCGTGAAGCGCGCTGAATCCGACGTGGCTGCAATGTCGTCCGAAGGCGAAGCCGTCAAGCCACGCAGGAAGTTGATATCTAAGGGTGAACTTCGGGGCGAGAGGGAAAAAAGCCGACGCGCTAGCATGGTTTCCACCACCTCCTCTCTGAAGGATCCATCTAGTCCACGCGACCCCAAACATGACGACCACCCCGAGAAACCCAAGGGTGAGCCCCTGTCTGAGAAATATCACGATCGCACGAAGGCCCTTAAGAGGGACGAGTCGAGAGATCGGCTTTCTGTTTCAGGCGAGCACTCCTCAAAGAGGCATCGTTCCAGCGTCACCCCGCCACATTCGAGTACCGGTGAAAAGGAGGATAGTGAGATTCCTACGAAAAGAAGGCGGCTTGATGTTGACGGCAAGGAGCGACGGCCAAAGTCAACCGCGTCGCCAGACGATCCGCACAGGCTATCACGTGAAGCGCCTCCTCGATCAAAATCAAACCTCAGGGATCATGACGACAGTGATCGTAGGCCTCCGAAGATGAAGGATACTGAAGGCCACAGAAGGGAATCCGGGAAGTCAAGCAATAGTGACAAGTCCAGCATTCACGTTAAATCTGAGGACGTTGACATTGATATGCCTGACGCATCAGACGCGAAGGATGCCGAGGAAACCGAAGCGCGTGTTAAGAAGGAGCGTGATGACGAGAAGCGACGTCTTGAGGAGAAGGAAAGACGGAGGGAGGAGAAGCGACAAGAGGAACGGAAGCGTCGCGAGGCCGAGACCGAGGAAAACCGCAAGAAAGAAGAAGAGCGGCGTCTACGCGAAGCCGAAGAGAGGAAGCGGGAAGCCGAGCAGAAGAAACGCGAAGCTGAGCAAAAGGAACGCGAGGCCGAAGAAAAGCGCTTGAAGGAAGAAGAGGAAGCCAAGCAACGCGAGGAGGAACGCAAGCGTAAGGCTGAACTTGAAAGGAAGCGCCAGGAAGAGGAAGAGCGGCAGCGTCGTGAGGCCGAGGAGAAGAAGCGTCGCGAGGAAGAAGAAAAGCGCCTTCGTGAAGAAGAGGAGAAGAAGCGCCGTGAGGAGGAAGAACGCAAGAGGAAGGAAGAGGAGGCTAGAAAGCAACGCGAAGAGGAAGAAAGGCTCCGCAAGGAACAACTTGAGCGTGAAGCTGCTGAAGAGGCCCGCCGGCTTCGAGAAGAAGAGGAACGGAAAGAACGTGAGCGCAAGGAACGCCTGCAACGAGAGGAGATGGAACGCAAACGCGCTGCGAAGGAGGCTGAACTGCGTAGAATCCAGCAGGAACAAGAGCGTTTACGATTGGCAAAGCTTCCACCCCTTCTGCGTTGGTTGGATGGCTGTCCGAACCCCAAGACTTCCGAATTGGCCGCCAAATTCAAGCACATGCAAGGCGTCCGATATGACACCATACGCCCACAGGCCACCGGCACGCCTGATGGCAGAGAGCAGTGGATTCTCAACACTCATGCCGCTTTGCTCCTTGGAGAGAAGGACCTCACACTGTCAAGGTGTACGTAGCCTCCCATGTTTCCATGACAAGCTTGATATGCTGACATCGGTGTAGATACTGCCTGGGAACACGTTCCTGTGACGGACCTTGCCAAAAAGGTCATCTGGAGACTTGAGTCAGATCGATACGCTTTGATTACTGAAAGCCTTTACGAACTGGGGACTGGTTTGTCAGATTATTATGGCGAGGGCCAGGATCCTTTCAAGATGAGCTACCGTATCAAGGAAAAGCTTCGCGGAGAAGCGTGGGAGAAGTTTTTGAAAATGGACATGTTTTTTGTCAAGGTAAGACATGAGAGTCTCAATCTTGAAACACAAGAACAGTTGCTCACGGTAGTCTAGCTGTCGGACTTGATGTTTACCATCCCGAACGTCCCCCACCTCCGGAGCCTCAAGCTGAGTGTTGAGTACCGCGAGCTCCCTGAGGATGAGGGCCAACTCTACGGATGGAAAGTCCCTCAAAAGTGGAAACAAGATCCGGACGCGGACCGATTTTACGGATTTGCGCCGCGAAATAAGTACTACATTAACGGTGTCATGGTTGAAGAACAGAAACCTGGACTGTCTGCCACGAGCAGCACACCCTTTCCCGAGAAGCGGGTCCCTCGGAAGGGACTGCTGCAGATTTTCCCGGGCGACCCCGACTACCCTCGCCTATGCAAAGAACAAGGGCTTGAGCACCTTCTGAACGGTACAAAAACTCCCGCGCTGCCCAATGGCGGGCATCTTTCGCCAAGAAGCCAGTCGAATGCTACAGAGACTTCAGTTGAGCCTGTCAATGGTACCCAAAATGGTGTCTCTGCGCCCGCACCGGCTCCCCCGTCAGCTGAGGCCAAACCTTTTCTCAACGGCGTTAACGGCATCTCAACTTCGGGATCCAGCTAAGCTGCTAGGGTCCTTTCACGAACTAGAGTAACGGGCTACAATACTTAATATAAACATGCACCATGCTCTGCAGCAAACCCTCCGGTGACGATTGAACCATTAAAACTGCCGACAGGAACCCTAGACGGAGCTTCCGAACAGCAGCAGGAGAGGTTTTAGCCATTACCAGCTGCCTCCATTTGGTCTTTTCCCCCCCTTGTGTTACGGGCAAAATAAACGAAACGTATACTCACTTACGATTACTGGTCTGGCCGACTTGATGGGGGACGACGTTCGACGAGATCAGTGTGCGTCGGAACAGACGGGCTACCCCCAAGTCTATAGCTTCAGTTGCTTATTTTTTGAATGATGACGGCCACGTGAACGCGAACGAATCCCGCTATCAGTATTATTAAACGAAAGAATCAGGCTTGCATGTGGGCAGTTGATGAATTGACGGCAGATGTCTCGGCTTGGAGGGATGAGGATGATGAAACGGGGCTGTGGTTCGTAGGGATGAACGGGTTTCCAGGCGAGACGTAGATAATGAAATAAAACTATTAAAAATGCAAATAGTAACCAGGTTGTTAACCATCGAGGTCAAAAATGCGACTGCCGAACCCTTCCTCCCTTCTTCCCCCATCTTTGGGCTCGTTACTGTTATGAAGACAAGGCGAAAGAAATTTCGAGTAAATGATTCGTCAGGCAAAGTTCTGACATCACCGCAAGGCCATTGGTCCAAAAACAGGACGGCAAAACCCGCGCCCCGCCAAAATTTTATACCGCCCTCCTTCGAACCCCCGCCATTTGCCCACGAAAGCCCACAACCACCGTCCTCATCACCAAACCGACCAAACCCGAACTCGAACCGGGCATCACCTGCATCGCGAACCGACACCCACTCTCTCTCATCATCTTGCGATATCTCGAAGCGACGAGGCTGCCGAAAGGCGATCGTTTCGTTGACAAAAAATTCTCATCGCTTAACCTGGCTTCGTCGCCTTAATAAATCGACACGTAAAAAGAGCGTCAGGCAATACCGCAATAATGTCGACGACGGTGGACAAGGTATGCACGGGCAATCGCATTCACTTTCTATCCTCAGATGGTGACATGTATGTTTTTGAAACAAATAGCTAACGTGTAAAATCATGTAGATCAAGGAGATCGAGGCCGAAGTACGTTTGACCAATTCCCCCCCGCCTTGCGGTCCTTCGACATACGCCGAGCCCTAAGGACTGCTGCCATCGATCGGCTGAGAATATTGCCCCGGTGTCGTCGATTTGAATCAGCCTTTACACCCATTCCTGAGCGAAATATCCCCTCGTTCTCAAGAGACGCGATGAAGAGCAAGGACTGACAAGGAAACCCCCACGACAGATGGCCAAGACCCAAAAGAATAAAGCCACATCATTCCATTTGGGCCAGCTGAAAGCGAAACTCGCGAAGCTCAAGCGTGAGCTCCTCACCCCGTCAAGCGGTGGTGGTGGCGGTGGTGCTGGATTCGACGTTGCACGCACAGGTGTCGCCAGTATTGGCTTCATCGGCTTCCCCTCGGTCGGCAAGAGTACGCTCATGAGCAGGCTGACAGGCCAGCACTCCGAGGCCGCCGCGTATGAGTTCACAACCCTGACCTCCGTGCCCGGTCAGGTTACCTACAATGGTATGTTGACGTGACGATGGGCTTCTGCGTGTGGCGGGCATTGCCTTGCCGGCTCAAGCCATTCTCGGCGGGATGAAAGAGAACTGACATGCGTCACTAGGTGCGCCACTGCAAATCATCGACTTGCCGGGTATCATCGAGGGAGCAAAGGACGGTCGTGGACGTGGTCGTCAGGTCATTGCCGTGGCCAAGACGTGCCATCTTATCTTCATCGTCCTGGACGTCAACAAGCCCCTAACAGACAAGCGCGTTATCGAGACGGAACTCGAGGGTTTCGGTATCCGCATCAACAAATCACCGCCCAACATCACTTTCAAGAAGAAGGAGAAGGGTGGTCTCAACATCACGAGCACCGTGCCACTGACGCACATCGACCACGATGAGATCAAGGCCGTCATGAATGAGTACCGTATCAACTCGGCCGATATCGCTATCCGGTGCGACGCTACCATCGACGACCTGATTGACATCCTTGAGGCCAAGAGCCGCAGCTACATTCCCGTCATCTACGTGCTCAACAAGATTGATGCCATCAGTATCGAAGAGCTCGATCTGTTGTATCGCATTCCTAACGCGGTGCCAATCAGCTCCGAACACGGTTGGAATATCGACGAGCTGATGGAGGCAATGTAAGTAAACCCCCTTGTCCGGACATTGCCCAGGAGGCGCAACCGACTTGACAGGGAACCACAAAACTTGAATGGCTGGCGCAGAGTAAAAGCTAACGGTGTCCATGTCGCGACTAGGTGGGATAAGCTGAACCTGGTTCGCGTATATACGAAGCCCAAGGGTCGTTTGCCTGATTATTCCCAGCCAGTCGTTCTTCGCTCGTCACGGTGCACCGTGGAAGACTTTGTGAGTGATGACTTGTCGCAGATTCCTTGCGAACAGCTTTCCCGTAAAGCGAGGAAGTGCTTATTTTGCCTTGTACTGACGAAACGCCTAGTGTAACGCCATTCACAGAAGTATTCTCGAGCAGTTCAAGACGGCCATCGTCTACGGCAAGTCTGTCAAGCATCAGCCCCAACGTGTCGGACTGGCTCACGAGCTAGCCGACGAAGATATCGGTACGGCTGCGCCCCTTTGCCCCCCTTGGTTCGGAGACTTATCCTGTTTTTGATCGGCAACACTTTGGAGTGAACTATGCTAACATCTGATGATTGCAGTAACAATTGTCAAGCGCTGATGAACGCGGCAAAGAGAACAATTGCGCACGGCGGCCGTTGTCGTCACGAGCATGTCTGCCTGGAGACGCTGCCGGCGTTGGTGGGAAAGCCACTTGCCTCTTTCCTCCCCCAAAAAAGACTTTTATGGACCCTGAGGTCTCGCTCGCACGATCTTACACGACCCCAATTCCATGGGGCCATGGACAAAGTCAAAAGAATTTAGCGAACTAGTGACATGTACTAACAACACGCCGGCGTACCGGAAGAGCCGGACACGGGCTACCAGTTGCAACTTGGAAGCTACAGTCAAAACAGGGCTGAGCTAGGTGGCTTGCGGCGCGTGGTCGCAACCGCAAGCAGTCAGGTTTTGACCACGGCGCCAAGGCATCTCACCTTGTGGCCAAGACCAGATGGCATGAGATGAAGGCGTTTGGTTCAGTCAAATATATCGTTCTAGCACCATAGAATAGAAGGAGGGAAAAAAAAAAAAAAAAAAGAGGCCGGTGACCTGGCTTGTGGAATGAATGTCTCAGTCAAAACGGCGCCTGGCGGATAACGTCTCGTCTCATTAGGATGTGTGTGTGTGTGTGTCCCCAACCACAAGGTGACTTAGTACATTGCAATACTCGTCGGGCAACGGCCCGCCCCCTTCTCCAGCGAGCACGCTCGGTTTGCAGGCTCCTGTCCTCGCGTGGAGACAGCATTATGTATATTGGCTTCCTTGCTAGCTCTCGCCGCTTTTTCACGTCACTTTTGTAATCTTTATGATCAGGGAGAGCGGAAAGACCGTCGAAATCAAAAGCGGTTTCTTACCCCACATACGCCACCATCTGAAGTCGCGGGCCAGAGTATGAAGCAAATCGTGGGCGACCTGCATAGCCGAGGGCCTCTGGTTCTGCGGCCGTAAGTTTCCCAGCAGAAGCGTGGGATGCATGCTCTCTCTGCAGTGGGCAGCACATGCCCTTTGCCATGTACCTCTGCAAAAGCTCTGCGTGAGATGGTGGGAGACGTGCACGCAGTGTGCAGCTCTGGTACGCACATTCTCCTCTGATGCATGGGATGACAGGCGAGTGTGGATAAGCATGGGCGGGTGTATGAGTGAGTTGACGGGGGACTCCCTGGATCGAGGGAACATCGGCGCTTAAAACGAAGCTAAGACGACACCCTTTTCTTTCCTGCTGCCAATGTCAACACTCCGCCATTTCGCTGACTCTACTTTTTGAGCACTCTGCACCACTGGCGCGGTGCATTTTACTGTATTTCCCCGATGAAAAACGTGCCCGTCGAAACGGCGGCGGCCCAGGACCTATTTGGATGAAGGAAACAAAAAGAGGGGGGCGCCTTTGCAGCTAGTCAGGCGCAAATCCTTTCCCCCTCCTACACCCACCTTTCACAATGCTTGCTTTGCCGCCCATGTTCAGTCCTCTTACGGTCCCGTTTTTTTTGTTTGCGTTGGGCAATTCTAGTGGTGGGCCGCCCGCCGTTGACTCCTGGTGCTGTGATCTCATCTCATCTCATCTTGAGGGCAAGAGGAGGTGGAACGGGGCCCAGGTCCGCGATATGCGACAAAGGTTCAGGATGGCCTCTGCGGAGCATAGTGGCTACAGTTCCGCCAGTGTCATCTTGGCTTCTCTTCTTGGGGGTTGTTTGAGAAGATGAGGTATGCGTACCTTGCATCGAATCGAACACAAATGAGGCGAACGAAAGATGAGAGGACACAGACCAAGCACGGGAGAACGGCTGCAGGGAAGGGAAGCGCAGGGGCAATACAGGCCGCGGCGGATGCTGCGCTGCAATGTTGCTCGTGCTGCCCTGAACCCCTGCTTGATCCAAGGCGTAACCTGCTCTGTCCAGCTCCAGCGGAATTGGGAAAGCTCGAGAACAGCTAAAGGGCGCTCCACCATGTGTGCTTTTGCTGCTTGGGAGGAGTTTTTCCAAGGCTTTTTTCTGTCTCTTGAGAGGCACAGTTGGAGCTAAAGTTGCCGTGTGTGCATGCATAGTAAGCCTATCCCAAAAACTAGATGCACTCTTAGTACAGCAGAGTGGTGTGCATATTCAAGCACCAATCGTCGATGCAGCCCCTCAAGCAGCCGGTCAGCGCGTTTCCAGTCATCGAGACGATGGGGAATAATGGAGCATGTTGACATCCTCCGCCGCTGGAGTGATCATGCCTAGGTTGCGACTCGTGATCTTGTATGTCTTGAGGCTTAGAGCGGCAGCTTATTGATCCTATTTCTCATCATGACTGCACGTCAAAATGCGACTGGCCATTGTGAAAGGCTACTGAATGACGCCGCTGCTGGAACCAGGATCCCTTTTCGTAATCGGCGGCCTCTGCATCGTGGTTGATCTAGATTGAATACGCCGCCAGAGCCCGAGATATTTTGTCCCCTCGAAAGAGTAGACGGTCCACAATCGGGTGCGTAGTTACAAATGAAGATTGTATTATGGGTACGTCTTCAGTTTACCCCCGCCTGCTAGAGCAATATGCATGTTACCCATCTAATATGGTGTGAAATGAGAAGTCTCTTTTGCCGTGACTGAAGCGAGGTCTGTGCCTCCCGAGCGATCAGGCACTGGTCTGGTGAAGTTTGAAGGTAAGTGACATATTGGCTAGGGTACCTCCGGAAGGGCCCGCTTCAAATTGAGAACGGCGCACGTTGCGGGCCAACGCGAGCGGATGTTCGTCAACCCTGTATCGAGGATGGTCTATACCCCAATCGTTATAGCACAACCGCCCATGTCCCCCAGGATGAAGTCTCTTCTCTTGTGCTGTGGTGTCGATTTCTTACTAATTGATAGGCCCTTCATCCTCCAGCACAATCTTTGGAAGCACAAAGTTTTAACTCGTTGAGGATTTCTCGTATGCAGTGAGACTGACCAACTGGATGCCAGCCCGGCCTGCAAAATGGCTTCGCTGGGGCGCCTCATGCGCAAAGAATCTTTTCTGTCCAATGGTGCCTGCAAAGAATTCGTGATGAATCCGAAGATTATGTCCAATGAGAATTCCGAAAATGATTTGAGCGCTGCTGTTGGCTACTGAATATGCTTTAAGTAGGCCATACCCAGGGCTTGTATGCGACCCAACCCGTCGTCTGACCGGGATCTGTAATCGGGTGACCTCATGGCGATTGAAGTACCCTGTGTGGTGGGCAGAGAGGGAAGCCCGAGAGGTGAGACTGGGGTGTAGACGACTCGAGCAAACTTACCAGGCGCTATCCAGCACTCCCTGACAGTGTACCATCCATGGTCAGAGAATGGGTTACACGCCCGTCTTCTGATGGGCTAACCGGATCTATCAGACAGCATCGAAACTCTTGTCCAAACCCATGGACTGAAGAGACTGGACTGGTTAACTGGGGCCGTGCTACACATCAGACGGCATGGACCGACGACCACTCAACGTGCTAGCCCACCGCAAGTCCTGATCAACAGTCAGTACTACTTGCAAGGTTGGGTGGTGAGGTAAAGGCCCCCATTTTGATCGTGTGCTCGTCCAACGAGCAATGAATCGTTCAGCTGCGGTCCGCGACGGATGCAACGATGATGTTGCGATCAGTTCTTATAGTTATCGAAATCGATTATTGCGACGTCATGTACGGGGAATCTGGGTTAGCGCGTGAGCAATATCGACAGTAGCATGGTTAAGGAAATGCCGTTGGCATTGGTATATTCAAAATAACATTGATGACAAAAGCTCAAGTTGCGTCTTGGCTCATTGTATCATGAGTTTTAGGTGGGTGTATGGCTGCTCACGACGAAGAGAGTTAAACGATAAGTGAAGATAATCAGACCAGACTGGAGAGCCCCGCCGCCATGTGCATTGATCGCCATGGACTGCCGCAAGATCGTTTATGCTGGCAAAGGCCGCCTAACGACTTGGTTCAAGCGGACGAAATAGCAACCTATTTTAATTTCTGATGACAAGGACTCGTGGGTATCCTTTCAAAAGCGATGGCAATGCATTCAGCGAGGTGTGAAGATCCGCAAGTGTTTTCTGGGTCCATCAAGGCACCCCTCTGGTGCTCTGTGGTTTTCTTACACGGCTGAGAATGGTGGGACGTCTGGGGGTAGGTACCCTGCCCTGCCTGCCCTGCCAGGATAGGCCAGGTCGCCAAAGGACCCTTTCCAAAATATCAGTTGATCGCTTGACAACTTTGACATAGCGGAGAAAAAACAGCGAGTGCTCGGTCAAGACCAGGTACAGCGGGTGTGATGCGGATTGGGGATTTAATTGGAAAACTCCCCGAGAAGATGGGGACTTGTTGATACTAGACGACCCAAAAGCTGCGCGCCTGGCGTCAAAATACTTTTGGTAAGGAGATATCGAAGCAGGGTCATGACGCCGACCGCCGAAGTACCGAAGTGATGGTTCCCATGGTTAATTCGCGCTTTATGTCTTCTCGTATTTTTTTAATGGATAGTCAATTGAATCAATGACGAATAGGCGGTCAGAGTGGTTGCAGAAGTTATCAGATGATGAGGACTTTGGGTGGATGTGCATTTGGCACTGGAAGCTGAAAGCCCTCTCCTCTGCGGCTGGAGGCGTGGAGATATGCGCCAGAGCGATCGAATGGCAGTGTACTGAGGGGAACACCCCCGGCAAAAGGAAGACAAGAATGCTGGCGCTGGTATGCAGCCCACGCCGAGTGAAGTGCAGGGGGGGCAAGTTATTACAGAGGGGACGTCATCTGGGAAGGGGGGGAGAGGAGAGAAAAACAAGAAGGGAGAGGAAATGAGAGTGAGTGTGTGTGGTGTGTGTGAGAGAGAGAGATAGATAGGAGAAGGGGAAAAAAAGAAACGAAAAAGAACAGACTGGTTCAAGCCTGCCTCAGCTGCTGGATTGAGGATTGAATGCAAGAGGGGTCGATAGGAAGGAGGCCTGGAGCACTTTCAACCATCATGAGTCGCAACCAGGGCAGATTGGGCACCGACGGCCCTATAGGAGGAGCGAAGCAGCAGACAACCCCTCATACACCAGGAAATGGGGGCCCATGAACGGGACCTTGGTAGGTTTATTGGGGTTGAAGTTGCCCTGTTTGAACTCGGGGGAAGGTACGGAGTAGCGGACGGAGCACTGCGGTACAAAGTGGAGCTGATATCCAGAGTGGAGCTTGCAACTCGAAAAGAGAGGGAAAGAGCTCACGGTGCCGCCCCTGCCCAGAATCCCTGTCCCGTGCGCCTCTAAAGCACCTAGGGTTAGCGGCTTTGGCGGGGACAGGGAAAGACGGGGCGGGTGAGCCACTGAGCGCCCGGTTGCCGGCCCACTGCCCAAGATGGGACGACGCTGTTTCCTTCCCTTCCTTTTGGCGTCCGTATCCGTCCAAGGCGGCCTAGCCCTCGCTACTTCTGCCCTGCGTGCCATGTCCCTCCGTTCGCCCAAGGTGAGATACGCAGATACAGCGACGCAAGTATCCGTTGACATTCCCCGAGTGGGCGAGGTACCTCGCGGGCACCTCCTCAGAGCTTACTGCCCGGGAGCGCAAGTAATGAATGGTATGGAAGGAAAGTCCCGATGGACCGTGAGGGAAGCACTCACTCGCACCTAGGTATCATTCATTATCCATCCGTACCTCTGCTGATGTCCTCCGTGGCTTGGGTTTCGTCATTCCTCAACGGGCCTCCGTGTCTCGTCCTGCTCATCTCTCACATTGGCGTAATCCCATACCATCCACACAAACCATTGCTCATCCTCTGCGTCGTCGATATCCCCACGGAAGCCAACCGCGCGATTCGCATATGTCCTCGCGCGCCATTAGCTCGCTCCACGGCCACTCAGCAGGTAGGAAATCGCCCCGTCACACCATGATTACACTGCCGCTTGTAAGGGTACCATCCCCCATATACAACGTTGCCGCACCACGCTCTAACTGTCTCCAGCCGTCCAGGGTGAGATTGCTCCGTCATTAGCCCTGGGTTTCTCTCCGTCTCCGTTGATTACCTTCATTCAACGGGCATGTCACCCAGTGTGTCTGTGTCTGCGTCTGCCTCTCCTACGGGTGTGGGTGTGGGTGGTAATCTCAGCAGGAAGCAGGTACTAATGTCAGCTAATTGGCGCGCACCTCTTCTGCTTCTTCGACTCCGATGCGCCCCCTCGTGCTGATTATTGAGCATCAGCGTCCGAGCAACCGTTTTTCTGTAATATTTCGCTTTTTGGCTTGCTTTTTCCTCCGCCGGGCCACTCTCGCCAGGCTGCCATTGCGCCCATCCCCTAGACGATACAGAATCTGGTTTCTTTACAGAATCTCGCCAGCCTCGGGCGATTAATGCTCGATTCTTTGTGGGCAAAAGTGACAGACGCAGCTTGTGAGTTATGATTTCACAGCCCGAAGAAAGGAAGAAGAAGACGAAGGTGGTGCGGTACAGCTGCTTGGTTATCTGGTGGCTAGTGGCCGTTCCCACCCCCGTGTGGGAAGAAGCCGAGACATCACAGAGCAAGCGAGGTAGGCCAGGCCCAGAGGAGGCGCGACAGAACGAGACGAGACGAGACGAGACGGAAGCAAACTCAGCATCCCAACTAGTGTCTGTGTGTGGCTTGCTCCATTCCCGTCAAAACTGGATGCTCCCCAAGTCCTCTGCCGTTTCTGACCATGCGACAACGGAGACAAAACGAGCCAGTGGCTTCTTCTAGCTCCTGCTCGATTCCCTAGTTGTGGCGGTTGTCCAGGTCTAGACACCAATTGTAGGCCGACTATGATGTCTTTTATCGATGAAAACACTCACGGCTACCCTGCTTGGCCCATGAGATACGCAACCTCATCAACTGTCATACTTACAGGCAATCTGGATTTCTCTTTGACGGCAGTGGTCTTGCTGCAGCCCTCTCACTCTTGCCGTTCGCTGGTTGTGAGATGCTGTCTCCTCTGTCCTCTATCCACATCGGTTCTGTTCGTCCCCTGCCGATATCATGATACTCTATGCATAAGAGTGAGCTGCACCTCAGTCTTGTTGTCGCCCTCCTCCTGTTCCTTTGGCCTATCATAACAACAACAGCGTTTCTCGCCCAGTGTCTTGCTCCGGCAGAAGGTCAGATTTTCACGATTTGCCGTCTCACCCAAAGAATTTCCCATTTACGAAACCCGAAGACCCTGGTTTACCGTTTCTCCCTTATTTTTTTGGTTTGCTGCGTTGCTGCTCACGTATCCACGGCTGTGTGTACATATACACAAACCAGAGCTCCATCTTATCCTTCACCAGGCCCGCTGCCACACACCCAAGTCACGACCCCAGCTCGACTTAGATTCAATCCTACCCACTACACACCCCAGGAGCAGACGAGCCACCCCAGTACCCTTGCCGGTACTTACATGGAAAGCACCCGCCGTCTCTCTGCCTGCATGCCCTTTACATATGTACATTACGGCCCACCACCGCACCGCACACCTTTCCATCCTTTCGTGCGTCTGATAGTATTACTATCTTGACAAGCCCGCCTACCCCAACCCCGACCTGCTAGCTTTACCTTTCAAGCCTTGCCTTGTGCGTTGCGTTTGATTCTTGCAGGATACCGCTGCCAGCTCTTCTCTCCCTACTGGTCCGATTTGGCTCCCCCAAACCTGTCAAGCTTGCCTCTTCTTTGCCCTTCACTGGCCGACCGAGCAGATACATCGGATCTGTCTCCTCTGTGGTCAAATCCTCGTCAACCGACCGTCGCTGTTTTCTTTCTTCCATCACTGCCATCTAGTCGCAAACGAGCAGCATAGTCGGCGCTGAACCAGCTCCATATCGAGTAAAAAACAACAGCGGTTGCCGAGTGATCCAGTCATCAAGCAGCCACACAAGAAGAAAGGACTCCGGAACAGAAGGCGTAGGCAAGTCGGGGGTCTCGACAGGGTAGAAGACCCTCACCGCGTTAGAAGGCAGTTGGTATGGCAAGCACCCGCCGTTGAACTCGTTCCCCATAACCTGCATCAAGGACCGGCCCTTCTCGTTTAAGAAGCGCTACAGACAACCAGAGCCGAGCTGGCAAACATACATTTACGCTGTCGGATTGAAAGTCGACCTTCCCCCCAAACCCAACACGCTTCTGCAGCCTGCAACACACCTGCATCTAAGTCACCCCCAAACCCAGGGCTTCTTGACCTACACAGCAGACCGCCTGCACGTTGCGCCTCCAGGAACCAATTGGCCTCCTCTATCATGCATGCCGTCTTCCGTTCATGAAGCCAAACCCACCAATATCTATCGGGACCAGGCATCCCCACACTTGGCCCGAGTGCCATCCCATCAGTCAAGCCAAACTTACCGGCGCGATCCCCTCCTCACAATCATCAACCTGGAACCTGGATTGAACAACTACAGGCTAGCCAGACACTTGCCGCTCAAAGCCTTGCCGAGTTGGTTCGTTGGCTTTCCTGAAAAAATTTGAACGAGCCATATAAGCAATGGACCTCTCCATCGTCGGCACCACCACTATGGATCAGGACAACCACATGGCTCAGGACGAAGATAGCCACATGTCCCAAAACCACACATCTTTCAGCAATGAGGGTTGGGCTGACATGAACTCATACAATCACCAAACTACCATGTCGGACTACGGCGCCTTCGCTTTCATGCCGACTGTTCCCCATGGTTTGCCATCCGAGTCGATCGGCAGAATGGCTCCTCCTCCAGCTCCAGCCCAGCCAATACAGCCCCAACATCAACAATCTCATTCACAACTACCAATGCTCATGATACCATCTCAGCCGACATGGCCTAGCATGTTAACAAATCCCAACAGCTACTCGGCACCACCTTTGGGTATGGCACCAGTGGTTGCCCCTGCACCGTCCAGGGCGACGAGACTTGCCAACGGCCCACAGCCACAGCAGAGAAGGGTTTTGACCGATGATGACAGGAAGAAAATGTGTCAATACGCTGCTGAGCATCCTAATGTGAAGCAAACCGACATTGGTGCCATGTTTGGAGTTGAACGAAGGTAGGTTCTAGAATGAAGACGGTAAAGACACAGAGGGTTCATGACCACTAACATCTGGCGTCATAGTACCGTCTCCAAGGTCCTCCGGAACAAGGAGAAATATCTGAATCCAGAGGCGGATAGAAGCCAGTCTCCCGCCGGCAGGCGTCACGCTAAAGGAAAGTTTCCTGACATTGACCGCGGTGTTACCGCATGGTACAGAAAACAAGTCCAAGCCGGTGTGAGCCCAAGTGATGAAGAGATACTCGAACAGGCTAGGCACTTCTCCAGGACTACCAACGGTGGCAGTGAAGCCAGTCAAACAAAATCAATCAACGCCACGTGGTTGGAAAGATTCAAGCAGAGAAACATCCTGGTTGGGGGGAAACTTTCACGTAGGGCATCGGAGACAAACATCACAAATCATGCGAAGCTTTCAGGTTCTCCTTCTTTAGCATCCGGCATCTCTCCGGCATCTCCAACAGGTCAGCAGTCTCCTTTATCTGCGGATAGAAGCGATGAGGACGCTGTCCATGGGCTGGGTTTCGTGAGCTACGGAGACGGCTCAGCCTACAAACACTCCAACTCCCAGAGCACAACTTCCCTTAACAGCGCATTGACTGATGCAGGGAACTCATCCTTCTCCGGAAGCGCCTTGAGTCCTACTGGAACGTTTACCTTTTCTCCTGATCCTAACGCTGGAGCGTTTCTTCCTCCCGACACTTCCCGTCAGATGCATGGAGGAGCAGCTACAAACTTCCAAAGGCCCAGAAGTCAGACGTTCCCAACTCTTGATGTGGAGTCCATGTATCAGGCCGTCACAACAGAACCCATGACCCCCAAATATCATCCTGCGGCGACGGCACCGTCTTCTGCACTGGAATCGCCGATTTACGAAATGACCGCACCGCACTTCGCTTTGGATACTGCCCTGGCATCCTCTCCACACCTGCACCACAGTAGCAGCAACAGCAGTATTGCTGGTCGATCAGCAACGACGCCAGCGGGCTCCTCACCGACGTCCCCTACTCAGGAGGATGCTCGGAAGGCGGCGGACACGTTGCTCAGTTTTATCCAGAGCACGGCTGCGAGTGGCCTTGTAGACCAGAAAGATTATCAAGTAATGCTCAAGTTAACCGAGAAGCTTCGTGTGCATCAACAGCAAATTACCAAATCCGTGGGCGGCTTGGATAGAATACCTGAAGGCGATACGGAGACGTTGCCGCATCACCCGCTTCAACTGTCTTTTGAATCCAAGTCTGAGGCAGTTTTGACCCAATGAAACACTCGATCCGGCTGCGGCCAGCTGATAAGACAAACGAGTTGTTGGCCGTTCCAAGGAATCTTCATTGCGTATAGTGCTTTTTCACACTTAGCGGACATCTTTGACTGTTTGCTAAGTCGTTCTATCTTGTTTATTCTGTTTTTTGGGCTTGGACAAGGATGGGGGACGGTGGATTAGGCGATTCCACGCAAACCACGCGTGAGCAGCTACAACAGGAGAATGACCATGGTTGTGGTCTCATCAACCCCCTAGATTCGGCGAGCGTTCTGCAAAGAACACACCCAGCTCGCCGGGATCGGGTTACAGCTTCAACAGAAAGAATTATCATCATCGGCGATACCTATCGTGGGGATCGAATGACCCCAGGAATACACGGTTAATGTCCCACGACAACCTCCAGACATTCGGCTTTTCCCAAACGCCTCAAGAGGCATTACATTACAACTCTGCAACTGAAATCTCAATGTGTCTACTCTTCCCAGACCCAGGTCTCACGACACTGAAAGCATAGGCGCAAAATATACCTTATCATTAAAGGGCCGGAGAAGAATCACGACCAGAGATTACGCCGCAGGGTATCATTTTCTCTTCATTGCAATCACCTATTCGATCACACATTCAACAGCTTCTATATACCCCCTTTTCCGCATCTTTAACCGCCGCCGATCAAGGAAAAGACCTTGCCGCTCACGCGAACACCGAAAATTCCCCCTTGTGCGATTTTCCATTCGATATTCATTCTTAGTTGTTCCTGTTTTTTATTTCATCTTTCGACTTTGACTTGCTTGTACCGTTCCCAACGCATATTTTTCTTTGTTTTCTCTCCCTATAGTTCAGCGATCCCTTCGCCGAACTCGACGATTTGCCGATATCGAAGATATACAAGGCTCGCCGCTGTATTACTTGCGAAATTTCCTTCCGCGCTCTGCATTACGATATCAGGGGGGCTGGGCTAGGTTAGGGGTTGGCTGGAGAGCCAGGTACAAGGAATTCGGGAGAGATCCGGCTGCCTAGGGGGCGGAGTCTTCTGGGAAAACTTCATCAACGGTTAGTTTTGGGGGGGCATTGCTACAGGCCTTCACGAAGTCGGCTGGAGGTCTTGACAAGACAGGGAAACAGGGAGAATAACCGGCAGCAACAAGTATCTGCAGGAAGATTTGCCACAGAGAGGAGGTCTGAGGATTAATGGGGAGATGAGATGGTGGAAGAGGGTGAAAGGCAGCCGCCTCGCGAGTTCTGGTAGTCAGTGTTTTCACTACGTCTCCAACTGCCACTACCACCACGACAAGAAAAGACTCGCGATGCCCCAGCCAGAGTATACGCAAGAAAACTACGAAAAAAATCGGGCGGCCCCTTCTGCATTTATTTCTAGGGAATTGCCCCCTTTTTTTCCTACGACCGGTCCGCAAAATCACACCAGTATATCGTTTCTCTCTCGCATATTCTTTTAACTATTCGTGATGATGTCTCGAAACCTGTGAGATGGACACATAATCGTAACTGTCCTAAACTAAGGCACTCCATGTCTTGACAGAAGGGTATCTAAACGTAACAGAGCATAAAAGAAGAATTAAAAGAACAGGAAACTCGCGCATTCCTCATAAACTCAAGCGTTCCTCCAAGAGCTCTACCACGCCCTTCTCCGCCAATTCGGGCATCAACCTTGTCAGAACCAGCTCCAACAAGCCGTAGACGAAATGCTTATTGCAATATTCATCCGAGAAGACGTCAAGTATACCCTCCTCAATCTCGGATAGCATCCGCCGCTGATCCTCCTCCTCCCCGTCATTCGCGTCAAGGTGCGATTTGGTACCGCTGTCATCACCTGGGCCATCACAATCGATAGTTGCAGTGGCGACCGCCTCAGCGCTGCTATCCCTGCTACCGCCGCCGGCGGTGTCGTCTTCGTTGGGACCAGGACCAGGTCCTGCTGTTTTCGAGTCCGGACCGGACCGCCACCGGAGACCAAGGCCACGCCCGCCCAAATAGAGCTTGGACAGCCAGGACGGGATTCTGGCCAGAAGCGCGCTAGCGCACCTGCGGCGCAAAGCACGCAGCTCTTCGTCGGAAGAGGGGGCCACCAAGGTCGAGATCCCTGGGGCGTTATTGGGGAAAAGGGCGGCGCGGATGGAGCGGAGGAGGGTGGGCAGGTATGCAGCGTCTAGAATCCGTTGGTGAATGGTGTGCGAGATGAGCCTGTATTTCGCGCGCAACGCGGCAAGCGCTCTCATGTCAGTTACCGGGTTCACTTCCGACTTGGAGACTCACAACGGTCAATGCGTGGGGGTGTACGGGATCTTTTGTGCGTGAAGTGAGAAAAAGGGGAGCAACGATCTGCGGCGGGAATCGGACGAGACAGTAAGGATGGCAACAGGTTGGAAATGAGTGGGAAAGGCTGAAAAGTGGAAACACAAGTTGGAACCAGGGTCAAGAACGGCCGACGATGAGGATGTAGCCATCGTAATGCTGTCGTTGGCAAGGTCGCTCTCTCTCGGGGGCAGTGTGCGCTCCCAAATGAGGAGATATGGCCACTGGGAAACATGCGAGACCTGTCAGGTTGGGCGTAGGAAATCCTACAAGGCACGGCACGCCTCGCTTGAATGAGCCAAGAGCACAGGATTTTCTCTAGTGTATACTCTGATCGGCAAGTGGCGGCTGGATTCTCCTGGACGAGGCTACGGCTCTTCCCCGTAATTGTGTGGCAGTTTCCATGCTGTGGAGGGTGGTATGTTGGGTGCCTCTGGGCCTCGAGGCCAGACCTCCAGGGCACACCTCGTGTTCCCAAGTTGGGACATCTGTCCAAGTGTTAAGGGTCGTATCGGATGATGGTGAGCAGGTAGCTAGCCGCTGAACGAGAGCGACCTGACAGCCTTCTTCTCGGGACGGATCGAATCAGTGGTTGCATCAGGACCGTGCCGCCTTCAGTAACATGATACGTTGACAGGCGGTCAGAGGCGCAAGCCCATGAAAAAGCCCCATCGTGTCCGGATTGCGAAAAGCAGCCCCAGCAATAAGACTTGGTTCTCAAGATGCGCACCGACTTCCGACGCCGTTTTGGCAGGCGGGTGCGGTGGGGCCACAGCAAGCGAAGGAAAGTGACGCTTGAGTGATTAAGTACCGGATCCCCGTAGGTGTGCGTGGATGAAAGAGATGACGGTGGTGACCAGACCCTTGCAAGAAGATGCTCGTCGTTGGACCTCGGCGCGTAAATGAGGCTTGCTGGTGGTTGGAAGCGCACCCCCGCGAGAGCCTATCAGACAAATCGGAGGCGAGCAACGCCAACGCCCTCCGCGATTGGTGGGCGGCCAGGAGGTTCTGCAAATGCGACCACAGTTTCGAGGAATCGGGACAAGAGGTCAAGTCAGGGTTGGGTCGCAGAATGGGCCGGGTGAGAAAGTGTTGCACAGCATATTTCGGCGTTTTTCGCGCAGTCCTGCAACTAGACTCCTGTCGCTGCGTCCACCCCTGGCCATACCCGTCGTAACAACATCAGGTCCATCGCCAAATAGGCCTTGTGAACAGTCCACTAGACCGTCAAGAACCGTCAAGGAGGCAGTTGTCCCGTCTTACACACTTGCTCGACTGGGTGCTTCTCAAAGCTCACTGGAGCGAGGCCAGGTCCAGTGACTTGAACCTCATGCGGTGTGACGTGAATTTGCCAGAAGGGGGAAGGGAGATATGGATGATGGATGCCTACCTATCTAAGGGTCCGTTAAGCCCGGCGAGGCAGCCTGGACCATCCATGGCTCCAAGTTGAATCATCGACAGTGTTCCGCTTAACCAAGGCATGCGAGCGTCCATTTCGATCAAGTCCGATATGCAGGTCCACAGCTTGAAGGCAACGATGGGAGTCTTCACTGGCTGTGTCTCGTCTGAAGCAGCCAGGGCTTTTGGTGTCATTGAAACTGATATTTGACCAGTCACCTCATGCTTCTCATTAGAGGCGTTTGCTGACCTTGGAGGCAAGGATGAAGACATGGCAACAGTTGTGACGAAGAAGCGGATCATTGCGAATGCGAGGAAGAACCAGTGTACAAATGACCAGAATGCTTCTTGTATGGACCAACTGCGACGAGCCAGGGGGGCTGCTGAACTGCTCTGCATCGCCTCTGCGACACCCTCCTCGACGGGCTCCAATGGTGTCCTCTCAAGCACTCGTGTAATAATAATAAATAGTTCGTAAATAAGCCATGGTTGCGACAGTCGGTTGACCAAAACGTTGCCAATGATAAGCTCGGAAAAGATTTGACCGACTAAGGATGTAAGGCAGTCGTTTTCGAGGTCCTCTGTTGGTAAGAGAATGGCTAGAACGCCTTGCACCAAGAGTTGGCGATAGAGTGCTTCGTTCTCCTGCTGCTTCGTGGTAGCCTCAGGGTCTTCCGACCGTGGTATTGGTGACAAGGGGGCTATGGGGCAAAGTGCGTGGTAGACCACTCGCGGGTCTATCTCAGTTGGAGGCCTCGCTACAGGTTCATGCGCTGCGCGGTATGCTGATGAGACACGGTCAATGAATGCCGAAACAGACAGGCAGAATACATGCTTACCGAGTATATGTCTGTCCAACAAGTCAGGAATTTCATCAAACAGAAGGCTTTCCAAGTCCACCTTTCGCAGTCGTTGCTCCAGGGCTCTTGTACAGTGAGCAATTATGTGAACGATTTCTTCAACAAAAGCCTCATCCGGAGTGATCTTGCTATACCACGCCTGTACATATTCCCTCAATATTACGGCGATAAGAGCGTAAAGTTGCAGGTCAACATCGTTCCGGCTCGTCAAAGGCGGTAACAGCTCCTCAATGGGAGGCGGAGTGGTTCTTCCCTTGTCGGATAAGTGCTGGGAGCATAGCACGCGCCGGATGAAGGCGGCGGTGGCCTTATCAGAGAGAAAGTCCGTAGGGACGGAGCGAGCAGACCGGCGATTCGAAGGATTTGACTGTATCGGGGGACGGGATCGCTCGGCACCGGGAATAGGTGACGGGGAGGCGGAGGCGGTTTCGTTCGCGAAGCTTACTGTCGCGGGGGCTTTCGGGCGCGGCGTGGAAGCGCGAGGGGTAGCGACAGCAGTCATGGCCGTCTATCTTCGGTGAGGCCGCAATATCATGGTCTGTTAGAACCGGTATCGGGGCGCACTCAGCCCTGGGATGATGCTAACAAAGTAGAGCTGTCGTCGACTTTGACTTGCAGCCAGCAAGATTTCGGACGGTGTTGATCTATGATTTAGTGAAGGCGGGCGGAAACTGGGGACCTACCCCCAGTGCTGGTCGCTTGCAGGGAATGGCTGGTCTTCTGTTGCAGTTGCGTCAGGCGGCTCTGGCTCTGTGGCCCTGTGCGCTGCAGCCACTGGGATTGTGCCTTACATAAGGCATCTGCTGGAGTGGCTGCATGTGCATAGCAAACTATTACAGTCGGTCCTTTTCGTTCCGGCCTCCAAGCCCAACCTACCGGCTCGAGAACATGCAAAGGACGAGCTACACAGTACAAGGCGCAAGGTATATTTAGATGCCTTCCAGAAGCTTGTTAGCCTTGCCTCTGTAGCGAAACATGCTCGGCTGTGCGCAAATCATCTTACGGTTCAAAGTTGAGTTTCTTGCCTTTGTTTTCTAATGTCGCTTAACTGTGCAAGAGTTCGAAATGATATTGTGTGAAACACGAGGGAAAAAGAGCACATGTCACAAATCGAGCAATCTCAACAATATGGACAAGCCGTGTGTACATCATGTTCCTCTGATGTAGAGCAGGCAAGAGTAGAGTCGACTTGATCTTTTTTCTTACTCCTAACTCATGTTGTACAATGCACATGCCGTAGCTAGTATAGTACACTTATTTACAACGCCTCTACAGATGACCTAGTATTATTAGGCGTCCTCTTGCAAGCAGCATACACCAGACAAACTGACTTATTCGTTCTTCGTAGCTGTCTCGTATCTTGATTCACATTAGTCATTTGTTCTTTTAAAGATAGAGAAGATTTCTTACCTCTTTCCACGGAAAGCCCATACTCCCCAGTTTCCACAGCTAACATCCTGAGGGTCCAGATCGTTGAGGTCCCACCTCATGCTGCGGAAGAGGTTCTCACCAGGCTCCAGCAGGATATCAAACTCGCCGGCGGCCGTCTTTCGAACCCACTCGATGTCTCTCTCCATGTCGAACTGCGTGTAGCCGGTGGCAATGATGGGAAGCTTAGTCTCGAGAAGCATTGGTAGCGTCTCTGACCATTCGTGGCTGCTTGCCGGGTGACCCAGTCCAGGATGGAAGAGACAGAAGCAGTCAAAGTATGGGTCGTAGGGCGCGAAGTATCCGGTCTTGTGAATAGTGTGGTAGTAGTCCACAATCGTGCTGATCTTCAGCTTGTGCGATATCCGGTCCTCCACAACCATGCCGAAGGGGTTCTCAGCGGTTCGAGGGGGCAGCGGGAACTCATCATCTCTGTTTGCCATGCTCTCGGGGCCGATGAAGATGAGGTGGATTTTGCTCTCAGGAAACAGGTGAGCCAACTGGAGCCAAACATTTCTTGGTAGCGAAGACTCGGCGCGAGCACCCAAGCAGAACACCCGCACAGGAGGCGCCTCGGGACGGAGATCCTTCATGCCAGTACCCTTTCCAGCCAGCGGGGGGTGAAGAGTGTACCGCAGAGCTGTATGACGTCAATTTCTTGGTCCAATTGTCTTCGAGTTTGACAACTTACCACTCAAACTCTTCAAGCCTTCGCTAGTCAATCTGCCGTCCTGCTTGATGCTGTAGGGGCTCAGCTCATGCAGTACACTGCCAATTGTGATAGGATATGTGAGCATCTTCGTGACCTGTCTCATGCTTCGCTCATCATTAATAGCTTCAAACTCTCGGCTGTACATGAAGGTATCCCAGTTCGACATATTAACAACAGCCTCGGGCATCTGGTCCTCGGCCATGACAAACTCCGGAAAAGCGCGGCCAGATCGCAAATCATGATCGTCCTCATTGATCTCCTTCAAGGTATCACAGATCTCGAGATGGGCCTCATAGTCATCCATCCAATGCTCCTTACTGCAGTAAACCGGAATACCACAGTCCGGGCATTCGAAGTCGACGTGCGCCGGTGCAAGGACTCCGGTCTGCGCCGTGTTCTCATCGCCATGGGGAGCAATTGTAGGTACTCGAGTTGCGCGGTGGTCAGGATGCGGACAGTACGCATGCTGCCTCATGAAAGCCGCGCGACGCCGGATCTCTGGGATAGGCGAGTCCGTGAAAGAGTGAAAGAGATCGTTCGAACGCAGTTTGGGAGTCGCCGCCTCAGCACTCGCACCCTTCACCGCTGCAGCTTCGTGAGCAACCTTGGGGGTCGAAGAGAATTGTCTCGTCGTAGCATTGTTGGCCTTCGATCTTTCCTGAACAGTGGAATGCAGGCTTCGGGTCGAGTGGGCTGATGCGATTCGGGAAACGGTTCTGGCAGCTCGGTTGGGGATCAATTGCCTTCTCAGCGTCGCAGAACAGTTTCCGCAGACGCTTGATGCTGCGCGTCGCAATGCTGGCTCCATATTGAGCGAGACTGAAGCGTGGAACCTATTGCGGCTTGCAATACCTAGCTGGCTGCGCTGTTCCTGAAAGCTGCCGCCGCCGAAGCTCTATGTAGATGGACCCGAATTTTTGGGAGGTCCGGATCAACTAAATAACCGGTATGTGGGTCCACGGAACCTCGCTCAATCACTACTAAGTGGGAACCTGGAGCTTCAGATTTTTGTATCGGAGCTTCCCAGCCTCCCAATCCACCTACAACTCAAAATTTCACACCGCGTCTCGTGCCTCAGCATCCATTTGAGCTCGAACCCTGAGGCCGCGCAGGCTTTCTGCGCTCAGCTGCAAACATGGCGACGACCTCGAACATGTTTCTTTATTCCCTGACCCTTCAGCCGCCTACCAATGTCACGTTGGCGGTATTGGGTCAGTTTTCAGGAACAAAGGAACAAAACATTGTGACGGCGTCGGGGTCGCGTTTAACGCTCCTTCGACCTGATCCATCCCAGGGCAAGGTTATCACCTTGCTCTCGCACGATATTTTCGGCATCATTCGGTCTATGGCTGCATTCCGCCTGGCGGGAAGTAACAAAGGTAAGTCCCGCAATCCGTTCCCGTTGAAGCTTCACTTAGTGATTTGAGAAGCTTGCCATTCGCGACAGGCGCCACTGTAGTCAATGTCGCTCGCCGCTGGCAATCTCTGATTGTCTCAAAACTTTGCTGACCTTGTGTCAAAGACTATCTTATTATTGCGACTGACTCTGGAAGGATCACAATTGTCGAGTACATCCCTGCGCAGAACCGATTTCAACGGCTGCACCTTGAGACCTTTGGCAAGTCTGGAGTACGTCGAGTGATTCCTGGAGAATACCTCGCTTGCGATCCCAAGGGCAGAGCATGTCTCATCGCCTCGGTCGAGAAGAACAAGCTTGTTTACGTTCTCAATCGAAATGCGCAAGCCGAGCTCACAATCTCTTCACCACTCGAAGCGCACAAGCCTGGAGTTCTTGTGTTGTCTATGGTTGCGCTCGACGTTGGTTATGCCAACCCTGTGTTCGCTGCACTGGAAATCGAGTATACCGAGGCAGACCAAGACCCTACAGGAGAGGCTGCTCGTGAAGCCGAGACTCAGCTTGTCTACTACGAGCTGGACCTTGGTCTGAACCATGTCGTGCGAAAATGGTCAGAACCCGTTGATTCGACGGCATCACTTCTCTTCCAAGTCCCTGGCGGTCAAGATGGACCGAGCGGTGTCTTGGTGTGTGGTGAAGAGAACATCACATACAGGCACTCAAACCAAGAGGCCTTCCGCGTGCCGATACCCCGGAGACGTGGCGCTACAGAGGACCCTTCAAGGAAACGTCACATCGTTTCTGGTGTTATGCACAAGCTCAAGGGCAGTGCTGGAGCCTTCTTCTTCCTCCTGCAGACGGAAGACGGCGACCTATTCAAGGCTACCATTGAAATGGTTGAGGATGCCGATGGCAACCCCACGGGTGAAGTAAAGAGACTCAAGATCAAGTACTTCGACACTATTCCGGTGTCTTCTAGCCTGTGCATCCTCAAGAGCGGTTTCCTGTACGCTGCGAGCCAGTTCGGCAACCATCAATTTTACCAGTTCGAGAAGCTCGGAGATGATGATGAAGAGCTAGAATTTTCAAGCGACGATTTCCCAGCAGACCCTAAAGCTGGCTATGATGCCGTGTACTTCTATCCAAGGCCATTGGAGAACCTTGCTCTTGTTGAGAGCATCGATTCCATGAATCCTCTGCTCGACTGCAAAGTGGCAAACCTTACGGGCGAAGATGCGCCACAAATCTACACAGCCTGTGGCAATGGCGCTCGCAGTACATTTAGGATGTTGAAGCACGGCCTGGAAGTTAACGAGATTGTTGCCTCCGAGCTGCCCGGTATTCCTTCAGCTGTGTGGACTCTGAAGCTGAACCGTGGTGACCAGTTCGATGCATACATTGTGCTGTCCTTTACCAACGGAACCCTTGTTCTGAGTATTGGCGAGACAGTTGAGGAGGTCAGTGACTCTGGATTCTTGACATCAGTGCCCACGTTGGCAGCCCAATTACTCGGCGAGGATGGTCTCATTCAGGTGCACCCGAAGGGTATTCGTCACATCCGAAACGGCCAGGTTAATGAGTGGGCTGCACCACAGCACCGCTCTATCGTCGCCGCGACTACCAATGAGCACCAAGTTGCTGTTGCTCTCAGCTCGGGCGAGATTGTCTACTTCGAGATGGATGGGGATGGATCCCTGGCGGAGTATGACGAGAAGAAGGAGATGTTCGGAACTGTGACTTGCTTGAGCTTAGGCGAAGTTCCGGAAGGCCGCCTTAGAAGCTCATTCTTAGCAGTAGGTTGCGATGATAGCACCGTGCGTGTTTTATCTTTGGACCCCGAGTCTACTCTCGAGAGCAAGTCAGTGCAAGCTTTAACTGCCCCACCGTCATCTCTGGCCATCATTGCCATGGATGACTCCTCGTCTGGTGGATCAACACTCTACCTTCACATTGGTCTCCACTCTGGAGTCTATCTCAGGACGGTGTTGGATGAAATCACTGGAGAACTCACCGACACCCGGCAAAAGTTCCTTGGTCCTAAGCCGGTCCGGCTATTTCAAGTCACTGTCCAAGGACGGACATGCGTGATAGGATTGAGCTCGCGTCCATGGCTTGGATACTCGGATCCAATCACCCGAGGTTTCGTGGTAACACCGTTGAACTACGTAGACCTCGAGTGGGTATGGAATTTCAGCAGTGAGCAATGCGAAGAGGGTGTTGTTGGCATTCAAGGCCAGTCCTTAAGGTAAGCACGTTGTCTCCCTTTCTTTCCCTCCCCTTACCATGATGAGAAAACGGGATCCTATGCCAAAGTGCTATGAGGTCTTACGCATTTTTTACCAATTGTTCCTACTGATGGTTCTTGTTAATTTCACGTTATTTGATGTTTGATATCGTGGTCAAAGGCTAATAAGATTCAGGATATTTGCTATTGAGAACCTTGGAGATACTATCACGCAAAAATCAATACCCCTTACCTACACTCCAAGGCGTCTGCTTAAGCATCCTGAATACCCAATGTTCTACACCATTGAGTCTGAAAACAACACGCTACCTCCGGATCTCCGAGCTAAACTGCTCGCGGAGCCTGGAGTCGTTAATGGCGACGCCACGGTTCTCCCTCCAGACGAGTTCGGGTACCCCAAGGGCAAGGGTCGGTGGGCCTCCTGCATCAGCGTTATCGATCCTCTGTCGGAGGAACAACGAGTATTGCAAACTGTTGATCTCGATAACAACGAGGCAGCTGTGAGCGCTGCGATTGTGTCCTTTGCTAGTCAGGATAACGAAAGTTTCCTGATAGTCGGTACTGGGAAAGACATGATCGTAAACCCTCGGCAGTTCTCGGAGGGATATATCCACGTCTATCGATTCGGCGAGGATGGCCACGAACTGGAATTCATTCACAAAACCAAGGTTGAGGAGCCTCCTACAGCCCTTCTCGCCTTCCAAGGCAGACTTTTGGCCGGTATCGGCAAGACTTTGAGGATATATGATCTTGGCCTGCGACAAATGCTCAGAAAATCCCAAGCAGATGTGGTGCCACAGTTGATTGTGTCTCTGAGCACACAAGGAAGCCGTATCGTGGTTGGAGACGTCCAGCATGGTGTAACATACGTCGCATACAAGCCTACCACCAACAAGCTTATCCCATTTGCCGATGACACCATCGCTAGATGGGTTACTTGTACTACAATGGTGGATTACGAGTCGGTTGCCGGAGGCGACAAATTCGGCAACATGTTCCTCGTCCGTTGTCCAGAGAAGGCCAGTCAGGAGGCTGACGAGGAGCAAGGCGGTTTACATCTGCTAAACACAAGGGATTACCTTCACGGTACTCCTCACCGGCTCAACCTTCTTAGTCATTCATACACCCAGGACGTGCCGACAAGCATTATCAAGACAAGTCTGGTAGTTGGTGGCCAAGATGTGCTCCTCTGGAGTGGTATCAACGGCACCATTGGTGTCTTTATCCCCTTTATTACGCGCGAGGACGTCGACTTTTTCCAGAACCTGGAACAACACATGCGCACTGAGGATGCTCCTCTTGCGGGTAGGGATCACCTCATGTACCGCAGCTACTACGTCCCCGTTAAGGGCGTAATCGATGGCGACCTCTGTGAAAGGTACACCCTCTTACCCAACGATAAGAAACAAATGATTGCCGGCGAGCTAGATCGTTCGGTGCGGGAGATTGAGAGGAAGATTTCGGACATCAGAACACGATCCGCCTTCTAGAAAGGCATACAAGCGTGTGGTTATTTTTCCAGCCATTTGGGAAGGAGACATTGACATGTTGCGTGTATTGTGTACAAAGCGTATGGTATATGGTAGCGGCGTTTCATACAGGCCAAAGAGCCGTAGGGGTGGTACAGGACATGATGACGACGCAATGAAGAAGAGTTCTAATAATACCAGATCCCAAACGCCTCAGTCGCCCGGTGAATTGTTTGTTTTTGGTGTTGAGATTTTAATGTCCCTTGTCATAAATTTCATGCAGACCCCCTCCAGAACGGTCCCCGGTTCCGTGGTGCGCCTTTTCCACCTCGTACGGGATGGTCTCTTTCCCACGCTTCGTCGGCCGCATATGCCTCCATCGCCATGGCCAGGTCATACCCAGCCTGCTCGAGGTATAACAGCGCAACATCGTAGTCGGAAACCTTACAGCCCGTCATGAAACGCCGAATCCGACTCTTGCGCAGCTCTTCCTCCTCGCCCTCAATAGGTCGGGGGGACAGACTTATGCCAGCGGCGTAATACTCCCCCGGTATCAAAACCGTCCGGCGGCCCTGGAGGAGGTGATCACTCGTGATGTTATTCGTGCGGCGGAGAACAGACTGTGGCACGCCATAACGAAGAGAGAGAGAAGCGACGGTATCGTGCTCGTGGTTCAAGAAATGTAGGGTATCCTCTGGAGGTGTCGGCGAGGCGCAGGGGCCCTTCTTTTCGTCGACAGCGGCGGCGCCATTTGCAGTGTATGGCGGTGGTGGTGCTGAGGGTGCGCCCGAGGAGAGTTGATGTGTTGGCGCCAGGGAGGTGTACAGAGGCGGGTCCTTGAGGTTTACGGGTAGAACGGACGGAGCGGACGAGGTTTGGCAGTACGGGCAGTAGGATGCGAAGCGGGGGTTGTTCTATCTCGATCAGCATCATCAAGCCATGCGACAGCGGTGCAACGTACATGGATACAGTCTCCGCAGATAATTCGGCCGCAGCAATCTAACCTCCTGTCATCGGGAAGCGGTTTCTCGGTCGAGGAGTGGTACCGGGGCACGAAGTTAAGGAGTTTGGCGCAGGTACAGCAGGCGGAGGAGTCCGCAGGCGTCTTCTCCATAGCCGGTTTACGTTCAACTATCATGGCTTTCGGCGCGTTGTGGTTTGGGATGAGGGAGTTTCGTTATTTTGTTTCCCTGGCAGGGTAAAAAGAAGGAATCACCTGCCTGAAGCACGAGAGTGCGTCCGCGCAGCCGGGACAAGTGACCGTGTCACGGCTTTAGAGGGGTTCTCCCCGCAGTGTCGCCACCCCCACTGCGCCGCACCGCCACCGGCCGATTCATCGGCCGGGCCTTTTCTGACGTCTTCCATTCAGAACTTGCCCATCTTAGTAAGAAGCTTTGCCTCGGTAGGTCACAGACATGGGCACGTTCGAGCCATGCGGTTCAGCCAGTCATGTAAGGTTGACCAGCTCCGAGTTATTATTAGTATGTGACAGAGAACTGCTGAGTGTCCCCTTTCAACATTTTCGGTTTACTTAGTATTGTATTGACCTGTGTTTTTGCGCAAGAGACTGGCTTGTCAAGTACTAGACGCATCATCTTGGATCGTCCAGTGTTTAGGACTGTAGCTGCCAAGTTCTCGTGGCCATTTAGGCCCGAACTTGATAAATTTATAAAAGCATCCCAGTGGCAGGATGCTGTGAGGTGGACATTTTGCATATTCTCAACAAGATGTGGAGCTTGGCGAATGCAAACATAAGAATGTGGTCAACATAATCGGAAAGGTAAGCACCCTTTGGGTTCGTATCCGAGCTCAGGCCTCATTTGGCGGCTGGCAGTGTGCATGAAGATTCATGAGGACTTGCTTCGTCATATTTAGGGCAATATTGTAATGGAAAGAACTATCGTATATAAGGAAACACCCTTCTGGGCACCCAGGTGCTGACAAGCCTGAGTTGGGTGAGATTCTGGTTACTATTTACAAAATAGCCTATATGTGTAGGTTTTCGTAGTATCCTTTCATAGGTCATTAAGTCTGGTTGTCAGCCCAGTCTCTAGTCGTGTTTATTGAAACGAAAGTAGCCTCCAAACCTCTGTTACCTGAAGCATTGCAGTAGGTCAGTTTTAGTCTTGTCCCTTTGGCTACTAGAGCCCCAGGTCACCAAGGTGACACCGCATGATGGTGAAGCCCGGTAAGGCTCATTCTCTCGAAAATTTATCAGTTTCTAGTTGACTTGACTGGTTCAAAGTCATCCACATTCTCTTTCCCGGCATTACCGTCGTTGGCTGGATCCGACGAAGCTATCACAGCTCTCATTGCACTGGAAGCTTAGCTTTGATGAACACCTTGGCTATCCCCTTCCTCACTTAATATCATCCACATTTCCCGTGATCCAAGGTCTTTAATTGCAATAGTGAAGAGATCATGTAGTAGCATCGGGCCTCTCTCAGGATATAGATGGCCATTTTTCAAGTCAGGGAGACGCTTTGGTCTGTTGACGAGTTTGAATCGCATTTCTTTTCTTAATGAAACTAGATCGCGTGTGCGACCTAGAGCCTCAACATCATTCTAATGTCTGTTATCGTGTAAGTCAGGGAGGTGTAGAAGAGAGAGAGAGAGAGAGGGGGGGGGGGGGGGGGGGGGGGGACGAGTTCATTGACTGCCGCTACTTATGTGCTACACATCTCTACGGAGACGTCTAGAAGGCTTAAGAAATATGAACGAGATTGTTGTGTCACGTAGACATGTCAGGAGACATACATCTCTGATGCTCATATGTGAGAGGATGCAACATGGTCTGCTTCTATACCTGGGTGAATTCCTCACTGACCAAGATATACAAATGAAACGGGCCGTTGAAATAGAAAGGGGTAGATGGTGTATGTTGTTAAATCCGCTAGTTTGACCAAGGCGAGCGGCAACTCCATGACACCCATATTGCTTGTCATGCTGATAGTACCAAAGTTACTATCTTCCCGTCCACCTCGCACATCATCGCTAATGAGTAAGGATCCCGTCCGAGTAAAATACAACGGGCAACCGAAACAACTCATCTAGGCTTTACAAAGTGACAACTTATCATTACAGCTCTAAGCCCCGGAAACGATCCCACCCCCCGGATTCTTGTTAGCCTGTACCATCGTAGCTATTCCAGTGAATCTGTTTTCACGACTGGCGCTGGAAAGTAGGCTACAATTGCATTTTCATCTTAAACTCATTGACTGGTCGCGTGGGTGTAGCCAATATGGGTTGAACGAGGAACCTAAAAACGAGCATGCGAATATGGACCTTCCCTTGCAAGTAGGACTTGTATTTTCTTAGCGGAGAAGTGCTAAGCGGCTCATTAGAACGACTGGGGAGGAAAGAAAGACAAATAAGGTTGATAATGATAGCTGTTTGCACGGTTTAATGTCTGTCTTCAGCATTTATGTAGCCAAGAAGTCTACCATAAACAGGGTTTCACCTCCTGGGCAACATGGCGAAGCTCGTTGTCGTGGGTTAGTGACCTTGGTTTAGAGTCCATCAAATAGTGGAAACTCTGGTCCTCTTGTATAGCACATGTAGTACTGCAGGTCTTTGGCATCGGATTAGACTCAGGCAGGCGGGCAAATCATTAACAATTTTCGCTAACTTAAAGACTGGTATGGAATATCGCCCCTTAGTGGCCCTCACATCAGCCATCCATCATCCATCTCCAGTCCATCAGCTTCCCTTTTCAATGGCTGGCAGTAACTAGTTTTTGGAATTTAGATGTTGACAATGAATCAGCACTAAGCTAGAAGGGTTGAGAAGACTGACTCAGATCATGGGTTGCTTGTTTCTCTGCTGCTCTGACAATAAGTTTCTTGGCTGAGCTCTAGAACACATTTTAGCCTATAAAGAGAGTCTAGCGGCTGTATGTCGTAGATTTTCATGGGGCCTTGTGTACGCAACCTCGAGCAGCGTAAAGCGCGTCTTGTCGCCGGTCTTTTCATGGAAGCAATAGTCAGCCTTAAACCTAAGCACCTTATAGGCCTTGTAAAAGATAAGGTACTGAGCGCCTCACAAATCCCATGGATGTCATGTTATTTGAGCCCAGGTATTGAGGCAAGACAGCATTACGAAAGGTGATATTTTTGCAAATGCAGTACTGCCCTTCGAGGCCATCATGGGCCGAAACCCCATTGTGTACGGGTGGCTGACCGGCTGAACATCCCCAAATATCAGCCAGAACTTGTTGGGAACGAACCCTACGATAGGGCATTCGCAACTTGGTGAGATCAACTGACATATTCTGATGCTTCATGCGCTCCAGTAGTCCTTAATTGATACTGCATGAAAAACCCCATCATATATATACACTCATGCAAAAAACCTGTTTTTTTTTTTGTTTTTTTGGCACCTTGAACAAAAAGGTTTCCTGTTAAACGAAAGGCACCCTGGCATCATCTCAAGTTGCTGTCGCATTGCATGTACACCATCTACACACCTATACGACGAACTCTCACCAACACCAGCCTGGCAACCTTCCAGATACAGTTTTGATGCAACAGGCAAGTGGAAAATGCCACGGTATCGTCAATACTGGCAAAAACGAAAAAGAGATTTCCGATACCGGGAATCGAACCCGGAGCTCTCCGGAGAGCGCCTAGCTGTTCACTGAAGAACTTCTGACGATGAAAGCGGAGTATGTTAACCGTTACACTATATCGGATTGTGATTGGATTGTGATTGCTAGGTTGCACATGTGGAATATGTACCTTACGGTCTGATTGTACTGTAGCACAATTTGTGATTGGTTTAGAACTAGAATGGGGCTGCGCCCCAAAACCGAATGGCTTGAGTCAGACGCAGAGGGATACAGGGAAAGCGGACTGAACCACTTCGATGAGACAAAAAAAAATGTCGATCAAGTATAACGAAACGCATGTTTGTTGCTTCTTTCACTAGGCTTCTGCAATTGTCCCTTCCATCTTGCGTCGAGCATAACGAACGAACCAAAGCTAAATGCAAAAACAAGCTCTCTGCAACGCTGCCATCGGGAACTATGATGGACACCACCTGTCAGCAGCTGGACTTGGTACGATAGGGAAGAGCACAATTTGGAGCACAATTTCTATGACAGCGTTTTTTTGAGATTATGGATACTCCTTGTCAACTGAATCAAGAGACGCTCTTAACGGGTTGGGAGTCCGAAGACATTGAAAAAGCTCAGCATGCCCACTTCCTGTCCCTGCTGGCAATTGACTTTTTTCTCCCCCCCCTCTTCAAGCAACTCTCAATACAACATGTTCCACCTCATCCCAGCTTGACAGGCTCAACTCACGACACCAAACACACGCACACGCACACACATACACACACACACACCCGGAGTACATCAGACTCTGGCGATATTCGGACCCGCGCTCGTTAGATCCTTATCCCGCCACGGACATGGTTTCACATTTGGAAGACTCCGGACACAGCGGCATCGCAAGCTTGGCGTACAAGCCGGAGTCAACCCGAGCGCATTTGTGAGGCATCAAGCCAAGCATCGTGACGGATCAGAGGTGCCAATGGAATGTCTGATGTCTATTCTCTAATTACTGCAGGTTGGACGCCCCCCTCCCCGGGGGGGGGGACACTCTCCACAGCCCTCTTTAGAAGATCACGATCTGGCCAACTTCTGTGTGATTCGAGGCGCTTCCTGAGTCACGGGGATAAGAAATCACCTGACCGCTACGTAACCGGAGCAAGAGACTGGCCTGGCACGTCGTGTCTGTAGGACTTTTTGAGAGCGCCAGGTGCTGCTGACATGGTTGGCTGGGCTGGGGCTGGTGGCCGGCGGCCAGCTCTCAGTAAGCCAGGCAGTTCCAACACACCCCCCTCTATGGGTTTGACCTAAACAGGCAATGAAACGACAATACTTGCGTCTGAGGAATCCATCTCCACTATGGTCCACTAACCAAGCGCCCCGCCCTAGGGCTCGCCTACTGGATGGGAACGTTGCAAAAAAAAAAAAATAAGAACGGAGGAAGAGTGAAAACAGATTCGTTGGTGTGTCGCTGTAGTGCGACACCAGCAAGTGGGGTAAGAAAAAGAGCTTAGTCTTCCTGACATTATTTGGTGGTGTAGGCTCTATGAAAATGCACTCTTTATTTTACCCAACATGACCAGGTAGGCGGGCAGGCAAACCAAGGCCTTCCTTCTTGCTTCATGTCAGATGATTGGCTTTCCGATGTTCGGATGCCGCGGCGAATAACACGAGATCCTTGCATGGCAGAAAGGGTCCGGCCTCGGGGACTAGTCGGGGACTAGAAGTTTTCCAGAAGAAATACGCCCCAAATTTCCCTGTTCCTGTGGGTGCGGACCTCTTGGACCCCGATCCGACGCTAGGGCCAATTTCGTCTAGCTGGTCAGCTGAACGTGGATAGACTGTGTGAACGGACCGCAATGACCGCACTCTTACACTGTCCAGTTGCACATCCATGATCGACTGCCAGCTCAACAATGTATGAAGCCTAGGAGGGGACGAAATCGATCGGGTTGATCTCGCGTATTTCTGCCGCCAAGAGACAAAAAAGACGAACATCAGTTGCCAGAAAAGTCTGACGACAACTGAGCCAATCCCGAGACTGGAGGATGACCTCAACTCCAAGCATAAAGGATGGGTGAAAATTTATTTTCAACCTCACAGCACGGACGAGGATGTGACGAAACACCACCAAGTCCCTCTCCCGACCGTTCGGTTCCTGCCGTAACAATCGGCGCACGTCTCCGGGAGGGTCGATTTTGACAATTATTGGCCGCCACGCATTCGCCAAACCTTTCCTACGCCAGAATAGGCCATCACACCAACTTTTTTTTTTTTTTTTGCTCCCCTCCCCCTTCCCTCGCTGGCTCAGTGTCACTATTGATGTATTGATCATGAGCTCCGCGGAAATGCTAGTTTCACCCTCAGGATCTGAAGCAAGCATTCGTTAATAGGTCGCTAACGTTGCCGTACCGTGCATATGGCAGGGGCTTGCTGTTTAGCGCTAGGCTCTTTTGTTATGGGAAATCTTTACTGCAGCCTTGAGCGTCTCTAACACGCTGTCCGCTTTCAGACCTGCCGTCGCTGTTACGGCACTTCCACTGCACCCGTCGCTGATCATCAAGGTCGCTACCGCTCAAGGGCCTGGGCAAAACCCGGCACCTGCACTGTCCGCCAAAAGCTTCAGCGCGGGGATCCGGTCCAGCAAGTGCCCTTTTTCCGATTCTGCTCAAGACACCCCAGCCTGGCGATCATCAATGGAGTTTACTGGGGTTGCTGGGCTGGAGAGAGATTTGTCTCCAAATTTGGAATCCGGCGTTTTATTCTCGAGCACGTTTACTCAGTTATTACCTTGAGCAGTCTCATGCCCTGGAATTTGCAGTTCTTCGCGACCAGCAGAAAGCCAACGACTTGAATGTCATAAACCGTACGAAGCGTTTAGTTTACGGAGAGCCAATTGAGCTTAACGCTCCCCACGCAAAAGGTACATTGAACGCAGGTACCTCAACTGGTCTGCGCTGGGCGGAGGAGGGGCGTTGGTTTTGGGTGTGCCGCGCAACTGGACGACAGGTGGAAGCTCTCCGCGTCCTGGATGCTGGCTGGAGCTCAGGTGATCTGAAAATTTGTTCGATGTGAACGTGGCTCCGCTCTTGTTCACAGCCCGGCCCCAGCTTCGTCTGATGACCGCCAGGCCCGACCAGTCGCCAACAAACACCGGCTCGCCGCGAATACGCCTGGGACGTCGTACGTCTGAAAGGTTTGGTGAAATGACTTCTGGATGCGCCAAGGATGGCCGTCATGATGCTTAATGGCAGAAACTGCCTGTGGTCTGGGTGCTGTCTTCACCGCAAGGGAATGCTTGTGGAGAGACTCCGGTTCGGAGCTTGGGAGATTGTCCTGATGGAACCTTGACACTTGCATCATTTCTGAGCTTAGTCCCGAGCCTCGCAATAGTCCAGGCGCGTGAACAGTGGGAACTCATGAGAAAGATGTTTGTACCGCGCATCATGGTGTATATAGATGTTGGCCCCTTTCATTCGAGGCGTGCATCCCTGTGGCCTGTAGGAGGGTCTGTCTCTTCCTTGGTTTGACCCAAGCTCGTACAGCGCTGATCTGCTGAACGAGGGGTGTCTGTCGCCAACCATGAGTTTCGACGCCAGCAGCGCATTGTAGCAAGGCTCTCTCGCGAGAGTCTTGAGTCAGCGACTGAAGTTGTCTTGCAGCAGTTGTCACGGTTCATGACCAGGTTTGGCGAAGTTTGCCGTTTTGTGACCCCCCCTGCGCAAAGATCTAACTAGGGAAAGACAGATTTTGGGGTGGGATGGATGCATAACAACGAGGCGATGGCTTCCCTGAAGTTGCTCGGTCGAGTTCAGTGAGTGAGGGCTAGGGGGCCAAGAGTTGCTGCGGGCAGCTCCTGGTCGGATGCTACAGTACGCACAAACTTCCAACTTGGTTCAGGAACGTGACGGAAGGCAGCCCGGTGATCGGAGGATGAGCCGCTCTTGCTATGCTTTTTACTATTGCCCTGCTGGGCGCAAGAAGCGACCAAGGTGATGCGACAGGGCGCAATAGACAGCCACAACGTCCCCCATCCCTTCCCCCTAAGCAATGACCGTCGTTGACATCCATGGCCTCGGATGGACAGAACAATCTGGACCAATAAATGCCCACTTTCGCAGGACAGGGCAAGTGTCTTGGTTTATGGCCAGCTTCCCACCTTCCCCACGGTGAAATCCTCATATTAATGCTTCATGTGCCGCAAAAGGAAAGAAAAAAGAAGGGAAAAATAAGAGAGAGAAGGACATGCCAGTAAAGTCAGGGTTCGTGGATTGGGATGATGGGGGGGACCCTCTCCTAACACCTGGACAGCCAAAGTGACCTGGAGCCAAGTACCCCGACACGTTCTCAAGGCCATATAACGAGTCCCACCCCAGTGTGTCCTGACTGGCTAGAACAACTAGAGGTCCTTGAAAAGCTTTTCGGATTTTTGGCTTTTTTGTTCAAACTTTTGCATCGCCTGTTTTGCATACGCCTAAACCTGGAAGAGAGAGCGAAAAGAAGACGACGATATCACACCGTTGTCAAGACTGCGCAAAATTGTCGAGAGATAGCTACGGCCCAACGACAGGGAGGCAGAGACCACGCTACCAAGGACGTCGCTCAGTGAGCAGCCATCATCACGCTGCAACAAAACGCACACCCAACGAGCGACCATTTTTACCCTCCACCGTCAGAAGCGGGGTTACTGGGCCTGGCGCAGCAGCCGCGCGATCTAAGTAAGCTGAGCTGCGTCTGTTTGTCTCTGCTGTCGCAGTATAGCAACCGACATCTATACGTTTCTCCCTTCCCTCTTGGGGGCACCCAACATCCCCTTCCATACATCCATCTCTAGCATCCGCCTTGAACTGTTGGCAGTGTTCGAGATCTCCCATACGGCGTGTCGCAGTTTCGGATCGCCAAGGGATAGAGACACCCACCTAGGCTCATCGTCATCGGTTTGCTGATCCAAGATTCCATTGTCTCTTTCAGTCACCCTTTCCTGTCAAGGTGGTCACACTCTTGCTCGTTGCAAAGGAGGAGCTTAGCCGCACGTCCTTCCAGACAGCGTTGCCGCAGGCTGCATCTGCACCAAAACGTGGAGAAGACACGGGACGGTCGGTTCGTCGGTCTAGTCAGCCAAGCACGCCAGCCAGCTTGAACGGTATCAAGCAAGGGATTGAGACAGAAGAGAAAGGAAAGAAAAAGAGGAGAGACAAGCAAGTCCCGTCTTGTCGTTGTGCGTGGACTGGTTGAAGCAAGCAGAGCATCCCATCCTTTTTAACAGGAACATCGACCTGGCCGAGCTTGGCCTACAGGCCACAAGGCAATCCCCACCCCACCCCATCGCACTTCCCAGTCTACTGTCCTGGCGCGCTGGCTGTAGGTCTGTTTCCCCACTCCCACATACGGGAAACGCACTTTCGCACCTCCCGCTCATCCTCGCCCACACTACCACACACACAGGCACACCCCCCCCTCCTTTGAGTCCCCTCCCCTCCTCCTCGCTCTCAGTCCTCATCCACATCCACCCACATCCACCATCCATCCCAAGCCCATCCCTCACCCCTCCGCTCACCCCCTCCTCCCACGCCGGCGGCCCTGTTCGGTGGTGTCTGGGTCTAGGCGAATGGCTGGAGTGCGCCCCCCCTCAGGCTGGCAGTTTATTATCATTACATAAAAGACCGCCGCTCTCTTCCATTTCCTTACACACTGCAACCTCTCATCGCTGCATCCCTTATCTCTGGGCTGGCAAAAAATAACTGTCAAAGATTCAACTGAAGCTCAATTGCGCCCGCTTGGATGCCTCTCACCCCAGTCACAGTCTCAGCAGCGCAGCGCTCTGTACCTTATCTTGCTGCTGCTTAGATTTTACCACCCATTTTCAGGTCTTGTCTACCCAAGTTGGCGGTTTCGCCCCAATTCCCGTGCGGGCGCTCATAGGCGCCACTGCCATCTTTTCCCCCGGATATCCCTTATTCGGGCAATTGTTTACTGCCCCGTCCCTGCTTGTCATCTTTCTTGCGCCCGCAACCACGCGCAAACACCCATACACGAACACCTTCCAGAACATCATAGGGCTGGCAGTGTGGAACGACCGACGTCACAACGGCCGCTGTCCATCACGCCGTACACCTGAAGCTACAGACACAATTCTCTCCTTACGGTCCACCGTGCAGCAGTGCTTGTCGCTGCCGCTGCCGCTGACCGGCAAGCTGCCTCAACTACCCCGGACAGGATAAGGAATGGCAGATAAGATGTCCATCGACAACAAAGATCCCGTCAAGGAGGACACTCCCGAGACCACGGGCTCCAGCCCCGAGGCCGAACAGCTTAATGCTACCAACGGCAATGCTAACAACTCCAACGCTGCTCCTGAGAACCAGCAGCCCAAGCGAAAGGGGGGTCGTAAGCCTGTGAGTAATTTATCTTTTTTTTTCTTTTTTTTTTTTTCTCCCATCATCGTCTTTTCTTTCTCTCCCAGTCTCGTCTGTCGACAACACCATATTTCCCCAGACTTTTGTCTGTGTGACACCGTCTTAAGGTTTCATCTGAGAGGAAACTTTGTTTTAGTCCAATCTCAATATTGCCCCGACCGAATGCTAATTGTTGCCCAAAGATTTATGCTACGTCTGAGGAGCGTAAGCAGCGCAACCGCCAGGCTCAAGCTGCTTTTCGCGAGCGTCGAACTGAGTACATCAAGCAGCTCGAGGAAGCTATTCGCGTCCATGAATCCAATCTACACAACCTCCAGGCTGCTCATCGGACTGCCGCCGATGAATGTCTGATGTTGCGTTATAAGAACTCCTTGCTTGAACGTATCCTCTTAGAGAAGGGTAAGCTTTACCATTGCCATCCATACCTCGGATTGAACATTTATACTTACTCATCATAGGCATCGATGTTCAAGCTGAGCTTCGTGCCAAAACTGGTAGCCCCAATTTGGGACCTACTCATGCTCCGCAGAATATGGTCCAGCCTCCGCCTATTCAGCGCGCAATCTTGAATCGACACCACCAGTCTCGACGTTCCAACTCCAGCATCGCCCCGAAGCTCGAACCTGGCATCAGCCCCCTGCCTCCGCCAATACAGGCAGCTCACTCGGCCGCCTCTCCCAAGACCCGTCCGACCCCTTCGTCGCACTCCAATTCTCCGACGAACACAGCCGCGTACGGCAGCCAGCCGGCGTTGTCGCCGGCTGCTTCTGACCATGGCCCGATGCGCACCACCATGGCTCCTTCCATGAAGTCTCAGCTTAGTCCTATGGCTCCGATGAACCCGGCCGCACGAGCGCACATGATGTCCGGCGGCCCTCCCAGAGTTGGCAACCACGGACCATATTACCCGACACCTGCGTTCCAAAACCACATTGAACAACTTGGTAAGCCTGCCCCCTTTATGAATCCCACCTAGTCTGCTCCAGGCTAACTCTATGAGTACAGAACAGGAGTATGATGCCCCTGCAGACATGATTGAAGACTCCGAGATCGAGACTCCGAGCGGCCCCGGTCCATATCCCAGTAACTTCTCTGGTGATGCGCCACAAAATATGTTGGCGTCCCCGACCTCTGTTGGCCCTGGCCAGCACATGACGAGCCAGGCCGAGTCTGTTCAGCCTGCCCAGACGACCCAGGGTGCATACCCCTCCATGACACAGCTCTTGGATACTGGCATTGACTGGGATCCCTTCGGGCTGAGTGCCAGCATGGCATTTCCGTCACAATTCTCTTTCGACACCAGCAACATGAGATAACAATACGCCCTCGGCGGGCCGAGTTGTCAGCGCAAAATCACAGACCGAGCAAGCCTGGGTCTGATAAAGTCAATCAGTGACACGAAGAGGAGGAAAGGGTTTCAAATGTTTCATCATGTCCCCGTTTAGGGGTTTGTTTTGCTTGTTTTTATGCAAAAGAAAAGAAAAAGTAATCATGTGAATTGGGAGGTTGCGGCGAGCGAAAAACTCGATACCCGGGCGACACGACATCAGCATTCGGACGGCGAGATTGTTTTCTGGGCGAAGCATGTAGCAGCGTCCTTAATCACAACAAGCGAGGGGAACAAAATTTCAAGATGGCTTCAAATACCCGCGCCGCGGTCATCTACGGGAAATGCGACCACGATATAAAAGTACAACAAAATCTTGCTCATTTTTGATCTCTTTCGACGCGGACAGTCAACTGGGCGGCGGAAATACCCCAAAGGGTGGTTGGGCGGCCTTCAGTACTTGTCTCTTTGAATTTTGTTTGTTGAATAGGGGCTATAAAGAAGCCCGTGCTCTGTTTTTAATGGCGTTACTATTTTCAAACTCATCTATGTATGATGAAGCATAGGGAGAACAGGAGGGACTAAAAAAAGTTTTTATTTGCTGGCTTCAACAATATCCCGTTTTCTTTCCATTACAAAACCGCGTACCCTCACTCCCTTTCTCTTGGTGTGTCATTCTCTCTCTTCTGCGTATATGTGTGTGAAAACAGTGTTGCTTGTCCGGAATGTAAACTCAATCATATGGCTCGTCGTTGCTGACGACCCGCCGCAAGGTTCAAATCGGTCGGCGGCGGCGGCGTCAGGGTTGGGTGGGACACACGGATTTCCAGGACCCGGTGTGGTTCCCTCTATGAAACTTTGCAGTCTTGCGGTTCCCCCCCCCCGAGTTCCATTCATCCATTACGTCTCGGCGCGGTGGACTGACGGCATCGATAAGGAAACAGCCCTCGGAGTCCATTCCGTGCCGAGTCCTAATCTTGGCGGATTTGACTCATTGGCCGAAATGCTTGGCCGGCATATCATGCGTTTTGAACTTTGTCACTGTTTTTGCAGGTTTTTTTTTTTTTTAGTCCCGATATATGAGGCATCACGAACGAGCGGTCAAAATTGCGTGGCTTTTGTTTCCTGTGAAACCATTGGTCTTTTTTTTTTTTTTTTTCCCGGGTTATATTTTCCACGTTACTACGACGGATACTAATCCAGGAACCCGGCTGCAAGCGTTGGCGCAACCTTCGTCATAAATGTCCTAATAATTCCCCATCGTGGAAGGGTGTGGTTGACAAACGCCGTTCATTCGCGGTGCTTTAGGTAATGAGCCAAGATATCACCAGGGGGGGCAGAAGAGAGCTTGACTCGAGAGAGCCAGGGGCGGGAACGGCTGGGCGAGTATGTACGGAGTGAGTGTATGAGGCCAAGAGTTTGTAGTCAGCCCATCGAGATTAGGCGTCTACTTTTTTTTTTTTTTCTTTTTTTTCTTTTTTTTTTGGCCCGTTATTTCCTACTTCTTTTCTTACTGCTCGAAGGCTTGGCTTATGTGGTGGAAGACACGTGGAAGAGAATGGTGTGTGAGTGGGTTCAAGGGGGCCGTTCATCACGAAGCTTGTGTGTGCTTGTGTGATGGTCATTGTTCCTGTTTTCTCTCTTTGCTCTCCCCCCTGTAAATGTTTAAGCCTCGCGGGTCTTTTGTGTCTCTTTCCCCAGAGCCCAAAAGGCCAGAAGAGCCGGCGAGCCGTGTTTGGGCTTGGCCTGCGTATGTCTTGTTGGCATTTCCATTCTTGATCCTTGATTCTTCTTGGTCATGAAATGTACGGGAGAATGCATGGCACTGGCACCAGAGATTTATTCCATGGCAGTTGTGAAAGCTTAGGTTCTTAGGCAGACGAGCCAATAGAAACAACGTAATCCGGAACATGTTAGTAACAAGATTGTATCGGGCATGGGAACTGTGCCATTTTAGGGGGCCCGGCCCTGGACTATCAGGATTTGGGTTTTCTGGGAAAACGGAGAACGGATAAAGTGGAGAGGGAAAGAGGGTGCTCCGTTGGTGCAAGATGAGGTCAACGGCGTGACGTGACGGCAGTTGGTACTGGCGTGCGTGTAGGTGTTGATGTACAATTATATGTTGTACCCAGCTTTTACGGAGACCCGAGGCAGGATTCCGTATGGGTACGTTGCCTGTCGTTTGTGTGCAGTCGTTTCTGGCCTGGATCTTTGCTTCTGCGTATGTACACTATGTGTGTATGTGAAAATCTGGGGAGGCTTACCCCATTCCTGTTTGATTGAGTGCATGACCATCCCCAGCCGTGCCGCCGGTTGCATTCTCCGGCGCGTGCGTTCAGACGCATCCTGCGTTTGCGTAACGGGGATGTGGAGTCCCATCACCTAATAGTAATGTTGGGGGAGAGAGCGAAACGGGGGGGAGGGGTGTGTGATGAGAGTTCCTTTGAAAAGGCCCGCCCCACTGAGGGTATTCGGGAATTACGTAAGTAGGACTTTCCATAGTCGATGCGAGAGATGAGAAAGGGTTGCCCCTTGGGGCTAGGTGTGTAGGTGAAGGAGACGAGGAAAAAAGTCCTGCGTCTGGGCTGGGCTCGTTGGGACGGAGATGAGAGTCCGTGGGGACCGAATATCCACCCCCCGCCGGGGGACCTGATGGATCGGGATGACCGGATGGTGGGGAGCTGAGGTTTCGGGGCGCCGTTTCGCTGGGGAGAGAGACAAGAATTGCGATGGAAGAATGGCCGGAGGGCGCGCCAAGAAGGACATGATGGGGCCCAGGTTGTCCGGACGAGCGGTTGCGTAGCCTACGTGGACGATGGGCTTGGCCCTTTCATGATGCAGGCCAGCCTGCTGAGATGAGCCGGGACCCATTTGTCAGCTTTCAAAGGTCTAGACCTCGCATAACCAAGTTGGTGATGAGAGCCAAGACGTTATTGCTATCAGGTGGTTTCATGTGTGAGTCGAGATTAGGTGCTGCTTTTGATTTCCGCGAGGTTCGAAAAGGCGCATTGTGACATTGCAGCTTCTTTGGGCTGCGGCGTCGGCATACGGTGTGAGGTTAGAAAGATGCCTTCGGGTTGCGAGCTGTGCTTGCCCGGGCTTTTGCTCTGTACACCCGGAGTTATACGAGGGCCTTGGACTTGGTGGTGGGTTTGAAAGTTAGTTACGAATGCTTTTTGGGAACTTTTGGAATATCAGCCGGCCCACTTGGCTAAAGTGTTACTGTTTTAGTGATGGCATGTTGTGGGAATAATGTGTTAGTATGGTTTGCAACTGCTGAATGAATCTCGCCTACTGTGATGTTAATTGTTAGGTAGCTGCTTTTGTTTTGGGGGGAAACGAAACCCACTACTGCAGCATGGATTTAGATGTGTTGTAGAGTGGCCAGTCCTGTATTAAATGTTTCAAGTCCTCAATTGTGCGGCATTCGGTTATGTGAATTGAGTTGTACGTATAGCCCTGTTACTGAACCTTGAAACTTAAGCTGGCTACCCACCACTGTAGCAACATGGTTCCTATAACCTCTTGTAACTCTCGTTAGATCAACAACACGGGTGTGATTGGGAGTTGTTTCGTTTTAGTGGGTGAACCCAGAAGCCTCTGATCGTGTGAGTAAAGACGACAAGGAGGGAGTGTAAGGAACGTATGGGGAGCGGTATGGTTGCCAAAAACGCAACACCCAGCGCATCAGAGTTTGCGAAAGTGACTTTGGGAGGTATGAATCAAATTTTGACTCTCTTAGAAATCAGTCGTGGGTATAGTTGCCTCCAAGGGCTCGTTGCTGTGGCTCTGTAGAAGAGTTAAGGCGACGCCTTTGAATATAACCCAGGTGACAAGTGAAAAAGCGGTTCCTTGGTGACGATGTTTCCAAGATATGTATAAGTTGCATTGTCTGAGCGCCAAATCAAGCAACCCGAAGATACGGAGCAAATGCCCATTCCCCTTGAGTACATCTTTGGTTCTGGCTCAGTAACCTCAAGCTCGTTACCAAACAGGTGACTTCTAAACGAAAACGGCAGCCCAATCCAGTGGATGATAACCGTACTTTTTTTTCTTCACCATGGGTAAGACAAATACAAAATAAAACCACTATCAAGAATGACAATCCCACATAAGTGAATAGAAAAGATATATCAACCGCTGGTGAGGTTTCAAATATCTCACGCCAATTGTACCACACCTTTCCATAAAGTTTCCGCAGTTGCTGTCGAGCATGTTTATCAGTGTTGTGTAGGAGAGCGTAGCCACATAGATATGGCAATACGTAATCTCAACCTAACTGTCTGTAACCCCTATGGTGAACTATTTGGAGGCCCAATCGTATACTTTGGTGAAATGCTCGAATTTAGGCGGTAACGACGAAGAGATTGCGGGACATACAAAGCCAAAGCACTCCTCAACTTCCAGCACTAGACTTCACAAATATGAGTACGCTTCAAGGGTGAGGTGCGCGTAACCCATGATGGGGCTGGTGATCTTGTGCCTTTTACTGAAGCTGCGGATCGATGCTATCAACGTATCGCTACTGACGGTTCGGGGCTAAAATGATGACCGAGATGATGGAGAGCTGGGTATCCTCATCGCCTCCACAGATACAGGCGGAGACTTACGGATGCTTGAAGTTTGAATAAACACATGTTAGTGAGCGCCCAGCGGAGTTGTCAAAATGGGGATTTTATAGGCGATGAGACGGCAGGAGGAAGGCAACACGTTTGCTAGAGATGTATTTACTACCCCCCACATCACAACGACGGCATTGAACAATTTCTGCCGATGGTTAAAGAACTCAGGTCTCCTGCTGTTGGTGATCCTCGTCGTATTCAAATATCCAAAATAGCATGAGCAGGTGTGAGACCTGAGATCTTGTGATGCCCCTTGTCACGGACTACTTCAACTGTCAACTAATTTTCAGGGATATGTCTTGCGAGGCCTCACGTAAAGCCAGAACTATTTCCTACAAATATACATTAGCCGAAATATCTCATGGTTCTTCTCGCACTTTAGGGCAGAAACCAAGCAGTCTCGAAGAGGAGTTGAACGCTTTGGCAAAGGATGAAAATGAGCGTCACAGCCATGATGGAAACCCTAGAAATGGCCGTCTTGAGACTAGTATTAGTGTTCCAATTGAACAAAGAAGATCATTTCAAGGATATAATGCAGTATTAGAAGGGAGTTGATGATATGTCCACGTCTATTCTCCACTAAGATTGAAGTTGAGTTTGCCGGTGTGACGGCCTTCTCACGAGTACCTTTCTGTCGGACCCTTGGATGAGCCATCTCTTGCCCCCACACAAAAACAAGGGAGCCTCAATTCACTTATACATCTAAATTTGACACAAAGTAGTGCAACGGGCTGACGGAGACACTTCTGAACCATTAAATCCAGCCATTTCCGGATTGCCGTGCACAGATAGCAGCTTCACGCAATTTATTGGCCCCCCTCCCAAAATAACTATTGCATGGCAACGGGCAAAGGCGAACTATACATTTCCTTTGGTTAGCACTGTTGTTAAACATCCCGTTGCCAGTCTGTGTTGTTTCAAGAGGAAACAATCTTGCAGTGAAATCTTGTGCTGACGAGGCCGAAATACTCTGTTATTGGCCGCCTGTCTCTTCAACAACTGCTTTGACCTACCCCCTGTGTTCACCGTAGGCATGGAAAACATGGGGTTCCAGCGGCCTAATAGATTGACAAAATTCTAAACAGTCTGCTGGTGATCGGGTCCGCTCCCGAACATCCATCCACTAGCCCCCCTACGGTTGTTTGTATGTAACAGGAAACCACACAACATCCTCTAATAAGCCGCGATAAAAAAAATAGTCTTGAGAATCGACAGCAACAGCAGAACTCAACACCAGAATCTTACCTTCATCTGACCAGCTAAAGAGCCAACAGGGTATCACAGTCACGTAACAACAACTAACCTGAATAACATGCTTGCCGAAGAGGACCCCCAGACTGGTATATGTGCTGGTTGGTCCTGCACCCGTTCCCATGACAACTGTTTTCACAGGACTCCCAAAGTAGGTATTCTTGCTAACTTTTGAGGGTGACCTAGCTTCGTATTTCCCCGAAGTAGCATTTATTAAAGCAGCAAGGGCTCACGGAACTGAACAGAACAAATGCTGCGCGAGCATGTGCTTAGAAAGACCACATTCACCGACGGAGGAAGGGGGCTCGACGGGGGGTTTTATCATCTTGCAGGCCTAAAAATTTGGGAAATCGGCTTTTTAACACAATGTAGTCTTCTGATTATACCCATCTCGAAATCATAATCGCTCGCAATTATCATCATATAGAACACGTCATCGTCCATCACCCGTCTAGAGCCTACTAGACCTACTCTCATCCATAATGGCACCGCTCATCACAGGAATCTGCTGCTCGCCCATAACCAGTTCCCGCCCGCCCTTGGTAGTCCACCAACCAACGCCAATGGTGGCCCGCTCAACATCTAGTTCACCACTGACGAGTAATTCCCAGAAGCGGTCCTTGACAGGCTGACGCATAATGGGATCTGAAATCTCGTTAAGCGTCTGCGCCGTGAACGTCAGCCAGTTGTCAAGAAGAGACAGCGGCAGAAACGGTAGCGAGTCGATAAGCGTGAGTACAAGCGAGCTCTGCTCTGAGAACGGCTCCTCTGGCGTCAAGCCCTTCTCAGCCTGAGCGATGGCGTCCTGTGTCAGGGGAAGAGGAGCGGTGTCTGCGCTAATAGCTCTGAAGCGAACCATCTCGAGTAGGGTCTCAGAAAGATGCGGGTCTGTGAGAGAGATTGGGAATGGAGGGGAGACGATCTGCATGACCGTCTTGAAGGCAACACGAAATTGCCGCGTTGAAATCTGCGAAGGGAAGGAGGTGAAAAGTGTGTCAATGTAAAAGGGCACCAGGTTGATGGTCAATGAGTCATTGTGTGGGCATGACAGAACAGACAGTACGGCACTGTGAGCGGCTTCGAAGAGCTCGACCATGGTGGACGTCAAGGCGCCATTGTGAGTGAGGTATGCCGTCGCCGGCTGAATGATGAGCGTCTCACAGGCCTCAGTGGGCACATTGAGAGGCAGGTGTTCTGCCACATTCAGATAAAAAAGGTCCAGGGTTCGGTCAAGAGCATAAGAAGGCACCGTCCCAGCATGAGGAGGCTTGTTCTCGGATAAGAAAGCGACGCAGGCATCCGCGAACTGTGCCACTATGTCGAGAGATGTAAGGTAGGTAAACTGGTAGGCCCGGAAGGCGCTGGACCCTTGCCTCGAAGAGATGAAGAACAAATTCCTCAGGGTGTGTAACGATTTTATTGCGACCTGGGGAGCCATAATGTCGTTTCTCATACGGGGGTCTAGGAGGCTCCGCCCGACAATGGTTTGCATAACTGCCACCGTCGCGTACAGTGTCTTCCTCAAGACCTGAAATAACGCTGGCCATGTGCTCTCCAGGGTGTTTTGCTCCAAGCGCGCTGTTTCCTCGGCGGCATCAACTCCCGAAAGCGGATTATGCTGCCATTGCTGCAGCACCTTCTGTGTGAATTCCATCAGGGAGTCCTGGGCCTGGAGGACAATTGCCGAATCGGTCGCATTCGTGACGGCGAAGCCCGCCAGTTTCGACAACGGGCCCATGCCCCCCATGAGCGGCTTGCCCTCAATAGACTGCAGCAGCTGAAATGACGGGGAGTTGGGAGACCACTCAACTATCTGACCGTACTGCTTCACGTCTTTCCTAATATCGTCCAAGAAGCGGCCGTCCTGGAAGCCGTCCTCTCCGGTGATGGCCAGCACGGCAATCGGCAAAAGTGCATTGCAGTTGATTCCGCTCTGATGAAATTCAGAAAGGAACGGGAAAACATAGTTGAGCGCAAGCACAATCGACGCCGAAGCAAATGAACCGTCCTGACGTTCCAGTGCGAGGTTCGTGGCAGTAACGATGGCTTCTTCCAGAGTGTTTCGCAGACCCCTCGACAGTGACTGCCTATCGTTTCCTTCCATGCCCATTAGGATTCCCGTCAGGACGAGCAAATGCTGCCACCTGTTGGACCGATCGTCGGCACCTTTTACAACAGCTCGCACCCAGGCATCACTACCGAGGCCTCCACCCTGCCGCGGCCCGTAGACGTTCTTAGCATTGTCGATCTCGTTCTGTCGCACCCGTATCGCGGCGCTGTTGTAGATGCTAATGATGCGCAGGCTCGTCCGCAGCCCGTCGCGCCGATGCCAGATCGCGGGCGCGACAAGAAGTTGGGAGGTGAGGACGCCGAGGTTCAGCGGATTCGACAGCGACGTCAAGAGGTTGGTCGTCGAGCCGACTATCTGGTCCGTCTTGCGGTCATCGTGGACGTTTTGATACAGTTGCAGAACCGTATTGAGGAGTCTATCGGCCGGCATGATGCGCTATACTTGCATCAGTTCATGTGAGAAGGACTTCTGGGGTGGTCAAGATATTGTCGGCTATTTGAGAGTAGAAAGTGTCGTCGTTGTGTCGTGGTGGCTATGATCGACGGCGCTGGTGCCGATGGCAGGACGTCGGAATTGGCGTGGATGTTTTGCCGAGGCACTTTGAACGCCCCTAAAGCCACACCTCGAGCTCCTGCACAACTGCGCCATCCCTGCAGCACCTCACCCTCATACCTAACCCCAGCAACAAGCGATTGGTGCAACTGCAAAACCTCGAAGCTCAACTTACCGACCTTCAACGCATTTTAGCCTCTTGTAGCCGCAGGAAGCTCGTCACCATGTCCTCGCGTGCGGAGAATTATCCGCCGCCAAATTACAAGGTGCCGTCGTTCCCTAGCATCAATTGGCAGCTTCGGGACTTTACCGATGACCACCGCTGGAGTCTCTTCTACATCCGCGACATTTGGCGCTTTACCGTGATATGGACCTTCATCATATACGCTGCCGTGCACATGGGAGCCGCCGCCATCACCATCGCGATGCACACTAATAAACGAGGATCACTGACGTACCTCTGGGCGGTACCTTTGCTGTACGCTGTTGTAGCGGGCGTGCAGGCGCTATTCGCTGGGAGCGTCGTAGGTCTCATGTAAGTGCGCTTATATTCTCTCGACTGAAAGTCGTGTTGCTGATATTGATTATGTACAGCCTTGGAGCGGTCTACAACGCGGGATACTTTTCCATGTCAACATGGGTTCCCCTTCTTTGGGGTGTCATCAACGTCCTCGTCCTCATTATCTCGTCCTTCTCCATCCAAGGTGGCCTCTAAACGATACATATACGGACGCAAACATACAAGAAGAAAGATATAAGGCTTGAAAGACTACATGGTAGAGCTATAGTTTATGTTCGTCGATAACGCAGTAGCCCCGTCATCTCCATTCGTCGGCTGCGATGGCACGATCTTCTTGATCACGCGCGCCGGGTTACCAGCAACGCATACATAATCGGGCACGTCTTTGGTCACGACGCTCCCGGCGCCGACGGTTACGCCCCTTCCGATAGTCACACCCGGCAACACAATGACATTGCCGCCGAACCAGCAGTCTTCACCAATGGTGATGGGCTTCCCACTCTCGGGCCCGCGGGTGCCGTTACGCAGTGTGGGATCCAGCGGATGTGTACCGCTGTAGAACGAGCAGTTGGGCCCAATAAGGGTGCGCGAGCCTACTGTGATGAGGCAAGTGTCGATCCATGTGCTGTTAGAGTTGACATATACGTTGTCACCGAATCTGGCGAAAGGCGCGTAAGAAGACGGGCACTGAAGACACGAAGGGGATTGGTTCACACAAACTTTACGTTGTAGCCGTAGTCCATCTTTATCGGGGCATCGATCCATGGGTAGTCCTCAAGTAGGGCGTCGTCCTCGTCGCGGCGGGTACGCGGTGGAGGGAGAGGAATTGTGTCCCCGTTGATACTGTTCCGGATTAGGCTCTACATCTTGGACGGGGAAGTGAAGCCGAAGGGGAGCCAGGGTGCTGGTCGCCCAGAAAAAAATGATGAGATCGATGGAGGCGCAGACACTCACTCTTTCCACATGCCCACAAGCGTGCGGCGGCTCACGTCACCAGCATTGTTGAACCTAGCGCATGCCGCCTGGCAACGTTTCCGATCTGCGATCAAGTCCGGGGTAAAGGCCCAGTACAGCTCGCCGTTCTTCATCCGCCGGCGGTTCTCTTCCCTGTCGATCGAGCGGATATCCATAGCTGTTTTGTGCATGTATGCGGTTGCTAAGAGGGAAAGGGGAGAAAAATAAAGTGAAGGCTTGTCAGTGTACAGGGCAGGTAAGTTGTGAGCCGACTTCCGTTACGGAGGGCGGTCAACGTCAACGTGTTTACTCGGACAGGCAAGGGGACAAGGGACCAGGTGAAGCGAAGCGAAGAGAGATGGTCCGAAGAAAAAAAAACCCAAGACTTTTTGTAAACCAAACAAGGCCCTCTGATAGCCAGTTCCCCGGGATGTAATTGCCGGCCGTTTCGAGCTACGAATAGTTTATCTCTATGTCCCTCACTCAAGTGACCACCCCCCCATGGTCAGAAGCAAGTCGGTGAGCCCGACACTGTTCGAAAAAGGGCCGTCAGTCGTAAGCACCTTGCCCCAAAGCGCATCGAACACCGCAGCGGGGGCCCACGCACTTGCGTCATCCGCCCCTGACTCTCGGCCCGCGCTCACGCTTGGCCTTACCCGTCCCAGCCGTCTTTGCTTCCACACAGCAGCTTTGGCAGTGCTGTACAGCAGACACTCTTCCCCAAAACCCACTGTAACCGGCGCGCTTTTTACTGTTTCCTTCACCGAGGCGTCGTTGTGAGAGACAACATTGCATCTGGCGTTCTCGTTCTCGCCTGCCCAGGCTGAAGTGGAGCCTCTTTGCAGCGGACACACCCCACAAAAAAAACCCAACGTCCCTTTCTTTCCCACCTTCCTGTTGCTGTCAAATTTTGAGCCTCCATGCTGGTCTTATCATGATTTGACCATTACAGCGCAGCCCGAATCCGCCTTGCAGGGAACAGAGACGCGGAGAGTTCACTACCCATTTTCTTCCCTCCCACCCCCTAAAACTCCGACTACACTAAAGAGGAGGGGCTGCGAATCCGATCCCTTTTACCCACTCGTCCACTTCTGCGCTATGATCCGAAGTTGAACAGAGTTGTCAGGAGGGAGAAAAAAAAAGTGTGTATAGAGACAGTGTCAAGCTGTGTTCATGCATGGAAGGACGGCAACCTTGAGCTAGAGCCACCCGCCACTCATACCGTCCTTGCTTGTCATTGTCACCTCCTTAAGCCAACCCTCCTTTAGCCCCTTGTCCTTTCCTGGGACTCTGTTCTTTCCGCGTCCCGCGGGCCCCTCCAAGGGAACTTTCTCTCGACTCTAAACTCGATCTCGCGTTACTGGTCAATCCACAATTTCTCAACTCTCAGATTGCATCATAAGCCTGTGCAGCCACCCTGATCCCCCCTCCAAATCACAAGGCAGGCCACACAATGTCGAGCTTTCGTCGGGTGTAAGTTCCAGCTCTATCCCTCGGTCCCGCGCTGTCCTCAGTCCGCCCGACCTTCCCCGTGAAATCTCCGCCCTCAGGTCTCTACCCTCGTCTCTTTCCCCCCCTTGGCATCCGAGACCTTACAGATGTTCTCTCCCCCCCTCCTTCCGCTCATTTCAGCCCCTCAACACCATAACCCCGCCATCGCGATGTCTTCCCACTGGAGGCCCGTGAACCCCCTATACCATGATTCAACCAGACTTCTATCCCACCACCACAACAATGCTTCCCCTGCGCCCCAATCACTCCCCGGTTCCCTCACATCACATACAACACTATCAGTAGCTGACATCGGACACAGCGGCGCCCGCCCCGAGTCCGAGAACCCGGCAAAGGACTACTACCCTCGCCAGCGCAAGTCCTTAGCCGGCATCGCACTCCGCGCCTTCCTCCTCGGCGCAGCCAACCTCTTGGGCGTTCTCTCTACCATCCTTATCCTGTCCTTCACTTCATCACCGCTCTGGCGCCTGCCCTTCTTCCTCGCCTCCCTCTCTCTCTTTCACTTTCTCGAATTCTGGACGACAGCGGCCTACAACACACCACAGGCAACGGTCTATGCCTTTCTCTTGACGGCAAACTGGCCCGCCTACGCAATCGCCCACGCCACCGCCTTCATCGAGTGTTTCCTCACGAACCTAATCTTCAGGGACTCCGTCTGGGCACCCTTTGGCTTGAAGCCCCTGCTGGTCACAGCCGGACTGCTGCTCGTCGTCGTCGGCCAGGCTGTGCGCTCGCTGGCCATGACCACTGCCGGCGAGAGCTTCAACCACACCGTCCAGCACTACAAGGCCGAGTCGCACACCCTCGTTACGACCGGCATCTACGCCTGGTTCCGACACCCGTCTTACTTTGGCTTCTTCTGGTGGGCCATCGGCACGCAGCTGGTCATGGGTAACGTCTTCTCCCTTTTCGGCTACGCAGGTGTCTTGTGGTACTTTTTCTCCAAAAGGATACGTCACGAGGAGGAACTACTTATCAGGTTCTTCGGCGACGACTATGTCAACTACCGCAAGCGCGTCGGGGTCATGATCCCTTTCTGCAATTGATGCCGGACTGTTGTGTTTTCTGTTGCTCAAGTGTCGGGATGTGTAATATATAACTGTATGAGTGTTGTTTTAACAGCGCCATTATTAATTTTCTCTAAAACCCTAGTGGATATTTAAACAGAAACGCAGGCATAAAAAAATGCCTGTCTTTGCAACAAAACCCATTCAAGAACTCCTGGGCCACGTCATCTGCCTGCTCACACTGCCGTACTTGGCCTGCCAGGCATAAAAGTACATCAATGCGGCAAACGGCTGTCCTAGAATGGTGAAGGAAACCCAAAAGATGCAGTTGCCAATCATCCGACCTGTGGGTGACTGCATCTTCTCCAGAGGGGTCGTGATGGCGATCAGAGGGAGCTGGAAGAACATGCCAGCGAAAGCGACGCCTGATTGTCATTAGCTATAGAGCCGTGGTAATGTGCGGGCTAGGCTTACCAATGATGTTGTGAGTCGGCACACCGACGAGAACCTCGTGGAGTACCGCCGAAGCAAAGAATACGGCAAGCTGCGCAGCCCTAGGGCTCCATCCACGGCCGATCAAGGGAGAGTAGACGTGGCGCTTGAAATACTGGTAGACCGGCTTGTTCCACAGACGCCAGTAGGCACCAAGACTCTCGCTATTCCACCAGTCCTCGTAAAAGCATCGATCCCCAAAGCGGGTAACTTCGGCGAGGGCGTTGAGAAATGATTGGAAGAGTGCGAAGAAGCCTGCGAGCCAGATGACCAGAGAGATCGTAGAGAGCTTCATCAGCCGCTCAAGAATCTTAGGTACGTCCAACGAGGCGATCTTGTCGAGCGAGTTGATCAAGACAGGGGCGGCATACTGGGCACTGGCAAACCAAATGAAGACGCTCAGACCAAAGACTTCCGCCATCCGCTTGCCGACGAACACCCATCTAATCTTTTCTGTCCTCGGGTACGCAGGCTGGTAAACCAGCGTCGGTGCCCACCAGAAGTATGCCAAATTGCCCATGGTGATGTTGTTAGGGTACGGGCACTGCTGGTAGATCTCAGGCATCGCGGCAAGTTCGCCCTTAACGGGGTGGAGGTAAGCGTGTCGCAGGTCTCGGTTTGTGAAGGCGTACGAAGCTGTTTTAAGCCAGACGATGATGGCATGAAGCTCCGTCAGGGTGCCGATTAAGGGGTGGTGGATGTGGAAGTACACCACGTATGTCGTGATGGCGAGGGCGAGGGTAATGTTGACGGCATGGATCCAGGCAATGACCTTCCAAGTAGAGTTGAATCGAGCTCGCTGGTCTGCTGTCGGGCTGGCAGCGCCATCCTTTGACTTGGCCCGCAAGCCTCGAGCCTGCTGAGCAGCGGCCAATTCGATCAGGTAGGCGGCGAGGAGATGGCAAGGGATTAGGAGGTATAACCCAACACCGAGAAGAACATCTTGCCGACGGAAGTCATGGCACCCAACGCAAATCAAGACTCCATACTATGATGTGTCAGTTGCATATAGCGAGAAGGACTGTACAGCGGCGCCTACCTTTTGTATGTTCTCAATCATCAGACGAAGATTACCAACAACTGCACACACTGTTAGTTAAGGTCATCAAGCAGTCCCGGCGTTGTTCGACATACTTAATACAATTACCATTAAGTTCCTGAAACCTAAGAAACTGGGGGCGGCGTTGGAGTCATGGCTCAAAGTGGAAGGGCGCGATTTGTGGTGAACAGCAGCGACGTGCCTGTACTTCCTCTGCACTGCTCTCCTTAGCTCCTCGACTGAGCGCTGATTCTCGGATGCGGAGGCGGGTGTTGTGGCGGGCTTCGTCTCGGATGTGCCATTGTGTGTGTGACGAAGGGATGAGCTCATAGCTGAGCTCTCGACGCTCGTCACCGTAGCCGTGTTCATGGCTGGCGACACGTCCTGAGAGTGAATTGCGAGCACGCGAGAATGACAACAGGGAGAGGTACGCAAAAGTGAGGAAGCTCAATGATGAGGAGGGGAGAACCGGGTGAAAGTTTAAAAAAAAAAAGGTGAGGGGACTCAATGATGAGGGAAAGCTGTGTATGTATATGCAATGCAGGGAATAAGTGGCAAGTGCGATAAGATATCGGAGTGTAAAGGTAAATGTAGGCCAATATGCACGACGCCAAACCAGGCTCGGTCGGGGAAGGAAAATACGAATTGACTTCGTAGCCGGCGTTTCCAAGGGGAGACGCCTGGCGCTCTCGATTTGATCCAAACTCTCCAAGCCAGTAGGGAAGCTATCTGGATGGTAAGCGCATTGGCGTTGGACCTGGATTGGATGAGGGGCAATTCGCACGAGGGGGATCGGAAACAGCAAAAAGAGGGAAGGGGTACGTCAAGGCACAGGCCAGGGGGGAAAAACAGGTGGAGGAAGCTAGGCCGACGCCATCAGTCCCTTAAGCGTGGGGACTCGTTTGTCGTTGTGGAGGAATGATGGAAGACGAGGTGCTCTGACGGCAGGAATGCAGACGTCGTGCAGTGAGACCAACCGACACCGACAGAACTGGGGAAAAGATATACACAGAGACAAGATGTAAGACAAAAGAAACAACAAAAGAGAAAATGGGAGACAGGAGGCGAGAACTACGGGAGAGCTGGATGATGGCACGGTCCCTAGGATGGGAAGATTGGAAGGGGGACCTTGAGAATGCCAGGGCCGCTGAGCCTGTCTGGTCTGGATTGCAGTGCTCGGCAGGAGGCCAGCAGGGCTAACCAGCAGGTCCTCTCACGTCCAAATCACCTTACGCCGTGCTAATGCTATAATGAGAGAAGCGCATGCATGCAAGCCAGGGGTGCTACGGCTCCACGGGTAGTGACGGCGATCCCCGGTGACAGTTCTGAGTGGTCGAATATGGGGCCTCGTGGGGCGTGGAAGAGAGAAATTAGAGAGGGAGCCGTGGCTGAACTCTATCACATGCAAAAATGAAAGGGGGATACCATTTTCTAGGCTAACAAAAAGAGGACGGGTCATAATTAGTGCCTAATCATCACCTCATTCTCCGGCGTTGATATTTTGGGAATCGCACCTGACAGATGTGATGGACGGGGGGAAATGGAAGAAAAAATGGAAATAACGTCAGGGTCCGATGTTAGCCCGGATAAGCAGTTGAGGCGCCGATAAGCCAAAACCGCGAAGCTAACGCAGGAAAGCACGCTAAGAAAAAGCTATCGGCGGATCACCATCCAGGTCATGTGACCTCGAGGAAGCTGGCCTGGCCTGTGCACGCGTCGCGGTCATTTTCATTGATTGGCGATTGCCTCTTGGACTGAACCATGAGAATGACCGTCCATCAACTTACGCGATTGGCACCCAAGATAGAACTCGACGACTGACTAATAAACCCACCCCCTCTTACAGAGTACTCAATTTCTTACTACATATATCAGCGCATGAAAGTTTAAAGATGGCGTACGATCCTCGAGGGGATCACCACGACAGGCGAGGGCCGCCCGGAGACGGCCAGGAGGGAGGCTTCGTAAGGGCCCGAGGTCGACGTGAGTTGTTTCTAAATATCAAATAGTATTCTCTCCTAAGCTCTCTGAACCAATGAACTTGCCTGCATTTCAAGAAGCTGAGCTGTTGCGTTCTCTACTTCTGCACTCTTTGCAAGACCTGAGACACGACCTAGATACATCAAGAAGTTTCATGCTGACACCTCACTGTTAGGTCCGGTCACTGACTATGGTTCAACTGTTGCAAATTGGATGCGTCACCGCGCCCCGGTAGAAGGGGACGTGTATACTGGAGAGGTCGAGCGGCCTAGTGCAAGCTTCATCATTGACGCAAGTCTTCTCAGGCTCGGCAAGTTTACACCCTGCTAATATCAACCTAGTTCACACCACCTGCAGCAAGAAGGACAGACCCGGGAGACACAATACCAGTGAAGCACCTTCATTCATCACTCAATAAGATCAAGCATCCCATCAATGTGGTGCGATGGACGCCAGAAGGTCGTCGCTTGTTGACCGCCTCCAGCAGCGGAGAATTCACGTTATGGAACGGCACGGGGTTCAACTTCGAAACCATTATGCAGGCTCACGATTCTGCCATTAGAGCACTAGCTTACTCTCACAACGATGACTGGCTCATCTCCGCTGATCATGACGGCAGCGTCAAATATTGGCAGCCTAATTTCAACAACCTCCAAAGTATTGCTGCGCATAACGACCCGATTAGAGACCTGGCCTTTAGCCCGAACGACTCCAAGTTTGTCACGGCGTGCGATGATTCGACGTTGAAGATCTTTGATTTTGCAGGTGGAGTGGAGGAATCAGTTCTGAAGGGGCACGGCTGGGATGCCAAGAGCTGCGATTGGCATCCGACCAAGGGCTTGTTGGTGTCGGGTTCAAAAGACCATGTGGTTAAACTCTGGGACCCTAGAACAGGCCGATGCCTGACAACCCTTCATGGACACAAGAACACCATCACCAAGACGTTGTTTGAAAGGGTGCAGGGAGACTGCCTCGCAACGTCAGCAAGAGATCAAACTGCTCGCGTCTTTGACCTTCGAATGATGCGAGACATATGCCTGTTGAAGGGACATGAGAAAGACATTTCAACAATCGCATGGCATCCTGTTCATTCGAATTTTCTTAGCACAGGTGGTCATGACGGCTCCCTGTACCACTATATTCTCGACGAACCAAACACGCCGGCAGGCCATTCTTCTATCGCACCATACGACAGCGCAGACCCGTCCACGACCAGCGCGCAGACCATCTACCCAGCCCACAAGATCCCTTACGCACACGACTTCGCCATCTGGTCTTTGGACTGGCACCCTCTTGGTCATATCCTGGCCTCCGGTTCCAACGACCGTATTACAAGGTTCTGGTCCCGAAAACGGCCGGGCGATGCCGACGTCTTCCAGGATAGATATCACATTGGCGAGGCGGCAGCCGAAGCTCAGGGAACCTGGGACCGCCGTGGAAACCGCCGTCAACGGCAGGAGGAAGAGGAGCAAGAGATGGAGGATGAAATGGATGGCCTTGTCGACCAGAAGATGCCTCTCAAGCAACCCATGGTCCCTGGTTTCCCAGGTCTACCTGGTCTTCCCGGTCTGCCTGGTCTATCTATGCCACAGAACGGTTCTGGCGCTCCTCCAGTACCCCCACCGCCTATGATACCCGGCGTCGGCGCAGGCGGCGGAGGTCCACCACCACTCCCCTTCCCTCTGCCCGGCCTGAACGGCGCGCCACCACCTCCTATCCCGCTGCCTGGCGGCATCGACCCAAGCAACCCTGCCGACCTTGCCAAGATTGCTGAGATGATCCAGAAGGCCGGAGGCACGATTCCTCCCCCGCCCCCTGGTAGCTTTGCCCCTGGCCTAGTCCCGCCACCCAACTTTGCTCCACCCCCTGGATTCCCTCCTATGCCTATGCCGCCTCCAGGTACTGACCTTAACATGAATGCACTTGACCCCCGGGGCCTTAGGAGGGCTCCCCTTCCAAGCCAGGAGGAAAGCCTGAAGGCGGAACAGCGGCGAGGTAACTACACCAGAGCGCGATAAGATCCGCAGGGTGAAAATTATGAAGGGGCGTGAGAAAAAGAAGGCATGTAAAAGGATGAGATGGAGAAGGGGCGGTGTTGATACCCTAGTGTTAGAACCGGACTTGAATAACACATATGCGGACCCGGCAATACGTTTGCTGGTACACCTTCTACTACATATATCACGCAATGTTCCTTAGAGGAAAATTCGCTTGATCGTTTTTTGTTGCTTCCGAGTGAGGGTATAGTATGATCAAATGCCAAATAGACTCTACAGGAAAGACTTATCGATGTTCATGATATGCATTCTATATGAGAGGCAGTCTGGCCGACTGCCTCTTTCTGCGGAGCTATCTAGTCGTACATGTATGTATGCCTTGTCGCCATAAGAAATCCTACCGTCTTGCGTGTTTGTGCCGTAAAATATCTTCCGACAAAAGTCTGAAGCGGCCATCCTCGTGATTGTTTCTCAAACGTACATGTTATGGTACAGACATGAAGAATGGAAAACGACCTCATCATTCCGGAGCTCATCCCTTATAAAAAAACGGATCTATAGAACATTGGAAAGGGAAGATGAAAAGTAAAAAAGAAGAAAGAAAAAAGGCAAATGCCGCTGTACCGCAGTCTCCCTCATTCGCTCCGCCACGCCCTAATCAAAGACGCCATTCCACACATGATCCCCAACCCTTTATTTCTTGCCGAAAGACTTTTGCCTGTCGGCGTACTCCTTCACAATAATGGCGCACGAAGTCTCGGTGCAAAGCCTCTTGCGTCGCTGCGGCGCAAGGTTGGACGCGAACTCCAGACCGGCGGCGCGCTCGACGGCCTCCAGCGGCATCTCGAACTCGGCAAGGGGCTTCTCGTTGGGGATGCGGGCGTTGGGCATGACGAAGGCGCCGATGGCGACGTTACCGCCGGCCTTGCCGTCTTCGGCGAAGATGACCTTGTAAAAGTGCGTCGGCACGGCGACGTTGGGCGGGTTGCCGATGACCTCGTACTTGGTGTACCACTTGCCGTCGACGGGGTCGCGCTTGGGCAGGTAGAGCGGGCCGGTGACGATGCGGACGGAGGGATACCTCGTCGTCAGGCGGCGGCAGAAGTCCTCAAAGTGGGCCCAGTAGTCGCGGTTGAAGCCGTCGCCGACCTGGGGGCACATGTTTGTGAGGTAGAAAGTGTCGTCCATGGCCTTCTGTGACCACTTGCAGTCGGCGGCGGGCACCTGGTGGCCGCGGTCGTAGCCGCTGCGGAAGTAGTCCTTGAGCTTGGCCTGGAACTTTTCGGGGACGGAGGGGTCCTCAAGGAAGGCGCTGTTCTTGCGGTCGCCGTCCTTCTGGGCGAGCGAGGCCGGGGTGATGTGCTCGACGACCCAGTGGGGGTTGCGCGTGCGGCGGTCGTAGCTTGAGACGAGACCGGCGCGGGTGGCTAGGTCGGCGACGGGACCGGGAAAGCCATATTCGAAGAGACCGGCGGGGTCAACGAGGCTGCCGGGGATGGCACCGGGGACGGGCGGGGGCGCCGACGCCGACGGGGGAAGCGGTGCGCTGTTCTTATTGTTGAAGACCTGCGTACTGGGCACAGGGACGGTAGGGGCGGTGGAGAAAGAGTTCGTCGAGGGAGCAGTGGTGGGAGCGGTAGTCGCGGGCTTCTGAGTCCGGAGCGAGTACAGTGCTGCTGTGAATGCGGCGCCGCCTCCCGCGCCTAGAGCTGCGATGAGGGCGACAGAGGTAGCTTTCGACATGGCGGGCTAGTTCTTACGCGGCGCGCGGCCGGTGCCTTGTGGATGATTTTAAAGTTTTATTTTTCTTCTCCAAAAGGAGGAAGAAGGAATGAATTGGGGTGCAAGTCAGGCTTTAGGCGGCTGTGGTATTGTTTAGGCCACGAGAATAGAGGAGGGGAGGGCACGTGGTTGAGATGGTGTGGTGATTGTCTCAGCTGTGTTCTTCACGGGGACGGGGATTTTGGGGGTAGCTCGGAGCTGGAAAATTTTGGGTTACGGCGCCTGGTTCGCGGAGTGATCTCCAGGGACGCCGATCGGAAGGGAAAAGCTTATGTGGGTCTGCAGCTACAATATCCCGAACATTTACCGGGCAGCTGGCAGGTTGTGTAACGGAGGGGCGTGGAGCGTTGGGAGGGCTGAGAGGCTGCAGTAGGGCTGTTCTCGGTGTACCAAGTGATAGGTACGTAGTGTAGTTCACCGATGAAAAGTTCGGTCGGCACCGGTAAGGATGGATGGATGACCAAATGCTGGAATCTGATTCGCGATTCGGTTAGATCCTACGAAATAGCTAAAAACTTACTTTTGGTGGTAAACCAACTGACCAAGACCACGATGGGTATACTATGTAGAATAACAAAACAACAATGGTATGTAGTTTGTATCCCCTCTACAATGTCGATCAAAGTGCTCCATCACATGCGTTGGCTTCTCTCTAGTACCTACTAAGCGCTTCGGGCGGCATCAGTGTGTTGGCGCGCTTCGTAAAAGTGTCATGGGGCTTGAGATTGTACTGGGATTAACCCACCATCCAGGTCCTCAAAGCCAAGGCTATGGCTTGTAGAGGGTGGTTTGTTGTCAACCACCACACTTGACTCGCCTGTCAACATGGGTCGGGGGTTCCCAACAAAGCGGCTGACAACGTGTACTACGCAGTACGTTGTACTTTGTTTTTCCCTGGATGACGCTGTATGTTTTTATCGAACAAAGTTTTAAGAACCAGCCCGTTTACCCTTTGAACAATGTCTCGCTAAAACAAGAGCCGCACCGCCGACTTGTACACCAAAGGATTCTAGGTGGGTTGCTCCAGAAGGAGCGTCGGGCGGAGAGCTGCAGATAGCACGGCAGTTATCTGCAAAAAGAAAATACAAGGGCACAGTGGATATGATGCACATAATATTAAAATGGAAACGAGCTTTGTCTGGGCATGAGACCTTTGACTTGACGAGTGAGCCCTTTAAAAGGGATTTTTGAGAACCTTGATGGCCTCGGCCCAGTCATGAATAAGGCCCCAACCCCCGGTCAATCGCACAGAAACAACGCAGCTCCGGCGAACAGCGCCAAACCCAGCGCCCCGAATCCACTAGAAAGCTTAAGGTGCAGGCTCTCCCAGTCACATCCGCCACTCCCCTGTCGGTCCAGCACAAAGCGCCATTTGATCTCATCGACAACGGCAGACATCGACATCATTACTCTTCCGTCAATATAACAATACTTTTTCTTCCCACACCTCGCCTTTCCCCTATTTTCACAAATTCCCCCCTCCCTCTTCCTATCATACCTATCTACCAACCTTGATAGTCTATTTGTGAAAAACATTACCTCCAACTCCTCCAGTTCAACCTACATATCCGCTTCTGGTCGGAAACCCTGCATCCTGCGAATCAACATCCCACCTACCTGGGTCTTGCGCTCGTACTACGTCAGAGGCCACCCGCTCTCTTGCAGAAACGATTGAACCAGCCACACCAACAGAGTTACCCAATCTTTTGGAATTTCGACAAGTTCTTGATATCGAATCGAGCGAGTTCTGATACGCCGCGGAAAGAAAAAGAAAAAAAAGACATCGGAGTTCTTTTTAGCCCCTCCATGTGCTGAGCACCAAAACTACTGCAGGCACCAACTGGAGGCGCGTGGAAGCCCAAGCTGCCCATCATGGAGGCGACAGAGGTCGATAACGATACCAGGGGGTGGATCATGTGTATCGTGAGCGGTATTGGTGGGTGACCAATCTTCTGGGTCGAGTGTTTCGGCCTGGTGACAAGAAGCTTTGCTGACTGATACAAAATCATAGCCTGCGTCGTGGGCGCATCTATCATCTGCGTCGATCTCATTGTGCGATGGTTCCCAGGACAGCGCAACTTCAGGATACAAGACAGTAATGTCTTTCTTGCCTGCTCCCTAAGCCTGAGCTTCGGCGTCATGGTCAGTTGTCCTAGCCATGCCTTGTACTTCTTACCTGGAACTGTTACCAACCCTTTTTCTGCATTCTAGCTCTATTCTGCTTTGAACAACATGTTGCCGTCAGCCAAGCAGTACCTTAAGGAAGACGGCTTTCCAGATCAGACAGCAGGTTTCATCATGGTGGGCTGCTTTGCTGGAGGATTTGTCGGTATACAGGTGATCTCGCGCTTGTTGCACCAGTACATGCCGTCGCACGTGGTTGATTGCGATCACACGCACAGCGAAATCGACACCCGGTCGCGCAGCCAAAGCAGAAAAACATCCTTGTACTCTGGAAGTCGGCGATCATCGCGACGACCGTTTGTTGAATCCGTTGCAAGGAACGGTCACATATCCGAGTCTACGCCTCTGCTCAACGGCGAGACGACGCGCGAAAACGGAGGAACACTCCTCCCTAAACGCCATGTTTCAAAGGGTAACCTGAGCCTCAGCACCACGCACTCAACACCGGCTCGGACTTCGCGAAGCCGCGACCCGATTGTGGAAAGACGGCCGTCCATGGCCCAGGTCCAACAGCGGGTCATGTCGTTCGTCAAGGACACAAAATCAAATTGCGACGAAGAGGGGCCTTGCTTCGGATATACTGACCCATGCGGCCAGGAGTGCTTCAAGCACCTGGGCAGCCGTTCAGGAGCAGTCGTAAAACATCCGACAATGCTAAGGACAAGCATGGGTCAACTTTATGCCCCAAGCCACACTGACCTGGAGGATCTGGAGGAGGGTGGCTCTTCGTGCCCCTCTCCAATGAACGGGAAGGTACGGACCAGCCGAGCGGCCTCGAGAGAGCCTTTGCCAGCCCATGACCACGCGGAGCATGAAACGCACGATCACCACCACGGACATGGCCATGGCCATGACCATGAAGCGCACAGCGAGCATGAACACATGGACGAAGATCTTGAGGCTCAACATCACCACCACGTTCCTACCAATGCATTTCTCTCCCTTGGATTGCAGACCTCGATAGCAATCGCCCTTCACAAGTTTCCTGAAGGCTTCATCACCTACGCCACGAACCACGCCAACCCCTCGCTCGGCTTCAACGTCTTCATGGCTCTATTCGTCCACAACATCACCGAAGGCTTCGCCATGGCTTTGCCGTTGTACATGGCACTCGGAAGCCGCCTTCGAGCCATGCTCTGGGCTGCAGTCCTCGGCGGCCTCAGCCAGCCCCTAGGCGCGGGCATTGCCGTGTTGTGGTTCAAGCTTGCTAAACACACTCACCTCACCCCGAACGCCATCGCCTACGGTTGCATGTTTGCTATTACTGCCGGCATCATGGTTAGCGTCGGCTTGCAGCTTTTCGTGGAAGCGCTCAGCCTGAACCACAATCGCAATCTTTGCATCTTCTTTGGCTTCCTGGGCATGGCCCTACTAGGTGTCACCAGCGCTATCGCGTCTACACACTAGATACGAAAGTGAAATCATTCATACTTGGTCTTTTTTGGAATTAAAATCCGGCGGTTTAATGGGAGTCATGGATCGGATTTTGTCTTTTTTTGGGTACGACAGCAGGCGAGCAGGCATATACATTTTATACCAACGCAGGTTATTGGGTTCGGAAGGCTTCGGAAGGCTTCAATGAGTTTAGATGAGGGACAGGCCCTTGTCACCGCCTCGTGGGCATTGGGCTAACTTGAATTGAACGGCTTCGCAGGGATCATGAAGCGTCACATCGTCGGAACATTATAGATATGGAATCAGCAATGGACTAAATGCATATATATATATTCACTTCAGCAAGTCCGCCGACCCTTTTGTGAGTGCTGTATCATGATTCCTTCAATGAGATGCATATACGTTTAGCAAAGCAGCAACTTTTTTTAGTGATTCCCCATCCATCAACTTTTGGTGTGGCCTAAGGCCGGGTATCAATACGTCGTCGTCGAATCATCCAAGTGTGCTTTTCTTCCTTTTTGTTATCTTTGGTTTTTTTTATGCCATGTTTCCGAGCGCCGGGTCCACGAAGCGGGCAAAGTCCTCGTCGATCAGCGCGCGCATGGCGGCTTCCTCTTCCTGCCACATCTGCTGCGGTGAGTTGAAGTCGTCGGCGGCACCAATCCAGAAATCATCGTTCTGGCCTTGGTCACTGTCGATTAGGTCGGTGACGCCAGGGATAATACCATACAACGGCAACTCGGGCATCTCGCGATTCTCGCCAAAGGGTGCGGAATCCACACTATTGGTGTTGGTATCCGCCAGGCTCAGAATCGCAGCTTCAACTTGGTCCATCTGGGGAGTTGCAGGTGTAATCGGAGGGTGGTCCTCAAGGTGGATTTGAAGGTCGTGATGGCGGATGAAGCGTGCGTTGCAGCCTTCCATAATGCATGCGACAGTGCGTTTGGTGCCGGCAATTTCATCAATGAGATTGACCGCAACATCAAGGGGCTTAGTCGGCTGAGGCCGCTTCATGCCCATATGGACGTAACGGATGTGATCTTCCAAATTCGCCTTGGTGATGAAGCCAGCTCCACAGCCCTGCTCGTTCGACCAGGCCTCAAAGTCCACCGGACCCTTGACGTCGAGCTCCCCACAGACGAACCGGAATCCCTCATGCGCAGTGCGGATATGCACGGTAAGGTTGTGCTTCTTGGTGAACTTCTTGTCGCAACCCTCCCAGGTACAGGGAATCGTCTTGCGCGCCTCGACGGAGATGCCCGAGTGCCGCATCTCGACATGTCGCTCCAACTCCCACTGGCCGGTGCACTTGAAGTCGCAAAAGATGCAATTGAGGTGTTCCTTGCGGATATGAGCTTGCAGGAGCGCAAGTGATGTGAACCCGACCTTGGTTCCACCATCGCCGCCGCATTCCTCGCACCAGAACTGAGGCTCGCTGTGTTCGCGCCTGGTGTGGTTCCGTAGGGCGCCCTGAGAATCGAACCCAGCGCCGCAGTCGGGTTCTGGACAGGGATAGGCATGAGCACCGAGGTGTTCAGAGCGGATGTGTCGCTGCAGGGTGTTGTGCTTCCGGAAGCTCTGGCTACACGGCGGGAAATCACGACAGCGAAATCTCTCCTGGCCGGCGTGGACGTCCTGATGGCGGCGCAACCTCGTCGCCGTCAAAAATGACTTGCCGCAGCCCTCGTGGGTGCACGTATAGGCCCGCTCCTGCGTGTGGGAGCCCTTGACATGCTGTCTCAAGTGCTTCTCCTCACGGTAGTCCTTGTCGCAGCCTGGGTATGTGCACTTGAAGGGGCGGTCATCGGTATGGGAGCGCAAGTGGGCGGCCAAGCGGGCGGGTCGGTTGAAGGTCTTGTTGCAGTCGGGGTAGGTGCAGGGAATCGTCTTTAAGTCGGAGGGAAACTTGCGGGAGCGAGTAGTAAGAGAGGTCTGGCCTGTCAAAACCGTTTCCGCATCTGCATTTCCAGAGGTTGAGCCTGAGTTACTGGCTGTGTCGTCATATTCGTCGTCGCTAGGAGCTTTTGACAGAGCATGTTAGCAATCACTTATACCATCGTGATGAAAAGAATCGACTTACCAGTGCCTTCCAGTTCGCCAACCTTGGGCCTCTTAGGCTCTGAGACGACTGCGGCCTCTTGAGCCTTCCTTTTCGTCATGACGAGCAATTGAGGAAGGTCATGCCTCCCTTGGCGATGAGAAAGATTTGTCGATACAGGATCGAGTTGTTGAACTTATTCCTGGCAGAATTCTGGCAGGCGGTGAAACGAAATTTTGTGTGCGTTCACCAGCCACACGAAGTACCGGGGTCTGCTCGGTCCGGATAAGCTATCTGCTGCTGATAAGGCTAGTGTGGACCCACATTCAGGCTGCTGAATCGTAGCCTCGTCAATAATTTTTTACGGCTGGACCCAGCAGAGACAAATCTCGCCTTCCCCCGCGACACCAACCACAGACGCGACGGAGAAGGACATCGCCTAAATCCCACAGTTCAACCGTACTATATTGTAGTCACTTGCGACATCAATTGACAGCCAAGATGTCTGACTTCGGTGACGATGATGTTGGTGGCGGGTAAGAACACTAGGAATTCTTTTGTGTCAAGGCGCGATTCTAACGACTATCAGTGACGAGCCTATGTACGAGGATGAGGGTGCCGACTACTGGGATCCCGAGGTCCCCGTTGAGGACGAGGAAGTTGGACGGGCTGAGGGCGACGAGGAGGATGCGGATAATGTCGTCGTATCGGGCGACCCATCCGCCGCCGCCAACGCGGGCAAGGGCAACGAAAAGAGCCACCGCGACAAGAAGATTCCCGATGACCAGCGTACGACCACGCCTTACATGACCAAATATGAGCGAGCCCGTATCCTCGGCACGCGCGCGCTGCAGATTAGGTACGATTGCGATTCCTCCATATACGTAACCTTTCGGCTCAAGAGATGCTAATACGGGCGATTTAGCATGAATGCGCCGGTGCTTGTCGACTTGGAGGGCGAGACGGATCCTCTTCAGATCGCGATCAAAGAGCTCAGAGAGAAGAAAATCCCTCTTATCGTGCGTAGATACATGCCTGATGGATAGTAAGTGCTCGAACAGCTGCCCCTGACAATCCATGCGAGTCCCTCATGGATCATGCCAAGAACGATAATAGCTAACCGTGCGCCAGCTACGAGGATTGGACCTGCGAAGAGCTTCTCCAGTGAGGGATTTTGGCTTTCTTATCCGGGGCAAGGAGACACGCGACTAGATGCAAGGCAACTTATACCCATCTCCTATTGTCGTTGCCTGAAAGATAGTCAGATCCCGAGCTGAGTCCTAATCTCTGTCCTCACGCTCCTGCATTGCAGGCATAGCTCCATCACTTGCACAGGCAGCTCGAGGAGAAAACAACGACCCAACTAAAAAAAAAAGAAGACACAAAAGGAAGTGTACTTTACTTTGATTTGCATTGAGCGTGGCGTTCTCTAGGAAATTGAATTTCTTTAGACTCAAATCTCTATCCGCAGTGAGAAGACAGTTCCCTTTACCGCTCTAGCTTTTCTTGAAAGGCTACTCTTGTCATGGAGGTTTGCTACACAATATCAACGGATTACGTGTTTCCTTAGGCGATTGCCGGTGTGGTGGTAGCATGGAGTGGAATGGGCGGGAGCGAGCTTCGGAGTCAGCATCCACACCCGTCTTAGCGAGTCAGGGAGAGGCCGGTTGCCAGTGCTTCCCGTCCGCGGCCCTCCCGCCTTCCGGAGGCACGATCGAACCCGCCCCGGGCTATGGTCACGCGATCGGGGTGAATAAATTGTCAACACGACCAAGCCACTCTTATCGTCCGGATTCCACGCAAGACGGCCGAGTTTTATCTTCGGTAGCCTGTGGGCCTCGCAGCAACAGTAGGGGTTACTCAGAGGAGTTGCTGAGGTGCTTCGAACTCTTGCATGGTGCAACCTCATTGGCTACTGGAGACGAGTGGATTGACTAATTGGAGTATGACCACGGTCTCGAGACAAATGTAGTCAATCTGTAATTAACAACCTACTTCCATCTGTTCTGCTCAGTCCTGTGAATGTCTGCAATGTAGAAGAATGCGTTCTATCGGCTGACTTGCGACGTCTATTTTTGTTTCTTCAATTAATCAAACAAACACGAAGCGAAGTAGGAGCGACCCAGCCTCGCATCCCTATTTTCTACTTTGTCTTCCAATAGATAGTCTGTCATTTGCGTAAGACGTCTTCACCATTGGCCGTGATCCAAGAAGAGAACTGCAACCATAGGCGGCGTTAATGTATACCTCCAATGCCGACTTGCCGCTTCATCCCATCTTCTTACCGCTCATTCTACGCAGGCAACGTTCCTCTAGCATTGATGCTATATCTAGACTTGTGAGCAGAAGCCGGAGACGAATTGCGGCTATGATGGTACACTTCCAGCACTTATGCCACGCTCGGCAAACTTACATCATCTCCTACTGGGAATGAGCAACGACGGCGCGCGCGCCCGTTGCGCAAGAGGGACTTGCCATCTCCGACTCATGGGAAAACCAATCCTGTTGCACTCGGGCACTGGAGGGGTCTGTATAAACAAGGGTCACTTTGCCAACATGACGATCCATCTCAGTCCGCATGTGTTACCGGATTTGGGGGCCACGGCGGCGAACAATTCGGCCACGTCGACGGCGGGTAACCCTCGCTGTATGCGACGGTATCTGAGCGGATATATGCTGAGAACAAGGGCGAGTTCCCCCAACACGACAGACTTGATCCGCGATAACGACAACATCGAGCGTTTCCGCAGAGGGACAGAGTGACTATAAATGGTTTGGTCATCTTGGCGCACATGGCGGTGGTCACTATGTATGAATTTGGACTCGATCCTGGATCCGATGTCTATACCAGCTCATTTTCGTCAATGATCCCTTGATGCGTGATATTAGTGCTATGCAACCCGACGTTTTACCTGCACCACACAACTACTCGACCGCTTGTACAGAATCTAGCAGGCCTCAGCTAGATTGGAGAACCGTCAAGCGAGCTTAGTCCCTCTTCTCACTCTGTAGTGGTTTTCTAGTGTTTCTGAGCTCATTGAGTATCAGAACATATTCGGTACCAATATAATCGCTAAATCGCTCCTAACCCCGAGACGAAACTCAACGACTTGCTCAGCGTGGGACTCCTGGGAGGCGGGATTGCCACTGAGCAGGCGATGAACACAAAAGACGGGCCGTTCTGCTATGTATACGCAACGGACTAAGGTATTCTCCTTTAGTCCTTTGGGTCTACGAGAGCCCAAGGAGCGCCGTTGCATGTCAGGCAGCGGCGGCCTCGTTTCCACACTCTACTGCAGAGCTCGAGGTTTCCACTCTAACCCTTTTGTGGAGTGGTTTCGTCAATGTGGACTGCCTCCGGGCAGGGAGATCTCGAGAGCATTGTGTGGCTGAGCCATGAGCTTGTGGAAGGAGCTGGGAAGCGAAAGAGATAGGTTTGCGATGGAGATGGCCTAGACAATATGGCTTCCATGAGTCACGTAACTTTTAGGCTTGGATTTCAGATGAGCGCATGAGCGGGAATAGAATGAAGAGAGTCTGTGGGTTTCTCTCTGGTGCGGCGAATCATGATGCACTCCTCATGATCGTGTGAATGGTACGAAGGCCAAAGGCTCCCCGAACGCAATAAGGCCTTTAAAGCACCGTTCGCCTCCTTTGCGGAGTGGTTCTCCGGTTCTCTTGAGTCACAAGGAGTAACCTGGAGTGAGCATGCCCGATCATGCCGGCCGCCTGGCTATGACGTTCTCGCCGTTACGGGCAAACGTACGGAGGTGCCACAATGCGGCCTGTTGCCCGAGCGGGCTCCCATTTTGGATTGTAGTAGTATCGTTGCTTACAGACGGATCGCGATGAACTCTTCGCTAAGATCGGAATCAGAAGCGTCGGGCAAAGGTGGGACCGTCCGGCTTCATGCCTTCATGCTCTATCCCTCCAGCTTCCCATGTGGCCGATCTTTGGCGGAGTGATAAGCCTCCTGGCAACGGCCTAGCTGGTTGCCACGTCCGCAGCGAGGCGAATTTCAGGCTGACGCAAAGGAGATGACGGCTTCGCAGGTTGTGGATAGATCATACTTGTTCACTAAGTTTGCAGCAAATAGTCCGAACCCGAGCCAACCGTCGCATGTTGTTGTTTGCCGTCTCACCCTGTCTTGTGCGATCCTTGACATCTCGATTGCGAAAACTCCATTGTGGTTGAGATTCTCGATCTTTCCCCCCCCTTGCAGTGGTATCGTCCCTTCATCAGTCAGTCGCACTCATCCGAACCTTGGTTGCTGACAATGTGAATCATACGCCACATTTAACTGCGGCTCGAATTCGCGTTATAATGTCTTGCCTCCCCTTGCCAAAACTCGTGTAATCAAGAAGGCACATGAGCTCTCGGGCCTCTCGCTCCCATCCCATCAACTCCGATCTCTGACAAGACAGCATGAACCACTTAAATGCTGAAAATGCATCGGCATCTACGGATGCGGAACCCGCAACCACGAACCCGTTCAAAGACATGCGTTGCGGCAAGCCCTTCGGGTTCCACAAGACACTAACAGTGGACCACCCGGGCGATATCGTTTGCGTGCTTCCGTGATTATGATCGATTCCGGGGCCGCCGCCTTATATCGTCGACGGGATCAGCTTTGGCGGCTAGTGTCGAGTCTGGAACCAAATACCCATCTTATTTTTAGTTGTGTCGTGGGCGGCTTTGACGGCTTTGCGAGGGGCACCTGACAAAACGCAACCAGGATGGAATGCCTAGGACAACGGCTTTGTTGAAAGTTTGGCGGACATGGCGTGCATACACCCGTCCACAAACTTGCTGCCTCATCGTATAATCTTAATGCCAGTATCTCTTTCGTCAAAAAAAGCGAGTCAATCCCTGCCAGGAAAGTTCGTAAGTTGCCCAGTGCTGAGGAGGACTTGTTTGTACGCAGTGAGTAAATGTAGTTAATAGCGATATATACCAAACCCATTGAAAGTTTCAATGCCTTAGGTCGGGTGTTTGACTTTCCGCGCTCTGGACACTTCCCAAGGATATTCGTAGAAAAGACCAATTGTGAGTGGGCGTGAAAAGGAATGCATGGCATATTTGGAGAGGTTGAGTTGGCGCTTGCCCAAGCCAGCTAGGAAAGGAGCTGTGAATGGTGCCCAGCCATCCCAGCCAGTGGGGTGGGGAGTAAGAAGGTTGTTGGTTGGTGCCCAGATGTTTGCTTTCGACCTTGCTGAAGCTTAGGCACCTACAGCGCGCAGAAAAAAAAAAAAGTGCCATTATTCTCCCCTCATGCCATACGAATGACGCACCCCACACCTCATACGTACCATCAGCACTTGAGCTCTCCGGTCCCGCACGACAATGCGGGGTTCGTTGCAGCATGAGCGAAAAGACCATCAAAAAAAGCATCCACCCATGAATACAGGTACCTCTCTCGGATAGCCTTCCTGCCTTTGGGGCTTGTATATGCTGCTCCCAATACGTTGGAATGGCGAGCGCCAAGGTACCTAGGCCTGCCTGACGTTATGGCGTGGGCTGTCGCCGTGCATTACCTACGGTGCAGTACCTACCCCTCCCCTGGCTGGACGTTTGGCGGTCCATGGTGGGGTAGATTCAGCATCATCGCGACTAGGTTAACGGTCAATGGCAGAAAAAGCAGAAACGAGGAGACGGGCTCACACGGCCAAGCCCGCCGGTCCTCCACTTTGGCGAGCTTTACCCTCCCCGATCTGATCTCAATGGACATAACTCGGTGTTTTATCTTAAAGACACCTCCGATGCCACCTTCTGGATGCCATGCCCCCTACACACCTCTGCCAAAACTCCTCTTCAAAAACCATTGAATAGTTCCCTTTCCTCCCTCCCTCCCTCTCAAACTTCTTCCGTTTTCCACTTTCTTTCTTTCTTGCTTCTTGACTGCGCAGAAAGCATTATACCCTTACAATTGACGATACCCCCTCATCATTGAAGCTAGTTTAGCAACCCATAAAAAAAGACCACAAACAAAATGTCCGGATTCCAGACCAAAGCAACCATCACCTCCTTTGGGGGCCAGCTCCTCAAGCTCTCCCACAAGTCCAACACCACCGGCACCGACATGGCCGTCAACCTCTACCTGCCCCCGCAGTCCACCACTCGTGCCGTCCCAGTCCTCTTCTACCTCTCCGGCCTGACCTGCACCCCCGACAACTGCACCGAGAAGGGCTTCTTCCAGTCCCAGGCCTCTGCCCGTGGTGTCGCCATCGTTTACCCGGACACCTCCCCGCGCGGCCTCGACCTGCCGGGCGAGCGTGACAGCTGGGACTTTGGCGAGGCTGCCTCTTTCTACGTGGACGCCACTCAAGAACCCTTCCGCCAGAACTACAAGATGGAGACCTACATCACCAAGGAGCTCCCCGAGCTGCTCTTCCGCGAGTTCGCCGGGAAGCTCGACCGCTCCCGCGTCTCCATCACCGGCCACTCCATGGGCGGCCATGGCGCCCTGTCGCTGTACCTTCGTCACCCCGGCATGTACCGCAGCGTCAGCGCCTTCGCGCCCATTGCCAACCCTTCCAATTGCCCCTGGGGCGAGAAGGCCTTTAAGGGCTACCTCGGCGACGACCGCGCAGAGTGGGCCAAGCACGACTCTACCGAGCTCGTCAAGAACTGGAGCTACGGTCCTCTGAACGCCCTGGTTGACGTTGTACGTGATCACTTCCACCCATGACTTACAACACATCAAAAACGCATGTAGGCTGACTTGACATGAATAGGGTCTCGGTGACAACTTCTACATCCAGAAGCAGCTGTTGCCCGAGAACTTTGAGAAGGCCGTCAAGGAGAAGGGCCTTGAGGGTCTGTCCCTGAGATACCACTACGTGAGTCCCACGAAAGATCGAAGCAAGAGAGACGAGAATTAGAGGGAGAGCTAACAATTATGTCCAGGGCTATGACCACTCCTATTTCTTCATGGCCTCCTTCGCCAAGGACCATGTAGACCACGCCGCCAAGCATCTGGGTCTCGGCTCTGCCTGACTAGATGGTCGGAATCCAAGACTGTGAAGAACCTGGAATGATAATTCTTTGTGTGTGGCCGCAGATATAAGGGAGCTGGTCGACGACAGTTTGGATAACACCCTGAGAGCAAGGGTTGGGATATGGATACCATTTTAAACGTGTATGTGTGTGTGTGAGTGTGTGTGGTCGACTGAATTTAGTTTTAGTAGTATGACACTACTGCTGCTGCTGTTGCTGCTGAGATTCTTGAAATTGAGAACAATAGCCGATTTAATCATCCACCCGTTCCATCGTAACCTTCGTAAAATGAACCAAAAAGATAAAAATGCAGCCCTTGTTCCCCTCCTAATCCCCCTTTCCCCGCGCGGAGATTGCACGACAGGAAACGAGTACTTCCAAAAAAAAAAAAAAAAAAAGAGCCTACTCGAAAACGCCCCCTCCCAAGTTCCGGTAAAATGAGAGCGCCCGCCATGATGAGAGTATAAGTCTAGATAGAAGAAGCATGCAACCGATGAGGCCAAGGAAAAGAGCCTAACTGATTCGTCTCTCCACCTCAGGACTCAAGCCCTCCTTCTCGAGCTTCGCCCGCATCTCCGCATCCGCCTCCTTGCGTATGCGGTTGTACGCCAGCTTCTCGAATCGGCTGAGCGCCTTCCACCAGTGCTGCCCGGCCTCGTGCTCGCCGATGCGCTCCAGCAGGTCCGCCGTCTTGAGGCGCACCTCGCGGTCCTTGTGGAAGAGGCCCAAGGCGACGTAGAACAGCCCGGCGTGGGACTCTGGCGCGACGGTCAAAAGCAGGCAGATCTCGTCGTAAGAGTGGACGTATTTGGAAAAGGATACGTAAATTTCCTTGCTTTGCATCGGGTTAAGCCGCTGCGTGCGTAATCGGTCATGCATGTGGTGCAAGTCGAGGCCCTTGAGCGGCCTAACCTGGTACATCTGTGCGAGATCCTGAGACAGTCAGTTTGAGACCCTGCCGCTTTTGGGGGTTTGTTCTCCACGCCTTACCTGGATAAAGCTGTAGTAGCTCCTCGTGTTCCTCCAGCCTTCGATTCTTGTCACGTTGCCCGCAAGTTCCTTGTGTTTCGACTGCTCGTCTGGCCACACGTAGCCGTGCCCGTTCTTGCCAATGGGACCCATTTCTAGTTCGTCGCCGCCAATGTAGAGAGCGCTCGCGCCATATACGCTCTCTTCGAAAGCGGCTGCGATGCGGGTGAACTTAATCACCCAGTCTCGCCACTTGGCCCGAATTACTCTCTCACCGTGCCTCGCTGCAATGCTCCTGAGGATATCCTGCATAAATGCTGCGTCTCCAGTGAGGTCGCTTTCGGCCGCAACCTTGGATGTGCCTCCAACGAGGCCCGCATACGATGGGTTTTGCTGCTGAAAGTATACCATGCCCTCTGTTACCGGCGCTGCCTCAATCTTACTACTGATCTTGACACGTCCCGTTGGGAGATCGCAGAGCACATCCCACCACTCAGGATGCAGTTCGAATGTCGGGTTCGTGACTCCAGCAATAAAGCCGGGTACGTTGAGGAGGTCGTCGATCTTGGTTAAATCTGTGTAAGGGAATGCGTGTCGCGTAAAGCCTCTAAGTGTGCCGCCGGATGCCAAGGCGCAGGCCGCCAAGACTGCCTCTGCAACCTCTCCTGAGGGCATATTGTGACCAAGAAAGATCACCCGCTTTTGCGTCAACAGTGCATTGACCAAGACAACGATGGGGTGGGTATTGGGACCGTTTGTTGTCAGTTGAGCATGCAAGGGGAACGGTTGTGGCGCTTTGCCTTGAGGCTCTGAGAACTTCTGAATCAGCTTGATCAATGAGAAATCCCCGACGGTTTCTGGCATGACGGCAACAGGGACCTTGATGGGGATTGGAATCCCCTTGTACATGACTTTGCTTTCGAACTCGTGAGTGTCTCTTGGAACCGAATATGTCGATCCAAGTTCAATATGGGCCTTTGTTCCTTTTCTCGAAACACCTGGCAATTTCGCAGGTTCCCGACTTGCATCGAATAGCTGATCGGAGACGTGTTCACCGCGATCTTCAGCCATCCGCATTTGGATCATCTGCTCAAACTTCTCCACAAAGAGGTCTTTATTGTCACTGGCCTGTAGCAGATGCCTTTCGAGCAGGCTGAGTTTCGGCATGAGAGATAGGTCCATAGCGTTCACGGCATCGTACAACATGGCCAAGGTCTCAGGGACCGGCGCTTTGAAGTACTCATCCAATGCCAGCAGGAGAAGGGGCTAGAATGGTTCAGTCATTTGCATCTTCCCTCTCAACTTAAACGGCGTCTCTTACCTTGTAGATGTGCAAGAATGGATGCCTGGTGCAGATGGCCATTGCCTTAACTACAGCACCTCTCTTGACCGTCTTGTCTTGTTTCGTGTTGACCAAATTCAACACGTAAATCAGCGGCGGCCCTTCTCCTCCTTCAGGTTCGTCGTCTGCTGAGTCGTCGTCGTCATAGTCGTCCAAGTCGTCCAGATCCTCTTCATCCCCTAGATCTTCACCATCGGCTTCCTCGTCAATAATTCCAGCCGCCCTGTCGCGCAACCTCTTCCGTCTCTTTTTCCTGGCCTCCTTCGCCTTGCGTTCCTCGTCCTCTTCTTCTTGGCTCGTGTCCTTGTGCAAGAAGAAAATCGTCCAGTCCTGATTCCGTACGTGGGCCTGATCGGGAAGCATGAGCTCCGCTAACATGTGCTCATCGCCTGTTATGGAGACGGGGTACTGGTGTTCCATAACCGGACCCCGGTCGATGTCGAAAGAAGCGACCAAGATGTACTCGACATGGTTCTCGGTCGAGCTCCGCGGGTACTGTGAACGCAACCTGCGAGGAGGGTGCGCGTCAGGGTTGTAACGCCGCGGGGCGGACAACGAGGAGTGTTGTGACGACACGCCGGTGGAAGGAGTCTTGGACTTGGAGCTGGGGTTCGAGGAGCGGTCTGTCTCGGCGATAGGCGGCGGTTGAGGGGATCGTGAGGGGCGGGAATTGTTTGACATTTGCGAGGGTGATCTCGAGGCAGGGAAACTGGAGAGTGAAGTCCGACGACTGGGCCAGGGGCCGTTGGAAGCTTGATATTGTTGTGTGTTTGAGTAGTTGCGCGTGAGGAACGGCAGCGCGGTCTGTGTCGACGCCATGCTGGATAGGCAATGCTAAGTAGGAAATGCTAATTTGCGGAGAGGTTTAGATCGGTAGTTGGGGGGATCGAGGCTTGCGCACGCAGCCGGTAGCCAGAGCCATCCAATGCACACTACAAGATCGAGGACCGTTCGGGGAGGTGCAGCGACGCAGGTCAAGGTTGGCTGGCTGTCTCCGATAATGCGACGAAGGCCTTCTGCAGGTGCTGGTGTTTGGTGTTGGCAGGACAAGATTAGCGGCTTGCGGCAGCCAGAGACACTCGACGGGTGTCCGGGTGCGACATGAACGATGCGACTGAGAAGACAGAACTCTGATCTCAACTATCGTTGAGGGGGGTCAGAGTCGTGTAGGAGGATGGTGGTCAGGTAGTCCTGAAAGTCAAAGTACGAGTCGTGGGTCCCAAGATTCGAGATAGGGAGGGGGACGGTAGTGCAAAGTGCGAGGGAGGGATGGGCGGCATGTATTATTGGAGCGCTGTAGGGGACCTAGAAGGGGTACTGTAAGAAGGTACGTAGCTGTAGGTGCACCCTTTGCGGTATTCACAGGTATTCCGGCCAGGGTAGCGCGTGGAGGCGTTCTCAGACGACAGCCGGATGCGCTCTTCGAAACGTCAGATCCGGGCAGTGACTGACAGACACTGAAGAGCGGAAACAGGATCGCCCTCGGGAATGGGAGGCAGGAGAAAAGGAATATCCTACCTGGCCAGCGTCAATGCGTGGTAGAGAGAGAGAGAGAAAAGCACCGAGACATGACCTGCTACGACGTTTGGTCTGGTCTTTGGCCTGCCTCTGGGTGCAGCCAGTGTAATTGGCCTTGTACGGACTCCTGACAGGGGATAGTTTAAGGTGTGGTGTGGTGCATCTCTTTTTTTCTGCCTTGTCTATGTTTTTTTTATTTGAAATTGTGCAATCCAATTCGATCCCCCACCTCCACGAATAACGCTCAACTAAGACTCCTGAGGCAAGGTACACCTCTTTGTGCAAAACAAGGCGTCTGATTGAAGATGGAGGGAGGTCTGCCCCTGATGGACACTAAAAGGGGATTGCGGTTTCTGGTTGATGCTCACGGGCGTGATGGTGGTCCCCTTGCGAGTCACCCAGGACAGTCGGAAGATGTTGAGTAAACCAGCTTGTGGTTACGAATAAATTCAGAGAGGCTCGAGAATCAGCCTATCACCTTGTCTTCTTCAGCGCGTACCTCAGGAAGCAAGGGCCACGGGCGAGGCAGTGAGCTGTACGGATAGGCCAAACACACAGACGAGTCTGTCCGTCCGTCAGGCAAGACAGACAGGCAGATGACGGGCAACAAAGAAACATGAGTATCTGTGGACATGGCCATCAAAGGGGTGGACTTCAGCCGGTGGCTGTGGGCAAATGTCTGCGAAAGCGCCGACGAATGCGTACGAAGCTTTGCTGATCAATGATTCCTTTCGAACCCCCCCCCCTCCTTTTCCTTGGATCCTTTCTCGGCGGCCCCCAAGGGCCCTGCCTGATCCAAGTCCCCTTTCCACGTTCTCCCCCCCCGCTCCCCTGTCCCTCCTTCCCCCCCTTTCCCCTTTTGAGAGCCTGGTGGCCCATGCTGTCACATCTAACCTAAATTCGCTTAGCGCCTAGGGTCCTGACATGAAACTCCTGGCTAAGTAGCACGTTTCCGGCAGCTGTGCATCAGCCACATATCACCAGCCTCACATCGCAGCCCCATCGCAGGCCCATGTAAGACTAGGTCCGTGCACGGCGGGATGGGGATGCAAGGCTGCCGTTGTCACGGAAAAGACGCCTCTGTTTACATTCAGCCCCCCAAGCAGCCACCGTCTTGCCTCTGGATCAGACATTTCCCCAAATTGACGTACGCCGCCAATTAGATTCCATAAGATAAACCAACCCGAGCAGCTATATCCGATACTGGTGCGCAACTCTTAATCTTGGTTTTGCTTTTTAAACTTGTCCTGCATCATCACTGTCCCTCTTCAACACGTTCGACAACCACCTCTTGGCCTCTCCAGTTTTCGCATTGTTTACTTTCGTGCCAAGTGGGCGCGCGGCATCACAATTCCAGAGCAAGGCACTCCCTATTTCCCACCCACATCCTTTCCCGCACCAAATTCTCTCAATATGGTAGGCCAGGGCCCATATCACCCGTAGATCAAATCTCTTGAATGAGCGCATGAATTTTGACGTTGCCAACCCACAGGCTATGCCCGCTGGTTATAAACCTTCCCCACTGGGGCCCTATGGCTCTCCACGCAGTTCACCTTTCCGACGACCAGAGTCTCCTGCGTCGCCAACTGCTGTACGACAATCTTCGACACAAGTAACGCCTTCTGGATCACCCACCAAAGCATCTTACGCAACTAACAACGGACGATTCGGCAACCCTACTACACCAACAGACACAGCAGAGAGCCGCACGCCAAAGATACGAACACCTACCGGTGACGGTAATAACATCATGGTCTCGCCAATCGCTGCGCGACCTGGCCTGAAGAAGGCCGTCAGCCACGGAAATGCAATGTCTCAACTGCAACCTGCGCAAGTCAGGACACTCAGAGAAGGATTCGAGATACTGGATCGAGACAGCGACGGCGTCATTAACAGAGAAGATGTGGCGGACATGCTGGGCCAGCTGGGTAAGATCAAGCGGACTTGGGAACTCCTAAGCGCAATTTACTGATATTTTACAGGTCTACCGGCGGGCGCGTCCGACGTGTCGCAATTCTTCCCCCCATCCACCCCTCAAACAATGACGATGGCAGCCTTCCTCAACTCCCTGGCCACGATGCTCGCATCATTATCCCCCCAAGCTGAACTGCTGTCCGCCTTTTCTGCGTTTGACGATGACGACAGCGGCCAAATAAACCTCAACGAACTACGAGATGCGCTGCTGCACACGGCGCCGGAGCCCGGTGAGCGACCGCTGACCGAGGCCGAAGTTGAGAAGGTGATTGAGGGTTTCACAGGTCGGCGAGCTTTCAACCGTAATATGCAAGGCGGGCTGGGCAAGCGCGGCGAAGTATTCAGATATCAAGATTTCGTTAATTCCATCATGGGATCCAACACGACGTCAGAGGCAAACTCGGCCGAGGCGTCGGAGGACTGAAACTGGGTCGAGCAAGGGTTTGCGTCGACACAGGAAATTGGGTGTGACATGGAGCGAGCGGCACGTGGAAACGACCTACTCGTAGCCGCGGGGGGGGGGGGAACTAGCACAAATAAATGGACACGGAGGAATGACGAACAGATTTGGACATGATTGATTGCACTGTACATTTACACATATATTTCAAAGGACGCGGGATCACCGCGGTATCAGGTATAATTTCGGATCAGTTTCACAGTATGACGCGCTCGCTCGCCAAGGGAAATCTGTTTAGCGCCGGGTAACAGCCCGTTACGGCAGGCACCCGTTGTGACGATATGAGGTGACGTGAAAGAATGAGGGACGAGTACGACAGGAGACCGAGGCCGGGGACAGAGCATGATGCGGTCGAGTTCGTTCCCCATGGAACAGGGCAAACAGCGCATGGTGATTCTTGTGTAATGCGAAAGGCTGGGAACCAGGCCACTGATGGCAGTGCATGCACGTATTTTGCATTCGCTTCGACTTGCATACAAGAGGTGACTTCTGAGAGACCCGCCGTATCCCTGGTTTCTCTGGCATTGAGCGACAATCTGGACTTTTGATGGGCAAACCAAATAGGCAAGACGAGGGGTTCAGTGATGCCATCAGTTCGGTTTAGAGGAGGTTGGGAATGCACATCAGCAAGGCCACTTGCAGTCTGTATGTACAGCGGCGTACCGCATGTGCATTTCCAAGGGGCGGGCGGCAGTGACTGGGACATGGGGTGTTCCGAGCTTTCACTTTTTTTCCAGGGACTTTTTCTCTCTTCAGTCCAGTGGTCGGGTGGCATCAGTGACAAGTGTGTAATTTTCGGGCGGTTCGGCGGCCCAAGATGACATCGGATTGGGTGCGTCTCGCAGGGTCCGGGACGGGGCCCCACAGAACCTTCTCGAACCGGCCCGCTGGGTTGCAGCGGACTTTGGAGTTGCAATAGCCGTTAGTCGCATATACCTTGATATGCCGATTTAGCCTGTCCCCGAAGGAGGAAGGGGTCTTTGAGCTTTGCGCTCCTGGGTCTGCCGGCCGGGTTGCATTTTCCAGGTTACTCGCGTGCACTGACAGCGTCTTGGCTATGAAAGGCCTGACTACACTATTATCTCATCCTCTATATCTGATATCCATTATGTCCAACCGCAAAAACAGACATTGGGCCACTACGAATGAACAAACAAACAAACAAACGCTTTGGTACCAGTATCTATCTCTCGGGGCTTGGGGGGCTACGTAGGCCAAACACTCGAAGCTCTCCTCTTGCTGAATGTAGTGTATAGTATAGTCAACTGTCGTTCCCCCTGGCTGGTATACAACCAGTGAAGGCCGGGCCCCAAGCAAGAAGATACGACACGCCCCCAAGTTTGATACTTTGAAGGCGGCACGCCATTGGCTGGTCGAGGATCAACAATAGAAATAGAGGTGGTTAGGAGACGAAATCAGGAGAACATTCACAGACATTTCCCACGACCAGTGGCAGTCATTCGACGATCTGCTTCATCCACAATAGTGCAGGTAAACAAGTCCGGACCTCAGGCCCATCATTGGCTCCCAGGCGGCTGCGAGTAGTCATCGGGAGACGGGACTGGACCGTTTGGACAAGCTTCTTGTGGAGATATTTTGTGCTAGCCTGGTGCTAGCTACCTCAATTGCACGCCCAACAAGCGCGACTTCATAAGTATCGAATACAAGTTTTATCGACCACGACCTCCAATGGTAAACTCAAGTTTGCCATGCCCAGGCGAGACGGGCTTGTATGGGGACAGTTGGTTGACAGGGACGGCGTGTTTTTTGCTTCCTCTGGGGGTCCCGTGAGCCAACAGAAACACTCGAAGAGAGGGGGGGACGAGCAATAGCAGTCCCCGCCAGCTGGTGTCATGGGCATAACTATGAAAAGAGTTCTGGTTGGTAGTGTATGGTCACTGTAAATGTAATTGTACATGGTCTCCCATCCACATCACGCATGCCCAGCCCAGCACATGGGCGTCCAGGGCCTTGTCCAGTTTCCGTCTCCCCCGTACAGGCAGAAAAAAAAGGTACCAGGTATGGCAGGAAGGGGAAAAGAAAAAAATTGTGCACAGCTGATAAATCGATGAAAGTCCCCCGGAGCGAGCAAGACTCGCCCTCGCTTGTTTGTTAGAAATTCTGTTATTTCATCTCGGTTTCTGCCTTGGGCCACCTCAGTATGACATCTGCAAAGCGCCTTTGTGCAATTCCCTTCTGAGCTTCTACTTGCCTCTCTCCACTGCCTCTCCTGCCCCCCATCCAATCCTTTCCTGCCAATCCTCCTCTAAGGCTTTCTCAAGCACCCTGCCTCCGCTCCAGTGTCCACTCCCCGATGGGCTGTGTGTCTTCTGGCTGAGCCTCCTCTCTGTACCTACCTAGGCCTCCTTCCTCTTCCTCCCTCCCCTTCCGCCCTACTACTACCTTACCTCACTCTCTCGAGGGCCGCCGACCTCCTCTGCTCTTTCTCTCTCATCATTCTCTTTTGGTCTTTGTGTATTCTTGGACTTCCTTGACGCTAGAACCAGAGCACACACACCTTCTTTCTGCACCACTCGAGCCCCTTCCCCATTCCTCCCGTCGAGTCAAGGTACTGCTGCCTTCCTTTCGGGCGAAACTCCCAAAGGAAAAAAAAAAAAAGAAGTGCTGTTGCCGGTCCCTTCACTAGGCCCGTTAATGCGCTTTGGGGAATCCGGCACAAGCATAACCTTGCATCGAGGTCTGCCGACCCTCCTTACCTAATTAACCAACAAAAAAATAAGCCCGCGCATTCTTTTGGTTCCCCCCTCAGAGGGCGCTTGCTTTATCAATGAAGCTCTTCGCAAAGAAGTCGTCCAAGAAGCAAGCCGGCCAGGACGAAGAAGAATACGAAAGCCCCAGTAGCTACTTTCCTGCCTCTGAGGCCTCTTCTCCCACCAAATCGCCCACAAAGCCCCGGTCGCCCACCAAGTCACCGACCAAATCCCCCACCAAAAAATCCTCCCAGCCCGCATCCCCAGGCCCTCGGGAGACAAAGTCATCGCGCACATCCCGCACCTTCGGCCGCCACCCTACCGACCCGGGTTCACGCAGGAGTAGCAAGATCGACTACGACACCCATCCCCTCAATCTCGCCCCCGAAGAGCGTGCAAAGAGATTGTCTGCCCTTTCAGCCATGAGCGGTCGCAATTCCCCCGGAGCCATGGACGTCGACCGTGAGTCGAATGCCGCTCCCTCCTCCCCCGCTGCAGCACCCCAGCCTTCCGCCCAGGCTTCCTTCTCTGTCCCCATACCGAATGGCATCAATACCAACGTCAACGGTAATGGCGACGCTCCTCCCCCTCCCCCTCACAAGTCCAACCCGTCCAGCCCAGTCCCGACGGCTGAGGACGAGGCCGAGGCTTACAAAGCCGCGGGCAACAAGTTCTTCAAGGAGAAAGATTACAAGAATGCTATCATCCAGTACTCCAAGGGTATGTTGTCGGTTGCAAATGCGGTCTCACAATTACTAAGTCTATTTTAGCCATCGAGTTGGTCCCCGATTCCGCCACCTACTTGAGCAACCGGGCCGCTGCGTATATGTCCAACACTCAATACGAGTACGCCCTCGAGGACTGCACCCGCGCCGCCGACCTGGACCCCGAGAACCCCAAGATCCTCCTTCGCCTGGCCCGTATCTACACCAGCCTGGGCCAGCCACAGGAGGCCCTCCTCGTCTTTGGCCGCATCAACCCTCCTCCTTCTGCCAAGGACCAGGCCCCGGCCAGGGAGATGCTCAAGCACGTCACCGCCGCTCAAAGTGCTTTGCGTGATGGTACCGCCGGTTCCATGGTTCTTCATGCCCTGGACCAGGCCGAGAGACAGCTCGGTTTTGGTGCCTCCAGGCCTCGTAAGTGGCAACTTATGCGTGGCGAGGCCTACCTCAAGATGGGCACTGTCAATGCCCTCGGAGAGGCACAGAACATTGCCATGGGCCTGTTGAGGAGCAACAGCCAGGACCCCGAGGCTCTGGTGCTCCGTGGTCGTGCTCTGTACGCCCAGGGTGAGAACGATAAGGCCGTCAGCCACTTCCGCAAGGCCATCAGCTGTGATCCTGACATGCGTGACGCTGTCAAGTACCTCAGAATTGTGCAGAAACTTGACCGTATGAAGGAAGAGGGTAACCAGGATTATAAGATGGGCCGATGGCAGTCCGCCATTGAGAAGTACACCGCTGCTCTGGATGTTGACCGTGCCAACCGCGGCACCAACTCCAAGATCCTGCAGAACAGAGCGCTTTGCAAGATCAAGCTCAAGCAATACGACGACGCCATCGCTGACTGCGAGCGTGCCATCAGCCTCGACTCGACATATCTCAAGGCTCGTAAGACCAAGGCTAACGCTCTCGGCCAGGCCGGTAAGTGGGAGGATGCCGTGCGAGAGTGGAAGTCGATCCAGGAGCTCGACCCCGAGGACCGCACCATCGCCAAGGAAGTCCGTAAGGCCGAGCTCGAGCTGAAGAAGAGCCAGCGCAAGGACTACTACAAGATCCTCGGTGTTGAGAAGGATGCGGATGACAACCAGATCAAGAAGGCCTACCGCAAGTTGGCCATCATTCACCACCCCGACAAGAATCCCAACGACGAGCAGGCTGCCGAGCGTTTCAAGGATATTGGTGAAGCCTACGAGACCTTGAGCGACTCTCAGTAAGTTTCTGTTTTTAAAAAAGAAGAATCTTGTGCCCGGTCAGAGCTAACCCTTTACAGGAAGCGCGCCCGTTATGACAGCGGCGAGGACCTTATCGACCCGTCTGACATGTTCAGCGGTGGTGGTATGGGAGGTGGTATGGGTGGCATGCATGGTGGCATCGACCCTGAGATCCTGTTCAACATGATGGGAGGTGGTGGAGGATTCGGCGGTGGTGGCGGCTTTAACGGAGGCGGCTTCCCTGGCGGCGGTGGCGCACACTTCTCGTTCGCCGATGGCTCTGGCCCCCGTGGCGGCGGCGCCGGCGGCGGCTTTGGCGGACGCGGCTTCAACTTCTCGACCTGACAATCCGAGTCGGAGGAAGAAGACGAAGAAGAGACCTACGACGAGCCGACCAAGCCGGAACGCAAGCCGGGCGGCCCATTCACCCCAAAGACGAACCACATGAAGCGGCGCCAAGATGAAGGCGGCCGAATTGTGGACAAAATACGCCAGTATGGAGTCTGGGCGGTGGCCGCCCTGGTCCTCATTCCAGCACAGCTCCTGATACTGGCAGCGATAGCTGTGGGATTCTTGTACATTTGCATCATAGGGGCCCGGAAGCTGGGTGTACGGCTCCGTGGCGGGGAATGAGTCGACTGCAGAAACTGGCATCCAATGCTTTTTTTTTTTAACGGGGATAGACATGAAGCACAAAAAGAGTCACCGGCGGCGTTACCAAGGCATCGATCGATCGTTGTTTGTTATTTACCCCATTTTTCACCCTGCTCTTTTTTCTTGTAGGAGTCATGATGCGATTTTGTCACAAAGCCAGAATTCATGAAAGAAAGAAAGACCCAAAGGGTTCACGTTAGTTTTTTTTTAGTTTTTTTTTGAAAGTCTTTTTTTTTTTTATAACCAGCAAGAGGGAAGGCGTCTTTGCATATCTCTGCCACGAGAATGCTTACTTGCTGTTCAGGTTAGGCATAGTTCACACCTAGTAATTGAAGTCTAGACGTCGTCTCGTCGGCAGGTTGTGCCACCTACTTTTTTAACTACCTAACCGTACGGTCCCTTTTCGTTTATGTGAATGAACATCATCCCAATTGTTGGGGTTTACAGTGTCGTAATACGACACGGGTATCAAATCTAGTGTCCATGACCAACCCATACACTCTTTCTTCTCCCTGCTCCCAAGAACTTAAAAACCACCATCGCTCACTTTATTTTTATTTTTTTTCTCAATTTCCACCAGGTCGTCCACTCCCGACAGCCTTCGTGGACTCAAGTACCTTGCCCACGTCATCCCTCAGCTCCGGCATACCCCTCTCGATATGATCCGCCAACACGTCTCTGAACTGCGCAAAGGCGTTCATCTTGCCGCGCATCAGCTGGTTGCCCCTCCTCACGAGCTCGACGAACTCTCGCGTGTAAATGTCCGGGTTGCGCCCGTTCTCGACGTACTGCACCAGCTCGGGCGGGATCTTGGGCAAAGCGCCCGGCAGGTCAGGGGACGGCGGCGCGCCGGCGGTGGCCGTCATGTGCACGCGCTGCAGCGAGGACGAGAGGGCCTGGACGGAGTCGGAGAGCGCGGGGCCGGTGGGGTTCGAGGGCGTCGCGTTATACGTTGTTACCTGCACCATTATCTGGTACAGATCTTGAATCGTGTCTTTGAGCTGTTCTGTTTGTGAAGAGAGGGAGACTGTTAGCTAACTTGTGACGGAGCCTGGTTCTCGGGAAGAGGAGGAGGAGGAGGACGGGAAGGAGGACGGGGGTGGGTGTGCTTTACGCTCTAGCTCTGCGGGAGTCGGCTTGTCGATTGGCGCCATATTTGCGGTTTGCGGTTTCGTTGGCTTTGGGGCAGAGTGGCAACTGGTGATGTGTGTTGGCTCTGTATTGTGGTAGTCAATCGCAGCGGGAAAGCTGGGAGTTGCGCGAGTGGTGGTGTTGTGATTCGATGCCACGAGGCTGAAGGTTTTCTGCGATGCAAGTTGGATTATTGTTGGATGGATGGATGGATGTAGCGTTTTAGCGCTGGGCTGGCAGTCGCGCGGGATGAGCTGGCGGGACCTTTGAAGGCAGGTGGGTGTGGGGCACGAGCAGGGGTGCCGGCCTGATGGGCCGGGGCCGGGCCCGGTCATAAATCGTGACCCCGGTCACTAATACTAGTAAAGCCCCCTCCTCTGCATAACTTCACCCATCATGCCTCCTTGGCTTTATTTTTCAGATGCCGGGAATAACCTGTGGGCGTTGGGAGTTAGCGATAGCTCGACGGACTGTTGGTTATGCAGTCTATTTTGGGTGAAGTCCACTGTTTAGACTGCGGATACAGGTAGGGATATTTCCTAGGTTTGATTCTCAAGGTCTAAGACGTCAACGTCACTTCGCGCCAAAGACTCTCCTCCAAACCATCTTTTTCTTCACTCCTTCATGAGGCGAGTCAGCCCCGTCAACTGTGAGTCTCTCCCTTTCTCTTTTACTTCTGCTCTCATTGCTCTCCACTGCTTCTCGAGTCAACCCTAGACTCGGGCCAGCACGACTTGCCCGCCTCAATGCAACAACAGCCAACTCCCTAGTGGGAGGCCGCGGTGATGGGGACCGTATCGGGTTGTACCGTTCCAAGTACTCGGATGACTGAGGCGGTGGTGTCCGGCGGAAGGCATTTGGCCGTGAGATACGCGCTGGTGCCAGCAGGCTCCGAGGGCGGATACTTCTGAGCTGCGGCGGCGGCGTTTTGTACCGCGATGTTTGTTCGGTGGGCGTCTCAGGAGGTGTCACATATCCTGACGATGTTGTTGTGCCAGACTTCTCAAGGCGGGCTGCTAGGCGAGAAGACGGACGTTTGAGCGGCTCGTGGCTTACCCAGGAAAGGGGTTGGGCACGTTTTAGTTCTGGTGGACTCCAAACTTGGGGTGTGGTGGAGGAAGATCGCGGCGATGAAGTTTGCGGGTAGGTTGGTGTAAGTGATCTTGTTGTCTCTGTAGTCGAACTGCCGGACATTGATGTTGCTGGTGTCTGGGCATAGCCAAGCAGAGGTTGTGTTATCACGCTTCCTTCTGACCACTCTTCGTTGTTCTGGTTTATGGCCTGTTTATATGGCTGCATCCATGTTGGAATCGGTTTCGTTGGGCTGGGTTTGAACGCGGGCCGGCCCAAAGGGTCAGCCATAGACACATAGACTGTGGAATCACGCGGCACGCGGTGCTCTTCGCCTCCATCGTGTGATTCACCAATCACCCGGCGCAGCGATGATAACTCTCGGCTGGTAGACCGGATAGACTGTCCTAACGTCAGCGAGTATTTTTTTCATTCACCTCTAACTCCAAGACTTACCGCTGGAGCTTGTCTCGTATTCCCAGTCCTACCTTCTCTCATCTCCCACCGCCTACGACCTAACCCACCATCAACCTTATCAATCCTCTCCAAACACTCCTGCATCACATCTTCTCCGCCAAGACCAACGAAACACGCAGCGCAAACAGGAGGGGTATTTACTTCCCTTCCTTTATCTCTACCCATAATACCCTCTTCAGTGTGCTCCATCTTACACTCGTGAAAGAGTTCCGGCAAGGGCACACCTTGGTAGATAAACTTGCTTCCACAGAAGAAACAGCCGTAACACACGCGGTGCCAGAAACACCAGCCAAGACTGACACAGTCATCGCCACGAAGAACGATCTCGCCGCAGACCCAACAGATGGCAAGGTTGATGATGGCAGCGTGACATGGCGAGCAGGCGAGGCGGGCTGAGTGGCCCAGGGCATGAGGATGGCCATGGGAGGGCTGCTAGCAAAATGTGCAGAGAAATGGGGTTGGAGCAGTCGGTAGCATGTTTGTGAAACTAGGAGATTTTGGTGCACTTTGACGAATATAGCGAGTGAGTAAATTTGGAGATGTAATAGGAAACTGCAAGACGTATAGGCGATTGACCCAAACACACTGAAGAGGTTGCTAGCATGTGTCGTGGTTGCTTTGAAGGCAATCACTGATTTCGGCAACCACAGTCTGCGTTGTACATAATCACAAATTACAATCAGCCCACGTTCAAAAGGCAAGAGTTCAGCTCAAAATCAAATGCCACTGCATTGGCGTGCAACTTTTAAAACCTAAAACACTCAAGCAAAACCTCGTCCGAAACCATAGACGAAATACAAACCCTCTGGTCAACGCCAATCATATTATACATGGATACACAAACAACGCCGTGACCAAGCCATATCCTCATCCAGCCCCCCAATGGTCCAGCCAACTCAATCAATCTGCGAATCAGAGCATCCTGGCTACGCCTTTCGTATAATCCTTGGACTCCAGATTACAGTTGGTAGTCAGCCTCCCAACTGTAACTATGGATGTGTCCGACTGCAGGATACCGTGTTCGTAATATAGTACAATTCGGCAACACCAATTTAAGGTGTTGCAAAGCAATGTGTCCGATCATAAAATTCCAAAGTAATGGATCATGCCTCGTTTCAGTTTCGCACCTTGGGCTTTGCGAGCATGTTGAGTCGGCTCAAGCTCATACCAGTGCGCTTCTTCGTAGGACTCGGCGAGAACACTCGGGGAGCCTGAGCCTTTTTGCCGACAGTGTTTGGTGTAGCTCCCACTAGTCTGGGAGCAAGCAGAGCGTCACCTTCAGGGACAGGCTCCGCCTTGCGTCTCTTACCAGCTCTCTCACCCGAGGCCTCCTCGAGGTCCCCCTCCTCCTCGCGGGCTCGAGCGCGTTTCTTATTGGACATGCCGTGAGGCTTTCCGGCAAGGAACTGCATGGGAGACCGGTTCTCCTTGTTGGACAGCGTGTCGGAGGCGGGAGGAAAGCCACCCGGCATGTCGAGAGACCTACGCACATGACGGATGCTGGATTGTCCAGCAGTCGAGCCAAAGCCGGTAGGAGAGGCGCTACCAAACCGAATGGTGTGATCGCTGCGGAACGTAAAGGTGCCGGGAACAGTCGGAGGCAGAGCTTTGCTAGACTCGTCTACCCTCGTAGACGGGCTTTCAACCGTCAAATCGGGGTATAAGCCGTCGTCCTTCTTTCTCTGGGTGACATTTCCGAGAACAGCATCAAGGTTCGGATAGTGAACCTCGCCTTGCTTGAGGATGGGGCTGACGGCAGAGAATGGTTTATGGGCGACAGTGTTCGGGACATCGGCAGCGCGGTGAGTGTCCGGAGTAAACTCGACTCTCTTGAATAGTTTACGTCGTGGGGTAGTGAAGGGAATCGCGGGAACCGATTTCTCCGCGGGCTGAGGTGCCGGTGTCTGGGAAGTGCCGGCGGCAGGCTGAGGAATGGCACTCTTGGGCTTGTCAATGGCTCCCTTTCCACCGCGCAAAATGGACTTGACCCTTTCAAATCGTCCAGGGCTCACAATCCGGCGTTTCAGCTCGGCCGTCTTCTCCAACGCACCCAGATTGTTGGTCGTGGCAGACTTTGTGAGAGCACCCAGTTCAGGCTTCGATGGCGACTTTCGAAGGCTTCCAAGCTCAGCTTTCGAAGGGGATTTAGCAAGACCTCTCAAATCGGGCTTGCTGGAAGACTTTGCCAGCGAGCTAGGCAGAGGCATCTTGCTCCCAGAAGCGCGAGCAAGGGAAGACTTGGTGGGGCTGACCAAGGAAGTCAGACTAGGCTGGGACCGGAGACCAGATGGAGCGTCGGTTCCGCTAGAAGACTTGGGACGAGGAAGAGAGCTGCCATCACGAGACACGGGCCGGGCCGTCGAGGTGTCGTCCTCAAATCTCTGGCGTACGCGCTTGACAGAGGAAGGGGGCTCGATAAGGGCGAAGATACGAGCTCTGGGACCGATCGAAGTCTTTTTGAAATCGTTGGATTCCACATCATCCAGGTTGGCCTTGGAGGGAGACCGTTTGAGGCTGGACTTTTGGCTGGGCGTGCCAGCTGCCAGCAGGTTCGGCTTAGAAGGCTGCTTCAGAATCGACTTCGGGTGAGTAGGGGTGTCATCGAGGTTCGCCTTGGAGGGAGAACGCTTCAGGCTAGAGTTGGGATGAGTAGGTGTATCCTCCAGATTGGCCTTGGACTGGGATCGTTTGAGTGAGCTCTTGAGAGGAGTCACCCTTCCAGGTTGAGCTCGGAAGGACGAGGCATGACCTTCGATGGAGTCCATCTTCTTGAACTCAGCCATGTGCGCAGCGCTGAAGCGGCTGGATTTGCCCTTGGCGGTTGCAATCTTTCGTCCGTTCAGCTCCTCGTCTTCCCGCTCCAGTTCGCGCTTGGCAATCAAGTCAGCCTTGATTCTGGCGGCTTCCTCGCGCAGCTCGTTCATCATCTTCTGAGCATCGCTGCTCAAGCCGCTGTCTCCAGAAGGCTGAGTGACGCGGAAGGTGAAGGGCGACTCAGGCACGCCGGTCGTCTTGGACGGCGTAGCCTGAGGGTCGGTGGCCTTGTCTGAGGGCTTCATGTCTCTGAAGCCGAGCCAGGTAGCCGAGGGAGGTGCAACAGTAGGATGAACCTTGCTTGGGTGCATTTCAGACAGCGGAGCCTTGAGTTCGGCGGAGGTAGAAGGCGTGGCGGGATCGTGGTTGGGAACGACGAGAGCGTTCAAACTTTCAGCGACACTCTTAGAAGGAGGAGTATCATCGCGCTCAGCAACAGAGGACAGAGTAGATTTGGCCTTGGGCTAGAGGAGAAGGACGTGAGTAGGGGCCCGCGAGTCACTTATTCACACTGGCGGTCAAAGTGTCTTACCTTGGGCGTGTTCGCGCTGGCCAACCGGGCCGAACGACGGCGAGGCGGCGTCATTTTGGATTGTTGCTCGTGGTTCTCGTCGATAGCTGTTTTGTTTTTTGTCCCGTTTGCTGTAGGTTAGTCGAGTGAAAACGAAGAGGAAGAGCCCGTCGATCAAACGAAGAGCTTCAGGGAGAGAGATTTGATGATGTCAGGCAAGGTGGGTGTGGTTAGGTTGGGTACGTAGAACGCGACGGGGATATTTCTGGAGGGGTTCTCGTTTTGTTTACATTCCACGCTGTTGTTCTTTGTTTGGATTGGTTGGGCAGTGGGAGAGGCCGGTAAGGTCCAAGCTCCATGCTCCGGGCCTTGGGAGGATCCAGTGGAGCCGTTCCTGTTCGTCACCGTGTCCGTACTGTTTTTATAGCGAATCCATCCAACTCCTCGTGGCAGTCCCCACTGTGTTTACTTGGGTCACCTTGGACTGGTATTCGTGGTTCAAATATTTACTAGTGTAGTATAGCAGGAGCACCCCTCGTACCCAAGAGCCCCACGCCTTCCTCCTACGTTGGTCGTTCTGAGCTTTCCATTGTTTCACGTTGCTCGACGTTGTTCGCATTATTTTGGATAGTAACGCTCCATGCAACAGTAGCTATGCGCCATTGTTTGGCTCCTCTCAACGGCGGCCGCGGTTACTCTGGATTCGATGAGGCTACTTCTAACTAGCTTGAAATTAGGCCCAGTGCTCGTCTGTACACTTGTTCCGGGAACACACAAATCATGAAAATCTTTCGCAAAAGGTTGGTCTACGGCGTTGCTACCGCCACAACTTTTGTCAAGCCATGTCCATCTTTAAAATTGACACTCACTTGCAAGCCCTAACTATGAGAAACCTTAGGTGACACCACAGCCAGGTGGACCTGAGAGTCGCCGAACATGTTGTTCAGTACGACGCCATTTGAGGCTACGCTTGGTGAACTGGCACTGTCGGAATGTCTCGTCTATTTATCAAAGACCCTGATCTGTGAAGAGTTAAAGGGGGCTTCAAGATTAGCGAGCCTCAACGTTCCTTAGGAGATGGAATGTGCCAGCCAGGTCCCAGCTAGCTCCGGGCCAGGCGGGCCAGAGTGATGAACCACGCCTCGGAACCCCACCGCAAAACATCAAAGCTTAAGCGTCTGATCTTTGTTCAGACCAGAGAAAGCCAATTCCCTGTAAGGCGGGCTAAGCAAAACCAAGTAAACGAAATAGCGTGTTTGGTTTTTGTACCAGGGTTGAGCCTTCCCATGCCGTTGATTGCCCTCGGCGCGAACTGGTTGAAACAACCTGAAGAGGAACTTTGAGGGTAATGCAAACGGTCAGCCACTTCCGTCTCATCGGGCCTTCCACTATACTACAACATCGCTGGCCATCAGTACTTCTTGAACTGCCCGTAACTTGCCGTCGGAGATTGGAAGGTGCGAAGGCGTGAGGTGTTGCTCAGGTTCCTCTGGTCATCGAGTGTAAGCTGCTTGACTCCCAGCGGACGAAGCCGAAGGCGTTGTGTATTTTCCGCAGCGCCAGATCCGCAGACAGACTTTTGCCAACCAAGGCAAAACTCATTGCACCCAGAGTCTTGGGGTAGGATCCGATCACTGCATAAGCCTCTCGGGCTATCTGATCCCTTAGAATGGGCCTATAATATGATATGATGGTGATGCCTGTTTTTGGCTGGTAATTCAGCCATCGCCGAGGACAATGCTGCGAGGCCAGGCAAGCCACTCCTCCCATTCCGGTCCAAGGTGTTCACCAATGATACGTAACAACCGCACCCCAGCATCACCAACCTGCCAAATGTCCCTGGCCAGGTAGAGTATAACAGTATGATACCCCAGTACTGCGATAGCTTCGGGCCTGCGCTGGCTCAACATTTCAATGAAATCATCCGGAACCATGAAAGCCCATGTGAAGATTATCCGGACCATGTGCTTCAAGGTGGGGTTGCATTTGCGTCTGTCTCGATTGTCGTAGGCAACCTGAATCAACTCGACAGCCCGTCGACATGCAGCCTTGTACGAATCATCCAGGCTCGACGAGGAGATCAAGGCTTGCAAGCCGTCGCAATCGTGGCCCTCAGGCACAAGACCTTCAATCCCAGGACCCCATGTGAGGAGGGGCCGTAGCTCAGATTCTTCAAGGGCAAGCCTGACGCTTTGGATGACGAAAGCGCCTCGTTGACGGAGGCGGGCAAAGTTGAGATAACTGTCGAGGAAGCTATCTAGCCCCGAATTGCAGGTCGCCAGAGCTTCGATGCAGAGGTGACGGCCGAGCATGGAGGAGAACATGGCGATGGGCACGCAGTTGGAACCGTCCACTTCGGGCTTGGTAGTGTTGAAAAGAGAGATAGCTTCTGTTTGCAGTTGGACAGATTGCTCCATATAATACTGTTTTCTCTCTGGTCTAGCGTGTGAGAGGTGGAGCGCCGAAAGAGACATCATCTCGTGCATGAGATACGGCGCTTCTACGCCAGCTTTAAGCAAAACCTTAGTCCCGCTCTCGCGGAGATCATCGCCAAGTTCCATAATGATGAGGTCCAAGGAGAAGTTGACGAGAAGCTCCATATGGTTCATGTTGACGGTGGGCCCGGAGCGCGTCCCTGGCGGGTCGGGACATGCCGATGGTGACCCTCCCGCCGAGTTCGTCGATCTGGGGGCCGGATCTGTGTTCCCAGTACTAGTACCATCGCGGTACGGTGAGCTCCCAGAGCTCACTGGCGGTGTGTGCGTTCCCAACCTGTGTCTTTGAGGACAGCCTTTACTGTCATGATCGGGGGACACCGTTGGCGGTGCTTTTGTCCGATACACGCAGTCCCGCTCAATAATGTTGCAATTTCTGCACGTTGGACGGGTCTCATCGCACTAGTAGCTCATACCGTCAGGAAGATACTCTTCTTAGGCTTCTACGTAGCATTCACGATGCCAGATACTCACCTTGATATGCCGGCGTTTGCATTCAATACAGCCGTTTCGTGACTTCTTGTGAGCACGGCGGTTCATTATCGAGGTTATGTGCTGCACTGCCAGTGCCGGTATTGATTCAGTTCTCTTACACCTTTACCTAGGGCTCACCATTATGACAAGTATGTGAAAAATAGGGGAGGAAAAAAATGACTTGGGGACTGAATGCGAAAGCGAGGTCGCCTTGAAATTGTGGGGGAAGTTGGTTAGACGTTGGTCAAAGGTGGCTGAGTTCAAGTTAAGGGCCTTTAGAGTTGCATGGGCCATTTGGTGCCACCAAACGCCCTGTTCGCGATGAAAGAGCTGTCATTTGTATCAAGTGTAAAGCCTCCCATGAAAGTTTCGTCAAATATAGTTAAATTGCCGTCTCAACACCTCTAAAACGAATGTCCCATGTCTCATTTCTAGCAATGCTAAGTTTTTATATGTTGATAGCTGCAGCATGGTCGTGTTCGGCGAGAAGTCCAGGCAGGTAGTGTAATTGTGTGATAGCGGTTCGGCCATGCCCATGGCGAAATGCAATATACGCAATGAAACGAGATGTGCATTGAAGCCTGCGTAACTATTAGTGGATAATAGTCAACGTGGTTGTATTATTCTGGCGTATTGGTACGTATTCACGATTTTATCAGGGCTTTCGAATCATTGCAGAAAGCCTATTCAGAACTGTCATGTCCGTTCCCTTTCGGCCAATGTTAAACTACTCATGCACATAATGCCATGTTTCATCGGCAAGGCCATTAACAACTACACAATTATGTACCCTCTAGATTAGCGAGCATGGTTTTCCAGTAACCTCATAATTGCTACTGCATAGAACGCAGTCACCATCATTGTCTTCAGCGGTCTCAGTACTTACCACTATGCCTTTTAACTCCCTGGTGAGTCCATCAACGTTACCTTCTCGATGGCTCCCAGCCACCCGATGGGAGATTGCTAATCCAAGCAAGTTCACTTGAATTAACGGGCTACACATGTCGCTTGTCAGACTCCATAATAGCAGTAACATTCGATTGTGTAATATAAATACTGTAAATTCTCGTCGCCGTCATCATGCTAGATCAAGTATGCCGGGCTTTCCTCTTCAGACTCTTAAATTATACGGAAATAAAATAAAATAAAATAATAGGGATGTCAAGAATCTGACGTATGTGCAAGCGGGTTGATTCTCGTGCGACCCTTTGTTGGGGGGTTTGCTGTCGACTGAGTTTTACCTTGACATTTTTGTGTGCCACAGATGCTCGTGCAAGGCCGTCACTGCTACGGCTTCATTTGACCAGATGTATCTTGGTAAGTAGAGTAGGTGACAGCAATTTTAAGCTTTCGATCGCCTGGAGAGATGTAGTTGAACTGGTTCTGTCGTCTCGTACACTCACAGAACAGAACTGGACTGAGCGTAATGGGAAGAGTCTGCATGATCTCACGCGGCTAGTTCTGCATTTGGCGCAGCCCCTCCTAAACGTGGAAGTTCCAGTTGAATCGAGCTTAGTGACGAAAACCATTGAGGTTACCAACGGGTCAAGACCAGCCAAGTAAGATGAAGGGAGATAATACCGACAATAGCAGGGGGGCCAACTCAAGTCAACAGCGCTATTCAAGGGGCTGTGCATACCTCCAAAGCTTAACGTCTTCCCCCATCAAGAAGGGAAGCTTGATTGGATAGGGTGCATGCACTTTCAATTAACCCGTCAGTTGCTAAATTGCCTCTTCAGTGTCGCCATCGCAATATACGTATTTCCACCCTTGTCAAGCTGGAGGACGGTGAGCCCGCTGCAATAGAGCGACTAAAAAGACCTAGTGTGTGGTCTGGAATCTTAGCGGATTGCTACAGCCCCTAGTGAATTACCTAATTGCACCTAGTACAGCGGCCTCCAAAGAGAACATGCCCCCAAGAACGTGGGACCTCGATTCGCGAGAATGCGACAGAGCTCCCGAGCTCCCTCTCATGGCGGGGTAGCAGCACCAACAACTCTCTTTTCATGCCACATTACCTTAGTGCGGACGCTATGCTGTACCTCCCCCGATTTCTTTCGGTCTGCTTGTCTTGTATGGGTGCAATGACATACCGTCCTCTCGATCCCATCATCATGGGCAAGGCCTTCGCCAAGTTCCCCGGTATGACGCCATAAAGGGTGGACCGAGTACCAGCCTGCCACCGAACTTGTCGTGCAATAAATATTCCCTGCAGGTGTTCGGGCCAACATCACAGATATGCTGCCTTGTTTTCCGCCTTCAACGAGGGTATCCAGTAGGTGTGGAATGCCGCCGAGATGGCCGAGAGGACAAGCTGCTTCCGTCTGCCGTGTTGAGCGTCTTCATAGAACGACGATCAGGGTCCTCGTTTCCTGTCTCCGCTCGCCAGCTCGACCAGCTCTCTCCCATCTCCCTCCCACACCCATGGCAAGCTGAGGTACACAACCAACGCCAGGCCCTGAACAGGCTAGAGAGACTCAGACAAACGTTTCCTAATTCTCGCGCCAAGTGGCGCATGCTGCAAACCTGTCTGTTGATCCAGCTCAACAGGGCAGGACGACTAACAAATCAAGCTTCAAGGTGCCATCCATCCATCTAGCCTGTACATTGCTCGCACGCGGGGACTGCTGGCAATGTCGTAAACATGCGTTCCCTAGCGTCCCAGACATACCCCTCGATGGGCCATTGCCTTGTCGATCGGGAGGGTCTGCCAGGGACGTATCCTCAGACGCAACGGGGAACATGTGAGTGCGACTATGAGGAACCGGCATCGTGGCACAGAAGAACCAGTCCTGATGCCCATTTAAATACCCCTTGACCCCGTTGTTCTTTCTCTAGATCTGCATCATCTTCTCATCCTCTCATCATCATCGCCATCATCGTTCAAACTCACTCAAACCCCCCGCAACTAAACAACTAGACCAATAGCAACCATGTCTTACGGCGGCAACGACAACGTGAGTGACCGCTCCTGCACATCGTCCGGCTTAAGCATTGATTACTTACACATCCACAGTCCAACTACGGCAACGAGGACAGCTACGGCTCCTCTCGCCGCGACAACGACAACTCATACGGCTCGTCCCGCAACGAGGACGGCTACGGCAGCAGCCGTCGTGACAACAACGACGACTCTTACGGCAGCAACCGCCGCAGCAACAACAATGACGAGGACTCATACGGCTCGTCTCGTAACGAGGACAAGTCCTACGGTTCATCCCGCACCAACGAGAGCTCCTACGGCTCCTCCCGTAATGAAGACAGCTATGGCAGCAGCCGCCGTGACAACGACGACTCGTACGGCAGCAACCGCCGCGGCAACAACAATGACGAGGACTCCTACGGCACCTCCCGCACCACCGAGTACGGCTCCTCTGGCAACAACGAGAGCTCATACGACTCCAAGCCCAAGAAGCACTCCGCCTTTGGCGACTCGACCTCGTCCAACCTCGCCGGCGCCGACTCCCTCTCCTACAACGCGTCGGAGAACAACGGCCGCACCTACGACAACGACTCGTCCTCCTACGGCAACACCGAGTCCTACGGCGCCGGACGTCGCAACAACGACACCAGCACCAGCACCAGCACCAGCAACGAGAACTCGTACGGCTCCACCGGCCGCAACAACGACTCCTACGGCTCGTCCAGTCGCGTCGGCGGCACCGACTCGTACGGTTCCAGCCGCAACGACAACGACAGCTACGGCTCGTCCCGTCGCAACAACGACGATGACGACGACTCGTACGGCAGCGGAAAGAAGGGCGACAGCACGCTCGGAAAGGTCCTTGAAAAGGCGGGCAACGTGCTCCACAGCAACAAGCTCGAGCACAAGGGACATGAGAAGCGGGAGGCCAAGGGAGCTTACGACCGCGAGGACTACTAGTGTCGCGTTGCGAATGCCGCCATTTCTTTTCTGATCTTCTTTTTTAGTCATTTGATAGCATGGTCCATGGGAGGCCTAATATGAGCGGAATATCTTACCCCCACCATCTTTCCAGTGTTTGAAAAGAAAAAGTAAAAAGGAAAAGGTGTTTTGATGCTTGATGCTGCGCTATGAAACTTCTGAATGAACTAAACCAACATGAAAAAAAAAAAAAAAAAAGAATCAATACCCGCGAATGTGGCGGGACAAGCTAATACACCTTCTTGGTGATCCTCACCAGCACCACACTCTCCGTAAGCTTGCCCTCGCAATCCATGAGATGCACGAACCGGTACCCGCACCTCAAACGGTCGAGCCTCACGGCCGCCCACGCCGCGAGGTCATCCCGCCCGATCTCGTCGTCTCTGACCGTGAACCTCACAAACGTCAGCTCCTCCACGACACCTGGAATGCCGGTAAACTTGAGCTCCTCGCCCTTGAAGTTGGGATCAATGCCCTTGTTCGACTTAGTCTTGGCCTTGTACTCGCCCTCCTGCTCGTGGCCGTCGTTCTTGATGTGCGCGCCGGGGAGGCGTTCCTCTGGGGACTCGACGTGAATTTCTACCTTGACGTAGGGCTTGAAACCCGACACCTTGGTGTCGCCCGGAGGCAGGGGGAGGTTTTGCGCGGCGAGGACGTCAATCTGGAGGTCCAGCGTCTTGTATGCTATCTGCGGAACGCCCTGGGTTGCGTCGGGGGCTGAGTTCGTCTTGAGACAGCGGTATCCTTTTTAAATGTTAGCAATCATTCTCGTTTTGCCTTTTTTTTCTTTGCTAAAAATCATATAACGTACCCTCCGGCTTCAAAACATAACCAGGAGTGCCCGCAAACATGGCCTCGTTAAGCATCATGCCCTCATCCCAGTTCTGCCAGTTGAGTGCAACAATCTGAATACCTCTACGCCAGAAAACAGGCGCATCGAGATTAGAGCTTCCGATGCGCAATCCAGAGGGGTATGCTCGCATCAGAAAGTGTCGGTTATGGTGGAAGAGCCTGTCCGGCTCCTTCTCGTGCACCTCCATAACTGCCTTCTCGGAAAGAGAGAAGATGTGCGTCGGCATCGACGCCTCGGGCTGCGTAAGCGACTTGAACGATATGCCACGCGTGTAGATGCCCAGCTTGCTCAGAGATTGGATAATCTTGGACGCCTTCTTGTTTGCGGCGGCGGCCTTCTTGTTGGTGCTTTCCGCAAGAGCCTTGTCCTCGCTCTCGTCGTCGGGCGTCACGTCACCCGTAGGCGGGGCATACTTCACCTTCACAAGGATCTTGCCCTTGAGATCCGCAGGGCATGGCAGCTCCTTGGCGTCGACATCGGGAGTCGGAATCAAGAGGTCCTTCCACGTGTCCTCCATGATCTTCACCATTACCTCTTGCTGCTCCGCGCTGCAGTGTACCTCCAAACTGACAATCAGTGGTGTATCGGCCGCCACGAAGCCGTAGTCACGGATCGTCTCGCAAACGTGTCGGAACGGGACCTCCTTCGTGAGAGTATATCCGTGAAAAACCTGGGGCTCGATGCCATAAGGCCGCGGCGAGGGCGTCTTCTGCAACGTCATTTCCTTATCATCGGCAGGCGGACTGGTTGCCGCAGGAGGGCTATGCTCTCCCTCCTTTCTCTCAATTCTCTCATCCATCTTCTTCCCAAGCGAAGTCTTCTCCAGTCTGCTCGACAGCGAGCTAGGCATCTTCCCCTTAAGTTTCGATAGCTTGCTCCGCTTGACTTTACCAGTGGCGGCAGCTTCCTCGTCGCTGCTGCTAATCGACGTGTTGTCCTCGTTATCTGAGTCGTCTCCGTCCCAAACATCAATCTCAATGCACCTGCAGCCTCTCAAAAGCACATTCTTGTACGCCTCGGTGCTGGACTCGCTGTATAGCTGGTTACCAGTGAGATAAGTGTTATGGCTGGAGCTGATGAAGTAGCTCGACAGCGGGTACGTCAAGTCCTGCTCTTTGGCCGGGGCAGTGGCAGCCGAAGCGGAGGAGGTCATGTAGCTAAGGAAACCATTGAAATCCAGCTCGTCTGTCGTGGCACCCTCGAGAGAGGCGAGATGCTCGAGGGCAGCCGCATCGGCCTGGACGTTCTTAACGAATGAGGCGATTTGCTCTTTGTGCCACTTCTTGTCCTCCTTGCCGGCGTGGACATTGAAGATCTTGGTGAGGTGAGGGAGGATGGAGTCGTTGAGCGTCTTGACGGTGCGCTGGGTTTCGCTGGCGCCGCCGCCTGCCTGAAGCGCGGCTGTGGGCTTGGGCTGCGATACTAAGTCTGCCATGGCTGTCTTGGTATTGGATTCGCAGGGAGGGGCGGTGAAGATAAGAAGCGACAGCGACGAGAGAGAGAGAGAGAGAGAGGGAGGAGGCAGGTGTTTTAACGAGAGGAGAACAGGAAAAGGTGAGACGCCGGGTGATGCAAGTAGGCTGTGAATTACAAGAGGCGCCTCGTCAGCCAGTGTAAGCCAGCCAGTGAGAAGCTGGTTGAGCTGCGTGGTAGAGGTAAGTGTTGTTGCCTCCTTTGTGTAATTTTTTTTCTTCTTCTTCCCAGTATCCAGCTTTGCAGGCCTGTTTTCATATATGTGGCAGTACGTCAACCCGCCAAGCACTATGAAGAAAATAAGAGGACAGAGCAATCTTGCTTTTTGACCCGCTCCCCTCGCGAATTGAGCCGACGATCCAGAAGGGGCTCGCCCACCCAACTCGACAAGGGTGGCACAGAAGTCAAAAGATGAGTGGTTCTTCCGCCAAAAGGGGGCCAAAGCTCTGTGCCCAAAAGTCGGAATCGTGGCAGCTCGTAAGTTGTGGGATACGTTATGAGCCGTCCGTACGCGTCCTCCACCCCCCTAAGCCCTGTGTAATGTCGTCACAGGGTCCTTTTTAGCTGATCTTTAGCGGTAAAGGCCTCGCCCAGACCGTCGGGGCTTCAGGTGCAGTAGGGTCGGTCGCTCCTCGCTCTGGAGCACCACCACATGCTTATGGGCGAACTGCCCCTTCCTTATCGATTGTAACGACGCGACCCCGCCAAACCCCTTCTTTTTTACCCCTCATTTTAGTGCCGGAATGTCGGTCTGGCATCCCTGCAAGCCGTGAGAGCTCCTTGGGGAGCCTTTGGCTGTACCAGACAGGGAAAATGGACCACGAAGGAAACAGCGCCGCAACTCATAGGCGGTATTTGGAGCGTGACTTGCACGAAATTTGATATCGTCTCAATGCGATGCCAAGACTTTCGACAACCGGCCCCGTGCTCGAGCATAATCGTCCAAGCTATGAGGAACGGGCCGCACCCGTCATGTGGGCCATGCTCATGCTCATGGTCAGCTCAACATCATCCTAGCTATATAAACTTTTAGACTATGTGACTAAACCAAGCGTTGCTTGACTGTTATCGTTTCCATCCGCTATTTGAATAAACCGTTGATTTATAATGTATCTCGCTCATAAGTGTCGTCAGGTCGTAAGGCGTGATAGCGATAGTATATACACGTATCCCTCCACCACATTGCCCCCTTATCTTTCATCTGAATGTTAAAAGTATCGTACCGAAACTCACCCGCTGTACACGACATGCTTCTTTTGCCAATTTTTTCTCGTCGCCTCTCTCGCCATCTTTACTGCGTCTTCCTATATTCCCTGTCAGACTCGCTTCTCGAAACTTTATAACCGTATAGGCGTTGTGACTGACGTCCAGGTGTTGGCTTTGCTCATCGTCCGCTTTCTCATCATGGCCATAATGTCGGCCTCCATGTGCTCGATATTCTTCTCTAGGTCCGCATCCTCGACCGCAAATTTCCCCTCGCGCCGCCTATCGAACCAAATCCATCCGACAACAATGATGACGGTCAAGGGTATCGTGATAGCAAAGTATACCCAGAGTGATGTCGAGATGACGGGGTCGGCGTCTGCGGCAGTTAGCAAAGCTTCCGGGGAGAAAAACCGCCGTTGAACGAAGAGCCAAAACATTTCTCTTGAAGTGAGTAGCCAAACTTACCTCTTCCGAAATCGAAAAACGTCATGCTGAAAACGGATGCCAGGAAAGTCCCGGGCAAAAACAGAGCACCAAGTAGCGAGATCGTCTTCATCGCTGTGCTATCCCTCTTGCTTGCATGCGCAAGTCTTCTCTGCTCACCGGCCATTTGAAATTGAATCTTTGACTCTCTCTGGGAAAGTAAGTTGTACAACTGTCTCAGGCGTTAGTATACCTGCATACTTTTCAATGTCCTCGGCGTTAGCGACATACCGCGCTTCGCTGGATATGAAGCCTTTCCAACGTCGTCGCCTGATAATTCTCGATTCCCTTGAGCTTAATCCTGTAAAAGTCCAATCGGGCATTCATGCTCCGGTGCAGTTTATGCAGTTCCAATGTAAACTTGTCTTGGGGGGCCTTGTGTTTGAATAGCGCCATGGCAGCTTCGAGCTCCTTGACCACCTCTTGGTACGCCTGCGGCCGTTTCCATAGAACCTGACTGTGGCACTCGACGAGGTCGCGGCTGATGGCGTCGACCTCTAGATATCCGTCCTTGCTAACATAGCCCTCCTCATCCTCGATCTCGTTGCGCATGCTCACAGCGTGCTCCAATCTGCGCAGCCAGTCCCGAGCGTCGCGCTGTTTTTGGTCATTTCGCGATGACAAGTCGTGCGAGAGAATGATGACAGGCAGTAGCATCGGGTGCCCTACCTGCTTCGCGCAGAACGTCAATTGGCGGATCGCAGCGACAATGTCAGAGCTCGGCGTGCCCTTAACGAAGCCCGATGTGATGCCTGTGCTGAAACGATGAGAAAGCATGATTTCCCACCCGCGCGTCTTGCCCTTCTTTCGCACATCAGATTTGCGGAAGATGATTTCTGAGAATGTCAGTGAGTATATTCAGAACATTTATGGATGTGATGGACCAACGTAGAGTTGGGTCTTCATCGTCCTGGTCATAGGCGGACCAGAAGAAAGGGCCAACGACACTGGTGCCCTCAATGGCCCTGAATGGCAGCCGCATAGCTCGGACCATAGACTCATACGCATCGGCTGTAAATGAGATCGTGTGAGGCGTGAAGGTGTCCTTGTGCTGGGCATTCTTCTGAAGCCTTCTAATTGTCAACTCACTTGCTCTGGAAGTGGCTTCTGGGAGTCAGTGCCTACACTAATCGAATGCCACTAAGCAGCTTCACTCCCTCTTTGACCTTTGGAGGCTCAAACGCGCCCTAAAGAAAAGCCACATCGTCAGCCGACGGGGCCTTCACAATTCCACTAGAACTAAGTTGTTCAATATCGATACATAGTACTTACCCGCCGATAGAGAAAGTTATCAAACTCGTCCATGGTGAGGGGATGCTCCTCGGACGAATCGTAGAACGGATCCTGCCAATTGGTTTAGCCTCTTTTCTGTCTGCGCTGACGCCAGGGATTCATCCTGTTCCTCTCCAGCGAAGCCTCAAAACTTACCGAATAGTTGAGGATCTCGACATAGTGTGTCGCCTCCGAGACTTGGCGGCACTGGCTGACATGCTCGCGGAACATATAATCGTCCATTTTGAGCTTCGATTGACCTGTATGGCACCGCTCGAAGCAACTCACCAATCTCTAGGACAAAAACAAAACCAGGCTACGCCGTCGAAAACAAAAGCGGGAAAAGAGTTTGTAGGTTCATGCAGGCCTCAATCACGGCTCCAGAAGGCCTCCTTTCATAAGCCGCCCAGCCCCGTGACTTTCTACCATGTCTGCAGCAGTAGAAGCTGCAGCAGGAGCAGTGGTAGCGGTCGGGTCGGGCCCAGTCCGGCCCATGCAATCTGCACTCTAAAACCCACCGCCAATCCAATTGGCTAGGGGGCACTGCCTGCCACACCCTCGCTCACTGGACGTTGGCCTCCCACAGCGCCTTGAGCAGGGAATTCGGGCGGGCTCTCAATGTCGCCTATGAAAGCTTGTAGCCTTCACCGTCCCACAGCCCTGGCAATAATCCCCGCACCCCACCCTGTCACCGCCAGAACGAACCGTCGCCCCCTCTGCATTAATAGGCTCGGATAAGAGCCCATTGGAGCTTGTTTGTGCGCTAAGTCCGCAGCTGCGTGGGGGGGTTGTTCTTACTTGCTCCAGTGCGGCGACCCAGCCGGAGTTGAACGCATGAGACCGACTCAGTGGGACAGGAGGAACTGCGCGACGGGTGCAATGTATGTAGTCATGGATGTTACAGAACGCCCGTCATCTTCACTATTGCAGCTGATTTCCCTGCCAGCATCTTCCACGCCATGAATATTGGCCGTCCCTAGCCCGGCTTTAGTTGTTCCTGCAGCGTTCTGGCCCTGCCCATACACAAACCCCCTGGCAGCATGTGGAAGATAATCGCTGTTAGGTATTGATGTAACCAAGTAATACGGTGACAAGTCTCGTGTTGCACTTTTCCATCTTCCGGGTCCTTAAAAACCTCCAACCAACCCCCGTCATTGCTATCCTGTCCGTTTTCCAAACCACCATCCAGGCGCCCAAAACAGTGCAGACATGATTCACGAGACCCCCAGCGTCTGTCAAGCGCCCTATACTATTCGAACACGGCCCACAGGTCGACACATGCGAGCTCATTCACAGTGCCATCCCGACTCTGATCCAAGAGAGTGACATTAGAAGTCAGTAAATAGATGGCCATATCTGAAACACAACGTTAGCATAATCCTTGGACTACTCGAAAAAGTGAAACCCACTCGTCATGTCCAGTCGAACCGTAGCGTTCGGGGTCCTCAGGGTATCGGTCGAACTGGCTTGCATCACCGGCGCCGGCCTTGACTGGGGGAGTGTAGGGCGCGTCAATATCCTTGCGCGCGAGTCTGTCCCAAGTAACCTCTTGGAACCACGGATGGTTCTTGACGTCGTTTGGACCGCCGTACAAGTTGCCCAACCGCTTGGTGAGGTCGGCCGTAATCAGCTTCTCCAACAAGTCCTGCGCATCGGGGTTGATGTAGGCCGGATATTTCACCTTGCCCTTGAGGATGTTTTCGTAGATCTTCATTGGCGACCCGCTATCCCAAAACGGCGTGTACCCGCACAACATCTCGTATATCAAAATACCAAGAGACCACCTAAGACCGGGGTTAACAAACTGAAAGAACCAGTCCTTTTGCAGTGGCTAACGCTTACCAATCTACAGACTTGTTGTAGCCCTTGTTCGAGACGACCTCAGGAGCCAGGTAGTCTGGGGTGCCGCAAAGTGTCCACGTCTTGTCTGGCACTCGCTTGGCAAAACCGAAATCGGTTATTTTAAGGTGTCCATGCCTGTCGAGCAGCAGGTTCTCGGGCTTGAGATCTCTATAGATGATATTCCTCGAGTGTAGGTATTCGAGCGCCAACGTCACTTCAGCGGCGTAGAATTTTGCGACAGGATTCGGGAAGCGCTACGAAGCAGGGTTAGCTCGGCCACTGGCGATGGGGTTTTCTTTAATTTGCACATACGCCAGATTTCCTCAGTAGTGAGAACAGCTCGCCACCTTCGACAAAGTCCATCACCATGTACAGATTTTTGGAGTCCTGAAACGTTCCCCATAATGTGATGAGGAACGGGTGCTTGACCTCGCCCAACATGCGCCTCTCGTCGTTGGTGTGCTCGACCTGCTTCATTTTGACGACCTGCGCCTTCTTCAGCACCTTGACGGCATAAAAGCGCTGATTGTGCTTGGATTGCACCAGATGCACTCTTCCAAAACTGCCTGTTCCTAGAGTCCGCAAAATATCAAAATCCTGGAGCGTGTATTTCCCCTTGGTCTGACGGACCTGCTGGTCCGCTATCTGTTGCGGCATGCCGTGGTGCTGCTGGTGCAGCTGCTGCTGCTGTTGCGGGGGGTGTAACATCGACTGGGCTTGCTGCTGCTGGAGGCGATTAGGATCGGTGCCGGGGCTTGGGTTGGGCTGAGGGACATGGGATGGCTGGCTTAGGTAGTTGTGACCGTTACTCGCACCGTCATGCTGAGGGGGATTGATGAGGTTGTTGATGCTCGGTAGGTTCTGTTGCGGCTCGCCTTGTTGGTTGTGGTGTGGCTGGTGGGGTGCCGACTGGTTTGGCGGGGGGTGAACGCTGACGGGATACATCTGCTGGTTCTTTGCGGCGTCGGACGAGGCCGGATCCTGCTGCGGCTTCTGTCCAGTGCCGCCGTGGGAAGGCGCCTGCGAATTGGAGGATAGCGAGGAGAGAGTGGTCGAGATGGAACTGTCAAAAGGCTTCGAAGAGGTCGGCGTCACCGGGCTGGTGGGTAGGCTAGCGCCTTGAGGGTCTTGATTGGCCTCCCTCGTCCGCTTTTTCTTGAGGAAGCCGAGGGTAGGCATATGAAAGTCGGAGAGGGGTGAAGGGCTGCGTACACCGTGGAAACAGGGGAAATGCGCAGGTGCTGGGGCCTACGACGTTTGCAAGCAAGAAATGTATGGGGGAAAGAACGGTTCCAAAAGTGATTCGTCGATTCAAGGGATAGCCCGGTCGGGCTGTTAGGTGAGTTGTGAATTGACCGAACGAGAAGCGCGGGGGAAAGCTAGCTTCACCTGCTCCTCTAAGAGGGAAAGCCGCCACCTATTGTTGTTAGGAACAATGGGGCCCCAATAGGCGAATCCTTTGGCGGGAGGGAAGGGGCAGTTGACAACGTACAGAATTGCGGTTAAAGTATGACAGGAAGCAGTTGTAAGCCGGCCAATTGGCAGAAATCGTAAAATGCAACTGCAATCAGGGGCGGAGAAGCCGCGAGATTCTAATTCTTGATGCTAGGCAGAATATTGGTGTAAGTTTACGGCGCAGGTTGAGTGAAGTCTAAGCAGCAAGTGACAGATTGCAACAGATCAAAGGGTGAATACACGGCACTGATTGATTCGCAGGGCAACAAAAAAGATGCAGACGAGTTGAGTTGCAACAAAGAAGGACGGGGAAAGTTGAAATTGAGGCCAAGGTGTAAAGTAGAGGGGAAAACGAACAGATGATGAAGCTTGCGCTTATTCGGGGGTCCCCCTCTCAAGTAAATGCAAGGTCCGTAGGGTAGGATTTTGGCCTTGGTTTCTTTTTCAGTCGGAAGCGACAGATGGCTCGAATGACAGGGCAGCTCAGCGTCAGATCGGCTGCTGCATCTGCGTCGCCGTCTGGGATTCTCTGGGTCTGCCAACAGGAAGAGCGGGATCTCTGTGCCCTGTATGGACAAGTGATTGTGGGCGGAGTAATTAAGGTAGGGAGGTACCAGAGTGTGACTGAGTCGTTACGTGCCCCGATAACTGGGGACAGATGGAACCGAAGATTAAGTGGAAGCTGCTGCCATCAATTGATTGTAAGGATGACACGGAGGAGCCGAGGAGCTGGCGTGGGGAGACTGAGGATATCGCGTAGAGCGTGAGGGAAAAGGAGAAGGAGAGAGAGCGAGAGGAGGGGTAAGGGAAGAGGAGGAGCCAGGCGTATCGGAAAGCTGAGGTCGATGATGATGTAGTAGTAGTAAGTAGTAGGAAGAGGAGTGGTAAGTAGTGGCTAATTGCTAAGGCAGACCAGACGGGAGAGCTAGGGAAGGTACCGGAGGTGGTTCGCTTCTGGCCGCGGCCGTGAAGGTGGGAGCAGTGGATGCTTGCTGTTGGCGTGGGCGTGGATGTGGGCGGAGGCGGAAGTGGTTCAGACTTGTCGACGCCCGCGTTTAGACGGGAACGGCGTGTACAGGGGGGGCCAGGAGCGTAGATGGACTGGGCCGAGGATGGTCCAATTGGGCCAACGGGGTCACGGGAAGAGACCGAGAGCAGCAACGAGAAGATCGTCCTTTGGAATTTCAGACGTGCAAGTATGGATGTTGCATTGGTAGCGAAGGCTGGTAGCAGTATGCTTCGAGGATGATCGGAAGCAGGCAGTTCTTCTTGGAAGGGTAAAGAAGGGTATGTATGGGAGTGGAAGGGATGCCGATGGGCCTGATGGACTGGATGGGATCGGATGGTACCTTGTACGGCCTTTCAGTTTGCTTATGCCACTACTGTAGGTTGGTAGAGACGTTGCTTTTGGTGGTGCTCCCCAGCTTTGCCAGCCCAGCAAAGGTGGGGTAGGGGCAGCCAAGCAAACTGACCTGAATCTCGACAGGTCACAGTTGCGGGCACCACAGAGACATTCCCAACTGCCTGACTGTCTCCGAGTCCCGGCGATTCATGTCAATCAGAGAGATCATTATGTTTATTCGCTGTTTCTTGCTGTTTTCTGCCAATGCGGAGGATGCAACCTTCTGAGGCACTGATATACAAACACATTTCTGTGCTTAGGGTGTGTGTGTGTGTGTGTGTGTGTGTGTGTGTGTGTATGTGTGGTGGGTGACAGGCCGAAGGCCGTGCAGTTACTAGTAGCTCAAGACTTAAGACCCCTCACTACCTCTACCTGCTCTCGCCCAGTAATGTGCCTGCCATCCCCAACTTACCTGAAAGAGTGGGAAGGAGACGTCAAAAACTGGGCTCTTGCTATCCGTCCTTCCCCTCCTTGCCCTCTTCAGCTGAGCTTGCCCAGACACCAGGAAAGGCACGTACCAACCTCACCTCACCTCAAACCCCGTCACGCTACGCCCAGAAAGTAAGACGTCGAATTCAATTCCTCCCCCTTCGCTCATCACTCCCTAGTTCACGTTCCCGTCCTCCTATGTCCGCACTTGTCAACGATCGGCCGTCTTCACCCCTCCTTCTGCCGACAAAGTCCATTGACTCCGCATCTCCCCATTGTCCGCCGCTCCCGTACTTACTCCACCGAAACCTTCACCATAACCAGCCCGAACCCCCAGTAATGTCTGGGCATGGTATGGCAACAACTGATGCTTCCGAGGTTTTGGCAGTGCCCTTCAGCTACTGGTTCCCCAAGTGAGACATGATGAGACGCTCGCCCCAGCAGAAACAGCCACCCACGGTCGCACGAGGAACCAAATTCCAGCAGCCGCTTTCTTGTTTTTACCGTATCCCAGAAGTCCCGGCAACCCGGGTCAACAACCATAGCAACCATCATAAACTTATCCGAAGGACCCTGCCAGTCACCTAGGTAGTTGGCTGTCAAGCAGTAAATTCCCGAGCTTGACGAATGTGTTGGGAACGGCTGCCACCGCGGAAGGCAAACAACCCTTTCAGTACCGAGTTTTGCGTTCTACGTAACATTATATCCGCAAGCGGCCATTGACAACAGGTTCATCCTTGCTACTTTTTCTCTGTCTTCTGGAATTCTTTCACCCTTTTTTTCTTTTTGTTCTTTTTTTGAGAATCTAATACTCAAATATTCGAGAGTCTAACACTCAAAAACGAGGCCAGATATCCCTGGCTTATTCTGATTGTCCTGATATTTCTTCCAAGGAATGTCGGCGTGACTACGGCCAAGGAAGATGGGGGGAGCTTTACACTCACACAAGCTAGACTATGATACCCTGCCAAAATGATGGTGATGATAAATCGAAACATGATATTTAGGCTTTGAAATACTCTACAACTCGCCATATCCAGAAGTCACGCTTTGGCCATCGGTGATTCAGCCAAAGTTGCACCTATTTCGTAACAATCATACCACGGCCGATGTCGAATGCCATGCCAAAGTGAAAACATATACCAGATGAAAATAACCGCCGATCGATCCAGCCGGACAGCAAGGTCGGCCGGCATTACATCGAGAGTTGCACCTTCTAATTAGCTTTTAGAGATGCCAAGCCGTGACGGCTTGACGGCACAACGTGCCAGACAGGTCCCCCTCTGCAGCTTTTTGCCGGTTCTTCTCTAGTCTCAGACCATATCCATGTGATCTCGTTTTGTTCCCAGGATGATGAGATCTGGGACTACATTCAGGAAGATTACCGTAGGGAGCGCGCAAGGATGTCCGTACCTATCGTAACCAGCAGGCGAGCGAGGCTTTCATACATGCATCTGTCTTCACCCGAGCTTGGCCCGGCCAATGGTCGTATAATACACCTGATTCATCTCAGACCGAGTATCATAAAAGGTAAGAAACATGAGTGAGTGATAGGGAAAAATAAAAACAAAAACAGCCATAACAACCTAGGACCTCGGTTTTTTCATTGACCTGCCCATGCAAGAGATGTTTTGTGAATGTTGATATGTACGGTCATTTCTCTTCCCAATCCAACCAAAGCTGCCGCTGCCACTGCTGCCGCCGCCTACTTTTCCGTCATTCTGCTATCTCGGCCTAGAAAGCTGCCGGAATCTTTCTTTATTCACGTTTAGAAACGGTGTCTCTTGTCGTTCTTCGCCCTCCAGGCAGTGTAACCGACATAACCGCCACCAATAAGACCGAAGAAGAGGAAGATCTTGAGGAAGAACCATGTCCAGCTGCCACCCTCCTTGGGCTGCTTAACGGAGCCGGTACCCTTCCTGCCCTTGCCGCTGCCAGGGGTCGTCTGCTTGCTAGATCCCTTGGTGGCCTGGGTCGTGTACAGGTTCTTGGCTTGTACAGAGATAATGTCGTGGTTGTCGCTCAGCTCACCAGTCTCAGCGGTGAAACCGAGGTACGCGATCTGAGGGATGGCAGGCGGCTGGTCCGTATCGAAGCACAGGGTCCAGTCGTCCTCGGACTTGTACTGCAGCTCAAGCTTAAGCTGCTTGTCCTGGAAGTAGGTAACTCTGGCCTTGGTAGGGACGCTGGCATGGCGGATACCACGCGCCGAGCAGCCTGCGAGCTCAGTGCCCTTGCCGTCGTTGTCCTTATCGTAGGGGGTCTTGCCGTCGCCGACCATGGCCATGACATAGGGGAAGACGGTGCCGGGGCGGTTGTTCTTGTAAGTGTCGAAGAAGATACCAAGACCTTCAAAGTTGTCGGGAGCGCCAAAGACAGTACCCTGGGCGGCGCGAGACTTGGTCACCCACATGGCGAAACCGTCGCCATAGAGCTGGTTCTTGCCGTGGATCTTAAACTCGACTTCGATTTCCCAGTTTGTCGCAGTCAGGGGAACTCTCGAGAAGAGCCAACCGGTTTGCGACGGGCGGTCTGAGGTTAAACGGATATAGCTGCGATGTCCCCCTTGTTTAGCCTCTCTTTCATACAATTTTCCGACGAATGTGCGATGGAAAGGATGCCACATACGAGTCCGTCCGGACGATGGTGTCTCCGCCAAAGTCATACCACCGACTTGCCATATCGGAATCGAGGTAGGGCTACATCGTGAACAAAGTTTCAGTAAATCGCATTCAGGGGTGTGGCACGTGGCAGCAGGAATCGCGAACCTGGGTGAGGGAGTGCGTTCGAAGCTGCAACACCAAGAGTCAGTCTTGTCATCATTATTCCAATTCCGTTGCGCAGAGACTGGCAGAGGAGGGAATACGAACCGCAATGCTCTTGACATCATCATCCGCCTTCGCGGTGCCCCAGGCCATTGCGGCCAGCCATAGGGCCGACACGGACGACTTGAACCACATGTTTGCTGCCGAACCGAAACAGAAGAAGAACCCGGAGAAAAGGAAGAAAAAGAGTGCGGAGGAGACTATTAGATGTCACGCGTAGAAGGAGGGGCCGCCGGTGAGGGAGGTAAGAAGCCGCAAGGTCCAGCGACGGAAAGACGTCGTTCGGCACACGAAAGGTGGTGGTGGGTTTTACTCGTGTGTTCTTCCCAGCCGTTAGCTGTCCTCTTTTTTGGCTGATGGATCCTGATTCCTGGGGTCGGCACGTTTTGGAGAGCTCCCACCCCTGTCCGACGCACTAGGGAAGTTTCCAGGGGGTAAGAGTGTGCTCTGTTTTGGGTACCTTACTTTTCCACAGCGCACTTTAACTGCCAATGTGCGGGTCCTGTCGCTGTAAAGATGTCCCTCCCGGCTTTCAATGAGGTTAGTCGTGGCTTGAAGTCGGTTGCCTCAGGTTTGGAGGTCTCAGCCACAGCAGCCTTGCAGCACAAGCCATTCCAACTTTTTCAGCATTGAATTGAATGCGAAGCTAGCCGCATTCTGCGAAATTCGGTGCAATTCTCACAGTTGAAAACGTCACTCACCTTCACTCGACAACTCTCTCGTTACTAAACTACCCTATTAAATCTTTGCCCGCCAGTCACAATGGACTCCAGCTCCGTCAAGCAGGCCGTTATGAAGCAGGTCCTTCAGGAGGCCAACCTTGCCAACGCGCGCGTTCTCATTGACGTACGTACAAGGATCCCACCCAGGCGCAACAGTCCGTATTAGATACTAACACACCATCCAACAAACAGAAGCTCCAGGAGAACTGTTTTGAGAAGTGCGTTCCTAAGCCCGGCACCTCTCTCTCCAGCGGCGAGACGACCTGCATGACCTCGTGCATGGAGAAGTACATGGCGGCGTGGAACCAGGTCAACACTGCCTACATCAACAGGATAAAGCAGGAGTCTGGCAACCAGAGCGGCCTGTAAACAAACCCCATTAGCATTTGGCGGGAGGAACGAAACGGACGGGTGGATGTCTATTAATGTGCTACCACTGTACAACAATGATAACAAATTTCAAAGAAGGGCAATGAGAGGCCCAAAAAAGAGGGAAGCATCGGCTTGGGGCATATTCTGCAGCAAAAGTTCTATAGAGGGGATTTTCGCATGGACGACCCGGCATGAAAGCTGCGACATGTACAAATGAAAATAAAACAATGGAAGGAAGCATGAATCAATCTCACAAAGCTGCCATTTGAGTAAGAGCAAGTATATGCATTGGGAAAAGAGAAATGACTTTCTTTCTCAGGGTATCTTTGTTGTAGGACTCTTCTTCTACTCTGCCTGCGCCTTCTTCTTGGCCTCCTCCGCCTCGCGCTTTCTCGCAAGGTAACGCTCTCTCGCGCTCGAAATATCCCCTTCCGTCTTCCTCGTCTTCGTGACATTCTCCATCTTCTCCCTCTCGGCCTCCTCTTCCTCGCGGGACCGCTTGAGCGCCGCCTCGAGTTGCGCCTCCAGCATCCGTGTCTGCCGCTCGCGCATGGCGCCCTTGCCTCCGGAGCCAACGAAGCCCGTGCCGGATCCGCGATCAGGTCTGCTCTCCCGGGGCCGCGCCGCCTCTTGCCTGATCTGTTCCTTCTTCTTTGCTCCGACGTTGAGGCCGCCCTTGAGAAGCTGTCGTTTGTCCACGACCTGGCCCTCCTCGTTGATGGCAACAGAGCCGCCCTTCTCATTAATCTCCCGCGCGATGTCGGCCTCGGATTTTTCTTTGGGAGTATCGTCCTTCTCAGTCGCCGCGGGTCCCGCCTTAGCTTTCTCCTCGGCCGCCTTGAGAACCTCGGCATGTCTCTCCTCGCCCTTGTTGAGCATGTTCTTGTAGAAAGCACTCATGCCCCCGGTCTTGTTCTTCTTCGCCTCCTCCTCCTCTCTCCTCCTCTCCTCCTCCTCGATCCGCCTATTCTCCTCCTGCTGCTTCTTGTACGCCTCCGTGACGAACTTCTCCTTGTCAGCGTACGCCTCGCCTTCCGTCTCACGCTCCCGTGCAATCTTTTTCTCCTCGGCAATCAGCGCGTCACGCTTCCGCACCGAGGCCGCCGCAAGCAGACTGCTCATGTACTTTGGTTTCCTCTCGAAATCTTCTTGCGTGGTTTTCTTCTGCGGTTTGAATGATTCGTACACGCCGTCGTAATCGTATACGCTGGGATCCAGCTCCTCGGCGGCCTCGGCGTGTTTGCGGGAGGCGAGTGAGCTGGACAGGTCGCCAAACATGGCGCTTTCCTGCTTCTTCGTTTTGCTTGCGGCGGGGGGTTGTGTCGGTGGCGCATTCTTGTTCTTGTTCTTTCGGCCGTTTTCTCGTCTCGACGATGGAGTCGACGAGTCAACGTCGAAGCCGCCTAGCTCGTCGAGGGTCTCGACGTTGTTGCCCGCGTTCGTCGCATCGTCGTCCGAGTCGTCGCCGCCGCCGCCAAATGCTGTTCTCCGTTTCGCGGCGGCAGGCTTCGATGCGCCGGGCTTCTTGGAGAAGTTTAGGCCGAAAGAAAGTCCTGGTTTGCTCATTTTTTGGTCGTTGATTTGTGAAGCGGGAAGCTGGAAGCGGGAAGCTCGAAGCGGGAAGCTCGAGGTAAAAGCCGAAAGATGCACTGTCGCCATGTGCTCTGCGCCGTGCACGGTCCAGTCAGGCGCCCCACCACTGCAGCCGGCCGTCAGTCCCCGGCACCGACGTGCAGCCGGAGCGGATCCGGTTGGCCACCACCATGACGTGACGCACGATATGTGAAGAATTCCTCGCCCTGTTGCGTACTTATGTCGCTTACACCGGTATGGGAAGAATGAAAAATCGATTTGATTTCCTTGTATGATTATCGGCTATTAATTGTGTGTGATTCGCATCAGGACTTTATGTAACATATATCTATCTCATACACATGAGCCGACTCTCGCAGGCTACCATTAAAACGTGTCTATGTAGGGAAATGCGCGAGACTGGTCAAACTTCCATCTCATCCTCTGGCGCGGGAACTCAAGCCCAAACTCCAAGCAATGCGTTCTCCCCAGCTCTTGGTGGAGACTCGAATTCGACGAAATGAGGATATCCAAAAAGAACAAATAAAATGAATAATACTTGCCAACCCCAATAACAGCGGTTACAGCCTGACACGTCCCTCGCCGCCGAACCATCGGCGAATGTCAGACTCCACGCCACCGCCTACACCACCGCTGCCGCTGCCTGGTTCATCATCATCGCCACCCATCCATTTGGGCTTTTTGATATCCTGAAACCACTGAGGAGGCTCAAACGTGTCAATCGTGTTCTTCATGCGATGCCCGAGCGATTCGAAGAAGTTCTCTTCCTCAGGTTCTTCATCACGGTATGGTGTCGTGCGTGACGGCTGTCCTGGCCGGCGGCCTTGTGTAGCTCGAGTTGGAGATCTCGCGGGAGAAGCTGCGGCGCCACTACGTCCGCCGGGGATGGTTAGAACAGGTGCAGACCTTCCAGCCCCTTCTAGTCGCGCGAAGGCCTCCTCGCGCCGTCGCAAGGCAGAGTTGCCGCCCAGCTCGCGCTCGATCAAGTCCCGGCCTTCACGCCAAGATCCAGTGCCAAAGATTCGGCCATCGCCTTCGTCCTCGTCGATGAAGTCGCCACCGAAGCCAAACATTCGCTTGATCTTTCCGTACAAGCCGAAAAGCGTAGCGACCACAGGGACGAGCACAAAGATAGGGAAGAGATAGTCGGCCCAGCGACTTATAGACGAGAAGTCGATAAGTCGTCCGAGAAAGTCGTAAAACCTTGTCTTCTTGTAAATGGTACTCGACAAGAACGTCATAAAGTTGTAAGACAGGGGAACGCTGAGCTTGGCAACCTGGCCGGCATACCAGAAGGCCGACTCGTACGCCGTGTTGCGCCTTACAAGCGCGCGTCCTCTCCATGTCTTCACTTCTGTCATTGTGATGAAGGTAGCTGCACACATGTACAGAAGCCAGAAGACGGAGATTACCTGGCCGGCGAAGCCAACCTGGCCCTTTTCGCCCACCCAGTGATGGACAACAGTAAGACGGATGACGGATAACTGGGGGAACGCAGCCTTGATCACTTCGGACCAGATGATCAAAGCCGATGCTGCCGCAAGAAAGGCGCCCAGGGCGATGCTGGCGTACGGTTCAACGTGGTAATAGTACAGGTACCGGGTGTAAGGCGTGTGAACAGTAAAGCGATCCCAGAATCCGCCGTGGGGTGACGGGGCATCAGATTCAAGTTTCTTCGAAGCAGCCGAGTCCAAGATGGCCTGTGTTTCAGATGCCTCCTTCAGTAGGTCGTTCCACTCGTTGACGTAACGTGACCGCGCATGCCGGGCCCGCATCAACTTCCTCGTCAAATCCGCCATGAACTTCTCCGTAATAACTGTTGGCAAGTTCCGGCTCTCAGCAGAGACGCCTAATGTCGATGATCTAGGATGCGATTCGGGAAGGTTGGCGGTCTCGACTAGTTCGTCGATCCACTCCGAGAACTTGACAGCACTTCCTGTCTTTCGGCGGCCAAGCTCCGACACCTGCAATTCAACATCCTCCAGGTTTAACAGAGAGTCCTCCATCTTCTCGTACAACTTGGGCGCACGAGTCTGTAATCTTCGCAGTCTTCCACTGATTGAGGAGTATCGAAATAGTCGTCGGGGAATTGAAACTAGGCCGTGACCCATCAAATAGATAGCGAACACTAAGCCGTAAAAATAGGCAAGGGCCATGAAGGAAGTCTTGATCGCCGTGAGACTTGGGTTGTATGTAATGAAAAGATATGCGAGGCCGATGCCAGCTGTGCCCAGGACCATGATATGGTACTGCGCGTTTTGTCGGAGCGAATACATGAGGCTGTCTTTGGGCTCACGGTAGCCAGAGTCGGAGTACTCGCCGAGGATGGGTAAAATAAACCTGTTGCAACATTTGTCAACACACGCAACATCCGGCCTAAACAGGGGAATAGCATACCATGTCAGGGCGAAGGTGAGCCAGTACGAGATCCTCCACGATACCAACAAAACCCGCTGGGGAAGCCAGACGCCGCGAGTGGCCTCGTCGTCGGTTCTCGCACTCGAAGCGAGGTCGATGGGGACAAGAAGGACGATGCACGCGGGCAGCCATAACGCAAAGAAGATGGGTACCAGGTAGAAAGCCGGTGTCGTCCGCAGAGGGAGGTAGTGGCGAAGAATCAAGAGGACAACGACGGAGACAGAGAGTAGCGCGAGAAACGCGAAAATCTCCGACGGCACTGGCGACGAAGCGCTCACGATGTGTAACATGTTGGCGGTGGTGTCAGAGGTGTGTCCATGGGGTGCAATGCTCTATTTGATTCGTAAAATGCTATGGCTTCTTTCTCTTCGGTGGGGGGGTGTTTTCTTCTTCTTCTTTTTTTTTTTTTTTTTCCCTTGTTGGCGCTGCAGACAGAATTCGACGTTGGGTGAGATTTTGCGAACGGACAAACAAGAAGTTTCGCAGTGCGCAACGGAAGGTGGGAAGTGCGCCGTAGATAGAGGTTGCCCGTTTTCAAGGCTAATCGGATACCAAGGAGCAGCACCCTCTGTAAAGTGTTTTGGCAGGGACGGTACCGACAAGGTCACATGGCGCACGGGCCCGGATTGTTAGAAGGTCCGCAAGCGACACACTTCTTCTCTCGGAGACGGTTTACGTCATCTGCACGGCACTCTCAGGTTGCCCATGTATTGTACGCTCCAATTTAATTGATGAAATACATAACACTTCACAGGCTCCATTTTTGGCTCCCGGCAGGTCCGCTTTGGGCCCCCCACTGGAGCAGCCCTTCTGGCCGTGGTGCTCTAGACGAGATCAGACTGCCCATTCCCTGTTCCTGGTTGACGGTGAAGATCACTCAGGAGGTTAATGGATCTCATTTTCAGTGTTTCCCCTTGGGCCCATTTGTCTTGGCCAAGCGTACAAGCATCCTGCGAGTGGGTTACTGTATACTACATAGCTGCAAGTCATGCATCCCTTCATTCAACGAGTTATATGTAATAGCCGTGTTTTACCACCTAGTGTAAACCTCTTCGAGCAGCCAGCCAGCCAACCAACAATACGGTTAGAACTCCTAGGTTTACTCTTAACGAAGTCGAAATGCACATTAAGCCAGTTTAAGTTGGAACGGTTTTTTTTTCCCCTATCGATATCTTGATGTATTAAAATATCATAGGTATTAATCATTTTACGTTTACAGTGACGATTCTAATCATCAAAGACAAGTTACTAACGAAGGAGGCCCGTATCGTCTGGGCAGTGTAATGCACGTTGCTAACCGTCTATCCCTCAATACACATTTACCAAAAGTAACTCCGTCTACAGACCCCATTTTTTTGTCATAATCCAAGGCTGCCGCTAAACATTACATTACTCTTGCTCTAGAAAGTGAACTTCATCAACGCTGGGTTCAGGAGCACCGGCAGTGCAAAGTGCGAGATGACGCTGACGCACACCGGGAAGATGGTCGCAAAGGTGCGGATCTGCCATTGTACGGGGAAGACGTAGTAGCCGCACACAACAAGAGCCGTCACACCGAAACAGAAGACGAATGTGCCAGCGAAGCTCTTGAGAATCTTGGGGATTTCTTCGAGGAAGTTGCAGTTTTCGACTTCCTTAGACGTCGCGCCCCATTGAATGTCGATCTCGAAGAAATGGCAGAGCAGTGCCTTGGAAACGTGGAGAGGAATACCGCCAAGGAAGATGCAGAAGATGGGCATCCACTTGAAGTTGTCCCACACTAGAGCGCACAAAGTTAGCACATGTAGGCATTATGTGATAGTATGAGCAAGAACTTACGGGCTGCGAGAAGAGACTTCTCGCCCAGTCTGTAGCGAAGGACAGCCAGGGCGACGTTGCCGGAGAGAGGGAAGACGATAATGAGCGAGAAGTAGGTTGCAAAAGAATCAAGGTAGTACTTGTCATACTCGCCGAAGAACCAGCCGGTGAAGAAGTAGTTGAACAAGGAAAGACTCCATGAGGCTCCAATGGCATAGTACGTTCCGATGTAAGACAGGATGGTGATCTTGCGGTAGAAAGCAATATTAGAGCAGATGAACTTGAGGAAGAGCGGCGTGAATGGACCACGGATAAGCCAGAAGCGAAGAGGGTGGAACAGCAGCTCGTTGCAACCATAGGCGTACTTCTCCCAGCGGGCCAGCTCGTCGTAGACAGTCAGGGACACACCCTCCTTGAAGCCATCGCCAGTGTAAGCAGCGTAGCGGATGGAGTAGCCAGCGGTTTGGAGACGCAAAGCCATATCGAAATCCTCAGAGACGTGAGATTCGGACCAGAACTTCTCATAACCATCGTCTTCGTCATAGTAGGAGGCAGCATCCTGGATCGCAGACCAGCGGAGAACGGCGTTGTGGCCGACAAAGGGAGAAATATCACCGTTGGCAACAGCAAAGGTGATCATGGTGTAAATCATCTGCGTGAACCAAGTGACAGCCCTCTCAAAGAACGAGTCCGAGACGTTCATGACGCCGGAGGTGTACTGGATGATGGCAACCTCAGGGGAAGCGTCCATCTCACTGACAGCGTCGAGAAGGCAGTCACGAGGGACACGAGTGTCGGAATCGATGAGTAGGATGTAATCACCAATACGAATGTTGCCGTCAGCCCAGGTGCGACCCTCAGACTCCTCAAGGACTACTGTGAGAGCCTCTGCGTAAGCCTGATCCTCGCTTTCCTGACCCCACCTTGTTCCGCGTTCGAGCTCCTGAAGTTTCTCCTCGACCTTGATGCTGGTCATCAGAGCGTAGTTCATGTTGGAGGCCTTCTTGAAGCGACCCTTACGGATGAAGGGCTGCTCGCCGGGGTTCTGAGGGTTAGGGTTGTGACCGGGGCGGGCAACCCATCCCATGTTGTGTTCCTCGTAGAAGTCCCTGCGAGCCTGTGCCTCATCCTCGTCGATAAGCTGCATACCATCGTCATTGACCAAAATATTGGCAGTGCCACCCTGCATCTCGTAGGTTGAGATGGCAGCCTTGAGTGAAAGCACAGTAGGTTTGATGACGGCGTTCAAACCCTCCTTGTAGACCGGCATCTGGATAGTGACGTGAGGCAGCTCGCCGTTTACAGGGTTCATGCGGCGAGGAGGCTTGCCAGAGTAGTTCTTGGAGTTGGAGTTGACACCAGAAATTGGACCGACAAGTTGGAAGATGTTACCGGCGATCGAGAGGAAGAAGAACAAGGAAATGAAGAGAGTGGCTGGAGTGACTGCAACGAGCGCCCAACGAGTATATGTGCCGTCAACAGCAGATTGCAATGCAAGGGCTCGGTAACCAAGACCCAAGCACGACACAGACAGGCCCAAGGCAAGGGAAACGACCATGGAGCTGGTAAGCTGAATTGGTCGAGTCTCGGCCTTGAGCGCCTCTTCAAGGGCGGCGGGGGAAAGTTCATGAATGTTGATTTCAACTCCCTTCTCGTTCTTCTCGTCGCCCTCCTCATCCTCGCCGTCCTCTGTCTTCCAAATGAAGGAGATGATCATGTGCTCGAGACTCTCGGCTCTCGCATGAATTCTGTTCGCATCGTCATCCCACACAGCAAGCAGTGGTGGGTCGAGGATGAAAGCCGCATACTGATGCTTTTGGCACCTGGGCAAATCGGTCATCCTCGGGAGAACCTGCAGCTGCAGGCCTCCAGCCAAAGGAATGGAATCTTTAGGGTCACCGCTGTTGAGGAGACCATGAATGATAGACTGAATAACTGGGGTGTTGACCGTCATGGCGCACTATTATCTGTCAGATCTGGTATTACATAGGGTATTTGGTCCGACTTACGCTGACGTTGAGTTGGCGAACCATGTCGTAGAATCCAAAGGGGACCGTTGTAAGCTGGGGAGGGGCGCAAACGAAATCGCTGCGTCCCTTCTTGAGCACAACACCCTCGCCCAAGTTCCATGCCGAAGCATACATCTTCCTGAGCTGGTCCTGGTAAATGCTGTGTACCGTGACATCAGCTCTGAGGTCAAGAATGCTGCTTGCATGCTTATCCTTCATGCCCGCTGTGAGCGCCAGGCTCGTTGTAGACTGCCGAGCTGATGTTCTTGTGCTATGGCTTCGGGAAGGCTTTTCGGACGATAGAGTTGCGGATGACGGCATAGGGAGCGTATTGCCTGATGGCACTCTGGTCGAAGTCGACGTGCTTGGTAGTTGGCTAAGCTCGGCACTCCCCCCCTGGGCCGGCGTAAAGTATGACTTGAAAGCATCCATATTGTGAGAGTTTGAAACGAAGGAACCACAGCTGGTCAAACCACTTCCAGCTTCTGGGTAAAGAAAGAGTGAATCAGGAACTGTAAGTGAGTGGATGGTGAGAAAGAAGCCCAGTCAGCGAGGAAACGGGAAACAGGCTCAAGATATTTGAGACGGGCACAGAGTGTAGCCCTCTCTCAGTGGGTAAGGTAGGAGAGCCAAGGACAAAGACTAGCCTAAGCCAAAGCCGTACACACGGGGGCACCGGGAGCTGAGCAATATTGCCTGGACTGGCCGGGACCACCATCACAGTACGGGCAGATAAGAGGCGGCGGCAATGAAAGGCCATACTCGAGGATGGGGAACAAACAGCGACTGGATTAGCCAGCACCTGACGGTCTCGGTACAAAAGGTGGGTTCCACCAGTCTAAGTTGCCCGCTCGAGAGAGACTAGTACGTTAGTTGGAATCGGTGACAAGCGGCATTGCCTGGCTGTGTATTTGGGAAGCTGGCGCCACCCGTGCACTGCATGGGAGACGGGTATGCAGGTACAAACATGGATAGAAACCTCTGTCCATCCTGAAGCAAAAGCAGAGCTGAAATTGACAAGAAAAAAACAAGGCCGTATGGCGCAAAGGTAACATACCCAAGCCCGGCATAACCAAGTCGTTGTACTGTGAGGCAAATATTATACCTCTACAAGCTCAGATATACGTCAACACATCGCCGCCTCCATCTCCAGCCTACCCGCAGATGCTATTCTTCCCGAAGATGCCAAGATTGGACATCTCATAACCACCGCGGTGGCTGAAAGACGAAATATAGAGAAAAACGAGAGATGAAGTGCTCGGCATTCTGCGGCACCAAGACTGAATCATGGTATGTTAGTCAAGGTGGTCGATCCTCTGGCCCAGATCTCCTTAGGAGGACCAGCAACCAGCTGGGGCCTCAATCAGGTGCCTGATACCAAGCTGCAATGAGGGGTCACACTGGGAACAGGGGAACAGGAGGTTCTGCTCTCTCTAGCTCAGGGACGCCGAGGACGCCTTGACTTGGCGCCCTCTTAGTTAACCACAGCACCGCAGAGGCTTCAGGAGAGCTTCGAAGCCAGGATGAGCAGACAAAAGCAAATGCCGCTAGCCAGGATACGTAGCTAGGATCGGAATAGATTCTTTATTTTTTGCTTTCCGCTTTGAGACTAGAGTCACCGCGGGATAAGCCTCCAGGAGGTCTTGGGCCACTGAAATCCTCCGCTCGCCTTCGTGGCTTGAACCAAACAGCTTAGACGCCAGCGCTAGGTTCGCACAGTCCGCGAAATGCAGGACGGTTGTTTTTTTAGACGACGAGTCCACCTCATCTCAGGCCCCTGGCCACGGCGAGACCTGCCAGGCTTTTCCGAGGCCTTGGTAACCTTATTCACAACACTTGTACGAGAAAACCCAGCGCTAAAGAGCGTGTCTCACAGCCATCTGAGTCGAAGACTTTTGGCTTAAGCTTCGGCTTCGAGGCCCCACTGCCTCTCTTGCTCGATACAAGCAAGATTTTCATCTAACAAAGATGTCGGCTTTGATGACTTCACGACTTGCTCGGAGAAGGCGAGAAAGCATCGGGTCTGGATAGCTTCTAAAAGCGAGTTCTGGATCTGGTGATGGCGATGATGTATGCCCCTTTACCTGGCGCTAGCAACGATGGAGATAGGAAGCCGTTGTTAAGCAGCAAGGCTGGGGAGTGCACTGAAAAGCATACACAAAACCGGTGTGTAACCCCTTCTCGTTTTTTTAAGGAGAAGGGTGTGTTATCATAACCAATGACACCATGGGCCTGGCACTTGCCGTCAAATCTGGTGTTAGCAGCTCCCAGGGGTCTGGTCGTGGCGCTCTCTCTCCCCCCAATCGTTTGGTCTGAGGGCAATGCAGAAAAAGAGATTCGTCAGTGAGCGAGAAGGATTGGGGCATATACTTAAATTGTCGATTTTGGAAGAGGCGGCACCGTTCAGATGGCAGAACGAGCCGAGATGAGACGAACTAAGAGGGGTTAAGGGCTCGGTGGGCGTGTTGTGGCTTGCTGAAGCTGTGGCATTGTGCGTTAGCTCGTCGCGTGTCAGGAGATTGAGTTGTTCTCCGCTGGCATAACAAACAACCAGGGCATATGTTCGTGGCCTACAACAGTCGTCAGGTTTTGACTGAAGGAGTCCATGAGGTTGGAGGAGAAGGGAGGAGGGGGGGGGGGGCCAAGTGCGGGCAACAGCAGGTCCCAGGCGGCGATCCCGCATCCGGAGTTGTTTTCTGCGTATCTTAATCCTTGCAGGTGCGATTTGTCTCGTTGCGGAAATCGAAGATCGGCTCTTTGCCTATCCCGGAAGCGGGAGAATCCTTATTGGTCATCGCACGGCGTATGCCTATATATCGATTATGCATCTATCCGCTGATCCCGTCAACTACACACTTACTATCTGCCCAATCCATCTTTGGTCTTCACAATCAAATCTCCCGCAGCCGCACCTCCCGCGCCAATGCCGCAGACCCCTTGTCTATGCATACATCCGTCCTACCATTACCAGGATATCGATCTTGAATCCGATACGCTACAAACCATCCATATCTATTGTTGATGCTGCATGATGTAGGATATTGGATCAAGTCTGGCCACCACATTAACCCTTTCCGATGGTGGCGCTTCGTTGGTCATTGATTATCTGTGCCGCTTTGCTTGCCGACGTACCATCGCCTCCTTCGTCCCATTCTCGCCTCTCCTAGGCTGGATCGTTCTGGTCCCGCTAGTCTTATGACGGATGTGGACATGATAGCTCCTTACAAAGACTGGCACTGATGAGGTGGCTCTCCAATGATCAAAGAATGGACAAATGAGCTCTTCAACCGGAAATGGCCAAAAGATTTATTCATTTTGTCTTCAAGGCTGGTCTTGCCGGGCTTGCCGCCGTCCTTCGGTCCATCGCACACGCGCAGGTTGCCTTGGACTTCTAAATTAGCAAACCGTCTCACCCGTTTGGCAGGACTTTCAACCGCGATTCCTAGTGCTGAGAGGTTCATATGTTTCTGAACAGCGCACTTGCTCACGAAACTAACCCCGGATCAAATTCCCTCGACAGTCATCGCCGGCGGTCGTTAGCTCGCAGGGCAGCATTACTGTCAAGCTGCTGAGACGCCAAGCTGTCATCCGTTGTCAACCGCGTGCGACTTGCAAAGTACCAACCTTTGTTAGCATGCCACCATTGCTATCCTGCGCATGACTTACCATAGTCTTCGCTTATTTTGGACTTATGCACCCTTGACATCTATGTCGTTCAGATACACGTCCTTGATAGCGCGAGGGCTCTGGTATCCAATCAATCATCAAGGCTCTAAAGCGCGCTGTTTCTTAGGTAACTTTGAAGCATGATGTGCTAAAGAAAAGACGGCATTATGAATCTTTCTCAGGGTCAGGCTTAAATATCTAAACCCAGTAACCGGTCAAATCTTGCCTGGAACGCCCTCGCCCCGAAAGCAGGTAACTGGTCGATTTTCGTCTTCACTTTATTTCATATTTCGTTTTCTTCTCTCTTCAGTATCGAATGGCATATACTCTTCTTGCCGGTTTGCTTCCAACTTGTAGAAAGTTGACACCAAAACACAGGTCGTTGCAGATGGCTTAGAGCCAAAAATTCTTTGCCGTCAACTCACATCAGGTAAATACGAGCTGCCTGCGCTAGGCTTCCGGTTCCCTTGATCGGCTCAGCAGGACTGCAGCGAAGTTTGCACTGTGAGAAGATGGTCATTTTCTCCCATGGTCGGCAGGCCTAGAACGACACCATCGACCGCTAGACCAGGAGCGATTATGTGTCATTCATGCTGTATGGCTCCCAGTGCAGATACGGGCCAGGCTAGTCATGAAAATTAGCATACCCCCATCCGGAGAGTGTTGCAAAGCAGGCATTTCGGAGGCGACGTTTGGCCTTTTCTTATTCCCATTTTCTTCCCCGACTCTATTAACATTTTCCTCAACGCGCTGCAACGCACAACAAGCCAGACCATCAAACGACGCTTATCAAGTTAAACCTTTGAGCGATGTTAATATATGTGGGCTCGAAGAAGAAGCACCTGACGCAGCTAAGAACTGCGGAACTCAACAATCCCTTACATCAGGGGCATTGGGGAACCATGTACCCCTGAAAAGCCCTATTTGATGCCAAGGCTTCACCTGTCACTCTCGTCACAATACCTATGCTTGAGCTCGGACCTTGCCACGAGCCAGGGGCGCGCTATCGAAACTTGAAAGCAGCCCTCAATCAAACTCGAATATGGGCCTCAACAGACCGGTGAGCCAAGCGAGAATATTTACTCCATCTCGGAGCCGGTTCCAAGGCCGTGGAATTCACTCCACCATGGAATAAACCTAGAATTTCAGACAACCAGTTCTGACCTGGTCCGAGAACCTTGTGTCCTTGTGCAACCTGATTAAGTATCAGGTTGCATTGTGCAACTTTAGAGCTCTATTTGTCGTTTCTGCCCCAGCCCAGCCAGCGTTGGGGTGTGGTTCACAAGTTTGAACGGCGCTACTCCAAGATCCAACCGAAAGTCAGTCCACATCCCACTCACTTGGTGTTCAAACCTGGTACGTCCAGCGTGACCATGGCAAAAAAGAGCTTGGTCAAGCTACCTCAAAGTTGTCTGGCAACGGCTTTATACGATCTTGAAGATGTTAAGATGGGTTTTCGTGCGACGGCTCAGTAACACAATTCCGCACCCAAAAGTTGACGCTTCAAAGAGATGGATATCATTCACGGTATTCATAATTGCAACATTTAACCCCATCGTTCCTGCCATCTGATCGAACTAATATGCTGTGAACTGTTCAACAAGTCTTTCTTCTGATATGCCTCAAGAGGTGGTTCATCGTTGAGCAATGTTTCAAGGGGCTGTTAACTGGGCGAATGCTCCAGCTTACCGGTGGACGACGAGTCAGCAGTAAGGTATTTTTGGCCATCAGCTTCAAGTGAGGTCGATGCGCGAGAGAGAGGGAATTGCATAGTGGGACTCGTAGTGTCCTGAAGTCGACCAACCGGTCAGCCGCTGCCGATGTGCCGATTCGTAACAGAAACGGTGCAGATGGCTTCAGACCCTTGCTCGATCAATAACCCCTGTCTACATTTTCTGCGATGCTTCTCCTTGTGCCTTCTTCTTTTTATTACGACTAGATTGTCACTACACGGTGGGGAATCGAAAGTCGCAATCTCTGGCTGGCGCTATATTGACGTGGCCCGCGACGCCACAGCGACTTCACCGGATCCGAGAGATACTCCTTACACTTGCCGCGCGTTAGCTTTAGCGGCTCCGGAGCATTTCCCCGAATCAAATTTAGGCAAATCAGCACATTGCCTTCACTTTGGCTGCGATGTAGTACAAGTTGGCGATAGATGAGGACAGTGTCCCCATATGGCAGTGGTAGTGGGTGACCGAGTGCCACCCCGACGTTAAGAAACAGCTGCAAAGCCTGCGGACGGCCGTTCGCTGAGCCTTACCAGCAATCGACAACCCGCAAGGTGGCTGTAGCCAAGCCATTAGACCTCTTGGCAAAGAACGATGATGGATACTAAGAATCTTTCTTGAACATATTTACGAAAATAACATTGGGCAATGCCAGCCCCTGATGTGAATCCTTAAATACAAGATCTCCGAGGTGAATTGCAGGTGAGTTTATAGCAACGCGGCAATTCTTTTTATTTCATGAGAGCGATCGTCTTCATCTGCTCAAAGTTGGGCAAGCCCAATCCCGTCACAGGGTCCCATCCCTGAGTTCCGTTCCATGATGCAAAAGGGATGACGCCAGCGCCTTGGATCGGCTTTCCGGATTGCAAATCGACACCGCCACAGCCCTGGGCAACGCCGGCATTCACATCGGTGAGACCACGGAATCCTCTCTTGTACAGCCAAGGGTTCATGAAGCCCATGGTCGGCTGATTGACGCGGATTCTGGCGTCGTTGAGTAGTCCAACGAGGCCGGCGACAAGCGGGGCAGAGGCCGAGGTTCCTCCGGTACCGACGAGCCTGTCTGCTGCGACTATGGGAAACGGAGGACTCGCGGAGTGGGCAGAGATATCAGGGAACCCGCGGCCGCTGAAGTTGGCGAAGGGCTCGTAGTACTTCTTGGTCTCGGACGAGATGCCGGTCGCGAGGTAGCTGGTGACGGCGGCCTCCTGGTACCACGCCTGCTTGAAGTAGTTGCTGAAGCCGCTGCCGGAGGCGATCCATGTGATCTCGGGGCCGAAAGCCTGGGTTCCGCCAACGGCAGTGATATACGGGCATGTAGCGGGGAAAGTCGGTGTGAACTGGGGTTTGTTGCTGCCATCATTGGCACGGCAAGGGGCACCGACGCCAGTGTCGCCGCTGGACTCCAAAATGGTGACTCCACGCAAGCCCATCATGCCAATGAGGTTGCATACGCGCGTGGCGTACTCAATTGGCACCGTCTGCTCATCGTCACCGTACGACACGGAAAGCACCTGGGGGATGTCTTTGTTCTCCTGCGTCATCATGAATTGGTAAAAGTCAAGGAACGGCTCGTTCTGGTTGTCGGCCGGGTTGGGTGAGCGGAGATTAGGGACCAGAGGTCCATTTCCACCGGTGATGAACTGCGTGATGGGCAAGGTCTTGACGGTGGCCGCCATAACTTGCGCGTCGAGGTTTGCCTCGCCAATGGAACCTTTGGGGTCCTGGTGGTCCAGGCCACCGTTGACAAGCACACTTTTGAAGTTCTGCGCCGGCAACTGGAACCGGGTCAGGAAGGCCGTCAGGTCGGGCTGGCGCGCAGACTGGTTGAGGAAGCTCGCAAAGCCAACTCGACTGCCGGCGGCGGGGTCGGCCTGATAGGCACCGTAGTTGTATGCCAGTTCGAAACACGCGGGGGTAAACGCCCTGGAGCAGTTCGCAGTGGCACCAGGGTTCTGACCCTGTCTACGGGCCAACGGAGGCGGAACGGCATCGGCGGGCATAGGGTTGGCAAAAGCCGGGTCGGATTTCATGTTTCCAAAGTATGTTGTTGGCGTCACAAGCTCAATGTGTTGCGCCATCGTGTCGGGGACGGAGTACTCCTTCGTTCGAAGCTTCATAGAGCCCTGGACGTCATAGTATGCAAAGCTTGCGCCGAGAATCCTGTTGGCAGTCGCCACGTCCGTCGCAAAGTTGACGAAGCGCCCGCCGTCGGTATATGAGACGTCCTTGACGTTTTCCTTGGCGAGCCACGCCTGTACCGCGGCGACGGAAGCCTCCGCGGGCTTGAATACCTCATTGACTTGGGCGGCTGAGAGGTACTTGCCGTAGTTGGGGCTGTCGGGGTCGGAAACATCCTTGAGCATTGTTTCGAGTTTCTCGATATTCTGCATCTTGAGACCGATCTGGAGGTTGATCTGCTGGTTATCAGCGGCCATGTTTACCATTGACACGCCCGATGAGAATGTAGCCGCCCGTGACATGAGGCGGGCCTCGACAGCAGCTGTAGCAGCCACCAGGGCTATGATTGTCTTGAGAAGAGCCATTCTCGCCGGCCTTGTGTGTCAACCTGAAGGTCGGGTGCGACGTGATGATTAAATACGATGCTCCGGTCCTACACGAGGCCGAACCTGATCTACTGGTCGCAACTTCGAGGCGGTGACAAGCTACTGAAATATAAAGGCAAGAGGTATGAGACCCATAGGCAGAAAACACGCCGTATTGAAACAGACGGGGAGAAACGATTATAGTTAAGGATAATTCTAAATCTTGCGGGTTGTTCCGACCTCATACTTCCTCTCCCCTTACTCATGTACAAGGAACTACTTCTCAGCCAATTCAATGCTTACCCGAAGCCGGTACGACAGTTCAGACAGTACATGTCGTAGAATACAAATTGTCATGTTATCCATCGTCTGAAGTTGGGTGAGGTTTTACGATACTAGCGAGGTCGGACTTTAAGGTTACAAGATTCCAAACGTGCAGGATGCAAGTTTCGATCCCCGGTCCTTGCTTCTTCCGCATGGATTTGTGGCGGGATCGCCGAGGCCAAGTGTATTGCTTGGTACCTGGGGGCCACAACACAGGAACCATGAACCTTCCCACGGAATGATCCTTAGTACATAGTTTCTATGAACTTTAGGCTCCTGGATTTGAACTTTAACTAGCCTTGTTTTTCTTAGCATACTAGTAGATGTCAAGACTCGTAGAAATAAGGACTGAATCGTGCAAGTCAGGAGCTTTTCTAATGCCCACTGGCCGGTCACCCTTACGTGGCCAAACGCTCAAGATTCTCATGCACGCTGTCACAATATTCTCCCATTATTCCCCCTTGCCATCAATGTTGTCATAGTGTCTGGCGAATGAATTGGGGATATCAAATAGTTGACAGTCGCCGGAACAGTCCCCACTGACTTTGAGGAATTGAGATGTGAAGTCAAATCACTTGACACATGCAACAAAAGCTGAGTCGAGAAGAAACACCCCACGATTCTTGGCTGGCAGTGAAGAAACAAGCATTCCCACCGCACTGCTAGCGCCGCAGATCCAGTCAATCTCAAACGCGCGGAGTTATGTTTCTTGACCATTTGATTGTGTTTCTCTATGACCAATCCTATGTGCCCCTTGGTCCCCTCGGCAGCTGCTCCGAAAATAGGTACCGGGGACGGGCCATTCAATGATTTCAATGACTTCTCCGGTTAAGCTCCCTTTTCTCTTGGCGGAGGTGTTTTTCACCCCACGTCTGGGCCGAGCAAACGGATAGCAAGGGCATAGCGGTGATTGAGTTACTTGGTTTCCGAATCCGAGCCGCACTCTAGTAAGAAGCCAACCTCTTTCGACCTGTATATGGATGGCTGACCATCGGGACCGGACAAGCTACCTAGCTGAATATGGTGATTGTAGCCTCTTCCAGAAAGTCGTTGGTGTGGAAGAAGACCTATGAGGTGACGAACACGAATCACACCTTAGGAAACACGTTGTTTTTCAAACTATGCACGAGCTTGGGAAAGTTTTTTTTGCCTTTACCAATACAAATACCAAGCAATACCTAACTTCGAGCTGAGAAATGTATCGTCCCAACTTCGAGAACTTGAGGCGATGGCAAAACATGAGGGAGAGTTCTTCCGACCGGCACAGATCTGATAAACTCTACTGACCAATGGGAATGCTGTACAGCAGTCATGGGACTGAGACACTTTCGCTCTACGACAACCCGTCTGTGCGCTTTGAAATTGTTGCCGTGGCGATGAACTCGAACTGATCAACGGGAGGAACGAATGGAGCGAAAGGAGGTATTGGATGGGCGTCTGGAATTTTAATCTCAACCATGGCCTTGCGGCCGTTCCATGGCGGCTGGAAGAACCTGCGTTGTCAAACGTTAGCAAGCCCCCGATTTGTCTTTCGATTCACTCATCACCAACCTTGAGTCTTGATACAAGTGGCTGACGTATATCTCAAAATTCGAAGCTGATCGAAACTCGACAACCTTGAACATAAAAATGTTCGTGGGCGTGCTCCAGCAGATGGCGTTGTTGCTTGGAAATCCGTTTTTGGGCCCGTTTTCATGGGTTATCCCGTCCCATTGCCAGGTCGCATTGCAGCGCGCGCCACTGACATCGACAACGCCTTCAGTGTTATAGTCATAAAAGTCAACTGAAATTATATGTCAATGTCTAAACAGATAGCGATATCAACTTCTCTACTAACATTGTATCGTACAAGAGTACAAACTTGCGCCGTCTTTCCGGTGGCAGATAGACTCAAGGTTGTTCAGAGTCATATTCAGCCAGGGATACCGGAAGCGGCCGACGTCTTTATAGATATCCCAAGCTGTCAGTGCAGCTATTAGGGGTAAAATATACAATAGAAGTGTGAGAGTTGATGAATGCATCACGTCTGTTGCTGGGTATTGAGGTTTTTTTGCATGAGTCGAGCTGGTCCAAACTAATTTGACAGATAACTTGCTGAGGCTGGTAACTTACACTCGAAGCTCATCCAGAATGGGATTTCGGAGTTCTCCCAGTGCATTACTTATAGATTCTGGCGGAGGAGGCATGCCGTATACTTCTTGCCGGCCACAACGTTGGTCTTTGATGACGGGCCGCAGTGGACTGAAAAGTCGTCGAGAAATGGCAATATGTGACCAGCCGGTGATACGCTCACGCGGGCCGGTGCTAGAAGCCGCTGTTATACACAGTTGTACTACAGTCCCCTCGTCATAAACATGAGTTGCTGGCTCTCCAGTATGATGAATGCAATGTTGAGCGGTGGCCGGTACGGTCGAACCGAAATCAAGAGGGTACCTGCTGAAGACTTGCCGTGTTCCCCGGAGATTGTTGTCCTACTTGCGCCTACAGTTACGTTGTAGCAATTGTATATGCAAGTAGAGTGATACTGATCGAGGAGATATTCCAGCCCCGAACCAGGGAAACCGGCAGGTCATACGATCTTGGTTGAACATACTAATCAAAGCTCATGGCTCATGGCGTGATCATAGGTTGTTGAAAACACTTAAAGGAGATGTCACTGGGATATAGCAAAGCCCTAGGTTGTGAACAGCGATTAACATCCAAAATCTGCGGCCGGTAGTTGTTATACAATGGCCTTTTGCAAGGGTTGGGATTTTGAATAGTTCACGGTCTCGTTAACAGAGTATACAGAAAGTTCAGTAACGCTTGTAACAGACATTCCAGTCCAGTGAACCAAATATACGCCCATATCACCTGAGATAAAGCCAACCACAAACACAATTGCACTCCATCATACGAAACGGCAGACCGCAGATTACCATTTTGTACAACCAGCGCGGCAAGTTGCCTTCGCGCCTGCTTTTCCACACCTCACCAGTGGCGGGAAAATTGCCGAATCAGGTCTTGTTTGTTTTCAACGGCCTTTCTCGGCGTTCTTCGAATCAAATTGCGCGCAGTATCGGCTTCCATCAAGAAGCATACCCAGTCTCTTGGAATCTTGACGTACGATAACTAATGTAGCCATCCAGGCGTCGATGATGCACTCTCCAACGCTAAAGCGGCCCGTAATATGCCTAGAGGAAGTCAAATGTGACGGGAAGTACTTCATACAGGACAAACTAACTTTAGCATGTTTCGTGTTTGCATGAACGCGATTGTTTGTGTTCACGACTTAATATGCCAAGGTCCTTCACCGACCATTTCTAGGTTCGATTTACAGAAGTATAGACAATGTCATAGCCTGAAAGATGGTTGTGGAGAGCCCTTGGATCGATTTAATGGCCGGTTTATCTCAAAGTTGCATCTCCGAGGTGATGCCGTCGTGGTACTGCCTAAATAGTCGCTATTTCATTGACCGACTGGATGCCGAGTATAGCAGGAGTGGTGTGAGTCAAATATTCGTAGTATTTGACAACACGCAAACTAACACACCGCCTCTTAATCATCATCTAATAAAAACGAGTCTTGGTTCAGGCGACAACGCAGTGGTGGCTTGACCTAGCTCACCGGGTTGTGTAACTAAGATTTTCGAATGCTGGAATCAGGCATGAATGAGGAGCCTGTGCCGCCAAACACAGCATGGCTAGCATCAGTGTTGAGTCAACAGGCGTTGCCATGATGGCTCATTAGGTTGGACAACAGCTTTTGGGTCAACAGACTATCTTTATCGAGAAAAGCTGTGAAAGGCACACAGAAGGGTTTCTTGACTCAAACCGGGGTGTCAGCCAGGAAACGTTAATTAGGCTTTCGTTTCCTTCCGGGTAGGAAACTTGTCTTGAAGCCATTTGGTGAAATTGAGTTTGCGGGCATGACGAAGGTGACAGAGTTGGGATGTCATGTGTCTACTAGGAGAGTAGAAAAGTAACACGTATCAAAACAACTGATAACACCGGGTTTGTTCGCCTCATAAGGAAAGTAATGACTGTTGAAAGCTGTAGCTCATGAGAAGGAGGCTAGGATAGACTAGCCACTGATTCACTGCTGAGCACCTTCTAAGCACGAAAATACATTGTCACTGAAACGTTAATCTAGAGTTCAATCTAGGGGTTAAGTAGTAGAATCTCTGCAGTTAAGCCCAAGAAACCATGCAAGAGCAAACAGCTAAAGTTGAATGCTTACTTTTTTGTCTTAATACTTGTGTGCCGTGAGAGGGAAGGCATGTCCAAGACTAGAGCCAGTTCTTTCCCGTCATTGTGATGCATCTTACTGAAATGTATCTTCATGTGAGAGTTTTCACAATATTCGGATTGTAATAGGAAAGCGAGCCTTTTGTGTACTGCCTCTTTCCTTTCTTCAGCGCTGCCACTAACCACCAAACTTTCACCACCCCATGGCGACTTTACTCACCCTCCACCGTTTGCACGACCTTAAGTTCTTCAACAACCAGTGACAAAAATCGTCATGGCCAAGCCTAACAATCAATTCCATCATTTCGGCCAACTCCCACCAGAGCTCCGACATGCTATTTGGTTAGAAGCCTTGGCGGTACCAACCGTCATCTGGATATTCAACCACGGAAACCCGGAGCGAGTCAGCACCTGCATCATTGAACCAGGCGCTTCTAGGTCGTGCATGGAGGCGTATAACATACTCAAGAAGACAAGTCAGCCTATGAATATCCCTGGTGGCCGCACTGTCTGGGCCACATCGAGTAACTGTGTTCTTCATCTTGCCGGTACCATCAGTGAAAATCTGAGCCAGCAGCTTTCGGATTTGGTCCTGCGGTACAGTCTCCGGTACATCGCAGTGTGTCATGGATATGGGGAGCCCATCATTTTTGGCAGGTTTTGGCACCTACTCAGAATCATACAGTCTTGGGGAAGTCGGTCCCATAGCATTCGAAAGCTCTTCATCGTACACAAGGTCTCATCTCTATTAAATGTCTATCAAGCAATTGCCGATGAAGTGATCGGAAATAGTCCCGTTGAACAAAGAATTCCTGATGGCATGGGCCAGCTCGTCCACGATGGCTTCAAAAATTGGCCCCAAAGGCCGAAGTTGTGTTTTCTGGAAGCTTAATGCCCAGTATACATACGGCACGGACGAACGTCGGCCAGGCTAATGCAGGGAGTTCAGGAGACTGGAAAGCTCAGGCCATCACCAGGGAAATTAACAGACGAAAAGGAGGCTGTTCCAGAGGAAAATTTTGTGGGATTAATTGAATTCATTTACCTCCAGAAAGCCGGACAACCCAGCTTCTGGTGCTCACTCTCATCATAAAGGTTTGCTTCTCCTCCCCCCGAGCCAGAGGCTGGTAAAGGACCAACAACTCACAATCGCAACTTCAAGGGGTGCAGAATACAGTCTAGGCGCTTACGTACAAACCGCTTATGCGCCGGCTTTTTAAGACACTGAGCACGGAACCATCACTCAACGCCCAATCCTTGCAGCAGACACCGCATTTTCGTCTTGCTGGCCGCTGCAATCGTAAAGCCAACTCTTGCAATGCAAAACCTCAACTCTGAGATTGCCCAAATGGTAGCAACCAATCGATTCCATTTATTTGGCCAGCTTCCAGCGGAACTCCGTCATGAAATCTGGAGGGAGTCTATGGAGAGAGGACCAGTGGTTATCTCGATCGAGGGAACATCGGACGAACTGAACAAGCCCGCCTATTCCACCTCCGTGACCACAAAGGGATCAATCATACCGGCAGCCGCACAGTCCTGTGCGGAGGCATACGATGTATTCAAGAGCGCGAACCCACTTATCAAGTTCTTTGGCCGTAGCGTACGGGCCAAAGCAAGCGACTGTGTCCTCCACCTGAGCGGAACGGTCTTCAAGAATCCGGGCGTTTCGATTCGCGATCTGGTGATGGACTACAAACTACGTCGTGTCGCCATCAGCAATGAACTAGGAGATCATCGAATCCACCTAAATCTAATACGGTTTCTCAAGTCTGAAAAGTGTCATAGCATCCAGTTCGTTTTATTCCTGCGATCCCAAGCACCACAGCCGCCCAGGCGTGCCCGGGCGTTGATCTTGGAAGCGTCAATGCCAGAGGGCGCTCACTTGGGAAACATCATCGACTCGAAGCGACATCTCATCTATAACTTCAAGGAATGGCCAAAACCACCGGAGATCCGTCTTCTCCCCGTTATCATGTCAACCAGCAGGCCGGCGAGGCCTGTGCGAGCCACTGGACCGGCGACAGATGTCTAGGGTGACTGTACCGTTGGGAGGTGGTCAACGAGTCTCACCACTCAACCTACCTTGCATTGAACGTCACCTCAACTTATCTGAAGATGAGATACCCAAGGTTCAGATGTATGCGCCGCAAAGACCTTCGCATTTGCTGAATGCAAACGCCAAACCCAGACTGGCTACAAAAGGCAGTACCTTCACCCAAAAATGAGAGGAAGGCAAGAAAGGAAAGGCTACTTATGGAAATTACCTGGTCTCCAGAAGCGCGATGCCCACCGGAACAGCTTGGAAAACCGCGGCATACGGGCGGGACGGGACGACGGCAAGGGGGCAGCCCTCCGGGGATGAGATTTAAGGAACGGCCGGTATCCCCGACGCTCGGGCTCCGTTCGACGGATACGACGTGCCGGTGGCGGTGCCGCCCCGCCGCCTGTGGGTCGAGGAGGAGCAGTTCAGCCTTAATGCCAATATCCTCTAAATCCCTGGGGGTTATGTTTATTTTCTTTCATTTTTCTCTTGGAATGGCTTGATTGTTTATTTTCGGGCATGCTGCGGTTCACTCATAGCCATTTTAGGACTGGTAGACGATAGAACATCAGAATCCGGCTTGCGTTCCGTGTTTAGTGGTTTGGGGGCCGTACAGAGGTTGTTGTACATAGGATCGGGGCTGGATGGCTCGAACGAGTCCCTTTGGACATCGAACTAAGCAGAATCAAGATTCGACTACATAGCTGAAATCTCGTATTCCCGAAAAAGAGGGTTGCTCTAGAGCAGGGCAAACGAATCTGCATGTGCCTTCCAATATATTGACGTGAGCGGACGCAGGACAAACCTGATATTGCTGGACTTGGCTATGTGGCCGACATCTGCAGGAGAAGGGGAGGAAAAAAAAAAAAAAAACCACCAAATAAACCACCCCATGTCAGCCTCGCGTAACGAGCGGCGGCATCTTTGACTGCCCGTCGAAACAAGGTTATCTTGATGCAAGAGGGGGCGCCGATCATGTCGCTCGTGTCGCTTGTCAGGTGAGGCAAGATGCCTGCAGAGCAAAGCCACCGCCCGCTGTTCACACAAAAAGAAAAAAAGAAAAAAGAAGAAGAAGAAGATGGGAGGACCAAGAAATTCTGGCACGATGGTCGTCCGAAGGTATCATGGAACTCTGGGGAATTGAGATTTTCTCATCAAGTTCGTCTCTGCATGAATCCTGACAGGGTTCCTTGGCACCAAAAGGTCGGATGGCATAACATGGCATGTCGATGTGGTGGTGTACGGTTGTGCCAGCCACTGCAATGATGGGTGTGAAGACGTCTACGGCAGGCAACATGCACAGGAACCCTGATTTCTTAGGTGAGCAGATACCGGGCTAACCCTGGAATGGGATTAGCGGCGTTGTGGAGAGATCCAGCATCCCACTGGCAGAGATGAGATTTTGGGCTGTTGCACTACTACGTAGTATCGCCCCCTTCTGTCTTGCTCTTTTGGATCGACTGAGATGCTATTATTAGAACATGCGAGCAACATGGCCTCGAAACTAACTTTTTCGTCTGGAGCAGGAAAAGGAAAAAAAAGGGTCCCCGATCCTGTTGCGTGTGAGACCCCTGCTCAAATTGAACTGTGTCGGGACACCCAACCTGCTGGTTTGCAGTGGGGGCTAACGAAAAAAAGGTGTTAATTTGTTGGTGAGAGCTGCAGATGAGGATAGAAGGGGAGGCTAGTGTACAGTAATCAAATGGCGACGGGATGAGGTTGTATTTTCCCCCGCAGAAATGCAGCGCCGACGGCCTGGAAGCCGCGGGTTGAGTGGTGCTGGCGTGATGGTAACTGTTTGGGAAGCGGTGAGCTTTGTTGCTAAGCTAGAAACCGCAACTAACTCAGTCAGCCCATCGACCGAGGCCCAAATGGTTGAAAGGATCATGACTCATCCAAGATGAATATGCAGTTGGATGTTAAGTTGAAGAATCTGCTGACGAGCTTACTGGTGGCCCAGGGCTTGGTGTTTTCTCCTTCGGCAACGGGAAGTGGGCCATTAGTAGCTGGTTTCCTCAAGAGAAAAACCCCACCTGAGCTCTCGGTAACCGAGGTTTGTGTGCCTTTAACTCAGCGGCTGCCCAACGACCTAAGTTGGGTAATAGTTGATAGATTGTTGTCTCGCTGATGAAAAGACATAGCATGGTTCGGTGGTCATTTGCCTACTTATCATATGCATCGGGAGGAGCACTCCGAACCCGGGGAGACAGCCAACCAACGTCACTGCATAAGCCGAGTTTGCGACGAGAATCCGTTGTCAGAGGGTATCATGAGACGACGAGTAGTCTTAATCCAGCCACTTCATATTGAAAAGAAGCGACCAAGCATGGGCCATAAGCACAACTCGTACTTGCCCATGCAAGCTGTCATATTCACGATGGTTATACTGTGGTATTTTTAGTGACGTCCCCCTTGTTCGCGGAACTCGAAATGAGAGTTGTGCGGAATTCCATACTTGCGGGGCATATCGTAAGGTGGGGGGGCCTTAAAACAGGCTTCGCTTCTGTACTATGAGGTTGAGCTCTCCACTGTGTATTGGATAGAGCTGTCCGAGGGCACAATGGAGACAAGAGCGAGGGATAAAAAGAAGAACCCTTGGCATTCTTGGGGCTTTCCCAGAGCAAGGTTCTTTTAGGGCTGAGCTGTCTGACAGCTCTTGTGCAAGTTCTGTTCAGCTCAGCGGGGGAGGGGGAAGGGAGTATTCGGCAAGAGGTAGACACAATTGTACAAATCGGTGATTATCTCTCCTTGGCTAGCAAGAGGGATATTTTTGACGGCATTCGGAATCTTCTTACACTCTGTTGTTTCGAAGGATATGTTGTCATTGTTTTGTCCAGAAACTGGGGAAATCTCGGCCCATCCGTCCGAGCAGGAAATCGACGAGGGGTCGCATTATGTCGTTGCTTGCTTGGAGACTTGAGGCTGTGGCATGGCGGCCGCGGGCAAGGATGTGCGCGCGCATGTACTAGCTAGTAAGTGCACGGCGAACGGCAATCATGCATGCTACGCTAGGATCAAAGGTCGGCGTGAGTGAGAGCCCAAAACTCTGTTGGAACCTGGTTCTAGCGCGCAGCGAGCTCTGCTTGCGACCCTTCCATTTTCTCCTCCATTTATCTTGCTCTCAAGTCGGGCAACATGGCAGTATGAATGTCCGTTATTCCGCCTAGGCCCTGCATAGTATCGGCTTGGGACTTTGGGACGTGGGCTTGAGGCTTGTTGTCAGCCGCAGAATGGTGTGTGGTGCCGGTGATTTTCGTAACGGGTACGCAGGGCCAAGGAGCCAGGTTCTACTATGTAGTGGCCTGTGGCGCGGGTAGGGTGGTATCAGCATGAGAGATAACCCGCCGGTAGCTAGCCGAATGACTAAGAAAGGTGGCCGGCAGCGGAGGCCGGTCAAATTCGACAGATATGATGTACTGGCGGCTGCTGATGTATGCCAAAGTAGTTTTTTTCTTTTCTTTTTTTTTCTTTCTCTCTTTTTCTTTTTCTCTGTCTCTGGAAGGAGCTTGTGTTAACAATAGACGGTGGCTGTCGGCAGGTGATTGTGACATTTTATTTCAAGGAAACCCAGAGCTTACGCCGAATAATCCGATGTCGAGCTGGTCTTAACTTTTTCGCTAGTTGTATTTGGGAGGGGGGCTCCCTTGTATTCATCTCATTTCTCACACCTCCCATCCACCAGTGATCTTACTGGCGCTGGATGTTGACTGGCATTGGCTGGACGGAGCTTCATGGTGCTCGAATGCCCGTGTAATCCGGAGGGATCCACGGGAAAGAGGGTAAAAGAAATGAGACATGGGGGACTTGCAGCCTCTTGCTGGTCCCTGCCGTTGCCCGTTTTCCCTAGGTCTTTTTTTTCTCGTAGTAAGCCTCACAGGCCCGGCCCCTTAGGCCTTTAAAGCCCGAGTCCACCATGCTCCGTGGTGGGGAAAGAAGAAAGATGCTTGGTGAAAGGGTAACTGATCAGCCCTATCCTGGCGTGGCATCCCAACACGACGCTATTCGCCTCCTCTCACACCTTCCCTCTCAGACTCTGGGTGTGATCACTTCCCCTCAGTCGCATTTCCGTCTAGTTCGATCCAATGTTGCTGACTATTTTTTCTGCCTTTGACATCCACTTTTGGCATTAGCAAGGGGGGAACAAACAGACAAACATAATACCTGTCTGTTCTCTGTCGTCCATTATCTTGTTCACTCCATCATCGTCCGTTTACTGAGGGCTGTTGTCAACCCATTTCATCATCCTGTCAACTGGAGGATCATTCCGATAATCATCACCCCCCTGGCGACGCGGATCGAAACCAGTCTCTGTTTCACCAAACCACCCCAGATCCCTCCCCCGCAGCACACGCAGCCCAACCCAGCGTGTCGCTCATCCCCCTCGTCGGGTCTCAGCGAGTGCTCTTCTTTTTTCCCAGGAAGTTGCCAACTGACTGTTCGTCTGAACAGGAGGTCACAGGTCACCCCAGCAGCGAAGCCGGAGCCAGCCCATTCGAAAGAAGAGGAATACCTCAGACAAGACGCCGCGTTGCCTCTCTTATCCACTCCTATATTTTCTGTCCTGCCACTGTCGGTCGAGAATGGCATAGCGCTGCACGCTGGGACTGGACGGACATAGAGACAGCGCCTACCAAATCAGCCATTGGCACCACCCTAGTAGCACCCAGCAAGCCATCTGATATCAGCGAATCCAGCGAGCCACTTCAGCAGAAGCAGACACGGCCGTGGGACGCAGACACACAGACGGACAGTAACGCACATCCGCATCCACATTCACCACTCATCCTAGACAGCTGACAGACGAGCTTTCGCCTGGGATTGACTTGTGTGCACAGCCCCAAGGAGGCCCCTCCACGTCCCCCCCCTCCACTCCTAGGGAGAGAAACCCAGTACGGCATCCGCTTCTGCAGCTGCGTAGCCAATCCAGTTCAACCCGTCTGGTTCTGCCTGTTGCTCCTGTTGCTACCGAGCTGGGCTATCTTCCATTTGGCGGGCTCAGCACAGCACACGTAGCCAATCCGTACGTACGTTTAATTGAGCTTGAGTGAGAAGTGGACAGACTGAACAGGGTCGCCAGACGCAGACGCGCAAAATTAGGACAGGGTCCAGCAGGCCGGGCTGATCAATCTCCAATCTCTCCTTGTCCTGTCATCCATCGGCCATCCTCTTGCTTCCTTTTCCTGTTTGCTGCTGCCGCCTTTCGCTCACCTACTCGCTTGATTGCTTGTTTGATTGCTGCTCGTCAACCTTGGAAACTTGGAACTGACTGGTCAGCTTGACTGACTGGAGAGAGAACGAGAGAGAGAGAGAGAGAGACGAGTAAGAGAGACGAAAGAGGGTACACGATCCAGAAAGAGAGGAAAGGAAAAGAGCTGAGCTGAGCTTGTCACTGCCCCCCTCTGGCCAAGCACCAAGCTGAGAGCTCTGTCCCCCCGTCTTCCGTTTCCGTCTTTGAGTGTCTCTGCTGCTCATTGTCAGTCAATACGGCTGGGCTGTGCCATATTCCTTGCCCTGCATTTTTTATTGCTGGCTTGCTGTACGAATACAACACAACGCACCTAGTATCAGCAACAAAAAAAAAAAAAGGCTTGGTTGTGACGGTTGCGCACGCAACATCACAATTATAATGCCGGCCTTCGGTCGCATTGGAAGGCACCACAACCGCTCGCAACAAGCACTTGTTGAGCCGGTCGGAGGTCCTGCTTCAACGAACTCTCCTGTGCCTGCGCCTGCACCAGTACCGCCGGGCCCTGATTCAGTCCCTTCCTCTGTTCACTCTCACATAAACGCTCACGGCCACTCCCACTCTCACTCGCTGACTCCAGTGCCCGCACCTGCCCCTTCGACCACGACTACGACCACGACCACTACCGCCGGCGCTAACAATCCAATTACCCCCCTTTCAGCCTCGTCGACCGCCTTCAGCTCCAACGAGTCCTTTGACACCCAAAACCAGCTGCAACATCAACAACAGCTTCATCAACAGCAGCAGCAGCAGCAGCAGCAACAACAACTACTACAACAAGTGCAACAGGGGCAGCAAGGGCCTCCACCGCCCCACGATTATCCTGCTTCTGCCTCACCCGCCGCCATTGCTGCCTCACGCAACTCAATCCTGTTGCAGCAGCACAACCCACCTGCTGCCGCCGCCGATTCGCACCAGAGGGGTCAGCAGGATTTCGCCGACTCCGTCTCCCGTTCCCAGTCCCAGCGCTACTCATCGGCCGCAGCCCCTTACCCCAACACCCAATACGGTGCAGCGTCCAGCTCCGTCGACAACCTCAGAGCATCCCTAAACAACACTTCTCCTGCTCCTGGTCAGCCTCAACCAGCATCTCCAGTTCCTCAACCTGCAGCTGCTCCTGAGAAGCGATCTGCACGGAGGCTGCTCAGAAATATCCTGAGCGGAGCAGGCCGAGACCATCACAACACCCCTCCCACCCAGCCTACCCCGCCTAGCTCCTACGATAACACTGGTGGCCTTGCTCGCCGACCGTCTACAAGAGTGAGCAATCCACCCGCAAGAGCTGCACTGTCCCAGCAGCCTTCGCAAGTGTCCTTGGACCAGCAATCTGCCGACTGGCCTCTTCAGACTCCTCCTCCTCAGCAACCCTCCCCGCTGCAGGGTATCGGCGAGAGCGAGGAACAACACCGCTTTGTACAAGATCCTAACCGAGACCCTCGTTTACAGACTCCCGATTCTCACCGCCACTCGATTCGTTACGTACCGAGCGATTTGGATAATACACCCTACGAAGATCCTGTATACCAGCAACAGCAACAGCAGCAGCTGCACGCGTTGCAAGAGCAGCAGCAGCAGCAGCAGCAGCAGCAACAGCAACTCCCCCAGCAGCCTGCTTACGACCCCTCTCAGCAACACCAGTATCAGCAGCAATTCCCCAATCAGCAGCGTGGTCAATATCAAGGCGGGCCGTCTCCCATCTATACTGGCCATCTGGGTACCGGTTCTCACCAAAACCCCGAGACCGTTTCTCAGTTGTCGCATGAATCACCAGTAACTGATTCAGACGCTCGTTCGGCAAACATCCAATCCGCCCAAACCTCCCCCGCAGTAACCTACGCTGTACAGACCACCGACAACCCGCTGCCTCCCACGCTCCCACCTGCACAAGGAACGCCTCAAGCCCAGCAGCAAAACATGTCTCCCCCCTCTGGAGGCCCGCCTCCCCGCTCTGATCGGCGACCGCAGCCAGACGCAGATAAAACGTTGCGGAACCAGGTCGATGCACCTTCAGGACCGCCTCCCGGTTACCGACAGAGTCAGACTATGCCACCCGCTACTGGCAACGCCAACGCTGGCTACCGAACTAGCAGCGCTCAAGAGGGCCGCCAATTTGAGGGAGCTACAGGAGAGCAAGGCCGTAACAGCCCTCAGCCGTCCAACCCTGACCGCGACGGCGCTGATCCTGATAAGTTCAAGGAGCTACGTAAGGTGAACGCAAGCAATGTGCTGGTCAGATACTAATGGCTTCTAGTTACCAAGTATAAGAACGTAAAGCGTCTCTACTTCGACGGTAAGACGCAGATCGACAACCTGAACTCCCAAATCGAGCAGCTGCAGAACGCAGTTGCGAACCAACGAATGTCACAGTCGCGCACCGCTCTTGACGATAGCGAATACATCACGAGGTTTAACCGTCTTAACGGTGCTATCAACAACCTCTCCTTCAATATCCGAAAGGATTGGCGGACAGTGCCGCAGTGGCTAGATATGTATGTCAGCATCGATGCATTGAAGACAGGGAAGCAGGAAATGACTGCAGTTGGCCGTGCCGTTATCACACGATGGATTGTGGAAGAGATCTTCAACAAGTGCTTCCACCCGGGTCTCAACTTCGATCTCAGCCGACAGCTGAAGGAGATTGAGCTCAATATTCGGCGGTTCTCATACACAATGAACAGCCAAGAAGAGTTTGATGCCCTGACGAACAAGGTTGTCAGCTGGCGGATGGCGACGTTGGAGGGCCTTCAGAGGATTTTGAATTCACCCGAGAGCGCGGACAACCGGGCGGACTTCACCCGCATGTGTACGTCGAACCTCACGGCGACTCTGTTCCAGTACATGACAGATCCACCACCTCCCGGTGTGGACGGCGGCGCCTCTATGATTGTGGAGCTGGCAGTGGGTATCGCAGCCAACCTACCTCTGGAGAGCAGAGACGTAGCCATCACATACCCCTTGCCCGGAGACCCAATCAACCCCAACATAATGGAAGTAGAAAAGGCACCGCTGCCGCCTTTGGAAACGCAAAAGGAGGGCGACGGAGAAGACGGCCGGGTCGAGGACGCTGACAAGGACAAGAATGGCAAGGACCGGCGGGCAGAGAAGACCAGAAGCGGTATGTTTACAACCTTACTAGGTGGCGGACCGCCCCGAAAGGGCAGCAACGCGTCTTCAATCATGCTCTCAAGTACTGATGCAGCCCCTCCTCCAGCGCTACCGCCCAAAGACAGTAACAAAGTACGTCTTGCCGGCTTCTCCGCAGTTGAAGTTCGGGGTCGCCAGGTTTTGGTGAAGGCGCCTGTCTGGACGCTCTGAAGATGCCAGAGATGGTGAAATAGAGAAGACCGGAAGAGGTGTCATTGGGGGTTGCAAAACAGCCCGTGTAGAGGAGCAGAATCTTTCCGGTTGATGTTACTAAACGAGGGAATCTCAAGAACCACGTTGGTTGACAGCGGCGAATGTTTTGTGTAGGGAGAAGGGACTGGAACCAACAATCTGGATTGGAACAAGGGGCGACATCTCACGACTAAAGATTCATATTCATACCAGGATGGTATGCTTGGACACTGGGGTATCACTCTGAAAAGGAGAACCTAGATAGCTGCCAAGGTACCTCCAAGTTGCTTTTTTTTCTCGCGCACGCGCAAACACACACATCCACCTGTCACCTACTCTTTCTCCGAGTCTTTTTCATCCCTCTCGGCTCATCACGCTCCCTGTATGCCTAAGTATCCGCATCGTATCTCTGCCTTGCGACTAGAATCTCCTTTCGGCTCGATGAGGACACAGGGGCTTCCGTCAAAGGGACACTGCAAGTCGTGATGTCAGCTTACGCTCGACAGAACCAGGGGAGTTTGATGGAACGGGAAAAGAATAACGTGCCCTATTGTAATCTGCTGGGCAAACCTGGTCGTCCCGGTCTGGAAGGTGGCATTTGTTGCTCATCTGCGTGCAAGTCTGATTAAGTTGTCAGCAGCTGGAAGTCAGGCCTCGGACTTTTCTAGGAAGGGCAAAAAAGGAAAAAAGATGGGACAAGTGACTTACACCTCTGGTCCGACTCTCTTCTTGAGTCTGCCTCATGCGGAGGACGACCCGATGGTTGATCTGCCGCGCCGAGACGATACCAAGGATGAGAAGGATGGCGAGGAGGAGGACGTGGAAGTGGAGGTGGAGGTTTCGCATCATCGCGATCTTGTTTTCTCTTCTTCTTCCGTGCCGCCGTTGTTGCACACCCGGTTGTTGGCAGGTGTATATCGTTATCGGCGTGTGATGACGTTGAGTCAAGCGAGTGTGTATTTCCTTGTCCTGCTGACGAAAGAGTGGGAGTAATCCGAGAACTGAAAGAACTGGCTCAAAATGTGGGCGTTTGTGCTCCTTTTTCTATACTTTCAACATCCGAGCATGGTCACGGATGGCGAACAACAACAGACGAAACGTCACAACCTACTTTGAACGGCGCAGAGGCAGTCCGGTCACCAGGTATGAGGATTGCACACTCACAGACCCCCTTCCATTGAGGGGAGGGAACCACGCAATGTGCGTGTTTTTTTTCATCCAGGATTGGACGGTGGCCAGAGGAGAGAATTTAGCAATCATCTACAAACCTATCTGTAGTGGTTTGTAGAAAATGTTTGTGTGGTTACAGGTGTGTGTGTGTGTGTGTGTGTGCTTTGTACCCCTTTATAATTCACGAGGATGACGAGATACAATGAATGCTGATGCGGTTCATGAAAATGGATTAGAACTGCCTTTTGCATCGTGCAGCCTTAATATATACCAAAATTTAAATCAGAGAAGAGAGACAGTGAGAGCTTGGGCTTATTAAGTTGTTCTGATCCCGAGTATACCCTCCAAGAATTCCCGTCCCCTACACACCCGTCATCGCAGCAACAGAGACCGTGCAAGTGCATACGAGACCAAAGGTAAAAGTTAGCCCCTCCAACTGGACAGCCAGGGGTCTACTCCGAAGCTTTGCTTGCATGCATGGTTGTGTGTTGGAAGAGGGGGCGGGGGCAGCGCGCCTGGTGCTCTTGGCTGCCACCCACCGCCTGCCGTTTCTGGACGAGACCTGACACCCCGCCAAAAAACAATTCGCGATGGCATCAAAATTTGGACGTGGGAGGGCGGTACTTTATGCAGTAGCACTCCTAGGAACTTTCCTCCACCCTTAAGATTTGGCTCTTGTTGCACATATAAAACGCAAAGCCAGTTATTTTTCCACGCAATATACAACCAAAAATGGCCTCAAACCCCGCCCACTTGGAGCCTTCCAAGCTCGGAACAAAAGAATAGTTCGTCGATTCCCCACCCTCTCTCTACGCAACCCCTCCTCCCGCCTGGTTTCCCGCTAACATAGAGTGTCTAAATCACCAGCTGGTCCTCCCTTTACACAACCGAACTGACGAACCATACCTCCAACCCAGAGGACAGAGGCACGGTCTGGTTCGACGACAGCGACGCCGAGTCCAAGCTCCTGACCTATCTCGAGGACCTGACCGAGTCCGCCCCCTTCGATCACTCCCTCCGCCAGGCCGACGCCACCTTCTTGGATCTGGGCTGCGGCAACGGCTCTCTTCTGTTCGCCCTCCGCGACGAGGGATGGGCCGGCCGCGCTCTGGGCGTCGATTACGCCCCGCAGAGTGTCGAGCTTGCGCGCCGCATTGCGCTTCAGAGAAGTCAGGCGCCAAAGGAGGACGAGGAAATGGCCGACGGTGACGACAACGAGGAGGAAGAGGAGGTCAAGGAACCCGAGTTCGCAGAGTGGGACCTGCTCAACGGGCCTTGGGAGACGGTCTTGAACGGTGCACAGCAGGAGGGGTGGGATGTAGTGCTCGACAAGGGGACCTTTGACGCCATCTGCCTCAGCGACGAGAAGGACGCGCAGGGGAGACGGATTTGCGAGGGTTACAGGGGCCGTGTGCTCCGTCTGGTCAGGCCCGGCGGATTGCTGCTCATCACGAGCTGCAACTGGACCGAGGAGGAGCTCAAGGCGTGGTTCGAGGGTCCCCCGCGCGAGGGTGATGTTGGAAGGTTCGTCGCTGTCGGAAAGGTGGACTACCCCAGTTTCACCTTTGGCGGCGCCAAGGGCCAGACGATTAGCAGCTTGTGTTTCCAGAGGCAGGCCTAGTGTAAATCATGATGCCATGAGTTAGATGAGTGAAAAGAGATACACGAATACCCCATCAAGAATGATCACGTTTGTGGAAACCAGCCCGCTTCATTGCATGGCGTTTTCTTCTGGTTGCTGCTGTATATCATACATACAATGGCTTCTTTTTTTTTTTTCGGGGAAACCCAGGCAGCGACACCTACCCTCACAAATCATCACCCTGTCTACTCCGTTCATCCTAGCGTGTAATTGATGCCCCGGAGCCGACCCCCTTTCGGTATCCTCCCGAATGATTTCTGAACATCCGTTCTCCCCTTTCTAGTTTGTCTCTTTTTGGGCGATCCGCATAGGCGAGCTAAAGTAGCACCAAAGAACTGTGTTATGTTGATCGAAGCATGCAAGTTAAGAAGGATCTTGGGTCGGCCTTGGGTAAAAGATTGGGAATTGCTTCATTACGTCTCTCATCTATGGTGATGTATTCATAGGCTCGCCAGCAGATCCAGATACGCTGTTCGCCGACGTTGTCGCAAAGTACCGCACGTCAACGTCATCATCCTTTTGCAGCTTCTCGAGCTTAGGGATGACGCGCGACTGGATCAGCTCCATACCTCTGGGGGACGGGCTGAAGCTGGTACCCTCCTTCTCCAGCGAAGAGATAGTGCCCTCGTCCGGCAAGCGGCGCAGAACGTCAATGAGAACGCCGTATGTCTTCGCGACATTGAAGCGGATGTTGGGAATTTCATCATCAACGAGCTTGTCAAGCATCGGCAGGATCTTGTCGGCGATGACTTCCATGCTTACAACCGAGGCAAGAGTCTGCAAACATTAGTATTTTCGTCATTAACAAGACAGATGTCGATCACTCACAGTGATGGCAAAGCAGGTCGTCATGCGGTAAAGGTAGTTGGAGTGGTTGCCCATAGCCATAACCTTGGGAATGATCGCCTCACTCGCCCATTCAACTCCGAAAACCTCAGTCAGCTTCTTCAAGTTGTGCGTAGCTGCCTCGCGGATGGAGAAGACTGTGTCGCCAAGCCAGCTCATGCAAAGGTTGCTCAACTTTTCGTCGAAGAACTTGACACCCAGCTGACTGGCAAGCAGAGGGATGTACTCGATGATAGCCAGCCTCACGCGCCATTGCTTATCTTCGGCAAGTTGGACAATGGCGGGGAGTAGAGATTGCGAGAGCAGGTCAATACCGATAACTGCAGTCGATTAGTGTGTTGCACTTGTCAGCTATTGGCGCTACGTACCCTGGTTGACAAGCTCAAGCTTTGAAATGATGTGAAGGCGGACTTCGGGAAACTCGTCCTTCAGCATCTGCAAAAACATGGGCAAAAGGTGATCGATCGTTCTGGGGCACGTCAGTAAGTATAATTGCTCACATAGAGAAGTTGACTTACTCTTGCTTGCCCAAAATGGGTGCAAGGCCACTAATCTGGGTTCCGAGGGCGGCTCTGACGTGCTGAGACGTGTCGGAAACGAGGTCCTCGACGCTGCTCATGATGTCGTTGAGAAGAACAGTTCTGTCGACGAGAGCGCAGAATCCAGGTATTTGTCCAGCAATCGCGGTTCGAACTTCAGCTTCGTTGTCCTTCAGGAGCTTGACAAACGAAGGCACCAAGTCTCTTGAAACAACCTCCTCATCAACTGCCTTGGAAATCTACATAAGTATTAGCATGGGTCTTCTGAAATGACCGTCAACCACACCCACCTTCTCAAATCTGTCTGCAATCATATACCGGACTCTCCAGCTCTTGTCCTCGATCAGATTCCGCAGGGAGGTGAGGAGAACACCGTGACTTGACTGTTGCTCCTTGGGAACGACTTCGGCGATAGAGATAAGGATCTCGACGGTGAGTAATCGAACGGAGTCCTGGTCGTCCTGAGCGAGGTGCTGGAAAAGGGGTATCATCTCTTCAACAACGACAGCAGCTGGCATCTCCTTGACAAACTTTGCTAGGTTCGTTGCAGCCTGGCGTCTGACCATAGGCGTCTCATCGTGGACGAGCTGGCCGAACTGCTTTCGGAGCTCTTCTTGGACGCCGGGGGACACCTTCTTGTAGGGAGTTGTGTAAAGGCCGCAGCCGGAGACCTTAGAGGTAAACCAGTCTGCTTTTGACAGACGGACCGTCAAAGGGATGAAGTATTCTTCGACTTGTTGAGAGGACAGCTCCTCGCAGATCTTGTTGAGGGATTCGACGGCCTGTACCGGTTAGGCGACGTAGCTCGCAGGTGGAGCAGGGAGTGATAGCTACCTTGTCCCGCACGACGGGCTCCTCGATGGCAGCGAGGTTCTCGAGAGGGGAGAGCAGGACGTGGCCCCATTGGGCACCACCGACGTATTCGATGAAGTTGCCAAGCTCGCCGCTCAGAGCAACTAGCACCTCATCCTCGTCCTCGACAGACTCTGGCAGTTTGTTTAGATATGGCTCAAATAGGGATGAGATGCGCGACACTAACCGTCGAGGAAGGGAATCAACTCCTCTCGCGTGCGCTCGGCGCCGAGGGCGAGGGCGATGGTAGAGAGGCGGTGGATGGCATTGAGACGCAGGAGGACATCGTCGTGCTGTGGTTCGCGAGGTTAGTATGAGAGTGTGCGCTGGTGGCGGATGGATGGTGGTGTTGGTGGTAGCGGTAGCGGCGTCGGGGAAGGACTGAGGATGAGCAAGGAACAAGTCACCGCCTTACCTTTAGCTCGTCGATGAGGACGGCGATGGGGTACAGCTCGTCCTGGGTGTTCGGCGCGTCTGCCATGGCGGGCGAGAGGGCGCAGGCGCGTCTATCGATGAGTGTTTCGAGGGATGTGAAGGGGAGCAAGAGTTGACGTCTTTTGGGCGATCGGGGTGGATCGCGTGTGAGTGATGCAATGGGTTGGTTGAGGGCGAGCGGCGGTCGTTGTGTGATGGGGGGGCTCTAAAATCTGAGACGACGCAACCGGGATGGTGGATGGTAATTACTACGAAGCGGAGGGTGCAGACAAGCAGACCATGCCACGATGTGAGGGCGTTTTTGGCGATAGAGACGTCAAGTTACCGCGGCAATGGTGGAGTAGAAAGAGGTGGTGTTGATTTTGAGGTGGACAGAGGCAGCAGAAGGCATGGGGAGGGAAGTTTGACGCTGCTGTCGACGTTCGCTTCTGCTTCTGTCCTGTCCTGTCCTGTTCTGCCAGTCCCACCAGTAGCCACTGGAGTGAGGTGCAGTGTGTGCTAGAGGTGGGCTAGCAAAGCTCCCACTGATCAAATGGCAGCCCCAGGCGCCCCAGAGCCCTGTATCGGTGGCCAACTCAGCTGAGAAGGTTGCCTTAGGTAAGGTACGTATCTTTCTGGGTCTGGTGTCGTACACGACGTAAGGCAGGGGTGCAGGAAAGTGGTGGTGCCCTGTTATGAGGGGCTGCCTCTTTTTGAGGAGTGCAGATTTTAGTATGTGTACTGACGCCCTACTCAATAATGTACACGCCTAAAAAAGAAAAGTAAAAGAAGAAAGAGGAAGAAAGAAAAATCTGCCTCTAGCTAATGGTCGTATATCAGCTGTAGATATAGTGCTACCGCTCGTCAGAAACTACAATAGCTTCATAAAATACGATTCTTCGACATGTCACTGGACGAGGGTTACCTGTAAGGGCCGAGAGAGGGGATGAGGATGAGGTGCAGATAAGCTACGCATCTGAGCGAGTACGGGTAATTCTTTCATACGCACGAGTGACGGTGCGCCATGGCAAACAGTAAGAAGTAAGTTGTAAACAAGGTATCGAGGCGTCAACTGCAGCAAACATGCAAGGCAGCTGCTTCTACTTCATCCGTGCTGGCGATAGCTCTCATCTCCCATCTTCATCTGCCAAGCGAAACATGCGGCATCTGGAATGAATGCGGCTGGACGCACTGGTCGCCAGCTGTCATCGGTTCTGTCAGCGGAACACAGATCAGTCCAGCCCAATTCAGCGCAAGGCATGGTATTCTACCAGTGACCCTGGCTCTCCTGGCACTGCCGATTTCTGCTGCTCAAGCCACATCGGACCCTGGAAAATTGAGATGCCGAGTCTTGCCGCCGCTTTTGCTGCCCCTCAACCCCTCAACCCCGCACTTGATCAAAATGTGGCAACCGCACCCAATGACTCCTCCAGGCTGTTAAAGCAGCAACTTCATCCCGCCAGCGAACCCTCCGTACGTGCAGTGCTTCACCTCCGACCGTCCCCAAAATTTCTGTGACTCAAGGCCATTCTGGAGAAGGACAGAGCGATTACTCTTCGGATCTCTCCCGCCCCTGACGACTGCCGGACCTCTATTTCCTCGAGAGATTCTCGCCAATCCTCACCATGCCTACTATATCCGTTAACAAGTACGATTTGTACAAAGCCTTGGGTCAAAAGTGAGTTGCGCCGCGGTCGCACCGCCAGATCTCGACCCCGCCATTTCGAGAGCTCCTCCACTAAACATTGCTACGCAGCTTCACGACCCAGGAGTTTGAAGACCTCTGCTTCGAATTCGGTATTGAACTTGACGAGGACACCGAGAATGAAGAACGGCCCATTGTCAATGGCGTGCAGGAGCCGCCCCAGCTCAAGATCGAGATCCCCGCCAACCGATACGACATGCTGTGCTTCGAGGGAATAGCGCTCATGCTTAACATCTTCAGAGGAAAGGTTGCGGCCCCCAACTACAAGGTTGTCGAGCCCAAGGACCCCGAGACCCAGGTCATCACTGTGACCCAAGATACCAGCAAGATTCGACCCTTCGTTGCCGGTGCCATTCTCAGAAACATCAAGTTCACCCAAGAGAGCTACGACTCGTTCATCGCCCTCCAGGACAAGCTGCATATGAACTTGGCGAGACAAAGGACGTTGGTCGCGATTGGTACCCACGATCTCGACACGATACAGGGCCCCTTCACCTATGAAGCGCTGTCACCCAAGGATATCAAGTTCGCCCCCCTGAACCAAACCAAGGAGATGAACGCCGAGGAGTTGATGCAGTTCTACGAGGGCGACAAGCACCTTGGCAAGTACCTGCACATCATTAAGGACTCTCCCGTTTACCCCGTCATCTATGACAAGAACCGCACGGTCTGCTCGCTGCCGCCCATCATTAACGGCGACCATTCTAAAATCACCCTCAACACCACAAACGTCTTTATTGAGATGACGGCCACCGACAATACCAAGCTCGACATCGTCTGCGACATGATGGTCACTATGTTCTCCAACTACTGCGCTGAGCCCTTCACCGTTGAGCCCGTCAAGATTGTTTCTGAGCACAACGGTGCGTCGAGGACAACTCCCAAGCTCCAACCCCGCACTGTCGACGTCGAGATCGATTACCTTAACGCCTGCACCGGCCTGAACGAGTCTCCCGAGACTCTATGCAAACTTCTTACCAAAATGGCCTACATCGCCAAGCCGTCAGAGAAGGACAGCAACCTTTTGAGCGTCACTATCCCTGTCACTCGTGCCGACGTGCTCCACCAGTGCGATGTCATGGAGGATCTGGCTATCTGCTATGGCTACAACAACCTCCCTAGATCTTCCCCCAATAAGAGCGCAACCATCGGTGCGCCTCTTATGATCAACAAGCTTGCCGACATCATCCGGACAGAAGCCGCTATGGCTGGCTGGAGTGAGGTCATGCCTCTCATCCTGTGTAGCCACGATGAGAACTTCGGTTGGCTGAACCGAAAGGACGATGGCAAGACCGCCGTCAAGCTCGCTAACCCGAAGACCGCTGAATACCAGGTCGTGCGGACGTCCTTGGTCCCCGGTCTTCTTAAGACCATCCGCGAGAACAAAAAGCACAGCGTGCCCATCAAGATCTTCGAGGCTGCCGACGTTGTCTTCAAGGACGAGTCCCTGGAGCGCAAGGCTCGTAATGAGCGACACTTTGCCGCCGCGTGGTACGGCAAGACATCGGGCTTCGAGGTTGTTCACGGTCTCTTGGACCGCATCCTGCTCATGCTCCGCACCGCTTTCCTTACGCACGAGGAGGGCCTTACGGCCGGCAAGAGTGTCGACTTCAAGGTTGCCGAGAACCCCAGCAAGCCTGATGGCTACTGGATTGAGGAGATTAACGAGGACACCTTCTTCCCTGGCCATGCCGCCGCCATCTACCTGCGCCTCGGCGGCAAGGAGCAGCGCATCGGCGAGTTTGGCATCCTGCATCCCACCGTGCTGGAGAAGTTTGACTTGAGGTACAGACACACCCCCTTTTTCTGATTGGGAATTGCCAGTAAGCTAACTCGAATAAAGATACCCTGTGAGCACCCTCGAGATCAATCTCGAGGTCTTCTTGTAGTGATGAGCATGATAGGACATGGACATGATGGATGGCTACGGACAATTTTTAGAAACTCGTAAAAAGCTCGGCTAGGCATGGGTTGGTGGCACATAGACTTGTTCTTTGCACCAGAAAGGAACCCGATCTGATGCCAAATGAAGAAATAGACTCAAGGAAAAAAAAAAAAACAATCAAAATCAAACTGGAGGTCTCCTCAACACCATTTGCTTGACAAGAATCCCATACCTCAGTGTCAGTGGTATGGATTCCAGCGCTACTTCTTCTCTCCTAAGTGGCAGACTCATGAATTCTCACTTCTCACTCCGTAAAACCCGTACACGGCGGTGATGAGTGTATACGGCGAGATCAATGAGGGAGAGTAGAAGCCAAAAGACAGTGTTGCTTGCCTTTCAAGAGGCGAAAATGACCGCATTCTACGAGCACCGAAATCTTGAGATGGCCCAGAACGTAGAAGATCATGATGGCAGTGCGTGATTAGCTACCAAGTGAGCGCAGTATCCCATCATCCCAAGAACCGAGACGTAACTTAAACTGATTAAAATTAAGAAACTGCTTGCGAGGATAGGGAGTTTGGAAAATCCAAAGCGGATCTATATAAGTCCTAGAGTCCCATTTGTCCCCGCCTCCCCTCCCTTTTTTCTCGTTCACATTATCGCCAGTTTTCTTTGCCTCAGTCAGCCCGTCCCTAACCACCGTTCTCTGGATGCAGGTCGTTTCGCCTTGACGCCAGAAAACAAAGTCCAGTGTTTCTAGTGCGTAGGATGAAGAAAAGGCTACTAAACGAAGAAAGTCGTGGTACAAATACAAAATTCCGGCTTGCTCTCATAAACCATAAACACCATCATGGCCTTTTCGTTCTGTGATCCCAGTTTTGATCACCCTAAGGCAGTCTTGGAGACGAAAAAAACTGGTCGTTTGCACAAGGGGCTGAGTCATTAAGGTCCCCAAGGTGCTGGATATTACCCATTATTGGGCGATGATGGGGGTTTGCAAAGGCCTGCCATTATCAGCGGAGAGAGCATCCTTGCCTTCGTCCACAAAGAAAAACTCGCCATCGTCGACTTCTTCGTCGCTACCATTGGCAGTAATATCACTATGGCTAGCTTTGTGATCGTTGCTGACGGTGTTGTTCCCCTCGTATGCCGTGTACATGGTGGGCGGCCATACAAAGCGGTCAATGGGGTCAACCATATCCTCGTGGAAGCTCATGATACCCCAGTCTCTCATGCCTTTGGTTCCCCACTCCCAAGCCGAGTCCGAGTTCGAATCGCTCGACTCGGACCGTGAATCGCTCGACTCCTGGAAATCAGGATCAGCCCAGCTCTCCGGAATGCAGAGATTGGCATCGTACATCATTGTAGAATCGCTCTGATCGATCAAGTAAGGCGCGTCTTGCAATTCTTCGAACATGACGCCCTATGTCATCTCCCGTAGCTCTTGCTCGCTGCGGCTTGGTACTCTCGAGGTAGAGGCAGGGCTGGCGTTGCGGCCAGCTCCCAAGTTATTCAACATACCGGAGACGTTCCGGCCGATGTTTAAGTTGGCAATCCCATCTCTCAATGAGGAAAATGCGTTGTTGTTTTCAGCTGACACACTGCGGTGCAGATGTCGCTCCTGGCCCTGATCTTGCCGCCGTCCCTGCCGCTCCTCTTCTGGAGTTAAAGCACTGTGTCCTGATTCTACTGCGGCAAGGACAGACTGTGACGCCACCAATGAGGGCGGCTTGGAGGCAGGAGTGGCAATCTCGGGAGGAGTACCAGGGTGGCTGCTAGCATATGACTCCTCTGTTGATGGTTGGAAGTTGGCGATAGCCGAGGCTCTGTTTTGCGCCTGTGCGATAGTAGCGTGTAAATCCGAATTCATTTCCTCATCTGTCCTGTTGAAAAGCTGGTGCCACCAGACAATGTCTTTCAGATTTGGCTTGATAATCGAATCACGGCCCTTAACGTATTCGTCAATGGTAGGGTCGTAGTCTTTGTTGATAAATTCCTGTTTGCGGGACAAGAAGTAATCCCAGACAGAAGATGTACGTGCAGTGACTTGAGCGTCACGTCTCTGCTTCTCAGAATTATAGAGGAACGTGCCATACTGGCAGGAGTAAAGATGATAGAGTAGACGTCGAAGGAATCGCTCATTGAACTCGAACTTTGTTGGATTCTGACGCAGGAGTTGGTAGACACAATCCAGGAACTGATGGAACACAGGGCTGATCATCTTGGGCACAGTAGCCTCGTCATTAGCGACTTTGCCAGTAGCAGCCTCGCCAATGGCATCAAGCTCAGCTGGGTCCTCTTTGTTCTGGTTGAAAAATCGACGGGCCCCGGCAATGACATTTTGAAAGGCATCAGCGCGGCCGTCATTGTCGCCTGGCTGAATAGTCTGGCCGGCCATGCCGTCTCTCTGAACATTGAACCAGCTCTCATGGTTCAAGTGGCCAGACCGCAACCTAAACATGTGGCCAAAAGAGAGCCAGTCCTTCTCAACAAGAACAATGAACCCCTCGATGGTTCGGAAATACGGGTCTAACAAGATCTGAGCGAGAGCGCTGAGCTGACTTGTGCGGTCCCAGCCATCAGAGCAGTGGATCAAGACATGCGAGTGCCTGTACCAAATCTGCCGTGCGATGATCTCAGCCCCGTTCAGGACGGCTCCAGTATGCTTAAGCCAGCCAGTCGCATAGAGGGCGTTTTGATCAGGTGGTAATGGTGAGACATCGGCATCTTTGATAACATCCACGACCTTGTTTAGGGAGTTCCTCATAACGTGAATGTTCTCTATGTTCATAAAGGCCTTTGTCGCACCAGGGTAGCGATCCATAGGCTCAGACCCCATTCCCTGAACTTGGTTTACCATGGCATTCACAGTAGGCCGAGCATCAACAATCATGTTGGCTTGCTGAGCACCATATACCAGCCTTCTTCCAGTCTTCTCGTCGAACAATCGGGGTGCCGCTTCCTCAATCACACTCTCCTCATATTTCTCAAGCTCCGACAAGCTGGCGTTCTCTGAAGGAGCCTCTGACTGGCTTTGGCGAGAAGGCTGTTCAGAGTCAGTACTTGTTCGAGGAACCCGGGCTGCGAATGAAGCCATGACAAGCTTCTCGTCCTGAACATTGTTCTTCCTGGTGATACCAGAAAGAGGCTGGGCGCTTCGCGTAATTGTGCAGTTGTTCACGCTGTGAATGTAGCTAAGGACCGGTATGCGATTCCTGGATCGGTACTCCTTGGCGTACTTCAGGACATTGTCGGAGATTGAAGAGGGGACCACAAGAACGGCGGGATATGTATCGCAGAAAGTGTAGTCCTTGTTGATGTTGGTGATCCTCCATCCCTTGTCTGCTGACTTCTCGCTGATGCCCTGTCGGCGGAACTCGGCTCTCGGATCATAAATGCCCCAGCCATTGACCTGCTTCTCAGCCTTGGAAGGCTTATGGTAGAAAGCAAAGAGCTGATCGACTCCGCTAAGTTTACAGGTTCGCATCTTGACAAACTCAAAGACCTCCCGGGCAACTTTATCATCTTGGAATGTGAAGGTGACGAATATGAAGTCTCGGCAGCGGATTCGGATGGAGCTATGAATGCCAGTCGTCGGAGGCATGAGTCGAAGCGTGCACTGCGAAAGGATGGGGTACGTGATCCATGATTCGCGAGTCTTCGGCTGGGCAGGTTGTGGCTGGTCTTTGGGGGTAGGAACTGGCGTGCAGAAAACGAGGTGGAAATCGGTCAGACGAAGGGTGCCGACAGAGGTGACTCCGCCGTTGATGCACTGGACATTTTCGACGACCTATAATGAATGGCCGAAGGTTAGGATGGGTGTTACATTACAAGAGAAAACAAAACAAAGAAGGCGCAATACTTGCCTTTCTAGCCTCCATGTTGAAGTGCGAATGATGATGCTTCTTTGAGCTACAGGAGCATGGCCGCACGGATGGTCCGGAAGGTGAGGTGGTGTCGTAGGTAAGGGGGATTCACTTGAAGAAGAGCAGCGGTGTCGCCGCGCAACTTCAGTGGTGTGAGGAAACTTCGGTAGGAAAGTAAGATAAAGTTTGCAACACTGCGAAGTTGAATTTGGGAGGTTTAGCAGGTGACAGTTGTAAATAGGTAGAGGTCCTGTCGTTGCGGTGGTCAGGCCAGCTACTGTTGTCACAGAGCAGGCACTGTTGCAGGAAGGAAGGGTCGGCTGTATCCCCACTAGCGCGGGGCTGAAAGCAGACGTCACGGCTCTGGTGGTCCACGCGGGTGATCCAGACACCGAGGCATTAGTATGGAGTATAGCTTCCTGGTGTGATTTCCTTATCCATCGTCTTTGTCTCTGTCGCTGACTTTATCTTCTTTGGATGTTTGTGTTTTCTTTTTTTTCTTCTTCTTCTTATATCTTCTTTCTTCCTCGAATTTTCAGTGCATCATCGATTTCGCCCTCTGTTAATTTTCTCGTTGAGGTTCTAGCCAATGGGCAGAGGAGACACGAGAACTAAAGGAGCTTCACAGTTTGACTCTTTAGGCTAGGAATTCAAGACTAGATAAAAGGATGGTATATTGTTTGACTTCAAGTGGTGCCTGCCTTCTTTTTGTTTCCAAGAGCACTTTGCTTTAAATGAATAATGAGGGGCATTGTATGCAAATGGCACCGTAGCGCAGTGACATACGAACATTCACCAGCAAGTGAATAATCGCATCATGAATCGCATCCGTTGAGGCAGATTTTAGAGTGTGACCTGCCTGACGTTCTTAGGTATGCCACTTGTGACTGTAACCTACCTTACTCCTACGTAGTCACGTAGTACACCTGGACTGGACCGCCCCACCAGACACGGCCTTTCACTCCAAGCCCCACACCGGGAAACGGAACACTCTGACCCGACAACCCAACGTTCAGCCTACCAACAAAGAAACAAGCGGCTTACCTAAGGCAGACCTGCCTGCCACCTGCAACCACTTGCAATGATGAACCCTCCACGGGAAACACAGAAAAAAAATCCAAAGCACAGACCACCAAGGTCAATTCCCCTTATCGCAGCACCACCCGGAGCCCTAACACAACCCACAGTCTGGAAATTCTCAGCCGAGACTATCGATTGATTGGAGCTGCTTGACAACCTCACCTCTCGCAACACCACCCCCCGACGACGTCGAACTTCTAACAACCCGTCCAACTATCCCAACCCCTTTCGACACCGGGCACAGAAGTCAAGATGGCTGTTCCAGGCACCCAGATGTAAGACCTTCTCCCCGTCCGCTCTCAATTACAGTTTTTGGAGTGGCATCGTGTTACACGTTCCCTCTCACCCCGCCGAGATTTCGCGATCTCGAAAAAAAAAAGTTTCCCACGCAACAAAGGGAAAGTTCTTGTCGACGATTTTGCTGACGTTTACCCTTCCAAACAGCTCCAAGCGCAGAAAGTTCGTCGCCGATGGCGTCTTCTACGCCGAGCTCAACGAGTTCTTCCAGCGCGAGCTCGCTGAGGAGGGCTACTCCGGCGTCGAGGTCCGCGTCACCCCCACGGTAACCGACATCATCATCCGCGCCACCCACACCCAGGAGGTCCTCGGCGAGCAGGGCCGCCGCATCCGTGAGCTCACCTCGCTCATCCAGAAGCGCTTCAAGTTCCCCGAGAACTCCGTCTCCCTCTATGCCGCCAAGGTCCAGAACCGCGGTCTCTCCGCCGTCGCTCAGTGCGAGTCCCTCCGCTACAAGCTCCTCAACGGTCTTGCCGTCCGTCGTGCCTGCTACGGTGTCCTGCGCTTCATCATGGAGTCTGGCGCCAAGGGTTGCGAGGTCGTCGTCTCCGGCAAGCTCCGTGCCGCCCGTGCCAAGTCCATGAAGTTCACCGACGGCTTCATGATCCACTCCGGTCAGCCCGCTAAGGACTTCATCGACTCTGCCACCCGCCACGTCCTCCTCCGCCAGGGTGTCCTTGGTATCAAGGTCAAGATCATGCGCGGCTCCGACCCTGAGGGCAAGGCCGGTCCCCAGAAGACCCTTCCTGACGCCGTCTCCATCCTTGAGCCCAAGGAGGAGCAGAGCGTTGTCCAGCCCATGTCCCAGGACTACGGCGCCAAGGCCGCCCAGGCCCAGGCCGCCGCTGAGGCGCAACAACAGGAGCAGCAGGAGGGCGGTGAGGAGGCCGAGGCTCAGTCGTAGAATGCCACCGAGCCACAGGCTTTGACCGACGAGGTTGACCAGTTTACCAGCCAGCAGCAGCCGCAGTCCACCTACGCGTCTGTGCCTGTTGCCTGGTAGACGACTGCTTCGCTCGCTTCCTCTTCTCTTTCTCCAAAAAGATTCGCATTTGGGAAATAAAAAGGTGTCGCGCGAACAGCAAAGGGAGGACGGGGGTGGAATACTACTCAGGCGTCTTGATCACATTTGCATCACTCTGCGAAAGGGAATTCGGATAGTTGCGACTGGCTTGTAATGGTACAACAAACCATGAAATGAGCAACGAAATCATTCAATCAATCCTGTGTGTGCCCGAATGTGTGATTACCTGTGATCATGTCTGTAGCTTGTCCATCCTCTCTGGTGTCTGGCGTTGTGCAATGGATGAAGGTCTGCCGCAAACCTGCGACTTTTTGTACCCATGAGTTGTTCACGTGGAAGGGTTAATGTGCGCCAACAGCCGTTTTTTCAACAGTGTACCGTCGATTAAGCGACGTTAAGAAGAAAATTAAACCAAAATAATAACAAAAGACGAGGCATAAAGCAAAATTACAGAATAAATCGGTGGCTCATGCTACTAAATTCAAGGCCCTGTATGGCTGGCCTGGTCTATAGTGCTGAATGCTCGACGATGAACAGAATGCTGTCTCCTGGCGAAACAGGATGTGCCTCTCTCACACCCTCTTCTCGTTCGCCCTTAATCGTACAACAAGAGGTGCTTCCGCACATGGTACCATGGAAACCCCAATGAACGCCCCAAATGTCCGTCCCGCCCTGTAATACTCCTCGTGCCGTAGCAGAAGTGAAAATGGTATGGAAAACTGCTTCAGGTTTCCCGGTGCTACCCTACTTAGTCGGGGTGCGCCTGCACCTTTTCCCCGGGTCTGTGCCTCTTTCATTGGATCCGATCATGTCGTGGAGAACTTCTCACTCATATGGCTTCGAGAAAATGTACAATACTGCCCCCAAAACGGGCTCTGGCTAAGAAATGCTTCGAAAAAGGACAACCACCGCTTCACCGTCTACTGATGGTTATGAAACAAACGTACGCGTCTTGCTTCTTCACCTATCGGACCTCTGATTCTGGAGCTCAATGGTCTCATTGTATGACTTGGAATGTCCATTAGCGGTTCCATTCGCTCTGTGGCGGTCATTTTCGTCGTCGCTCTCTTCGGCCAGATCAGTCAATCCAAATTCGGCACCGGCCTCCTCGTCGTAGGCCCTCATAAGGCCGGTCGTATCACCGTGGCGGCTACCAATGCTCAATCGAGGGTCCTGACTTCTGCGGGCTTGCATGCTCAGACGGGTCTGAATGGTTGAGACCATGTCCGTGCCCATAGCATCCGAACCACCACGGCCAGCAATGAGGTGGTGTCCGTTTGGGTCCAGTCTCGAAAGGTTAAGCAAGTAAACACCAGTGAAGGTGACCAAGAAACCGCAAATCAGAGAGATCGTGTTGACGGTATCAGTGGTATTGAAGCCACCAAACAGGATGAAGGAGGCGCAAAGGGTCGCAGTCGTAAACGTCACGTAGTAGAGGGGGTTAACGCTATGTGTCGCCTTGTTAGCGCAGCCAGTGGATGCCCGATGATTCGACTTACATGTTTGTGGGGAACTGGGCAAGTGCTTTGTTGAAGTAGTTCATTTGCGTCAAGATGCAAACGGTCGTCAAAATCATAAAGACGTATGTCGATGGGTGGGAAAACTGGTTGTTTCCGGCGAAAGTGAGCTTTAGGGCAATTCCGAAAGCTTTCACTGACATGACAGAGATTGAGCCGACTGTCGAGCAGATGGAGAGGTAGATGAGCGCGTTCTTCTTCCCATGGACCGGCGCAATCTTGTAGATCATGACAACGGCGAAGACAGAGACCACAAAGGCGTACAGCAGGAAGCCTGGCATGCTATTAGTTTTCATCAGACCTTTGCCAGAGGGCCGCACCAAACTTACCTGGCTGGATGGCATAGTGTAGAATCTGGTCAATGGTCTGGATGTCCTCATCTGGGGGTGCGTGAAGCACAATGATGACTGCGCCGATCAGACAAATGGCACTGCCGAGGCGGCCCAGAGTACCAAGCTCTTCCTTCAAGAAATAAGAGCCCAGAACAGCTCCGATCAGCACAGACAGGGCTCCTAGAGGTGTAACGAGAATCGCAGGTGCAAAGGCATAGGCGGCGAAGTTGCATATTTCTCCCATGACCACTGAGCGCGAGTTAGCGACGAGGCGCAAATATGGTCACGACAGATATGGCTCACATGTTGAAATGCCGGCCCACCATACCGGACTTTTTAGATAAACGAAGCCATCTCCTTCAAACCCATGGCGTTCTTCTGCTTGCATGAGACCCTAAAATCGAGTGTCAATTCGGGTATCGATCGACGACAACATTCGTCTCAAGTCATCCGCAACTTAAGGATCGCGTACCTTTTTTGTGATCACAAAACTGATACCTGCAGGTCAAGCACAATTAGCGACACTATGTCAACAGGTCTGATAAGCACCAGATACATACCAATGGCTAAACTTGATGCCATGGCCAGAGCCAGGCCAATGTATCTGCGCGGTCGGACTGTCAGCGAACCTCGATTCTCAAGACCAAGCGGACGACGTGTTGGCATGGTGTGAAAACAGGGGCTCAATAGGCCGGCTGGAGTCGCAAACGTACTTTTCGTCCATCATCATCTTTCCGAAACTGGACGGTCGATAGCGACGGAGAGCGAAAAGAGCGTCGGAGAGACAAGGCGTGTGCGCCGTGGCGAAGCGGTCGCTAAATGATAATGTCGTGTCCCGTAAATGGGGAGCTGGCAAAGCTCGCGCCGGGCGAGGAAGAGTGAGGGAGAGGTTGGAGGAACGATTCGGAGGTCGTCAGCAGCGACACATGGAAAAGTGAGGTGACTCGAGAAACTCTGGACTATTGAGAGGGCCGAGTCGCAGAATGGTTGGCTGTCGTTGATGGGTCGTGGACGTCGGCGTCGAGTTGGGGTCTCTTCGAGTCGAGGAAGTCGTCGAGGTCTCGTCGTAGGCGGGTTGAGTCGGTGGTTTGGCGTAACTGGGAAGCCGAAAGGGGGAGGGAGACTTTGTTTCGTGGGATTTTGGAGGTAAAACTGTGAAGCTGGCGGTACGTAGGGTGACAGGTTGGAGCAGATCAGGTACTTCGCGCAGATTGATTTGCACAGCAGGCCTGTAAGTCGAGGACAAGGCAGGGCACGGTATCTGTAAGGTAATGAGGTGGTAGCGGCCAAAGGCGGGTGGTTCTACGTAGTGGGTAGGTGCGTGGTGTCGAGGAATGCCAACCAGCCAGATAGGGACAGGTTTGAGTTTCAGAGGGCCCCCTGCGAAGAGTGGGAAAAGAGGTGCCCTGTTGCAAGTCACAGGTGTGCGAACCCAGGTGGTAGGGTACTTCTTCAGTTGTACCTTTGGCCGAAAATGTTCCTGGATTGGCCAAGAGGGTTTGATGCTGTGATAGGGTCCCTCTTTCTCTGCACGAGGAACTCGGCTGCGCACCAGAGTTGTTGAGTGCGAGTGGACACCTTTATCGAGCTTGACACTGGCACCGACAGAGGGTCGACACGAGGGGCTGAGGCCGAAAGGGACAGTCCAGTCCAGGTGAACTACTTAGCAAATGGTGGAGGCCGCGCACGCTGACCCGTACCGGGGGGGAGGGGGCGGCGTTGGCGACGGACTATGAACGACAAGGACACACTGTCCACTTTTAGGAGGGATAGCCACTGATGCTGATGCTGATGCTGATGCTGATGCTGATGCTGAAAGCTGCTCAGCCTGCTCCTATGAATGTACAAGAGTAGCGGGGGGGATGAGGTGACGGAGGCCGCGGCAAAAGCGAGGTGGTGTGTTTTAGCGTACTGCAGGATGAATGGGAGGAGTCCAGTCCAAATCCGAGATGGCTGTTGGTTGACAACATTGCAGCACTGTATTACCCCCGTAGTTCCCCCATGCCGCCTGTGGTTGGCGAATTTTTGACGGACGATGGGTAGAATCAAGATGGAACGTCCCTCGCATGCGATTTTGGACGGAAGCCATCTTCCTGACACAGACAAATTCTGCAGGGACGCCAAGTCTCTGGGCTGAATTTTATTCCCTTTTGTTCGCCTCTAATGCCTTCTAGACACACAGAAGACCACAGGACACATTCTTCCATACCATGGTTTTTCTTGCATCATTGCAATTGTCCCCCCAGAACCAAGGCACAAAAGACAGGCGTCTAGCCCGTGGATTGAAGTCACAAGTGGCCAGGGGTTCAGAACTGGCAATTGGGTCCCTGGGTTCGCCTTCGACTCTCCGACAGGGGGTCACCGTTTGGTGAGCCTGGGAGGTTCCGCAAGTCTCTTGGGGTCTCCGCAGGGAGTATGTTGGTAGCACTTTCCAGTGTCGGCGCTGAGGGGTTCGAGGGGGGGGCTGGACTTGTGGTTACATCTGGGCAGCGCCAGTGTGTGTCAGCTAATTAGCGTCAGAAAGGTCACTCACCCACTACTCAGGAAAAGGCGGGATACGTTCTCTTTTCGGCCAACTAACCTAGCCGCCCAGTACATTGAGCAGCGCCCACCCCCGTCAAAATCTCCATACGAGATCGATCCCTAGGCACAATCGGCATTTCTATTTTTTCAACATCAACCAGCCAAGTGGGGTTGTTGAAACCGCTTCATTACGAATGACACCGTCCAACCCGCTTCCCTCCTTCCCTCTTGACACGACCAAACAGGCTCCTCTTTAATTAAACCACAGCCACATCCTTCAATACACACAGTACCTTCGTCGTCATCGCCATCGGGACCGGCAAGCACTGTCCGTGCAAACTTCCGCCTTGCCTGACTCTGAGCTGAATCCTGTCTAGTAGCATGTAAATTTGCCATTACATGAAAACATTTGTTCCATGGGGAGGAAGAGAAGAAAAAAAAAATATAGAGCGAGCAATATTGAGGCGCAATATGCTCATCGTCGCTTTCCAGTTCACGCAGATGTGGCCCTAAGACATCATCCTTCCCTTGCCACATCTTCCTTCGTCCCCAGATTTCCCTTTCAAATCTCGGAAACAAAGATCGTACTACGTAGTAGCCCCCGTTGACAGCTCGTTTGTTCATTCTCTTCCCAGTCGCCCATCATTCACCCCCATTTCAACAATCAATGCGGCAACGCGGCCGCCCGGGAACCGCATAAGGAGAACGGTTGTCGAAACAAACTGCCATAACATCTCTGCTTTTAAGGGCGGGACAGCAGCACAGGGATTCCCACACTTGTAAACGAGTCGAGGCCCCTCAAAGGGAGACAAAAGTCTATCCAGCACACCATCACCCTGCGAACACCATCGCCAACTCGTCTGCATAAGTACTAGTAGCTGGCATTGGATTACCTGCTTGACGAGAAAAATTAAGACAATGCCCGAGCTTCTATTAACCCTTTTCCATACAGACGCATCATCGCCTTAAGCCTTGATGCCCCTGTCATTTCTGGCTCGATTATAATTTTGAACTCTATCACCAATGAAATTTAAGTCAAACATAGGATGAAGGAAAAAGTTAGCATTGTGAACACCTCAACTTGTTGCCGTAGATCATTGCCCCATCAGCCAGCCGTCTCATCTTGACCAGCTCGCCAAGGCGCTTCCTCATGAGCGTATCTTTAACTGAACATGAAGTGCTTCTCCTCTCGGGTACACCTAACACAAAGACCGTCAAACACATACTGTTTGATGACTGATGTCCGACGACTCCAGTCGTCTGTTCGCAGCCTACAGTCTCATCGTCCCATTTGTGGTAGAATGCCATACACTCACGTAAGGGAACATATGGTGCCGGGCCGTAGGTCCACCCGTAATCAAGAAGACACTGGCTTCGGAGAATGACTCGCCTGTTGTGACATATCAAGCTGAAGCCATACAGTCCATTCACCCTTATTACACAAATTGCGAGTTCACTTTCATCGCAGATTTAATTATATTGAAGCAAGTCGTTTGCGAGGCGGTTAAATAATTCGATCTGGCAAACTAGTGTGTCAACATGCCTAGGCCTTCTAAGCAAGTACCCCCAACGCTACGCTGAATGACTTGTTCGCCGAGCAGACTAAATAACATACTCAAGTGCTGGTTTTGCCCAATACTCTTCTGAAAAGGCAGCCATACATCACCTTGCTAAGCAGGCCTGTTGACAACACCAGCGTCTTTGGAACGTCCCCAAGACGGCCTGCTGCTGTACAAAAAATACCAACCCAGTCTTCGGGTCACCCGCCACTTTAAAGCCTTTTTATACGCCAGAAATCCATCAACATCGCCAGAGAGCAGACGGGGTATCGAGAAGATTCAAGGAACACTGTTAAAAGCGTATCGTCCAATCAATATGTCAGGAAAGTGCCTGAACATTTGCAGTCATGAAGTAAAAAGCTTTGGGTCAGTGAGAAAATCATAATCACAATCCTACCTTGATGTAGACTTTTAGGAGTCTACTCTTTGCCATGTATTTCGTATTTTGGTCGGCCGGTTAGTCGATCGCACCGCCGATTGCTGTGCCGAACATCCGCCGATACCATCAATTGTGGCACTGGAGAACTCGACAGACCTATATTCGGTCGTATCCAAAGACACACCATGAGGTTAGTTGAAGGTTGACGGAAGCTCAAGGGCGACGACGCTTGACGTCTGTGTTGTTACTGGTGTTAGTCTATCGATACAACTTAAGTCTTTTGCAGGCATGGAGTGTACCTTTCTCAGCTTCCTCTTCTAACAGGTCGTCCGCAACTGATCGAGGGCGTTTGCCAGCGACCAAAGGGGACTCCGACACTTCATTGTCGCCTTGACCAGGGAACTCTCTCCAATCTATCTCCGCCAATTCGTCATTGTCCACCCCGGTATTGGTGCCAGTGCCTTCATTCTCAGGCATGTCGATGTTTAAGTCAAGCTCGTTATGTTCGTATGTGGTATCATCACCACTCAAAGTTGACGTTGCGCTGGTGTTGTTAGGTGTTACCTTATCCGCTGAGCCTTCATTGGTGCCTTCAGTGATCTGGCCCACAGCGGCTGTATCGTCTTCGCCATCCGGCCAATGCTGATCGTCCTCAACGGCGTTATGTAGATCTGCTTCTTCCGTGTCTCCACTGGCAAAGGAATGAGAGGCTTCGATTTCTGTGACTTGGATGGAATTGTCAGCATTTGTTATTAGAGAAAAGCCCATGCTAGAATCCAAAGCAGCAGAATGCGAATGATGAAAACGAGAATGAGATATGACATCCACGGGACCATCTAGGTGTGGAAAACCAAGTAAGGTCTGCCGGTTATGTCGAGCATCCTCTCTTGTCATCTGTATCGGCGATGCGTATGCGACATTGCTATCTTCCACCACCCGCTCTGTGGTGAAGGGCGATACACAAAGGTTGCAAATGCAGGGCTGAGGGTAAAAGCAGGGAGTAACTAAGGAAGAGCCGGATTTACCATTTCTGTCAGATGTTTGGGGCTCTTGATCCTCCATCAGATCTATCATGCTGTTTCCAACAAGGTCGATGTCCGCAACCGCCGTAGACTCGTCCATGAGGGAAAAATCTGTATCCACCATGGTTGTCTCGGCATCCAGGTCATCGGTGACTATGACTTCTTGATTGAGGGTGTCATCGCCAGCAGGATCGTGAACTTGAGTGGCATCCTCATCCTCTTCGGCATTGCTGGCACCAACATCAGCATCCTTGTTGAATTTATCTTCTTCGAGTTGATCTTGTTCTTCGACTTGATCATTCTCATCGGCTTGATCGTCTTCATCGACTTGACTGTCTTGCCCAACTTGGCCCTGTCCATCCTCTTGATCATCGCGCGCGCTTTCGCCAGGTGAGTTCGGCCACGCAGTAGCATCAGCGTTGTCTTCTTCTCCGATCATACCAGTTAAATCATCCATTATGTCAGGTTCATCCGCCTCACTGTGTGCCTGAGATGCGAAGTAGTAGCTGACCTCGTCAAGGCCCTTGCCATTGTACGCATCGTCAACGAGCGAAAGCCAGCGCTTTTTACAGTTTGGCCTCGTTACTAGTAGCGCATATAACGGCTTTGATGCTTCAGGATCTTGGTTCTTGACGAGTGAATCAAAAACTGAAATCACCTGACCAAGAGTAATGTCTGAGATCTCATCTGGCTGGGTAGACTTCGAGGATGTTAGAAAAATTCCCACGTCAGATGTAAAAGGACTTACTTCAGCAAACTCAAGCCCCAACTCGTCGATCTGGAACACGAGTTCGTCGAAGGGGCCTAACTCGTTGGCAAGTTCCCGACGAAAACCTGCCAACACACCCTCCATCTTGCAGTGCAGAAGTGACAGATCATCGAAGAAGCACTCCTTGCCTGCGCTATCGGGCGAGTTATAGAAGAAGGGGTATTCAACGCCCTTGTATGAAACCGTAATGACTGGAATATCCATGTCCTCATTCGATGGCGTATCAATAGACTCGGGGGATTGCATATTGGCAATCACCTCATCTTCATAGTCCATGTGTTCGTGAACTGAAGTATCGTCACCGGTCGCCGCATATTCTTGTCCATCATTTGCCAAGTCATCAATATTCTGGGTATCGACATCATCTCCAACATCGATTGCAACGCCGTTCTCGGTTTCATTCTGGGAAGCAGGATCAGGCACTTCGACCGTGTTACGATCTTCGACACCTTCATCTGTATGGGCGTGGCTGGCGTTCTCTTGGTCGAGATCGTAGCTTTCTGGTTGCGCTTCGATGTCCTCCGCTGAAGCATCAGCAGGTGCGTTGCCATCTTCGAAATAGTCTATTTCGTGCAAATCACCATCCGCCTCTAGATCTTGAACGTCGTTGGCTTGCTCCTCAAAAGACGAGTCGACATCTGGCACAGCATTCTCTTGAATATTGATATCGGTAGCATCAGCATTGCCGCCTACGGAAGCAACAGATGTTTCTTCGCCCTCATAATACGTCTGTTGCTCTTCATCTACCAAGCTCTCAGAAAAGTCCGCGTTCTCCGCGGCGTTCGTTTCTTCGTCGACTAGTTGCCAGTCGCTCTTTTCAGAATAAAGGTGGCCCGCGCCCGAGTTTTCAACCGGTCCGTTGTTGTTATTGTTATCTTCCCAGCTTATTTCATTTTCGTTGAAGATTGCCGATTTAGGTTCTTGAGTGGCTTCGTTGATCGGAATGGCGCTCTCGTCATTGTTTGTGCCAATGTGGTCTTGCTCATTACCCTCGAGCTGGGCATCGCTAGACACACCAACAGGCTCAACCGCATCTTGTGCATCCATCGTTTCCAACGATCTTTCAGTGCCCCCAGATGCACCAGCACTGAACTGAGCGTTGGCCGAGAATGAGCTATGGTTAGGGCCATTCGCGGTAACCGCATCATCTTCGGAGTAATCTATGTACTCCTCAGGGTGCTGAGCTTCAAAGCTCAAGGACGGGATCGCTTCGGCCGCCATTTCCAGCGACTAATAAGCCGAATCGCCAAATGTTCAACAAGAGGAGATGAGCTGTCTGTATCTAAAAGGTATTGTGCTTGGGTTGTTGACGAAGTTGAGACCGTGGGTTCGGTTGCCTGCTCTGACTTGATGGAATCCAACAGGATGGATCGGAAAGGTACGGCGTTGGTTATACAGAATACTAAAGAGGTGCCTTGATTAAATAGAAGGTCAAAGGGAAGCTCTGTGAGGCCAAATACGAGAAGTCATATGCCCTGGAAAGAGGGATGGCATGGGACAAAGAGTAGAGATGGATGGCAATGGTGAGGCCAAGCAAGGCATATGCAGTGGAGTTGACTGAGGCGCGTGGAAATTTAAAAATGGCCCAGGCACCACCCCTCTACGTTCCTTAAGTGCAGCTTGACGCGCCTTCTCAAGGTAGCGTCGACCTTACCCTTTTCGGTCTAGACAGAGCCGCTGTACGTAAGGATTGGGTGGTCCGTGCACTGGCCAGATTCACACATTCGGACCTCAATATTCAAGCTCCCTATGTCAATGTGGTCCCGTCCCTCCTCTGGCCTGGGACCTTGAGTTGAAGTTGCGACAGCCACCCAACATCACCAATTCGTTTTACATCTGCCACAGCACTCCGTCCAAAATGGTGAAAACTACCTGCCACTCACTATTCCCACGGTGTTAGGATGCTGATTCGTCTAGGTTGTCCTCGCAGCGTCGATCTGCACCCGAGGCGGGAAAGCTGTCCTCTCCCGCCAGTTCAGGGAGATGCCACGATCTCGCATCGAGGCGCTCCTCGCGTCCTTCCCGAAGCTGGCCGACAGCGGTACCCAGCACACGACCGTCGAGCAAGATAATGTACGCTTTGTCTACCAGCCATTGGATGAGCTTTACATGGTTCTCATCACCAACCGCCAATCCAACATCCTCCAAGATATCGACTCTCTGCACCTGTTTGCGCAGGTGGTCACTAGCACATGCAAGAGCCTTGACGAGCGAGAGATTCTGAAGAATGCCTACGAACTGCTTAGCGCCTTTGACGAGCTTGTGACTCTTGGCTATCGCGAGAACTTGACCATTAGCCAGATCAAGACCTTCCTCGAGATGGAGAGTCACGAAGAGCGTATCCAAGAGATCATTGCGAGAGTCAGTCATCCCGGTCATTGGCAGAGACGACGATGCACTAACTTATCCTACAGAACAAAGAATTGGAAGCCACTGAGGAGCGCAAGCGCAAGGCCAAGCAGCTGGAGATGCAGCGCAAGGAGTCAGCCCGCGCTGGCCGTATTGGCGGTGGAATGCCGAGGACCCCCTCATACCCGACCTACACCCCTCCTACGCGCCCGACTCCGACGGATACATACGATTCATACGAGGCTGAGAAGAACAAGACCTTCAACAAGTGAGTTTGACGTTGGCAGGCCAGTAAAAATAGACAGCAACTAACGCGACTAGGCTGAGCGCACCCAAGGGCAAGGGTATGCAATTGGGCAAGAAGTCCAAAACGACGGACATGTTTGAGCGTGTCCGTGGCGAGATGGGAGCAGAGGTCGATGATACGCCCCTAATTACACCACAGCCGGTTCACGCTCCCGAGCCTGCAGCGGAATCTCGTGTCTCTTCAACTCTCGACCGCGACGCCATTCATGTCGTGGTCAACGAAGCTATCAGTGCCAAGCTTTCGCGAGAGGGTGCTTTGAATTCCCTCGCGATAAGTGGTGATCTCAACCTCCGCATCTCCGACCCTAGTTTGACGAAGGTCAAGTTAAACTTGACGGCAAACGCATCTCACGGCGCCCAGTTCCGAACGCACCCCAACGTTGACAAGAACCTCTTTAACAGCTCTAAGGTTATTCAGATGAGCAACACTGCCCGAGGTTTCCCTACGAACCAGTCCGTCGGTGTGCTGCGTTGGAGAGCGGCGGCCAAGGCAGACGACACCAGCGCCTGCCCCATTACCTTCACCGTCTGGATCAACAAGGATGCGGACAAGTATAACATGACGGTCGAGTACGAGCTGACGGGTGGTGACACGCTAAAGGATGTCAGTGTGATTATTCCTTACCAGGCTAGCGAGCCGGTGGTCTCCAGCTTCGATGCTTCGTATGAGGTTTCCGGTGACTCTCTTGAGTGGAACATCGGCACAGTCTCAGAAGACAATCCGAGTGGATCGTTCGAGTTCGAGGCTGAGACGAATGACGAGAACGATTTCTTCCCCATGACAGTTAGGTTCTCTAAGACGACTCCTTTTGTGGATGTTGACGTAAGTGAAGGCTATCAAGTGCATAAATCTGGAAGTTGCTAACGCAGTGATTAGGTCATTGGTGTATCGTTGATCGAAGAGGATGAGGAGGTAACCTTCTCTAAGGAGATCAAGTCCCATGCGGACAATTTCTTGATTGAGTAGAAAATGGGCAGGCTACTTTAGACAAACGTGAAGTGGACTGGAATTCAAAAGTTGAGCGCCAGCCCAGGAGTTTCCGAGCAGCGGTTTTACTTACAATGTTGGGAGATACTGGCCATTAAGTGTGGCTGCATGAAATGAAACGTACCTTAGAAGGCAGGATGCGCATACCTTCTGTGAAAAAGAAGCTGTTCTGTTGCTGTTAACTTCGTGTTCATTGCTTGCCCTGCATCCAGTAACTGAGAATTGCACATTAAAGTTGGTGACTAGACACTGAAGGCACAGTGCCAGGTCCTTCATTTTCAGCGACTGATCTGCACCCCAGTCCACTAACAGATGCCCATGGTTCCCACAAATTAAGAACGAGAATGCAAGTGAGATATGTGTGAAAGGCACGAACCTCAAAAAACCAGCAGGGGAACGCCAACACATTGAAGAATAGCACCTGCATGAGAATCTAGCCAACTTCCACACCACCTCAGAATCCGTCACAAAACATTTTCAACAAGGCTTGGTTGTTGCATTGTATCCCCCTCTACCTCATCAAAGAGCTTTCCCGACAGGGCCAGAAATGGTCCTTCGCAGAGGCATCAATCTTCCATCGTCACGAACAGCTTCGAGTTTTCGCAATGGCTGATCTCACACACCTTCAACTCTACAGCGAGACCAGGTACGACCATCGCGTTGCCGATGGATTTCCTTCCAGCAACCCAGCAGTAGATCTATCTGTTAGCTGGGATGCGTCAGGGAAAAATCTGCTGGTATATCGACCCAAGGACCAGGTCGTATCTAAAATCCACCAGTTCGCAAAGCCTGGCGAATCGGCGCCGGTGCCACAAGCCGTAAGATGGAAGCCTGATGGCAAGTATCTACATCCATGACGACTCGCGTTTAGCTTATTGACGAGAAACACAGGACAGTTTCTGGCGGTGGGTTGGAGTGATGGGTATGTGAGACTAATGGGACTAGAGAACAACAAAGCTGCACATCATATTCGCGTCGGCGGAGATTCCACAACTGCCCCCAGAATCACTCACATTGGCTGGTCGCGCAACGTCGTTGGAAAAATCCAAGCTAGCCACCAGCAGACAGGGCCTCAAGTATGGAAGAAGCTTATACCGGAGGAGTGGGATCTGCCGGGAAAGCCAGCCCCATTGGATCTGCCCCGGGAACTCGCGTTCTTGGAGGTCGACTCTGCTTTGCCCAAGATCAGTCCCTTGCCTACCGCTAGTGCTGGATCAGGGTAGGTCCGTTTGTCAGTCTTTAGAGTTCTAGACTGACCTTGATGTAGAGAAGACGGCCTCGTCTTTACGTTGCGGACTGGAGTTGAGTTCCTGTTCCAGCCCTTCAACATGGAAGACAGCGATCAAGTCTTCGTGATGGTTGTAGGCACAAGTGATGGCCGACTTCACCTAAGCATTTATGACTCCTTTGTCATTGGCGATTTCCGGTACACTCTTCCAACCTCCTTGTACAAGCCAGGCGTCTTGCAGCTCATGCAACATGCCTCGCATCCAGAGGTCTCGACACACTCGCTCCTGCTGAGGTCTTCGACCGACAATGACCCATCAGTGTACTTAGTCCCCATGGACTTGCCATTTATTCCCGCATCCCCTATTAACATTTCTCTTTTGGCCTCTAAGCTCACTACACTGCAAAAATTGCTACGATATGTGAAGCAAACACAGTTACACTTGCAGGTCGAGTACAGGAATACAAGGGAACTTCCCACAAAATTCCTGCGCAGTGTCGAAGGCGACCTGGAGCAGATGGCACGTGGACCAACAAATATCATCCAAGCTCTTTTCCACACAGTTGTCACTGGTCACGCATACGAGCCTGTTCGAGAGTGGCTAGTTGACAGTCTGGCTGAGCGTGTAAGTAGTTGACACGAGTACCCAGACAAACACCAAGACTGACAAAGCTGATAGGGCCACAAACGATGGGACAAAGCCGTCACATCAGGGCTTGAGAACTTGCGGGGTTTGGTCCACGAGAACCTTCTACCAGCTTTGGAACGATGCGCAATCATTCTCAGCCGTCTTCGAGGACTGGCCCAATTCTACGACTCTCGCGACGACATTGGCTTTTCCGTCGCCCAAATCACTCGGGCCATGGATATCGTCTCCTGCCTGACCATGGTGGGCCACAAGATACTCCTCAATGTAATGGATGAGCTTAATCTTTTCAATGCTTTTTCATCGTGGATGCGCTTTCAGATCGACCGACTCGCCGCCCCGGGTTCAGCTACTGACGAGTTGACGGAGAAGGAGGCTACGATGGAAACCAGCAAAGTTCTTGCTTACATTGAAGGTTATTTGATGCAAAGTCACATGGCCATTTTTCTCGATGAGGTTCCGAAAGACGATTACTCAAGTAACTGGGAGCGTGCTGAGAGTGGCGCGTCAATGCTTGACGAACTTACCACACAGCTTACCCGCCAGGAAGAGGGACTAGCTTACTTGAAGGCCTTCCCGAATGTAGGCTTCCTTGTGGACTATCTCACTGCTCGCGCGAACGGGATTTTTAAGGATATCGCCGAGGCACAGAAACGAAGTGTTCGCTTCGGACAGCCGACCAAAATCATTCTTGGAAGCAGGATCGCTAAAATAGACTCTACAATGTGCTCAGTGAAGACAGAGGTACCTCCAACAGTGACGCAGCGTCTGGTATTGGTTGCTAACAAGGTTCAAAGGACGGCGTTGACGGACTGTCATTCACCGCAGCAATCGCAGAGGGCCTTGATCAAGAATGCAAGTACTCTTTTCCGCGATGCGTCCTCTTCACTGGTCCTAACAAGTAAATAGTCTATATCTTCCGTACATCCATCCGCATAATCAACGGCATCAGCAGCAACGTCACCACAACCGTCTCAGCACTCTCCATAGAAGAAGGCAAAATCGTTGAACTTAAGTTCTTGAACAGCAACACGCTGGTCTTACTCGTGAGCAAACAAGGTATTAAGAGATATCTTCTACCATAATGTTTTCAACGTTTCTCACATGTTACTAGGACAAGCATCTAGCATCATCACTATTCCTATCCAGTGCCAAGCCCTCAATTACATACCCTACGAAGAGGGCAACCTTCCGGGGTACTCGCCACTCTCTGGGCGTCTCAGAGAAGAATGCACTGTAGCCACTCTATCCGAGGATCATACTTTCACGCCCGTGCAAATGGACATCCAGGATGCCACCAACGCCCGCGGCGAAATACCCGCACGAATTTGTCTTCTCGGTTCCAACCGGACCACGTACAAAGTTTTCGGCATCAATACTAAATCCATCTCGGGCACAACACCGGCCGAGACACCGCGACGAAGCGCTTAGAAGACGCCCGTGTCTGCCTCGCCGGGTAACATGTTTAAAGTACCGCCGAAGCGCTTCACACCGCGCAGTAAGAAGCGTATGGGTGTATTAGCATCCCTTCTAGAGACTTCCACACTGAATGAGCTGTCAAACATGCCATAGTCTTTGTGTTGGTAGAATACTGGAAGGCAAGTCCAACGAATGTGACAGGCGAAATAGAGAAATCAAATCAAATAATTCATTCGTAGACAAGACAGACGTACTTTACAAGCATGACCCCTAAGAACCACTGGCTCTTCTTTTGGTACTTCCCGCACTCCATCAGTCATCATTCAGATCTGCTCACTTTCTCGACTTGGTGATCTCAAAAAACTCGGTTACTCCCTGGACGACAGCCTCGACATTCATGTTAACGAGCGGCATTCGGTCATAGGAATCCTCCTTCATGATGGCGACAAGCGCAAGATACCTATCAACCTCGCGCAGCATAATGGGCCGCTGTGAGTCGTGTAGAACCATGCAGCTCTCTGCCCAGTTGCATGCCACCTGATCCTCGACCTTTGCATTCCACGGCTCAGCCTCGAGACGCTTTCGCTGGCCATCGGACCGCGGCCAAGATCCGTACACTTCGGTGATGTCGATAATCACATCAATGTAATCGGAACAGATTTCATAGCTCGCCATGTCCGCTGTTGCGGAGTCAGTGGCGATGTAGATCTTGGACAGTACGTCAAAGAGATACGCCTTTTCGAAGCGGCATGTACGACAGAGGTTGGTGAGCATGGCCTCGAGTGTGCCAAGCTGCGGGATGAGCTTCTGGATGACTTTTGAAAAGGCCTCAAAAATGGAGTGGTTGTAGATGGACGTCAGGTGGAACGTCACAGGCGCGTTCTCGAAGCCGTGATCCGACAGCTCATCCTGGATTCGGATGGTGATGTCGCGCTGGATATCGAGCTTGTAGTCATCTGACAGGCCGTCGACTTTGTGAATGAAAACCTCAATATTTATATTGGGGTAGAAACGTTGCAGGTTCAGGACAGTGGCGTTGAGGCGAGCGACGGCCTCGAGATAGTCATCCTGCGCGTCAATGACCCAAATCAGGGCACCGATCTCGCCGAAGATGGCGTCCATATCGAAATTTGGGTTCTCGAAGAAGTCGATCTGTCCAGGGAAATCCCAGACTTGGTAATCCATGAAGGATCTAGAGCTGTTAGTTGGCTATCTTGGGCAGGCGGGAAGGCATGTGGTTACTCACGCCATGGAGTCTTTTTGGATACGCGCTGTTGATTCAAGGAAGAGCGTTTCGTTCGGAGGAAGCTTGTGGAAGACAACACTCGATATTGAAGACTTGCCACTCCTTTGAGCAATCAATAAATTGTTTCGATGCTCAGTATTACGAATGTGTGCTCACCGTCTCTGGCCCATCAAGAGAAGTCTGGGCTTCCCTTTGCCTGGTGGCCCCATGGGAGCCTCCAGAGGCTTGCTCCCATCTTTTGTTGGCACTCCTTGAAGGCTCTGATTGTAGACACGCTGGAGCGTTAGTTGCGCTGGACTATAAATGACATCTTCACTTTTAATCCCTGTGCTGTCGACCACTTGGGACAGCAGGGATTCTGGCCATGTGACCATTTTGGGTCCTAGGCAACAAGTAATTATCCTTAGCTTTGTCCCTTCGGGACGTAGTCTCTGAATACAGCAATGCTGTGAATTGCAAATCTCTCACAGAGCTGTGGATATTTCTGCCACAACCTCAGAGGGCCTGAAACTACAAGACATAGGCTATATGTCTGCATAGGCCTTCAGACTGTAGGGACTCTTTGCCCGCTCTCGTTCAAGTCGCCCGCGGGCAGAGTTGCAGCTTGATAGGCCACAGGCCGAATACGACCGCTCCCGACGATTAGGCACAGCTGGAACCTGGCGTGAGGCTAGCGCATCCTCCTAAAAGATGAAGCCGCACTCGCCTGCTCAAATCCCTGCGTATTGCGAGACTAAGACGCTGCGCGCGCTGATCTCACCGTCACACAAGACCAGCATCATCCACAACAACAGTGACTCAGCCCTTCTGGTTCATATGACGAGGTCGTGACTCGACCACTCGTCGTACATAAGTCCTGGCCCTGCCTGGCCATCGTTGATAATAGTGGCGCGGCTGGCATAAGCTGACAAATTTCCAGCTGTGAAAGGAGCCTGCAGGAAATTACATTAAGTTGACAGAAGTCGTCTTCTCTGGCAGAGGCTCAAGTCAAGCGGCGAAGCCCTATGCTGTCCAACTCAGGTGACGGGTCTCATGAGTAGAAATCTTCTTGAGGCACAAAATGAAAGATATTGGGAGATGTAGCAGACGTGATGAGGTAGAAGTAAACAGTAAAGAAATAGCTGATGTCTCACCTCCATCTTCAACTTCTGAGCCTCAATACGCGGCTGAACAAGGGTGGTGATATGACACAATACCGCTGAAAACAATTCCGCCGTCGTTCGTCGAGGAACAACTCTCTGCCTGCAGCAACAGCGCTCAGTAAAGTTGCCCCGTAACCGCAGAGACCGACGAAGGATGAAGAAAAGCTGCCAACCCCAGCTAAAAGCCTCGACCACAGGGTAACTAATTCGTCTAGTAAATCAAAGAAGCAGCCCTTGAGATGGAAGACAATTTATGGTTGTCGTTAGAAATTCGTCCGCAGGACCAGTTTACGCCAGCCTACTACCGTGGTTAACTGTCGGAGGTCACTAGTAGTCGCAGCTGTGGAGTGGGTAAGGCGAGTGACGGGGTGAAGCAATTGGCAGGTGACCACGGGAGTGGAAGGATAATGCAGTAGCGGCGATAAGATAACGATCCGGAAGTGCAGTCCAATTAGGAACCTTGGCTGCTTGGGGTGCTTGGGTCCTCCTGAAAGCCCAATTTAATAATTAAGCGAGATCACATCCCTGCCCATCTACTCCATCTCACTCCACCTAAATCATCATGATGGCCAACCTTGCCAGGTAAATTGTACCTTGATGAAAATACGCAGCACAAGTAAACTTTGCAGACTTGTGTGGAATATCGACAGACTCGCTTTGAAGCTAGTAGTAGTCTTTGGGGAAGCCCCGGATTTACGTTTACATAAAGGTCAGCTCTCTGAATCATTGAGGGCGGTTTATAAGAGTAAATAAAGGTATAGTTAACGAATGCTTTATGGCCGAGTAAAGTTGGCTCCAAAGTCTATGAAGCTATCTTACTCCTACCCATGCCCGGATTACTAGAAAGTACATATACTATAGTTGACTAGTATCCCCAGAATGCAACTTAAAGCTACCGCCCAGGCAGGCTGTGATATGCAGAACTCCAAGTTCTACTTCCCTTTTTCTACGACACAGTGCTTTCGGTGCTTCCAGCCTCCAGGATTCCAATTTAAGTCGCCACTGCCTCAATCCAACTAAATAGCAATACAAAAGAAATATTAGGATAAATTTCGTCGTAGATTTAAGTCGTCTAGGAGGAGGCTGTAGATATGGCCGTCTTAGGGGAGCGGGAGAACAACGAGCTGACGAAGTTGCCCTTACGCTTTGTCTTCTTTGGGGGTGTTAGGTGGCTTTGGTTGATAGAAGATGTCTCAACCTCCTTGGTAGGTACCTCTCTCTTCTCATCTATGCTGGTAATGTTCTGGGCGTGTTGCTCGGGAATGGGAGGAATAGAAGGCGCATCAGTTGCGCTATGAGGAGGGGTAAGCTCATTGATGGCCATGGAGGTATCCTTTGGGCCTATCATGGACGTTCTTTTGAAATCGAAGACAGAGCCCTTCCTGGTTCCAACAATGGATCCATGTCGAAACGCAGACATGGACTAAAAAAAATTAGCATGACTGGCTTATATTGCTCCTATTCCTGGTGACTTGCCTTGCCAGCGATGCTCTTGCGGTTACGGGCACGACGCTCAGCAATAGTCTCCTCGGCTTCACCCGTTACCTCCGCAATCTGGGATGCAGTGGTCTTGCCGTTGCAGGCCATGTTCTCAGCAGGAACCTCAACGAATTTGACATAGCCTCGAGCGGGTGAGACGCCAATAGATTCGTGTAGGTGTTTCTGAAGCAGAGCAGCGTTTCTCTTATTCTTGGTGATGCCAACTTCATTAGTCAGAGCGTGCACAGCCAATGTGTAAGCTGGCTCGAAGGTGCCCCCAAACAGCATGCAGGCACCGTGCTGCAAGTTAACCACTATCGAAGATACTGGTCGCTGGTACCTGACAGAGAGCTGGTACGAAAAGTCGGTGATAAAGCTAAATTCGTCACTGATCTCGAGGGGTGTCAGTCACAGTGACATTTGTGTGAATGCAACAGGTACGACCTACGATCACGTTGGTACGAAGCTCAGCCATAACAATGGCTTCGCTATAGACGCGGTCCTTGACAACATTGGACTCTCTATCCCCTTGGAAAGCCTCCTCGTAGTATGAGCTACGGCGCTTGGCCATTTCGGTCTGTGTCTTGGACTTCCGGTTGTTACGAATGCCATCGCCAGGAAGTGAGTGGTTGACGTCCCTCGTTAATCCATCTCCTCCTCTCTCGACGATAGGGGCCGGCGCGGTAGACGGACGGCGACTCATCTTTCGGTCGCCGTAGGTAGAGAATCTGTTAGAGTTGGGTGCGATAGAAACCCGCTTGTTTTCGGGTGTGACCGGCGTGGAAACGACCTTATCGGTATTGAGGCTGGCAGCAGTGGTGGAAGGGTTCGGGGGGGAAGCTGGCGGGGAGAGTTGGTCGGCCATTTCTGCGACGTCTGTGAGGGCAGAACTTGAGATAAAAGGCGGACTTGGGAGTGCTTGGAGCTCGTGGGGGGCGTATTAGACGTATTCGGCTTGAAACGGCGTCTTACTAGCAGCGGCCGTGTTAGTCTCCTTCTCACCAACGCAGAAGTCTATTTAGCTTGACACGTACCGAAAGCGGCTCGAACGAATAACTTTTCACAAACAATTCCAACAAATTGAATCGAAGTTGTCGACTAGAGCCCCCTTGGACTTGGCGCAATGTCCTCAGCTGTCAAGCTATGAGAGTGAAGACAACTCGTGCACTTTGAAGCCCAGAGCTTTTCGTAGTAAGGAGATGGCGAGTGCCAGAAACGCAGGGTTGCAAGAGGTTGAAGGAGGGTCCAACCACCAGAAAACCGAGTTGCTGATATTTCCTTTCCCAATGTTGGTTCTCACACGCAGACAAGATGTGGCAGTAAGGATATGTTGTGAGAAGAAATTGTAAGTTTCGAGGGTTCAGCGAGAGGGGAACAGCTGGACGATCGAACCAAAAGGGAGTGTGACTGCATGTTGTTTAAGGGGACTGTTATATACGAGCAAGGACTACAGAGGTGTTGCTGGCTGTAGCCACAGTGCACCGCAAAGAGCTATGAGGGGCCACCAGGAATGGTTGAAAACGGAAGCAGCCAAGGCTCGATGCGCACCTCGTCTTTCTTTGCGCTTGACGAGCCCGGTTTCAATGCAAGACAGGCCGATCAGTATGAACGGAAGGAGGAAAGATAGAGAAAGGAGTCGGGCTGGACTGGGCTGGATTGGACAAACTTAACTCACCTCCTCTATCTCGGTCTCAGTTTGCCTCTGCTTTGCTCGCCTCCCCCAAGGACCAATGCTTGTCTTCTTGCCCCACGATCAACGAGCCGTATCCATTTCTGAGCTTCCTTGCTCTGCAAATGCGGCGACGAGAGATTGGTAAACATGTTGTCAAGGACTACCCTCGGCTTGCCGAAGCCAACGGGGAAATAGAAACATCGCTGCGATACTCAGCCGCCAGCACCTGGACCATCACTGAATTGTCTGATTAAGGGTTCTTCCCATCTTAGTTGCGACACTGAGATCTCTTCGAGTGTAGCACACGACACTGACTGAGATGTATCCGGCCGAATCCCTGCTACAAAGAGATTCGCTGTGTTTCCATCAGACAGGGGCCTTCCTGTTGCCAATGCCAAAGCGGCGTAGCATAGAAGACATCGTCGAGGGCAGCTTCTACACTAGAGACGGGGTAGGTAAGCACCTAGACATGGCAGGGTCCAAGGACCATTCGGTCGTCTCTTGGGCACATGGCGGAAACCCAAATCGGGCTACTGCCATTTATCACATCAAATAGAGTGGAATAGCAGGGCAGCCAACGGCATACAGCAGGAAGCTCCTCGGCCAGCCGCATGGTAGACGGAGCGTGGCATGGCGGCGACATTGACATATCGAGCGTTGTTTGCTGTTTTCGCGTGGATTGCGGGTCGTGTGCTTGCTCCTTTCTGGCACATTTGGACTTCCAAGACTGCTCCAACGCGCTCCTATCGTCTGATTTAGTTGTCCTTCGGGCCGTCACTTGACTGAGCCCAGAGATCCATGGCGAATCAAGACCTGCCCAGGCCGTGGCGGGGAGAAAAAGATGGGACGGTATGTACATGTTTCCGGGGAATTGTTTACTGCAGGGACGACCTGGTCCTCATCTCCCTAAGCATCAAGGGCATGCGAGCTCGGAGAAATAGCGGGGATGGGGTTCTGCTGGGGCTGTTGTTGGTGGGCTAGAATCCACTACCAGGGACCAAAGCGGCGTTTGTCCAGTTGCTCGGTAGCCTCCAGCACTTGTAGCGGGACTTGGTGGTTCATCTGGACCACTACCAATTTTACCAGCACCTCTACAGCTCATGAGTGAGAGGTCTGTGTCCCCTCTTGTGGCTTGGAGGCGTTCCACTGAAATTTGATGGGAGCCGCCCTAGACATCATCACCGAGGGGGGGGGGGTTTCCAAGTATTTAGCCGGGACAAATGTGGCCTTGACCTGGTGGGCCTGGGCTTCAGTCACCCAAGGGAAGGATCATCAATTTGCCATCATGCATGTAAGAACCTAGTCTTGCTTCGTCGACCGCATACCCTCTCCAGCAGGTCAAACCCTCATTCGAAGCTGATAAAGTGTACCTGATCGTCGGGACGACGGCACAAGCTGAAATTTTTGCATCGTGACGCACCGTCCGCAAACAGCTATGGCCTTGAGCTCAAAGCTGCCTGGGCCCCCCTCTCATATCTGCATTTGTCCCAGTAGGGCTCAGGTGGACCACTTTCGATACCCTCCGTGGCTGTAGGCTAGTATTTTCACTGATATTCGCTGCTGCCGAATGCGGCCGCAATCTGGTCGTTTCTGAGTCGACCAAGAGGCAGCGCTGGAAATTGAACAATGGATCAATTTCGGATCGACGATGGCAATCCGCCCATCAAAAAACCTCGCAAGCTGTGTAGACAGTGACGAAGAAACTACCCATAAAAGAAAACCTTACTGTTTAGTACACATGTGACGCGGCTAAGCCCTGCCGCTCTCTCTCTCTTTTTCTCTCTGTCTTCATGTCTCTTCATCTATCTCACAGTTTTGGGGTTAACCTGAACGCAAAATCCAAAGCAGCGCATACGGCACATTTTCGTCCGTTTATAGTAAATTCTCCCTATACTCGTCCCATCAACTAACGCCCAACAGCCGCCAGGATGGCAAAAAATCTCCCATCTTACCGCGGTTCCGGCCCGGTAAGCTAGTTGTCCTCCCCTTCAATGTCTCTGACCGACGAGGGTGCCGGGCTTCCGGACTTGCGCCGTCCTTGAACAACACCGCTGGCTCTGCTAAGGTTCTTCTCAAGAATAATCTGGTACGCACCAGCTCCCAAGATGATAGCCTCGACCGGGATCAGCAAGATGGACAGGTAAAGACCGGCCTTGCTTTGCTTGCATAGAGTTCCGAAATGTGGTCGCGTCATCATTACCACATCGGACCAGCGGCAGCTCCAGCTCTGGAGGGTATCTACTGTGGTCGAGGCGTTGATCCCGTAGAAGAAGGACATGGCAATCACGGCAGCCACTAGCCCAATAGCCGGAGCAGCCATAGTTACTGAGTTGTGGATCATGGTTTTCCCGCACAACTTTTCCGTATTAGCTCAAGTTCATGTCATCATACTTCATCTTGTCCAAGTGGACGATCTGCCTGACTTACAAACTGTACTCGACTGAAGATCAGCGAGACCAAGTTGACGACAATGATAATGGAGCTGCCGGCGACCAGAGCTACTGTCGGGCGCAAATCGAAGGCATCTGGCCAAAGCGGAAGCAGGAAGCTGGCAGGGACATGGGTTGCGTCGTAGACTGCTAGAGCATCTGCTGATACGCCGAGAATGGTGATACTTGCAAGAAAAGCAAGAGTAGTCAAGCTGATTCTTGCGGCATCAACTGTCTTGAGGAGGTGGGCTTTTGGTGCAGAATGAGTGTCTTCGGGATCGACCTCGAAATTTGAGATTTGGGGGACGTTTTTCATTTCTGAAGACATGATGGGAATAGAGACTGGCCCGCAAATCTTCTCGGGTGAAACAAATTAAAGAAGATAATATGACAAAAATTGTAGGCCGAAGACAGTGGTAAAGGAAATGAGACGTAGGAAATGAGAAATAAAAAGCGAGGTATTGATTATGCCATGTCCAGTCTTCGAAAGGGGGACTCTGTCGCATACAAATACGACAGACAGGAATCAGTTAACCGCTTTGCGCCGCCGGAGAAGGCAGCGCGTAAATCTAGTCAAACTCTGGGGTAATTAGATGCCGTCTAAGATTATCATTACGAGCGTTGCGCCGATGCAAGATAGCCGCGCTTGCAACGTTTGGAGGTGCCGAATTGGAGATGATCAGGGACCCTGCAAGAGCGGTTCAGCAGCGGATTGGTTAGCTGTCCTCCAATGCCGGTCCCATTTTTGGTCATCCTGGGCGCTTAGAAGCGGGAGGGCCTGTGATAAGACCAAAGGAGGCACGCTGATATCCTTAAATAAATTGAAATACTGACGGCTATTCGCCGGTCATGAATAACATCACGATGAAGGGTGCTTTGGGACAGGGATGAGACTTTGATGGCTTTTTCGGTTGCCGCCGTCAAAAGGTGATCCGAAGATTAAGCTCACGTCAAGCGGGATGTGTGGGGTCAAAGGCCTTAGGAGATGATGGAACAGAGCAGCGGACTGAGTTGCTGAATAAGCGGTGCTTTCATCAAGTGATATGTCACGTGATTTTAGTTAAGCCATTGATTAGCGTCAAGTTTTGCTGGCTTACTATGTATGTATGCTCCAGACGGGACGCAATCTGTTGAATAGGTCCTCGGAGCCGTTCAATCCCGTGGTTACTTTCGCCAATGCCGAAACAAGAAATTTGCATCTTCGTATATGCATCAAACAGTTTATGGTACCTGGTTCTACTCCAGTTGTTTGAGGTACACAGTCACTGTGCTTCGGTAAGACTTGTTTTTGTTTCTCAATTTCAAGCACCTGCCGGAGGCATTCGAGCAGGCTCGGACTTTTGCATCTACCCGGAGAATCAATAAGACGGGGGGTACGTGAGGGCCCACTGCGAAACTGTCTGCCAAGCCTCTTATTGAACAGGCTAGGCAATGTACGACTTTCCATCCCCAGGAATACGTCTTGTCTTTCGAACTGCGACATGCAGCACACATTGAACCGGTGGCGTTTTTCCCTTCCCAAAGCTTTCTGAATGATTCCACATCAACAGGGGTGTATCGACTGGCAAGGGGTAAAAGCCTCTTCCGCGGGTCAGGTAAGCATTCAAACGACAACGACAACGAGGCTCGCGGAGCCAAATTGCTAGCTCCGGTGAACGTCGATGACAAGGCTGTCCGATTGGCAGCAGCGCCACAGCCTGTCCTATCGGAAACGAAGGCAGCAAACATTGTCGGATGGCATTCGCTAAGATCACAACTTCAGAACACACCCTCCACCTCCCTGTCGGCTTGTCAATGTCGGCTTGTCAATGTCACACTAAGCTTGTACTTTCAGCCTCACGGCCACTATATCACCCACCCACACACCCCCATGACTCTAGGTACTTTTGCTAGGATACATTAGCATTTTTCGGCTGGGGCCGCGTATTCCACATGTAAACACGGTTTTTTTTTGGTTGGTTTTTTTTTTTTTTTTTTTAAATGGTACAGATAGTGTTACTCGCCCGTAAAATGGGGAAAATGCCACTGGTTACCCGAGTTTATACCAGCCTCTACGGCATTTTTACATCTTTGTACCTGACGTCAATGTCCGACTCCCAACAAAGCAGACATGATGAAAAATCAATGGAGAGTGGGAAATTGCCTGCTCAGCCTCAATGCGCCCACCGGCCATGGAATGCGGATCAGTTCATGCTCGGTTTTCGAACAGTAGTTCTCACGAAGAAAAAAAAGAGGTGGTGTGTACTGGTCCTCAGCTAGGCCTGGCCAGCACCGGAGTTCGGCAGTCAAAGACTGTGTGGGGTTCAGAGTTCAGCCATGGAGTAACCAACAACTGACAGGCGGATTAACATGCTCGAGGTCTCATAATGGCGCCATGGGGAAGCCCAACGCGGGCACGGCACCTCAAGTCGTCCCTCAGGATCAGAAGACCCAAACGCCTGGTTTGACCCTCGGTGACGCATTATTAAAAATCAACGTGACAAGTCAGCCAGAGACTCTATCACTATTCGCATGAGCTCTGGCGTGGCGAGTAGGCTCTTCTGCCATTCAGAGCCCAGAGAGGCCCCTCGTCGGAGTATCGGGCTTTCCCTTGCAGGTTCCTGATAAAATGTCACTGATTACAGAAATTCTGGCCGAGTTGGCGGCCAATACGTACTTGAGTTCAGCTGAGATGGCAGTAACGAAGCGAGGGATAGGGCGCGGAGAACAAGGTCAACCAACCAATGAACAACAAGCACCACGGCTCTCACACAGACTACAGCATAAGCAGACTACAGCAGCCACCGAGACATACCACGTCCCGACCCCTGACCCCTGAATCAGCCCAACGGACTGGAACCAACCAAGGCGTCCATCACCCGCCTCTGCATCCCGCCGATCTACAGACCTACCAGCTTACGGCCGGCCAAACGGACTGCTCTCTCTTTTGGTCGTTATCCACGAGAACCGCAGATATTGGTCATCATAAGTGTACAACCTATCTCGGCTCTAGCAGCCCTCAGAACGTCGATCCACAGTTGGCTCAGTTGTGCCTGACGGGTAGAACACCCTGGTTCGCCGCTGTTTGTGCCGCTTCGACTTGTCATTGGTGCATCTGCACACGTACATGGCACCTTTGGACTGGCCTTGATATGGGCCTAGATTGGATCGCGTTCTCCCGCAGAACAGGGACCTTGATGACGTTACTTTCCGTCGATACCAACCAGTGAGTTGTAGGAGTGTATTTTGAAAGTCATTGGGCGAAAAAGGAAAGCTTGGGAAAACGAACAAAATCTGCAGCTCAAGCAATGGTTCCGAAGCCTTGGCTTACTTCTGACACGTCCCTGATTCTTTCGTGCATATGATTATCCCTTCGATCAGTTCTGCGCTCACTGCGGCAGGCATCTTGCCACTAAAGCTTCCCCATACCCTCAATATGGGAAAAGTGACCACCACCTGGATCCGTCAAATGATGAAACCCCTGTCGCCCCGACCCAAGGCCTCGGGTTCTGGGCCGCCACACTTTCTTCCCTGACACATATGTGCGTCTAACAAGGGGGAGGGCGTGGTCTGCAATGGCCATGATTTACGGTAGGCTGGCAGGCTGGGTTGTGCTGATAGTCTCTTGCATCGCCCAATGTCCTTGCCCGCCTTATTGAGGAGACGAGCCGGGGCTGGCTATTTGTCAAAGAAGTCTAATGATGTCTCGGGTCGACTTGGACCTTGCGGGACAAAAGTTGGCAGGCATACCCTTTGTGGTCGTTTGTCTGGGATGGTGTCGACGGCCAATATAATAACCTCTTATACTTTCTGCCCCTCATCATTGTGTCCCGCACCTACTGCTTCGCGGTCTTCAAACCACATTGTCTGCTGAAAGTCGCAACCACCGAATCTTGCGCACCTTTATTTCAAACTTTTTCGCAGACCATGTTACCAGCCCCAACAACGCCTAATCTGAGGAATGACACCGATGACTGCCCCGAGCATAAGACAGGGCCGCAGTCATTGGACCGCTTTGTATGTTGCTAGCTTTGTCGATCTCCCGTTGGAAGCCAACCCCGCATAGAAGAGACGTCCCGTTAACCACAAAGCCCTGACGATAGCATCTCTTCCCACAGCTGCCCACAGAGCTGAGACTAAAAATATGGAACTTCAACCTCCCATCACCACGGATTGTGCCTATCAGATACGGTGCGGGATCTCTCTGTTTCGCCTCCAACACTCAGTCTCCGCGCCCTTCGACGAGTGGCTGCACATCCTACGCCGACATTCCCATCAATCTCCACATCTGCCACGAATCCCGTGCCGAGGCATTAAAGTCGTACGCACTCAGCTTCGGCATGACCCGCAATCCGGGCCAGATCTTTTTCGATAAGAAACGCGACGTCCTCTACTTCGGCGCCCGTGATGGCTACATGGCGTCCGAGGCCCAGTTCCTCACGGTGATGGCCCTCTGCGACCCCAAGGACCTCTCCGAGGTACGATACCTCGCCATCAACGACTCCCTTTTCTGGGTTGATTCCACATATCAGAGTATGTCGGCGGCCAACTTGACGGTCGAAGTCCTTAAGCAGGTGCGCGTACGCATGCCGCAACTAGAGCACCTAATCTTTGTCCCCCGAGACGAGAATCCGGTGTACGATGACCAGGTCGAGCTTGTCGAGGCGAATCACCATGGGGCACTCGAGCAGCGCATGGCAAGACAGATGGAGACTGGCATGAGGGCTGTCTGTGATCTTTACCCCGACTGGCGGCCGCCACAGTGGTCCATCATGGCTCTAGGCTCGAAACAGCCTGCGGCCAGTTTGGCTGGGACAAAAGAGAATGATACACGGCCGTGCGCCTGGGAGGGCTTTTGCCACGGAGATCGAAGACGCGGGGTCGAAGAGCTGCCTCTTGAGATTCTGATTAAATCAAGAGGCTGACGAACCAACATAAAGTGTGCATGCGAAGGGTTCGACTACTGCATTAAGGGCGGTCAGAGTGCATTTGGAAAGATACCCCCAACATTTGTTTTTGGCGTTGTGGATTTGGCACCAATTGGGAAATGTATGCATGCCATTGTTATTGTGCCTACCCAGTGTCACGGGCCGTGGAACGATAACACATCAAAAAGAATTCATTTTCAATCCTTCAATTCCTACCCCTGACACAACGGATGATGACGGCAAGCTTCAGTCTATTCCTCTCTTAAACTTTGCTAGGTTTTCTGGCATTACTGGTAGCTTGATGGCATATGGCAAGGTTTACCGTTGTTTTTTATATCTTGTGCGCGTCCTAGGCGATCAATCAACTTAAAGATCATGGTGTACCAGAAGTTGCGAGGCCCCGGAAACATGCAGGCGCCGTTCGCTGTTTGGTGCTTATGGGAAGGCAATCTTTATTTTCAAGCGTTTGCCCGTCAGAGCAACATGTGCTGATTGGAGGGAAACTATACTTGTGACTCCTGAGATAGATAAATATCCTTCACTCCCACAATCTGACGCAATGAAGGAACGACCACTAATTGATTGGCAAGCATATTTGATGAGGCTGGCCAGATTATATTGCGCCACTTCGGACTGACTGATTGTCAACAAACTGGATCTGACTTCCTTTTTTTTTTTTTTTTTTTTTTTTTTTTTTGCGAACCAGGGTTCCTGTTGATACAACAAACTGAACGTCCCTTGTACGAAATATCTAGGACTAGAAACCAACGATTATTTACCGAAAGACGACATCGCCTGTTGGATACGGATAGCACGAGTCGGATACAGAATGCAGCGGTGGGAGGCTAGACGCAGATACGACACAGAACGGAGCAGTTTGGGTTTGCCGTCTTTAAGAACGCTTCGATAAGTAAGGAACACGGGAATTCGTGCCGTAAGTGGCCCGTCCGAAGCACCCACGAAGCTGTTTGCTCGTAGGGGATCAGTCGGTGAGACTCTGTAATCAACTTGACAAGGGTTCCCGGCAAGACTGGTTTCCACTCAGAATGGGAATAGCTACACCTGGCCAAGATATAGACGCAACTGGCCTAACTTTTCTCATAAAAATGCTACCTAGCGGCAGGGCTTCATCTGCAATGTTTACTGCAAAATTAAAATGCAAAGTACCAGAAATTAAAGTGCAGGACTCGAAGGTAGCAGCGAAATTGTTGTGCAAGGAGGATTCGAGCTATAACCTCCAGCGAACGTTTCGCAGTGGACTGTCAACATCGCAACCATTTGCATTCATTTCTCGGTAAGTCATACATGGCCCTGACTACAAACTTTAGCTCATAAAATTGGTTCCCGGTCGTCGCCTGGACTGATTCCCTCCTCGTGCCCGTCGCTCCTTAGCAAACCCCTCTGCTCGCCGCCCCCGTCCTCCCTCATGATGCCAGACTGAACTCCCACGTCCCTTCCAAGGTCGCCTGTCCGGCGAGTCTCATCGGCGCCGTTGAGAACGTACCAAACATCCTTCTTTGTCAGAAGACCTTGCAGGGCGCCACGATCACTAAAGAGCACGTATCGTAGCCCAAGCTTCTGGAAGTAAGTGACAGCCAAGTGTAGGCTGGAACGGGAGGACATGGTGATGGGTGTCTGATCCATCCATGGTCGCAAGTCCAGCGTCGTGCGTGGATCAGCAAGTGGCTGATGTGAAAAGTACGCTTCTGTCTCCGGCGGAAGGGACCGCGGGGGAGCCGAGCACATACTTAGGTTGTAGGTGAGCTCTGCTCGCGAGATGTATCCCAATAGAATGGCTTCGCGAGGATCCGAGATGACAGGAAACCCTCGGTAAGGATGCATGTCGAGAATGTTCTTGAGGCTGCCGATAGTGTGGCCTGTCGCTGTGAGCACAACCAGATCCTCAATTCTCGTCATGATTTGGGAAGCTGGTATGTCGGGGATGACCATCTCCTCACTATTGTCCAAGAACGGATACTCATTAAAATGTATCCACGCTTCGTAGATGCCTCGCCGAGAGAATGCGTCTCCCACCCATTTAGAGATCATGACGGCAATCATGATAGGCAGGACATAAGTCAAGGCTCCTGTCAGCTCGAACATGATGACCACGATCGACACTGTCATTCGAGTAACTCCAGCCAGACTTGCTGCTGCTCCGATGATAGCATACGTTCCAGGTGTCACACAAGGAACGTCCGGTTCGCATGAAGCGAATGGGAAGAAAGTTGGGTGATTAGTGACCCAAATCTCCATGATAATGCCGACTGCACGACCCCACAGGGCGCCGATCGCCATTGACGGGAGGATTATACCCGCAGGCAATTGTAGGCCGAAAGTAATTGTAGCTAGGAAGAAGCCAAGTATGGCGCCAAATACCAATAGTACGATGGTTGGTGCTGAGGCGGCCCCTGTCTTACAGAGTCCGATTTGATCATCGACATACGTCGTACACTCCACAAACAGATTTGAGACAAGTTCTGACGTCTGGAACTTCATGTAGGAGTTCGGATAGTTGATGAGTGCAGTTAAGAATGCGACAGCAGCGACTTGAGTGATTGGTCCTGGTAACCAGGCGGTGTTTTTCTTCCACCGAGCCACAGCCATATTGGCTTTGATGAACAGCCCACCATACACGCCCTGTCAAGTGTTAGCAAGGTTCCTAATTTGTCAATTTGGCATCCTTACACCTAAGATACCTAGCAAGGCAAAGGGTATGAGCTCAAAGCCGTGCCAACCGGAGCTGTATTTGGCTTGATACATGACAAGCTGACCCGTGCGGAACGGGTCGAATGCTTGAAGAACCACAGCTGCAGTCATAGCACAGACGAAACTCTGCCACATAGTCTTGTCGGGGAAGTAGTAGGAGATTTGCTACGATCTGGTTAGCTTGAGATGGGGCGATAAGTGGGCGTCACCAACTTCAAGACTGAACAAAACACCTCCAATCGGCGACCCGAAGGCAACTGAGATGCCAGACGCTGCCGCTGCTGACAAAACCTCCCTCTTCCGAGCTGCGGTCCTGTTAGAGTCATTTCGGTATCAGTAGATGGGATGTAGCAACCTTCGTTGTCATTAATGTTCCTGAATGGTTTGATGAACAGGTTTGCGCAACAGCAAGCAACGTGAACCAGAGGGCCCTCTTTTCCTAGCCACATGCCTGAACCAACAGCAAGGCACTGAATATGTTAGTGAACAATTTTTACAGTCAAAATAACGGATTCGACATACCAATCCTAGTGATTTGGTGATCAAGGTCCAGGTGCCCAAAAACCTTCGAATAATGAAACCGCCCAAGACCGTCTTGATCTCAGGGATGCCACTATGTTTGGCATATATTCCATATTCTTTGACTAATATAGCCGCAGATGATGCTAGAATGACCTGCGAGATGGTAAGACATGTGTTGACTGACCGGGTTACGTTAGGCCACGGGCAGGACTTACCGACAGGAACATGAAGACGAAATACTCTAGAAACCACTTTCCTGTGGCCGAAGAAACTCCTAGAGCCTTGGCCCAAGGCGTCCAGCCCGCACACTTGGCAAACTCATTGTATCCCCAGCAGCAGAAGGCCCTGTTCAAGTAGAATGCGCCTCCTTCTGGGCCACTAGAACAGTAGCCGTTCTTGAGGTCTCCAAGCCAGTCCGTGGTGATGTCAATTCCAGCAGCGACAGCGCCAACAGCCATACCAGTCAGTATGAGAATCACCCATACTTGACTGGAGTCCATCAATTGCTGGAAGTATCCGAGCAGGCCCTGGGCACTCGAGTACAGAACGCGCAGGCGCTGACGCTCCTTTGTATATTCGAAGATCCAATCGATCGCCGTCAAGTCTTCGTATCCAACTCTTCGGCCGGGACCTTCCACATACCAGTCTAATGGCGCACCATCTTTGGTACCTTCACCTGTGGCGGCATTCCCGCCCGCTCGACGTGGAGAGTTGAAACCCTGACGGTTGGTATCTTGGATGGGTGTTCGCAGTCGCGGGGACGATTGTGGGGAGGCGGTGCCTGGTCTCGAACCAGTGATGGCAGAGAAAAAACGACCTGGTGTTGACAGGACACTCTGCTTCTGTTTTCGCTTGAAGGAAAGGGGTTCGTTAAGGTCTTCGCGTATGGGGTCCTCGGTCAGGACGTCGGATATGTCTTCGTCTTCGCTCCAAAGTTCCAGCTCGTCTCGATCGCCTGGAGGGCTGTTTGTGTCGTTGTTTGGGGGTCGCGACGACGACGATGCGGAAGAGTCATTGTTGGCGTGGCCCGACATGTTGCGACTCTGAAGACATCAACACCTACGTCTTCAGGATGGCCATCTTGTTGTCGTTCTCTTTTTGTTGAAAGACGGCCTGCCACTCTTTGACGGATACTTGCTCGATGACAAGCCGCGCGTGGCTGACTCGACATAGAAGCTCGGGCCACTTTGCGGTGCTTCCTGCGGCTGATGCGACGCTGGGACAGCGGCCAAGATGAGTAGTTGCAGGGATGTTGACGCAGCGCGGGACTCTTTCTACGATCTGCTGGGTCCTTCTGCGCGGGGCTTTTTTTCCCACGAAAGCGTCATTCGTCTGGTCTTGGCCGCTCACAGGTTTTAGTTGCATGATAAGTTGGTGGTTGACCGATTTTTTGGGGCTATCAACTCATATTTTTCCAGAAAGACCTCCTAAGTGCGACGGTAGAAGGTGACGAAATATCCTTCAATTGGGATAAACCTTAACTTATAACCTAACTAAACCACTACACAACGCTACTGTCACATCCCTCCTAATCAGCATACTTAGTTCACAACAAATCCAGTGCCTTCGGTCTTTAAGGAAGATGGATGAAACTACACCTACAGCGCCTGCGGATCCGCAGAATGCAACGTCGCAGGTGTCTGAACCAGCGCAAGCCACCCAGCAAACGGCATCGCTTGACCAGATTCATACTATGTTGAACGCCAAAGATGACACATCAAGATTTGTCGGCCTGGCGCTTTTGAAAAGTGTACTGGACAACTCCGAAGAGCTTAGGAATAATGCAGATATTGTATCTGGATTATGGGAGTCTATCTCTCCCAAGTTCCTGGATCGGCTGGTGAAGACCGGTTCGTCCACTCAGTCTGTCCAAAAAGACGCGAGAAACATGCTGGATCTTGCAGTATCTGTAATCCATACCTTTACATCATTACTGCCAGATCAGGCAAAGAGAGAGAAGAGGCTTGTTGGACGGTTGCCTCTACTAGTATCAGGTTTACTTCAGAGGTACGTCTAGCCGAGGTACTTGAAGATTGGTAGCGCTGACTGTGAAATGCAGCTCTGGGGAGACATCTGATCTTATTCTCCAGACAATCCTCACGCTGGTTGCCTTCCCAGAAGGTGCCAAAGTCTTTGCTGAAATAGAAGACATCAGCCCGTTGATTGAAATTGCCCCAGGCAATCCATTGGCGCTCCAAATCATCACCTTTGCTTATATTAACTGCATGGATATCTTGGGGGACACAACGGCCTTGAAGACGAAAATTGACAGCACCATCTTGTCTCTTATTTCTTCATTCACCGGCACAGATGGTGTTACTTTGCTCGAGTTCCTTGGTAAATTCCTCAGGAACTCCGATCCTCAGGTAGGTGCCCAATCAAGGCGATGCAGGCAGCTGACTTACACTTCCGTAGGCTCTTCCATCGAACCCCACCTGGATCAGGCCGGTCATTCTTTTCATCAGAAGGCTTCTCACCAGTAGACCTACGCCCGAGGCTAGGAATGCTTACACAATTGCGGCAGCCTCCTTGCTAGAGGTGTACCATGCCGAGACGGCAAAGCTTCTCTTCGCAAGTGAAATCGGGGAAGACCAACCGTTCTCCTACTTGTTAATCACCCTCCTACTCACCGATACAAGAGCCACGCTGCCACGGCTTCTAGAGCTTCTTAATGATCCGACGTACCCTTCAGTGGCACAGCGTATAGGTTCAGCGTTCGACGTCGTTACTCACTTTGTCGGCTACCTCGTAAGGAGCTTGGATGATGAGCAGTTATCACCTGCCGACATGATCATGCCACCAGACCTTCTGCTGAAAATCCGGAAGACGATCTCAGAGGCTATGTCCCTGGCTATCGAGTTCCTTAGAGATAGATGGGACGCTTCCGTAGCAGGAGCCTTTGGCCTGCACCCTGATGCGCGAACAAAGGAGACAGATACGTCCGCGGGAATGAGACTGACCATTTCTTGGGAGTCCAAGAAGGATAAAATCCATGAAGACCCTCTTATTATGGCAGTTGTCCGAGCTATAGCCATTTGGCTCCGCGAGGATGACAATGAGCTCCTGAGGAAAGAAGCCGCAGGACTTATGGACATGCTGATTGACCTGTACCGATCGAGTTCGCCGGCGAAACTCGACTTCCGGTCCCCAATTCTCGTTGGTTTGGAGGGCATTCTCGTCGAGAAGGCAGGTTTGGAAGAGTTCTCCACGCACAACGGCTGGCAAACCCTCACCAAAGACCTCGTAGACATCTTCCAACACACGTCGATGGTAAACGATGAAATCGAGGCGGCGCGCGGCATTGAGATTGTGCGGGTTCTGTTACCCATCGTTGAGGGAGAGGACACAGGTGCGCGGGAAGATTGGATGGCTTTCATTACTTCTGTAGCTGCGTGGGACCTGCCGGAAGCTGAACAGCCTCTTCTTGTGCAAGAGATGCAGGCCGCAACCCTTCAGTTGGCGACCGCCCTGGTCGTAAGTGCCCCTGATGGCATGAGGAGACGTTACGTCCATTCTACGAGCGCCATCCTCGGCATAGCTACCCGGTTGCAGAAGTATGTGGGCGTCAACCATCCCCTAAGAGAGTCGTTAGATGACGTGCTCGATACCCTTGGTGGCTTTCGCTAATTAGCAGCAAATCATGCCACGTGAGGTAACGAGTAGCCATGATAATAAAAGAATTGGTCGGAAACCACAGCCTTGATTCTGGTGGACATCATGACCCCGGAATTCATGGTCAATCCATCTTGAATTCCCAGCCAAGTGATATTTCTTTTGCAACCAGTAGCCTCAGACGTTAAAACATTCCCTTGCCTAAGAAGAAGCTCTTGGCCTCTGGTTCTTGGCCTCCTTGAATAAACTCTCGAATCTGAGACTTATCAGCTAAACATACTTGAGTTTAGTTTTGCAAGCATGGATGCATAGGCTATTGACTGTTCAGATACGTCTTGATATCTTCTTCGATATCTACAGTGTCATATCAGAGAATATCCTCCAGACTAGATGCTCATTGACCATTAATCCAATTACGTATACTGTTACATTAACCTCAAATAAAATTATAAACGCATTAATGATCACCAATTATATAACTCACAAATCAGCGTCACAGATCGGGAGATATCCTTCTTTGGACGGTATGTAGTGTTTCGTGGCTATAGTCTAGTTCGACAGTATTCTGTCAGCTCCTCTTCCTCGCCAGCAGCTCCGCAGTCGGTGTCTCATACAAATGGCTTGTTCTTTCAAGTCCCTGCGAAAGAACGAAAGACCATTGGAGGATACAGCATGGGTGTAAATCTATAGTAGAAGTGCCCTCGCTGAAATAGCCTCGAGGTAACACTACATACTGGTATTCTGCATGATGACGATAAGCCGGTCATGAAAGAACATTGGGAACGGCGGCGCTTACTCAGCCCAAATAAGCCAAATGCCGCCGTTATATTTCGTCTCATTCGTTGGAATAGAGAGCAAGTGAGGGGTAGCTAGGTATCAAAAGAAGGCAGCTGAGGTTCGAAACGGCACGGAGAACAGTAGTGAAGTAAAAGTGATAAAAGTGAGGCGTGTTCCCCTGGCCTTGATTGTCTGGGCTCATGTCCACACAGCTCCTCTTAGTGGCAGACAGACATCCACAGGCACAAACCTCTTTAAAGCCCCCTATCATAACTTGGCAGCAGACCTTTCCCATCAAGGAACTGAAAAAAAAAATTATGTCCGCAGGACACTACGATGCCATCATCATCGGCTCAGGCCAAAGCGGCACCCCTCTGGCTTCAGCTTTTGCCGCCGCAGGTCGCAAGACAGCCATTATCGACCGTAGACACATCGGTGGCACATGCGTGAATGAGGGCTGCACCCCGACGAAGACCATGATAGCCTCCGGTAGGGCTGCGTACGTATCTCACCGAGGGGATGTCTACGGCGTGAGGACCAGTAGGGATGCTACAGTAGATTTGGAGAAGGTAAGGCAACGCAAGCGTGACATTGTCGACAGTTGGAGCAAGGGCGGAGAGACACGGCTTATTAAAGCTGGAGTCGATGTTATCAAGGGAGAGGCACGTTTCATTGGACCGAAAGAAATCGAGGTGCGGATGGTAGAAGGAGGAAAGACAAGGCTGACCGCGGAAACTGTGTTTATCAATACCGGCGAGCGACCGGCAAAGCCCAAGATCCCAGGCCTCGAGAACGTAGCTGCGCAGAGGATTCTGGACTCAACGAGTGTAATGGAACTGGGCGAAGTTCCGTCGCATCTCATCGTGGTCGGCGGCGGATATATTGGCCTGGAGTTTAGCCAGCTCTTCCGCAGGCTTGGGGCGCAAGTCACCATTGTGCAGCGGGCAAAGCAGCTCGTACCCAGGGAAGACGAAGATGTCGCGAAGGCAATGCTGGAAATCCTTCAAGAAGATGGGATCGCTGTTCATCTGTCGTCCACCATCGAATCGGTATCTCGAGCGGATTCAGGGCTTAATATCACCATCACGACTGACTTACGAGGAACGATAAAAAAGACGGGAAGTCATCTCCTATTAGCTGCTGGCCGTGTGCCAAACACAGATATGTTGAACCTTTCAACTGCGGGAGTTGAGCTCACGTCCAGCGGACATATCATTGTAGACGACTTGCTGCGGACCAACATCCCAGGTGTCTACGCGCTCGGAGACGTCCACGGCGGGCCGGCGTTTACCCATATCTCCTACGATGACTTCCGTGTCATTCGAGCTAACCTCATCCCGACGTCCGTACCGTCAACGGCTCCAAAGATAACCAGTACTAAGGCATCACCGTCCCGCAACTTCGTGCCATACGTGGTTTACACCGATCCACAATTAGGTCATATTGGCTTGCATGCTAAAGATACCATCAACCGCAAAACAAGGACGGCCACGATGCCCATGAGCTTCGTCGCGCGAGCGATCGAAATGGAGGAGACGAGAGGCTTGATGAAGGCCACCGTTGACGCGGAAACAGGCGAGATATTAGGCTTCACATGCTTGGGAATCGAGGGTGGGGAGATTATGGCGGTAGTTCAAGCAGCCATGCTAGGTGGATTGAAATGGTGGGACCTTGAGGCTACGGTATGGGCGCATCCAAGCCTTGCTGAAAGCTTGAATAATCTCTGGGGATATCTGGAATAGGGAGTGAAGCATTCTTTACGAGCTGATCGGTGGTGCGTGTTGAGGAAAGCCAATCATGTAGATTCAACCAAGGTCATGAAAGCTTGTGACTCGCGTTGTTCCGTCTCTTGAACATCCTCTCCGTCAATCTTTTTGTGAGCCACTTCGGCTTTGGCGCGCCTCTTTCGCGCCCGCCGAACCTCGATTTCGAGGTTCATCATCTCAGCGTTGACTGAGACCAGACGAGGGATCACATCCTCCACGGCTTTTACCGAAAGTGCTTGTGCCTGGCGCAGAGGCAGTGGAGCAAGAATGCCGAACCACCGAAGGGGATCGTTGCTCTTCTTCGCTTTTTCGGAAGCGGCCTTCTCAACCGGAGCCTCATCCCCGGTCCCGGGCTTCCCCTCGTCACCTGGAGTCTCATGGGTCTCCGGGTTCGTTACAGCTTCTGTAGGCTTGACAAGCTCGAATCGAGGGATACCCTTGTCGCCCTCAGATACAGATATGGAGAGTGTTCTCGAAGCCTGCATGCGCTCATCATAGTAGTCTGGGCCGTATCTGACTCCTCTCTCTGCGGAGAAGTTGGCTCGTGCGATGTTTTGATACATGCCAGCTTGAGTCTTGCCGAGAAGCTCACGCAAAACCGTGTACTCGTCCAAGAGAGCAAGATAGCGCTCCAGCAGCTGGTCGATATGGTCCGTATCCATTGTATGTGGTAGGATTGCAGGCGGAAGTGGTTGGATTGGGAAAAGAAAGCCAGGCGAAACAATGACCGCCTGCTTATCGGAACGGAGGATGTAACTGAATGGAGTCGACACGTACAGTTGAGTTGTAGTTAATGTCGTGAAGCGAAGCGGCCCGACTCTGGGCAACGGCACCGATGAGGATTGAGTGGTTCTGTAGGGCTGTGCATGAAGCCTGGTGTAGCCTCAACAGCGTGATTAATCTGTGGCTTGAGTGATGATCTGCAAAGAAGGGACACCTTGCAGGGGAACCCTGAACTAGCAGGCTAGCGAACACTAAGGCCCGAGGCTGCGGCAGCCGTAGCAGTACTTAATAAATGAGGGGCTGACGGCAATATTGCGTGGTATAAGCTGCCTTAACAGGTGCCAGTACAAGTCCCTGCACTTCCTTCCCACTTGACCATGCTGCTGGAGAGTACTTCATGCACTAACTAATCAGTAGATAGGTCTTTCTGCCAGCCAATTGGCTGGGTCGTGCATGCAAATGTCTGACTATCTCGCAAAGCCGCAGCTCCTGATGTTTGGAGACGACTTGGATTCAACGGCGAGACTATACTACAACCCAGCAGACCCGATGCCATAGACGAATGAGACAAAACAAGTGCTTGCATTGCAACGGCAATGTGGCGCGCAAAGTTGAGGCGGAGTTGAGAGTGGCTGATAAACATGAGGAACAAAGAGGACAACACTGTCAAGTCTGTTTTTCTTTGAGCCCGAGCCTTGATCCACAACATCGGAAGCCGATGGGTAAGTCGCTTGATTCTAATGCCATGACAGTCGTACTTATTCAGAGAGACCATTTTGGTTAAGCGTCATGTTTCAGCTTCAATACTGACGGAGACACTGGCAGCTTGATGCTGCACTGCCGTGCATAGCGATCAGCTGCAGGGGCGAAATGCCGTCTGAAGGTAGCAAGACAAGTAAAAGAGAACACAGGCACGACAAATACGATGAAGGAAAGGGGCCAACTAATTACACTCTGCAAGCAAATATCCTTTGTCAACACTAATCTGTCGAGCGCGAGCCAGGGTTTGCCTTCTCGGGACAATTATCCCGGTAATCGATTACGCTGAACCCCTGGACGTGACAGTAGGTGATGCAGAATAAAGGCACACAAGCTGTTTAGCTTCTCGAACGACGGTAAATAAATAGCCTTCAGTGCACAAGAACAAAGAAGCAAGATGATGCGATGCGACGCGGAAGCAAAGCGCTCCATTGTGCCAGGTGGCGGAGTCATGAATGGATGGGCGAATGGAAGCATAAAGGAAGACCCCCGTCTGGCTTGTTCCCTGTTTCTCGGAGCTGCCTCATATGCGTATCGTCCAGATGACTTCTCAGAGACTTGATCATCGTCTGGCCTGCAGTCTGCAGCCTGCAGCGTTTCTTATCCTGTCTTGGTTTCTCACATTGCGTGCAACCACCAGCATAGTATTAGCGACGCGGCAGGCCACAGAATAAGGCTGCAAAGAAGATGGACATTTACTGACACAACGCACTGAGAATGAGTAATGGGATGGCCCTTCGATTCCAATCAATGTCATAAGTGGAGATAAGAACCCAAAAAAGACGTGTGAAAGATTGCTTGATGGTTTTGGAGGCAAAAACACTTGGACTTGGCCAACGTCGAGGCACTCATGTTCCTCAAACGGGGAACACGAACAACAAATCACAAGGCGAGGTGAGGTAGGTGCCCTTAGATAAGGCCAGGGAGTCTGGGCTCATTGCTTTTGATGGAGGTGCGGATACGCCCGGCCAGGTCACTTAAGCCGATGCACCATTCTTGCTTCTGTACGGAGTACAAGGCAAAGGCGTGGGCCCAACTGCCTTAGAATTACGGATAACAGTCGTCGTGGTGCGGCAGGACTGCCAGGGCAACTGGTGAAGTTCTCAAGGGGAGGGTCAGTCTGGCCCCGGCGCTCCTTCCATCTCGATTCATGGCCGCTGCAGACCATGACTGGTTGTGGAGGGGACAAACTTACGATTCTGCACTGTAATGGGGAAAGCTCAATACATGTTGGGACGGAAGCCGTCAGATGGTTACGTGAGAAAAAAAAAAAAAAAAGGAAAACTGGCAAGAGTTTGGCTTAAAATGAAGGAAGACAGAAAAGCTTGCTGGACAAACTTGAGTTGATGCTCATTTTGCGGGTCCTCAACCTGCTCTGTGCATTCCAGATTGGAGGGAAGAGGTCAAAATGAAATCAGATGTTCGAGGTCAAGCCACAGATAGATTTGTCGGGACCATGTAGAAAAGAACAAGGGAAAAAAAAGAAGAAAAAAGAAACCCTGACGTACAACTCTGGTGAGATCCCGTCCTTAGGCTTGGGACGGCGAGACACTTGAAGCTCATGTCAAGAACATGGAGGTATCGCCATCACCGCTAAACTTTGGTAAGCAAATTTAGGCAAGGTGACACAAGAGCCTCGCTGACCGGTGTACTAGAAATGTAGTGGGAGGCAGGGGGAGAGAAAGTAGAAGAAGAAGGGGGGAAAGGATACGAATTAGACTGGCGTGATGTCAGGAATGAGAAAGGTGCAGGTTATTGGTGTTGGTGCCTGTGCTTGTGCTTGTGCTTGTGTTTGTGCTTGGTTGTTGCTGCAAAAGCTCGGACGGTGATCTGGACTTGGGCGGTGTCCTCCTTCTGGGGGAGTCGGTCTGTCTCCTTCCCACTTTACACACGTCCCTTCCCCAGTGGTGGAAACGGTACGTACCGGCCAGATATGCACATGCAATTGGCGTGGGAAGTGCCACCACAGGGGGTGGAGGGTGGGGCCTGAAGACACCTCAGGCCCCAATCACCCTCAATTTGTGTAGGACACCTTTTGTCGGAGGCGTTGGAGTGGGTTTTGGGGCCGTCTACCACTGAACGCTTCATGCGTAAACAGCAATGTACCAACAAAAGTGACTGACAAAGATGTCCTATATCGTCTCGTCAACAAGGTTGAGTAGCAGCGCGGTGGCTGTTGGGATTGAGACCGGCCCACGATATTTTGTATTGGATCCAAGCCAGCAGATCCCGCCTAAACTCAAGACGAGGGATCGGTCCACTATTTACGGGTAGAAAAGTGGTCGGTGAGGGCGGTGAGGGAAGAATGGGGAGGTGAAGCTACAAGTGCCCCGCGTCCAACCCCGAGCGATACGGAACAACCAAGCCGAGCCCAAGACTTACCCAGGTCATTTTCAGCCAGTGCTCAGCCTCGGATGATGTGGTGGTAAACTTCCGTTGGGTTTGCTGGCTGAATGGGGCTGGCTGCTGGAGTTGACGTTGTAGTAGCATGTATCTACTATGGTGGACATGGTCATAGACACTGCTGGCGTTCGAGGGGTGCCTCAGCACGTATTGGCCAGCTGTTTGCCCTCCCCGTTCATGCTGCGGCATTCTCCTCTGTTGTTAGTGGGAAAGAAAAGGACTGGATAAGGAAGGCTAATCCATTGAAACTGAAATTGAAGAGACCGGGGCATGAACAGCACCTACGTGTCTACGCACCCCTGGATGCAGGTCAGCCCAAGCTGGATGGTTCGCTCCCGGGCTGGGTTGTGAATGGAGACAGCTGGGATTAATGGGAAAGCCCCAGCCAGAAAACCGTGTCTCCTGTCGAGTCGAGTTTGGCAGTGACTTGGTTTGCCCTGGACCATTTCTCACAAAACAAAGATGGCTCAGACGGCGCCAGTTGTATAAGCACCAAACCTGCTAGGGGCTTGCTTACGGCGCTGAATGGTGACCTTCTGGGCTGGCCATGCTCTGCCTTCAGCTAGCAACTACACCAACAGGCCACCTCCAGCGCTGGAGGCTTTTGAACAGACGCCACCTAACCTTCTGGAACAGTGAACACCCCGTCCGGGGACAGGCGCCAGTCCCAAATTTTGCAAGATCCAGCCTTGCAAAACCCCTTCCCACGCCCTCAAATCACTAACCTCGCATGTTGGAAGCCCCCCATCCAATGCCGATGTCGAGGGTACTTATCTCGAACCAGGACTTGGGAATTGGGGGATTCAGGGACCTTCATTGCCCGCCCCATAGGCCAGAGATTAGGGGTCCCTCTCCCCTTTTATGGTCATTTGTACTAGTAAGGAATCACAACCAGTGGTTGTGCTGATGGTGGCTGGCCACTCTTATTTGCTTGGTTTCCCAGTTTAGCCGTTCTGCTACTTCTTACCCAGTCCCATTCCCTTCTCGTCGAAGAAGTTTGCGTGCAAAGGCCGACATTGAGCAACTAAGAAGGGTGAAATCTCAATTACCTTCTTCCTGTTGATTCATAAAGCAATTCATATCTCTATTCTGCATCATCCATACAAGTTTCTGAACAAGGGTTTGTTTCTGCATCTTCCCATCAAGTCTAGCCCTTTTTTTTTTTTTTTTGCTTTGCTTTTACCCCCTCTTACCTACCCTGTGGTGGTGCCTCCCCCGGTTGACTGACCAGAGGTTCCTCCTCCAAATTGTTTTATTATTCTTTTTGCCCGCCCCTCACTCACCCCCCAGGTGACCCCGTCCTCTTCTATTCCCTCTGTTGTTCCACTTTCCCGCGTGCGTGTCGAGACCGCCGACGCCATCGCTGCTAAAAAAAAAAATAAAAAAAATCCCCGACGACATCTCACTTGTGACCTTGGTTGGGTCGGCCCCCGTCCCGTCAGTTCAGCCAGTCGCCGCCTTCTTTTCCCACTCGCTCTTACCTCCATTCTTCTCAACCACACTACCATTCCCTCTCTGTCTTGTACTTGCATTTGCCTCTACCGCAGCCGCTACCGCAACTGCTACCTGCCTCAACCTTAGGCCCCCTCTCTACTACCACCTGCCCTGCCTCTGCCTGCCTTTGACTGGGACCCATTCCACGTTCCTCCTCGCCGCGCCCCCATTTCGATTCGACCGTCTCCACCGCCCATCTTCGCCCTGCAGCAAACCGCAACCACCACTACTACCAACTACCACTGCCACTCTCCAATCTGCCTGCCTACCTTATCCGCCTGGAAATCACACCCCGACAAGACCAGAGACAATCGACGACGCGCCGCGCGATAAGGGAGAGACTGAGAGACCAGTCTTAATTTTTTTTCTTTCCCCAGGTCTCTGCTCCTGCACAGGAGCATCTTTGATCTAAACAATGGTAGTCGCTACTATCAAGTGCGTACATTTTCTGTCGCTTTCCCTTGCCTCCTTCGTCTTCCTCAGTCACAAGCCATCGTCCCCGAGACTGTCACCGCTTCCCCCATGCTACCTCCCTCAATATCTACCTTCACGAAGATGTTGTCGCTGGCCATTACTGTCTTCTTCTATATGTAAATCTTTTGAGGGCGCACTCTTTGGTGCTGCCTTCGACTTGGGCTGACCCCTCTCTCTATGCCATAACCATCAAAGCGCGCATGTCACCAGACGGTGGTTTTTTTTTTTTTTTTTTGGGCATCAGAACTGACCCTTGTTCCCTCTAGATGCGTTGTTGTCGGCGACGGTGCGGTCGGAAAGACATGCTTGCTCATCAGCTACACGACAAACAAGTTCCCCTCCGAATACGTCCCGACCGTCTTTGACAACTATGCCGTCACCGTTATGTGAGTCTCTCCAACACTTCCAGACGCAAATACCCATGGTGCTGGTATCTTTGAAGAGATGGACCAAAGATGGATGGTATCAAGGGATCAAAGAAATCAATCGAGAGTATTGGGATAAATGGTTGGTCATGCGCTGACGGCCATGTCTACAGGATCGGAGACGAACCCTACACGCTGGGATTGTTCGATACTGCCGGTCAGGAGGATTACGACAGACTGCGCCCCCTCTCCTACCCTCAGACCGATGTCTTCCTCGTCTGCTTTAGCGTCACATCACCCGCCTCTTTCGAGAACGTCCGCGAGAAATGGTTTCCCGAGGTACATCACCATTGCCCCGGTGTCCCCTGCCTTATCGTCGGCACTCAGGTGGATTTGAGAGAAGACCCGAGCGTGCGCGAGAAGCTTTCTAAGCAAAAGATGTCCCCCGTACGGAAAGAGGATGGCGAGCGTATGGCGAAGGATTTGGGAGCGGTCAAATATGTCGAATGCAGTGCTTTGACCCAGTATAAACTGAAGGATGTTTTTGATGAGGTACGGCTATGTTCTAGTCCCTTTTCCCCCAAGGGTACACGACTAACATGCACATAGGCAATCGTTGCGGCTCTGGAACCCCCCGCCCCGAAGAAGAAGTCGCACAAGTGCCTTCTCCTCTGATTGCGGACCCTTCTCCCACGGGCCTTGTTTCCTCCCGCCCTGCCCGGCTGTGGCTCCGGCGGCGAATGGAAAAGCCGAGAACCGGGCTTGGACCTCTGTCTCTTGCTTTCCAGATGCGCGCGCAAATGGCTCTGGGTATCCGGCTTTGAATGGCATTTTGGGCCTCTTTTTGTTTGCAGCGCGCATGGCATAGGATACGCTGGATCTTGATTAGCCACATCTTTGGAACCGACCGATCTGGGCAGTCGTCTCTCGCGAATTAATGAATTGGGCCACCTGGTTCAGCGACAGCGAGGGTTGGATTGGATCATCTGGCCGGTAGCCAGGGCTATTAGGCATCTACCATTATCAGGAGAATGCAGGGGGAAACACGAGAGGGAAATGGGTTACAACGACGGGCTGTATTTCCCCTTCTATATTTGGTTCACCAATTCCCAAAGATCCTCTCTACCCAATCCCCCCCTTTTCTCTATCTCAACCCATTACCCTCTTCCCCTCTCCCTACTCCCCAACACTCCCTGCCCTGGCCCGGATTATGGTGGTCTTTCTTGCTTCTTTCTACATTTAGGGATTGGTAAATTCATCACACGCAGGCAGGAATACTTCGATAGGACAGTTTGGCGATTGGAGTGCACTTTAAATCGATGGTCAATTTTCGCGCTGAAGCCCGGGGTACCACCGTTCTTTTCCAAGTTCGAGATCCAGATGCGATGATTGGACAGTGTGCAAAGTCACAACGAGCACCAACCAGCCAAGGAGCCTTGCCATTTCGTATCTCACCCACAGACTCTCGGTGTTTACACATGCACAGGACGGAAGCATCTAACATTTTTAAACTGACCGGGCGAGTCATTCCTTCGTGCAACCCTCTCTTTGCTCTGTGCACGCCATCCGTTCATAGCCCTTCGGCAAACTTACGGGGCTAAGCGTGAGGGGATGGCAGCGACGCAGATGCACTACAAGTAGTGGATGGTGTGGGCAGTAAGTTCCGCGAAATGGATGGCATTCTTGTTCTATCTGCCCAGGGGGTTTGACACCGCCCGCCATAATGTAGCGTTTCTTTGTTCTGCTACGCCTATCTGCTTAGACTGACTTGCCTTGCCTTGCCTTTCAGGCGCAACGAGCACTACCATCCCCTCCCTCCACTGGGCGTTCCCAGCTGGGCATTGCATAAGGAGAATGACGTCGCACCTCGGTCGCCTCGTCCATCATCAATGCGAGACAGATGCGGTCAGACTAGTGCCGTTTACCACAGCTTCAAACACTCCGCGGGGGAGTCCCGGGCCATTCTCTCCTCATTCTCCCCGCAATTTTACCATGGTATCTCTCAATGTTGTTGCATACTGCGTCGGGGCGTATGCCACCAATGCCACGAGGGTAGTCATGGGATTCCCGGTTAAGGGAACGAAGATCTTTTTTTTCTGGAGGTGCAACGCTCTAGCAGGTTAGGAAAGCTCGGTGGCTTTTTGTTTGGGGTTGATATGGTATGCTGAGCGCTCTTTGACCACTTTTCACTTGGCAGGCTGTCTTGACGGCTTTGAAAGAGCATCCAATACGGCGGGTGCGCTTGGAGGCTTGATTGGCGACTTGTCCTGGATATACGGGTTTGCAGTTGGAGATTGCATCTGAGGGATAGCATAGATCCTTATCGGGGGCTAGTGCCCGGAAGGAAATCGGATGCCACTTACTTACATACCCGGCCCCACTATGCTTCGCCGGCGGCCACAATACTCCCCATCATCCACGGCCCCCTCCCATCCTTGGACCGAGGCCAAGCTAATGCATTTCTTGACAAATTATTTCCTTACTCGGTGACAGCGATTAAGCGACTGGCCTTCCATGCGCGGCAGTAGCGAACCTTTCTCCGCCTGTTGAACAGTGGAGAATTTGGAGGGCCAGCCAGAACACTCAGAGTTGACTACAACGGCGGATGCAGTAACCAATCGGGCGGCGAGCGGCGGGCAGCGGGTAGCTTTCCCCTCGGGGCGCCAACTGGGGAAAGGTAGCGCGTTTACAGCATAACAGAAAGTTATTACCATGTCTGTCATTACAATGTCAAAGGAAAGGCGCCATGGTAGAAGGCCGGGCCGGTCGAAGTGCACCGATCCGGTCACTCTCCGACTTGTTCGGCCTTTTTAAGTTGCCATGCACACTGTTGATAGACTCGGGGGATCTAATCTTTCCTCTCATTCTTATTTATCTTTACCCATTCAGCGAGCAATATCTTTCTTTTCACAACCAAGTAACTTTGTGCGGGGGTAAACCGAGACACAGAGAACCATGAAGCTTACCTCACTGCTGCTGGGCTGCTCGTCGGCTCTGCTGGCTGCCGCCTGCGGAAATCACGGCGACGACGGTAAGGAATGGACGAAGGCTGAGCTGGACGAGTTGGAAGCCAAATGGGGGTTTGAGGTGAGTGTCTGCTCTTATCTGTTGTTGTGAGTTGCAAATGTGACTGACGATATGGTAGTGGGGTACGTTATCATCAACCACAACACTGAGAGTGAATTGAAGCTCACTTGGCGTAGGTTTCACGGGAATCGGCACTTTCGCCCATCTCAAGCACGCCAAGTGCTTGACAACTCCGTCTGAGCTGTACGATATCGCTATCATCGGTGCGCCCTTCGACACCGCCGTGAGTTACAGACCAGGTAATTTACGCTCTTTCTCAAACTCATATTCATTGCATGAGTTCACCCGTTGACACCGCCAGGCGCCCGATTCGGCCCCCGCGCAATTCGCCAGGCTTCAAGCAGACAGACTTCGTTCCGCGGCTTCAACCCTCGTGCCAATGTCAACCCATACGCGAACTGGGCAACCATCATCGACTGCGGCGACATCCCCGTCACGCCCATGGACAACGTCATCGCTCTCAAGCAGATGTCGGAGGCATTCAAGGAGCTGGGACAGAGGAAGCCCGTCTCTTCGTCGCTCAGCAGGCCTAAGCTCATCACTCTCGGAGGAGACCACAGCCTGGCGCTGCCCGCGCTGAGGGCTTTGAAGGCCGCCTACGGGGCACCCCTACGTGTGTTGCATTTCGATGGTGAGTTTTGACACGCCGTCTTTCCCACGTCTGCAAGAAGAGTGATGGAGATGAGGGCATGATAAGGGGGATGATGGATGGACTGACATGAACCAGCTCACTTGGATACTTGGCACCCAGAGAAGTACCCGTCTTACTGGACTTCCACTCAATTCAACCACGGCTCGATGTTCTGGATGGCCGGAAGCGAGGGCCTTCTTTCCAACGCTTCCTCCGCACCTTCGGTCCACGCAGGTCTGCGCACCCGTCTCTCCGGCACTGATTTCTCCGACCACGATGACGACACGGCGCAGAACTGGGTCCGTATTGCCGCCGACGACATCGACGAGGTCGGCACTGCCGGCATCATCAAGACCATCATAGACACGCTGGGCACGGAAGATCCCGTTTACCTGTCGATCGATATCGATGTTCTCGACCCCGCCTTCGCGCCCGGCACAGGTACCCCCGAGCCCGGTGGCTGGACGACCCGCGAGCTGATCCGCATTTTGAGAGGTATCGAGGGGTTGAACCTTGTTGGCGCGGACGTTGTCGAGGTCTCGCCCGCGTATCAGAATGCCGGCGAGGAAACGGCGCTGGCGGCGGCACAGGTCGTGTACGAGGTTTTGAGCTCGATGGTGAAGAAGGGTCTGGAAGGCATGGGCAAGGAGGGAAAGGCTGCTGCCGCTGTTGAGGTCGAGGGCAAGGACGAGTTGTAGGCGGTCTCGGGAACATCAAAGCGACGCGAGCTACGAGAGAGAAAAGGGGGGATGAGGGCAAAGAAAAAGAGGCGCCGAGCGACTTTGGGCAACGTCAATGGGACGGATGTCTGGAGTTCAAACGAAAAGCGATGGGGAGATCCCGGATGCTACGATTTATGCACGCGAATGATGACGAACCTCGGACTGGGAGGTTCATGAACTGGATGACAAGATCGCCTTGGGTTGGATTTCGAGTTACAAAACGCCGGAAGGGCGCGGGAAAAGGCGTGATTCCCTGATCCACCACCTGTGTCAGACCATATTTGGTCCATCTCCAGTGAAGCCGTGGACGGCATGAAGAATGAAAATGTACATATAAAACGTCAAAAACCAAGCACAAGTTTTACGAACTGGTAAAGTTCTGATGTGGTGAATCCCGTCCAAAGCACGGGTTTGTCTTTTTGACGTGAATCACAGCCAAGACCTTGATCCCCATAGTCTGCCGTCCGGTCAATCTAAACATTAATCAAGTTTCCGGTTCATTCCCGACTGTCCTCGGAGAGTGATGGACTGGGGACACCCGCCATTATGATGATCTCCACTTCAACCGGATACTTCACCCGCCATGTGTATATCCAAGTATTCTTCCGTACCAAAGGATCAAATCATAGGCAAGAACCCCATCATCCTCACAAAACGATATCAACAAAACAACAACCAAAGCCCAAGCCACCAAGATAGTGACTCACCGCCTTTCAATTCATCATTCTGACCTGAGCACAGCGACACACATCCGAGTCAAGGGGGCCGCCGGCTCCTATCTTCGGAGCCAACCCCATCAAAACGGGCCCGAGCTCCCAGTGTCACTAACCCCCCCTGGAGAGGGGGGGCCCTTATCTCTGAGCAATTGGAATGGTCAATTGGAAACCTCGAGCCAGTTCGCCGGCGCGCCGGCATCAGTGGCACACCGTGCTGCCCTTATGCTACTTTTGTAATTGTGGGCAGTCTTGAAGCCCCGATACACCAGGTCCCGTGAACAAAACAAACATGCACACGCCGTAATGTGAAGAAGACTGTCCGATATCAAGGAGTATCAAGGGGCGGAACACAAAACTAACCCCGTGTATTGGTAAACTGTTACAGCAGTCGGTCCTCCCCCTGAATATCGCAGTTACACCTCCTTAGCACGGACGATGATTTGAAGCAATGAATGGGAGAAAGGGGGGGGAAAATTCAACGTCATGTAGCAATCCTAGTTTACGAAAATGAGAGAACCCCAACGGAGTTTGTTCGACCGAGAAAGCCCTTGCAATATTGCTGTTCTCGTTTGTCGCAGTTGTGAAGTGGCTTCTGAGTTGCGAGCAGGTCCAATTAGTGACTCACACGCACAGTCACAGACACTGAGAGGGTAGTACCTACATCAAGGTCACCGCCCCTCCCTCTCTTCCCCTCCCACTTCTCCCACCAACTCAATCCGAATTTACTACCCCGCCATCCTGGCCCTCCCAAAAATTTCCCGCCCTCACGTTTTGGGAGCAACAACGAACGTCTGAGTCAATAAACACCGTGTTCTCTTACGGTTCTCACGACGTATTTTCCTGCACAGCCACTTGCATTCGAATACAACAAAATAAGTCAGTTGCAGAGAACACTTCAAGACTCGCAAATATGGCCGCCGTCCAAGAATTGGCCGAGCGCCTCAAGTCAGACGACAAGGTCTACGTCGACACCGACGTCGGCTCCGATGAGCCCACGACGCCCGGCACCGAGTCCTCGCCCTTCAAGTCGCTCGCCGCAGCTTACATCGCCAACCACGACACCACCGGTCGCCAGTTCCTCGTTCGCGCCTCCAAGACAGGTGACGACGAGGCTGCCCGCCTCGAGTGGAAGGAGCCCGCCAAGAGCGCCATCAAGAAGGCCCAGTCTGCCCTCGACGCCCACCGCAAAAAGCTTGCCAAGCAGGCCCAGATCGAAGCTCAGGAGGAGGAGCGCAAGAAGCAGCGCCTACAGACCCTCGAGGCCGCCAAGAAGATCGTCATCAAGGAGGATGAATCACTCCCACCTGCGAAGCGCATCACCATCGGCGAGAAGAACGTCGAGCTCGGTGAGGGAGACAAGAAGGGCGCCCGCGTCAAGATTGCCGGACGCATTCATAGATTGCGCGCGCAGAAGCAGGCTACCTTCATCACGCTGGTTGACGGTTATGGTCATCTGCAGTGCGTCCTTCAGGCTGGCGACCTGACCAAGACCTACGATGCTCTCACCTTCGCCCAGGGCACCTCTCTCTGGGTATACGGCGAGCTGAAGAAGGTGCCCGAGGGCCAGACTGCCCCTGACAGCCGTGAACTGCACGTCGACTACTACAAGGTCATTGGTACCTCGCCCACTGACGACGATGCCATCACCAACAAGGTCTCCCTGCTCCAGAACCAGTGGGACTCCCAGATGCTGGACAACCGCCACCTGGTTCTCCGCGGCGACAACGCTTCCGCTCTGATGAAGATCCGCGCGGCCGTCGAGTGGGCTTTCACCAAGACCTACAGGGACCTCAAGATCACAAAGGTCTCCCCCCCTGCCCTCGTGCAGACCCAGGTCGAGGGCGGCGCCACGCTCTTCTCTGTTCCCTACTATGACGAGACTGCCTACCTGACCCAGTCATCCCAGCTCTACCTCGAGACTGTCCTGCCCAGCTTGGGCAGCGTCTACTGTATCGAGAAGTCGTTCCGTGCTGAGCGCAGCTTGACCCGCAGACATTTGTCCGAGTACTCCCACGTCGAGGCCGAGCTTGACTTCATCGAGTTCCCCGACCTGCTGGCCCATCTGGAGGAGGTCGTGTGCCGTGTCATCGACAACGTCCTGGCTGACGAGGAGATCGCCGGTTACATCAAGGAGCTCAACCCCGACTTCCAGAAGCCCTCCCGCCCTTTTATGCGCATGAAGTACACGGACGCCATCGACTGGCTCAACGCCCAAGATCCCCCCATCCTCAACGAGGAAGGCGAGCCTCACAAGTTTGGTGACGATATCGCCGAGGCCGCCGAGCGCAAGATGACCGACGCCATCAACAAGCCCATCTTCCTCACCCACTTCCCCACCGAGATCAAAGCCTTCTACATGAAGAAGGACCCCAACGACCCCCGCGTCACCGAGAGTGTCGACTGCCTGATGCCTGGTGTTGGTGAAATTGTCGGTGGATCAATGAGAATGGAGGGCTACGAGGAGCTGCTCGCCGCCTACGATAGAGAGGGCATCCCGTCCAAGGACTACTACTGGTACACCGACCAGAGAAAGTAAGCGTCTTCCGCCTCCCCATTTGCACCTGATTAAAAGCTAACGTTACTTTTCACAGGTACGGTACCTCCCCCCACGGTGGATACGGTCTTGGTCTTGAGCGATTCCTGGCCTGGCTGGCCAACCAGCACACGGTCCGCACAACATGCCTGTATCCCCGCTATATGGGCCGCTGCAAGCCTTAAAGAGGTGGCTGTCGGTAGACGTGAGGTTGTTGTGTAGAAAGTCCGGTGTGCCTGGTAAGCGCTGCGGCGAGGCATGAGCGAGATCATTCATGGTTTTCAAGGGGCTTTGCAATGGTTTGACGGCATTTTTTGCTGTAAAAAGGGTTCCAGAGAGAAGGAGAGATGGGTCGGGCCTAGATAGGAGTTACGGAATTCAACCATCTCAAAGGGAAAGCATATAATCCCTGGTGGATAGATAAGCGATTTGGGTTTTCCCGTAGACGTGACATAAAAAATCCATGCCGAGTAAGCGATGGAAGAGACGCGGCAAAGTTTTTTTTTTTTTTTTTTTTTTTAAAAAAAAAAGAGGCGAGACTGTAATTATGCCCCAGCCAAGCCGAGTCTTGCAGAAGAAGAAGAATAAGCTTGCTGCCAAGCTTCTGTTTTCAACATCACGGTCATTCCAGAGTTACAGCATGCCTCGGTCAAAAGTTGATGAAGTGACGGGAAACACAAAACACACAAATCTGCGCAAATCTGCGCGATACACAAGCTTGGAGGTGTCGTCTGTTCGCAAGGACACTTCCTGGTTCGAGAACCAGGGTCTGGCGCCGAGCATGACGGACGAGTCTGGGGTCGACAATTAGGCTGGCTCAGGGGAGTTTCCCTCCTTTACCCCTCTTCCCCTTGAGGACTGCTAGGTCCTGTTAGGAAAGCTGCAGCTCCCTCGCCCGCTTGGCCAATCTTGTGTTTGAGGCGCCCACATTAGACCTTTTCTAGAAGAACTTGGTGCCCACCACCTGGAGAAGGGGGCAGATAAGTTTGACTGATTCTTCCGAGTCGACAAGCCAGCCGCCAGACCCCAGTCTGTGCGAAGAAGCTGTGTTGTGAGGCTGCCGAGAAAAGTAACGAGTGTCAATTGGAATCTCGGGTGAAGCTTGAGGGTTGTTTGCCTTGTCTGGTCCCGTCGGCTAAATGGCAGAGTATAGCTATATCTGTCTGGAACGAGGCGCCCTGATATCTCGGGATGTCTCAAGGGGAGTTTATCAAATTGTGAGTCTCGGACTAAGAACCTGCGAGTGCATATATGATAGGTTCCAAGTGTACTAGCAAAGGCATTGAAGCCAATCCTTGAATGCGGCAGATCGTGCGTGCACCGATGACCTGGCGATCACCAGGAGAAAGCGGGGGCCGTGACCATTTGGTAAAGGGGGTTTAAAGGGGAGGAGCGTGTACAGCAAGCTGTATGATTCACGAAGCTGCAGGCCGAAATGACTTGCACAGTCAGTCAAGCAGGCAGTGGGGAAACGTGCCGGGCATGTCATTCATAGCAGCCGAAGCATTTGTCGGGGAGGGCGAGACAAGGTTTGCCGATTGAAAACACAACATTGTGACAATCACCGTGCCTATCCATGGAACTTAACAGCCCAGTAGGAAGGTTAGGGGGAAATGTGCTAGCAACTGGTTTTTCGGATGTCAGACAATGCAAAGCGGCGTTCAATTCTGCCCGAGCGTGGTCGACATTTGAGCAACAAGACGCAATTAGCCTCTGCTGCTTGACTCAAGAATAAGATCCGGGCGTTGTTCAACGGCGTGGCGTGAGTCGGCGTCAGTGGAGGACGCAGATCCAGGAGTTGGCCCGAGAAAGTCGCATTTGGGTCGGCGGAGAAGAGACAGGGCCATGGTCTGTTAATGATCTGATGAGAGAGACAATTGGACGATGAATGACTTGATGCAATGCGGATCTGATGCGGATACTGCGTGCAGCTTTCGATGTCCTGGCTGGGATTCCTGCTCCAGTCAAGGGGCGTGGCTGGTGCCGCTGCCGTTGTGCATCTGCTTCGGGTCGAGCACATGCATTGGTACTATCGCGGCTATGTAAGGCACGGAAGCCACTAAAAGTCTTAGCTCGTGTTAGACAGAAGCTGGAATGTATCCTGTCTTTGATGGGTGTTGAATGTTCCATTGCTAGATTGATTGCAATGCGTTGTATCAGTCAACGAGTTTCGGTCCCCGACACAAGCAAAAAACAAAGACCACGGCCGATTTTTGGGCAAGCGACCTTATATACGGCAATTCCCAGCTGGGAGGAGAGCCAGCTATAAAACGCACGAGGTGGTAGTAAGATCGGAAAGGATTCCCCAAAGCCAAGGTTGATTGATCGTAAGTACGCTGCTGACCAGAGATGGTGCAGCAGCATTCGGTTGTTGCTTGGCAGCGCTCAGTGCTAAGGAGGCTCCAATTGTGGGCTGCGAAGCCAAACTAGGCCTTCGTTTCTGTTGTTTCTCTCTCTTTTACTGGCTCAGATTTGCAAGAGTCCGTGATGGACGGCGGCCACAGGCCAACGCTAAACTGTGGCCGACGGGGCTAGCCTTGCTCGATATTTTCGGGTTTTATTTTTGTAAATACTGACCTGAAGATCTCGTGTTCCAAAGCTCCTGTGGCAGTCTGGGGTTTTTTCTAATGAACCCCAGGCTCCCTGCAGCGGTGTTTCATCCGAATAGCTGGACAGGAGTGGAGGCCACGGCTGTGGAGAGGTTGAAAAGTTGAGATGCGGCTGCACCAGCCACGTGCAGTAGTGGAAATTGGAAATTGATAGCAACTGTGGTCGAGGGACAGAGGAGTAAGGAACTGTTCAACTTCACGCTGCGCGCCTTGTCACATCGAGGCCTCTGTCGCCGACGTGCTGGCAACTGGTGGTTTTGTCGGTCAACACAGCCCGCTAGCCGTTAGCAATGGTAGCAGGTATCAACTAGCGGCTGGGTTCCCGAAACATGCCGTGTAGTGGGGTGGCGAGCCCTGCGTAAACCGGAAGGTAGCGAAACAACGGCCCGAACGACATCAATACTTTAGTGCGCGAGGAGCGGCGAACCGAGAGAGCGATGGGCAGGTCCAGATTCCATGAGTGCGGTGTGCAAGATTGACTTGCAGCTGATGCAATTTAATTCTTCAAAAGAGGCGCTGAGAGAGACAAGGAGCTGACAGTGTGTAAGAGGGGTACCACATCTGATGATATGGAGAACGATCAGCGCAATATAAAACTCCGGACGGGCTAGCCGCTAGCGGTTTCTTCCAGCAATCGCGGCTGCGAGAGACCTGGCCGGTATTTGTGGCATTTGGCATCCGTATCATCGCAGATATGCCCCAAAAAGCCAATCGGGTCTGTTTGCTTTTTTTTTTTTTTTGTGCATTGCAGCGAGACACCTTGGAAGGCTGGTGAGACACACCAACGGAAGCTCTAGCGGTTCCGGCCCGCCATGCTTTAAAGGTGCAGACGGGAGTTTGGATACTTGAAAGGTGAGCACAACCTTGGGTTATGTATAGAGTGGAGTACAGGAGTAGATGGAGGACGTTATGGCAAAGGCGGCTATCATTGTTCCATCGGATTCGGGTGGGGGAGGATGATGAACCCTTGGAAAATGGATCGGAGAGTGTTCAGAACGGGACAGACCAAGCCAGAAAAGGCCGGGCTTTCCCCTGGCTATGCCTGTTGGCCAGGTGGGAGGCAAGGGGGAAGGTAGGGATGCATGGCTGGAAGGGGCCAGGTGTCAGGGGTACGAGCTTAGTAGGGTATAGTAAGGTGCAGCCAAGGGTACTACGACCAGGGGAATGGGCATCTGCTTGCGGAAGAGCTAATACCAGGTAATGCGTACTATGTAGGTCGTATAATGGAGGTCTCCGTACCTGACAATGCAATTTGCGCGCAAATGCTGGCTATGCAGCAGCACAAAGTTAGTTGCCCCCTTTGAACGAGAGGGACAACTCATCACGGACTTGTCCACGTCGCTATGCACTGCACCGCAGTGTTGTCTTGGGAATGGAGTAGGGGTAGCTGGCACCAACTTACGGGGTGTTTGCCCAGCCGCCAGTCAGCAAAGCCCACGATGGTCAAGGGGGGCTAAAAAGTTGAGGTGGCACTTGACCAGCCAACTAATCAGAGGAAACGAGAATTTGGCTCCGGCTTTTCGTTGCAATGAGAGCTCAAGGTACAAAACAAGGGGAGCGTATTAAAAAGGGGGGGCCAAAAAAAAAAAAGGGGACCAGGCCATGATGGGGGGCTCGGAGGCTGCCAATGTGGATAGCTTAGACTAAGAAGTGCATAGTAATGGAAGGGTGGTGGACAAAAGTAGAGAGAATGGCTGTAGCCGGCACCTTGGTGTGGTGTGGATGGATGAAGAGACGAGTTGCGAGTGCAGGCCATGGTTGGTTAGTTGAGTATTGGCGGATATGGCACGGCTCACCCGCTCCCAGGCACGAGACGACTGCAGAAATAGGAAGAAAGCGCTAGTAAGAGCGACAGTGATCAATATCAATTCTACTACGAGGAAAAAAACTAATCTGTAAAGGCAGGCCAATTATTTCGGGATTCCTAGATAAGAGAGAAAATCTTAGTCGGTCCTGAAGCACAAGTTTCCATCCTTTACAAGTTCAGGAGTCAGGAGGGGCGTAAGTAGTTACATGGAAGGGAATGGCGAGTCAACAATCAGATGGAGAGGTGCATTCTGCGAACCCCCTTTCTAGCTACTAATGACACCAGTCAGGTCCCATTGTCGCTTATTTTGGCTGCTCGGTGGCACTCTGTGGGTGGCGGCTTGTTGGCGCTAAAACACACCATAACGACGGTAGATGCTGAAGTCTCGTGGACGTGGCTGATAGGAAATGACGGTTGGCTGGCCTTACCCGTCTCGTCTCGACACGATTTGACGTGTGTTCGTACTATACTAGTAATCGACGTTATAATAGGTAGTAAAAGACCGATGGGCTTGTTGCTGTTGGGACTGTCGTTACATAGTATGTAGCCTTTCTCGGTTAAGGTAGCCGTATTCGTACAGCACCACGCCGCGCCGCGCCGCAAAACTCACGCCTCGCGATGATTCCAGCAGCTGCACGTCCTTGTCGTCGAGCGAGGATTTCAATCGCTATCATATCAGGACAGGTTGTTTTTGGCCTTGGAACATCGATACCCACCATACTACTGTCAACCGTGCCTCTGGTGCAAGCATACTTCGGGGGATTTTGTGCCACAGATATACACGGTGCCCTGTCTGTTTCTTCTAATTATTTGTGCAGATCGGCCTGAAGCGCCAGGAACATGCTGCTTCCGGTACGTACCGAACACTACTGGCTGTTAAGTCCCATGTCCTCCTCTCGTGCCGTCGCCCACTGCTCGTTGCTCGCCCCTTGCCTTGTACGCCCACCCACCCCTGGCTAACCTTCGCCGCGCTGATACCGGTGCACTCACGCACAGCAAGCTCATCCTCGTCCCCCACTGCCAGTTGCCAAAGTACCTGACCTGAGATGACTCGTCTAATTGGCCCCCCAAATGGCACCCCTTTCCCCCCCTTTCCCCTAACTGCAACCGTGCAGAGCGCCCAGAAGGGGCCATCACGCCGTTGAAAGTATCTTTGCCATGTAATTTCTAATGCGAAATACCGCGAGGGGGTGACCTCATGCAGAAGCCCCGGGGGCCGTTGGCACTGGCACTGGCATCGGGTCTAGCTCTAGCTCTGGTAATGGCAGACAGCAGACGGACGGACAGCCATTTGGACTTTTGCCGACGACGACGACGACGACAACGACGACAGCCGTCCTACCGTCAGGTATCTGTATAGTGTACATCCAACTCGGGCCGTAGGTGTCAGGTACCTGTCAGGGTGGATGATGATGGATTGACGGATAGGCCAGATGCTGCTCTAGGCTCAGGAGACCACAGCAGAAAACAGCCGAGGAGAGCCAAGCAATGGAGAACAAGCCAGATGAGCCGTGCAAGTGTTGAGTACCCCAAGACTTTCATCCGCATTTTCTGCCCAGATAGAGAGACACTGCAGGGCATGGTAGGTCGGTATCGTTAATCAAAGCAGTACGCACACACACACACACACTTGAACATTCAGACACAAGCACACAAAGTCATCTCGCATTTCGTCAATGGCCTTGGGCCTTGGCCAAGGAAACAAGTCCAGAGCTCACTCACGCTCTTTCGCTCCTCTCTCCTCTGTCGTCCTGTCTATGTTACCCCGTCTCCTTCTCATTCTTTCCCCTCCTCTATCTCTTTCTCTCTCTCTCCCTCACTCTCTCTCTCTCCCTTTCTTTCTCACTTGGTCTTGACCGTCGCCGGTTTGGAGTCCTCTAGCTGCACGTGGGTTGGGAAAAAATACAAAAATAAAAAAGAGGACAGATACTGTACCAACCAGCCGCCATTACCTAACATTACCTTACTACTAGACAGCTGCGCGCTGCTCCATCCCCCCGGGCTCTAGTCGCTAGCCTCTGTGGGCTCGCTGTGGGCTCCTGCCGTGATCCCTGACCGGCCTCATTAAACTTAGCGCAGCCAATTCTACTTCGACCCTTTTGGGCAATCTACCACCTACACGAACCCCCGTCCACTCTCCTGCTTTCCCACTGTCCTCCATCCGCCTCCTAGTTCCCTACCCTCACTACCCTTACCTCTCTACCTGGACCGACTCCTCCTCTCTCCGCTCTTCTGCTTTTTTGCTCACCTCTTTTTTTTACGCCCTCCTTCTCACACACTCTCTCTGTCTCTCTCGCTTCTCACTCTCGCTTCTTTGGTCTTCCTCCTCTTCCTTCTTTCTTCTCTCCTTCTGCTGCTCCTACCCTGCTCCTCTTCTTGTTACCTTACTTCTCTCCACCCTCCCACCCCCTTCTTAACCTCACCTCCCTCACCACCTTATACCACCCACTCTTCCTCCTATCCGCCCGCCCTCATCCTTATCCTTACATCTTCTATTCTTTATTCTTTCCCGTCAATCTGCGAGTCGCCGCTGCCGACCTCACTGGCACATGCGATCATTACCGCATCTGCCAGCTTGATCAATCTTTCACCTTGGCTTCCACACTCGTTGCCCGTATACCCTTCGTCTATAATTCTTTGACCACCGTCAGGTTTGCCTGCAAGGAGTGATCCAACCGCTCGAACCGATTCGCCTCCTCGACGCTCGTTTCAGCAGACGGTAGCTCAGTCGACTTTATCCGCAGACTGCAAATTGCTGCTCGAATATTTGCTATACAGCTTGACACAGCCGAAAGTTTTGCTCCCAGCAAAAACCACCGCGTCACCAGGTTACCGCGTGGCCAGATAAATTGAGACAAACGTCAAACAACACATTCGGTTTTCTCTGCGATTATTCCACTGCCCAACTTCCTCGCTCACGAGTGTCTGGTTTTGCTTCAGGCCCCGTTGCTTCGATCTGTGTAATTCACCTTGTTCGACTTCGATCCTCAAGCCTCTTTCGCCACCGACCTGAAAGAAAAAAAAACGGCCCGTTCATAGCTTGGCCATCCTCCAAGCTATTACAACGAGTATTGCTCCACTTCTAGCTGTTGGTTTTTGATTTCGTGTTGGCTTGTCCCTTGGACACATTTGAGACGCAACCAATTACGAGCCGAGGCATTCCAACGCGCCAGTCTCGGACTTTTCGTGCCTGTTCGGGGCACGTTTAATCTGTCAAAACGGCGGTTCTATCTCAAATCGGTCGGGACAACCTTGTCCCTCCGCACCTACTCGGGATGCAGGAAATCCAAGGCCCGGTTGGCCAGGGCGGCCCAAGTGCTCCCGGCAACCGCTTTCCCGGACACGCTTCCAAGCCTTCCAACAGCGACACCGGCTTTTCCCACGGTGCCTTCACTTCCAACATCTCTGGCTTCGCTGACAGACACCCTCGCCGCGGCAACATCCCGACGATCAACACCCAGCCGCTGACCCAGCATCAGCAGGCTCCCCCGTCCGCCGTCGACATGGCCACCCCGGGCACTGCCTTTGACATGCAGTTCACGCCTCTGCTGCCGTCTCAGCTCCTCCTCGGAAGCCCCTTCCAGCCTGGAACCCCCGCTGCCTTCGCCAGCCCTCAGTTCCAGAATCTTCAGGGCTTCCAGCAAGCTCAGCAGCAGAACCAGCAGCAGCAGCAGAACGGCCCCATGAGTCCGGTCCAGCAGAGCATGTCGCCTCAGCAGTACCAGGCCATGGTATCCCCTTCGACCTACGGTGCCCCCCAGTTTTTCCAGCCCCAGTCCCCCACGAGCGGCGGCTTCAGCAACATGCAGATTCCCATGCAGCCTAGCTCTCCCGTCTCCATGGGCCCTGGCATGGTTACCGGCACTAGCCGCACCGTCTATCTCGGCAACATCCCTCCTGACACGTCGGCTGAGGAAATCTTGGGACATGTCCGAAGCGGTCAAATCGAGTCCGTTCGTCTGCTCCCTGACAAGAACTGCGCCTTCATCTCCTTCTTGGACGCCAGCTCTGCTACCCACTTCCACTCGGATGCCATCTTGAAAAAGCTCTGCATCAAGGGCCAGGACATCAAGGTCGGCTGGGGCAAGCCTTCTCAGGTCCCTACCTCTGTAGCTTTGGCCGTTCAGCAGTCGGGCGCCTCCCGTAACGTTTACTTGGGTAACCTGCCAGAGGACATTACTGAAGAGGAGTTGCGCGAGGATCTGGGCAAGTTTGGAGCCGTTGACACGATCAAAATCGTGCGCGAGAAGAGCATCGCCTTTATTCATTTCTTGTCCATCGCCAATGCCATCAAGGCAGTTTCTCAGCTTCCCCAAGAGCCGAAGTGGCAGGCCCCTCGTCGCGTTTACTACGGCAAGGACCGATGTGCTTACGTTTCGAAGACCCAGCAGCAGAACGCTGCTCAGTACCTTGGAATCGCGCCTGGCTATGCGCATATGCTCACTGGTGCAGACCGTGATTTGATCTCGAACGCTCTGGCTCAGCAGTCTGTGGCTGCGGCCGCCGTCGCGACAACCGCCGGTGGTATCAACAACCTTGGAAACCGGACCATTTATCTTGGCAACATCCACCCCGAGACGACGATCGAGGAAATCTGCAACGTCGTTCGCGGTGGTCTCCTTCACCACATCCGCTACATTCCTGACAAGCACATTTGCTTCGTTACATTCATCGACCCTACCGCAGCGGCCTCGTTCTACGCTCTCAGCAACCTCCAGGGCCTGATGATTCACAACCGCAGACTGAAGATTGGCTGGGGTAAGCACTCTGGTGCTCTGCCGCCCGCCATCGCCCTTGCCGTCAGCGGAGGAGCGTCCCGTAACGTCTACATTGGCAACTTGGACGAGACCTGGACTGAGGAGCGCCTCCGACAAGACTTCTCCGAGTTCGGTGAAATCGAGTTGGTCAACACCCTGAGGGAGAAGAGCTGTGCCTTTGTCAACTTTACCAACATTGCCAACGCCATCAAGGCTATCGAGGCTGTACGCAGCAAGGATGAGTACAAGAAGTTCAAGGTCAACTTCGGCAAGGATCGCTGTGGAAACCCTCCTCGCCAGCTCTCTCAGCAGCAGCAGCAGGCACAATCACCTCGCACTGATGGTGTCTCTTCGCCGCCCCCAACCGGTTCCCAAAACTCGGGCTCTCCTACCAATGGCAACACCCCTCAGCAGTCCGCCACCTTGTTCAACTCCAACAGCAACCCTTTGACACTGTACCTGAACCACGTCTCACAGCAAGCTCAGCAGCAGCAGCACCACCAGCAGCAGCAGCTTCATGTCCAGCAGCAAGCCCTGTTCGGTACCGCCCAGTCCTCGCCTAGTGAGCTGTCCATCGACGTGCAATCCCAGGGTCCCATCTCGGGTCACCAGCAGTCTGCCAGCATCTCCAATGGCTATCCCCACAGTGCCTCCGGTCCTGGTCCCACCACCATTGGTGGCCTCCTGGCCCCTGGTAACCGTGGCGGCCAGCACAACCGCGCCGTCAGCTTGCCTGCCCTGAACCCTGGCTTCGAGAACGGCGGCGCCCCCTCAGGCAACGAGGGCCCTGAGCGCCGTGGCCACCAGTACCAGGCCAGCTTTGGCGGCATGGGTGCCGGTTACGGTCTCGCCATTCAGGGTGGTCTGAACGGCTGGGTCGAGGAGGAGGTTGCCAACTAGACCAGCGGACAGTTTGCCTCCCTCTCGGCATGATGCGGTAGGAACATAAGGGGAAAGATTGGTTAATCGTTGTAATTGCATCTCACGTCTTCTCACTTCTCCTTCCTTTCTTGATTCTTGGTTCTATTTTTCATCTTTTTTTGTTCTTCTCATCTATAATTTTGGCCGATTTGGCAAAGTGGTCCTGGGCTGTTTTCCCGAACCCAGGGCACGGGGAGGAGACTACCACACAAGAATTTGGCACACCCCTTTCATATATATGATTGTGGTCGAACATAGCAGCAGATACCGGATTATGATACGCCTGGAACATGGCCGTCACGATCTGTAGCCAATGTGGAATGGAAAAATGAGTGGGGGTTGCTATCACGGCCCCACGTACAGGGGGGCGGATCTAGAAAGAGGAAGCGATGCTGACTTTACGAAGCTGCATCAATAGCATGTATGTGTATTAGAGCGTCGTTCAGGCAAGGCATAGGTACCTGGACAAATGCAAGCGGTATTCGTTTGTAACAGTTTCTCACAGTATCTTGATGTGATTTAAAGTGATGTCTGTTCCAATTTGATGCCGATGGTCGTATTGAATGCTCAGTTCAGCCAACCCTTGTGGACTGAGTTCTCGGGTCCGAAATTAGCATTGCTGTCTGCTGCATGCCATCGGGCCAGTTCGCGCCCTCACAAACTCTGTGCTCGATCTGCAAAAGAGCAGCAGAGAGATGTAGGGCAATCTATCCATTGGCGAGCGAAAGTACCACGACCGAATACCATTAAGAATCATGTTACATCGGCATCATCGTAAACCTAACGCAACATTGACGATGTATGTATGTATGTATGTATGTACTTCAGCCTTCTTAAACAAGGTAGATGTGAATTAACAAGAACCGTCAGACAAAACTCGAATTCCAGTTTCAACTCCTCTTAACGCACACAGGTTCGTCTTGCGCTTCGTTTGGGGAGTTTTTTTTATTTTATTTTATTTTACTTTAACGCAGTGTACCATGCAGCGCTGCAGCGAACATGACCTGCGCGTCCAAAGCTTTCCTTCCAAGTAAATTGGGAAAGTCATTGGCGTTTTGTCATTCCCCGCACAGGACACTCCGGGTCGGCGCGGGACGGGAATGGAAGTTATCAGGAGGTTGGCGAAAGTATCCAACTTGCGCGGGAATGGCGAAGAGTGCCTTCGAGGACGGGGGGATGAAGGGGGAAAAAAAAAAACCGTGGGAGGCAGCGGCCCACCTACTCATTCTCATTTCAGTCACTAACATGCTGTTTTATTGATGATACGAATAACGGAAGTTCATCTTTTGTTTTTATCATCTGTCTCGGCAAATACGTACGTCCCTGCACATTGTCTAAAACTTGTCTTTTTTATCACACGCATGCCACGCCATCGACGTAATGAAAATGCGACTGCCAGGGTGTAGTCCGATGTGAAATATGACATAGTGACCTGATTGATGTCAGGGTCGTTCACCAAACCCCCTCGCTCTCTGCACTTGCTCTATCCTGTAAATTATCATCGCCACAGACCAAGTACTTACTCCCGTATCTTGGTCCGCCATACTCTCCAATATCTCAGGTAAGTAATTAGTATCCGGCTGGCTCGGGGTTCGCGGGGAACGCCGGGGCGCTGGCGTTCATGCGGCATTGATCCTTCCAGTTCTTGGGTGTGTACTTGTCGACGATCGACTTAAAGGCGGCCTGTGTGACATGTCAGAAGCGCTGATGCTGCAAGGTACGACGGGGAGAGCTCTCACCAGAGTGCAAAATGACTCGTCACCTTGGAGATGTTTGCCCGTAGGTTTGCAGCCGGGAATGGTGATGGGCTCGTCGTTATATCGCAACCTCACGTAGTACCCGTCCAACTTGCCCTTCTCGGTATCGGTGAGCTCGGGGGTGGGCTTACGACCGATGCCAGGGGGCGCCGTGCCCGGGGTAGGAACGCCAGCGCGGCCGAAGGAAAACCAGGAGCTGAACCAGCTGCCAGTCTGTGGGGCCGGCGCCGGCGGTAACCCGGTAGAGGCCTCGACGGCCGGGATATTTGAGTCACGGAACAGTTCGATGGCAATGTGGCTTGTGAAAGGGGGCCATTTTTCAGTGCCAAAAGCACCCAAGCTAGCTAGCACGCCTGCCAGAGTGGTATCATGACAGCCGCTCATGCCGAACCGGACCGGACTGGGTGCTGCTCCGGGCAGCTTGATCTCGTAGTCCCCGTCGGCCGGGGTATGCTCCACGCTGCCAACCATTCGAGCCACGACGTCACCCATCAGACCACCTATGCCGAGGGTGCGGTACTCCTGGCTCTCCCTGTAGCCGCTGTACCACTCTTCCACGCCAATCTTCTCGATGATGGCGATGGCCTTGGGGTCATAGAACTCAGACGGCAGCTTCGTTCTCGGACCATGGGCACGCGTAGCGTTGATGGTATCCATGATGCCACTAAGACGAGGACGGGAGTCGACGGCAATGCGGGAGCCCTGAGGCATCCACTTGCCGAGCTTTTTGTTGAGGTATTCCATCTCAGGTGTCTCGTTCCACCGGTCGGCAGTGCGCTGGGCAAAAGCACGGGATAGGGCGGCGAACCGTCGACAGTTACCATCGTTGGGGAACAGGGTCTCGTCTTGAGGCGCGCGTGTGAGGAGAGTGAGGGGCGGCAGGGCGGGGTCGCGGTGCGTCGCTGGATACAGACCTGTAAGAGCCTGTTGGAGTGATTCTAGAGCTCTGGGGACGGGGGTCGAGCGTAGGTAGAGGGAATCGGCGTTGGTCAGGTTCGCGGGGAGAAAGTTGAGGCGGTCGACATAAAGATCGCGGAAACGACGTCCTAAGTTGCGGGTGGTCTCTCGACCGCGGTCTGTAAGCATACCCATATCACACACATCGTCTAGCTCGGCGTTGGGGCCGGCAGCAATGATGGGGCTGTCATCCTCGGAGTTGAACGTCTCAAGGCGGCGCTTCCAGTCGAGGTACGAGTACTCTCCAGTGTCGGGATCCAGAACGGCGGAGCGGAGGTGGCGTACGGCGCGACAGTAGGGCCAGTACGGAGGCAGACCGGTATTCTGGAAGCGGGGTGTGACGGGAGTGCGCTCGCCGTGGCGTAGGAGGATCTGCACGAGCTGGAGCTGCAGCTGTGGAGGGTAGAGCTGGCGCAGCTCTGCGTCAGTGTAGGGCTGGCGAGGCTCAAGGGTCGTCATAGCTTTCGGGAATAAGAGTGACGACACGACTTGGTGAGGAATGTTTGCGACACGGGTCGAAGAGTTGGAGGAGGGAGGAGGAGGGGAGGGTCGGTGGGAAGCTTAACAAACAGGATGATGCATGGGACGAGACGACGGATGGGGGATAGGAAGGAAAGCTAAGAATGAGTCTGTTACAAGAAGTTGGGGCTCTTTTTGTCAGTCAATAGGACCCAGCCCCCCCTTCATGTGCCGCTATGGCACCTTACACTTTTGAAAACAAACCTGCGGGAGGATGGATGAGGTTCCGCGGGGCAGGGATTCGGCGTTGGGAAGCCAAGAATTGGGGCCGTCGTGGTCGCGGGTGAGGCTTTGTTTCACGGCTTGGCCATGGTGATGACGTCCAGGGTGCACCGTACTGGACGGCTGCAAGGCCAGGTACGCTAACGTGTATGGCAATTAGTGGGACGAATTGCTATAGTTGCTTATCGGGAGAGCCAGCCCACTGCAACTGCTGCAGCCGCAGCTCCAACAACCCATGGTAGGTACCTAACCACCCAACGAACATGCCGTGGGTTGGCCGAGCTCGGTACAGCTAACTAACTATTATATGCACACCTTGGGCATCCGTAGCACCTCGACCCAAACCGCAATCTGCAATCAACTGCAGAACGCAAAAGCAAGCTCGTCTGAAGTTGGCAGTCGCACGTTTGGACCTTGGTCAGGCCATAGCCTGAGCTTACCTTTTAATATCAGCAACAACTAAGATAGTTAGGTATGGTCTGAGTTTAAGTTCTCGACTGCACTGCATCATCGATTTTTCCTTTTAAGAATGCTTGCTTTTTCATGTTATGCACATACACACACATCTAAGACCTTCTTTCTTGCTTTTATTTTGCTTCACCGTGCCTGTTTGCTGTGCTCCTGCTTAGCTCCTGCTTACATAACCTCTCCATTGCAGACCATCGACATCATCCAGCAAGATTGACTGGAGAGCTTTGATCTGAACCGATACGATTCAGTCAGACATACCGGGTCATCGGGTGCCGCTGTGCCCGCAATCCCCGTAGGTGCCGGATGGCGAAGGGGACATTGTCCAATGACGTGCCCACCAAGTGATGGCTAGCAAGCAGTGGGGTAGACGCTAGTATCCGCCAACACATGTGATTATGTCAGTGGCATAAAGGGAAAAGCAACGGGAACCTGGAAGAAACGGGGCCGCTGACTACACACACACAAACAAAACAGAGCCATGTAGCGAGGTAGTTTCTCATCGCTATGTCAATAAATCGCCTCCTACTGGCCAGAGTTTTTATGCGATTGGGCCGGCCTGTGGAAGACTCTGCTACAACACAGCGCAACGGTAGAAAATTTGATTCAAGGCGGATATGCCAAAGGCTAATAAAGAACGTGGGAAATGTCCGGGCGACCACAGCCCTACTCATTTGTACGCATCTGTGCCTTTATCACTGCGTATAGCAATACGACATGGCGGTGTCAATCGGATAGAGAGAGCAACGACTGTGAGATGAACACACGGTGATCGCCGGCCTAGCCGCATTCGAATTTGGCAGCCTGAGCTTGAGCCCCTTCGGACCAGAGATGGATACAATGTACGACCGACGAAGGATGCCCCCTGTTCTCGGGCGAAAGAGGCGCAGCTCTGTGCATACTGTGGTCGCAAACTCTGGGTCTCTAGTCCCTTTCGCGGCGGGACGATATCAGCAAGCTTTCCTTCCATGCGCAAGTGCTGCGTTAGCCATACGCTACCTTCCAAACTACACGGTACCTGGCATTTACTACGCCGTCTGTTGAAGTAGTCATTTTTCTGGCACGGCGAGTAGCCATCAACGTCAGTCAAGGGTTCATACCAAGCTGGGGCCAGTGGCCACATGTGGATTGCCTCCCATGCCCCAGTGCCAGACACATAGTGGCTGAGAGTGATGTGTGAGGTAGGTACAAATCAAGGACATTCCTTATATAGTTTACCTGGGTCTTCCCTACTCCAGAGTCCTGGCAGAAAATGCCAAATTCGTTTCCAGATCCAAGGGGGGTTGCATTGAATCATTATCTCTTTCAACCTCAAAACGTCTTCACCAACTCAAACGTCAACGGCCAACCTTTTCACACACTTCGTCTCGTGCAACCACTTTTCTTCTTTTTTCTCAGCTCACACCACATTCGACCCAACTTTTCCCCAGATTTGCTATAACCTTTCTCATCTATCGTCGGTTGTCGCGTATCGTTTTTGGGCATTCTTCCGCACCTGCCTCGGTGCTGTGTTCACTAGTGTCCACTCTCGCTCCTCCCCAAAAGAGGACACTGAGCATGTGCTTGAACTAACCCCGGAACGCCCGGCTACAAATTGCGACTTTTATAAACAACCCTGCTACCCGACTTCTTGTGCTCTCATCGTGTACAGCAAAATAGCTGGTTATGATGGTTGCCATGTCACAAAAAGAAAACTTCAACCCGAGGTCAAAAACGCCGCCGGCGCCTTTGGAGAGAGTCCCGTCTGAAGACCCCGTCTACGGTGACGATGATCAAGATGGTGCCCAGTCCGTTATGCAACCCGCGTTGAGCGCTGTCGCTACTCGCCTCACTCTACCAAAGACTTCCGCCGCTGAGAAGGCTGCGGCTATGGAAAGGAGGCCTAGCCGCCGTGCTTTTGATTCTGGCCTCCCAAGCAGTGAAGAGTCTTCCAGCTCCCCAGAGTTAACACCCTTTCCTGATGAGATACCCACTAATTTTGAGGCCGAGCCTGATATGCGAATCTCGCCCTCGCCGCCTAGTAGACGGCAAACCCTAAAACTACAAAAGCCGCGTCCAGCCCCAAAAGAAAGAGATTTGCCTTCGCCGTGGCATGCGAGCCCAAGGACTGGTTTCTTTACTGGCGGTGATAGGGAAGGTCACAAGAGCGCCCTAGAATCCATATCATTCGGCCAGACGAGGCACAAACGCTCATCCTCGACCGGGGCTGATGCGTTGAAAAGATTCTCAAAAGCGTTGCCTTCTTTTCCCGCTCCTTCCTCGATATTCAACTCGTTTTCATTTTTTTCCGCTGCAGCCGAAAAGTCGGAGCAAAAGTTCGCGGCAAACCAACGGAAATCTACGTTGCCCCAAACAGGCAATTCGTATCCCAACACCAGCACCGAGCTTCACGGTGCTGCTCAGCCCCATCAGGTTGAAATTCCTCCACAGAATACCCACGTCAGCCGTCCCTCCGTCTCTTCCTCGCGTCCATCAACGGCGAGGCCCCGCGCTCTTCGGAGGGTTACCTCAGATGACTCCCTCTTGTACCATTCCTTATCCCGCACCTCCTCCATCGGGGATGATGACGGGAGATTTGATCATGTTCGGGAAATGGCCAACGTGAGAATGAAGGCCATCAAAGACAGTTTACCAGAGAGGCCTACATTCAAGATGCCCAGTCTACCAAAGCTACCATCATCACTCAAGCTAAACGAAGATGTGACGAATGAGATGCCGACGACAAAACTCGACCCAGACGATCCTGCTATCCTAGACAGAGTATTGGAAACCCTTACCGGCGACATTGTCATTCTTGGCGGGTACCGTGGCTCGATTCTAAGATCAGCTGAACCTCCACATCATCAACTGTGGGCTCCTGTCAAGATTGGACTGAACATGAGGAAAGCAGACTTGGAGGTTGGTCTCAACCCTGAGGATGAGGAGAGCATGGAAGAACGCATTATTCCGTCAGGAATGCTTCAGAATATTGGCCCCATCGACATCTCGAGGAAACTATTCAGAAAAATTGCTTCATGTGACAACGTTCGCAAAGGAAAGCTACGGCTGTGGGATTACGGTTACGACTGGAGATTGAGCCCTCACCTGTTGTCACGCAAGATGATTGAGTTTTTGGAGAAGCTCCCATCGAATCAGCCGGACACTAAGGAACCAAGGGGCGCGCTGGTCTTGGCACACAGTCTGGGTGGTCTCATCACACGTCACGTAGTGAACCAGAGGCCAGAGCTTTTCTCGGGAGTTGTTTACGTTGGAACACCTCAAAGATGTATCAACGTCTTGGGGCCCATCAGAAATGGCGATGCTGTGCTGTTGAACGAGAAGATCCTAACTGCTCAAGTCAACTTCTCATTGAGGACGACGTTCGTCTTTTTGCCTGAAGACGGCGCGTGTTTCGTCAATAAAGACACCAAAGAGGAATACAGAATCAACTTCCACGACGTCAATGACTGGATCAAATACCGTCTCTCACCCTGTATCGAAGCTGCCTTACCGCCACTAAACCCCAAGGAAAAGTCCAACACGTTTAGCTCCCTTCTCCCACATCGGAGCCGTGCTTCGAGCGATAAGAAGCACAATCATGCCGTCCCCCCGTCTCTCGCCGACGCTGCTCGACGAGCTCAACTTGCACGTGAAGGTAACATGAACCCGCAAATAGACAACAACACTCAGCAACAGACTTCACTGAACGATACACCCTCGCCATTTACCAAGGGAGTTCCAGGAACGCCTACACCGCCAAACCGTGCCAGGAATCTTGCCTACCTCAAGCGCACGCTGGCCGAGGTAAAGCGTTTCCGCGCCGAGACGCAGTACAACCCGGCCCACACCAAAGCCAACGTCTACCCCCCACTTGGAGTGATCTATGGCAAAGAGATCCCCACGGTCTACGCCGTCAAGGTGAGTAGTCGTGACGCCATAGCCCACGCTGATGCATATGACGACCTCATCTTCCGCGCGGGCGATGGCGTTGTCCTTGCGCGCGAGGCACAACTGCCAGAGGGATATGAGCTAGTGCGCGGCGGGCGGGTGAGCACCGAGCGTGGGCATCTGACAATGCTCGGTGACATGCCCGCCGTCGGCAAGGCGTTGGAAGCCGTCGTTCGGGGCCGAAGAAAGGGTATCGGCTTGGGGCACGCAGGTGCCCAGGGGACGCACAGAGGAGATAGACGAAGCATGGCTAGAGCCTAGAGAGTCTTGTTGCTACCTTCTCGGCGTTGTCATTACATTATCGGTCCCGATAGCATAGAGTTAGAAGCCTCAGAGAGAAGGATCAGTGCTTGTACAACAGATGACTGTGCAATAAATTCATGACAAAGTATAAAAATAAGAATAAAAATAAACATTGTCACGAGCCACAGCACCGATCTGATATGAATCTAACCACGCATTGCTGTTCACCTTTTCTTTTCCCCTCCCTCTTCAAGAAAACTTCTAATTCCTTTTTTTTTTCTTTTTCTTTTGGGTGGCAAAGAGCCTCGTGGCTAAGAAGCATAACGACGAAACACGCGCAGGTGCCGGCTCGTATCCGAACTGACTGCGTGCATATATACATATATATATGTATGGTCAAAGTAAATCGGGATAGGCAATCTCTCTCTTTTTTCTTTTTTTTTATCTTTCCCATCATGTGAGACGCGAAACCGAACATTGGACGTCAACGCAGAAAAGGTAAGTAATATCGGCGAACACAGAAAGAGGTTTAAAAAAAATATTAAGTGCCATGTGGGCTGTCAGTGCTTTCCCATTTTACAGAGCAAATGACCAGGCATTTCCCCTTTCTACCCTTCCACTTTGCTGTCTACCAGTATGCTAGGTGTTCATCCAACGCCAAACTAAAAATTAAAAAAAAAAAACATCAATGCGGTGGTATTGCCAGTGCGCGTGTGCATTCATCAATACTCGAAATCATCATCCACGGCGGGACCCTTGCTCTTGGTCACGCTCTCCTGTTTACGGTACATCTCGGCCACTTGCCGACTAGACGTGGCCTCGTCAGGCTTCTTGTCGTCACGCACCTTGATGAAGCGTGGGAACCGTAACGAGATACCCTTCTCACCGCCAGGGTCGACGCCCTCCTTGCACCCTGCCTTGTAGCGCGGGCTGAGCGTCAGATCTGCAGTCTTGACCTCCCAGACATAACGCGGCTCGAACCAGACATCAGGCTGATGCTGGCCTCCAGAGGAGTGCGCGTAAAATGGTTTTGGCCGGTCAATAACAATATCTGAGAGCTGAGAGTGAAGCTCCTCAAGGGCCGCTTCGGAGAATCCCGTGCCAATGTTGCAAACAGTTTCATACGAATCAGATGATGGGTTGTAGCATGCGAGAAGGAATGCGCCGTACACGGATGTACGCTTGCCCTTTCCATAGTATGCACCCAGCACCACAAGATCGAGCGAGTCGCCGATACCGCTGAGGTAATCTTTTTTTATCTAGGGGGAAAATGTGAGCACACGGTCGATGAGAAAGAGAATGCAGCCTTTCAGGGGCCCCAACGACAGTTACATACCTTGAGCCAGTTTCGACTTCTCTTGCTGGGCTCGTACCCACTCTCTGAGCCGTCCAGCATCTTGACCATGAGGCCCTCACAAGATGCCTTGACGCTCTCGTCAAGGAACTCCTGTATCTGCTCCAGCTCTTGACCATTCATATGTGTTGCAAAAGCAAATTCGCCTTCCACCGGCGCAAAAGCCTTCTCGAGTAGCTCACGACGTTCACGGAGCGACTTCTCGACAATGGCCTCACCGTTCAGGTAGAGCAGGTCGAAGGCAAACACGCATACCTTGACCTTGACATCTTCAAGCTTGACATCCTTCTTCTTGCGAGTCATCAACTGCTGGAAAGGAAGCACCTTCTTTTCCTCGACATCCCAGGCCACTGTCTCGCAATCCAGGACAAAACTCTTGGTGTCATCCTTTACCCAGGTGTGCAGCTTTGCCAGAATATCAGGGTACTTCTTTGAAAGATCTTCAGAATTTCTCGAGAAGATAGATGCAACGCCATCTGCCGCAGCCTGGGTGGCCCCTGGTAGGGACTGACTAAGTTCCTCATCCGCAGTCTTGGCGACGTAGTGAATTTGTGCCCGTTCACCATCGTACTTGTACTCACAAGTGAAGGTTTGGTTCTCAAAGCGATCCAGAACCTCGGTGATGGCTTTCGTTGGTTTCGCCAACATGGGCTTCAGGGGTACACCAGGCTTCAGCTTGCAATGATCGCGAAGGTTCATAATACCGTGTTCCACCATGGCGGGGATGATAACATCATAGCTAGGGAGCTCGCTGCCAAAAATTAGCATCAACTGGTATGACAGGAAAAAAGAAAAGAAGAAAAAAAAGAAACATACCTGTAAACTTGTTTGAGAATGGCCTCTGCCTGCTCAACATCCGAAGGCTTGGGAACTTGTCCTTTGGCATCTGCCTCATGATAGACTACTGCTTGAGCCAAAGAGACCAAAACTGTCCTCTCTGCTAAACCAAGTCGAAGCTTACCCTCCAGGAAGCGAACAAGATACTTGGCTTCGCTGGGACCCCCCTTGTCTTTATTGATGTCCACCTTTCCGGTACCATGAGCATCGGCTGCTGACAAGAGCTTCTTGATTGAATCCACCTTACGGCCTTGGGCGCCACTTCCGGAAACCGTAGCGATGCCCATGAGACCATTGTGCACCGCCCTGATCGTCAACGCCTTTGGCTTGAACATGGTTGGTTGTGTTGATCTACTCTTAACTGCAACAAGGCCAAGATCTCCAATTTCCTTTTGATCTTGCTTGATAACAGCAAGACTGCGACCTGTTGTTTCACCAATTGCCTTCATGATTAATGATTCGCCAATGCCGAGTTCAATACCAGCATAATCAGGAGCTAGCTTGTTGATCATGAGCAAGACAGTCGGCAACAGATCGTCTGGCGTCAAACGCAGAACTTGCCGAAGGAACAACGAGCAATGAGCCATGATCTCAAGTCGCTTGGTCGTAAGCTCGATGAGTGAAAACGTTTTGCAGAGTGCTGCATAGGGGACCGGCTGGCCTGGCTTCCAATCTGGGTACGGGTCCTTGGTTGCGGTCTTGAGCTTCATCTGTACCTTTTCCAGCGTTTTTTTCGCTGCTGTTGACTTGACCTCTTCTTCTTCGTCAACATCAGTCTCGGACGTAGACTCTGCAGATTTGTCCTCTTCGTCTTTAGCGACTGGGAGTGGAGAAGGAGACTTGGACTTTTTGGGCGAGGCCGCTGCATTTCCTGTCCTCCTGGGATTGTTCTTCCTGGCTTTTGACGCTTTAGGTGACTTTGAGGGAGACTTGGCAGCGGCTTCGTCCATTACTTCATCCTCATCCTCCTCTTCTAGAACACGCTGACGGCCTCTGCGGGGTCTCTTATCAACGGGCTCGTCTCCTTCTTCTTCAGAGGCCTCCGCCTTAACTTCAGTGCTTGTCGACTTGACTACGGGGCTCGGGCTTCGGGTGCGTTTCCTAGGCTCTGCGGACGGGGTGTGAGTGCATTTTCCAGCGCAAAGATAGGTAAATTCTACAAACTTGTGGTTTCCTTTGTAGCCTTTGAGCTAGTAGTAGAAGTCCCTGTCTCGTCCGTGACCTTCTTGGGAGCTGCTTTTGTAGCAAAGCTCAACTTGCTTTGCTGGGGCTCGGGCTTGGAACCCTTCTGTCCGAAAAACTTGCTGTTTTCCACAATGTTAGCCAGCGACCACTTCGCTCACGTAAGGCGTCAAGGAAAGTAATAGTTCCATTGCACCCATAGGGAATCGAAGACCATCTCCCTTGTACACACCCCAAAGTTGTCTGCGAGGACCGAACGTACCCCAAAGTGGCCTGCTTGGGAGCCATGATAAGTATTCGCTGGTTATGGACGGTGAAGAGTCGGAAAGTGATACGGAACACCGCCCTGGATACGTTCCTGCGAGGAATTGGACCGCTTAAAAGGCGGGCGCAAAACATGAATGTAGTTGAATGCTGATGGAGATGCTTGACGCGCTCTTCCAGGCAGAAAGCGCGTTAAGCAGTGACCTACGCGTTGAAGACCTCTTAGTTACATCGCCCCACTAGGCAGCATTAGGCAGCAAGCTGCATTTAGCATTGGATTTATGCACCAATTGAAGCATCCTAGTCACTGAATTTTAGGAGGTCTTTAGTGAAATCCAAGAAAAAAAAGTTGAGTTAATCACATTGAACCGCGAGGCAACCACAATTCCAAAAAAATCACGATTGAGAACCAAGTTATCGAACCAGGAGGACATCTGCAGACCCCGGCCATGTTCACATTGTGACCACTTCACCCCTTTCTAGCTAGCAGGTATTGTACAATAGGACAGGTAGGTTAGGAGACGATTATTCGGAGCGCATGGAATTTAGTTGAAGTAGAAGTTCTCATCCGGCGTGCGTCCACGGATGAACTGGGGCTCAGTGCCCCTGACATAGATGTCCTCGTACAAGATCTGAGGGGTAGTGGGGGGGACGGCCATGGCCTCAGCGGCAGCAACCTCCTCGTTGACGAAGCTGCGGGCCTCCTTGTCAATTGTCTTAAGCTCGTCCTCAGTGACGACCTCCCAGTCAATGATCTTCTGCTTAAGGCCGGCGATGGGGTCGTTGGTAGAACGCATACGCTGGATCTCCTCACGGGTACGGTAGGTGGTACCAGGGTCGGACATGGAGTGACCACCGTAGCGGTAAGTGACGTACTCGAGGACGAGAGGTCCGTTCTCGGCAACGGCGAAGTCCTTTCCGTACTTGACGGCGGCCTTGACTGCAAGAACGTCCATGCCGTTGACCTTCAGGCCGGGAATGTACTGACCACGCTTGTAGTAGTCGGTAAGGGCAGAGGAGCGAGCGGCAGCGGTACCCATACCGTACTTGTTGTCTAACACAATCATTAGTAGGAATTATTAGTCGGCTTCTCCGGAGAACTTACTCTCGCATCCGAAAAGAGCGGGCAGACCCCAAAGCTTGGCCATGTTGAAAGCCTCAAAGACTTGACCCTGGTTGCTGGCACCATCACCGTACAGGATGACGGAGGCGTTCTTGCGGCCAGTGTACTTGTGAGCGAAGGCGAGACCGGCACCGACGGGCACCTGCGCACCGACGATACCGTTGCCACCGTAGAAGCCCTTGGTGAACATGTGCATGGAACCTCCCTTGCCGTAAGCAATACCCTCACGGCGGCCGAGAAGCTCTCCGATAATGGAACGGACCGTGCCGCCGCGCATGTAGGCGAAGCCGTGGCAGCGGTAGGCAGTAATAACGTCGTCCTGGCGGGTAAGAGCGTGCTCAATACCAACAGCGACAGCCTCTTGACCGGTAGACAAGTGGCAGAAACCACGAATCTTCTTCTCCTTGTACAATCGGTCGGCAGCCATCTCCATTTGTCTTTATGCATGATCAGCTGGCGTGTCCAGTCGGCGGAAAACATGAGACATTTTATAAGGAACCGACTCTAGCATACCTGACCACAACCATGTCCTTGTACATCTGCTTCAACTCCTTCTTGGTCACCTCAAGAGTGTATGGCGGGGGGTCAAGCTGGTATGTCTCGAAGCTCTCATCGCTCAGGGTGATCTGGAAAGGCTCCTCGTCGGACTAAACAAGTAAAGATCAGCCATTTGAAAATCACGATGGGTCGTAATCGATACAGCCGTCATATTTTGCGACAACTGTGGAAGACAGGGCGGCGGAAAAAGAGCGCAAACTCACCTGCGGGAGGCGCTTCTCCAGGGTTGCCGATGCAGCGTTGGTAGTGACGGATCGGGACGCAGCAACGAAAGAAACGGGGGTGCGAGTGCGCAGAGGCACCGCTCGGTTTAACCTGATCGCGCGGGAGAACATCGTGGGGTTGTGATGATGGAACCTCCGGTCGATGAGGATGAGAAGGGCTCGGGGGAAGGAGGATGATAACAAATTATTTGGTCGCTGGAGCTCCGAAAAATCGCGGCGTTGGTTGGGAAGGGAGCTGCTGCTTGTTGAAAACTACTAATCCTAGAAGGGAATAGCGTGTTATCACGTGACTCGACTCAACGGGAATTTGCAAGTGCGCACCTCGAGCACCCGACCACTGTTCGTACCAAGCAGTGGCGCTATCTCTCTCATACGGTGGGCCCCGGTTTGCAACGGCCGGACTTTTTTCTTTTTTTTTTCCCACTTCGGTGGGCGATTCAGTTGAGGCGACCATCGGAGATAGCAGGGAAATTGGATACGAATATGTGCTGTCCCAATCGCCGCTAGAGCCTCCGTTCAGTCGCTAGGGCATGAAACTCAATTCGCCCAAGTTTTGACCAAACCCCAAGGTTTGGTCAATCCATTGTATCGTGCATGTCACTGACTGACAAACGGAAGTCCATCGATACAGGATTGTTCAGAGCAGGACCTCACATTGATGTCATAGATCATGACCTTGTAGTGAGCCGAAAAACATTAAGAGACATAATTCTAACGAGGAAAACAGCCTTGCCGCCCAGATTTGTTCGTTTATTCTCTGACAGTTCAGGCAACCATTGTTGTATCTTCACAGCCATCATAAGACCTAAAGCTCGTGTCACTTCTTACAATATCACATCAATTTGCCAACGACCCTCATTTTGACGTGGTATATAGCTCTACTATACACTTTACCACGGGGTATATTAAGAGAGCGGCCGGGCCAGCCGCGTGGACATAGCTGACCAATGCCAACGCCCTGAAGTTGTGATTCCCGCCATTTGTCCCTTCCATCCATCAAGACCCCAAACGAACCCTCAAAATGCTTTCAATTCCATGCTGGCCCGTCCTTTCAAATGCATGCAATGCTTCCTGACCAACGCCGAACGACACCACTCTTCTTTGTACGAGTGGCCCTCTGATTCTATGCTTAGAAGCGTTTAAGTGATGAAACTGCTAGAGAAAGCAATTATAGTTTCGTCAAGTGGCCCGTTTGTCCACACCGACGTCTCGCTGATGCTCTGGCAGCAGACGTGGCCAGCACATTTGTACCGGCCGTATGCTGCAATGCGACAATCAACATCGCTCGCCTGTAATGTTCTTTCAAAGTCACAACTTCCAAGATGATTCCGCCTAATCATCGTGGAAAAAGGTCTTATTACCACCTTGAAGTGGGGCGGTAGATGGTCCGGCGTCCCTCATATCGACGTCCTGGCTTCCTGTGGCTTCTCGGCTTGGTCCCGCAACACTTGGCTGCTGCTGTCTGAAATCAAGCTGCATTGCGCTCATGGGGCGATTTGGTGTATCCTGCATTACACGTTGCTGGAGGGAGAGCGGGCGATCGTACAGAACATCCTCTGGAGGAGAAAATGACCAGACCTAGGAAGTTTATTAGCGTCATGACACTTTGCAAAAAGATTGGGGAACTTCTCCTACCTCCATCACAGTTCTGTTCTGTCGTAAAGCTAACGCCACGCACTTTTCATCTTCAAAAGCCACTCTCCAAACAGCCTCGCCCTGGGCGATAAGCTCTCGTACCAAATGGCCGGTCTTGAGATCCCAAATTTTGACTCTGCCGTCACTTCCACCACTGACAACACGGGTGTCGTCAAATTGCAAGCTGGTAACGCTATTATCGTGTGCGGCGAGCCGGTGAATAGGACACATTTTCTCCAGTGACCACACGCGTACTGAACCATCAGAGCCGCCAGTCACCAGAGTATCGCCACGCATTTGCAGCTGTCCAACAAGAGACGTGTGACCCTGCAGGATAGCCAAACATTCACTATTAGTGGAGTTAGCAGCAGACCAAGGCAAACATCCTGGCATCAGAGCACTTACGCTGTCCTAGGATCCCAGATTCGCACGTTAGTATCCAAACTGCCTGTCACTACTCTCTTGCCGTCGAAAGCAATCGCGTAGATCTGGCTGAAGTGGCCTTGCAGTGTCTGAATGCATCTGCCCTCCGATATGCTCCACACTTTAGCCGTAGTGTCATAGCTGCCAGATACAACGATGTCTCCCTTGATCTCCAAGCATCGGACGCTGGCGCTGTGGCCGACAAGTACGTTTCTGCACAAACCAGTCCTGATATCCCATACTCTAAGTGTCGTATCACGAGAGCCCGATATCGCCGTGTTTGCGTCAGACATCTTGAGGCAGCGCACAGTTGATGTGTGACCACGAAGTGTGTGAAGGCAGGCACTGTGAATGTCAGTTGAGTCTAGTACCGCCTTGAGTCTTTTCGTCCGGAACTTACCCCGTAGCCAAATTCCAGACGCGCACATCGCGGTCACATCCACCACTAACCAGAATATCTTCCCATGGGACCATCGCCCACACACCCATAACATGACCCTGCAAGGTACGTTGAGCGTTGCCCTTTGTATCGAAAACATGAATCTTGGCGTTATCAAGGGCCACGATGATATACTTAGGGGTTAAGTGCAGGCTTGTTACAACACCCCCCTCTTGAGTAATGTTTCTGGTGGTGCTTGTGCCACCAGATCTCCAAGCCGCCTCTACGAGGTATCGTTGCTTGAAGTGCGACTTGTAAGATCTCATTTTTGGCCGCGAGTTTGAAGACCCGTCTAGACTACGAGAGCCGGAAGCATGTGCTGTCAAAGGGAGGGCACCCGGAAAACTATTGCTGGCGTAGTCGTTGTCACCCCAGAGAGGTTGAGCGCCAGGGCGTGATCCGCTTCCCATGGGCACAGACACTTCTGAAAGACGTCGTCCGTAATCGTGCTTGACGCAGAGATTTTTCCACGTCATATCGTCGCTCAACAAGTCTCGCCATCTCCTGGATACTTGAGAGGCACGGGCCAAAACCTTTGGGTCATCAATAAAGGAGAGAATCTGGAGGCTCGGTATTAGCACGTAGAAGAAAAGAAAAAAAATAAACTACGTAGAATAAAATTCTTACGCGCAAACAAAGCTCATCGGGCAGACTCGTAAATGGATCTTTTTTAAGCAGAGGACTGACGAACTGATGAACAAAGCTCAGTTGCTGGCTTGTGCAAAGGTTCAGTAGGTCCGCCAGGAGACGAGTTCGGTGCGGGCCACCAGAGTTCTTGAAGTGATGGCGGACTTTGGCCAAGAAAAAATCCTCGTCGTCAGCAGCGTCGCTCCAGTCGAGCTGATGATGGGATGGACCTGGAGAGGCGGCTGGTGTGGGAGGTGGCGGTGGTGAGCCAGTCAACTGTTGGTCGAAGTCGGCAGCAGGCGTCGTCATGCTAGGTGTCGGCGGGCCACGCATATGGCCTGGTCGTGCTGGCATCTTTTCCAATTTCTGGCTGCTAGACATCCCCCCCGTGTTGAGCGTCATATCGTCGCTGAGCATGCTCCCCCTCCTTTCCGAGAAACTCAATGGTCGGTTATTGTAACCAGCCATGTCAGGATGTAATGTACGACGGTCGTCCTCGAGAAGTTTGAGATTCGAGACTTCAGAGTCGGTACTGGCAATGCCCCGAAAATCGGGATGCAGTCGTGCAGTGTTTGAAGTTTCGGGCCCGAGTCGGAGAGTGAAGTCGTTGCTAGGCGGTCATTAAGCGAGTAATGTCAACAGACTATTACCAAGCAGCTTGGTTTGCCGTCAAAGCGTCCGTCAAGGGATTCGTCAGAGTTTGACGATAGGGTGATGTAGTATGCGATGTGCGCAGAGAAGTGCAACACAACGATAGGCGCAGGGTACAGTCGTCGCACCTTGTGGGAGGAGCGTGACAAGTCGAAGAGGTCGAAGACAGACCAGGCAGGGGTTATATCGATTTGGTAAAGGGGCAGAGCCAATATAAAAAGAAAAGAAAAATGCGTATGGTAAACAAGGAAAATGAGTCTTTGACGGTGCGATAAAGTGACGGTATCGTGGAGCAACGAGAGAGCGAAACTTGCTCTGGAGGGTAGGCTGAACAGAACGTCGGTTTGTCTGTCGTCGCTTGCCTCTCTTGCACTGAGTATGGGGCGCGGGAGACGGAAGCTTAACAATCGGAGTTGACAAGCGGAAAGCGTGGGTCGCTGGGCCTGGTGGTGGTGTATGGCATGCACAGGGCGTATCAATCGAAAGTGGATTAATCGCTGGTTGACGCCCAAATGCCTTCACACCTCCCTGTGAAGGTGTTTGTTTGCTGTCGCTTGTCGTAGGGCGGCAGGAAGATGAGAAGAAGAGGAGAGACGGGATTGGAGAGAAGTCCAACTTTAGGTTGGCTGGGATTGGGGATTTGGGGGAGGGAGGGAGGAAAGGAGATCAGATACTTGACGAGCAGCACTACGTAGGTAAGTTGGGTAGATGAGGTAAGGAATGGCTTGGGTGTGGTGGTAAAGTACGAGCGAAGAGGTATGGAGACCAGGGAAAGGAACCAGGTCTAGCCGGGGACCAAGACCAAGTAAGACCAAGACCCAAGACCAGTGTGGGACGGGGTGAGGGGGATGAGAAAGTCAAGGCTCAGAGGCGCAGGCCACTGCACGGTCGGTACCTGATGATGGGGAGGGTAACAAAGGCAGAGAGAGAGGGAGAGGCGGTGGGTTGGTCGCCCTTGGACTTTGGGGAAGGACGGATACAGAAAGAAAAAGGGTGTGCGGGTGGAAGTGTGGAAGTGTGGAAGGATGGTGGAAGGGGGGACTAAGACGAGGAGCGCCAAAAGAAGGCCTGGGCTTGTGGTTATGTGGGCGTGCCTTGGGGCGCCGGGTACTTAGTAGTGCCACACAAGTCACAGTGCACTCATCGTCCTTTGTGCCGCCTTCCACTGGCAGAGTGGTGGTGTATTTGTGCCCCCGGGGGGAAGACCTGGATGGAGTGAGAGACGGAGACAGACGGGGCTAGCGGAAGTGGAGGAGGGACCGGGAGGCGAAGAACCCGTGATGGATACCTGAACCTAGTGCAGCATTTTGCGGCATTGGAGGTACCTTCCCTTGAGCCTGCACCTGTCTCTGCTCTTGGCTGGAAGGAGACTGGAACAAAAGAAGCGAAACGGCAGGAGTGACCGACAAGAGTGAACGATATCGTTCTCTCCACTACAAAGGCACTGTAGAGAGCCAAAACATTTCCAAGCATGCAAAGACATTAAGCACTCGCGAGCGACAGACATTTGACAACGCCTCTCTGCCAGGCCCAGGCGCTGATGATTCCCAAACAAACAGAATTTTATTCTGGGCCTTATCTAGCGCTGTTTCGTGCCAGTTGCCCTCCACCGTGGGACTGGCATCCAAGACTTCAGCTGACCTGACAATTTCTCAAGCGCTCCTGCGCCAGGTATCCGTACATTAATTACCTGCATATTCGTACTAACAACATCATTCCCGAGACAGTCTTTGAGAATTATCCAACAATAGCTGACCCCGCTCCTGGCCATCTACATAGTATAGTATATTATCTCTATACCAGCGTGGAAGTCAGAGCGGGAGCCAAGCACCGCCTGCAAACGGCCGGTCCCGGCATTAAGTTACCAACCAGGTTGGGCTGATGAGGACACCACTTATTTTTGACGACGGGCACTTACAGCTTGCTGCTGCCCGAAAATGCCATTTTCATTGAACAATTACATAATTCCCGTTTCCTCTTCGGATATGCCAACCACGTCTCATCGGTCATCTGAGCAAGTTCATTATCGAATGCGAATGCGGCTGGGGTAAAGATGAACAATGCTTAGTCGTTCATTGACCTCCTTATCACCAATATCAGCTGCTGTGCGGATACACACCCGCCCAGGGCGATCGGGAGATGGGCGTCTCTCCCCGTCCCTCGCAAGTCTTGAGCATCCGCCCTGCGTGCATGGAAAGCCCATTCATAATCCACACCCTTCCATTCCCCAGCTCTATTTCGTTGTCTGTTTTTCTATGGATTGCTAGCCATGAGCCGATAAATGAGGTCTCTCACCTTGCCTCGTCTCGCTACAAACAAGAAACCGTCCATTGCTCTTCCAAGGGGCCCTGCAGGGTCCGAGTTAGCGGCGCTTATGCTGCACTAGTGCCCTTCGTCCGCACCATAGTGGGTATTCGTGACGTCGATCGATTCTTTCAAGTCATTGCGGGCTACCGAGTACGAATCTGGCTTGCTGCTGCGCCGAGCCCGCTCACCAAAGAACAGAACCGGCTAGGTCACCGAAAGGCGATAGCGAGCAATACGGAACTGGCTTGTGGATGGAGATACCACGATGGCGCAATGGAGAGTCTCCGCTCGGCTTTCCTCTCTTAACAAGCTAGAAGGCTATATCGCGAATCTGCGCCAAGCTGGGGCCAAACTGCGTCTCCTCCGACTTGAGGGAGCCACAACCGCCCCGTCGTCTCTAAAGCTGGTTCTTGTTGTCTGGGAGCCAACCCGTCGATGTTGTGTTCTTGCAGGAATCACTCATCTCACGGCTGCCAGGTTCTGATGGAGTATTGGTTCAACATTTGGTTGACGCCCACAAAGGCCGACTATTGCATATCGGGGCCTGACGTTTACAGTTATCTGCTTATTCTGCAGCGTTTTTGAACAAAGCGATTCATTAACATCGGCCAAGGAGTTCGTTACAGCCATGCTTAAGTAGTTGACTTGGTTAAGGTGTCGGGTAAACAATGCGCATGCCAGAGAAGCAGAACATCGCTTTGTCCAGTGGCTCTCGATAAAAATGCTAATTTTCAGTCGCTTTTTCACCATGGTCTGTCTCGCTCAGGACCGAATGTAATGCGTCAACGCCGTTGAGATAGACCAGACCCTCACCATCAGATGATGGTACTTGTTGTTAGCTCTAAAGCGACTTGTTACCGACTAAGCCGCCACAAATGCTCCGGGCACCGTGCACAAAGAGTCGACAATAACCCCGGACTAAAGAGGTATGATTGGTCATTCGACGGACGCAAACTAGGACGGCTGTGTCCGATTCGTATCGCAGATCAAGTTCGCTAAGTTTAGCTACCGCTCGTTCGAGCCCCCCGCGCCTCCGCCAGTATTCCACGCGCCGAATCTCTCAAGTTTTTGATTCATTGTCAAGTTCCCTGCAGGATGGCATTGTTCTCTTCTAGAAGAGATGGGATGGAGGAAGAGAAGCAGCTAAACAAGACAAGAAACAAGCCTGCATGTCGCTCCTTTGTGCCCAAGCACAGCAATAGTTTCAACCCATCATAATGGCAAAGCAAATTCCACAAGCATGCTGCAAAGAAGAAGGAGCTCGTGGTTCATCCCAGTCGGAACTTTTCCTACTACCTGGTCTTTTGTCAGTTGTATGTTCAGCTCAATTCCAGGGCTTTTGAACTTGCGACACTGGCGGCTTGGGTGCCTCAGATCTGCTCCAGAGATACGACACAGGGGTGCCATTTTACTTACCCTAGGCTCAGACCTGTCCATTCCGACCCTCCAAAACCCAAAAGTCTTCTTTTTTGGGAGAAGGAGGGGAAAAAAAAGAATGGTTATCCAATACTTGAGGGTTTAATGATGCGATGCTCCTTAACGGGATGGCCTGTATCTGAAGAATTGCGACATGTGCATGCCTCTCGACAAGCTCAATCAGCCCTGCATGGTATCATTTCAGCAACTTTGCCTTGCAGATCTATCGTCGGCTGTCGCAGAGGCATGGATTTGTCAATTTATCTCTGGCTGTCATTCCCATGGGAGCGGTAAAAACTAGCACACAGCCCGCCACCGCTCTTCCACGCAGGAGAGAAAAGGTGTCTCAGACTCGAAGCACTTTCGCTAACCACCGGTCGCGCAGTGCTGCGCGACCACTCTCCTTCCTCCCATCCTCCCACCCTCTCTTCGTCTCTCTTGGAAGTTCAACGTAGCAAAAGTCTGCTGACATGCCAACCGTCTTTGATCCCCTCGTTGTGACGAAGCGCTACGAGCGTCTCGCTGATGCCAAGGTCGTCGTACGAATTTGAAACGCCCAGACCAGAACCCTAGCTCAACTTGAGCGCTCGGTCGACAAGGGCTTCCCTGGCGACGCCCTGTCTGTTGTCTACCCCCCATGTGCCTCTTTGCAGTAGCTTCCTTTGTGGCGAGCGGAACACAAAAAAGATGCACACCCCTGGATTACTTAGCCTTGGGCGGAAGATTTTTCTTTTTTTTTTCTTTTTTTTTTGGTTATTAATCAAGCAAGAAACTTTTGAGCTTTTATATAGTTGCGTACAGCATCGATCGATCTAGAGTACATGGTCTTTAAAAACATATCTTTTTCGGATCCGACAGTCCAGGACGCCAACCGACCAGAAATAGTCTATACAGGTCATCATCGTCATGAGTCAAGAGAGGCTCGCTGTACATAGAAGTCTCAATTGATTGGTATAGATGGGCCGAATATAATCCTCAAGCATGCGGGCACGGTTTACTTGCTTGCCCCCTACTCTATCGCTCAGTGATGATGGCCAAACTGGGTGAGAAGGGGAAGGAGCATGCCAGCAACCGTTGCAAAGGTATCACGCATCTGTGGCCGATGCTGTCCTCTTTGGGCACCACTTCCTTCTGAATAACCGTTGGCACTTCCATGATCATGTTTGGGGTTGACGTTTTCCTCTTGCATCGCGTGCATCGCGACGAAGCTGGTCGATTGTAAGATAAGGCATATTACTTGGATCAGAGGTGAAAATCCGACTTACAGAAAGGTTCCTGCCGAGAATAGCAGGAGCATGCCAGTCCACCACTGGCCGGATTCCCCATCAAGGTTACCACCGCCCAGAATTTGAATAATTGCCCAGGTACTGAGAGCACCGAAAGGGGCAGCAAGGCTGAAGACGATCAAGTGTCCGCGCGCCGCACGCTTCGACAACCCTTGCTTGAGGAGAACTGATGTCAGGCCAAACGCGGCCGGTGCCTTGTGGACCATGATAGCAACGAAAATGATTAAACCCAATTGGGTGTTGGAGGTGGAAGTCGATGCTCCCATGGCGATTCCGTCTGCTGCAGCGTGGATGACTAGCCCGATGGTAGTCGCGAGGCTTCGCGACTGTTTCGGCGGAGGAGCAAGAGAGCCTAAGAATCCTTCAGATTCCTCGTCGGCGCCACTAGATGCGCCGCCAAGGTTGTCCAAACTGACGTGCCGCATTTGCGGTTCGGTTTGCATACGATCTGTCGCATGGCGAGGAAGCCTATCAATAAGAAACATGAGGACGAACCCAAGGACCATGGAAAGACCGATGTAGAACGTAGGCACCTCGGCGTGCTTCTCTTCTCCGTGTTTTGGCTCGGTCCCCGGGGCGTGCCCCGGAGCCTCCTCATGGCCGTGCTCACCCGGAGCCAACTCCTCTCGACCGCGCAGACTCACACCGTCTAGGTTGATAAGGTCGACAGAATCTAGGTTGTCTCTCGGTCCCGCAGGACCAGCAGTGGTTGCTAGTTGCGGTATGTCGCCGCCAGCCGCCCATCGGACTCCTAGCCTCCCCTGCTTACCCACAACATTCGTCAAGCTCCTCTTGTCATGATGATGACCGCCAGAAGTTGAAACTGCTTCAATGCCTTCAGGTATAATGACAATCATCGATGTGCCGACCAAAATACCAACGCCAACGCTGGAGATAAATCGAAGCTGTGACTGCGTCAAGGAAATCGCAAGAGGTAACGAGCCGGCGAAGAAAGACCTGAGGGAAAAATTGCATTAGTTGTGGTTCATCGGAGTCGAAAACCATTGTTTGCCGACGGTTTCGATCTTGCTAAGAACTACATACGCCAGGGCCATCACCGTCTATCAGGACCAAAAACGTTAGCTTGCCGGCACGAATTGAGCTTTGGTTAAATGTCTAACCCAAGCTGGAATCCAGAGAGATAGAGGCAGAAACTTACGCTCAGTAAGAGCAGCAATAGTAGCCCTCCCATTTTTAGATAAAAGGCGTCGATCGATTGGTTCGGCGCATGCGAAGGCGTAGGAGAGGTTGTCGAGAGCGTTGGATCACGCCAACATGTCTAGTACCAAGATTGCCAGCCGCTTTGTTCGCCTGTCGCGGAATACCAAGTGCGGAGGGCGAGAATTGCGGGTTCAAGGCTTTCTTTTCGCCGTCTTTCAGCTCGTTGTAAAGGGATAATCGTCGAGGTTGGTTCTGGAGCTAGGCTGGGCTGGCTCTCAAGGTGCACCCAATGTAATCCATTGGCCGAAATACTCCCCCTTCAATGGCTGTCCCAGTCTGCACCTGTCTTGTCACCACATGTCGTAATGCAGGTGGGTCCTGCTCTTGCGAGGGTCCCCGAGCTAAGTATTTCAAGCGTTAGCGCCCCGAGACGTCCACAACCAATAGGAGCCCCGCACAAAGACCTCTTAAACGCATAAACCTATTAATCTGTGTCGCGTCCTGACGCGCTCTGATTGCGCGCCACCCCAAAGCTGTCGCAAAGAGCTTTCTGTTTGCCTTCGATTTTCAACTGCCGAATCTGTTAGTCTGGACAACGTAATCCGGAGGCTACGTGTTGGGACTCGTTTCCAACCCAGTCAGATTTGATCTCCTTGTTATTGTGAGAAAACCGCAGCAACTGCACGTCTTCACGCCCCAGATACCAAATACCGACATCATGGCCGAAACCGATGAGTGTATGTCCCGATCTTCAATTGTGTGTTTGTCAATGCAAGTATTTACTTTCTATCATAGGGTCGGCGAATGCCACCGAAGCTGTCAACATCAGCCTGATCGCACCTGCTGCCGGAGCCACAAAGTCCATTGGATCGTTTAACCCAAAGTTCACCTACTCGATCTTCGGCGACGATGAACGAATCTTTGGATATAAGGACCTTAAAATCAGCCTTCGATACCTCACGTATGACATGCGGCCCCACGTCAAGGTATCATGGGGGAAAAAATTCCAGTCTGTTGGCGAAACTGAGGCTGCGGACGTCGATGCCATATTGAGAGAGCACCTCCCCGGAGGTAAGTATTCCTGCTGACAGTATACTGGCACACGTCTAATTTGAATAGTCGCGTTTCAATCTGCCAAGGAATTCGATAATCGGGCACAGAGCCAGCCTGAGGGGTTTACTCCTCCCGGTACACTTCATTCGTGCTTTGAAGGCGATGATGGAACATATGAGGTGTGGACGGGCAGCCTAGAGGACCCGGCCATATCTCAGATTGCCAACCGCATCGAGGTTCTTGTTCCTATGTTCATCGAAGGTGGTTCATACATCGCGCGTGACTTGGAGAACACCGAGGACCCCTGGAAGGCCCCTGAGGACGCCAACCGGTGGACTGTCTTTTTCCTTTACCGCAAACAATCTTCAGCTGAGGCCTCGACAAATCCTTCATACACCTTTGTCGGCTACTCGACTGTCTACAAGTTCTTCTGCTTCCGACCTCCCACGCCACCGTCGACAGAGTGGGATCTGCCAAAGGAGGAATTCAATCTCCTAGAGGAACTGCCTTGCCGCTCCAGACTTTCCCAATTCTTGATCTTGCCCCCGTTCCAGGGCAAGGGAATTGGCGCTCGTCTTTATAAGACGATCTTCAACCACTATCTCAACAATTCCCAGACTATGGAGCTGACTGTCGAGGATCCCAATGAGGCCTTCGATGACATGAGAGATTTATGCGATCTGACCTTTCTCCGCTCTTTGCCTGAATTTAGTAAGGTCAAAATTAACACCAAAATTTCTCTGCCGAGCCCCCCAACTGGCACCGTGCCAAAGGATCTTGTGGACCAAGAGCTTCTCAGGAATCTCCGTCAAAAAACAAAGATCGTGGAGCGTCAATTTAAGAGACTGATTGAGATGCAAACCATGTCCCAGCTGCCAACATCTGTGAAGGCTGGATTCAGTGAGGAGAAGAAGGCGAAGCCGACGAAAGAGGACAACCATCACTACCATCTGTGGAAGCTGTTTGTCAAGCAGCGGATTTACCGTCAGAATGCGGATGTTCTTGGCCAACTAGATGCCGGGGAGCGTTCTGAGAAACTCAACGAGGCGCTCAGCAGCGTGGAGCTTGAGTATGCCAGACTTTTGGATTGGCATGCTCGCTGGGAGAAGCACGAAACTAGTGCCACCAACTTGGTAGACACCGGCAGCAAGCGAAAATCGGTGGACGATGCCGAGGAGCAAGCCGTTAACAAGAAGGCCAGAGTTGAGGGCGCCTAACTCGATAAAAACAAAACGGGAGGAATTGTGAAGAACAAGGGCTGTGATTGAGATCAGGAGTTCATGGTTGTCGTTTAGTCTATTCTGTAATTCTACGTAGGCCACTGCCCGGTTGATACCATATTTCTTTCATAGGCAGTTTGTGGCCGGCTTTTCATTAGCAAACAAGTGCGGCGTGATTGGCTAAATGTTTTACTGGTTGTTCATTATTCAAGCTTTCGTCTAGTCCGCCAACGTTTTTACTGACCGGGGAAGCCTGATTGCGCGGGGAATCGAGTGCCGTTGACACCCTGAACACCCTGACCAAGTTGGCTAGCAACAACAGTCGCTTCACGTACGGCCCGCGCAACCGTGCCTCTGACGCGACCCTCCTCAAGCACCAACAAGCCTCCGATAGTGCAGCCGCCAGGAGTGCTGACCTTGTCACGCAGGAGGGCCGGATGGTCGCCATTCAGAACAAGGCCAGCAGCGCCCCTCATTGTCTGAGCAGCCATCCTTTGGGCTTCGGCACGGGGGAGACCCATAGCAACGGCACCGTCAATAGCAGCCTCAAGCATGAGCGCGAAGAAAGCTGGACCGGAGCCACAAAGTGCGGTGCTGGCGTCCATGGTGTTGGGAGGGAGGTAGACCACGTCACCGATGCGCCTGAAGATCCAGGTAACCAAGCTTGAGATTTCCTGGGGGAGCGGCCAGGTCGAGGTGCCAATAACGGTCATACTCTCACGAATGAGTGAGGCAGTGTTGGGTACGGCGCGGATAACACGGCAGCGGCCGTCCTCCTCGGGGCTCTTGGTGGGTGCAACGCCATGAAGGACTTCTTCCAGGTCCGCCTCGGTGACGCCAGCGCAGATGGAAATGAGAAGCTTGCCGTGCAGAGCGCGAGCCATGCCGGGCTCGCTGAGGACATCCTTTACCATGTAGGGTTTGCAGGCGAGGAGGATGACCTCGGATTTCAGGACCGAGGCGATGTTGTCATTCTGCACGACCTTAAGAACAGAGGAGTGCTCCCAGAGAGCCTTCTTCACCTTCTTTGCGCTCTCGGGGCGGCGAACGCAGGCGATGAAGCGGGAAGGTAGACGGCGGGGAATTTCGTCCTCCAGAGGCGTGGAATGGCCTGACCCAGCAAGAGTCTGTAATGGTTTAGGGGCGGACATCTCCTGGAGAGAAGAGAGGATCCCATTGAGAATGGCGATACCCATGGTACCTATTGGAAAGTCAGTTTCGTTTTACAGAAATACTTCACATTAACCGATCTCATCCCCTTTGTCTTCAATGGCATGGTAGTAAGTTAGGAAAATAAGTTCAAGCATGGGTCCAGGCTGTGATGCTTGATATATGTAATTTCGAGATAACTTACCGCAGCCAAGGACAGTCAAGGTGAGCTCGTCCGAGGTGGAGGCATTGCCGTCGTAGATGGTGAGCGACATGATTAAAGGATACTGAAAATGCAAATGTAGGTAGGTGTAAGTGATTGTCTTGGCTGGCTGTGTAAGCGTTGAGCGAGATGAATCTGTGGCCTTTTTGCCTTTGAAAAATTTCAATCCAATTCGCACAATCAAGGCCAGGACAAATGTGGCACTTTCAGGCTTTGAATTTTATTCATTAGACATCAAGTACCCAAAAGACAAAGAAACAATAACAAGGTATTGTTCACCTACTTTTACTTACTCCACCGTTCCGATATCGTCCATATCACCACCCACAGAGCGATCATTTTTCGGACGCTCAGACACTAACCCGTGTTTGTATTAGCGTACTTTCCCAAGCATTTTCACAGTGTGGATAGACCAGAAAATTAGACGCGGCATAGGCGATCCCTGTGAGAAAGGTAGCTGGTGCTGATCCAATAGCGACAGAGAGCTTTGAGCACAGCAACACGGTCTCATCAGCTTCAACACCACCGCTGGCCTGGTCGGAACTTTCAACGCCGACTTGAAGTATTTCTTCCTCTTATCGCTCAATAAAGAGAATTAAGCCCGGGACTGGAGCACGGGCGCAGCAGATATGGCAGATCCTTTCGAGGTTCGGATGCGCTTCACGCACCAGTTGCAGCATCTCAATGCGTCCGTCACTTCTGCTCAGAAGGCCGCTCAGTATGCGCTCAAGTATAAAGACATGGACGAAGATTTGCACTCTTGCATCATCGAACAGCTGGAACGTGGAGTGAGTTTAGTTCGAGCGAGGAAAATAATAACAGAAGCTTATGTGTGTTCCAGAATAACATGAACACCCGGGCCAACATCATGTACTTCATCGAGCATTTTCTTGAAATGGCAAAGAAGGACAACCACATCGACTATGTTCGCATGATGCAACGTGACATCATCCGGGTCGTCGACGCAGTCGCACCGGACGATGGATCCGGTGCCGCCAACGTCAAGGTTGTCAGAAGAGTATGTACTCATCAGTTGCGCACCTTGCCGTGCCAGACACTGACCCGACATAGGTTCTCCAGGGCCTTCAGCAGAAGCAGTTTCTGCAGGCCCAGACAGTCACCGAGATTGAAGAAGTCCTGAAAGAGCGTGAGACGAGCGCTCGTGATGCTGGCCTGTCGTCGCCTGTCAACGGAGACGTCGACATGGGCGATGCGCCCCCCAGCCAGACGATTTCAAGTAACAGCAGAGCTCCGCGGGTGGATAAGCGCCAGATTGAGCAGCGTATTGAAGAGGACCGTGAGCGCCACAAGAGATTGCGCGAGAGCATCTGGGCCATTCCATCGCAACCCAACGCTGAGACTGATAAGATCTGGGAGGAGACAAGTGACCTTGGTGATGACGACCATATCCTCGGAGAAGAAGAGCTTGGTGAATGGCGCCAGGCCATGGAACACCAGTGTGCGCCTCGTCCGCCAGCTGGTCCTGCCAGCACTCGGATTACGAATGGAAAGAAACAGTAGCCGGGTAGTAGTATAACCTTTCTTCTGGGCGTAAATGGGCGTTTATGGGCACTCAAAATCGGCGTTGGGAGGTTGATACTGGTAGTAGGACTATATACCATTGTGTGGGGTGACTCTACGGATCCCAGTAGTTTTCGGTTTATATAGGTTGTAGCCTTGTCACAAACGACGGTCAATGCAAACGAAAACGGGTTTCACGATATAATGGTGGTGTATGTCTTTGATAATATTGTTACATGGGTGTTTATACACTCATACACGTCCGGGTCTAGACCGATCCGATCCAGATCCGACAACAAAACTGCCCCCCGAGTTTTTATCTTCTCGTCCCAAAGAGAGAAATAGTCGCTCTCGTCAATTCAGCCCGGCCATCCAATGCAAGCGGCGAAAATGGTTACTCCATAACGACGGTAGCGCCAAGCTCCTTCATGGCGGCGATGATCTTCTCGGCCTCGTCCTTGGCCACATTCTCCTTCATGAGCTTCGGCGCGCTCTCGACGAACTTCTTGCTGTCCACCAAGCTAAGACCCAACAAGTTCTTGACTTCCTTGATGACCTTGGCCTTGGAAGCGGCGTCAAAGGCCGTGAGCTTGAGGTTAAAAACACTCTTCTCGGCGGCAGCGGGTGCGGCCTCCTCGGCCTCCTCAGCCGCGGCGGGGGCTGCTGCGGGGGCGGCGGCGGCGAAGCCACCAACGGGCAGGTCGGGGATGTTAAGCTTGGTCTGTTTTATTAGGGGGAAAAAAAGCATCAGCCCATGTCCCTTCTGGCGACCCAATGGGTGGGTGCCACTATCTATTGAATGGCTCTTATTAGCTCACCTTCAAGCTTGAGACGAGGTCGGCAGTCTCGAGGAGGGTAAGGGTGCTGATCTGGTCGACGATGGCGGCGATCTTGGGGTTTGTGGGAGCTGCCGCGGCCTCGGTCGAGTTGTGCCTTCGTGCGGTCGCAGGAGTACGGGTCTGGAAGAGGGTCGACGAGACACGCAGCGCGCTGGTGGCACGAAGTTGACGAGCGCAGCTCTGGGCCGCGTATCTGCAAGAAAGCGCCATTGTAGATGTGTATGTTGTTATGGGAGGATGGCAATTGGGCCGTCGTTAACGAGGCGGGGGGGTGTTTTGGGGGTGGTGGAATTGGTCGTCGGTTCGGCCTTCACAGCTCGCAGGGAGGTTCCAGATTCGGGATTCTCTCTGCTTGAAGTTTTTCGAGCTCGAATGTCCAGTCGCGTGGAAAGGTGCAGAGTCGTCTCCACTCTGATTGGCTCGGGGCTTTGTAGCGCCGCATTCCGCCCAGAAACTGCAGGGAACCCTGTCACTACCAGAAAAAAAAGTTGCGGTTGGCTGGGGCGAAGGGTCCTCTGAAAGGAAAGAGAAAAAAAAATAGAGAGAGAGAGTACATGCAAGCCAGTCGCCCATGAACATCGCCGCAGACGACATATCTCGCGATTGAGCCGCAACCATGGCCACGATTGATGTCTCGGCGCAGAGGAGCGCTCTGCTAAACGATGCGATTGTTCTGGAGCATTTACCTACCGAAATTATTGAGGTTATCAGAAATCATACTGCCTCAAACCTCCTCGACGCCATTGCTGAGGCCGCTCTCATTCCCCAACTTACAGATCGAATTTTCATCCACTTTGAGAATGTCTTCCCTGACATCTGCGCACGATGGCTGCTCAACTCCAGGAACCAAACAAGAAATGGCGCTGTTCTTACTTGTCTTGCAAGGGTACTGCCGTTTGCTCCGTATTTGTCGGAATTTCTTCAACAGGTCATGAGTGAGGACTTAACCAAGACACCGCCGCCAGGACCACATACCCTGAGCCTTCGATTTCCCGATCTCACCACTCTCACTTCCGCTTCAAGTTCTGATCTTTTGGCACTGCTATTGGCAGCATGGAGACTTGTTTGCTTTGACCAAAGAACCTACGGCGTCTTAGTCTCACCCACTCATATGCAGGTTCTCTTCTCACACGAGAGCCGCGTCGTCCGGTATACGGCGATCCGAATTTTCACACAGATTCTTCGTGCTTCCGACTCAAAACTGGAAGCCCTTATCAACGAGCATGTTGGGACGAGAGAGGCTATTCTCGCTGACTTTGACGGATGTGAAGTAGACTATGGTTTCTTGAGTCTGTATGAAGATGCAAGGATCAAGAAGACTGCGGCGCTGCGCCGCGAAATTGGCGATGCTTCCCACAGCAATCAAATCCAACCCGTTTCACCACAAAGTCTGACCCCTTTCGTTGCATGCTACGGCAACACAATACTGCCGCGACCGTCCGGACCGGTCGAGAAGAACTCATCCCTTGTGCTGACGTCCACAACTACTCAAAACCTGGAGACTCTGGCCGGTCTTCTGAAAAAGTCCAGTCCCATTTTGCTACACGGCCTTCCCGGATCTGGTAAGACTTCGCTGGTCCACGAAGTCGCGAAAGAGTTTGGAAAGCATTCGGAGATGGTGACATTACACATCAATGAGCAAACAGACGCCAAGATGCTCATTGGACTTTACTCCACTGATTCGAAACCAGGAACCTTTTCCTGGAGGCCAGGTGTTTTGACAACTGCAGTCAGGGAGGGAAGATGGGTGGTCATCGAAGACCTGGATAGGGCGCCGAACGAAGTCATCAGCACACTGCTTCCCTTGATCGAGCGTGGCGAGCTCCTTATTCCAAGTAGAGGAGAGCGAATTCGAGCTGCTAGTGGATTCCGACTCTTCGGCACGGTCAGAACCTCTCGTGGTATGCATGGACGGGAAACCCTCCCTAACCTACTGGGTTTGCGGTTCTGGCAACTTGTCTCTGTACAAACGCCGACAGAGACAGAGTTACAGGACATTATTACCGGATCTCACCCCATTCTGCATAAATTTGCACCTGGTATTCTGTCTGTTTATCGGCGATTGTCGAAACCAATTTCTGGCAATATGCCCTTCTCATCTAGTCGCGGCATGGCCGACCGTCAAGCCAGTTTACGAGATCTTCTGCGGTGGTGCAGGCGTCTTACAGCCACGCTTTCCGCCGCAGGCTGTAGCACTGGCGATGAACCCATAAGCGAAACTACTCGGGACTGGATGTTTATGGAAGCCGTCGATTGTTTTGTGGCAGGCATCCCGGATGTCCAGGCTAAGAAACACCTTATATTCGCCATCGCCGAGGAGATGCATATGGCAAAGGAAAGAGTTGAGCACTTCCTTGAAGCTTACATTCCCCAGCTTGAACAGAACGACACCCAATTCAAGATCGGTCGGACAACACTACGGAAACGTAAAGATCGTGTTAATAAGGCTGCTCTTGCCAAGAGGCCTTTCGCAAGCACGACGCATGCAAAGAAGTTGCTGGAGCAAGCTGCAGTAGCGGTTAATCTTGGTGAGCCAATCCTGCTCGTTGGTGAGACCGGTATTGGCAAGACTACAGTCGTTCAACAACTAGCCGACACGCTGGGCCACAAGCTTGTTGCGATCAACTTGTCCCAACAGAGCGAAGCCGGCGATCTCCTCGGAGGCTTCAAGCCTGTCAATGTTCGAAGTCTCGCAGTACCTCTAAAGGAAGAGTTTGAGGACCTTTTTTCTGCTACCGGCATATCACAAACCAAGAACCAACGGTATCTTGAGCAGCTTGGAAAATGCTTTGCCAAGGGCCAATGGGCAAAGGTTGCTAAACTGTGGCGTGAAGCTCCCAAAATGTTCAAGAAAATTATTGAAGAGTTGACCCAACGCGAAAGAGAAAAGTCAGAGGCTGGTGATGAAGGAGCCCAGCCGGTGAAGCGTCGAAAGACTGAGTCCAAACTTCAGACTCTTCTCGAACTCAGCCCTCGCTGGGACCAGTTCTCCCGCAACCTCGATCAGTTTGAAGTTCAACTCTCCGGAGGCGCAACTGCGTTTGCATTCTCGTTCGTCGAGGGTAACATCGTAAAGGCTGCTCGAAACGGTGACTGGGTTTTGCTCGATGAAATCAATCTTGCATCCCCCGATACGTTAGAGAGCATTGCAGACCTCTTGACGGGACCTGTTGAAACTCCTTCTATTTTGCTCTCTGAGACGGGCGAGATCGAGCGGATCAAGGCACACCCGAATTTCCGCATTTTTGGCGCTATGAATCCGGCAACAGATGTGGGCAAGCGCGATCTCCCCATTGGCATTCGGTCCCGATTCACAGAGCTCTACGTTGACAGCCCTGACAAGGATGTCAAGGATCTGCTCACCATCGTTAAGACGTACTTGAAGAGCAGTAGCACCAAAGATGAGCAGGCAGCAGACGACATTTCGCGTTTGTATCTTGATACCAAGCTTCGTGCCGAGCAGAAGAGTTTGGTTGATGGAGCCAACGAGGTACCGCATTTCAGTCTTCGCACACTCACTCGGGTTTTGACTTATGTCAATCATATTGCCCCGTTTTATGGCCTTCGTCGAGCCCTGTACGAGGGATTCTCAATGGGCTTTCTTACTCTTCTTGATAGGGACTCAGAAAAGCTGCTTATGCCTCTAATTGACCATCGTCTGTTTGGCCGAGTACCAAATCCTCAGTCCCTACTCTCTCAACCACCGAAGCAACCTGATGATGGCAAGCAATATGTACGCTTCCGAAACAAGGCAAAGGATCGCCATTATTGGCTGGCTCAGGGTGAACTGCCCCCTCAAGAGAGGTCAGATTACATTGTCACTCCGTACGTAGAACGGAATTTGCTCAACCTGGTCCGAGCAACTTCTACACGGCGCTTTCCTATCCTCATTCAGGGTCCTACGTCAGCAGGAAAAACTAGCATGATCGAGTATCTGTCCAACTTTACCGGCAACAAATTTGTGCGCATCAACAATCACGAACACACTGATCTTCAAGAGTACTTGGGCACATACATATCTGATTCGACTGGGCGACTCCGCTTCCAAGAAGGTCTGCTTGTCCAAGCCATGCGACAAGGTCATTGGATTGTGCTGGATGAGCTTAACCTCGCGCCTACTGATGTCCTTGAGGCCTTGAACAGACTTCTCGACGACAATCGAGAGCTTTTAATCCCTGAGACGCAAGAGATTGTGAAGCCACATGAAAATTTCATGCTCTTCGCCACACAGAACCCTCCAGGCTTGTATGGTGGTCGAAAGGTTCTTTCTCGTGCATTCCGCAACCGCTTCTTGGAACTGCACTTCGACGATATCCCTGAAGATGAGCTGGAGTTTATCCTACAAAAGAGGAGCAGCAACACTGCGCCTTCGGACTGCAAGCGTATCGTCTCGGTGTACAAGGAGCTTTCTCGTCTTCGTCAAACCAGCCGGCTATTTGAGCAAAAGGACAGTTTTGCCACACTCCGTGACCTGTTTCGATGGGCTCTGCGTGAGGCTGACAATCGCGAACAAATCGCCATCAATGGCTTCATGCTTCTAGCTGAGCGAGTTCGCGTTGAAGAGGAACGCACTGCGGTCAGAGAAGTCATTGAGGGCGTCTTCAAAGTCAAGATTGATCCAGACGTTCTATACACCGCCAAGTACTCCCCTATCTTGAGCAAGATTCAGGCCATGCCCAACAACCACGGTGTCGTCTGGACCCGAGCGATGCGTCGTCTCTATGTATTGGTTGACACTGCCATTCGAAACAATGAACCTGTCCTTCTTGTTGGCGAGACCGGTTGCGGTAAAACCACTGTCTGCCAGATTCTTGCAGAGGTGCTCGGAAAGGAACTGCACATCGTTAATGCTCACCAAAACACCGAGACTGGAGATCTTATTGGTTCTCAAAGACCTGTGAGAAACCGCGGCGCGATTGCTGATTCTCTGAAGAGCGAACTGAGTTCCGTTCTCGGACAGTTTGGCGAAGACACAGCTGGCACGTTGGAAGAGCTGCTTCAGAGATATCACGTGCTCTCGCCAGAGGCGCAGGCCAAGATTGATTCTGCAACCCAGGAGAAGATCGCAACATTGGAGACAAAGAGCAAAGCTTTGTTTGAGTGGTCCGACGGCAGTCTCGTTCATGCTATGAAGTCCGGTCAGTTCTTCCTGCTCGATGAGATCTCGCTCGCCGATGATTCCGTTCTGGAGCGTTTGAACTCGGTTCTCGAGCCTGGGCGGTCTTTGCTGTTGGCTGAAAAGGGCATTGACAACTCGTTCGTCACCGGAGCAGACGGATTCCAATTTTTCGCGACGATGAACCCCGGAGGCGATTTCGGCAAGAAGGAATTGTCCCCGGCACTGAGGAACCGTTTCACTGAAATATGGGTTCCAGCCATGTCAGAAACTGATGACATGCTGGACATTGTCCTCTCCAAGCTCGACCCAGCCTTCAAGTCGTTTGGAGGGCCGGTGGTGCAGTTCGCACACTGGTTTGGACAGACTTTCAGATCTTCATCGTCGACCGCCTTTTCAATTCGTGATATCTTGATCTGGGTCAACTTTATCAACCTCTGTGGTCCGACAGCGCCCCAGTTCGCCGTGGTTCATGGTGCAGCTACTGTCTTTGTTGATAGTCTGGGCGCCAATCCCTCAGCCTTGCTGGCCATGGATCCGAAGGCACTTGATTCACAGAGACAAAAGTGCCTCGACAAGCTTAGCGAACTGCTTGGTTACGACACAACGGCTATCTATCGAGCGCAGCCTGAGGTGGCGTTAACCGAAGACCGCCTGTCAATTGGTGACTTTGGCCTGCCCAGGGAAGCTGGTCGCAAGTCTGATCCTAGCTTTGCTTTCAATGCTCCAACCACAAGACTCAACGCTATGAGAGTAATGCGCTCGCTCCAAATGCGTAAGCCCATTCTGTTAGAAGGTAGCCCAGGTGTCGGCAAGACGACGCTTGTTGCTGCCCTAGCTCGCGTGTGCGGACGGCCCCTGACAAGAATCAACCTGTCTGACCAAACTGATCTTATGGATCTGTTTGGTACGGACATGCCAGTCGAGGGAGCCGAGGCCGGTAATTTCGCCTGGCGTGATGCACCCTTCCTCCAAGCTATGCAAAATGGCGAGTGGGTTTTACTGGATGAAATGAACTTGGCTTCGCAGTCTGTTCTCGAAGGTCTCAACGCATGTCTTGACCACCGTGGCGAGGTCTACATCTCTGAACTGGACCAGGTCTTCAAGCGCCATCCAGACTTTCGCCTGTTTGCCGCACAGAATCCTCACCATCAGGGAGGTGGTCGAAAGGGTCTTCCAAGCTCATTCGTGAACAGATTCATCGTCGTGTACGCCGACACCTTCACAGAAGAAGACCTTCTCCTTATTGCACAGCATAACTTCCCTAGCATTCCTACTGAGGTTATCAGCGGAGTCATTAAATTCATATCTTGCCTTGACCACCAGGTTGCTATTGAGAAAGCGTTTGGCGCACACGGAAGCCCTTGGGAATTCAATCTGAGAGATATCCTTCGATGGCTGCATCTTCTGGCCACTTCAGACCCATTGCTAGCTACTGGCAAGCCCGATGACTTCCTTGATCTCATCATTCGACAACGTTTCCGCTCTCTTACAGATCGCGAGGAGGTGAACAAGCTCTTTTCTCAGGTCTTTTCCAGGGCTCCGGATGGCCACAGTCTTTATCATGCTACAGACGCCACTTTCTGCCAAGTTGGAAACGCTTTGCTTCCCAGAAACCAGACATTGCAGCCTGTACCGCTGCCAGGCATCGATATCGTGCCTCGGCTGCCGGAGATGGAGTCGCTCATGATATGCATCAAACAAGACATCCCTTGCATTCTTAGTGGCCCCTCTGGAAGCGGCAAATCGGTCCTGCTCGAGCATGTCGCTGCGCTAGTTGGAAAGCCGCTTGTTGTGTTCCCTCTCAATGCCGATATTGACACAATGGATCTTGTTGGTGGCTTCGAGCAGTCAGATCCTCTGCGGGAAGTGAATGCTTCATTGCGAGAACTCCGCGAAGGCCTGCAAACCACGATCTTGACGCGTGTGCCTGGCCAAGTCCCATCCCAAGCACTTGCTTTGTTGCATCTGCTGGAGTCTTACCGTGGCGACACTGGCTCTCTTCCCGCCATCACAACTTCTGTTGAAAATGTGCTCTCTGAAGTAGCAGAAGATTCGGAGATCGGCGCGCTCTTGTCCAACGTCCACAATGTCCTGGAAAGGCCGTTAATTGTTAGCAACCCTCGCTTCGAATGGTTAGACGGAGTCATTGTCAAGGCCCTCGAAACGGGTCAATGGCTGGTCTTGGATAATGCAAACTTGTGCAATGCCTCTGTCTTGGACAGACTCAACTCTCTGCTTGAGCCAAACGGCTTCTTGAGCATCAATGAACATTGCGGTCCCAACGGAGAGCCTCGCATCATTAGACCACACCCGGAATTCCGCATCTTCTTGACAGTCGATCCGCGGTACGGCGAGCTGTCACGAGCTATGAGAAACCGAGCTGTTGAGATTCACCTCAGCGAGCGATCAGTGCAGGATCAGCCATCCCACAGATACAATGTTCACGTTGAAAGCAGTCTTGAAAGGTTCTCTTCTTCCAGGGACATTTCTGCCGCAGTTCTCAGACAAGATGCCACCTCGGGAGTCTCTAAGGCCACTCTCGAAAACCTGTCGCTTAAAGATACAGCTCTCATGGAAAGGTTTTCTCATTCTATTAACCGGGGTCTGGCTGACCTTCCTTCTTCTTCGCTTGAAAAGTATCAGGACAGTTTGAAGGAGCAACTCACATATATGGATGCTACTGAGACAGCTGGCCTCCGACAGGCTGTCTTCGACCTTTACGCCAGCCTCCCTGATTCAAGCTCTGGCCTTGGAAACGCACAGGTAAGTTTTTTTCTTCCATTTCAGTCAAAGGCGTTAACTAACAGTTGTTCGTTAAGCCTCTCAACCCGCTCCATAACGCTCCCGTGGTGCGTGTTCTGCACCGCAACAACGGAGATCTGGCTTTCTGGCTCTCAGTATGCTATGACTTTATGCTGGAGATACAGCGCTGTCAAGCTGTAATTTCCTCTCAAGTGAACAAAGCAAGGGCAGCGAAGCTCGCCTCTTTGAACCGCCTCCAACGATCTATCGTGTCGGACCGCATCGCAGCAGTTGCGAAGGACTCCACAGTCAAAGTCTCCAAGTTCCTGTCGAAGACGCTTCAAGCTATCAGGGCTTTTATACAGGCCAACCTAAAGTCAGCTCATGGCTGGGAGGTAAGTTGACCAAAACAAATTGCGTTGACAAACACTAAAGGAAGATAGGAACGTGCCCAGGTCTTGCGAAGAATACTTGATTTCTGGTGGCGAACTATCAATCTTACAACTCAGCACATGTTTGAAGAAGCACGATTCCAAGCCCATTTGGTGCATGGCGTCGAGTCCGTGCAAAGCCTGCTTTCGCCAACGACAGATAACATCAATCGACAACTCGCTGACCTCTATCTTCAAACCCTTGAAGATGACTTCACGACTGGTTTCCGACTCTCGACAGGATTGAGTATGGAGGTAATGTGGAAGCGCTTCAAGCCGTTGCCCGTGATGAGCGGAGAAACACTCAGCAAGAGCCAAGAGATCGAACGACTGGGCATACGACTTGATGAACTCAAATGGAGAGTTAAGGCATCTGTTTCCGACCTAGCCAGAGCCATGACTACTCTTGTTACTGCAGATGAAATCGTGCGAAAGAGCAACTCCGATGCCACCGAGCTTATCGATGACCTGACGAAGGAAATTGAGCTTCTCGAGACCAAGGTTGGCTCAGTGTCTAGTGAGGTCAAACCATTCTTCGCCTCGGAGTTTGAAACTCTGAGAGAGATTTCTGTCCTGCAATCTCAGGAATCTGATCACCCACAATGCAATGCGAGCCAGCCAGACCTAGTTGTGCTATCAAATCAGCAAACGATCGACCAGATCCGCTTGGGCAGCTTCGGTGGCAGAGAGGCACGATCTTTGACAATTGGTCTTCTGGCCTCCGAGGACTCAAATGCTCATGCCTGGAACGGCAAGTTTGCCATGTCACTCTTGTCCAGGCTTGGCTCTCTCCCAAACACCAGCTTGCGCTCTCTGGGACTGCTTGAGACCGAGCTTCCCTCCCTGGGACGGTCTGTTGCATCACTAGTCCCCTCGTTACAGGACAGCCAAATAGCTGCCCTTAACAAGGCTCTGAGAACATTACTCACAACAATTTTCGTCGTCCACGACGATAAGCGAGACGAGCCCTTGATTACGATTTACCAAGAGGCTGTGGAACAGCTCAAGGAATCACAGAGCATGTCTCAGAAGTTCCCGCAGCTGGTTACTCGATTTAATGATGATTTTTCTGCGGAGTGGCCTCCTCATCTCGTGCAAATTGCCAAGGAACACCTGGTCCCTGCAACGGTTGCTCTAGCATTCTCCGATGCTTCTATACAACACACCACCGACTTCTCCAAAGCTCGTGATGTAGCTGCTTTTTCTGCAGTTGCCTGGGTTGAGTTTGCCATTGGTGCTATCAAGCTTTACGTGCCCGACAAGTCGTTCGATCCGCAATTGCGACCACAATTTGAGAAAGACGTTCACGACGAGCTGACGAGAGAACTTCAACACAAACTCGCATCCCTGATGGACTTTGAGTCTCGTTTCACAGGTCAAGACACGTCCCTCAGCATTCAACTCGTCCAGAACGATATCAATGCACTTGGGCCGGCACCGGCACCTACACAGCTACTCTACCGGCCCCCTCGGTCGGAGCTGAACCAAGTTCAGACAGACTTTAATAACGTTCTGAAGATGACCATTGGACAGAACTTGTCGGCTAGTCACACTGCCTTCGCTTTGTCAAGTTCTATTGAGGCTAAACAGGATATTGAGCTCATCAAGCAGAACCTGGCTTTGATGATTGATCGCCTGGCTAACCGATTTAACGCCTATCAAGACATGACACGACCTCTTGTCAATATTCTTGGCTGTCTAAAGCTGGGTCTTTCTATAAGTGACGGACTCGATTCTATAGAGACTCATGCAACAGACACCACTCTTATGGACTTAACACCCTTCCTAGGGGGTAAACCTCAGCACCATGTTCTTGCCAAATTCCCAAACAAGACCCTAGAATTCCTGGACTACGTTGGACTGATCACATCAGTCGAGGGGCTTTCGAACCTCAACGTTTCTCTCCGCGAAGCATTGTTTGAATGTGTTCACGGATTTTTCCAAGAATGGATGAAGAAGCTTGATGCAGACCGCAAAGCTGAAGAGGCTAGAACAAGTCTTTACCGATTCAAGGGAAGCTTTGAGGATGAAGAAGAAATGAACGAGGAAGAATTCAACGAATTGTTCCCCACATACGACGGCGATCAAGAAGAGAAACCCTCAGTTGGACGCCAGAAGGTCCGCGACGTGTCGGTCAGACTCGCGGAATCTCATCGCAAGATCTTCCTTGAGCCAGTTACCCCATCCGATGCACTCCGGGAAGTATGCAAGTCCGTAGGAAAGGGAGCTGCTGCTGATGTGGTGGAAAAGGCCGCTGTGCATCAAGGCATGAACAAGGTGGTCCTTCCATTGACACTTTGGTCTCTGGATGAGCAGATGGCAGCCCTCAACGCCAATACCGTCAGCCCCGACTACAACTTCTACACAGACGCCAACCTCCTCGAGGTTCGTCGCCTTGTTGCGCTCATCGACAAGGTGGAAATTCGCTTCCGAGAGTTGCAACAAGTCGATGAGATTGGCTACATGCAGCCGCTGGCAGATGTATTGGCGGCCTGTGAACAGCTCCTTCAGCTTACCCACACGGAGCCCTTGGCCAAGATTTTGCCCAAACTGGAACATCTGCACGGTATTGTGTACGAGTGGCAGCATGGAGGCTATGCTCCTGGCATTTACGGCGCGCCTGCGCTGTACACATCGTTGACGGACACCATCATCAGCTGGCGACGCCTGGAGCTCTCAACTTGGGCTAAGCTCTTTGACATGGAAGCTCAAAAGTGCTCAGAGGATGCCGACTCATGGTTCTTTGTTGCCTACCAGGTCGTCATCGCAGTTCCTCTTTCTCTCGTCGACTCGCCTGAGCTGAAGGACTACGGTGTCAACCTGTTCAAGGAACTCGAGACTTACTTCTCTACTGCGATCATTGGCCAGTTTTCTGCCCGCCTTAGATTGCTAAGACAATTGCAGAAGCACCTGGAACTCCTCTCTGTGGACTATAAATCCTTGTCAGTCATTCGCGATGCGGTCCTCAACTTCATTGACTTCTACTCCCGCTTCGAGAAGGTTGCCAGTGAGACCATAGCCAAGGGTAGGGCTCCGATTGAGAAGAACATGAAGGAAGTTGTGCTCTTGGCCAGTTGGAAGGATACCAACATCAACGCTTTGCGGGAGAGTGCCCGAAGGTCTCATCAAAAGCTCTTCCGAATTGTTCGGAAGTTCCGCGGCGTCCTTGGTCAGCCGATGAAACCAATTTTGGATCAGGGTCTTCCTGAAGAAGAGGTCTCCCGCAGTCCAGGCTCAGTCGCTGCTGGAAAGGTTGAGATCCAAGCTGACTCGGTCGCCATATCTAACTGCAATAGAGGCTTCCCCGGTTGGTTGACCCAGCATAAGCGTCTTTCCAACGCCTCCAAGACACTTTCAATCATGGCTAGTGTCACCACCCGAGCTAGCCAATGCCCGTTGGATGCTACCCAAGAGGTCGACTCATACATTGAAAGTCTCAACTCTTCTATTGCAGAACTGCGAAAGGAAACCCCCGGCACCCTGACCGATGAGAACAAAGACCAGGTCAAGCATCTGAAGACCCGCAAGCGCAACCTCTTCGCAGACGTCCTGAAGGCGCTAAGACAGATGGGTTTCCGACACAACCTAGGAACAGAGGAGCTGGCGAAGCAGAATTCAGTTGCTCTCGTTCTCACCAACATGCCGGCATCCGACATCCTCCAAACCTACTCCAACGATGCCGCCGAATACTACTTCCACAAGGTTGTCGACATTGCACCCCAAGTTAGACTCGCTGCTCATGACTACTCGAGCGAGCTCACCGGTGCTGAAGTAGCCCGAAGTTCTGGTTTCGTGGAAGGCATGATGGCTGTTGTGTTGAGCCAACACAGCTCTCTGGTGGCCGCTCGCACGGCAATCTCTTCACTTGACCGCATCATGGCGTCAGTCCAGAGCCTGGCCAAGAGCTCTGATCTCCAGCATGCTAAGAACCTTGGTTTCGACCACAGAGTCAGTGTGAAATGGTGGAAACCCATCTTGGAGTTCGGAATCAAGGTGGTTGAGATTCACGGCAAACTAGCTTCGGTTGACAATAAGAATGCCCTGGCCTTCCTCCAAGGCTACTTGAAGACATCTGAGGAGGTCTCCAAGAACCTAGAAGAAGCGGATTCTGGCCTTGAGAAATTCGTGCCTAATGGCCAAGATGTCCTCCAGTCGCTGGTTCAGCTAGAGGAGCAGAACATCAAGAGACATGTAACGACTGGAACAGAATACAAAGACCTTGACTTCGTCATGAGCCAAGTTTCCAGTTGGTTCAGTGTCCAAATACCCCACGACCATGGCAGGGATGAAGCCCTGGACAGCACCGCCCAGCAGTTCAAGGATTCGGTGTCCAATCTCTGCGACGCCGTCCTTGTGGCTGTGCAAGGATACAAGAAAGTTATGGATGATCTACCGACCTCGTCTGAAGAACTAGGCTGGCTTTCCAAGACTAGTGCTGTCCGTAATACTAGTCTCACCGCACTGCATGTCAATGCAATTGTGGGCAAGATGGAGGCGTGCTTGTCCGCCTTGGAACGTGTTGACCTGGAGAACCGTACGACGAGCGCGGCCGCCACATCTCTTCTCATGATTATCAACCCGATTCTCCAACAATATGCCCTGACATGTCATCAGAGTTTCTCTCAGCTTTACAGCTTGCATGCAGCGACTGGCCACATGACCTACCAGCTCGCACGGACATTCACGCAACTCGCTGCCAAGGGCTTCTGCACACCGCAAGAGAAGTCGGACGAGACAGCTGGTGACTCTGGCAAACTGGAGTCTGGAACGGGTCTGGGAGACGGCGAAGGAGCGGATGATATTAGCAAAGACATCCAGCCGGATGAGGATTTGTCGGAGCTTGCACAAGAGCCGAACAAAGAAGAAAGTGGAGAGATGGAGAACCAAAAGGACGCAGTTGACATGGCAGATGAAGAGCTCGAAGGCGAGATGGGCAGTGTTGATGGCGATGATGAGGAGGATAAAGAAGACGGGGAAGAGAAGGATGGTGACGAGAATGAGATGGACGAAGAGCTTGGTGACGTTGACGACCTGGATCCCACTGCCGTTGATGAGAAGATGTGGGATGGTGAGAATGAGGAGGAGGCGGAGAAGGACCAGCAAGGCGAGAAAGCCAATGGTCAGAAGAAGAAGGATGAACAGATGGCGGCTGACAACGATGCCAAGGCCGACGAGAACGAGGCCGAGGACGATGAGCAGCAAGTTGACCAAGGAGATGAGGAAATGGAGGATGAAGCTGTTCCGGAACAAGAAGACGTCAAGTTTGAGGAAGAGATCAAGCAGGACCAGAATGTGGAGCAGAACGACACTCTCAACATGCCTGAGGAAATGGACTTCGACTTCAAGGACGATGGGGAAGACGAGTTATCAGAAGACGATGATCTCGACCAGTTGTCGGACATGGAAAAGGACGAGCTTCAGCAAAAGCAAGAGGACAACATTGAGGATGGCGAGGAAGAACCGCAGAAGCCTGACGAGAAAGGTTCAGAGGAAGAAGAACAACAAGAACCAGAGCAGCTCGAAGAGGAGGATCTCGCTGGTGAGCCGGAGATTGATACGGAGCCTAAGGCAGAGGAGGAAGAAGAGCAGCAGCAGCAGCAGCCCGAAGAGCCTGAGTCTCACATGGACCAGCCTCGAGACAACTCTAACGCTGATGCAAATGCTGCCCCGAGCGATGTAAAGGGCGGTGGCGAGGATCAAGATGCCGATCAAATGGATCTTGAAAACAACTTCAGCAACAACGCGGCCCAGAGAGATGAAGGTGACGCTGGGGACGGCGCTTCCGAGCAGAAGGCCAGTGCCGGCAAGAAGGGAGCTCTTTCCAGGTCAGATGAACAGGCGCAGCCCACCGAGCAAGACCAAGATGATGCGCCTGAGAGTAACCGTCAGGATCCTTTCAAGAAGCTTGGCGATGCCCTTGAACGCTGGCACCGACAACAGAGCGATATCAAGGACCCTGAGAAGCAGGAAGACGGCGAGCAAAAGCAGTCTCAGGATGTCGATGCGGACCTCGGCGCTCGCGAGTTCCAGCATCTTCAAGACGATGAGACCGCTGCCGATACGCAAGCCCTCGGCACTGCTTCTGAAGACCAAGTGCAGCCCATTGATGAGAACATGGCCATTGATGAAGAAAAAGAAGACCCGACGAGCCGCGTGATGCCGGAGAATGAAGATGTGGACATGGAGCAAGACCCTGACACAATGGACACGACGGAGGCCCCTGAGGCTCAAGAAAAAGAGGGTGCCGCTGACAAGGATGATGGTCGCTCTGGAGTCAAGACAAGACAGGGCGCTTTCGATCGTGAAAATTCGCCCTCGGAAGACGACATCGAACGAAACGACGATGAAGAGGAGGAAGAGCAAGTTATCGAGGAGACATCTGAGCAACTCTCCACGACCCACATCAGCGATGAACAACGAACACTCCGTGACTTCTCCGAATCTCTTCAATCATGGACATCCTTCCAAACCAAGACGCACCCGCTGTCGCTCTCACTCACCTCTCAGCTACGCCTCATTCTCACACCTTCCCAGTCCACCAAGCTCTCCGGCTCCTACCGCACCGGCAAGCGTCTCAACATCAAGAAGATCATCCCCTATATCGCCTCGAGCTACAAGCGTGACAAGATCTGGATGCGCCGCGCCATCCCCACGAAGCGCTCCTACCAAATCCTCCTCTGTGTCGATGACAGCCGCAGCATGGGTGAGTCCAGCTCCGGCAACCTCGCCCTCGAGTCGCTCGTCATGGTCTCTCGGGCCCTCACCATGCTTGAGGTCGGCCAGGTCGGCATCCTCGGCTTTGGCGCAGACACTTTCATGGCGCACGACTTCAACGAGCCATTCGCGTCGCATGATGCTGGTGCAAAGGTGTTGCAGCACTTCTCCTTCAACCAGGACCGTACCGATATCCAACTCCTTGTCCGCAACACCATTGATCATTTCCGCACGGCAAGGATGCAGAACCCTGCCCGCGGCGCCGAAGATCTCTGGCAGCTTGCGTTGATCTTGTCGGATGGTCTGACTCCTTCTAACCAGCACGACGGTATCCGTCGACTGCTGCGCGAAGCGATGGAAGAGCGCATAATGGTTGTCTTCATCGTCATGGATGACACTGGCAAGAAGAAGGGTGACAGTGTGCTTGATCTCAAGGAGGCCAAGTTCGTCAAGGATGAGAGCGGCAATAGCCGCGTCGTCATCGAGAGGTATCTGGATACGTTCCCCTTCCAGTATTACCTGATTGTACATAACCTGGAGGACCTGCCTAGCGCCCTGGCGGGATTGTTAAGGACATGGTTCGCCGAGGTTAACTCGTGATAAATGGGATAACGGTTAGAAAAAAAAAAGTTTTGGTTTGGTGATTTATAGGACAGGAGTTTTTGGTAGACGGCATTTTAACAATCAATAAACAGCAATTACATGAGATTTTTAAAGAATACTATTTCACTAAGTTGCAACTATTTCATGGGATGTTCCTGCACTTGTGTACAGATAGTAGCTTTGGATGAGTGTTGGCGAAAAATATGAACTGGTAGTGAGAGGCAGTGCTGTGTGGTATTCAGGACGCACGCAGCAAAGAATAGCTCATTTTCGGAAAGTAGATGTCAACTACTACGGATACGAGCACCACGCCTTACATTATGACGCCTGGGGTTCACCTACGAAAGCAGAAGCCTGGTACATACTGAGAGTGAACCCAATAAGTTCAACAAAACAGTGGTGACATCCCAGGCCTAGCCGCATGTTATAGCTTTTCAAAAACCGAACTTCCTTCGCATCATTACATCTCTCTTTTCATCACAGGCTTGCTAAATAGTTCCAGAATAGACCGAAACTTATAACTTCATTCACTAATTCATAACTTCTATAAATTTTGCATCCTGTATGCTATACAGAAGAGCTACTAACAGCTTTCTGTCCGGCCCCCATACCTATAGCCGCCTTGGAGATGTCTTCTATCTAATTTCATCGCTAACACAAAGAAAAGGAATAATACATGTTGGTAACAGGTTGTCAAGTCTTGGGTCTCGGGGTTTTTCTGAATTGGCAGTTTCAGAATCGAGAAATGTCTCGGCCGAAAACCCACGTAATAAACCAATACCAAGGGACAAGGACTTTGTTCTTGATACTCATGGACTTGGTAAGATACGCCGTCCTCCACAAGATCCAAGCCGCACTGAGTGTGAAGCAAGTCAGCAAGCAGTCAATTACGAAAATGTCCGGAGTTGACACGGTGTTTCATCTAATAGGAAGCGTGTAGACGTATTGTGAGAGGGGGCAACTCACCGGCCCTTGAGCTCATCAGCCGAGCTCTGGTGAATAGCGCGCCAGGAGCCCAGGTAGGTCATGGCGCCCCAGTTGCGGAAAGTGAAGGGACGAGGCTGCTTCTCACTTGCAGGCTCAACGCCGCCAAGTACCGCAGTCCGGTTCAACGTCTTCGCTAAGTACTTTGCCTTTTTTTTTCCCCCAAAATGTCAGTCGCTACAGTCAATCTTTTGGAAAAGGGGAATTCTTTACCTGTTGGCTTGCGACTTGCGCTGTCGCTGGCAACGTCTCAGTCTCAAGAACTGAACAGTCGCCCATCGCGTAAACATCAGGGAGCAGTGCATTCTCGTTCTTCGGGTCATCCAGACGAACGCGTAGGCGTGAGTCCGTAACTATACCGCCGCTCCGCTCGGCCTTCTTAATCTTCAACAATTCACCCTCCTTTTCGGTAGGGTTCCGGAGCTCCTTCGCGACGAGTGTTTGAATCAAGGGGTTCTGCATCAAGCCGGTACTCCAGACACAGATGCCAGCGCCCACCTCCTCCTCCCCATACTCCTTAATCTTGAGCTTAAGGCCGCCGCGCTCGCCAGGGCGAATACGTTGCAGATGGTGCTCCGTACGTACCGCGATGCCTTGGCGGCGGAAGAGATCCGTTGCGTACGTGGCAAGCTGCTGGTCGAACATTGGAAGCACTTTGGGAGCGATGTCGTAAATGGTGATGGAGACAAACTCCATCAGATGAGGGTAGATTTTGCACAAGTCATCGTGGATCAAGTCGTGAAGCTCGGCGGCAAACTCAATACCGGTCGGTCCTCCACCGACAACGGCGAAGTGAAGAAGTTCGCGGCGCTCCTCTTCCGTCACAGTCGGCCAGCTTGCCTTCTCGAATAGTTGCAGAACCTTGAGACGGATGCTTCGCGCATCGCCGATGTCTCTCAGGAAGTTGGCGTGCTCCTTTACACCCTCGATGCCAAAGGTCTGCGAGTACGCCCCAACGGATATGACGAGTTTGTCATAAGGCACGTCAATGGTCTCACCCTTGGGCTGGTGCGGCTTTGCGGGCAATGTGCGAGAGGTAGGATCCTCAGATGTGACCTTTTCGATACGGACGAGTTTGCGAGAGAAGTCAACGTCGTCGGCCCATGCTTGGTGGAAAGCATCAAGACCGAGGCGGCGGACCGGTTCGAGAGTCGAACGAAATTCAAGGGTGCCGACTGAAGTTGAGGCCAGGAGCGGAGTAAAGACAAAGTAGGAGCGTGGTGAGATTAGAATACGCTCATATTTCTTAGGATCAAGCTCACGGGCGAGAGCGTAGCCTCTGTTTGAGCATTAGCGAAGGGATGTCTTAACCAGTACCATTGTTACTTACGCCCATCCCGAACCGAGAATGACTACCCTTTGGCGCTTGTCGTCGTCTGGAGCAGGTTAGTTTTGAATTGTTCTTCTTGTCCATCACTTGACTCATTCTGATGAAGCTCACCTGCTGATGAACTAGAGGTCGTGCTGTTTCGGTACTTTACAATGCTGGTGTTAGTCGGCACCGACACTTGCAGCGGAGCGCCGGCCCCCTGGCGTCCGGGCCGGGCCAGGCTTCTCCAGTATTGTTGGGCGACTTTCGATGAGGCCATTTTGGGGTTGCAATCATGCCACCAGACGACGCTTGGTGTGTTCTAGTAGCTTGATGCCATATATAAACCAGAGCTCGTCAATTGGTTTGTCAAGTGAGAGAGGGTCTTTCTCTACTGGTTTGTGTGGGCGCGAAAATGGACCGGAACTGGCTTCGGTGTCCGGGGAGCTTTCAAAGAGCGCGCGGTGAGCAGGGGCGATTGCGATTGGTACGGACGGGGTTTTACATTAGTGTAGACTGCTTGGCTACGGCTGAAGACGGAAATAATGTTTAAGAGTGTCAATGCGCTCTTACAAGACAGAGAGATGGATTTCCAAGGAAATTAATTCCAGTGGTGGTCTGGCACAAATGTAGCTTTTCTCTTCTTTTCTTTTTTTTCTCTTTTCCCCTCTTCTTCCAAGACCGTTGAATACTACAATACATAATAAATATTTTCTTCTTTCTCAGCTCTGCGTCATATGGCTAGGAAATAACTCTGCGGGCGGCTTCTGAAGCAGCCGTGAAATGGTTGCCCAGAGCAAAAAGTGACGTCCTACTGCTCCACCTATGGATCCCCCCGACCCCACCCTTCCGCCGCCCCCGAGCGCTCCGGCCCCGAGTCTCCATTTTCATGCACAAGGTATGACGCCCCCATGACCTTTCAAAATTCTCTTTGCTCTATTACACGCTTTTTTCCAAACCGGAGATCTGTCTTATCTTTAGGTTTTTTTTTTTTTTTTCTTTTGGGCTTCTTCATCCTTGCCAGGTCCCCAATTTATTGCAACATGGAGTCGAGGCTTTCGCCGAGAACCCCCTCAATCTTCACGATCCACCTGTGTGTCTCCCGCTCAACGACCTCGTCGTCGTCGTCCTGGAGCTCGCTGATGTAGGGCAACATCTCAGGCAGCGCCGACAGCCACTCCTCGCCCAGCTTGGCGGTGAGCTCTTGCTGGCATCTAACGGCCGCCAGGCGCACCGCAGCCTGTTCGGAGCGCAGGTGGCGGAGTATAGAGCTGTTGAGCTCCTTTTGATGCTCCTGGGAGTCGGCCGCAGCAGCCAACTCCACGACCGCGGGGATGAGCTCGCCCGACAGATCAACGGAAGAGGCCTGTAGGAATTGCGCAGCCAGGACAGGTGCCACCTTGCCGAAGTGCGCAGGGGCCTGCCAGAAATCGTCCTGGTCATGCTCGAAGCATCGCGCCAGCGTAGACAACACCCTCTGCCAAAGCTCCTTTTGCTCAGGCAACTTGAGATCGCAGTTGGAGATGATGTCGACAGCATCATCCACAATGTAAGTTGCGTAGTTGGTGACAATCGACTTCAGGCTCTCGAAGAAGAGCTGGAAGAAACCGTAAATGCTGAAGCGGCGCAAAGCCCGTCCAGTGGCGTCTTGCTTGGGCAGCTGCGTAGACCATTCGACGATCTGAGAGAAGATGGGTCTAAACGCCGCATCGTTGAGCTTGTAGATCATCTTGAGTGCCACATCGTTGATTGAAGCCTCGATCTTGGCCACCTGTTGTGATGCCGCACCGGTGAGCTTGCCTGCCGCCTGCTCACGTCTGCGAAGATCCAGGGCACTGAGGAGAATTGTCGAAAGGGTAGTGACATTCTTGGTAATGGCAGACTTGGTGTGACTCTCCACGACAACACCAAAGATGTCGACCCAGTCGTTGGTTGCCTGCATAATCGTTAGCCCAGTAATCGTTGTCATTTTGTCCATGCAACTTACATTGTAGCCAGCTTCGGTGGCCGGGATCCAGTTCCTCTCCAAGCTGGCGAGCATGATTTTGGCGTCGACCTTCCTGGCGAGGAATCTAAGGCAGTTCAGGCGCTCGTCATCAGCCTCATCGTCCAGATCGGCCTCGGCAGACTTGTTGGAGGCGAGCAAGATGCTGTCCAAGTATTTTCCAGAGATCATGTAAGGCAGGTGCTGCGCCAATGCCGTGATGAACGAGTAGCCGGCGTTGTGCAGTTCGGTGGCCGGCTCGTCCGCCTCCACGCTTTGCTGGATGTACAGGATTGCCTGGGGCACAGCGACGGAGAGAATAGGCAGAATGCCATCTTGAAGAACATCAACAAGAGAGGAGAGGCAGAGCAGAGCCATGACGCGAAGGCGCACATCTGGCTGGCCAAGACAATGGACTCCAGCAATTGTCGACGCGGCCGCAGCCACAGCCTCGACATCCTTCTTGCCGTACTTTTCTGCGATCTTGTCGACGCAAGCAACCGCCGTGTGCTTGTACTTGATATCATCAGTATCGCGAATGGCGGCTGTAAGCTGCGGCAGGAAGGCGAGAAGAGCGGTTCTGGATGTGACGTCTGCGACACCCTCCTGATCCACACGGACCTCAAGAGCCCGGAGAACCTTACGTCTGAGATCAATTTCCGTGCGATCCAGGAGGTTCTCAACAGACTTGATGAACTCGCCAATGGAGAGGAGGTTGAGAAGGTTGGCGAGGGCATTGCCGCAGCACTCGTGCAAAGCCTTTTGCTGCTTGACCGTCTCTGCGAGAGACAGGACATCACGAAGCAAAACCGCATAGAGCTCCCGAATCTTGGAAGCGTCCATGTCGTCCTTCTCCGTGAGAATGCCGACTTCTTTTCGCAGCTTCCTGCTCGACAGGAGGGCAGGGAAAACAGTAAGCTGCTGGAGGGCGATGGTCTCGGGGTTTTTCTCATTCAGATCTTCGCCAACTCCTAGCAGAGTAGCCGACAAGCCGGGCTTGGGCTTGAAAATGTCACTGATCAAATCCAAGAGTTTGGAGAGGGTCTGGAGTTGCACCTCGGCACTGTATACGCCGAGAAGCTCAGAAGCAAATGCCATCAAGCTGTCGTTAGGGCCATATTTATCAACCAGCATAGCCAACAGAGCATACAGGAACTCGTCAGGACCGAGTGTGTTGACAAGAGCGATGAACAAGCCCTGTTTGCGATGGGATGGGATGTGCTCATAAGCTGTAACAAAGCTTGCCAGGAGCTCAGTAGCACCAGCGACTGGGTTGCGCTTACCCTTCTTGAGCGACTTCATCAGAGGCGGGACGACCTCTCTAATGGTCTGGTTAACCACATGAGCAGAGTAGTCATCGTTCTGGCGCAAGACAGAGGCACCCATAAAAGTGAAGATGGGCATCACACTATGAAGCACAAGATCAGGGGCCGCCGTGGCCAGACTGGCAATAAGAAGCAAAGCTGAGTTCTGCACGATAGGGCTCGAGGACTTCTGGATGCAGTTGACGAGCAAGTCGCCGTGTCCGCCAGAGCTGTCGATCTTCAGGTTCTTGTTGTCTCTGTAAGCAGGAGCCATGGCAATCAGACTAGTGAGAACCAGGTTTTGTAGGTAACCAAGTTCTGATCCAATCACAGTTCTGAAGTGCTGAAGCTCAGAGAGAGTGCCAAAGAGGCTGTCCAATAGCTCTGGGTGCGACGCAGGGTTGGAACCATCCACAAGCTGAAGAACGAAAGTGACTGATCTCAGGGTTGCACTCAGTTCAGCGCTGGCTTGCGCGCTAACTCCGCGGTTGGCTTCTGTAGAGCTTGTCCTGCGTCTCTTGTTTGGTGGCGGCTGAGTGATGAGTTTCGTACCAGTCTGGATAGACTCAAGGAAGGAAGACAAAATCTCCGTGTTGAGTTCGACGTTTCTCAAGAAATCGGCCGCCTCATCAGCAATAATGTCCTCGTCATCCTGCGATGCCTGCCGAGCCTGAGAGAGCTCCAGCATTGTCTGAGCCACATCGAACTTGGTGTCCGGCTTCATTGAGCTCCAAATGGCACGGATACGCGCAGAGATCGATCTCACCAGCTCGGGACGCTTCGCGGATTCGGGGTTCTTGATGATTGAAACAAGGCAGTCAAGGCCTTCGCTGTCATTCGGCACGACGATCTCGGCAAACCTGGTGTGAAGCAACGCCTGATCAACCTCCTCAGCCTCGCAAAGATGGCTCGTCTCTTCCGCAGACAAAGACGCCCACCATTTGAAAGCTGGAAGGAGTACCTTTGTTCTCGAGGTAGACGACACTCCCCTGATCCGGTTCAAGATTGACAAGAGATTAGACTTGACCCGGAGAAGAGGTGTCGCCACGATATGGCTAGCAAGGAAGGAAAGAACAGAGGTTCTGTTTGACTGACTCAGAGCCTTCTTTCCCTCACCGCCGTCCGCCTTGGCGCTGCTGTCCAGAGTAGAATGCAAGATTGCACGGATGTGGTCCTCATGCATAATGCACTCTTCGAGAGCCGGAAGGATGACGCCGTGAAGGAGACGAGAAACCGCATCGGCGTCCATCCAGTGCAGCTTGGCACTATCTTCATAAAGCTTCTTGCCACCCCAGACCGACTTCTTCGCATCCTTCGACTGAGGAGGGAAGATCTGGCCAAGCTGGATGAGCAGTTCAGCCGCAGCCCGACGAACCTTCTTGGAGGAGTCGACGAGCGCAACGAGGCAGTAAGGAATGAGGGCTTGGAAGTCAAGGTCGTTGCCATCTCCGTCGCTCAGGCGCTTCTTCACGGCGTCAACGGCAGCAGCGCGCGCAAGCGTGGGGTATGGGCCGGACCAAATTCGGACGAAGAAGGTGATGTAGGTGTGATCGCTGACAGCGGTTTGTCGACTCAGGGATGGAAGCTCGTCAAAGTCGGCCAAAAGTGACGGGTCCTCAGATTGTTGAGAGACAACACGAAGGAAGAGCTGGCTGAATTCGTCGTAGACTTCGCCAGGGCTGGTTGAAAGGCACGAAGGAAGTGTACGCTTTTGTCCAGCGAGTTCCTGAATGGTCTGGCGCAAGTCTTCCTTGGAGGGTGCCGCGGCTTTGGTCTCGCCCATCTCGACGTCCTCCCGGGGTTCGGGCAGAGCCTTCTTTTGTCTGATCGAGACATCCAGCTTCATTTCCAACTCCTCCACATCAAAGTCAACCTCCTCCAACACGGTTCGAATAATTTCGCTGGTTTCTCCAGAGAACCGTGACAAGTCAATCAGTGTTGAACCAAGCTCCTTGCGGATTTCGCCATCTTTGTCCACCTCGTCGTCAAGTCTGTGAGCTGCCAAAACCAAAGACTTGAAAATGACAGCAATTTGCTTCTCTTTCAAAGTCTGGCTCATCAAGATAGCACGAATGATGGGCAGACCGCGAGCATCACCCTTCTTACATAACCTCTCGATAAAGGCAATGCAAAGACCGTTCGTCAACTTATCAACTCTCCTTTCCTGGCCCAATTCGACAAGGATCTCGCCCAAGTTTTGTACCTTGAGGAGGGCCTTGGTGACCTTGGCGGACAGCTGCTTGGCCGAACGATATTGCGCCAAAATACACAGGCAAACAAGTCCGGGCCGCACCGTCTCGCTCGTCCAGCCAAGGACAATCTGCTCCATGAATGCTGACAGTGCCGCATCGTCAAAGTTGCCCTTTGCTGCTACTATAGTGATAGCCATGTAAGACGCGATTTGCAGATTGGGAACTTTCTTCATGAGCAATGCCTCGCCGAAGATAGGGCCCACGCGGTGCAGGAAAGTCTGGTCGTTCTCTTTCTGGATCGCCTGTCGACCTGATCGCATGTTCTCGAGCATACCGTTCACGGCTTCAGTCATGATACCGCCCCAGAAGGAGACCAGAGTAGGATATTGTTGTTGATTCCGGCATGCCTCGAGGGTGTATTCGGACAGGGTGGCGAGGAAGGCAAACTGGTGGATCGATTCGTGGACCAGAACAGATCGGGGAGGGGAGGTAAGAGATTTGATGTACGGATTCAAGAACCGGTATTCTTGCGGAATCTTGGAGGGTAGAATCGAGAGCAGCGTAACGAAGGCGGGAATAGAGTGGTATGGCAGGAAGGTCGTAATAAGAGATCGAGTGTTGTTTTCGTGAATTCTACCTCTGATTAGAGACCGTTGGAGGGCAGGAAAAGAGGCAAACATACCGGAATCTTCGTACTAGCCACTCAAGAGCTCTGATGGCGGGCATGAGCCGCAGTCTGCTGCCAACGAGGCGCAAGAAGGACTCGACCTTTTTATCCAGCTCGGCGTTTTCAACAGAGGTCATCTGGGTGCGGTCCTCACTCTGGCTCTGCTCACTGAAAAGAGTGAGCGCAAACGGCTTGAACCTTGCATCGAGTTCGCAAAGCTCGTCAAAGCCTTCTAAACATATCGTATACAACGTTTGGTAGCTCTGGGTTGCCGCAACTCTCGGTTCGAAGATCAAGGACTTGGAGTGGGCAGCTTTCTGTGCCTTGACGTCCAATGAAGCCTTCGAGTTGGCGGCAATCTGCGCCAACTGCGCAGCAAGAGAGGTCGCCATTTCTCAAAGAATTTGCGGCATTCCGCGATGTTGAAGTGCTCAATGGCGGGGAGATCAACGGGACTGGGATTTTTTCCAATGCGCCTGTACCTGGGCTTCACGATTTTTTTTTTTTTGGACGGGTATTAGTTCCGCCGAAGATTTGGCACCGATAAGCCAAACATCCAATGCTAGTGGCTTTTGATAAGGATAGTGGGGTCAAGTCCCACCATTCCCACATGGGCACCCTCTGCATTCCATGATGCGATTGTGCTTTCAGTCTCAACTTGCATCTGATAACGATGGATGAGTTTTTAAGCCTTGATTTGCGCCAAGTAATCGTACATCAGAATTCCCTCGGGTAGACAAATGAAGTATGAAATAAAGTATGCTGTTTTTGGCATCATTATGGGCGGGTTTTTATACCGTTCACTTACTGAGATTAACTGTTTTCTATCACTTGCCGACAGACGGCCCTGTGATTTTGTGAGAGTCGATGGCCAGGGCATTTTATTTTATTTCTATTTTTCTTGTTGCTATCACTTCTTGGGCAGTCTCGTAGAGTTACGGTGGAACCTAGGATTCTGCTCTCTTAGCTCTCTCGGTGCGACTGGAGCGCCAGTTCGTACAATTGATAGGCCGATAGCCGCAAATGCAGTAGCCAAAAAGCCTCAAAGTATTATGTCTTCGGGTATACGGGTGATAAGCCGCGTGAGTGGTTCCGTTGATCGTGGGTGCTTCGGGGTGCTCCATTTGGCGTCCCTGCAGCAAGGGATATATAAGACCGAGCCAAAAACGCCGGTAAATCGACACCCTCAGTTTAAGGCAGTTTGTAAAATCAGGCTTCCGTCACCCAACAGCCTCTTCTAACTCACCAAATCAATTTCGAAAGCAATATGGCGGTAAGTTGGTACTCCAAGAGTCGGAAACTACAAGAAAAGAAGAGAAAAGTGTTGTTAATCAAACACAGAAACCGTATCCCCAAATCGTCCTTTTCGGGGACTCCCTATTCCAGGGATCAGCTGTCGTATTTGATGGCTTCTCCTTCCAGGCCGAGCTTCAGTGCCGTACGTTTAGCTCACATTCAAAGAGCATTTGGCGGCAGCAGTCTCACTCAAGTTTATAGATGTTATGCGTCGTTACGACGTTGTCAACCGCGGGTTTTCTGGCTGGAACACGGAGAACGCTCTGAAGTATCTTCCTGATATCATTGCCTCCCCTTCAGATTCTGGCCCGCAGCTCAAATACCTCGTGAGGGATCCTAGATGTTTCCTGATGTTCCCCAGCCACTGACGGGGATCTGATTAGCTGGTGCTTCTCGGCGCAAACGATGCTGTCCAGCCCATGGAAACGACGACCCAGCATGTGCCCCTGCAGACGTACTAGGAGAATCTGATCAAAATCATCACGCACCCCAACGTCGCCGCTCATAAACCCAAAATTCTTCTTGTCACCCCGCCACCGATCGACGAGATTTGTATTACCAAGCTCGACCTCGCTTGGGGCCACCCCAAGCCTACCAGAACTGCCAAGATCAGCGCGGGATACACCCAGGCGGCCCGAGACGTTGCGGCCGAGGTACCCAACGTAACGTTGATTGACCTGTGGCAGGCCCTCCACGACCACGCCGTCTCCAAAACCCCAGGCTTCAAGGCCGGAGGACCCTTGCTTGGCACGCCCGAACTCGGTGAACAAGGCGGGCTCGCTGACCTCCTGCCGGACGGCCTCCACATGAGCGGAGAGGCCTACAGGGTATTTTACAAAGCCGTACTGCCTCACATCGGCCAGGAGTGGGCGAACTTACCGGAGGATGATCGTACGGGCTACATCCACCCAGACTGGCGGGATCTTAACCCTCCGGCGTGAGGCGAGGTACGTACACCACGAAGAGTACGTCGGTAAAGGCCAATGCGATTCTGGCCGCCAGTACTGATTTGAAATCGAAGAGAAACTAGACAGTCTAAACTTTTAGAATCAAATTTCTTTTACAAAGCGACTTGCACAGAAAGAGAAGAAAAAAAATAAATGTGAATGACTAATGAAGAGATGATCACTATGGCTGTCATAGCTTGACCTATCGTCGCATGTCACTTCTGTGCCAAAACCACAACAAGCAATGTCGCCGAGCGAGACATGTCTTGAATCGCCAAGAAGCGCTGGTGTCCAAGCATTCTCTCGTCGCAGCATTATATTTCGCAACAAATCGTTGGATGAGCTTGGGTCATAACCAAGCACCATTGATGAGCACGGGGCCTGAGTTTGGGAAACACATCGAATGACCGAATGAGCGACACAAGATTACCCCCGTCGTGGATTTGCAAAAGGGTTGAGCTTGCTCCGCCGTCTTCATAACATTTTGTCCCCTGTGAGGAAATTTGCAGCGATGTGCAGTTGGTACTTGCATGGTTGGCTAGGATGATGATCGCACAGCTGGGTTTCCGCCTTGAGTTTCCACCCCCTAATGACCTTTCCCTTGAGCTACGAGAAATACTAAATAAATAGTGAATGCATATGATGGAGGCCGCTGGACACTCAAAGTGCCAAGCTGGTGCACATTGGTTTTGGATGGTCTATGCACTGGCATCTTAACACTAGCGGGTTTAGAGTTCATCTGCCCAAGGTGCAGCATAGTGGAAGTCAAGTTTTCTGACCATGTGCAAGATGATGCTTGCACTTTCGGCGTCCTGACGGCATGTGGAATGGCGGCTGGATGTACCTTCCCACACTTCATCACAGGCAATATGGAGGGAGTCTTCAGCACGTTCCATGTGCTGAACATGAGCCCCCCAATCAGCCCCTCCTCCAGTGTCACACCTCGCGGCGCGGCGAACAACTGGCCTGCTGCAAGTTCCAGTTGGTGGAGGGCCACGACTTGGCCTTGCAAGTTCCCTGCCCATACTCGACGCGTTGGGTAATTTAGGTGCCCCGCAGAGGTACTGGCCAAGTACTGCTAACCCCCAGCTCTACTACGTAAGGGCACTACAACATGCCCGAGCTCGTTATCCAACAGCCATAACACCCAAGGCGGCCTGCATTGTGCATATGTTGCGGTAGCCAGCAAGGGCCGCGGTACTTGAGCACTACCTTTTCTCGCCGAGTGGCCCGTCTATCCACTCCCATCACTGATCACTGACCGTTCACCTCACCACCTCGGAGCCCGCCTTGCCTTGTCTTGTCCACTTCACTAATTCAGTTTCCCGGCCCAACTGATCTCCAGGATTCCGTTTGCCAGCCCATTTCTTCCAATTCCTTCCCCTCTCTCTTCCTTCACAAACAATATACCCGGTGCACAGGCACGAAGAAGCCACCCATCTCCTCCTCGACCATTGTCCCAGTAGACTCGAACCCCGACAAAATTCCTGTGCGACCGAACCACCTACGAACAAGCTACCAACGCCCGATTCCAAACAATCCCGGCTCCTCTCTAGCGCCCTCCGTGACGACAACACTTTGTCCAACTCATCAACGACAGCTACCAGACGCTCACCTCCAATCTCTACGCGACCGGAACACACACATCAAGTGCTACTTGACCCCAGTTTTACTGTCACTCGTTGTCGAAATCTGCCGTTAATCCACACATACACAAACACACAACTGTGCACTCATACACGCCTTCTCGAAGCCGTCCATCCTCGAGGCATAGCCGCTGTTCTTGATCATTGTGCAACCTCACTGTACTGCTATCAACGCGCTCTAGCTGCTGCAGTCGCCTAGACCGACTGGATTGGGGGAACAAAAAGTGTAGCTCGAACTGACCAGAGTTTTGTCGCCGCGCCTACTGCTGCCGCCGTTGACGACCTGTTCGGTCTCGCTGTGCGATGTGGCGGGGGTGGAGGACCTCGTGAACTGATACTGTAGGGATCGAGGTCGGAAGAGCCCGTGGTCTCCCTCGAGCCGTCATTCGAAAACGCTTGCACCCGGCAGCCAACCAGCCTATGGGCATTTTCCTTACTCGGATGATTCCCGGTTCTCCCTGTTGTGTCGATACCCCCTCTTCACGCTTCATTTGATCACCCCCCGATTTCAATACGCTCGCTTGCTGTTGTCCTTCGCTCCTCTTTTCCGTCGCTGTATACCCCGTATATTTCTTGACTTTTGCACCTCAGCCAATACCCTCGAAACATTGTGATCATTTTCGGGCATGGATCATCGGTTCCCTATCGCCAGAGACGATTTCTTCAACATCCAGATGGATTTGAAGCAAATTCAACTGGTTCAGAATAATCAGGGCGAAAGACTGGCAAGGCTCGAACGACGCCAGGATCAAGATGCGAGCCTTAAATCGGTGTGGCAGCAGCATCCGTTTCCTGGCGTTCTAGCTGGAACTCCTCAGCAAGGTGAGCTTGCTTCTTGCACCAAAGACAGCACTTCCCATGTTAATGCTAAGGCTACCAGGTCCGACCCATATATCCCCCAACGACATGTTTGACGACTTCGACGAGCAGGGCCAGCATCTGTTAAGCTCCCTTCACCTAGGGCCCACTGAGGAAGAGCCCACTCGCCGAGGTGCTGCCTCCCGAGCGAACAGTGTTCGATTTGATGAAAGCGCCCTGCGGGGAGCAGACTGGGCTAGTCAAAGCAACCGCCATTCTGGCGAGTTTGCCCCTCCTCGACCAAGCAGCGGACTAATGATGGAGAGATCTTTGTCACACAAATCCGATGGACGACATAGCTCGGCAGGCCACTCGGTCCACTCATTTCATTCGGTTGCGTCCGGGCGAGCTAGCAGCTTGGGTTTGGATACCAACTTCATAGTCAGCAGCCACGAGGACGACTCCCCGCTGGACATGCCGGAGCCACCACCAGGCCTTTTTATCCTAGGATCCGTTCCGACCATTATACGATGCTGGCTGACGACTCAATTTGCGCACAACACCATACTGTACGCCGACCTCTGTACGGGTTCACAGAAATCCGTTCTGGACTACTCCATCGTTAGAGATCTCGACCTATTGGAGGAAGTCCAACGCGATGTCGATGGCACATACAAAATTCGGCTTCCGGTCTACCTCGTTGAAGCCACTGTCTCGGAGAGAAGTAGTCGGTCATCGAGCCCGGGCCACCAAATTCCTAGCATTCAAACAACGTTTGAGATATCAGGAGTGGATCACATTGAAGGAGCGGAACCTAAGAGGGGCATCCAGATTTTCATCGGCAGTGACACGCTCAGAGCTCATCAAGCCGACATTCTCCTGTCTCAGAACCGCATGTGTCTGTATGGTAGTGAGCGGGAGAAACTGTCAGTTCCATTTGTGCGCCCCGAGGATGACACTGTTTTCAAGCACATCAGCACGACGAATGTTGTCCCTGACAAGCCTCGGCTCAATGCCAATGCGGCACCGTTCGTATCTGGTGAGCCACGGTCTCGAGCTGCTTCGACGATGGAGGATATGGAAAACAGCGTATCAAGCGTGCAGCCGGAAGACGCAGAGTCTCAGGGCCTGGTCTCCCCCCTGGAGGATCACTCTATACCCAACAAGTCGATTGGAGCAAGCAACCTGTCTGAAAGTGGCGGGGAGAGTGAAAGACCAGGCAAAGATACTGCAAGCGGATCTGAGTCTGGAGCCAGAGAGGTCTCGGCTGTACAGAATGGCTCGGCCAGCACGGATAGCAATCGCCGCGAGTCTGCAAGCGGCATCTGGGGTTCCTGGCGGCAGGGCACGTCAACAAACGGTGCTGAGAATGGACAGCGCGATGTCAATGGACCGCTGAGCGGCTATCAGCCTGCCGGGCGCGGTGGCCGGAACATGAAGGTGCTGAAGCCCCTGAAATCGGGCTCATCATCTTCTGCGCGAACCGGAGCTGCTTATGAGCTGCCACCTGCTCCCAGAACCAGTGGGGAGCATCGACGGAAGAGCCAGGTTAGCGTTGCGGCAGACAATGGCCCCTCGGGAACGGTCCGCTGGGAGGCGAAGAGGACGGTGAGCAGTGCAGGAGAGTCAAAGGCTCAGCGGGAGGCGAAGAATGCGGCGGCGCCCTTGCCGCGGTCGGCGAATCCAATCGGAGGAGCGTCTGCATTTTCCTGGATGAACCCAGCATCCAAGGTGAAGCCTACGGCGACTGCTGAATAGACGGTGTGGATGGGAAGGGAGGAAGAAAGTGAGAAAGGGAAAAAAAATCAAGGCCCCGGCGGCACTTAACACGGAGGTGGTCTCAGAGACCAAAGCATTAATCTCCTTTTTGTTTGCTTGACAGAACTGCCCCCTTTTTCAAAGTAGAGGAGGATGCTTCACATTGCGCAAGACGGGCCAGTTAGTAGTAACTACTGTTTACCAGTCCAACACGGAGGTCGAACAGAGCAAAACGGCTAGAAAACCTCGCACAGCGGGAACAAAATATCAAATTTCTTGACATGGTTAATATCGGCCGTATAATAACAAGTATCACACTAGGTTGCATGTGTTGAGGGGGAACACATCAGTGGCGCCTGCAGAAGTAAGCAAGCATTGCGTACAGATTATGAGAAAAATGCAATGTCAAGTGCGGGTACCCGACCGGAGTAGACGCCGACTTGCAACCATCCCCCAACCAACTACGTGTGTAAAAGCCGATCACACTGCCGGTGCCGAACTACTACATAGTAAGCACTGATCAGGGTCCAAGTGAGACCGGGGAGGGGGCCGTTGTAATCTATTTACCCCACTTCCCCCACACTATCCGTTGCCCCGCGTCCTCTCAACATGCAGCCGCCACGGTAAACTGAATAAACGACGCAAGGTCTCGGAGCGGAGACACGAGCATCGACTGACCTCTGGCATCGACTTCAAGAACGGCGTCAGTGGGACATGTTCATTGCGCGTACACGGAGATTTCCATCACTTTCGACTTTCTTAATTCAAGCTCGGCCGCGGCAGTTTCCTATCCAGCCGCGCTTCTCGACAAGAGCGACCATGTCCGATACAACTCCCCAACGTCGCCTGCAGAGGCCTGTGATTTTGTACGTAGCGACACTCACATTCTCCGACGTTCCGCGCAGTTTCCAAGCCTCTCATCATGCTAACGTATACACAATAATACAGCGTCTGCGACCTCCAAGACAAGTTCCGCAATGCCATCTTCGAGTTCGACAAGGTAGTCAAGACAACAAGCAAGCTCCTTCGTGCCGCCGAGACTCTCAAGATCCCAGTCTACACCACGACGCAGAACCGCGCACGCCTCGGCGATACCGTCCCAGAGCTTGCTCCTTTTCTCAAGGAGTCAGACCTGATCCGTGCCCCCATCGACAAGACCAAGTTTAGCATGTGGGTACCGGAGATCGCTGGGGAGTTCGCCGGAAAGGGAGAACACCAGGTGATAATTGTGGGCATCGAGTCGCACATTTGCGTGACGCAGACGGCATTGGATCTGCTGGCAGCGGGCCACAAGCCCTACGTGATTGCAGATGGTGTTAGCAGTTGCAACCGCGAGGAGGTGCCCATTGCGCTGGCAAGACTGAGGCAAGAGAGCGTCACGGTTACCTCGAGCGAAAGCCTGCTGTATGAGCTGATGGGCGACGCGGCAGTCCCCGAATTCAAGGCCATTGTGGGACTGGTCAAAGAGACGGGCAAAGACACCAAGGAGATTCTACAAGCTCTGGTGCCCAAGATTTAAAAGCGGGTGATTACGGACGATCGAGTAAGACAGACATACATACGGGGGTTGGGGTAGCGGAATACATATGGGCATCTAGATTTTTGTCTATTAGAATTTGAAATTTACGAATCGTCGACGTCTCTCGAGGAATTTGAACTTCCACTACACCTCGATGGCCTTCACCTTGGCCGCCGACAGCCACTTCAAATCCCCTTGGACTGTCAACCTCCGTATCCTTGCAAGCTCGTCAATGAAGGCGGGAACAAACGTGCCGGGGCCCTGAACATCCTGCCTGACCGCAGCCCACTCGGCCGCAATCTCAAAGTGCAACAGGCCAGCGACGACAGCGAGCAACTTGTCATCGGACCACGCTGCCAGCATCGCCGAAACAGTCGTCCCCAGCACGCAGCCGGTACCAGTGACCTGGCCCAGGAGCTCATGCCCGTTCTCCACCGCAAACGTCCGGACGCCGTCCGAGACGTAGTCGGTCTTGCCCGTCATGAGCACCACGTTCCTCTCCCTCGCCGCCAGGTCCCTGACGAGCTTCGCCTTCTGATCATGCGTCAACGTCGAAGACGAATCAACGCCCTTCTGCTGCTCCAGCAGCGCCTGGCCGTAAACCGTCGCGATCTCGCCTTCGTTGCCCTTGATGAGGTCGAGGTACCCCCCGGCCAGGATGGTCTTGACAGCGGACTTCCGTATGGATGTGGCGCCCGCCCCGACGGGATCGAGAACGACGGGCCGTTTGGCCCCGTTGTAGGCGGCCAAGGCCTTGAGGTAGTTGGCCAGCCCGTCGGGCGTGACGGTGCCCATGTTGATGACGAGCGCCCCGCCCAAGCGCGCGAGGTCAGGGGCCTCTTCGCCGTAATTCGCCATGATAGGCGAGGCGCCGACAGCCAGGGCTACGTTTGCGGCGAAGTTCTGAACGACCTTTTTTTTTTTTTTTTTCAGCGTCAGTTATAAGCTCTAAGAAAAAAAAATCGTGCCGGAGGGGGGAGGGTGGTGTACATACGAGGTTCGTCATGTTATGCGACAACGGCGACACCTCTGCCACGGCCTTGATGACCTTTGGGACTGTATCAATGAGCTGCTCGACATCGCTTACGCCGGCACCCGCCTTCACCGTCTGCTGGTAAGAAGGGCTGGACTTGACGAGCTCCAACAGGCGACGCGATTCGGCCTCTGCGTCTGGAGCGGCGATGATGGCGCTGACGACGGCAACGCCGTCGAGAGCGGGGCCGGAGGGGGTGGCGGATTGGTAGAGCACGCGCTGAATATTGGCGGACTTGATGCCGCCGATGCAGACCGTCTTCACGGCGGGGAAATGGCCTGCAGAGGCGATGGCGGCGAGTATCTCGCGTAGGCCAGAGGTGCCGATTATGTGCTTTGTGTTTTCTTTACTGTTGTCCGATGTTAATCGGGGGCCGAGGAGGAGGGCATGTAGGTGCGTGCGTAGCAGGAGGGGGGGGCTCACGTTGAGGTCGCAAAGACTGTGCCGATGCCCAGGTAATCCGCGCCGCCTTCGCATGCTTTCAGAGCCTCATCGATGGTGCTCGCCGTGACACCGATGATGGCATCTGGTCCGAGGATTTTCCTCGCCGCGGACAGGTCTGCTTTACATCTCAGTTTCGGTCTAATTTTACAAACACCTTTCCTTGTCCGTAATTGGGAAGAGAAAAGATTTATGTGATATATATATCATGACAAGGCAACGGATTGCGCAGGGGGTTGGCTCACTCATATCATCCTGGCCAATGTGCACACCCTCACAGCCGACGGCCAACGCGACGTCGACGCGGTCGTTGATGAGCAGTGGCACGCCGTGGGCACGGGTGATCTCGTGCAGCTTCTTTGCTTCTGCCACGAGAGCGCCCGTGTCGCTGGTCTTGTTACGGTACTGCACACAGGTGACGCCGCCCTTGACGGCGGCCCCGACGACGGAAGCGAGGTCGCGGTCACCGAGGATGGCGGGGGTGGAGTCGGTGACTAGGTAAAGCGAGTAGTCCACCTGCGGCTTCGGCATGGTTGCGGCGTCTTTTACGTATGTTGGAAGGGGGATATGGTATTTAAAATAAGAAAAATTAAAAATGAGCGGAAGTAAGTACCAAGGTGTGATGTGTGAATGAGTGACTTTCATATAATTGCGCCTTTTCATACGCCTTAGGTGTTTTTTTTTATCTCTCGTGTAAATGCGGATACAGTCGGCCAAGATTGGCTCCGATGGCGCGGCATTTGGCTGCAGGGGGGGATGACATCAGCTATTTCGACTCTTTTGCAGAACTCTGTACATACGTTTTGTTGGCCAATCGCGCTGCTTTATCGTGAACTTTCAAGCCAAATTAGTGAGCTTGACAGTTTGTTTCGTTCTGCTGTTGATGAGCAGGGATTTTACTCATTTTTCAGTACATGTAGCTTGCTGTTCCCATCTGATTGGTACCCATACGAAGCTCTATAACAACATTTAAAAGTACCAAAAAGAGAACGATTGACTATAGATACATTCAAAACTCGGAGGTATTTCCTCATAATTCACCTAAACTCCTCCCAATATCTGGAGAGGGTGTGATCCTGTCCGAATATATTACTGTACAGGTTTACCAATTAACCATACCGCTGGCCAAAACTCCCAGTATCGCCAAGGTGCGAAGTGACTTTATTCCTTGAAGATTTTCTTTAACAATTAATCATTCCATCGTGTCTTCGTTAATAGCGGGCTGAGGACCATGATTCTTGTCCTCTTGTTGTGCATGGATTATGGTGATGGTGGTGGTGGTTTCCGGTGGACCAATGGATGCAGTTGGTGAACGTCTCACAACTACTTCGTCTTTTCGTCCCTGACAAATCCATCTCCAAAAGACCCATCCTGGGTTTCGGCTGCATCATGTCGCGGTCCAGTCCATAGTTGAAAACATAGAACCCGCATCCCAAGTTCCAGGATCCTCGCTGAGCATACTGTTCCAAAAAGAGGCATCCAGGTCTCGAATCATAGCCTGCGTCCCGTCAGATAAGTTTGCCGGCAACAAGATGGGCTCCTGGATCGCCGGTTGAGTTTTGAAGGAACTCAGCTCCCCCCTCACGAGGTCCTTAAAATAACGTAGCATCATGGTGAGGCGCAGGAATGGGTCGACGACCTTGGGTCCTGGGATCTCGGCCGCCATTGTCTCTGCTGCGCTTGGTCGTCTAGCCCTCCTGACTGTGAAAAGTTCCAAGTGTTTGACTTGGCTATCAACAACACCGGCGAGATCGATGTGTTTTTGTATCAGCGGGAGATCCCATCCCGGCACTTCCAGTGTCATCAATTTAAGGGATACTATGAAGACGTAGAGAAAGTCGGAAGAGCTAAGGCATGTGAATCGTGGTTGGATGCTTCTATTGTCCCGAGGGAACCGGAGCTCCAGGAATGTCTTCACCGAGTTGCAGCATCCCCAAAGGAGTTCGAGACGTTCGGTCAGGGAAATGTAGGAGGTTGATCCTTGGCATTCGCGAATACCAATTTCATAGAGGAGGATCTCTGCGATGCTTACATGTGTAAGGAGACCGGCTGGATTGCATTAGCAGAGTGTTCCGGGTTGGAGTTCCCACACATACCGTTGTCCTTCAGGTGTTGCGGAATTGACGTCTTGAAGATGTCGAGTTGTTGTTGGAAGGACTGGACCACCATAGTCAACGGCAGTTGAAGCGACTGAAAGCTGGTACTTTCCGCTCCCAACGTAAGGGAGATAGTTTGAGCGAGTTGTTGTATCTTGAAGAGCTGGACCAGGAGTTCGTCACTGGGATACTCTGCCCTTTCCTGAATCTGTCTGCAACACGACTCGAGGTATGTTGTATTCATAAAGGCATCGGGGCGCTTGTTTGTGGTGAAAACCCTATCAATCAATCAGTCTCTGCCAAGCCTTCCGAAAAGGGCTGCTTACAGTGTGTTGAGATAGTAGCAACCGGCAAACGCCCTCATCAGCTCCAGCCGCGTCGACATCTGCTCCTTGGTTACGGTTGCGGCTGCCGGATCTTGCACATTGATGCAGATGCCCCTTTCCCTCTCCTTGATCGAGATGGGATTGTCCTTGAATCCCAGGCTGATACACATAGATCTAGCGAGGAAGAGGAGGTTTGTTAGCTGGAAGCTGTTTATGTTATAGTGGTACCTGCGTGGCGGTTAGTCCTGGAATAGAAATATTCGTAGAGGGGCATCAGTCTGTACCATGCAATTAGGAGCTGTAACCCCTGAAGCACATCCAGACTCTTCTTCGGCTTGGTAAACGCCGACTGCACAATATCTTCCAGTAGCTCGTTACCCAGGGTCACTTGGCGAGTCGCGTCAAGATGGCAGGCAGTCATCATAATGCCCTTCCACAGGTACGGTCTCTCCGCCGCGAGTTCGGCAGGTCCCATGTGAGGCGGCACGATAACGAATGGATACAGCGGCTGCAGTTCATCCTTGAAAGTCTGAAGCATGAGATTGGACTCATTGTTCAACGGCCAAGGCGACTCCGCTGGCTCCGACTGGCTGTTGTTGTGACTACTGAGGGTATGGTGGCCATCGAATGTCGACGAGCTGGGAGCTGGCGATGTGTCCGAAGTACCATCCATCGGCACTTCCGCCGGTGGGAACAAGTGATCGACGTTGATGGGAATTCGAGCTGACGTCGGCTTGTTGCTATTGGTTATAGGAAGAGGACTGATATTACTGTTGATATTCGCACCGCCGCCGCTACCACTACCGGTCACAGCAGGGGCGGGGGCGGGAGCCTCGGGGGTTCCGCCCTGAGTGGTATTCAGCTGAGTAGTCAACTCATCCAACCTCCTTTCAAGCTCCGCGACCTTTGTAGGCTTAGGGTCCTTCTTTGCCCTAGGGGGAGCAGGGGTCTGGGAGCCGCAGGGCTTCCGGAGCCGATGACACCTGTTGGCTGTTAGAATGGAGTCCCGGAGAATCTAACGCTGTTCAGAGGACTTACCGTTCACACTTGTTGCTACCCTCTGGCCCTGGAATACATCTCGACTTGGCCTTGGCGCAAGTCGTACAGGCTCGAGGCCCCTTGTTCTTCCAGTCTGTGTCCATTTTGCATTCCTAATGAGACATTGATAGTGGCAAAATGAAAGCCCTTCTTTCTTCGGGAACTGGGCAAGAAATATGAGTAGACAGCGAAAGGAGTGAAACGCAACGCCCTTACATTAAAAAAACTTGCGTCGTAATCCTTCACTAGGTTATGCCTTCCCAACAACTCTCATGCGATCGTGTAAGTCATGATTTAACTGCTCCAGCCAATGGGGTGCATTCCGAGTCGTTCGTCGTCGAGACTTTGCTCCGTTCCTCCGTTGGAGACGGAGTTGCAAGTGCTCCGTCGGAGTGGTCAGTACGGCTGACTAAGCCTCCTCAAACTCCGTCTCATTTGTCTTGAGCGGTACGTATCTGAACCATCTCAACTTGGCGGGTTTCCGCGGTGTCCGTTACCAGGTTTACCGTCGAATTTATCAGTTGAATCTGCTGCCGCATTCGCATACTCTTTGCGATACCGAGGCGAGACATACACCCATGGGTAAATATTTCGGATGAAAAATTTCACAATACGAACAGACACATCACTATGCATAATGGACAAAACATGATGGAAGAGTCTAAATACGACCTTCATATTGATATTGTAAATAATTGGTGTTGCGACCAACACTGAGATCAATTACCCAGAGGGCGAATCTCAAATCGAAAGAAAATAACAGCCACGGGCGTGGTAAATCAAAAAACTCGTTGATCGCTCCAAAGAACGTGGTCAAGGTCTGCTGAGCTTCCCATCGATATCAACGTCGAAAGTGCTGGGTTGAATACCAGCCAGAGAACGCAATCAGATAGCAGAGTTCACAGCTTGACCAGTAGCCTTGGTCTCACGCTCCAACAGGGCCTCGACGAAGCCGCTGTTGATGTTACCCGCAGCCTTAATCTCCTTCGCAGCTTGCTCGATGCCAAGCTGGCTGTCGGTCCACAGGGGCTCCTCGGGGGCCGCATTGGATTCTCCAACGCCAATGAAGCCACCCTCAGCAGCCCACTCAGAGGTGCGCTTGATACCAAGCTTGGTCCAGATTTCATCAATGGCCTGGACGAGCTGGTCGCGGTACTCCTTCTTGTGGCCTGGGGTAGGGGTCACTCGCAGTCTCTCCTGTCCGACGGGAACGGTGGGGTAGTTGATAGACTGCACATAAATCTGGTAGTCCTGGAGCAACATGTCCGATGCCTGTTTGGCCAGTTCGGCGTTGCCAACCAAGATGGGGATGATGTGCGACGGGTTGGGAATGACAGGGATATCGCGGTCGTTCAAAGCCTCCTTCACCGCACGAGTATGAAGCTGCTGAAGACGACGATCGCCACCGTAGCCCATTTGATACTCGATAGCGGCCTTGGCACCAGCCATCGTCGCAGGAGGGAGAGAGGTGGTGAAGATGAATCCAGGAGCAAGGGAGCGAATCATGTCAACAAGCTTGGAGCTGCCGGCAATGTATCCACCTACACAACCATAGGCCTTGCCAAGGGTACCAGTAATGATGTCAATACGGTCCATGATGCTACCCTTCGGGCGGCCCTGCTGGTGGGCTTCGAAATCCAGGTGCTCCGCGACACCGGCGCCGTGGGGGCCGTACATGCCGACAGCGTGGACTTCATCGAGGAAAGTGATAGCACCGTACTTGTCCGCCAAATCGCAGATGGCCTCGATGGGGCCAATGGAGCCACACATGCTGTACACAGACTCGAACGCAATGATCTTGGGAACGTGCAGAGGCAGAGAAGCGAGCTTAGCTTCAAGATCCGCGATATCGTTGTGCTTGAACACAATCTTCTTCGTCCCCGAGTGTCGGATTCCCTGAATCATGGAGGCGTGGTTCAAGCTATCGGACAGAATGACGCATTCAGGCATCTTGCTACCGAGAGTTGCCAGAGTAGCATCATTGGCCACATAGCAGGAGCTGAAGACAAGAGCGGCATCCTTGGCATGAAGTTTGGCAATGGTACTCTCGAGCTCAACGGCGTGCTTGTTGTGTCCTGAGATGTTTCTCGTACCACCAGCGCCCGCACCGTACTCGTCCAGAGTCTCATGCATTGATTTCAAGACGTGGGAATTGCGACCCATTCCGAGATAGTCGTTGGCGCACCATACAGTCACTCGTTCCTCCTTGTCAGCCATGTGGGCACGGGGGAACTCCTTAGCCAAGCGGTTGATGTTGTTGAAGTAGCGGTACGACTTGTCCTTGTGCTTTTTCTCCAGCTCAGAGGTGTAGTAGGCTTCGTAGTTAAACTTAGCCTTAGAGGCGTCCGAGTTACTCATGCCTACATTGGTAGCGCCATTCTGACGAGCGGCCATGTTCGGAGGAAGCTGGGCTGGGTATAAAGTTAGCTCAAGTATTCGCATTGGCCCTGAATGTGCCCGTACCTTTGTCACGTCCGTTGATGAAGGGAGTCTCAACGGCCCTGGCATCGTTGCTCCGGCTGGTGTGGATACTGGCGCGGCCAGGCTTGGAGTTGGTGCTCAGGGCGCGGATGCCGGCGACGGAGGAGTTTGCAGCCTTAGCAGGGCGACCGTACTGGGCGGACTGAACAGTCAAAGCCTTGCCCATGACGGGGCAACGGTGGGCAAGGAGCTGCAACTTCGACATCGTTCCACCGCAGGGGGAGACGGAGACGGCAGTCGGGGCGGCCTGGATAGCGTGGGGACGAGCCGAAGTGGACAGCGCGCGGAGCTTAGCAGGCGAGGCACTCTTCAAAAAGGGGCACATGGCCTTGGATTGACGCAGAGCAGCCTCCATGATGGTGAAGGGCAATTTGGAGCGAGATGCCGTATGGGAGCGTTCGAAAAGGCGGTACGAATCAGTTTTGTTGTGGGAGTTTCGGTGTGGCGATCAAGCGCAACGTTGAAGAAATAAGGGTTGCCACAGGAAAAGTGTCAGCGCAGAGCTGAACACGAGTCAATTGGCGAGAGATGTGGACTGTTTCGATCAACAAAAACAAGGTTTTGGTAGGAGAAAGAAAGAGGGAGTTGTAGTGGCGGGTGAGGAGAAGCGAGGATTAAAAGAGACCAGATTCTCGGACTGCCCTTTCTTAGTGCGTCCTGTGAAGAGTCGCCATGACACAAAAAAGGCGGCGCAGGGCGCAGGGTACACACATTGGTGAGCCGGGTCAGACGAGGACTGGACTCTGACTGGGGCCAGCGGCGGCGGGGCAGCCACCGGCCACTGAGGATGAATCGGAGTGTGGGTGGGCTGGGCTGCAGTACAGCTGCTGTTGGTACCGCTACCGCTGCACTGGGGATACCCATGAGTAGAGGGGCTAAGGTACTTGCAGTAACTAGCCTTAGTGTCTTTATTCTCGGCGTCTCGGCTTCTGTAGGAGCCCAGAAAAAACATGCAACTTGGCCAATCATTAATGGGCTAAAGGCAATTTCTGGGGAACTGGCGACCTTCTCGTTGGATAGTATCGAATCCCCATCCGTCAACCCTTGTTTGGAGGGACGGGACCTCAGATCACTTTTCAGTACCTGCACGTTTTTTTTTTTCGACCCCTCCGGCGTTTGCTGTCCCTTTTATTTTTCCCTCCCCGGCCATGGACGACTTATAACCGGAATTGACCTACTAAACATGCTCAAAACACCCACTATGCCGTCCTTAGGCCTGCTGCAATCGCCGTTGAGTGGATCCTCAGCATCGTACGAAGTCGCCGGTCACGGCGCTTCCCGAATATGGGCTTTGAATTCGGTTGGGGTGCCTCAAATTGGTGTCCTTACTAACCTCAAGCCCCTAATGTAATATTGACAATGGAGCCAGGGGTAACTACTGCGACGCTGCGCTCGCGGCCACTCGCTCTCATTACCCCGTTGTCCCTCGTTATCCCTCGCTTTTCAGAATCACTAGCAAAAGGCTCGAATGTGGGAAAACCAATATCAATCGCGATGCCAAAATGTCACACATGAAAGCAGCTCGAGGAACCTCAAGCGAATCTGTGGTGCCAAGCCCGCTATTTGTTCCGGTGACATTACCATGTTAGCTCTGTGTACGGAGATCTTACTCTCTCATTCATCGAAATGCTGACTCCAACGCCGATGCTAATGCGACCCTCAGACCACCCACGTTTAGCTAATTATCCGTAAAACTTCTCGCCTCTAGGCCTGTGGCAAAGGGTATCATAATGCTGTGTGATACCTTGTAACTCCAGTACCCTTCCCTAAAACAAAATGCAGAGCATACCAAGCCTCTCTAGACGCAGAGACGTCACCGCGACAAAGAAAAGAAGGGAAAAAAAACAAAACAAAAAAAAACCCTGAATCCAGAGGCATGTTGGCTTTAATGGTCCTACTCACCGGGTGAGGGTGACAATTGAAAAGGGTCGCGCGGCCGTTGATGTTGTTCTCCGAGTTTACCTTCCTCAACAGCTTTACTGGCCCAAGTCGGAAGCCTAGGGGCCCGATGCCGTCTCCTATCAGCCACATCCCTCATCACCTGTAAATCATCCAGTGCGCGAGTAGTCAGAGTCCTGGGTTTCATCGGTCCAGTAATTGATCGAGCGAGGACGTTCTCGAGATGCTGTTGATCAAGTTAGTAGCCGAGATATTTGTTGGAGACAGACAGAAATGCAGTTCTAAAAGACCAAAGTCAAAAACGTCGGGCTCATACGTTGGGATCCTGGGCTTTCTGACTGCCCAATCTTAATCGCTCTTGAAATTTGTCGTCATCAAGCTTCCTCAAATCATCCTCCATGGTGTCTAAGCCGCTAAATGTCGGGGCATGGGCGAGCTCGGCTGGTGTCAGGAATCCCGTAACTACTGCGGCTGCAAATCTGGGTTTTTCCATCATGCTGCAGAGTTTCTTCATATGAGATTCGTCCGGTATCTTACCGTACTTAGCATCTAGCCTTATTTGCCAAGCAGACTGTGCAACGCGTTTAGCAAGATCATTGTGGTCTTCTTTGATCGTACAGAGGACATCGGGATCGTCTAATTTTCGGAGCGCCTCGAGTATCTTTTGCTCAAACTGATACGGCCAAGTGATCAAAGACGAGGGTGCCTTAAGGGTCTTCTTTGTTGTCGAATTTGCTCCGTGCAGAAAGGTGGGAGGCGCGTCTCCTCTATCTGAAGGTACAACCTTCTCTGGGTGTGCTCTGAAAAATGTGTTGGCGCCAGCCATTGGCATAGGCAGGACCCCTCGTTGCTATGTTGTTGGTAAGTTCATATACGATCAGGGGAAAGACTTGCGAATATCCGTACCTGTGACACTTGGGAAGTTTCAAGGCTTAAACCTGGCTGGAGTGAAGCTTGCGGATCATGGCATGCCTCGTGCTCCATCACACCTGGGAGCTTTGAAGACACAGATGCTTGTAAGGGATTGACCGGCGCGACCAGTGGTCTCGACAACTGCCCCATGATGGTAGGTTGTGTATTGGAGTCCTGGGTTGATGACTGCATAAGAACCTCAGCGCTGACCCCATGTAATCCTGGAGGCTGATTATGTACGTAATATGCGCCTCCAGTAACCGCGCCAAACTTTGGGTCTGAGATTGAAACTGGTCCATCGAGGCCTTTCAGTCGAACCGCCCTTTCCTGCTCCAATCGCCGAAATTCCTCTGGATTGGTATGACGAAGAGTGTTCATATGAACCTGAGCATCCACGTCCTTTCTATCCTCAGCTGTAAGAACATCGTCAGGATCTTCTTCCTCAAAAGTATTTGTCATCATGATTTCTCGAATGCCTTGCGAGAGCTCGGGGTTTTTCAACAAGCCATCCAATACGGTGTCCTTGTTTAGGTGTTGAGTCAAGTCTCTTTGAACGGGATCCTCGCGATTCCTTAGATACTCATTCTCCTTCTTGGACCAGCGCTTCGGGTTCTCCTTGTCCACTACCCGTGAGGCCAACTGGGTCTTGAAGACCGTCCTATTTTGCATAGCCGCCTCAAAAGTGCCACCAGCTATGAATTTGTAAACGTAAACTGGTTTTTGCTGGCCAATGCGATAGGCTCGACCAACTGCTTGCTGCTCATGAACAGGATTGTATTTGAAATCGAATATGATTACTCGATTGGCACCGAAAATGTTCAACCCGACTCCTCCAGCTGTTGTCGAGATGAGATAAACTTGTGTATCTCCAGTGTTAAAGTTTTTGATATGCTGCTGTCTGACGTTGATTGGAGTGCTACCATCCAGACGCGCTACTTTCCGTTTTTGTTGGCGAAGCAAACTGTCCAAATAGTCCAAGGTTGGTATTGACTGCGTGAAAACAAGTACCTTGTCTCCAACTTTCTCGCTCTGGTCCAAAATGGCGACAAGCAGTCGCGTCTTCCACGACAAATCTGCCGACTGAATGTCAATTCGAGGGCCCATCATCTTGAGACCTCTGCTTATGACATTGGATGGCACAGTTAGAGTGGATCCAGTACGGTTGTTCAGCCTCTTGCCTCCCTCTGCAGCCTTACTTTCATCCAAAAGCTTTTTCTTCCAACAACGTGGATGGTTGACAATAAGGCCGAGGTTGCTAAGGGTTGCGAGGATCCTCACAGAAGCCTGTCCAGTCAGTTCATCCCTGGCGGAATCAACATAGGTATCATAAAGCTTGGCTTGGAGAGATGTCAGCGGAATTGTAAGTATGAACTCCATCTTTGGCGGAAGGTCGTTCTTCAGACAAGATTTGATAGTCGCTCGTTGTGCTTTGGGAGCCACAGTCTTCTCCAGCACAGAGAGCTGCTTTTTTGCCTTGCGAAACTGATGGTACGTGCTGTCCTCGTACAAACCGGCCTGTATGGGAACTGCGTACAATTCTTTGAATTCGGATGGAGGACCTAGGTAGTGAGGTGCCACCCAGTTGATCATGTAGTAGAATTCCTCAACATTGTTCGCAAGGGGAGAGCCGGTGAGTGCAATGCGACTTTGAGTCTTAAACTGTGCAGCTGCCAAGCCCACTTTGGACTCCGGATTCTTTAATTTATGAGCTTCATCGGCAACGACAATGTTGGGGCTTTGGGTAAGAATGTCCCAAGCGGTCTTGGCATCGTTTTCTTGTGGCAACTCCTCGTCCGGTTCGTCGACTAATCGTTTGAACATATCATAGCCGATAACCATGATCCCGCCCTCCTCATCCCAGCGCCGTATCACTGGGATTCTGTCTTCCTTTTTGGTTGCAGCTTCAAGTTTGTAGTAATGTCCAAGAAGCCCTGTGGGTGCCCACATCAACAGCTCGTCCATCCAGTTATCAACTAGTAGAGACGGACAGAGAATCAGAGATTTTGACTGCCTCAAGTCCAGAGGTACCTGTGAGAAAACTGACTCGTCTGCAGATGCGGCAGCCTCGGCGATGGCAACAAGTAGAGTGATAACCTGCATTGTTTTTCCTAGGCCCATTGTGTGAGCAAGAAGGCAGCCTTGCCGGACCTTGGGGTCGCAGATAATTTGATTCCACATAAATCGGACGCCCTTGATTTGATGCTCCTTAATTCTTTTGCCAATGTCTATGTTAACGTAAATTAAGCCTTGGTCGTCTTGCTTGGATTCATTGATGATTAACCGTGACTTGTCACTCGGAATTAGGTCCGACGCGGCTAGCTTCTTACGCAGCTCGATTCGGCGCTTTTCCTGTTCCTGCAAGCGTTGCTGGTCGTTTTCTCTAAGGTCCTTTGCAGTTTGATCCAGGACAATGGGCCGTTTCCGTTTCTTAGACGGGGCGTCTTCAATGCCGTCGTCTGTAAATCGCTCGGAACTCTCTGCTTCGAAACTGCTTGTCTGTTCTTTTTTTGCCTTCTCTGCATCAAACGTCGAGTTGTCTTTGTCATGCGTGAAATGAGGCGCCACACTGTCATTCACAAAATCGCAAAAATCTTCAAATTTTGCAGATTGCGCGCTCAACCTTTTTGCTCTCCCACTGCTGAGCTTCTTGAATGCGCTTACTCTGGGAAGTTGAGCTTTGCAGAGGGCGAAAACTCTAAACAGTCGAGCAACCAGATAGCTCAATTCAGGAACAGGCTTTTGAGCTTCACTGACTGCCAACGCTGGAATGACAGTGTCGTTCCAAATCGAGTCAGGGGCTGCTGCCCCAAGGACATGAAAGAATTTCTTTCTAAATCCCTCCTCAATCTTCCAAAGGACCGAGATTAAAAGTCGTTCCCGGTCATTACGATCCTTCCAAATTTGTGGTGGAATCGCAGCAATGTTCATCGGCTGGTCGAACGGAATGTTAAGTTCTTCGTCGGAAAAACTATGACGACTTTCGCCCTCGATCTCTGTACTTTGCTGCACAATACTAACTTGAGAGGCTTTGGTTGGAGTGACGAGGCTGATGACATGTTTGTTAGACACCGGTTCCGAATCGAAGCCTGTCAAATCGATGACATGGTCAGGGGCCATAGTTGGAGCCGGGACTCGTCCTGACAATGGATCTTGCGTTACCAAGGTGCTCTGAGGCTGATGTAACACCAACCTATCGGAGTGATCCAAGTCCATAGCATCAGTTTGTCGTGACTCATTTGTCTTCAATGACAACGTGGCGCCCTCCATGCTGTCAGTAATGAACCCGCTATCATCATCGTCACTTGTGATGATCTCTCCGTCCTCATCGGATAGCGCTTCCTGCTGGACCGTATATTTTGGGGGCCTCGGCAAAGCTTCTGGGCCAAGAGGCTCAGGTCCACGTAGAATATCAAGAAGCCATTTGTCCGTTTTGCGGTCTTCAACACTGGCTTCAAGGCACCGCGTCTGCCTCCTTAGTTGGGCGTCGTCACACCATTCTTCACGCTGCAACTCGATACAGAGCTTTTTAATGCGGTTGTTGAAAGCTTCCAATCGAGAAGAAGCTTGGGATATCAACTGAATGCGGCCGCGCCGGCGCGCTTGGTTCCAAATTGATTTCGCTTGCTTTTGCTTCCGGGGTAGCTTACGTTCTTCCCAGGATTGTTCCATGCGCAGAATCTCCTCGTCTATCACACGATCAACGTCGGCGCGGGTAAGGCGCATCTTCCGTTTCTTCCATCGTTGCGATTCCTCTTCTTCCTCTTCGATCTCCCTTAGAGTATCTGAATCGTACTCATCTTCGGTACCTGAGTCACCAAAGATTGGGAGAATCTTATCCTCGTCTTCAGGTTCAACATAAGGAGATATCCCATTACTCAGCTGTGTGAGTGGTTCATTGTTGTTGCGGAAAAGTCGTCTCATCGCTCGGTGTATCTGTAGACGCCTGCCAGTAGGTATCAGGGCTTTAGTAGTAATATAGAAGGACCTATCTTGCTCAGTAGGTTTACCTTCGCTGGAAACAAGGTTTGATGGCGGAACCCAGTCGGCAGTAATCAAGCTGTCGTATCCATAGTAGGCACCGGGTGTGTCATCAAGCCAAGATGGCTTCTCGGTCTCTGTCTTCCGTGCGGGACCGGGCGTTTGGTTATCGTTGAAAGACAACACTGCCGCCGTCCGGGGCTGGGTTTTAGAATCTCTCGTCGCAATGCCAGTTGCGGCGTTAGGAATGGGCATATACCCCACCCCAATAGTCTCAGTAGAAACCAGGACAGGTGCCAACCTCCGCTTTTTCTGGGGCGGTTCGTCAGAAGACCCATTTGAGACCGCCATTGAAAGATCAGGAGATTCCTGAGAGCCCATAGCGGCCGATTTGCTAAGAGGAGGGCAAGGCTCCTGGGGCTCTATTGCAGCAGCGTGAATCTTCTCGCTTTCTTCACTTATGTTAACATCTTTTGATGGAGGACTGGACCGAACATCTTGTTGCGCTGGAGAAGTGTGAAGATTCTCTAGAGTTTGGAAGCTGGCAGGTCGGTTTGCGTTGAGTGTGACTTCTTGTATGCTGTTCTGAGAGTCAAGATCCTGCTTAGCCAAGTCCGTCTTTTGTTGGTGATAGGTCGGACTTTTGGACTTGAGATAGTTGATAGCCCTGACTAGAGTCATTTGATGTGCTGGCTTAGTGAGACCTAGAATAGTCAAAAGGCCACTGATGGAGAGCATAACATCTTCATAGGTCAAGAGTGTCTCCCCATCAACGTCGTTCTCTCTCAGGGCTGCCGACAGAGCAGCTGGATCAGGCCGCTTGGTCGTCGATCTTGGAAGCCAAGGCCGGTCTTTAGCATCACATAGCTCGAGCACCACTTGGTCCACATCCCATTCAAAGGGATCACCGCCGGTGCCTGCCATAGTCCCTGATCTGGCACCTAGTCGTCAAATCATTCGAAAACTGCTATTGAGGCTGTCAGTGGTGCCTTATGGAGTAGAATGTGATGGCTCGTCATCAACATAATATTATGTCATTCAATTTTGAGCCCAACGGAAGGAGCTGAATAAGTGAGATGAGCTTTATCCAGCTTGGCCTTTAGTTGGAGGGATATAAGCCAAAGAAACATGTAGTGAAGGTGGCAGTGCTAATGATCAATGAAAGAAACAAAGGAAGGAATTTGCCAGCAGTTTGCAACACAAGCTCGCTCCTAGAGCGAGTGTGATTCGGCATGGTGAAACTTAAGCAAGGAAACGAGTGCACAACCTGACTTACAATGAATCGGCGCATGGACCCATGAAACAATTGACCAGAAGAATGTACAGACTGAGTTCTCCCCTTAGGACAAGCAACCACGCTCTAGTCCTTCCCAAAGTAAAGGTAGGACTTTCAAGCCCAAGGTTGGTCGAGACGAACAGACACTCTGGTCAAGCAAACGGTCGTGGTCCACACAGAAGACTCAAGTCTTTAATTAAGATCTCCGAGTGGCAAGAAGACAGCATGGATTTGATGTACCCTGAGCTGCGGTAGTTGCAAGAAGCGCCACCTAAAGGCCGACTTGGTGTGTTGTGTAGAGTGGAAGGAAGAAAAGAAAAGCAACGTTTTCTGAATATTCACGACGCGTTAGCTAGTTGAAGTCGTAAAGGAAAGTAACCGTTGTCGCCCCACCTTCCTCAATCACTTGGGAAAATTAGAGCACCTAAGAAATGTGGGTGGCAGGCCTCGCCGGCCCGTCACGTGGGCTGACGGCCGCCACCACTGGTCTTAGCCAGCCTCCACAGCCCTCTAGCCAGTTAGTTAGTTCTTCCAACCAACAACACCACTTTTCCCATTCTGAGCGTTCTGTGCTGGTTTCGCCCACAAGAAAGGTACGGGCAGTTGCTTCAGCAGGGTAAGTTCATCAATAGGCAGCTTCTATGGAACACTAGAGACTGTGACAAGGTTCTCTTGGTGAGCCAATTGGAACTTCCCTTTTGGACTTCTTATTCCATCAGCACGTGATGACCTATCGGTGTTAAGATAAGTTGCTGTTTGGATAAGGCAGGAAGTAAAAAAATGTGGGGAGGGGTCAGACAGGCTCAGATACAGAGCGCAACAATTGTACTTGTACTGCCTTCACATGCGATTGCTGGAATGCAGGGGCAAGTTCTCGCAAATGACTGAGTTATGATTGAAAAATATACATCTCAAGTAATCTTAGGTAATTAAATAAATAATTAATGGTGAAATAGCCTCAAATTTGGGTTCGAGTTAATCACTGGGGATACCTGTGTACTTTCGCTGGTCCATTTAGACTGATCACGTCTTACGTGCATTGTACAGACCAAGATCGCTCTTTCCTGGAAAACCTAGTCGCCGAGTGCTCATGGTGGGGCAATCGACTCCTCCCCTCTTGTCAATGTGCCCCTCCGATCATTTAGGCGCTCAGGACCTAAGGCGGGTAGATCTTGTCAAATACATCGTGAGACTACGATAATTGAGCTGCCCACCCTGTGAGGGGTAACAAAAGCCGCCTAAAGAGCCTAGGTGAGCGCAGGCGAATACTTTCAGCATTCAGTCACAATTACCTGTGTTGTGAGGGCTGTCGTCTAGAGCCCCACCTATACTACCGATTTCTCAGCATTCTAGTCAACTCCCTCGTCTTTCGAAATCGTGCATCGATTATCAATCACTCAATTGCGTCTAAAAAATACTTCTCCTCCAATTCTCGGTACCAATTCTATCAAAAACTCATACGAATAATCCTGGGAGGGTTCGTCCGGAGTCGAATCCATTTCATTTGCATCAAAGAATCACTCTCTTATCACAGCGACAATATGACAGGTGTTACCCCCACGAATGAGCAATATCCACCTCGGCTTTCTCAGTCAGAGCAGGATGCTCTTGTACAGACTGTCAAGGACTGGGCTATCGGTAACGGCCTATCTGTCCGACCACCTCCTGCCGTTGTATCAGCCGAAGCGGACCCGAAAGGCATCTTGGCAGTCAATGTACCCGTGACGCTCTTCCCAAGTCCTTTCCCTAAGCAATGCTTCGCCCAGGCAAGATCTGTTCAAACGACCTATAACGAGCTTTATGCGGCTATCAGCAGAGATGAACAGTTTCTGAATGATATGGTTAACGAGTGAGACAAGCCTTCAAATTTGCCCAGCTGTGTGCCAACAGCGGGTGCATCTTGTCCCAAACTGTGTATCTGACATGGTGTAGGGTGAAGAGCGGCGATGACTTCATCAGCAAGTTGTGGGATACTCATGTGCGAGTTAAGAAGGAGGGATATACTCAGGTATGTTCATTCGTAGTTTGAGAGGGCTAAACTAACACAAATAAAGAGCCTCTCTCTTGGACTCTTCAGATCTGATTATCTCGTTCATCAAGATACTTCAGCAAACGAACCCAGAAGTCAGGTCAAGCAAGTGGAATTCAACACGATAGCCTCATCTTTCGGAGGTCTCTCGTCTCGAACCTCCTTGCTTCATAAGTAAGTTTCTCTTGCCCTTGGGTACTTCCTCGTTTAACATTGGCAGGTTCCTCTCTGTTGCAGAATATCCCCTCTTGAACCGTCCAATCGAGTCGGGAGCCCTTGACCTGCCCGAAAATCAGAGCGTCCAAGGCCTGGCCGGGGGTATTCGTGCGGCCTTTGATTTGTACGGGCCATCTGAATTAGGCCACAAGAAGTGCGTTGTCTTCGTTGTCCAGGGTGGCGAGCGCAACATTTTTGATCAGCGCCACCTGGAGTATGCCCTTGCCAGTTCTCCCGATCCTGTCCAGGTCTTCCGCATCCCCTTCTCCGAGCTTCTGCAGCATACCGAGGTTGCCGATACCCCCAAGCGCCAGCTACTTTACAAGGTTCCCAGGGACCCTTCCAAGGTCTTTGAGGTCGCCGTCGCCTACCTGAGATGCTGGTATGACCCGTCAGACTACCCCGACCAGAGCGCCTGGGAGGCCCGTTACCACCTGGAGAGGTCGTCGGCGATCAAGTGCCCAACTGTCTTGACCCAGCTTGCGGGCAGCAAGAAGATTCAACAGGTTCTGGCCACGCCGAGATCAGGATCTTCGCCCTCGGTTCTAGGTCGCTTTATCCCTGACGATTCTCCTCAAACGGCGGAGGTTTGGCAGACCTTTACTAATATCTTCCCGATGGACAACACGGATGCTGGTCTCCAGGCGCGCAAGATCGCACAGGATCCGGAACTTTGCAAAAACTATGTCTTGAAGCCGCAGCGGGAGGGTGGTGGCAACAACCATTACCGCGAGGATATTCCCGAGTTCTTGAAGAAGACTCCCGAATCTCACTGGGGCTCATACATTCTGATGGAGCTGATCACTCCTCCCAAGCAGGACAACATCATTTTGCGAAACGGCAATCTCGAGGAAGGCGGTGTTATCTGCGAGCTTGGTATTTATGGAACGACTGTCTGGAACCAAGGCACTGGGGAGGTCCTTCACAACAAGGAGGCTGGCTATCTCCTGCGTACCAAGGGCGACACGAGCAACGAGGGCGGTGTGGCCGCTGGCTTTGGGTGCATGGACAGCTGCAGACTTGTTTAAGAGTAAGAAGATTATAGATTTGGAATTTTACAGCTTGTCATGCTTAATAGCAATGGGCATACGACCATGTGTGAAGACAGGTGGGTCACCGTATCACGTAGATCAAAGCATTCGAGAGCAGCAACCCGTGGTATCAATTATCATCCTAAAAACAAAATTTTGTACAAAACGCCTCGACAGGCCCGATTTGTCAGTCATTTCACACAAAAGGAATCCCAATACAGAGTGGAGAGGGGCCGGTCAGGTCAACATCCGGAGGGGCTCTCGTCGTCGTCGTCGTTCAACATGATCGGAACTCGGTTCATCCCACTGAAAGACATGTTTACTCGCTAGCGGAGGTGCCGGTCTGGGGGCGTCTGAGGACCTCAATGTTGCCTGCAGATGTGTCAGGAAATTGAGTTGAAGAAATCTAATGGGCGCGATCAATGGGAAAGTGGGAAACATACGCTGAACAACGTTCAGAGAGCTGCGGGTCTTTCCTTCGGCATCCTGGTAGGTGCTCATGGAAGCATCGCCCTCGACATAGACGAGAGATCTGCAGGTGGTTTAAATGTCAGTCAATCGAACCTCTCTGGTGAAAGTGCACATCTCAATCGTACCCCTTGGGCAAGCTCTGGAGGAAGTCACGGCGGGGACCCTCAGGCTCGAAGCTGGTGACGCGGAACCAGCTGGTCTGGCGGTTGTCCTTGGAACCGCTGTTGCTGGCGACCGCATACTTGAGAATCTCACGGCCTGTGCTGGTGGCCTGAAGCTCAGGGGTATCGGCGAGGTTGCCGACGATGGTAATGCGGGCGACGTTGTGGGAGGGGGAGGTGCTAAAAGCACGAGCGATGCGCGGAGCGGCGGTGGCGCGACGGAAGAGGGCGGCGGCGGACATTTTTACGGTTAAAATTTTCGTGCGTTTATGTGTGTTGAAAGGAGTGGACGAGGTGAGACCGAAGAGAAAAGAGGACAGTGAGTGTGGGTGGTATGGTGTTTCGTAATTGAAAGCTGATGGTATTTCGAACACGACAATCCAGGAGCTCTCGGTTTGCTCGCGCCGCGCGACGCGGTCAAGGGGGGCACTCTGCCTCCCAATGCCTTGTGGTCCGTGCTCTAGGGGTGTCAGATCTCTAATTGTAACTCGTTAGAAGAACATTCTCCTTATTGAACCTATCATACGTCTAAAGTCATATCTCGAATTATGAGGCTACCCCTGTATTTAATTGGATACCTACCAGCACTCTAGCTTAACGACAGCAATACTACAGCAGGGTCAACTACACCGCTGGTGATTATAGTCTGACAATCCCCTCTATATTGTCCTATTACTACTGGAGCTGTATATGGTCGATTTATTGGATTTCAGCACGTAAAACTGAGTTTTGTAATCATTTGACAGCGACTCGTGGGCTAAGAAAGCAACCTACCACTCTTCGACTTAGAGAACCGGGTCATGTTGTTTGTAGACGCCTGCTAGCATACAGCAGATAAATTTTTTCATCGGTATTTGGGCTGGACAGACTATACGCCTCAAACTGAAAGCGAATTTACACTGTAACTTTTCGAGATGAGATCCCATTTGTGACGACCCATGCTCAGTGGTGATTCGCATCAGTCATATTCGGACCCTGACCTGTCACATCGTCAGATGTTGGGCAGGCTTCTCAAATGGAAACGCCACTTCTAGGCTGTTCATCAGCCGAGGCCTGAACCGTATCGTGGCATTGTGTGAAATACGAAAATCCGGTTAGACTGATGGAAAACAGTGTTTTGGGTCCTGCACTGGTCCAGAATGAATGAAGAGGGTCGGGATAACGATGCCCTTGTCTAACCCCTCTTTACCTTGTGCGTCCCTGCTCAGAAATGTGTTCTTAGATCTTAACATAAGAGGCTGCAATAGGTCTTGGGCTCTGCACGGAAACCCATTCTACAGAAAATGCGCCCTTCGTTCACGCTCTAAGCCGTCGTCTTTCAGTTTCCATCTGCCTCACCAGCTACTTTTCCCAGCAGCGTCTTGTGGCCTCGATCTCTTCAGCAACATAATACTATGGACAGCTGAATTTGATCTATAAGTCCCTCTTTCAATTTTATTACAGTCAGTCCCGGTTCGGTAAGATTCAAGGCTTATGTTACCAGCTTGCTACGCAGTCTGTTAATGGTCTTCGACTCCCTCTACCAGATAGTGATCTCCTAATATAAGGAGCGATATCATCGTGCGCCGGTCGCAATAAATCGATGCGTTACTACAATTTAGTACTTGACCGCACCTGATCACAGTCGACTTGGCAGCTATTATTCCCGCCAATGGCGCCTACGTCATATATAGTGGTGGCACGCACCGTCGAAGTAATTCCTCTACAGCCAGTGGCACCCTATGCAAGAGACGACTTGACAGTTAACCTCGTATTCCGGGTAACTCTTTCTTTCTTTGCTAACCTGGTCTGCGTTGTGCCGCTCAAGTACCTGGCCCATCACGGCGAATTCGCAGCAGCAGTCTTCGTCTGTACGGTCATTGTCCTAAATGCCCTCACAATCGTCAACTCTCTCATCTGGCGCGATAACAACGTCGAAAACTGGTGGAAAGGGCATGTTTGGTGCGATGTCCACCCTTACATTTATCAAACAGCATCGACTATCTTCCTAACGTCGGCCATAGCCATCATGCAGAATCTCGCCCAGCAGGTGAAATTGTTGCGGGTCGGCCCTGTGAGTATCACCGAGAAGCACAGGAAGATGTGGCTTCAGTTCTCAATCATTTTCCCGCTCCCTATCATTCAGATGGGATGGCTGTACCCTCTATCGACTCAGAGATACATCATCGGTCCTCTTAAAGGGTGCTTATGGAGTGCCACACCAAGTTGGCCATTCACTGTTTTCTTTCTGCTCCCTAGCCCACCCCTAGCTCTACTAGCAGCTTCTTACTCAAGTAAGCCGAGTCCGACACAAAGGAAGCTCGTTCCTCGCTGACAGAGCTCTGCAGTCCTCGCCTGGAAAAATTACCTAGAAATTGAGCCGATTACTCGCTCGGCGATCGCATCAGACACTTCAGCTGCTGGAAGACTAAATCGTACTAGATGCCGTCTTCTATTCATGATAACCTACGTTATACTCCCGGCCCTCGTACCAATCTGCGTATATAATGTACACGAGATCATCTCATACTATTCTTGGCAGCAATTCAACTTCCGAAAAGTTCACTACGAAAACAACCCCTGGCCGTGGGACTCTGTTATACTGTATACATCCGACCAGATGCCGTTTGTTGAGCTCAACTTTGACTACCTGTATTCTGCAACAGGCGTCATGGTCTTTGTGTTCTTCGGCTTCACAAGCGATACTAAAGACTACTACCGCCGTTGCAAGCGCGCCATGCGTCTCGACGGCCTCTTCAACAGCCTGCGTGACAATTCCAGCCCAAATGAGAGGCCGGACCACTTAGGCCCATTGAGGCCACGGCTATCGTAAGTATCGGCTCTCGCCATGTTACAGGCACGAAGTCACTAATAAGGTATATACCAGATCATCAGCGGCGGAGCTTGCTAAGGAAGACTTCCGCCGAGATGCCGATATCAGTCGCATATCGCAGTTACAGAGCTCAACATCGTCGTCGCCGCCTCCTTACTCTCCTGAGCTCGATGTTACCATCAGTGGAAAGCTCCTCATGTAACCTGACACATCGTGCCGAGGACGACCTCACGAAGCCAGAACCTTGCGTGGTTGTCGGCTCCAGACGTACCTTTCTCAAAGACTATACGGTTTTTCCTCTGTCGAATCTTTCCCGAAGAAACTCCAGCTGCTAGTAGTGCTCTTTCCAATCTACAAACTCGTCACGTAGTCAACCTAGGAATCACGGGTCAATAAGCTATCAATCTGTCATTGCCTACTTCGGACGTAAAAACCACCACCGTTTGTGTTAGCCGTACTTATGAAGAAGGGGGGGGGGGAAAAATGAATGAGTGAAAAAAGCCATTGGCAATTAGTTAAGTGGGAGGCGCTTAGTTTCACAGAATGAGAAGTTCATGTTTCGCGCCATGGTTAGACCTGGAAAGCCAATATACATGTTCTCCTGTTTTTCCAGGAAATGATTTTTGCAAGTCTACCCTGATTTAAAGGGGATTTCAGAATTGAGAAACCATTCAATAAAAAGACCTGAGTTCCTAGGTATCTACAAAAATTATAGCAGCTCCTGACTTTGCCTGCCGCCAAGTATAGAGCCCCTTGCGCGAGCAGCCTCTCTCTCCCAGCCATCGTCTGTCCATTTTATGGACGTGTTCTGTTATCTCCTTTACGTCCCCTTCCAAACTCAAAATGACTACCTTGTCAATAAAATAGATAGGATAAAAAAGACTGAATCAGCCGAGAAACCAAGAAAAAAGTCGTCGAATCACATTCGTAAGCGTTCCCAACCAAGGGACCCTGAACTCCGCGCCATGCCTTTGGTATAAGGTAGTAGTGGTAGGTGGGAAAGTGAAAAGAATCCCCGTAAAAAAAAAGATATCGAGAGCCCGTGAGGGCTAGGCTATGGTCGTGTAAACTCATGTCGGCGGTGCTTCCTGGGTCTAGGATGCGCCAAGTCCGATATTAGAAAGAGTGTACGGTTAAATAGCAAATTCGAAGAGAAAAGCGTAAGCGCAAGCAAAGCAAAACCGTGTGATGCTCGCCAGTTCGGTGTCAAGATTATGCCGTTACAGCAGCCGCAGGCTCCATTGGCATATTTCCCGATCCCCCAGGAGTGCTTGGAGCCGGGGCAATTTCTGGATCTGGGATTTGAATGTCCAGCTAGAAGCATAATTAGCATGTTAGCGCTTCGAGTATATAGCATAAAACTTACAGTCATATAGCCTGTCCGCCGCAGTGAGATTATGCGCGGTGCCATTGAGGTATCGTCGTTGCCAACAGTCTTCTCCATCTCCAGGTTCCACTGGTCGATCCAGCGTTCCAGGCGCTTCAACCGGGCCTTAACCCCAGTAAATCCCAAATCGTCCCACAGCCATCCAGTCACCAGCCCCAAAACGCCGTCAATCATATTTCTCCAGTTGTACGGGCTGAAGATTGGCACGAGCTCCCCGTTAAGCTTGTCAATAATCCTGCGAAACTCTTGCTCTGACAAACCGGCCGGATCAAGAATCTCGGGGTACAAGTTGGAGAATGTCGGGGCTAGGTCTCCTTCCAACAACCAATCTCTACGTACACGAATGATTCGCGTATTTTGGTACTCCAGAGAATCGATGGGGACGTGTGGGTTCAGGTGAGGGAAGCACGGATGTTGAGGTCCCCATTCTTCGCCAAGGTCTGGCGGCAATTCCTCTCCCATAATTGATGAATTGGATGAGGAAATGGCCGAACCGATACCGTCGCCGGCTGAAACATTCGAAAGGCGTGGGAGAACATCGGGCCCACGTTCTAGATCCTTGGATGCGCCTCGCGCCTGTCCCTCAGTACCTTGCTCCATGATTGCTTTGCCTTTGCCCTTGTCGATGACGGCGAAATCTCGAACGACGGAGTGTACACCCGTTACCCGGGAATCAATTTTTGGTTCCACAGAGGTATAGTGTTTGTCGTCGGCTAGACTAGAATCGAGGTCGGGAAAAGTGGGAGAGGGGTCGCCGGATCTCCTTCCGTCGTACGAATGACGAAGCGATCTCGGTAGGCTGATGCGATGTTCGGCTTTCCTATCGACCTGCAGGCTTGCGCGGTTGGATGTAGAGTGCCTCGTCTGGAGCTGCTCGGGGAGAGTCAAAAGCGGGTAGTCACCGGCGCCGATACCCAGGGGGTCAGAGGGATCGACGGAAGAGGGATCGAGAGTCGGATGGGTTAGGGGAACTGCGGGAGGGGCTGGCGTTGATGGACGTCGTTTGCGGACTCTCTTTTCGGGAAGTCTTGGTGTGGAATTAGTAGGGTTCCAGAGACGAGCAGCCGAAAGGTGAGGGAGTCGACGAGCGGCGGAGGAGGCTGCACGATTTCGAAAGGGAGAGTGCAGAAAGTAGTCTTTGGGGTCGTAGTTGCGAATGAGTGATGGACTGCGGGCCTGGGGCAGGCCGGCAGCGGCTACTGGCTGATCAAGCTCGGGCGAAGCGCCGGGATAGGTAGGCTGCTGCGATAGCGTGGCAAGGCGAGGGTTGGCGGATGCATCTAAGGTGGCCGGATCCGGAGGCGGAGAGGTGATTCTCGCGTGGGAAGCCGTGGGAAAGATGGTTCGAGGAAGGCCGCCGAGAGGTCGACGGCCTTACGGGGCACGGTGGAGTACTGGGCTGGTAGTCGAGGACGAGATTGCAGGAAAGCCAGGGCCAGGCTCGTAGAGGTCGCCAGGGCCTCTTTAAGCGGCGGCAGTAGCGACGACGAAGACTTCGATTGAAGTGGCAGCACAAGTCGAGTAGGCGGCGATGGGATGTGATTGGGGAGAAGGCGGCGTAGGTTCGAGTTGTGCAGTTGAACGATTAGGTTTGCAGCTAGGCGGGTGGGGCCTCGGACAAAGAAATGCAGAAGCCTGGGGACGGTTGTAGCGGCGGCAGCAACGACGATAGCTCGGACAGCGAATTTAGGTTTTGCTTCAAGGGAGGAAGAGGAGATGGTGGTGGTGGTGTTCTCAATGCAGTCGAGTGTTATGCGGCCAATTGCGCTTCGTCCTGGCAAGAAAGAGCGAAAACTGGTGCTTCTCCTTGGCGGCTTGGACAACAACGCTGAAGCGACCCTAGCGGAAGGGTGTGGATTGCTGTTGGAGCAGCAGCTCGTGTTGGTGGCTGACGGCCAACTATTGGCGAAAAATGGCACCCGACCAAGCGGCCAACTGCTGGGGAACAGCAAAGGGAAGGTGGAGCGTGCGTTCAGGGGCGAAAGGGGAGTCGCCGAAATTGGGTTAGCCTGTGATTGTGCCCTGAGTCTCAGTCCCGGCATTTTGGGATAGCTCAAATCTTAGAGGCTAGGGATGCCTTCCCTAAGTTCCCATAGGCAGGCCAGTCTCCAAGCTTTTACTGGTCCTGGGGGCTTCACAGCCTGCGTTGATGCAGGACCTGCCACCTACTGGGTGTATGCAAGTATGTATGGATATATGTGCTTGCACATTTGCTCTTATGCTGGATCCTGCCGAGATGAGATGCTCCCTTCAATAGCAAAAGGTAGAGTGGTAGTAGTTGCTGATGAAAAGACAAAGTCCGATTGCTCCACAGTGTCTGGTAGAGTTGACTCTTGTGTCGCTACAGTCGTTGACTTCGTGCGATGAGCCGACACCCGTCCGATTTGACAAATGTTCGATTCCCTCGTCACTTCCTGCACTGACTTCCTGCCGAACGGTTGATGGGTTCTCGTGGGTAGCTGTCGATTCTGGGCGTCCTCCCAGGAGCTTTTTTGTTGGTGAAAAACACACCCCGGTTGAGGGTTAGAATTCTGCGTCGTGTACGTTGGCCGCCAAAGTTTTTCGAAGAGAAATCGAGGATAGAAAAGATTGACAACTACTAGATTTTTTTTTTAAAAAAAAAAATGTCCTTGGTTGATGCGGAGGAGAGAAGATGACCTCTTTGACAGTCGGCCTTTCCGTCTTGCAGTTTTGGTCCTCAGATACAGTTCCAGAACTTCCACTCACGCGTCGCTCAGTGGAGGCAAGGAGGTTCACGACCACCCAAAAAAAATAATTAAGGGAAAAAAGCAAGAACGAGAAAGAAGGAGTCGAGATGAGATAAGGGCTTGCTCACCAACGAACCATCCCCATCCCAACAAATATATGATGACGACCTTGCTCCAACCAACCTCATAACTTGCAGCCATCCCGGAAGCTCCTCAGCCTGGCAGGAAGACCCTGTCTTTCCGGCTCACCAGCCATGGTGCTTTAAATTGTCCATTTTGGACGTTGCAGAGATTTTCAACCAGGCTACCAGTCATCTTTTGGTCACGCTGCGGCTGGGTAACCTTTCCTCCTGGCTCCAGGTGACGCACTATATTTACAGGCCCCATCAAATCATCCTGGTTCCCCTTGCTCGACGAGCCACAAACAGCTAGGGTTGAACTGGGTTTCCTGAACCGGCAGACGCCTTTTCACGCCATGGTAACTCGCCCGTTGACACCTTGCGGCGCATTCTACCAATAAGTAAAACTTAACAATAAAAGCAGTGTAGCCCTACTTTTCGGCACCCTGGAAACTGCGCTGCCGCGGGGGAGACGGACGACGATATGATACGATCCGAGCACGCTCATCAACCACTAGTTTAGCACACTTTCAAAAAGCAACCCCAAGCGCTGCTCCCTCTGTGGTTCGCTCTCAATACTCCAATTTAGAAGAGTGTGTAAGGGATGGACCAAAAAAAGGGGTGCAACGAGGGAGCGGCGCTGCCGACGAGCCCTACGCCACACCCTTTCTTGCTCCCGTCTTCCTGCTGGTGCATGGTGACCAACCAAACGCCCTCGCAACCAAGGTGTCTGTGCGGCCCATCTCACACTTACGGATATGGCGGGATGCTGTTCAACTTTGCGGTGCTGAAAGAGCTTGACTAGCTGGTAAATTAAATGTCAATACATTGCCGCCTTAGTACGCATGTTCGACTCCACTCCATCGAACTTTCCAGCTGGCTCAAGGCATGCCTACGTATCGAGAAATAAGCACCCAAAAGGAACGCTGATCTTCCAGGCACCCCGAGATAGGCGCTCTTAGATTCGAGAGATCTATCAGTCGAACCACAAATTGGAGTACCAATTCAGGCAACTCAGGTAAGGCTAGCGGGGCGGTGATTCCGCCAATCTGAGCATCCCCTGTATGCAGGTTAGTTTAGCTGCTTAGATACGGTACAACCTTACGAAGTACCTGGCGGTGGCCCTTGTCTAGCGGGCACTGGGGAGATAGGGTGATAGGGAAAGGATGACTATTTCGCAGCATACCAGAACCTCCTAAAAAAAACCACATACTCCAATGTCATCGAGTTCGACCACCCAGGCTTCGCCAAGTCTCTTTTTCTTTTAAACTTGCAAGGCGGAGTTTCGAAACATTGAATAGGGGATGAGGTTAATTTTTACTGCAATTGCCTACCTTGGATCGATGTTGTCTCAGTTGGTTGTCCTTCCCGTTGCAGATTGAGTGCAGTTATTTCTGAAGGAGCACGCCTACCCGCGAATTTTCCTCCCTTGAAAGCGAAGGATGGAGCTTTCCGTGTCTCGATCAGGTATTTTCTATTCTCATATGAGCCGTTCAGGTGGAGAGGGCATTCCCCAGGTCGATCATACTGTACAAGTGAGACAGTCGACTGCACGCAGGTGTTCCGTCACCCAAAACTTGGGTGACGGCGCTCTATGACTGGAAGATGATGTCGCTGTGGAGGCAAAACTAGAGTACATGTCTCGGTCATCTGTATATCTATTATGTGATTTCGTCTCCAACTACAGCATTTGATTTGTTTGGCTTTGTTTTGCACCCGTGGCTGCGGTATGTATTCATGAGACACTGCCATATTCAGCAGAATAATTGCGGGGTTCCGTTCTAACACCCGACTCTCAGACATATTTCAGATCCACTTCTATCCTGGAAGAGATGGAAGTTTCTTGGATCCATATCAAAAGAGGAAGGTTGAAAGATTGAAAGAGCCTGCTTAACATTCGACTTGGAAACTGGTCATGCTTGGGCTTCTCTATACCACCGAGTAGCGACGCTACATATGGATCCAACAACTTGCTACGCTCTGGCCAGGGCACGCAGTCGAGAGACGTCCAATGCTGGTTGTTCCTGGGCCATTCAAGACCAAAGTCTACCCCTACCCTATCCATCTCCGTAACGTTCGTCAGTTCGTCAGCTCCAAGGTCGACGTCTAACATTCCCATTCTAGCCTAAACATATGTGATATATTATAGTCTGAGGGTGCTGTGCCGGGAGCCTAAGTCGAATACAGTAGATTTTGGCAGCCAGGCTAGCCCGCAATCCGAACCAGCAGCGCCAGTAGTCATACCACTGGCAGTCTAGCAGTTGTCATGAGTCCTGTCTTAATCATAACGTCCTGTTTCGTCAGTGACACGGACACTTCAGTCGGCCTATGATGCGACTCAGATTAATTTCGGACCCCGTGATGTTGAGGTCACGATGCCGTTCCGTCCGATGGAAGATTTATGACCGATTTGCAGATTTTAAGCCTCGGGCAAGAGTAGGACGAGATAGATTCCGGGCCGAGCTGCTAAATGGCCTGCTTTTTGTTCACTCAGGCCGTAATTAACGATTCGGATGGGGAAAAGGCCGTGGGTTGGTAGATTGTGGCACACGCACAATAACAAAAACGAGTATGTTGTGCTTGGGTGAGAACAAAAAGGCAAGAATGCTAAAACAACATGTAAACGCATGTTGTCATCTTTCCTTTCCGGTCAGGTTGTCGCTAGTTCAAGTTACCGCCACAACCAACTCGGCTGCGCTCGGGAGGCGGAGCACCTGCATCTCGCACATCGTACTCTGAATACCGAGACGATCATACTCTTGAGCGCCGTTCACGAGGTCATTTACATGATCAAGCCACGATGCAGGAGGAATAAGGTTAAGATGAAGTAGTCATGTGCAGATGTATGGATACATAGATTTTCCACCCAGGCTTTTGGTCCTGCAAGTAACTCAAGATCCGGATCATCATCCAGGGGGAGAGGGCCAAAAGCACGAGATGAGATGGCTGTTTCAAATGCCGCTAGTCTGCGGCGCAGGGCTAAGCAAGTCTTTATGACACGATGACGAAGTCGACGATAATTGAGAACATTTTCGTATCATTAAGGAAAAGAAGTGGAAATTATGATATTTAGCCACCCCCCAAAAAGACGACGACGACGACGTGAACGTATACTACAGCGGTTGCGGATGGTGGGAGGTCGCAGCGGAGACGCTCTTCCGACTGATCGGCGTGCACAGTGGAGACTTTCAGGGCCTACAGGGCTAGCAAAGGGTTGGGCAGGCAGGCAGGCAGGGCAGCGGGAACAGCCTGCCGAGAATCTGGAGAAAGGCAGATGCAGCCAGTAGCGGCCCGGGTGGGGGTGACGTTGGCGGTGCATCATACATGTCTCCTCCATGTCATCCCTGCAGTGCAGTCATCACTCCCAGCATGCAGAAAGCGGCAAGTGGATGGATGGAGGAAACAGCAGGAAGTCCAGTCCCATACAGGCAACTCAACCAGCTGAACCAGCTGCAAGTCTAAATGTTTTTGGCCCATAGCTGAGCTTTACCGGGTCTCTCCAGCTCCACCCTCCTACTCACTCTCGACCTGTTCCCCCTTCTACCATACCTAAATTGCATCCATCTATTCGTCAAGCTCCCAACTGCCATTCCATGTTTGAGATCGGGAACGGTGCGACTACCTCGGCCAAAGGTACCCGGCTTGGGACGTCGACTGGAGCAGCATCTGGCTTGACCTCTGCCCAATCACCGCATTGTACCTTGCCTCACTTCAAAGCTGCTCTAGGTACCTCGAGCTGCTAAACACCGTGTCTAGCTTAGGTAGGGAAGGCAGGGACGATCCAAGTCGCCACCAGTCCGAACTAAAACCACCTCCATTCCCGCCGCGACAGACCAGCCCTCAGCTCGTGGCGCTTCACTCGCCCTTGAACGACTGAACCGGTTCGGTCGCACATACACACACCCACGACTTGTGGCACCACGCCGCTCCGCTTCCCCCCTCTTCCCCCTTCTCCTCACTTGCGTTCCCTTTCATCACCTGTCAATAAGTTACTGCGTTTGTTGGCCTACTTAGGAGAAGAAGGTCCTGACGAAAGAAATACCCAATTTTCCTCAAGGCGTGCGTTGTGTCGGACGAGGAATCCTCAAAACCCCTCGACTACCTGTCTCCACTCACGACTCGCATGTCTTGAGCCCGACTCGGGTCCGAATCTAGAGTAACGATCGAGTAAAATATACAAGGAATAAGCGAAAGCGATAAAAGGCAACCGGTGGAACGAGCGGCATTAGAAACCCTGCACTGGATTAACTCGACCTTCACACCTATCTGGCCATGTCCGACGAGAACGGCCCCCGAAGTCCGACCTCGCCGGTCACGGCGACAAGCAATATCAGTAGGAAGCAGACAGTATCCTCGCCAGGGGCGACGCCATCACCTGCCCCCCCGGGGCACTCCATCAAACGCGCCGTGACGGTTGATGACGCTCCACAAATGCGGCGCCGGACGCCGTTCGGTCAGCTATCAACAGATAGCTCATTTGTCGAGAGGGCAGACCTCCAGAGGAGAAGGAGCTCAACGCTGTCAGATTACAGCTTTGTGGAGGCTAGGGATCTGCTGAACCCCCGGCCCGCTGGTGTAACGTCATCTGACGACATGTCGAATTGGGCCTCGGTGCCTCTAGCATTCGCACTTCTCCCGGCCGTCGGCGGCCTCCTTTTCAATAATGGCAGTGCCGTTGTGACAGACGTAATGCTTCTTGGATTGTCGTCCGTGTTTCTGCACTGGTCCGTGACGAATCCATGGTAAGTCCCCGTGCTTGTGTTGGCTCGCCGTATGAAGGAAGGTCGCCCATGCGCTAACACAACCCGCACAACAGGAACTGGTACCATTCGGCACAGGCAGTACGCGTTAGGGCAGAGGTTAATGTGAGTGCTATTATTGACGATGAGAGCGAGAATGAGCATGCGGTTGGAAGCCCTTCGTCGACGGCGTCGACCTTGAACGGTCATGCAACCAACGAAAGCCATGACGATGCGTCCGAGGTCCCCACCACGCCCACGTCCTCGGTGCAGGAACAGGCACAGAAGGCCACGCAGCACACGAAGAAGGAAGACGCACTGGCCGAGTTGTGGGTGCATGAAATTCTGGCCCTTGTGTCGTGCTTCATGTTCCCCATGCTGGGCGCCTACTTGCTACATGCTATTCGCGCGCAGCTGAGCCGCCCCTCCGAGGGGCTGGTGTCAAATTACAACCTTACAATCTTCCTGTTGGCGGCAGAGCTTCGCCCGTTGTCACATCTCATGAAGCTGGTACAGTGCCGGACGCTGTCTTTACAGCGCGACGTGCACGCGAACCCGTTTAAGGAGGAATCTGTTACACCAGAGCAACTCAAGGTGTTGATGGCCAGGCTAGAGTTGTTAGAATCACGACCTCAAGCGACGCCAATCAAACAGAACGGCAGCTCGGACAACTCCAAGGTCAAACAAGAGGCTGCTATTGCGCGTGATGTTCGCAATGCTATCCAGCCAGACCTAGATGCCTTGAACCGTGCCGTACGACGGTATGAGAAGAAAGCTACGGTGCTTGCATTCCAGACTGAGTCGCGCTTTGCGGCCGTTGATACCCGTTTGAACGACGCCATTGCTCTTGCTGCCGCGGCCGCCAAGAACAGCGTTGCCCGCCCGGGTTTTCTGCAATGGCTGGTAGAATCTGTGTGGGCAATAATCACAATGCCCTTCTATGCCATCGTCGCACTGCTCGTGTTGCCATTCAAGACTGTCCGTGGGCTCCTCAAGCGAAAGAAGAAGCAGTTACCGGAACGAGGCTCAAGGTCAAGCCGCAATGGCAAGGCCATGGGACATGGTAGAATGGCGACGGATCGACCACCGAGCCGAGTTTCGAAGAGATGATGGGTCTTGGAAGTGGCTAGTCTTTGACTTTTCATGCGAAGTGCTCCCCTCACGAAATTAGGGGATAAAGAAAGAAGGCCTGCTGTCATGGCGATATGGGCCGAGAGATGTATAGGAAAAAAAGGTGATGCAAGCAGACGATGCATAAGGCACATGCCAACGCAGATTGTTGGCCTCACACTGCTCCCCGGCGCTTGGGTTGCGCCGTGTTGGTGACTACGACTGACATTGCACTGTTAGTGTTGAATCAAGTTATCCATGATACATGTTGCGAACATACCTGCTATGACCCGTCAGCGGGAAGTTGCCTCTGGGATAAGCCTCCAAAGTGATGTCTTTCAGTGTTAATGCCGTCCTATACTTGGCACGGAGGCATGTCCGGTATTCATTCGTCTTGCACTCGAGTTCCAAGTCTCGCAAGATGAGAATCCAGTCGGATGCTCACCGGTTCATATCTTGCCACATGCCGAACAATGCAATGGCCAAAGCAGAGCGGTTCAACAACCGCGCCGTCCACGTGGAGTTGGGTTTTGCTTGAGAACAATGTCAAGTAACTGGAACGAACAGCCGTGAGATCACTCGTTGTTTCCTCTCCGCTTGAGTGTCAAAGCTGTTTGTAAGTCTTGAGCCAAAATTTCACGCCGGCGCAGATGTGGAAACACAAACGGCCCACAATGGCTTTAACATTACAATGAACGCCATTGTGCACATAGCATATTCGGCCCGAGGAGTTCCATGATGTTACTACTACAGTTTCTGAGCTTAAGGTGTTGGGGGCTCAGAAAGTACTGTCACGGAAGGACCATGGGTGGATAGGGACGCGCTCAACCCGATGATCAAGAAAGTGCTGACAGCTAGGCGACCGATCTATGTTCAGACGCGCAACCCCCCTCGATGGGCTAGACAGGCCCGCCGCTTTGGATGAGCCGGTTCCAAAAGGGGAGAACGGGCAAGTGGTGATCCTGGCGAAGATCCTTCCTTCCAAGGCCAGAGACCAATGCGTTCTCCCCCTTTCCCCCTTGTCTTCCCTCCATTTTGCCTTACCGAGCCCCGTGTGTGAGGCGATGAGCAGGTCGGTTCGTTTCGTGATACCGGGGTAACGGCGCTGGGTTCAAGGAGGAAAAAAATACGCGGCAGACACCAGATGACGAGTGTGGCCGACGAATGTCGAACATGGCGCAAGTATTACATGGTAAGCTCGAATAAGTCAAAAGCGTTGTAACTACCCCGTGGCTGTGAAGGCCCTTTCCATAAGGGTTCATCTAGGGTTTCGCATTTTTTTTTTTTCGGGATGGTGGACAAAGGTCGCAGCCAGGGACAACCCTCTTGCGAATAATATGAACGATTTAATTCCTTTCCTTCCCGCAATGTCGGACGAACCGGCTGGGGTAGGACAGTTCGGGTAGGATAATTTGCTGGAAACGTTCCTGAGCATGATTCAAAAATAAAATAAAATAAAAACAAAATCATCCCCCCCCACGACAGACTGAAAACTCATCCTTGGGCCGGGTATACAAGCCATTGGTTTTACGGGAGTCCGCAGACACGGCGCTTCGGCAGTGGGATCAACTAGTCAGTCGCCGGACAGCAGCGGGAGAAAGTCCGGCGTTGCGGCGCTGGAAATTGGCATGTTTCTTTTCTTGGGTTCCCTGGCTGAGTTTGGCTGCTTGATTCAGAAACTTTCTGGGCTAGTTGGCGGAGATTTCCGTATTGATTAAGGCGAAAGGAAAGCAGAATGGAATAAAAATTAAAACAACATAAAACAGAAAAACTTTCAGGATCATCGCAATGGGGGATACTCATGCGGTAAGGCGTTCGCTTCGTATCAAACCGGGCAAGGATGTGAGGAACCCCTTTATGCAATGAGGCGCAGAGCGGGTGGATCGCGGTTCAACGTTAGCCATTCACTATTATAGTCATTTCCAATGACGATGTGCGATCTGACTCCTCTCAGAATCCTACTTTATTGATTGTTGGTGTGACGTTGTCAAGCATAGGGCGGGCAGAAGGCGAGTAGAAGGTTTGCAGAGAATTCTTTCGTTGCGAGATTGGAGCGTGGACGTAGGAAATGGGTGGAGCCTCAATTTCTCACGCGTCTAACCAGCGACGCCTCAAAGGGAACTACAGCATCTGGAACGTTTTCTCGAGTGCAATCAGCCATATTTGGCCGAGTGAAAATACCCAAAGGAGGTTTCAATGACAAACTGGTGGAGGTCCTATACTACTAGAACAGTTCGGCCTTATTGCCCCAGAAGCCATTGTTTTTCAGGTAAAACCGGATGGGACAAAGCGTACGAGGCTTCGTCGATATGCAACCTACTGGACGTAATTGGGGTGTGTAAGGCCGAGTGCCAAAGTTCGCAAGACCAGCAGTGCCTCTAACCAATACGGCATGTCAGTTGCCCAGGGCCAATCGGACAAAACTAAGTTGAAGGTGTCCGCGGTTCAGTTACCAACGACGACGGCTTTATGACATAACGGTTGCCTCCTTCGCGAGACAATGGGATGCGAGAAGACTCGCGTAAACGGCTCTTTTACTTTGTGGCCTTAGAGTTCTGGGGTGTTGCACTGGCGGCATTTAAGAAAACAAGGCAATTGGATCAGATGGCTTGGGGATGGTGACTGGTCGCAGCGAAACTCGTCGAGCCTTTCCTTCCACATCTCGATCGGCTGGACAGAGACGTTGGCAGTAGCCCCTGTCTTTCACAACACTATTACACTATGTAGAGGAGCACAGGCGATCGATGGAGACGAGATACTGGGTCTGTCTCCTCTCCTGGTCTCTCCTGGTGCCCACTTTTGCTTCGGAGGTTTTCTCCCTCAAACGAGCAGGTTGGCAGGCATCCTGATTAGACGGACACCGGAAATGTGTGATGGTCACCAGGTGGTGTATGGTGCCATGAGGACGAGGTGGTATCGATGAGGTTGCTAGAGGCTTAGAAGTATTATGTATCCTCGCCTAGACGTCGGCAGAGAACTTGTTCTCATCCGTCGCCCAACGTGTTCCTGCAGCGTCTTCTTTTAGTTCTCATTCCTGGAGGTGCCGATTGGTAGTGGCAGGATGCTACTAGGCCCAATACGGCTAGATCAGAAATGCAAAGTGGGATTAACCCGGCAGGCATCTGGGCCTACGCCAGGATTGGCGACGGCGCCAGTGAAGTTGCTACCAGATCGTCCTCGTCTCGTTCCGCCGCGTTGGTGCGACTTCCATCTTCTCCATTGCGACTTTTTCAGACCCATGTTGTGACCTCCCTGAGCGCAGTTCTCATCTTTTAGAGCGGAAAGAAACCGCGTGTATACGTACGGCTGCGACCTGCAGGCAACACGCAACTTTGCGTATGGTCGCAAGTGCAATCAATGCACGGTAAGATATCCGTACGGGTAAGGGCAACCGTCTTGTGGACGCCACCGATCCCGCAGCGAGCCTGTTTCAGTTTGCAATATTATAGCCGGTGGCCATCATATGCAAGTATTGCAGGTATTGCAGCAGTGCAGCGAGGACAAGAAACGCATCGGTCGAACTGGACTCGGCGCCGCCTCGAAAAAGAAAGCATTCACAAATGCATTTCACCACACACACATGAGGCCGATACGTCCGGATCAGGATACGAGTTCATGCTGAATACAGAGCAGATATTGAACAAATTGATTTTCCTCTGCCTATTACGGCAATATAAACGACAAGGCGGTGGCAGGTACAAGAGTTGGGGATCAAATTGGGTGAACGTGATTTCCACATCACTATGATGTGTGAGCCACAGGAAAGAGCCTACACTAGTATAGATGCAAACTTCAGTTACAGCTAGTAACGAATTGGGATTTACCAAGAGCGGGGACCAAGCTCACCCTTGCCCTTGCCAACTCACCGCACCGAGCTCATTCATGCCGTGGCTGGGTAAACAGGCCTGCACGCTTGTCACGTCCAGAGCGTACTGGCGTACTGGCGTACTGGTAGACCCAGCAAAGGGCAGGATGCGTGCCCATCTCGGGGCATTTCTGGCAGGACTGGCTGAGTCGGGACGCGGCCTAGCTCTGCCTGCCGTGCATGGGCCGCGCAGTAATTGGCAAGAAATGCAGACGTTGTACCCGTGTCTTGGCGCTGGTTCCTGCCTATCCGATGGCTGCTACTGCTACAAAGTATGTGTGCTGCTGTTCCTATCGTCAATTACTACAACATATACAGACAGATACATGTGTACCCGTAGCACGGCACGTATGCCGGTTTTAACGTCACGTCACCTCTGCTCCCAGCTTGCACGCCCCTCCAAATCTTAAACCTCCCAACGGTCATCCCTTCATCCCATCCCATTCTCATCCCAAGCCCTTCAGTCAACCCCGATTCATCCAATCTGCTCTCAATACTCATTCATTGCCCCACGGGCCCCTCCTTTTTGTCCTCCCCTTCATCATCAGCTTTTTTCTTTCTTTTTCTTTTCCTGTTTCCCCTGTTCCTGATTGTCTTGTTCCCCATCCAAGTTAACGCTATTCGTGTGATATGCTGGGGTTTCCCCCTGTCCCTGTAATTTACGATGAACGCGCCGCCTCAACTTCGACGTCGACTTACCGCCAGCCGCCTCCAGTTTACATCTCTTCCCATCCGTAAATCATTTGCTCGTGCTTCCGCGTCGGTGGCTCCCATTCGCGGTCGATCCCTGTCTAACTGCACGTCCGTCTGTTCGTTGGCCATGACATCCTTGGCACGGCAGACAAGTTCTGGATCAGGATTGCTGCGAACAGAGTCAGCCATAGAAGAAGCCCACTCACGTTACATGGTTGATTTGATACTTCTCTTGGCCTTTCTTCTGGCCGAGAACTGCAGACAGGTTGGCGCATATGGCGCCGCCAGGTGGACTTTATCATTTTGGTTGGCCACACGCTCTACGGCCTGTTCTTTTAGCTTTCTTTTCCCAGATCATCTGTCTATGGCTGTGATTCTCATCTCCCGTACATCCGCTCGATTTCTGCATCTTGGCCAGACAAGCTGCGTATTGCCAGAACATTGGACTGACTATGCGAAACAATACCAAAGCTATACCCGACCTCCCAGCACCCTCTTACCTTGCCGTTCCTTGCCTTCACTGTCATGATGGGGGAGTCGAGAATATGACCACTGTAACTCTAGTTCACTCCCCTCCGTTTGATAAACCCTTGCGTTCACGAGTATCGTCCCGTCATCTATGCACATACAATACCGGCCACAGACTTGGATGCTGCCTTATTACGCATCTATGATGGGCCAAGCAGCACATGTTCTCCGCTGGTTCCCCGTTCAGTGCGACCTGGGGGAGAAAAACCTACATCCATCCCACATGAGTTTCCTCCTCCGGCATTACACCCTCCTCCTTGTCTATATAGTTTGATCACCTCTGGGCTGGTGCTCCACCTCACGACAGCCGGCCTGTTCCTTGTCTCTACCCCTACCCCTGTCTTCCTTCCTTCTCCTCTACTACCCCCCTCCCCTCCTCCTTTTGTCAACCTCAGCTCTCGGAGGCTGTCTTGTCTTATGACCCCACTGGCGGTCTCTGGGGTCGGAATAGCAGCTGGCTGGATGTCCTCCTCTCAACTAATAATACTTCGTCCCTGGCCTTCCCTCCCGTTCGCGCTTGTTCTCCGGCTGCTCTCTCCTTGTCGGCATCCTTCATTCTGTCGACCTCGATAATGCTTGAGGCGTATCTCACTGTCACTCACTTCACTCTACCGTGATACGCCGCCCGGACAGCGCTTCCTGAAAACGTTGGATCTTGATATCTGTTTCGACAGTACAGCCAAGCAATAAGGTCACCATGGCGAGGTGGAATCGTTTGGTCGCTTACATCTGCTTCTTTCTCTGCTTTCAAATTGCCGTTGGCCGTGCTTTGGTCCCTATAAAAAGACAAGAGGATTCTGCAACAGCCATCACTTCTACACGAACCGGGACTGCTCGCGATGGAGGACCTACAACATCCTCAGTGCCTTCGGCCAGGTCAGCAACAACAACGGCCACTAACACACTTTCACTCTCCGCGTCGAGTACTTTATCCAGCTCCGCGACCATGCCAACCGCTTCCGACGATACTACCTTTGATAACTCGACCCTCTTCAACAGTGAGTCCAGCCCAATCCAGGTTTTCTTGAGGTTCATTGTTCTTGGTAAAAGGATGTAAAAGGCTAACCTTCTTGCAGGTACGATTCCGGATGGCCAACTGCCCCTTGAGCCCCAGATTACACCTGGTTGGGCCGTCGCTGGTGTCATTTTGATGTGCGTTGGTCTTGCGTACACCTTGATTGGCATAAGGCACCCTGCCATGCACAACGCCCTCTCCGTCGCCTACGTTGTGGGTTTGGGAATCACGGTGCTGGTGGTTTATCTCATTCCACTACCCGTTAGCAATGCCAGTCAAGGAGGTCTCGTTGTCGCCGCAGTCCTCCCCGGTGTCTTAGTTGGTGTCGTTGCTTCGCTATGGTTTAAAGAAATCACCGAATGTTTTGCCTGTGCGCTCGGTGGCTTCTGCTTCAGCATGTGGCTATTGTGTCTGCATGAAGGAGGTTTGCTTTCTGGTCTGGGAAAAGTAATATTTATCATTGTTCTGACTTTATCGGCATTCGCCGCGTTCTTCACTCGTTGGACGCGAGACTGGGCACTCATCACCACCATTTCTTTCGCCGGCGCCACTTCGATTGTCTTGGGCATCGATTGTTTCAGCAAGGCTGGACTGAAGGAGTTCTGGGCATACATCTGGCACTTGAATGAGCATCTCTTTCCACAAGGTGTAACCACGTACCCTATGACTAAGGGTATACGAGTTGAGCTTGCGGCGATTGTTGTGGTTTTTTGCGTCGGTATCATTTCTCAGAAGAGATTGTGGAACGTCATCAAAGATCGCCGTGCTAAGAGGCAAGAGGAACTGGCTGAGGAACGACGAGCTCGCGATGAAGAGGAGATCAATATCGGAAAGCAGATTGAAGCCGAGACTGCTCGCGAGCGACGGGCCTGGGAGAGGGTTCACGGCGACCACGATTCTGGCTTCGCCCGCGACAGCGAAAGCGAGAAGGGGGCTCAATATAGCCCGACCAATTCGGCCCCTGGATCTGAGCCTCTCTTGGTGGCTGAGATGCCGGGCTCTGAAGTACCCCCTGCTGTTCCCACCAAGACAACCCCCCGAGGTCTAATGACCTCCGAAAAGGAGAAGGCGGGAATGGTGACAGTGCGAGTTGCTCCGGACGGAACTCCTGCGGACTCGGATGTCGCGAAAGAAAACATGGACGAGAAAGAAGTTGCGGTTCAGACGACCGAGATTAATGATCAGGGAATTCAAGAAGCTGCCACTCCAGTTCCAGAAGTGGTACCGCTACCCTTCAAATTTCCTATTGAGAATGACAGGCCGAAATCGAGGGCATCGACTGTCGCGACATTTGCCGATGACGACGAGGTACAGACGGGAGTTGTGAGCAACAGGAGTTCGTTTGCCAAACATCTTTCCCAAAGCTCAACCATGTTGATGCGCAAAGATTCTCAACGTACCGCCATGTCCCATCAACAGAATGGCCCCAGTGAAGAAGAGCTGGCGGTTTTCCGGAAACAGCGGAAAGACGATGATAATGGCTCGATGGCAGCTACAATCGACTCTGAGAACGACAGCGGTGAGAGCACTCTTCAAGAAGTCCGTCACCGAAGCGTCGAACTCAACGTCGAGCTGGCAGACAAGGAGAGCGCCCTCGAGAACCATAAAGCAGCCTCTGTGAAATCGGCAGCACTGCCCGAAGAAGACTCCAAACCGAAAGACTGCAAACATGTTTCATCCGCAGAAACTCTGTCCGATGATGCTCCCAGCAAGTCGACGATCGAGCAGGGAGTCGTCTCCGATAATACCACCGAAGAGTCTCAAGCGGAGCCAAGCAAGAACGAAGTCAGTGAAGAGACCACCACAGAAAGCAACGGAACGAAGGAGGTGGCCAAGAACGAGGCCCTTTCGCAGAAGGCCAAATCGGTTGATTCGGTTCACTCAACGCCGGTGAACCTGACGGAGGAGCGTCTGCCTCCTGCGCTTTCAAATGTGGCGCTGCATTACCGCACAAACGAATGGGCCAAGCACCTGAGTCACGCAGATGTACCCGTGCCAGAGAAGTTGTCAGTTGTCGAGTATCCCGACGACGAACAACAGAAGGAAGAGTCTCCAGTCCCTGTAAATGTGGAAGAACTAAAGCAGACGGCTCTGACAGCCACGCCAGCGCCTGCTCGACCAATGTCGACGTACGCTCCTGCCCACAGCCACCTGCGGAATGGTTCTACACAGTCTGGGTTTGAAAACCCTGCCTTCCAATCTCCAACGATGCGCCATCCGGACCATCAAAGGGTCTCGAGCAAGAACCAAATTCCAACAGTTCAGTCCATTGCAGAGGGAAGTATACATGTGACGCCTAGAGCACCCAGTACCAAGAGTGGCAGCTCTGGCCGCATGTCTGCTGGACCTTCGCCTACCACACAAGCTGGGTTCGAACGGCCTCCCCCTCCCCCGGGTGTTATGTCTTATGACAGCCCACAAAGTTTGATCGCCCAACGGAGTGTCGTTTTGCGGAACAAGACCTACGGAATCTTGACCGGCGCAAACACGATGACCGACCTATCTGCCACGGGCCAACGGCCGGTCAGTGAAGTTGGCTCCGTGTACAATTACCCCGCCTACTCGCCGCAGGCGCCAGCAGCTTCGTTTGACGACCTACCTCTCAGCCAACGCAAAGAGCTCATTCGTCGCCAAAGCAGCTTAAGTACGAACCGGTCTTCCATGATTGACCAAAGGTCAGCCAGCGGCGTGTTTATGCCAAGCATGCCTGTTGAACAACTCCAATTTGATTCTCACCAGCCCATCCGACACTCCAACACGCCATCTCAGGAAGCTCGTGAAGCTAGACTGGCCAGCTTCCGCAATTCAGTCCGCGCCGATCTGCGTAACGGCATGGCGGTTGCGCCGCCAGCCGCTGGCGGTCGTGACATGTCTATGATGCTTCGCACATCCAGCTCGCCGAATATGGTTGCACAAACTACCTCTCGAGAGGCTGACATGCAGAGGAATATAGACCTGCAGCGCAGCTTCCTGATGAGCCAGAAGGATGCAGAAGCCAAACGTCGTGAGAGGGAGAGGATGGAAAAGGAGAGAGCAGATCAGGCCTTCACGAGGAGTATGCAGGCAGGTGACATGTTTGATCTGCACCGAGACGCACTGCGAAGAATGCAGCAGGGTGCCAAAAACACTTGAGAGCCAAACCGATTTACGCGCACCGCATAGCTAATGGGTTCTTGTTTAAACATTTGTTTTTTCGTTTTTTTCCAGTATTGGTAGATACCCCGGGTCGGAGACACAGCTGGGTCATGTTGGAAACAGGACGTCGGAAATAGGATACAGCGACGGATTATGACACAGTGGCCGGTCAATCATTTGGATGAATGTGTCTGCCAGACGAGACGACGACAGGCAAAAAGAGATGCTATATGAGTATGGTGGTGAACGATAGTTGTAATTCCTGGACAAAACGGCAAGCCGACGGAGGCACAGATTGCCCATCTTTAAGTCGTAAACATAATACACCGAACCAGCCAAAACGAAGCGAGGGTTCTCGTTAAACAAGTCTGCCTACAACATTGACGCTTAAGAATTGACATGGTCATAGTATCGTGAGAGCTGCGTGTAAGCCGGGCTTCCCGATAATATTGTGATTGCAATCGCCTCGTCTCGTCTGCTAGATTGGCATTCATGGCAAAACAGGGAGGGAAGTAACTGGTAATCTTCCAAACCTATCGTGCCACCATTCAGACAAAGAAAAAGCATCAGCACTCATGACGGTTATCAAAATCATACAGCGCTTCTATGAAGCCGACCGCCGGCGTTCAGTCTCGGCCAAGCCGGTACGGCACCGAGACGGAAGACCGCGAGAGCATGTGCAAGTTTGCAATTGGCAGTTGGCATTGGCAACCCACGCAAATTCATCCATCCCATGTCGCTGAAGCTCTTCTCAAACACACCGTCCTGTCCAACCGACCAACCAACCATCTTCCATCCCCACACACATGGATGTAATCTAGTAGTGTACGAATAAGTACGGAGCACGGGATAGCCGTCGACCTCCCCAATTCGGATGATGCCGATGTCGGGATTATGTGCCGGCCGGTAATAACCCGGCTCGCGAGTCCTGGGCGTTGGCGTCATCCCATCAGTTTTGCGGACGAAGACATGTCCGGGGGTTAGCCAGTGGTGTGGTGTAAAAATTCGTTTGCGCGTGGGGAAACGCTTGCCTGCTTGCTTGCATTGTTTTCTTCTTCTTCAATATGCTTAGACTTTGATTGAAAAAAGCCGTCATTTTCCCCATCCATCCTTCTCCCCCCCTTCCGTGTGTTTTCTCCTGTTTCTCGGTAGCTTACGGGGCCGACTTTTATCGACTCCACTTGGACCGGCCCTCCAATTCCCCGGAGGCGTATAATGTCTCCTCGGCCCCCTATCCCCGGATAACAACTATGGCCGGCTCCGCAAGCGGTCATCATGAGAGCGAGGAGGCGTCTCAGCCTCAATCGACCGGAGGACGCATATGGGCGAAAGCAGTCAAGATTTTCAAGTTTGTGCTTGCGCAGTGGCTTGCCATCGGGTTCGGTCTGAGCTGCGTGTTCGCGTATTTGTTCCCCAGTAAGTGTGGCCAGTCCCCTACGCTGCTTGATTCTATAGTCGACGGCGAAGGATCTCTTTGTTTTTTTTTGTTTTTTTGCTGATGAATGGGGGACCGAAAAGATGTCGCGGCCAGAGGCGGTCCCATCAGGTCCGAATACTCCATCATTTACGGCGGCATTGCCATCATTTTCCTAGTCAGCGGCCTGCAGCTCTCTCACGCGAAGCTGCGGCAGAATCTTACCAACTGGAGACTGCACATAATCGTTCAGGGCACTAGTTTCATCATCATACCCGTGATACTCCTAAGTAAGCCAGCCAGTCCCCCCACCCCTTCTCATACTTCCCTCACTCTCTTAAAGGGGAGAGAGGTGGTTCCCCCCTTTTCAGCGATGACAAGGTACTGATACTAGGAAAACAGTAATAATTCACATCATAATCGCCGCAGGCGGCCTCCGCAATGGAATCCTCTCGACGCCCATCATAGTAGGCATGGTGGTCGCATCCTGCCTGCCCACCACCATTGCCTCCAATGTGGTAATGACCCGTGCCTCGGGCGGCGACGACGCGGCAGCCATCATCGAAGTCGTCATCGGCAACGTCCTGGGGTCCTTCATTTCGCCCGGTCTGATCTACGGCTTCATACCCAAGACGGAAGAGTTTGCGGAATGGCAGCCTGCGAACCCGAGCACCCTCGGCTCCATGTACGGCAGCGTCTTGAAGCAGCTGGGGCTGAGTGTGCTGCTGCCGCTGGCCGTCGGACAGGTTCTGAGGTGGTTCTTTGAGAAACAGGTCGACTGGGCACTGAGGACGTTCTATCTCGCCAAGGTGTCGACTTTCTGTTTGATTTTGCTCGTTTGGTATGTGTTCATTGCTGTCATCGTCCGCCTCCACCACCACTGCCCCCTCCTCTCAACTCAGCTGTGACGTGTATCCTAATCCAAAATGTGCGCCTAGGACGACCTTCTCCGCCGCCTTCAAGACAGGGGCACTCTACCAGACCCCTCACGCCTCCATAATCTTCAACGTCTTCATGAACGTCGGGCTCTACATGCTCTTCACCGTCATCTGTTTCTTCGCCGCCCGCCCTCCCCTGCCGTTCTGCGACACGGTGAACGCGCACGTCGCCGACTCCAAGGCCCTCCGCCGCTCGCCCTCGCTCCTGAGGCGGATCGTGACGGCGAGGCAGTTGTCCCGGGAACAGACCATCGCCGTGTGCTTCTGCGGCGCCGCCAAGACGACGTCGTTGGGCATCCCGCTCGCGACGGCCATGTGGACGCAGTCCGACGACCTCACGCGCGCTCTGATCCAGATCCCCGTGCTCTTGTACACCATCGAGCAGGTTTTCATGGCGCAGATTTTGGTTTATTTTTTCAAGTGGTACTTGAGGAGAGGAGACAAGGCGGACACGTCTACGATGGAGGATGAGGAGGCCGGCGTAGCTGGTGATGAAAGGAATACGGGAGGCGAGGGGGAGACGAGGGACAGGGACGGTGAAGGGGACGGGGAGAAGGCTGGAGATCGAGGCGGGAGAGACACCGTTTCACCTGTCAAGGCAATGCCGTGAACAGGTTTCCTTAATATGAACATTCTGCCGTCTTGGCCTTTTACTCGAGTTTCACGTCATTACGACCTTAATTCGTTATCACACTGACATGGCGAATTGCATTTGGGTTACCCTACGGACAGGAGTGAACCTCTGCAGGCCGCCCGTCATGGAAACCTGGCTAGTTGACAGACCCCTTGCTCCTTAGTTGGAGTAGAGAAACCTGCTTGAAACTGCTCATAAGGCGGCAGGCCGAAGGCACAAGTCAGGTGGCGGTAATAGAAGTCAACGCATGTGTCAATAAAAGCCATATCGTCCAAAAAAGAGAGAAAGAAAAAAAAGAAACAAAAAAACCAACATTTGCAATCCTGGGACTGCTGGTCAAGTAACATGACCAATGTTACACGCGCACCCCACGCACGGTCAAGACCACATATACGATACCGCAAACAAGAAAGTCAACTGTATACAGTGTTGTGCGACAAGAAAAAAAAAAAAAAGGCAAGCTTTGGAATCGATTTCAGATCAACGACGGCATCGTCATCACGGCACGACGAAGCACATGTGCGACCCGGAGCAGCTGATACCATGGACCGGCAGTTATCAAGGCGACCAACGTCCAGGAACCTTTGTCGGTGCTTTATTTACCCAGCCGGGTGTTACACGTCTTTTCAGACGAGGTGCGTCGAATCGGGTCGTCTGGCGAGTAGGACAGGCGGCAGCAGTAACGAAGTTCGAGGTGCCATTTAACCGGTGGTCGCCGGGCAGCCAAGGTGATGGTGGCGGAGGTGACCTGGATTATGCGTGCTACGAGCGGCTAATCTCTCTGTTTATAGATTTTATGTGGCAGTTGCAGTGTTTGCGTGAACCATGGTCCCAATTTCGGTAACTCAAATACAAAACTACGTCGTGGAGCATAACAAGACGTCTTGATACATCAATCATGAGCAGCGGTACGATGCCCTCTTTACATTCAGAAAAATGGTTGCTATGCAGTTCCAATCTAGGTGGATGCCACACCCCTCTCTGTCCGTCCTCCTCTTGTCTCCCCGCGCAATCTCTCACGCGTCCTACTCCTTCTTGATGAGGCTCTCGAAGAGAGGCTTGAGGCTCTTGGCGCTCTTCTTGGGATACCTCTTCTGGTCGTTCTCGTAGTCGACATAGGTGACACCGAAACGGGTCTCGTAGCCCTCGGCCCACTCGAAGTTGTCCAGGAGGGACCAGGCCATGTAGCCCTTGACGTTGACGCCGTCCTTCTCGTAAGCGTCGGCCATGGCCTTGACGTAGTCGTCAAAGTACTTGACACGGAAATCGTCCTCGAGAATCTGCTCGATAGACATGTCGTTCTCGCCCTTGAGGGAGGTACCGTTCTCCGTGACGTAGATGGGCGGGTAGCCGTAGCGCTTGGAGAGCCAGTTGAGGAGGTTGCGGAAGCCCTGGGGGTTGGGGCGCAGCCAGAAGGACTGGGTCTCGGGGCCAATGTTCTCGCCGTTCTTGGACTCGAAGAGAGTCTCGAGGTTGCCAAGGAAGTCGTCGGCAGGGGGCTCGCCGGTCTTGTGCTTGATGTAGTTGGCGGTGTAGTGGTTCATGCCATAGAAGTCGTTGGAGCCCTTGACGAGTTCAACCTCCTCGGGGGTGAACTCGGGCAGGCGGTCGCCGAGCTGCTTGCGCATAGAGTCGGGGTACTTGCCGAAGTAAATGGGATCAGCAAACCAGGAAATGGCGAACTCGATCTTGCGGTCGCTGGCCTCGACATCGGCAGGGTCTTCGGGGTCCCACGGGTAGGTGGCGTCGCCGTTGAGGGTGATACCGATCTGGCCGCCCTGGGTGGGCTTGATCTCCTCACGGTAGACCTTGACAGCACGGGCGTGAGCGAGGATAAGGTTGTGGCCAACAATCCAGGGCTCGCGGGAAGAATCACCGACGGGGGACTTGGTGCGGTCAGAAGTGTGACCAGGGGCGAAGAAACCGCTGTTGTAACCGAGAATGGAAGAGCACCAGGGCTCGTTGAAGGTGATCCAGTTCTTGCACTTGGGGATGGCCTTGAACATGACGCGAGCGTAGTGCTCGAAGTCGAGAGGGAACTCCTCCTTGTTCAAGAGACCGCCGTAGCGCTTGTCGAGTCCATCGGGAAGGTCCCAGTGGAAGAGGGTGATGAAGGGGGTGATGCCAGCCTCAAGGAGGTCGTCAACGAACTTGACGTAGTGGTCGATACCAGCCTGGTTGATGGGGTCATCACGGCCGCCGATGGGAATGATTCTGGACCAGGCAATGGAGAAGCGGTAGGTGTTGGCACCAACGGACTTGAGGAGAGCAATGTCCTCAGCGGTGCGGTTGTATGAGTCGCAAGCAACGGCACCAGAGCTACCGTCGGCAATCTTGCCGGGGATTTTAGAGAAGGTGTCCCAGATGGAGGGACCACGGCCGTCCTTCTCAACGGCACCCTCAATCTGGTATCTGCAATGGTTGGCAAATAGCGTCAGCAGGGGTTTGGCATGTCATGTTGTTGGACTCGCTTAGCGTGCAACAAGGAGGTAAGGGGGGAGAGGGGAAAGACTGCGGGTGGGGGATGAGGAGGGGGGACAGCTGGAATTACAGCGGGTAAGACGGAGGGGGGAGGTTGGCGGAGGGTGGTGGGAGGATGCTTGCTAGTCGTCCAAATCGGGTCATGGGCGGAAGAAGGCGTACAAGTGTAAAGGTGTAAATGTGCAGGGTGTCAACGGCTGGGGCACGAGATGGGGACCGAGATTGACAGTCGAAGATCACAAAATCGTGAGATGATATACGTACGATGCGGTGGCAAAGCCCCAGAGGAAGTCGCTCGGCAAAGACATCTTGTTGAATTTCAAGGGTTGTCCTAACAGCTGGAGGCCTTACGGAGTCAAAAGGCGCAAAAAGCCTGCTTTCGTGAGTTTTGATGGATGATTCGTCCCGAGAGATACCAGCCGCTTTTTTTTCTCGGCGGATAGGACAGGAGGATCAAGGTATAGATCGAGGTGATTTCGAGAGAAGGGAGACAAGGAGAGAAGAGAGAGCAAGAAGGGGTGGATCGAACAGACAGAGGATGAGGAGTTGCCGCGATACTTATACGCAACAAAAGACAGAGAGAGAAAAAAGGACGGAGGCAGAGCGAGCGATGCAATCAACTCGCGTTATTCATCTGATTGGGGATACCTGGCAGGTTAAGGTAAGGCCATGTCGAATTACAAGGATAGTAAAAGATGGGACAAACACCCACACGGCGGACATGGGACATGGGCGTTTCGTGGAGCGCAGAGTCAATTTGGGACCCAGGAAGCTCCAGAAATTCTCCCGTGTCGGACCGTCGTCACCGAAGAGCTAAGACTGGACAACGCCCGGAGGTAGAAGTGGTGGGTTAAGAGGTGAGGTGATACGTAGTTCTGCGATATCTACAGCGCTAATGCAGACGGACATTTGGCGTCAGTGGTGTTAGTGGGTGTTGGCAAATCTGCTTCCATGTGCTGAGTGCTGACCATGGCTATGTTCAGGGTGTTCTTCCGCATGGAACACCGACCGAAGAAACTCCTCTCTGGCTTCATTCGCTAGAAAGGTATCCATCCATAGGTACATACCGACAGGCAGGTACAGCGACCAAATGCAAAATGATTGCTGTTCTGGTCTTTGGTCGCCTTACTGATGTCGGGTGACCCTGCGTGACCCGGCTGGAGGGGTACCCCCCGAGCGAACCCTAGGTACCCAACCTGTACCACCGCCTCTACAGGGGCCGCTGCAGGTGCGCCCAGGCCAGGGGCGCCTCCCATTACCCCGCCGTGGGGTCCCTTCACTTGAGAGGAATTCCCTTCTCCCCGCTGGGAGCAAAAAACCAAACGACGGCCCGTCTCTCCGAAAAACCACATCTCCTTCGCCCAGCCTATGACAGGTGCCTATTCGAAACAGGACCAAACCTCGATCCCTCACCTGATGATCCAGTATGCTGCTTCATTGGACACCTCTTCTGATTTCGGAACAAGCGCCAGCCTCGGGACTCTGCAACCATGCGAGGACGGCAGCATGCGAGGTGCGGGAGCTTCGCCAAATCCTCGGGTGACGGGAAATCAATCAGTCAATCAATCTAATCATTCATCGATCCTAGGCCCATGATGCCTTGATGTTTCCTCAGTCTACATAATTGCCTCTTGATCATACCGCCACAAGCCGGACTATGGCAGCTCTAGCTTGTTGTCAACCCGTTATACCCGTGCTGCCTTGCCCATCACACCCAACTTGTTTTCCTGGCTCGCTCGCATAGGGCGACACAGCAACGTCGCGGGGAATTCTCCCGGCGTCCGACACCTACCAGAGGCCAGGTAACCACCACTCTCACCACCCACCAAATGCATGCCGAGTCCCGCCGGCCTTTCCCTGTCGTCTCCGTCGACCTTGCTAAGCGGACGTCGGGCGGGAGAGGCTCGTCCAATGTTGGCTGGGGTTCTCCAACAACCGCTTTAATCCCAACATCTCCGCACATTACGGGCGCCGATCCCCAGCTTCATAATGAACCAAGAATATAGATAGAAACGGCCTCCGAGGACACCTGGCTTCAACATTTGCGTCTACTTAAGTCAGTACCCGGGGGGGACTTTTCCCCCTTTCCCCTCTTGTCTTTTTCGCTCTGCGTCTTTCTCTATATCCGCACACCAGTTTTATCACTTTCTCCATATGGAGTGCAACACGAATTTCGCGACATTCGCTTTAATCTACTCAATTCCGCCCCTCCATATTCCTGAGGCCTCAATTCCTCTCGCTTTACATGGCATATAACACGCGAGAATCACATGTCTATCACTGATCCATCATTTCCCGCATAGCCAATTTGCAAAGGCGCAATCGCTTGACCAGATGGGATACGACTTACAATCTTCGGCCGATCAGCCCGCCTCAGCCGGCTGGCGGGCCCGTTCTTTCGAGCCAACGAGCCTTCGGCCCTACACTCAGGTACACGCCCTGTTGTCTTACACCTTGCTGGCACGGGAAATCGTCGGGACTTTTACATAGGTCGCCATTGTACCATATATCCTAAGTTACAACAAGTCATCGCTTCCAAGGCTGCTTTTCTTCGTCAAACACGCTCCAAATCAGCACATCTCCGCTCACCCTTTCCGGGTTTCCTTTTTCCTACTCAGTACCGCCTCTTAGTTTCCGGTCAACTGTGATTAACCCTCCTTATCTTCTTACACGGCTCCCTTCCCGGGCCTTCCGTCAGCTTTCAGCGCTCGGCTTCGTCACAGATCATGTCGTTGAGGTCTGCGACCAGAACCACCTTCAAACATCAACCAAAGCTTCACCGTTCACCGAGGTGTGCGGAAGCCGGGACGAAGGTGAGTCGGCCCAAGCCCAAGACACCCCTAGTTCCATTACCACCTACCCTGCTGCCGTAATGCACGACATGGCATGGGATCAATGCATGCCCTCCGCAGCCGCATCCATATCGTCTCGCTCACCCAGCTTGCGTTTTCCCGACTGGCTCGTCGTCATGTCCACATCCTCAGACTCTGGAGCCACGTTGTTGTCATCGTCTGCGTCGGTCCATTCCATAATCTCCCACTCAACTCTGATTTTCCCGTCCCTACTCTGCCCCGCACCCTGGCTGCGATGCAGGTTACCCAAACGGGTCCCATCGAGCAAACTGTCAAACCATGGGACCCCGCGGGTTTCCCGTCCAACTACCGTAGTCGTTGTCGGAACGACGGGTTGATCTTCCGCATCCTCGAGCTCGGGAATTAAACCTAGGTCCTCCAGATCTCGCAGGTCTTCGCCGCGCAAGCTGGCCAAGGTAAGGTGGATGTAGTCGGCTTCTGTTTGGGGGCGTTCCGTCCAGTAAGACAGAGGCGTGCCGCAGAAGCCGCAGAAATGTCGTTTGGAGGAGTTGTTAGATGCGGATTCAAACACACGGTGGATCATCGAGTGTCTCTCGTCTGGGAAGAAAGCATGAGTTGTGCTGCGGTACCATGAAAGCGGTACCCGAATCATGGCCGCCAGCGGTGTTGCCAACGGAACTCCTGTGCAGACAATGATTAGTCTCGGGCTTCCCGTGGAATGTGCATTGCCTCTCATGCAAGAGCAACCATTTCGAGAAATAGTCGTGGTTGGTATGAAGGGCCCGACTTACTGTGCCTAGTATCCGTATGAAAGAGCACCTGAGCCCTCTCGGTCGTCTGTTGAGGAACGTCGATGATGTAACTGTTGCGCCCGCATTGGCAGCCGCCGCGCAAGGGTCGTTGCAAGCTGTTCATGATGGCTGTTGAAATTCGCCGGTCGGGTGGAAAAAATTGTAAGTCCGGAAGTAAAACTGAGTTGAGGGTAAAAGTTCTCAGAATAGACAAGTGCAGGGAAGGGCGTCAATTTCACTGGGTCAGCAGTATGTTCTCGTGTTTGTTGATCTTTCCCGGCACAGAAGGTGAGGTCAGATCAGTCGAAGCTTCCAGGTGAACCTGGCAATCGCTCCGTCCCACCTTACAGGCTCCAGTCACACCCCAAACCTGCGGATCTCCCGCCATCCATTGCCTGAGGTGGCCTGTGTACTTGCCTGCTTACAGCGCCTAGCCCCGCCCTGGATGGGCTTTGCGTGGGGCACTTTCGTCATACTTCCCAGGCCCACGTCGCTCACCTTTTTTTGTTTGTTTTTCATGCAGCATGTATGAAGCTTTGGTTTGACGAAGCCTGGATAGAGTTTGGATAGAATCGCTGCCTGGTGGATGTGTGGACAACAACCACATTTGCCTCTCTTTGTAAACAGAGTAACGCCTGCCTATCGCACCATCAACTTACGTTGGCGGGAAATAGAGCCCCCTGAGCTCCCATGTCCAGCCCATCGAGAAGCTCCATTTCTTCACTGTCGAGTTCAAACATGAATACGTTGATATTTTCTCCGATCCTCTCCGGGTTGCCGCTCTTGGGCAACGGGATGTAGCCCTTTTGTAGACACCACCGCACCAACACCTGCGCCACTGTTACTGGTACCGTCGTCGTAGCCGCCGTTGCTGTGGCCGACCGTTTCTCCGTCTTTCCAACAACCTCTACGCTCCCAAGGCCCACCTCCTCCACCCCGCCGCCTCCGGCCCCTCCTTGGATACTAAACGGAACCCGCCGGCGCACCCGTTCAACGACCCGTGCCAATACCGGATCTGACATTTTATGGCCTCTAGCAAGCGGGCTATACGCCTGCACAACGATTCCATGCCGTCGACAATATTCAACTAGCTCTCTCTGCTGACACCACGGATGAATCTATACATCTCCAATGTCACCATTCCATTCCATGAAAAAAAAGAAAAAATAAACGACCCAACAAACAACGACCATTACTCACCTCAATCTGGTTCACGACCGGCGGCCAAACCCTCGCGTACCCTTTCATCTCCTCCAAATGTTCGATCCTGAAGTTGCTCACCCCGATCGCTCTCGTCCTGCCCTCCTCCAACAACCGCTCCAACGCGAGCCACATCTCCTTCCGCTTCTCCACGGGCCTGTGTACGAGGAACAAATCGACGAACCCATCCACGCCGGCGATGCGTTCTACGCTGCGCAATGCGCTCCGGTACGTCTTGCCCGCATCCCCCGAATAACGCCCGATTTTGGTCGTCACGTGTATGTCTTGTCGTTCGAGGTTCGCCTGCGCGAGATAATCCCTCACGGCTCTGCCAACTTCCGCTTCATTGCCGTATAGTTGCGCCGTGTCAAAGTGTCGATAGCCTGCCTCCAGAGCCGCGAGGCATGCACTTGTACATTCTTCTCCCCTGAGCTGGTACACGCCCAAGCCTATCCGAGGCACCGCGACGCTGGTTCCCGGCAATATGACGGGCTTGTCCATGTTGGTCCTTTGCTCGGTTGTTTGTTGTGAGTTGCACAGTTGGTTGCCTGCTTAGAGCGGTTGACTCACTGTTTATGTGTTGATGCCTACTTTGAACCCCACCTGTAAAAGAATCAGGGCTACAACAACAGCCACAAAAGTTCGCTTTAAAAAAACAAAAAAACAACATGATGAAAAGCCTGGCTGACGCTGCATGGGAATGATACCGAGTGCTTTTAGAGGCTGTTCTTTTTTTCCAACTATTAACCTCTTATAAGTCAACTCCATGACGGCCCGTAGGCCAGCATGCAAATAGATAATTGTAATGTTACATTTCCCCTCCGGTCCATAAAAACGCCCAGCGACAGACAACCCCAAAGTCCCGAAACTCATCAGAGAAAGGAAGAGACGACTAGCCCGTCTTCTTCTTCTTCTTGGGCCGCTCCTCTTCTTCTTCCTCGTCGCCCTCGTCGCCATCATCGCCGTCGTCCTCGTCAACGTCACTCTCTGCGCTGCCAGAACCAGAACTCTCGTGGGCACTGTCATACTCTTCAGCGACGTCACTCTCGCTCTCGGCGCGGAAGTCCTCGTCAACACTCTCCTCATCCTCATCTGCAGAGCCACGGTCCGCTTTAGGTCCGACAGCCTCCTCTTCAGAGTCGTCCATAACCTCTTCGCGGAGGGCAGCAGCGAGGATATTTGCGTCCTCGTCGATCTCGTTCTTGACACGCAAACCTTTCAATCTGAAGAATTCCTCCAGCCCCTTGAGGTCCTCACGGTTGATGTTGCTAAATTGGGATGAGCCTGCACCGTTCTTCATCTGCACCGTGATATCGAAAGTGGAGAGAGCCGACACAGCTCCGCCAACACGAGAAAAGGTGACGGATGCTGTCTGCTCGTACGCAATATATGTCGCGGGCTTCGGTACAAACATGAATGCCTTCTCCAAGCAGTAGAGGAAACCCTCGCTAGCCTTGATAGAGCACTTGATACCGAACTGGCTGCGGTGACTGTAGAAGCGTTAGCATTTTGTAGTCCCCACATGACAGGAATGGCAACGTACGTCTGGAAGTCCTTGGCGGGCGTTGTAACCTTCTTGTTAGCCAGGCCTCTGAAGATGTAGGTGATGACCTGGTGAAGAGGCTGCTCGTAGTGAGGCTGCAGTCTGTCCTTGTAACGCTCGTCTATTTGCTCCTCGGTAAGGTTCAGGTCGATTGTAACTTCCTCATCCTTCTTGAACTGCATGACGATGAAGGGGTATCTCGTCTGACCCTGGCGAAGAGGCGGGTCCAAGCCGATGACGAGGAGAACATGCGTCTCGTCTGGCTTGGGGAGAACCATGAACTTCTTGATGGCGTCGTACTGGATCTTGTAATCGTAGGTTTTACCACGCAGACGGAAAGACGCATCGTACATGTCGATGTCGAAACGTCCTCTGTGAAATAATGTCAGCCAAAGGAGCTTGTGGCAGGCGATAATTAAACACGTACCTGGGAGTGAGGTGTAGGATGTCCAAGAACGTAGCGATAGTATCGCCGGCTGTCTCGCCAATCTCAGCCTTCTCCATGAGGGTGTCGTAGAACAAGGTAACGGCATTCTTCTCTTCCTCGCCAGCATCGCTGCCGGCATCTTCGCCCTCCACTTCCTTCTTGACGGTTCCAGGGATGTAGAATCTCATTTCGACAAGTTGGTCCTTGCCAGCGCCGGCTTTCTTTCCCTTGCCTCGCGCGCCGCCCAAGTGGCCATTGGTTCCAGTGTCGTTCTTGTCTGTAGGGGCGGAAAACTCGACAGCGACTTCGTTGCGACCTGCCAAGTTGGTATTGGAGATCTCGGAGTAGGGGATCTCGAAAGCAGGGCGGTTCTGAACGTGGAACGACAGCTCAGCTTTTCCAAAGTCGGCTTTGCCCCAGTTCCATCCTCTGAGCGAGTGCTCCTTGTTCTCGAGGTTGGTGCTGTACCAGTTCTTGAAGATCTTGCTCAAGCGCTCGTAGTCCTGCAGCAAGTGTGGAGTCAGTACTGCATTGACTATTATCTTCGATGTGGAAAGCGTCTCACCTCTTGTTGAAAGCCATCCAGCTGGATAATGCGCGATTCGCGATTGAGAATCTTGATCTCATAGCCCTTAGCGGCTCGGCTCCATTGTGCTGAAGCAATGCTGCTGTGATCGAGCGTGAAAGTGTCGCCGCCACCGGCAGGCTTCCATCCAAGACCGCTCTCGGCAAACCTGCACTTGCCACTCTCCTTGGAGAGATCCAAGTAGATGCTGTCGAAGCTCTCGCTGAATTGAATTCTCTTGTCAGTTAAAGCTATTTACGACAGGCTGTGGGGGCGCTCGAGCTGATGTCCAATTTTCCGGCGCAAATTTGAACAGAATAGAAAGTAACTTCTAGTCATGCGACGGGCGGCCTCAAGATTGGCTCGGCGCGGATGCAAGAGCTGGGAATGAAGACTCACATAGCTGCCATGGTTGTGCAAGAGAAGCTAAATCTCTGAGCCAAGGGTCGCTGGGTGTCGTCAGGGTGAGGTCGCAGAAAGACGGCCACTCAAAGCCAATACTCTGAATAGGCGAAGTCCAGCTCAAGCTGCAGAGTATACAGAGTGGAAGGTGGGAGGGCTGACGATGGTATGGGGTTGTCGGTGATAAAATTTCGGGCGATTGGACCTTCGCGCAGTCTTCTCCTTGTCGCGCGAGGCTCTGGTGGCACGGCGACGCGCGACCTGTTAAGTGAGTGGGTCTTTAGTTGCCCTCTTCACCCTGCGGCGTGGTTTTATCGCGTTTTTCAAAATTGTGTTAGTAAGCCTTTGGCTCCCTCAGGGAATAGCGTACCTACCCCAACTTCGAAGCTGGAGCGCAGTTGCCAAGTGTGGGGTAAGGAACAACACTAGCCGGCCTTAAGCTTGAAGTGCCCGAGGTTCTTGTCGTCTCAGCCAGTTTAGGGGATGGGGGTATGCCAACAAGATGGGCAAATGACCGGCTAGGCCAGTCGCTCGGGGAACTGGAAGTGATCGCTCTTTTTGACAGTCAAACAGCTTAATCCTTCTGCTTTCCATCTACTCGTCACTGCTTGTACCTCATAGAGCCATCGCTTTCCGGACAAACAAATATAGCTCGAAATACCAGCTGAATACCTGCCTTGTCCGAATTGAATACCAATCAAATCTACTAGTTTCTGAACACTCCTACGAAGCAAAACATCCTGCCAACGTCATTATGTCTAGCCCGCCGTCCCGTCTGAAGAACATTCTCGGCCACCTAGGCCTTTCATCTTCGTCTGTTCCCAAAAACGAGGAGGTTCCGCCAGCTTATCACCTCCATCAGCTTTCCCCAACCTTTTTTCTTGAACGTGCTGCTTCCATAGAACCAGATGCGGAGGCCATCGTTCACATTACATCAAACAACAAATTGCTACGACGGACTTATCGCGACTTTGCTGAACGAGCAACTGGACTTGCATACTATTTGAAGAAGCATAGCTTCAAGAGGGTTGGTATTCTGGCTCCCAACACTCCGGCTTTCCTAGAGAGCATATTTGGTATTGCTCTGGCCGGCGGTTAGTACCTTTTGTGCGCCTTGCTTTATCTTGACAGATGACTTACCAGACCAAACAGGAGTCAACGTTGGCGTCAACTACAGACTGAAGCAGGATGACATCACTTACATTTTCAACTTTGCCGAAGTTGACTCAATCATTGTCGATGCGGAGTTCGTTCATCTGCTTGATGATTTCCGGCAAAAGTACCCAACCATCCCACTAATCGTTGACACCGACACCGACGCCGTAGAAGGCGAACTGAGTGGACCCTTTGATGAAGCCATTTTGGAAGGCCTGCAGTATGACAAAACCCAAGGCAACAAGCGATTCGCCGGGCTCCAGTCCCACTGTGAAAATGACAACGACATGCTTGCTATTCCTTTCACTTCTGGGACAACATCCCGTCCGAAGGTGAGACTCTGGCCGGAACCCGCCAAGGCTGCTAAGCTAACGAACTGTCACCTATAAGGGCGTTGTATATACTCATCGAGGGGCTTGTAAGCTACGCTCCTTCACCATATGCAAATGATTTCAGTGAGATGCTTACTTCTCAAAAGACCTCGCAGCGTTAGGAAACGTGATCGAGTCGGGGCTTAACTCGCTTGATGGACGGCGCTGTAGATACCTGTGGACATTGCCATTGTTCCACGCGTGTGGATGGGTTCGTGAATTTTCTTACTTTTACTTGTATCGTTTATAACGCTAACTTTGAAAGACCTTTCCTTGGGCGGTGACGATGGTCCGAGGAACGCACTATACTCTGAGGAAGATTGACTATCCTCTCATCTGGAAGCTCTTGATAGAAGAGGAAATCAGCCATTTCAACGCCGCCCCGTTCGTCAGCACGTCTTTATCTAAAGTATATGTATTCTAACATGCCTTGCAGAACTGTCAACACTCTTCTGTGCTCTGCGAATGAGGCAACGAAACTGCCCAATCCTTGCCGCGTCACAGTTGCCGCAAGTCCACCGAGCGGTCACTTGTTCGAGCAGATGGTATGTCCCGTCAGCTTGTTCTTTCAGTTTCATCCAATTCTGACACGAACAGACGAATCTCAACCTGATCCCAGTTCATGTATACGGAATGACCGAGACTTACGGACCTATCACAAAAGGCTACTACATGCCATCCTGGGACAACCTGGCCCCCAGCGAGAAGTACGCTAAAATGGCTCGTCAAGGCCATGGCTTTTTGACAAGTCTGCCCATTCGTGTGATCAAAACAGACCAACCGGAGGGCGTCCTTATTGATGTAGCCAAAAACGGAAAGGAGATTGGCGAGATCATCTTCAAAGGTAATATATGCTGTAAGGAGTACTACAAAGACCCCGAAGCAACTAGATTGCTGTTTGCTGGAGGAGCTTTGCACTCGGGCGATCTCGCAGTGATGCACGAAGACGGGGCGGCGCAGATTCTTGATCGGGCCAAGGACATCATTATCTCAGGTATGGCGCCTCATTCCAAGTAGGTTTGACCGGATTTGTAAACTGAAGAAACCTTTAGGAGGCGAAAATATCTCGTCAGTATCCCTCGAAGGCATGCTTGTCCAGCACCCCGATCTGCTTGAGGCTGCTGTCGTAGCCATTCCTGATAGTCACTGGTCAGTCGATTCCTATTCTGCACGGTTCAGGGTCGATGTGTTGTACTAACAAACCGCAGGGGTGAGCGTCCTAAAGCCTACGTGACGGTCAAGGAAGGTAAGAGCCTACAGCCGGAAGATCTGATTTCGTGGGCGAAACACCAGAGCAACATCAGCAAGTTCATGGTGCCGCGCGAGGTCGAAGTTGTCGATGAACTCCCTAAGACTAGCACTGGCAAGCTGAAGAAGAATGTCTTGAGAGAATGGGCGAAACATGGGCGTAAGGAATAAGTGGGAGTGAAGGAAAGCTGGTTCTGTACGAATAAGCTTAAACCCATGTACGACTGGCTACCTGTACAGGTGTTGTATGTGCGCTAGAAAGTATTTAAATGGAGGAAAGGCCACTATCATGTGTATAGGCAAGAATCAGATATCAATTCTTGGCTTTTGCTTGATTACGAAGTGGTTGTTTTTGACTGGACATAAAATCAAGCTTACTGCTCAGAATGGAACCCAGCTGTCCTTGCAAGGGTCGGCAGTCAACGACCAGATTCCTTTCCCATGTTCGACATCCAATACTGTAACATACCCTACGCTAGTAACATTTGTCCAAGGCATGGTAGCAGGAGTAAGGTCAAGGTCTAAAGATGGGGCAGGTACGGATACCTCTTGCATATTACCACACTGCGACAGGTAATATGTGTCATTGTCTAACCTATCACACCTCGGAGGCCAAGGACCACGGTGAAATGCGCAAGTACCTACTTTAGTGAAGATAAGTAAGGCTTGTGCCCGAGGTAAGACAGGGGAAGGGTAGAAGGAGAGAAGCAGGGAGGTAACCTGAACTGCGGACGCGGAAAGTACAGCCCCTTGTCATCAAGGAGGTCCACACCACTGAATATTTTTCCTACCAGTAGGTCAGAGGGATGTCACGGTACTTTCCATGCCTTTGACTGTTAGTGAGGTAATTTCAAGCCACCCAGCCCTTTGAGCCACGGACGAAAGCTGGGACACGAGGTCATGAGGGCTTCGTATCACGAGACCACAAGAACTCTAGAAAGCACCAGACTGTACGTGATGCCTTCAAAACAGATCGCTACCAACGCCGTCCGGCATTGTGTATAAGGCCATGAGCAGGAACCTAAAACCAGACCCCCAAGAAAGAACACTCACCAATAAGGCACCCTAACAGGTGGGAGAGCCGAAGCTCCGTAAAGCTAAGGGACGGGAACACGCCATAAGGGGAACCCCAGGAAGGAAGGCCATGTCGAAGACGAGCCACTTGGTTGAGAAAATCGCCCCAAACGGAGACGTAGTCAACTTGAAAACGGGGCCAAAACGGTTGCCAAGCTTGTCCGCTTGACTACAACTGGACCGTTATTTAACCAGCTGCTGCATGGCAAGTTCATCAACATTCATGGGCTAACTTTGGCGAGACCCTTAGATTGTGGCACAATTGTCAGAGAGAGAATTTTCAGATAACGGTTCACTTGAACCCAGACGCAGCAGAATTGGCCTAGGGACCACTTGTCCTAGCATGTCGTCTTAACTCCCAATGGCATTACCTCATGCTGCTGCTGCTGCAACGGAAAAAAATGCTTCTTTCTTCCAAACCCGAGATCACCGCATGCGTAGCTGCATTCTCACCGACATACCCAGATCAACATTGCCCCTATCCCGGCTCAGACAGATAGATCCGCCTTCTCCTTTTCTCTTCTTGCTCTGGCGTCTTGCGACACATGGAATTGTGAGCGAGACGAAAAGTCGATGGTCGCTAGTAAAAGCCCTGTCATCGTAGCGACAACTTAACCTTGAGATTATCTATATCCTAGAAACGCACAAAGGCGTCATCGTGTGGGTTGATCGACGTGGGTGAGGAGAAGCACTCTTTTGACGCTTATTATCAGTCCACTCACACCCACCTTCGCACATGTCGACCTAAGCGCCCCCAATACGAGCATCCAAGATTTAGGACCACTCGAGTCAGACATACGCAGGCCTTTTATCGTCAAGGCTGCCAATACAACCACTCACAGAAGACCAACAAGTAAAAAAAAGATTTCTCGGCCTGGGTGAGAAGCAGCAGCCTCCAAAGTCTGGTGAAACCGGTGGCCAGGCGAATGTAGTAACTTTGGCTGGTCAAGACGCATATCACACAGGACACGACAGAAGACAGCTGCATTATGCAGGCCACTGTGGATATTGTCTGCTTCTCCAACCGGGCAGACTGGGCTCGCGTGCAAGTCACAGCTCAGGATTGGGTGAGAGAATCCATGTAAACGCACCTTGGTCCTTGGGGGCCTTCCGCGCCCCATGTCCGTCAATTTGTCTAGCAACCGCGGATCCTTTCAAGCGGTCTGCGTCTGCATTTCCCGAAGCCGAGTTCACATGGAAATTGCCCTGTGGACTTATTTATCTTGCGCGTATGACCCTCATAAAGCCCACCTTGACCCCTCTTCGAAGTAACAGCATCTTTAACCGTCGACAATGTCAATGATGATGTGAATGTGAGAAGTGATAGAGCTTAGGTGAGGAAGAAGCAAAGACGTAGCGAGTTACTAGACTCGCTCCAGCAGGTGAGTCGAATTGGAAGAAAGCAGCCGACTATGAGATAAGACAAGGACAGATGAGAAGGGGAAGAGACGTATGAAAGGGTCGAGAGGCACTAACCACTTGACTAACGGGGATGGCTCGCTACGAACAGTGGCGCGATGAAGGGGACGGGGGGAGAGATTTCTCGTCACCCCGGACAAGCCATGGCCGGCTTGCCGTACAAATAGGAGACGAGGAAGACACTAACCAGCCGTGTAGATCGAGATTATAGAGAAGCGACGACATCAAAGACATCAACGACAGGTCATTTATAGATTAGTCAACCGGCCAGCCGCATCCCCAGCAGGTGAGGCATAGAGAGAGGCAACGACGTCCGGAACTCGTTCGGCGTGTCCTGCGTCCCCTGCGCCGCAGCAAAGATTTTTTTCTTGGGCGACAAGCCCTGGAGTGGAGTGACTCTGGCATAAAGGCAGGCCACCCCGTTTCACCGTTTGCCGGCCTGTTTAGGTACGCCGGCCTTCTTCGCCTCCCGCCGAAGCACGACGCGGAAAGTCTATCTTAGGATATTACCACGAAGTCGGTTCACTTGAGCAGGTGTCGTAGTCGGCTGACGCTGCTGGGCCCCTAGTCCCGGCAAAGAGTGGTCCGCCTATAGGTCAAAATCACTCCACGAGCACGGTATATGGGCAAAATCGCTGTGCAGGTAGTCTCCCGATTGCCCACCGTTCTTTGCCATCCCTAGAGATCGGCCATCGCGGCGCCTCTTCCGGATTGCTGCTGCTGGCCAGACGCTCGTCCGGTGGCTCTAACAGACGCAGCTTTCGCCCACTGAAAATTGCCTGGCCTCGGGTCTCGTCCGGAGTCTTACAATTGTGGCTTGTTTGATTGTCTTCGCCCGATCTTGGTTTCTCGTGAATCGGAGGCCCCTTTTCGGCTCCGGGATCACGGGGAACAGCCTCGAAGCTTCGAAAGCGCGAACGAAACCTCTATAAATCGACAACGGGTTTGCGGTTGTCTTAGGGTCCGGGTGAGCGGGACTCGAAAGGGGGGTCCTCCAACCGACAAGAACCCCCTCGCCACTCCTGGCAAGAAAGACACAATGGCTAACACGCCTAACGACAACATTCCCTTCTACGAATATCTCGTGGACGACCCGGAGGTAAGTAAAAAAGCATGCAGCACAGCTTGTGTTGCCCTTTTCGCTCGGTCCTTTCTCCTCGGGGGTGCAGCCTTCAGGGGCTTGTTTCCCTTCATGAGCATGTCTCTAGTCAACATACTTCCCGTCACCCCTTCACCACCATCACCATTTGTCCACCATACCGCAGCGATATAAGGTGTGAAGGGTGATGCAGTAGACCAAGCGGTCGGGGGCGAGGATATGATGCCACAGACCAACAATACTAGATCAGAAACCCAACAGGGGCAATCAATGACAATTCAAAGTCATGTTCGAAAAAACCACATTGTGGCGCTCGGTTTTCCCGCGACCGTTAGTCTTCCAAGAAGATAGTATGGATGTGTCGGACGGGAGCCGGCGAAGACTCATGAGCTGGAAGTTCGGTTGCATCGCCTAGAATGGGGTGATGGCAAGGTGATGTTTCCAAAAGACTCCATCCAACGACCGATGAGATGGGCCATGGGGCGAGAATGCGTAGAGATGACCGTGTTAGGAAGATTGCTTCTAGAGAGAGAGATGAGAGAGAAAAAGACAAAGGGCAAAGTCTGACCATATTTCTATCAGCAGATGATAGCCTCGACGCCGTTATCCCCGCACTTTTCTCCCAATATTTTCGGAGGGGCATTCGACGTCCGCGACCGCCCGCACCACGCCACTCGGCCCAGGAATCAGGCCATGCCAGGTCCAGGCCACAATCGACCCAGTTCAACGAATGAATCGACCATGACAATCCCAAATTCAAGCCAAAACGTTAGTGGCATTCTTGGACTAGCGACGCCGCAAGCTTTGCTGCTGCAGCATCAACAAGTCGCGAGCCTCCAGCGCTATCACCAACAGCAGCCCCATCAACCAGCCCTGGAGGGATTGGAGTTGACAGCTGCCGAGAACCAGGGTCACCAACACCAATTCGCCTCGGCGCCATTTGTTGATCACCAGGGTCCGCCCGCCCTGCTCCATGCGCAACAGGCACCTGCCACATGGCTTCCGCCCGGATATGGGGCCCCGTTGTACAGTGGCAGCCAGCAGCAACAGCACGCTGCGGCAGCGGTCTCCTCGTCATCTTCTTCTACAATAGCGGTATCAGTAGCCAATCCTCCCGTCACGGTTTCTGCAGCAGGCGGCCTGAGCAGCAATAATGCCGGCGGCGACGGCGGGCAGTTATTCGATTTCGGTTTTGCTGCACCACCAGGTGAACAGGCGTTCCTTGGCGGAGACTATGCCGACATCACGCCACTTTCCACAGCAGCAGCAGTGACAGCTCACCCGCAACCAACAACCACTTTTGATTTCCATTCCTCGCCATGGCGTCCGAGGCTTCAGGATAGCAGCTCCGTTACCCTGACACCAAATATCACAGCCGTGGCCGCCGCCGAACTGAACCACGACGTCCGCAAACAGAGCAAAGGCAGCATGGAGGACGACAGCGACACTAGGGAACCATCGTGGGGGGACGACGAGGAAAACGATTACCAGGGCCACCGAAGACGAGGCGGAGGGGAGGCCGGGGTCAGAAGCAGCACGTCACCTAGGCCTCGGAGGCAGCAACGAAAGGGCAAGCGGCGCGCCGTGGCCGATGCCGGCGCTGGCGTCAATGGTGCTGTCGAAGACGAGGACGAACCCACCAGCCCCGCGGGCCGTACCAGCGTCAGCGGTCGTTCTAACAAATCGGCTTCGGTAGCCTCCACGACGGCTTCCAGCAGCAAGACGGCGCCGGCGCCACGGCTGCGTAGCGCTTCGCGCACTTCAAAAAACGCATTGCAGAAGCCCGCTGAGACGGCCGAAGAGCGTCGCACCCGCGCCTCGCACAACCTCGTCGAGAAACAGTATCGTAACCGGCTCAACGCCCAATTTGAAGGCCTTCTCAACGCTTTGCCGGAGCAGGTGCGCGGTCCGGCCAGTACAGGTGCGGACGGAGGGGGCGACGGAGGCGGCGGCGGCGGCGGCTACGAGTCGGACCCGCAGCCGGCGGATCAGGAGCGGCGCGTTAGTAAGGCCGAGGTGCTCGACATGGCGCGGCGGCACATCAAGAGCCTGGAGCGGGAGCGGGACGAATTGCAACGTGAGCGGGGGGATCTATTGCGCAATTTGGAAATTATGGAGCGGGAAATGGCCGCCAGCGGCAGCGGACGACTAGACGAATTTCTCGATGTCGAGGGACCCGCGGACAGGAGCGGCGAGTCATCATGGAGGAATGTATGAGAATCATTGAGACTGTTTTTTTTTTTTTTTTTTTTTTTTCCCGCTCTCATCGTCCACCACCTTCTTTCTCCTCTGTCTCTCTGACACCCTTCTGCACTCATTTTTCCGTTGTGTTTGGGTGTGTGTGTTGTTGTCGTTGAAGCCGTCTTTTTTTTTTTTTTTTTTTTTCCTGCAGCTGCAGAAGGAGGTAGCGCGTGAGCTCAAAACTCGGAGGCAAGGATGCCGGGGGTTTAAAAGATTCGGAGCATCGCCGACCGACTGATGCCACGCCGTGCGGCCACGCCAGGCCAGTAATTGGCCGGTCCTGTGTCTTTTTCCCCCTTCCGTCTCAGATATCGGTTTGGCGGACATGTCAACATGGTCACGGTCACGGTCACGGTCACGGTCACGGTCACGCACTCATCCTCCCCCCCTCCCCCCTCTTAGTCTGTTTTACTAGGGGCGTCATTTCTTATTTTTGTCATTCTCTCTCTCTCTCTATATCTGCAACCTAGTTTGGGTATCATGTCTTTCTCCCATGTCTCCTTTTTTTTTTTTTTCTCCCCCTTCTTAAATCCCTTTTCTCTACCCCCCACCTTTTTATGGATGGATCATGACCAAAGATTTGTTTCAAGACCCATTGCAACGGCTGGGTCAAAAACGGTATAGACCGGAAAAGGGGGCAGGCTGGCAGTAAGAGAAGAGGAAGGGAGACCGAGGCATAATCACGAAGAGGATACAACGGCGACGGGTTGGGAAGCGGTGCTAAGATGGTGTATGGTGGGATGCATACATACATGTTTGTATACATGTATATATGCACACGTATGGATGGATGGATGGATGGGACGGACGGAGGAGATGGATGACAAGGTGGGTGGGTGTGTGTGTGTGTGTGTGTGTGTGTGTGTTTGTGTGTGTGGCAGTAGTAGTAGTGAATGTTGTTGGTTTTATCTGCCGTAACGATGGAGGCGGAGGAGGAGCATTTAGCAACATTGCGGAGGGGTGGTGGTGGTGTTAGGTTTTTTTTTTTTTTCCCATGACACGTATGGATGGGAATGTCATGCCTTGCAGACTTGGCTGGTCGGCACATGTCTTGATGCCCGGAACATTATCCCGTTTTGCGGGGGGGGGGGGGGGGGGGGGGGGGAGGGGGACGATAGAGGGCACAACCAAACCAAACTCACCCCCACTTCACTTCACTTCACCCCCCCTTTCCACTCACTTCCTCTTTTATCATGGAGAATGTTTTGATTCAGAAATCTTCCACTTGGGAATCTCGACAAGCGAGAGTTTCGGGTAAATGGGATGCTGCACAGGTCGAAACAGTCCCCCAGAAGGACGCATGTAATAGACAAGAACGGGCATGTGGGTCATCAAAATCCATCAGAGACGACGATGCTTATTAGTTGGAAAAGAAAAGATCCTTTGTAAAAATTTGATTTGTCCGGCGCACATCAAATGCGTCCAAACTAGGATGAAAGCACCCGATTCTACATCCCTCTCCCACCTGGCGTGCCTTTCCTTCCGCCTGTCTATGCACACTTCTCGACTATCTGCGCTCATCCACTCTCCTCCACGTCCCCGCAGATGGTGCGGTGTTCCCTTTTTACAAGTTTTTTCTCTCAAGTTCTTCCTTTTCCCAAAAAGTCATGATCCATCAAATCGTGTCCAGCGAGGTCGCCTCTCCACGACACTCGCCTTTTTTTTTGTACAAAATAACAGTAGCGGTTGCGCTGTGTTTGATCAGGTGGTAATAATAATAATAACCCCGAACAGAAAGCCCGTTGCGGTGTTTCTGTCCCTACGCGGTAGAGTTCGCGCTGCGCCAATGCCATAAATGTAGGCAGTGTAAAAAAAAACAAAAAAAAAACAAAGGACAAATAAGGAAAAGAAAGCGAGTGATGCTGATAGTGGACGACAGCAAGTTGCTGTTGGTCGACGGTGATTGTGTGAACCGAATCCACTCTCGGTCTATTCGAAATGACAAGCCTTTGGTACACCCCTCCGATATATGCCAACAAGTCTATAAGAATCACGGCATTTGTGGTAAAAGCCACCGTGATGTGTCGAGAAAGATGTTAAAAGATGGTGTGTTTGTGTATGTATATGGTTGCGCCGCCTAATGTGGCCCAAACCGCGTCGCTTCGCCGAATATAGTAAAGTGTAAGTGAGTGAGTGAATGTGTGTGTGTGTGTGTGTGTGTGTGTGTGTACGGGAATAAATGGTAAGGAAATGTTTGTGGTGTCATGTCGGGACACGCTGACGTGGGTGGGCTTAGATTCGGCTGCCAGAGTAGACTGGCGGGAAGAGTGCGTATTGGCCTGGAGGGGGCGGAGTGCTCAAACTGGTGGTTCGGGCACGTTGACGCCGGTGCTTGATCGGCTCCTTCGTCTTGGTAAGTGGGAGGCTCTCGCGAGAAAGGTTGGCGCTGGTGCCCTCGGAAACCGCACGCATGTTTCCGGTCGAATGGGATGTCGTGAGCATCTCCTCAGTCTCGGGCAATGTAGCCATGGTGGACTTTCGTCCCTTAGGTGAGCCGAGGTCTGGGAAGTCGTCCACGCTGATCGAGCGCGAGTGGTCGATGCCTTCGGCCTTCGGGTTCCATCCTTCAAACGTCGTGCTTCCGGTGTATCTCGTCAACGCCGTCCAAGTCGAGTTGGTTGATGTGTGGCGTGCCTCGGTTGAGGTAGTCTGATCCGAGGAATTGCTACCGGTTGTGGATGTGCTGGCCCGATCTCTGGCGAACAAGCCGGGAGTTTCCATGGTCATGGTGGGCTCGGCGTCGAATGAAAAGTGGCTGCTGTGGCCTCGGGACATAGGGGTAGGGTATTCGTCTGCGTCTGATTCGGCCAACATCTGCTGGCGGAAATCTCCAGGGATAAGAAGTGATGGTGACAAGTTGAAACCGTGTGACTCCTTGAAGCTCGAGGCGTGCGAGGCGGTCCTCACATGCAGGTGAGATTGGCCTCGGTAGCTCGTTTCCATTCTAGGATGAGAGAAGTTGGGCCGTATTGGCAGCGCAGAGATTGTAGGCGTGATAGCCTCATGGCCATTTGCAGGAGAAGTTGGGCTAGAGGGGCTAAGTGCTGGAATATCCAAGTGTCCTGTCGATGCCGGCTTCAGGCCAATTGACAGTGGCGCCACAAACACGGCATCGTTGTCTACGAGGGGCTGCGCGACTTCCTCTCTGACAATGTCCAAAGATGGTCGCTCCCAGGCATAATCGCAATTGGCTTCGACTTCATGCTCATAGCAGTAATCGATATCGTCCTCCCAGCTTGCTCGGTGAAACCCGCCGGTTACTTCCTCCTCATCCTCATCCTCCTCCAGAGCTGCTCTCAGAGCAGTCTGCACGGTCAACATGTCAAAGCTGCCCAACGTGTCCGAGGCACCACTTGGCGGTCGTTGAGGTTCGTCCTCGTGGGCCTGTGCAAGGTGACGTAAGGCAGGCACAGATTGACTTCCTCTCAACGACGAGCGTGTACTGACCAGGCTGGCGCGAGAATGTCTACCCATGGGATAGGCCTCTTCCTCTTCAGGCACGTCAGGCAATGCCATCTCGTACGAAAAGTTCGTGCTGGCAGTCAGAGGCCACGCAGCATCGTCCGGTGTAGTGATTGCATGGGAAAACCGAGGATCAGCATAGAGGTTCAAGTCAGCCGCGTGAGGCAACTCGAGAATCGTTTCTTGCGGCCCGTTCATGGACTCATGGAAGGAATCGGGGTGATGAAAACTGCCACTAGTCTGAGGCCGCTCCAAGGGGTCGATGTCTTCAATAGTGCTCAACCCTCCTTGTTGTAACGAGATACGGCTCGACGTTCTGGGTGGAGGCATGGGGCGGGTTGGGATGGCAGCGATGATGGCTTCCTCGTCAATTGGGGACCTGGGCGGGCGTGGCGGTGCCGGGCGAGGTGGGCTGGAGCGCAGTTGCTCCTGAGATCTGGTGTGCATGATTGACCGTCGAGGTGCCGAGGTTGGAACAACCTGCCGTGCCAAGACGGGGGGGCGGTTCAGAAAGAGCTCGGCATGAGTCTCGTTCGTAAAGGCGTTCTCTGGTGGCGGCATGTTCAATGCCTCCGATGAGAAGTTGGAAAAATGCAAATCTTCAACGTCGATTCCCCTCAGTGATCCGGTAGTCGGCCGTTGGCTAGCACGGATGGCCGAGAACTCGGTGACCAGCTCAGCACGACTGCCCCGCTGAAGGTCCGGAAGGTGGTCACGCCTGGTGTGTGTGACATGTTGGAAGTTATAAGGCCCTGAGATCTGGAGTTTCCTGGCGAGGGCTGGGTCGTCTCCTAGTTGGTCTTGTCTTAGAGTCCTACGTCGGCCGAATATTGACGGGAGGAGAGGGTCCTTGTTTGCGGAGGGCAAACCGTCCAGGGCAATCTCACCGGAATATAATGAACTGCCAGAAGAGTTACTGCTGCTTTCGCGCTTCATTTTGGCCCTTCTGTTGAAGATGGTTTTGCCAAAGAGCTGGACGCTCTCGGGGCGGTCTCGGGACGGCATGCTGCTGGAAGTCGACCGACCAGAAGACTTTCTGGACAAAGTGATGGTTTCCAGTGTGTGTTCCCACGACGGACGACGATCTGAGGTGATTGAGCGCAGCGAGGACGACGAGCCCGAGGACGTAGTGGCGTTGCTCTTGTGCTTGTCCACGGCCGAAGCCCTCTTCATCTGCTTGCTCAAGGCACGAATTCTCTCAGGCGATGGCGGTCCATCAAGAGCGGGTTCGAACAATTCTGATGGAATGGTATTGGGATTGTGTTGAGTAGAGAGAGGAGGGAGGGAAACTTGGTTGTTGACGGAGGATGGCAACGCGGCATCTTTGTTGCTGGCACTGGCTCTCTCTTTCCTCCGGGGAGGTTTGTAGGCCGAGTAATACGGCAGTGGAGCGGTAGCCCACATCTTGTTTTCGTCTTAATGCAGAGGGCGACGTCAAGCCAGGCGTGCCCCCTCTCAAGGGATCCCCTTCTTTCTCCAGTTCGTCAAGGACAGGTCCCAGTCGAGGCTTTTTCCCTGATGCTGTTCCCTATTGCTCACTTTTTTCCTTGGTTCAGAATAGAAATAAAAATAAAAATAAAAATAAAACTGGGCCTAGGGATCTGGACCGCGCGGGTTGTGTATTCCGGGGGCGTATGAGGATGCCCTTGGTGCGTGTAAGAGTTGGTGTGGGTGGGCTGGGTGGCTGGCTAGGTAGGACACGCCTGTTTAAGAGAGTGAAGAGAGCGCGCAACAACAGCAACCAGAAAACCTACATCCGTCGTCGACCTTCTTTTTGTTCGTCCTGAGGGAGCGACAGGTGACGGAAAACCAGCTACTCTGTGGGGGATGCGCCTGGGACTGGTAATATATTTAAGATGGTACTGTTTTCAATGCGTTAGGAGCCGGGGGTCAGGATCCGAAAGTTGGGATCCGTCAACCTGTGATTTCTTGAGCGAAGAACCAGACGAGACAAGAGAGCATGCTAAGGAAACCGCAGCGAAAGACTGGGAGGGGATGTCAGCCCGCCCCGGTACCACCCTGCCTTGCACTTGCAGAGCCTAGTCCCAGAAAGCAACGCCGCAGCAAGACCCCCGTTCGTCCCCTCTTCAAGGATGGTTGACAAGGGTGAACAGGGAGGGGATGGAGGGATCTGGCTGCGAAGGTGCTGCTGGGGTGTGGTGTGTGTGGTCGTCAGGGATTCCTTGTAATGAGGATTGAGGGGGTTGTCGTTCGATGTGGGCGGGCGGGCGGGCGACCATGCGCAACTCTCTTGCCCTCGCTCTTTCTTTTCCACACACCCACGAAGCTAGCTGAGCATATGATATGGTATCCGTAAAAACGCTGCATTAAAGGAAGGAAGAAGCAAACACGCGCTGGACTGTGCCATGTAATATTGGCAGTGGCAGAAGCAGCAGCAACATCGGCCATTTGGTCAGCGGCGTGGGCCCAGAGGCAGTGAAAATCTTGGATAACATGGTGGGCAGTACAAATCTAGCGGGCCGTGGAGGGCCTTGAGAATTGTAGCTGCGAAGAGGAGGAGGACAAGAAAAAAAGAAAAGAAAAGAAAACAACTCGGTCATGAATATCCCTTCTTTTGGATGTTGAACCCTGCAGAGCGGTCGGCACACTGTCGCGTGCCCGCATTAAGTGGATGAATGTGAAGGCGTATGTAATGAGAATAATAGTAGCAGTAGTAGCAGCAGCACCAACAGAGCACCAACAGAACATGATTGCTGCACTTTGGGGAGCTGACATCCGGGAAGAGGGAAAACTGAGAGACAGGGGCAGCCAATCAGTCAGTATCGATAGATGAAGAGCGGCCAACGGCACGTCGTAGTATGGACTGTCAAAGAAGATGAGGTTCCGCCGGCATGGTTGGCTAATATCCCAGGGCTGGCTGGCTCTCTTCAGAGTGTGGAGTGCAATAACAGGGTGAAGCCTTATAGGTAAATAGAGGGGTGAGGCTTGTTCCGCAATACAAAATACGGCCACCGGAAGCCTGGGACGCAAAATGACGGAGGGAAATGAAAGTTGACGCACTCGACCATCTGCATACGCGAAGTGTGTATGTGTGCCGCAAAATGGCTTCAAATTTGAGCAAGATGGGCCATCTCGCAATCTCATGCACTGTGCGCCGCGGCCATTTTGATTCGATGGCTCAACCATTTGCTGTGCCGTCGGTGCTCTCCGCTAATGTTGTGTGCGCGTGTTGGATCTATACCACAGCCGGCCCCAGCGACAGTAGTAGTAAGACGGACACTTGAACGTCTCTGCCTCTTTCTTTTGGCACTTCCGAATCCGATGGGTTGAGAAGCCGATCGATGATGGAGACAAAAGAATGGGAGACTTAGGCGGACGATTGGCAAGAGTTGCCAATCGCAGCATGCTCTCATGCTTGCTAAACAACTGTGGTCCACCGCGTATATTTCATACGTCTTCCGGGCATCCAGGGCCTCCGTGGTGGCATCGACCCTTCTTCGTATTTACCGTTGTCGTCACCTTTAATACGACAAGCTTCTTGTCTTGCTTGCTTCTTGCAGCCGCATTGGCCCTTGACGCTTTTTATTTGCATCTTGTTCGTCCTTTCGATTGCTGGACCTGCGATGCTTTGACCAGCACAACCTTGAAAAGTGTAGCCCCTGGCGGACGAGGCCATCGGATGATGACAGGTTGTCTTGCACTTGACGTCGCCGCCAGATGGCAGTTACAAGGAGGCGGGCTTTTTTTTTTTTTTTTTTTTTTTTTTTTGGGAAAAGCAAAGCTGTCGCGAGTCTGGTTGGTGATTCGGCATCCAGCCTCCCGGAAGCCACCCTCACATGCTATAGTATTGATGTGCGTACATGAACATATAAAGAAACAGGATGACGAATAGATGAATATATTATATGTGCAGGTGCACGACGCGCTTAACTGCCTGGCCTGTTGGGCATAGACAGACAGGGTTTGTCCTAGACCAGCTCATGGCAAGCCTCTCTGACCTTTCGTGCTAGCTGCACAAGCCGTCCGTTTGCATGCCGGCCAATCCTGACAACCCAGCTTCAACCTTTCTCTCAATACAAGTTTGTTGTATCAAATAATGTGCGTTCTCACAAACATGCAATCCGAAAGGGAACTTATGCGTGTCCTAATGGCAGTGGCCACCGACAAACCTGGCCTTTGAATTTATCACAAACTGTCCATGTGATTGATGTTGGGAGATTTTTGTCTAGGCTCATCTGAATATTGGCCAAAAATCTGATTGACCCGCCAAACCTGTCGAACAAGATCCATGAGTCAGTCGTGCACTTTGCTTGGGGTTTCAATTCAGTCAACTTCGTCGTTTTAGCTACTGCCTATGCGTTAGTTTGGCACTTCTGTCGGTACCTTACCCACTGTACTGACCCTCTTCGTCTGAACTATGATATCCGGGACGGCCATGAATGGCTTGGGCCAACGGTTTCTAGCGTTGACGCAGAAAACGTTGTCGCGCCATTGGAGCCCCCATACGAACACTTTGTCATTAGGGTGCATAAGTTGCAGACGTTTAATTGATAATCATTGATGAAGCCAATGAACCTGAACGATTCTTCCTACCCAGGCAAGATTGCCGAGAGTCTAAGCCAGCCAAGCGAGCTGCTGATTATAGCAGCGCTGCTTTGTTGTGCATCATCTGTCGCCATGCCCGAGTTCGTATAAATGCAAAGATGATGTGAGACGCATGCAACATTTCCACAGGATGAGACGGCACTGTTGTAGTCTAGAATAGCAGGCCTTCTCATTATCCGGTTCTGCATTTCAAATCATTCTTGCGGCATCACGGCGGCTGATTTCTATAATTTTTTTTTTTTATTGGCGATTTCTCAGGAGTGATGCAAAACGGCCAGATCCAGATTATGACAGATCATGATCGACAACTACAAGAAGGCTGTGGTCCCCGCTGGAGAGCTATTCCAGTGCCAGGAAGAGCGATGAGGTTGCCAGGGTTGGGTCTCTAGCGTGAGCTCGACAGACAGGGACTATGTAAGTGGGCTCAGCATGTTGCCGGCCGTACGGCATTGCTTCATTATACGCAGTGGAAGCCGTTCTGGGGCGTTTTTGCGAGGCGACGAATGCTGCCGCGCATCGTCACGCTACATTCGGGCAGCCAGTGGAAAGCCGGTTGGTCTACGGGAACGTGCAGCACACGAATCGACGTATGAGGGCTGAGCGGTCAAGTTCGCAACGAAGCCGGCCCCCCTGGCCTTCGTAGTCAATGCCGTACAACGCAAGTGTCTCAAATTCAAGAGCTGCCGGTGGGCTGGCCGTTAGGTCTACGGTGGTAACGGGGCTCTGAGACAGCCCAGTTATTCGGCCTAGGTTGAGACAATGGCCGTTGTTAGCACCATGGACGGCGATGGTGGACGCTAATGGCATGCCACATTCCGCGTAGTCTGCCCCGAAAGCCGATACCCTAGCACCAGATCCACGATTGATTGGCAATGCAAGGCGCAGGAGGGCAAAACTCGAATGACAAGCCAGTTTCCATCTCTGCCCTGTCGATATTTGTCGGACGGTCGGTTCTGGAATTTCCCGTAAGACCCTGTGCGTTGCCAGGAGCCCAAACGCCAGCGGACGGGACCAAAACCCCTCCAGGTGCCAGCAGGGCTCAGGGGACCGAGCAGGCAAGGCAAGGCGATGCCGGGCGTGTCCACAACCCAGGGCAAGCTCAGGGCTGGCCCCAGTTGGGGCTTGTCAGTGACCAGCCACGTTTGCTCCGCGGGGGGCCCGGAACAGCTGCTGGAGTTGGAGCATGTTAGTGCCCAGATATTCCCTATCACACCTGTTTGCGGTCCACGCGAGACCCATCTGCCTAGATAGTAAGGTGAAAGCCGTTTGGCCGGCCCTTTGGTTGGAAACGGCATCGGCGCGCTGGGAAACAGGTAGATGACGACAGCGGGGTTATGACTGAAATCGGCACCTCGTCTGTGCCTGGAGATGGAGGATGTGCAGAGTCAAAAAACGGAGAAGCACTAACAGGGCAATCTGATGTGTTGATGTTCATCTAGTTACGTCGCGTCCCTGATAAGGATTTTTGCTGGAGTCAAGGGGGGTTGAGTCGTGAATGCATCTCCGGTGCAGTCTCATGGCAATCTGTGCTGACCGAGCATGTCCGCCGACCAAAAGAGAGGGAGAGAGAAAAGACCCGAAGACCAGAGCAAGGGAAAAGTTGAAGAAATGGCGACTCCCAAGTCCGTAGTCCGTCTAAGAGGGAACTGAGTCGCGAGAAAGCCGAGCCTTGGACCCTCCTTTCTACTCCACCATGGCTTGCCCACTCCTCGTGTCTTCCCCATTGCGGGCACCGGTTGTTGCCAAAGCTCGTCAGAACTCTGGGTTGGTATTGGCTACCAAGAAAGGTGTCCCGAAGTGCGTCTTTTTTTTTTTTTTTTTTTTCCCTCTGGTCTTTG